CCTGCGTAGAGACCCAGTCGGTGATATGTGGCNCTGAAGCGCTCAATTTCGCCTTGCACGGGACAGATTTGCCGCTGCTTTCCCCCTCTGACTTGGACCTCATGGTGTCTCCACTGCACGCCATCACGCTCGCCTCTCATTTGCATACGGTCAAGGTTATCACGTTTTGCCAATCGCTCGGCCCATCGAACTCAAACGCGTCGTCGACAGTCGTCCCGGGGTCGTCAGTATGACCCGCCTCATCCATCCAACCCGCGGCCAAATCGATATCATATGCAGTTCGCGCCTTAACTCCACACACCCTCTCGTCTACTGCCCATGCTCATTGCTCATGAACTTCTTGACGGCGGACGGGCTGGCTGTCTCTTATCCCGCGTGGACTTTTCGCGGGCAGAGCGTTCACACCGATTTACTCCCTGGCTCGTCGTCGGCACAAGACTATCAGTCAAAAGTGATGGACTGGGGCTGGGTGACCACACCACAACCCGTGATACAGGTTGGTTCGTCATATTTCGGCCCGCTACGCGTGTCCGGTGGTTCCGAGATTGTATGGCGAACTGACGACACAGCTCCGTAGGGTTCCGCCTTCCATCCAAGTCAACGATCATTCGATGACGAGCACTGCTTCCGCATGTGTTTCGGCACCCCTCATCCCGTTCAACCACTCCCGCGAGCGGAATCCACGATTTGGGTAACGACAGATGGTGACATGCAAGACGATGCAGAGGATGACTTCAATGGTCACGTCGTCCCAAGTTCTGTATACAGTGATGAAGTCTTGGTGCTCGAGAAATATGTGTAGCGTGGCTTGCACAATTTAATTCCACTGGAAATATTGCGTCACCCTTTCGGATGTCTCACTGCGCTGATTAATTTTCTTCTTAAAAGCTTCGAGTGGCATGTTCTGTAGTTGTCCCTCTCTCGGCAACTTCACAGGTGCGTAAATCTCTATGCGCAGTCATTCGATGCTAACGTTCCAGAGCACAGAATGCGTTCGTCTTTGCCACCCGACACGGTCTCTGCATACGCTAACCCTGTGCACCACCTGTCGACGAATCGTGGAATATCACAGTACCTCGCGGACATGATACTCGGCCACCTTCCCCTCATCGACATGTCAATCTTGCGGAAGGCCAATAAATTCTGGTACTCGGTGGTTCGCAACTTTCTTCGGCGTAAACATCGCTCGGTTCTGCGTGAGTATGTAACGGACGACATCGCGCTTCGCTCCGTCATGCGGGCCACCCGATCAGTCATATCCGGGTCCGAGGCGCTGGACTATTGCCTTCACGGTACACTCAACCCTTCGTTCACTCCGACCGACCTCGACATCTACACAAACTGCGTGTACGCCATTCTGGTCGTGCGCCATCTCATGAAGCACGAGGGCTACGAGTGGATTGCGAGCGCCGATAGAGAGGATGATAATGAGGAGGAACGGGTGGAAGAGTACGGTGGTGCCGTGGTATCTTGCTCAACCTTGGTCCACCGCGTCCGTGGAAGGAAAATCCAGGTGGTGTGTGTGTCCCGTCTCTTTTCGCTGCATCAGACGGCGTTTTTCTGGGGGACTCTTGTCATGAATTGTTTGACGGCGGACGGTTTCGCGATGGCATACCCGACCCTGACGACGATAGGCAGAGGTGCGCTGATTCTGACGATCTAACCGGTGCGGCTGACAAATAAGTTTGTTTGCAGGTCTTGTGTCGCCGATCAATATTCCAAACCTGGTGATTGATGAGTGCATCGCAAAGTACGTGGGAAGGGGATTTGATATAGACGTATTCTCTCGAAATGTGGTGCGCATTATTATCTACTCGTGTTCGCCCCATTCCACTAACCACGATATTGTTCGCATATAGATATCTGCGGACAGTATCACGTCTGGCGTCGATGACGGAGCTCCATCAATTACGGTGTGTTCGTTCACGGTCCCCGCTTTGAACGCTATCTGACCCTGGCTTTTATCAAGACACTGGCGAAAAGGCACAGGAAAGACACAATTCTGTGGAACTGCCCTAACACGTACAGAGAATGGGGTGACGAGGGCTGTCTCGGTATGCCCTTTGACTCGGGTCCCGAAAAGGCTCCCGATTGGACGAACGGAGGTACCGGCTGGGTGATGGGCGGGCACGACTGTGGAGGAGAGTGCGACTATAAGTGTGTGCCCCGAGTTTGGTGGGAAACAAAGATTGTTTGTGAGCGGGACAAGGAGATGTTGTGAGGTTTCTAGCCTGTCTGTTTCCACCCATGCTGCTCTACTCGGCCGCACTTGTGCAATATGAATGTGTCGCTCCTGCGCATATGTTTTTTTTCTTGGCGGAGCCTTTCGTGCTTGAAACAGCCGCACCACAGCACAGCCTGCGATGATATCTCAAACATCCGCGTATCAGTATAAGAACTTGTCGGCGGCCCGATTCTCATGAGTCGTCAAATATGTCGACTGTCTCCGGTACGTTGTCCAAGTCTAAACTGCACCTGCGCTCTGACATCTTCGCCAGCTACCGACCTTTCATCCCGAGGAGCTCTGTTCAGTGCGTACGCAGACACCCTCCTGTCAGGCTCAGTCGACGATGCCTTCAACTACATCAGATTGGTATCGAATTCTGGAGGGTCCGCTCCCGCAAGCTATCCTTTCGCAGTGCTGGACAGTAGAACGGCGAAACCCTTGACACTTACGGTGAGGGGTGTTGTGCAGGATTTTGCATTAGGCGAGGAAGGTGACGGCGGAATGTGAGTGTCGCTTATTGCACTTTTTGCCCCGCCAGCAGAACTTTGTTGACTGACAAAAAAACAACAGGCATCCATCCGGTTTTGGTGGCTGGGAGTTGATAGCCTTTACAAGGCTTGTCCCCGGTTACGCCGCTTGGTATGACCAATTTCGTGCGCAAATGCGCGGCATCGCAAACATCATAGAGGCTATTTTTCTGCACCTCGGTCTCCCCCCCCCGGCCAATACCATCGACCTACCAACGGCTCTAGTTCTGAGGAGACGTTTGCTACCAGGAGACTTCCATCCGGAGGTGCAAGTGCAGGCGTGTGATGGTGGGCTCTGCGCGGCTCGCGATGGCGACTTAGACGTTGGAGATTTGGTAGACGTTTCGGCGTGGTTCGATATCGCCGTGATGAAAGGGAGCGATGGGATCCCTAGGACTGCGGTTTTCCTGGCGTTTGACCGCGTTGTACGGATTAGGCGACAAACGGAAATAGAGATGATGGTACGTTGCCCGATTGAATCTTTTTGTTCAGGTGCTCATCTATAGGCAGGATCGGGTAGGGCTGTTTGAGCCTTCGCTGATGGCTTCGAGGTTTGATTACGTTTACGGGGAGAATTTAGGGTGGACGGTCTTCGACTATCTGAATGACATCGGTGCGTACTAACAGCTCTTCGCTGGGTCTCTCTGATATGAACCGTGCTATAGCCGCGACCGACGAGGAAGCACTGACAATCGCCCGCGAGGGAAACAAGAACAGGGAGGGTGTACTGCAATCGGGTGACATATGAATAGACGATGGCTATTTGTACGGGTGTAGACACGTTACATGTACAATCAACTGTATGCGAGCGTGCTCTGAGCGTCGTTTCCTTGGCACCTGTGTGAATCGTGGGAAAGCGCCTCATCTTCGTCTCTACCACTCTCTCCTCGCGTGCGACTGTGCTTCGATGGCTGTCATAAACGGTAAGCCGACCGCGATGTTACCTCGTTCTCTTCTAATATGTAGGCAGACGATAAACGACGCCTGACTCTGGTCGATGTATCAAGATTCTCCGATGCATGGACTGGGCGTGCAGCGGTATTGCCCACCTGCGAGGCCGAACTCAGCGAGTGGTTCTCACTGGCTCTGAACGAGGCGAGGACGGGAAACAGCTACCCACTTCATATCGTTCGCGCTGGAACAAACGAAGACGTTCGTTTGTGGGTTCAAGGTGTGGTTTTGGAAAGACTGCTGAGGAATGAGGGCAGCAAAGGCTTGTAAGTACCATTGTACAGCTCTCGTGCTATGCTTACACGAAACAGAGGCCTAGATGATGAAGTCGAGCCCTGGTTTGGGTGTCAAGGTATACGCCTCGGTGCAGGGTGGTCCGATTGGGGCCCCGCGTTTAAGAAACAGATGGATGCGATTAGAATGATCGTAAATTCTGTTTTTCTCAAGCTCGCATTGCCACGACTCGACACAGACGTGCCAGAAACGCTATTCTTGCGGCATGTGACGGAGGATTGGGGTGGCGTGCCTTTCGGTGTACAGAGCTTGACTGAAGACGGACACGTATGCGAGTGCAGTAAGAGTATGATGTCCCGGGGTGACGTTGTCGAAATGAGGATTATTCCGCAGGTCGCGTTGGTAGTTGGACTAGACGGATTGCCGCGTACGAACATCTTCTTTGACTGGGATAAAATCGTGAAGATTCGCGACCGGTCTTGGTTTTTAAAAGTGCGTTTCCACTTATCTCAAAGTTCGTAACCTCATCATGCGCAGATGAATCCCCCTGGTCGCTGGCTAGCCACCGAATGGAGAGGGGGTCACCACGTTGGTGCTCCAGCGTTTGAAGACATAGATATCAAGCGTAGGTGTCCACTCATCGATTACTATTCACTGGATCTGATGCGCGCACTATAGAAGGCACTCTCAGCGACAACATGATTGCACAGTTACTCGCTAAGACTTCAGGTTCAGGACGTCCGCTATTGGACGAAAGTATAGACGCTCAGAAAAAGTTGAGCGGTAGAATAGTCGTAGAGCGAAATACCGAGACTGGATACCGATTGTGTGAGGAAGGGGAAGGGGATGGATGATACCGTGTGGCGAGGGTGGTGTTGACGAGCCGCTCATGTGAAATTGACATGCTATCGACTAAAAGTGGCGGATTATGTTGGAAGTACGTAATGTCATGTGGGTCTGTACAAAGTGTCTGCAATAAGGGACCAGGTGCCGCCCGGAGGGCAAGTGTATAGGATCTGTTGTGGCGGGTCGCTACTTGTCTTGCTCGTCGTGATGGTTCGTTCGGGCTCTGGCTGCTCGTCGTGAAGGATGGCTGAGGCTTTCTTGTGAGAAGAAGGGGAGAGCAGGAGAGCAGGAGGTTGTGGTCTAAACGCGTCCTTCAAATGGGTCATCGCTTTGGAGTGTGAGCCGAGAGTGCGTGGCGCGTGAGCGCCAATTGCGGGTTTCACGCCTTTCGGTCAAGCTTGGCACGGTCTTTCCTCGATTTCCAAAGGGCTACGAATTAAGATGGAGAAAGGGACAAATCCTCGCCCAGGTGGGAGTAGATCGCACGGATGCAGAATCTTCATAGCCTCATCCACTTCCGCTACAGTCATCCTCACGGACCAGAACTTGAATCAGTATCCCCCCAGTCCAATCCAAGCGTAACCCCCTCTTTACCCCCTCTCACCGCGGTCTCTACTGCCTCTGCTAGCTCTCGCAGTGCCACCTTGTCCTCCTCCACGTATCCACCCTCGATCGCATTCTCAGGTAATGATGATCTGCCACCATGTCCAAACCTAGCCCGGTTTGAAGTTGGGAATGATATATCGTTGGGTACAGCCCCGCGCGCGTCATACTGCGACACACCCAGGGCTCGCTGTAACGCTTCCTCCCTCTCTTGTCCTCGGAGCGAATCTATCTTCCGCAGCACATCCTTCAATCGGGGATGACTAGCCAAAGCATTCCTCACCGCGGAGGACGTCGCTGTTTCCGCCACACACGCACACGGCGTATCGCCACATCAGGAGGTGACGGAACGGACAGTGAACCAGCGTATCCCGTGCGCATAGTGAGAGAAGGATCGGAACGTCAGTGAACTTCGTCCGCAGCCAAAGCCACAGAAGATACTCCGGGCGGGAAAAGCATGAGACAGAATGGACGCAAACGCACCTATGGCCTCATACTGATTCAACTGCAAAGGCTTCGGATCGTCTCGTTTGAGCGGATCGGGGTATGCAGATTCATCCGGTACGTAGGGCCAGTTCAATGAGGTCAATGGCCGCAGTTGCGCCTCCAGCTCAATCTCCGTCTCCGTATTTGGCTTGAGCTCAGTCTTCATTGACACAGACTCCTTTTCCTCGGTTCCAGAAAACGAACCTGAGAAAATTGTACCGCCTCCATGAGAACAATCCGGCGTATTGAACAAAACTCTCAGATGCTTACTACTTTGGGCAACACTGTCGTCCGTGGTGTTTGTGTGACCCGCCGGCAGAACGCTTTCTAGTTTGACTGCTTCTCTTGCTACTGTGGCGTCTTCTGTGGGCGTAGCATGGACTGTGCACGAACTCTCTGTACAGCCAAAGGTGCCAAAAATGCCATTCTCGTGGGTTAAAAATACTCGTCCATAAACAAACGATGATGGAGTGTGCAAAATAGAATGGAATAGAATTTGAGTATGTATGTGATTCCGCCACGTACCTTTGTGCTTTTTATAACACGGCACCGAACAACTGCGCAAGTAACGAACGACCAGTCATCAGTCAGCCTTCAACGAACATAAATAACAGCGCGACCGTGAGCCTAGATCACAACATTCAACGACGCCTCGATGGGATTGATGATCACAGTGAACTTTCCACCGTCATGGTAAAACAGCTGCGGAATAGTGGGAATCATCCGCACAAAAGGAGGCGGCAGGAGCGGCAGGGAGTAGGAAGGCTTGATGATGCGACACAGCACTTACTATAGCACGTAGCACTTTGAGCAGCTATATTTTGACTCTTGAGCATTGCAGATTTGGCAGGAGCCTCGGGAGCGGGAACGGGGAGGCATTCTACGCGTTTGATGTGGTCTCAGGTCGATTTCTCGGCCTGTATGCTGGAAAAACGTTTGGGGTGCAGTGGAACCGTGTAGGAGGAGAAGTATAAGCAGTGATCCGGCCCGTTTGCCTGGAAATACAGTGGCCGTGTCAGCAAAGCCATTGTAGGTAAAAGGATGCAGAATGAGAGGAATGAAGGCTAATGTTATGGCTCAAAAAGAAATAGGTCAGCCACGTACACTGGCTGCCGTCATATTAGTACACCTTCATGGGTGTGGCGTTCCCAAGAGTCCACAGTTGGCCTGACAAGACTGGATGCGTCTGGGAGAAACACCAGAGCATCTCAACCAACTGAGTAAATGAAAGAGGCCTTCAACATGGCGAGAAGTCGAGGAAAGATGGGAGAAACAAGAACGAGGTCGACTGTAGTCGAAGACTGTGGCTCCGCAGTTTTTGCCAGACTGCGGTAAGGTAGTTTGAGATGAGTCAACGATATTTACGTGCTCACCTACTAGCAAACACACTCACTGAAAGCCCAAAGGTAAACTTTGATGCAATAAGTAAGAAACAGAACAGACGATACGATAGGTAGGAGGCGATGAGCGGGATGTTGAATGAGCGAACAAGTCAACAAGCGGCGAACTTACTGAAAACGCTCGGCCCGCTCCGGCTCGAGGGTAAAACTACGCCACTGACGCGATTGTGGCCCAGCCAAGATTGCGTTTCGCACAACCGTTGTGGTCCTCATCTCACCACTCCCATGCTCGGTGTCGTTCTTATCCTTGGACTACCGCGACCACTCAGAAGCTCTTGAAATCCTTTGGCTTGCTTGGCTGGATTTGTAATATAGTCACACGTCGCTGGTAAGGTACTCATTCAGGGCAACATCCCAGTCTCAGATAAAACCACGTCTGAGTTCCCAGTACTCACATATCGACTCTAACGTTGAGCTTGCAAAGACGAGATTTCCTTCCACTTCTCATCAAGTTCTCTCGTACACAGCACCCAAATCATGCGAACTCCTATCGCCCGTTGGACCCTTCTCTCCAGAGCGTCCACATCCCCACGTTCATCCCACTGTCTCTCTATCTCCAAGGATGGCATCCTCGCAGTCTACGGAGGCGAATTGAAGCCTCGTACACCCACAGATGCTAGGGTTTCCTCCTCTGAGGAAGGATCCGAGGCTCTAAGCGGTAGTGTGCACACCTTGGATCTGAAGTCGACATTGTCGTCTTTGCAGTCCCAGGGCCCAGTAAAGAGTTTTACCACTCTGAGCCCGAGTAAGTCAACCAGTCTCATTCAGGCTCATGGAAGACTGTCTATTGAGGTTTAATGATAAAGAAGACTGACACTGACCGAAGGCCTCAAATCCCAATCCGCGACTCTCCCTGTCGACGGCGATATCCCTACTCCTCGAGTCGGAGCAAGCACTGTCTTCCACGGAGATTCGCTCTATTTATGGGGCGGGCGTGGAGGCGTCGATATGGCACCACTTCCCCAGCGTTCCGCTGGCCCTTGGAAGGCGAAGGTGTTGACAGATACGAGTGTCGAATGGGAGAGGTTGACTGCAGTGAACGAGGAGGATGCACCGGAACCGAGGAGCTATCATGTTTCTGTTGTACATAATGTGCGTTTCCAGTGCCGCATTACCCTGCTCTCAAATTCCGCTCAGGAATGCTATACTCACATTGTTACTTTCACATCACACAGGGAAAAATATATATCCACGCCGGCTGTCCTACCTCAGGCCGTCTCACCACACTCCATTCTTTCGATCTGCAATCCAAGACCTGGAAACAGCTCGCAGATGCACCAGGGCCAGGAAGAGGTGGTACTGCTCTTACGGTCTGTGCACTTCCCGGCTCTTCTGAGAGCGTTTTCTTGCGATTTGGTGGTGCGTTCTCTTTCACGATACAATCTTATTCAGTCAACGCCTCGTGTGCAGGAATGATACTAAATCACAGTTGTTGACGCAGGGTTTGCTGGCTACGAGCTCCCGACAGGCAAGGACTCTGGGGAAGGGAGCATAAACCTCTATTCTCCCTCCTCTAACTCCTGGACCACACTCATTCCCTCCCCTGACCCAACTCATGGCTACCCTGGTTCCCGCTCTGTGCACGGTCTTGCGCCGATTGTTTTCCCTCATACAACTTCCACATCAGACCCGACCGAGTCCGTACCGGTAGCGGTCGTCTATCATGGTGAACGTGACGCGAGTTCCCTGGGCCATGCAGGAGCAGGGACATTCTGGGATGATGTGTGGACGCTGTGTTACCGTTCGGCGGGTGAGGGAAGCTGGGAGTGGAAAAAGGCGGACGTGGTGATTGTTGGAGGCGGAGAAGGGCCTGAAGCGAGAGGATGGTTCCCTTCTGCCTCTTGGGCTGGTGAGGAAGGGAAGGGCGCTTGCGTGGTGTTGCAAGGAGGGTTGATTAGCTCGAACGAGAGGGTCGGGGATGCGTGGGCTTTGGAACTCGACCTTTGAGAAGAGGTATTGATCCAGGCTAAGTGAATCTCAAACGGGGGAATGCTTGTACTATGATTATGAATCTATGTAGGTCTCAAATATGCATATCGTAAGCTATCCGTAGAACTGAGTGCTTGTCAAACTGGTGCGGACTACTACATTAAACCACTGGGGCTTTCGAGAGAGAGAACCTTCGTCTGAAGATGACAAGGCAGGAAAATGGACATACAAACGGTGCCTCTTCATCATCCGAATCCTCAAGCATCTCCCTCGGCGCTGCAACCTCCGTGACAGCCTTCGCATTCTGATAAAACCTCACCGTTTGCGCCACATATCGCTCCCCATTCCGAACGGCCCACCCAAACCCCGAGCAACTTCAGTGTTTGTCGATCATCTTTAATGTATCCTTGACATGGCCGCTGATGGGGATTCTACGAACCCCTACGTTCGTCTTGTAATTGATAACGTCCGTCATTCCCAGCCGATTTCGGCTTGCTTGTTCGCTGTCGGGTCTATCTGTGCTCGAGTCCTGGATTCACAGCAATGTAAAACTTTATTGCCTGCAACAGCTATGAATATATCTTCCAGCGAGGTAAAGCATAGACTCAAGGCGCGTAACGGTCGCGGATACCGCTGCGCTGCACTATCATACAACGTTGATTTATACGCGAGACCGCAGTTCAAGATGCGTGCAATTGTCACATCGATCTCAATATAGACCATCAGCCATCAACCTGTTAGAAAGAGTTTCGGAGAGATCGCCCACCCTTGGTACACTCCGGTTCACAAATTTGACCATCCCGGGTACGTCCACCCGTTATACAACACATCCTCAAGCAACACCCTCATCCCTTCATCCCTAAAATCGTCCTTCTCGATAACCGAACCTCCGCTCTGGAACACGAAGTTTTGACCACCCGGAGGGTATCTTTTCGGGTTGTAAACAGGCCAAATAGGTGTGGGTCCGAGGACTGAACGAAGTGGACACGAGGTAGTGATCAGTGGTGTAATGCGATGCGGAGGTCAGTACGAGGTGTAGGATGAGTAGACAAGGAGAGTTATCACACGAAGGAGACGCATATAAGGAAACGAGTAACATGTTTGGAATGCATACCAGACAGTATGTTCGGATTAAGATGAACGGTAAAAGATATCCACGCCCTCTGCATCTGTTCCGACAGTGCCATGCTAGCAGCGATTGTCAATATGAGCATCGTCGCTTTCCATGGCTCCCTATAAGGTCCAGGTGAATGTAAGACAGATGTCGTTAGGAACCAGCAAGGCTTACATAAAATGTTTCTCGCTTGTGATTGGCTCAGAACCCTCTCGAAGCCTCTGCAGCCAATCGCGAGCCAGGATAATTTTATGTAAGCCTTGCTGGTTCCTGACGACATCTGTCTTAAGTAGACGCGTACAATGCGGGCTCCGGCTTCATATAATCGGGATGCCCAAAGAGTGGGAACTGGGGAACGAAGAAGAAGAAGCCTTGTTAGCTTTCATCGTCAATGAAACCTCTTGAGCGGATGAGAGGACGTAGATGGGAATAAGACCTACGTCAGCGCCATGTATCACTCCAACTTCTGATGTTAGACTATTCGAGAATGCGCGCCATAAGTCAACGCACCGTATCCCCGTTGTATTCCATACATAGGAAAAGGAAGTGCGGTTAGAGCGATGCACTCACTACCACGGTAAGACAGATGTCGTTAGGAACCAGCAAGGCTTACATAAAATGTTTCTCGCTTGTGATTGGCTCAGAACCCTCTCGAAGCCTCTGCAGCCAATCGCGAGCCAGGATAATTTTATGTAAGCCTTGCTGGTTCCTGACGACATCTGTCTTATCTGATTGAACCTATACTTCCACACAGGTACAGAATGTTTCGCTAACTGCTCAGCCATGAACCGATTGCCTGCATGAAATGTTAAATCACCCATGAGGGCAAATACACGCTTGTCTTGTGTGCCGGAAGGAGGCCGCCAGGAACCTAGAAGTATTTGCAGGATATGGGAGTATTTTCAGGATATGAAGTGAAGAAGAAGCGGGATATTTTTCTGTACCAGTGTTGGCTGGTATGCCTATGTAGGGATCATCAGGATAACATGCCATTAACTTCGCCACTGTGGAACGGTTGAAGCCCCATTTGTTAACTATGTGATGGGTGAAGATAATACGGTTAGATATAAGTAAAAACAGAAGAAACAGTCGATTTTCGGAAAAGAACAACGTACTTGCCCGGTCGACAATAGCGCTCTCGCTGTTGAATCCACTCGGGACCAGCGTAGACTATGGAGTATAGTTTCATCAGACTGCAAATATTTAGCCGCACTTTCGAGGTTTAAGATCTGAAACATACCAACTCATCCGTAGTACCTGGTCAATTGGAGGAAAATATACAGCTCCATTAGATCGGATTCGACTAGTCACACCTTCATCGACATCCCAAATGGAACCATAAACTCACCTCCCAGAATGACTGGCACCTTCACAAACCTCCCCGCCGGAAACGACCATGAAGGGCTCTGCCCCTTCCTCACAAGGTTATTATCTATCACCGCGCTCGTGGGCGCATCAGCAAAAGCCTTCCTGTACTCCTCGATAGGCAACAAACGGAGACAATCTAGTTGAACTTCTTCTTCATCACGGCCAGAAACCCTACTCTGTGGGAACGAGGCAGTAGCGTCACAGGATGCAGCACGCAGCCCGGTAGCAAAGGCTTCGTCGAACTTGGAAGTATTACCACGTATCGCATTTTGTGGTGGTCCGCTTTGGAGAATGGCAGCGCGGAATAGTCTGTCGTCTCTTCCACCATGACCTAGTAGATGAGCACCAACGGACCACCCTCCTGCGCTACAGCCATATACACACGTGGAGCGAAGTGTGTGAGTATACTACTAGTGATCATACTGTCCAAGATGGCGACCCACAGACCTTTCTCCAAAAATTGTGACTTTAGCGGGATCGCCACCGAATGCAGCAATGTTTGTCTGGACCCAGTGTAGCGCAAGTCTCTGATCGTAGTAGCCGAGGTTCACGAGTCCTTTATCGACGAGGGTAGAGCTTGAGAGGAAGCCCAGGGAGTTAGTCCGGTAGTTGAAGGAAACGTAGATGACTGGGGTGTTGAGTTCCTGCGAAAAAAGAAGACAGATACATTGGTGAGCAACGTGGATACGAAAAACATCAATATAAGATATACCATGCTTCTTTGGACGAGAAAACTGCCGTTGTAGATATTCATGGCCTGTGGGATCATTAAGTTGTAAGGTATGTGGGCAGAGAGGCCTTACAACTGACCGAACCTCCACCAATCAGACCGCCCCTAAAAGAACAGTCAAGGACGAGCCTGTATGTTTTATATGTCGGAATGGAGAGGACATACCCGTAGATATTAAGCATGATGGGTAGAGCATAGCCCTTGCTTGTATAATTCGGACGTACGACGTTGATCGTGAGCTTCCGAACGCACAGCACCACCATACGCGATGCTTGTCAATCTCGTCGAGCGTATAAACTCGATGAAAGGTGCGATATGATGATACTCACACAATCCTCGTCCTGTGGTAAATCACTACCATCGGCAGATTGACCATACTTCGTCCAACATATACCCGAGTACTTGGTCGCGACGAACCCGTCTTCGCCAAAGGTACGATCGTATGGCAAAGGACGACGAAGACGAAGACGCCCAGTTGGAGGCTATGACGCGTCTATCGCTCAGTCGTTCATAGTTGCAAGAGCGTATTGACGTCGACAAAAATGGTATGAGACGCACCTGGGCAAACGGAATGCCGAGGAAGGCTTGCTGCCCGTAATCCGGTAAATCAAGTCCAACAACAGTCCCGTTCAGTATATTTACTCGGGGTGCACCTGGAGGTACGATGGGATTGTTGGGATATAAAGATTGGTTCTGGTGTGCTGTGAGAGTGATCCAACCTAGAGTAATAATCCAGGAGGAAAGGCTAGTGAACATTGCTCAGTTAGGTGGAGTATACACTCCCTGGGTGGGTGTTGGGAGGGCAGTGTAAGGACTGTCTGTTGCGTGAGCCACGCAAAGGTCATAATATACGCAGGGAGAGGGCGCAATGATGGTATTGGAGCAACAGATGGATGATGTATTCTTAAGACGGGTATTGTGTCAGATCAAGAGCTGTCGCCACTCAAAGCACGTTTTCTGTGTGGCCCACCTTCGCCTGTCCCGCATCTGTGCAAGGATGTTGGAGTGTATTTGGTGCAGTAAATGTGGACGTGTAGCTATTCCTATGTGTATGCACAATGCTATATACCTAACTAAAAGGCGTTGCCTACATGTATAAGGCTGAACGTGGGACACACGGCCATCTCCACAGAAATAAATTATCTGTAAAAGGGGTATGTTTTGCTTGTTGTCCCAGACTAACGAATAACTCATGGAACCAACGAAAGTGCTGTATGTATAATCGTTAGTTCATAATCACTAGGCTAGTACCTGCCCTAGCATCCTTCCGCCGACCCTTCCATCATACCGAAGCCTCTGCCCCCATCGCCTGCTCCCTAAACAACTCCTCGAACATCTCCGTACTCCCTCCGATTACCCCGAATGCATCCTGCGTCGTACGCCCAAGGTAATCCAGTTCTTTGGTGATGCTCTGCATAGTGAGTGCATACGCGAAAAACAGGAGCTGACGCGAGACTCGGATATCTCGGTTCTTGACGACGTCGAGTCGGCGTATGGCATTGACCTGAGAGAGAGCAGTAAGAACCAAAAAGTGAAGTGAGCGACAAGATCGATATATGGTGTGGTGAATGCAAGTGTGTGACGTACCAAATTCTGTCGGGCTTTCTCCGCTGGTGGAAGATATGGTGGAAGTGGTACCTTGAGTCTATATGCCGAAGACAAAGTCGAGAAATATAGTATGATATTCCCAACCATCTCTCTTCGCTCTTTGTTCACGGGTAATATGAAGTCACGTCGGACGCTCGTGTACCTGGGGAGACACAAATATCGACAAATCCACCCGAAAATGAGCTCTCGACTCCGACAAAGACACAAAAGAGAGCAAGGAGGTGAAGAAAGGTGGAAGAAGGGACACACCATTCCTCCCGCGTAGTCACACACCGCATGCTATGTAGATTATCCAGCATCTTTTGCAGGCTGGTCAAAATGGAGCGATATAACTGGGTAGGAAATGGCCCCTTCAGTCGCGGTTCGTGTTGCGTTTGCTTGAGCAGGTCTTGTAGCTCAAGAAGTTTGATCTGTAGATGGAGCTCCCTGAAGACCGTGCACATAACGTCGTAAGTACATCGGATATATCGAGCTCATGTCAGGACAAGAATACAGATAAATGAAAAGGGAGAACGCACATCGACATAAACTCTTCGATGGAGTTGCTCAGCGTGGTCTTTGGTTTCCTAGGGATAAGGCTGCTCTCTTCCGTCGGTTCGTCCTCATCAAAGCCCTCCTGTACAGCCTCCGGAGAGAACGAATTGGACGCAACCAGTCGTGTATATAGCCATCCGATGTTCAAACAAAATCTACAGAGAGCATAGCATGAAAGAAGAACGTGAGTACCGACAAAGTTCAACGATGATAGTAGGAAAACTCTTACTCTCCGAGAGCCTTGCTCAATTCTCTACGCGCTGTTGCCAAAATATGATGTCAGTCACAAGCAACCGAAAGAGGTGTGGTCGGGTGACACGATGTACCTTCCGATGGCCACCAGAATCTCGAAACCAAAAATGCCCACACAACACCGACCGTGACAGCCAACGACCTCCTAAACGCGATATCGACCACTGAGACGTCCTTCTGCCGTGTATTGTAACTACACATTCACCAAATATTAGCCAAACTCTAGCCAACTCGAGGCGTAGAATAATCCAACGCACCAATACAAACACGTCAGATTATACGTCAGCAGCACAAATCGCCCAGTAGTCGCGTACTGTGGCTGGGAGACGATGTAGTAAAAGCACGGCAGGGAGTAGAAGAACCCGAAAATGGAGAGGACGACGGCATTGTCGGGGAACAACGTGTATATGGAAGCGGCGGTGACGGCTCCAAATCTGTGTAGACTTGTAAATTTTGGAGGATTGGACGAGGGTATAATAGTGATGCCTACAGGGTTCCCAATACACGATGGATACTCAGGTAATTGGTCTGTCGAGGTGTGGATTGTATTCAGTTGGCAAGTTTATCCTCGCAAAGGACAGTCACTTACCGCTCCGATCGTAGGCGACATCACCACAAAAAACTGACAAGAGCCAGCTCCTTTCAGACCTTGTCCTCTCCAATCAGCCAAAAGCATCAACGCACCGAAATCAACGCCCACTCCAGCCTATACTCCACAAACCATGGCCTCGTCGTCGAGAAAAACGCTGGTGCCGCCAACATCGCAGTCGCCATCCCGGCCTTAACCGCATACTTAATATCCTTCCCTCTCATCCTGTCCCCAAGAGCCCACATGTACTGCTTCACACGACCGATACGGGATAGTTCGGATGCGGCGGGAGTCTGGATCGTGTTGGGGGCATGAGGCTTGATTTTTGGGAAGGAGGAAGTGATGTGAGTGGGTGTAGAGGGTCTAGTTATGTATGCAGCTGTAGTGATAGGATGAATAGTACATTATTAGGTTGCTTAGGATCGAGGAAGATGAACAGTGGGAGGTACGTCGATGTTGACAAAATGAAAGTACGCACAAATGCGACGTGTGAGTCCGGAGCGGGTCTGAGTATTGGTGCGGCCTCGAGTTCGAGGTAGTACAGTGGAGTGAAGATCTTTCTTCAAGCGTTTCTTCAACGATCGGAATATCATTTTGGGGATCCTCACGATCCACCACGGTTCAGATGCAGCTACACGCTCCGCAACATATATCCTGCCCATCGCATCGATGAGGGAGACGAGCTCACGGGCGAACTCCTGCAACGTGAAAATAAAGCTGTCGGCGAATCAAGTAAGCGTCCGTGCATTCATGGGTGGCGGAAGTGATAGAGTAAGGACAAGGACGGTGGCTATACGCACAAATAAACTAGGAATATATTCTCGTTCTCGCTCCCGACCGTTACTGGATTCTCGTCGTTCAACGAATAGATAGACCCACGCGAGTTGAGACCAGAAAAGCCGCCCCTATTATAAAGCCGCAGGACCGCATGATTCGATGTGCTCTCAAACGTGAACAACGCCCTCTCGATCGCGTCCGCGAGCTGTAGGAAGTCCGAGACTTCGACGTTATAGCCGGCGCGATGTCTGTGGGCAAAAGTCTCTCGTAGCCGCTTGATAGCATCCATGCACGTGTTCTGCGCAACAAGTCAACGAAATCGACATATCTAGCCTGCAAACATAGAGACATACCACAAGCGGCTTCAATGGCGGGCCAAGCTCCTCCACCAGATCTCCGAATACGGCCGCCGCAGCCTTCAACATCGTCTCCGCATCCGCATCCATCACATTCACCGAAACACCTTGATTTGCCTTCCCGTTGCCGTTCCCATTGTCCACCGCGTAGACTCCATTACCCTGGCTCGCACTGCTGGGTACCTTCCTACTCGCCTTCCGCTTCAATGTCCCCTTCCTGCCAACATTGACTCTCGTCTTCGTCAACTCATATTGCATACTAGTCCCACTCCTCAACCCACTGAGATGTTGCGCCAATCTCGTCAAACTGTCCACCGCGTCCTGGTACGCCTTTCCCGTCCCACTCCCAGGCACGCCCAAACTCCCCTCATTCGGCCCTCCAAACCACCCCTCACTCCTCGCCTCGCTCAAGTTCTTCTTCAAACTGGTGAACGAAGCCTGATGGTCCGCGACTGCTTTCTTGATTTTCTCTTGAGATGGATGGTGCAGAGGTTCTTCGAGGAGGAATGTGGATGTGAGGAGGTTGAGAAGGGTGGAGTAAGAGTCGAGTGTTTTTATCATGTTCGTTTGCAGATTTTGGGTGGCCGATTGGGGCCATATAATATAGCAAACTGCGTTCGAAACTATAGAGCCAATGACGACAATGAGCGCGACTTGGAGAAGCATGGGCAGGCCGCCTTCTTTCACGACGCTAGCAAGCACGGTTTCGATGAGTAACGATAGAGAATGGCAAGCTTGTTGAGCCTACTCACACGACGAAGAGGATGATGGCGAACATGCTGCAGGCTACAGAACAAACAGATTAGAACCAGTCTTTGAACATTTATGGAAGTAAAGTCAGACCTGTATTGAACGTCGGCTTCGCCATCCATATCTTCATCCACGCCACAGTTGACATTCCAAGCCCAATCCATACGATCACTAAAACATCGGCCAACCAGTCGAGAGCCTGGAATTGTTCCAGCCACTTGTACATGTTCATACTTCCCAGAGACACGAACCCCGCAAAAGCAAGTCCCATGAGACAGTACCGGTCGGCTTCAAGCATGCCACCTCTCGTCTTGGCTGGATTGTAGTACACGGCTCTACATGACACGATTCAGTCTGTGGGTTCATACCTTATAGCACGGCTGAAATTTCTTACACAGTCGCCACCATATGTCCAGAAGGAGAAGGATATCGGTTTTCAGCATTATTGGTAGCGAGTGCGGTGACGAGACCGGAGAGAAAGTCATTATACGTGAACAACGACGCCAGAAAATACGCGATGCTGCACTTCAAGATATTGCGGTAGAGCGTGGGTATGGTGGGAACTCTTGACCACGAATACCACGGCGGAGGTGTATCACCATTCCTTGACCGTAGGCTCCCAGAATCCGAGCTCGAAGACGACGAACTCCTACCATCCTCGGTCGACCCATCCTCTTCCTCTTCCTCATCGTCCTCCGTACGTTCCTCGTCATCCGAAGTCGAGTACGCGGGCGTGTCCGGATGCACAGAGTGCGGGAAATGTCTATCCAGTTCCGGATCAGAGACAGGTGACTGCAACACGGAGGGCGCAAAGTCCTCGTCATTGACCTCAGAAACGGCCGCAACGTGAGGCACCGAGCGAGAACTGGGGATCCTCCGACTCATCCGAGCCGAAGGATGTGATCGAAGACCTGGCCTAGCAGTAGCAGTAGAATCCGCCCTGTCCATGATCTGGCCAAAGACGGTCCATTCGGGCTGCTCTGGCGATGGCCCGGCATATCTCGAGAGCCTGCGAGTCAAGTTCACGAGTGTAGAGGCATTACCCTGGCGGTCTGCTCCTCTGTATGAAGACCGGAAACTGGTAGAATGTTCAGGTGGGCTGGAAATGTGGCGAGGCAGCGTGGGGCGACGTGTGTGGCGACTGTCGTTGTAGGTCGTGTGATCCGGGGTGGAGGGTGTCGAGGGAATACCTGGAGGAAGAATAATCCTAAGATTGTTTGGAGGAGACGAGACAAATGCTGAAGCCGAAGACGGCGTAGATGGGAAGGGCAGAGGCGAAGAGCGAGAAGTGGATGGTATGGATGGTTCATCGATGGTGAGCTCGTTCCGAGCCTGGTCGGGCGGCATCCTGTGTTGGTTGTCTTGTGGCGAGGCCACCTCAAGTTCCGAGCTTGGCTGTGCACAAACAAAGTGATGTGTGAACGGAATGTCAGTAAATTTTCCAAATTCGAACAACAATTGACGGACGGGGCACGGCTAGGCCCCACCGCACCTGTTTCCGCTGTCTCAATGTGCCCTAGATGACCCGAGCTATAGTCTTAGTTTCTCCGGACTCCTGAAGTCGTATTTCTGGATCCTTTTAGTATTCGTATGTTACCCTCAAGCACCAGAAACCTAGAGAGCATGCACAAGTAATACCCGAGTGTGGCCCTCGTCAACACAAAGTCGAGCCTGTTCAAGGCGCGTCGTCGTCCGGTGACGCTTCAGACCGTCGGCCGCCAAGTCTCCCACGCTTGACGGCATATTAATAGGTGCCTGTCAGCCGGGCTTCCAAAAGTAGAACCAGGCACTCATAAAAAAAAAGCTTGGAATCGGAGAAATCGCGCAAATCGTAAAAATCGATCGTCCTCATGCCATCAGACAAATACACTCAACAAAGGGGTCGACGTCGTCTATGAAATTCATTCCCCAGGACTTGGCAATGTGGCGAGGAGCTCGGGGGTGTCATGGTGTGGCGTCTGAGACTCTGAAGGCGGCAGTACATGCATCCATATGGTGAAGAGGAGCATGAAGCGATGTACGGATGGAGAGGTTGGCTGCCCATCTACTTACCGTCGTACCCTATAGCTAGTGTGCCCTGATCGTCCAGACTCGTAATATGCATGGAATGCAGGGTGTTCAGGGTAAAGGGTGGGTAGGAATCTGACGTGGGCCATGCCACACCGCCCATTGACAAGGCGATTGATGAGAAGCATTTCCTGCACTCCGATGCCGTTCGGGTTCATACCAAGTATGCATAGGTGCTCGCATTGAATCAGGACCGTGCACTCGTACACAAGTACTAATGCTAGCTCAGTTGAGATGTGACCTGTCCTCGAACTTTACCGGCTACATATGGAGGAAGGTGAGTATGCGTCGAGGCTGAGCAGCTGCAAAGCGGCAATTCCGACGTCGACTCGCTCGAGGGCCGGCGGGAGGCAGTTGCGTTTAGTCAAGCGAAGAGTTCAAGCGAGCGTACGCAGAGCAAACGCACACGGATGATGAAAGAGAGCAGTACTAATACTGCATTGCTAAGGATATCAAGGGTACTAGAAGTCAAGAAACAATTGAATGGTCCGACGGCTGTAACACACTGTCCATCACAGTAAACCGGTAACACTAACAGTAGCAGGCGAAAGTTCGAAACCACTCCGGCTAAGACAAAGAGTTCGGATGGGCCGTCAATCAAATAATCATCGAGCGCTGAACATTTCAGTCAACGTCAAAAGGAAGTGCAGAGTGGGTAGAATGGGTAGTACGATATATACGTATACAGTAATTGTTTGGGGGTTCATCGTCCGAAGGGTTAACCAGTGAAGGATGGCGATGGCGATGGCGATACACGAGGATACTATGTGACAGCAAACGAAAGCGAGTATGTAACTTGGAAGTGAAATAGAACTAAAGGGGGTGAGCAAAGAACGCGAAAGGACAATGAGACGATACAATGCAAGTAATGTAAGGTGAAGATCAACGGATAAAGGTAAGGGCCACCGAGGGCCAAGGAGTCCGATCGAGAACAAAGTTCGAAGGCGAAGGAGCAGGGGGTAACAGCGGCATGGAGGAGCATCGCTAGGTAAAAGTAACAAAGTATAGTAAAAGAAGGTGTAAGAGTAAGAAGTAGTAATAATGCGAAATAAGTGGTAACGATGATGATGATAGACGATAGGTAGAAGTCCGTACTGCGATAAATATCGTAAGGCTTCGGATTGGATGAATAGTAACCGATAATGTCCAACAGAGTCCCAATGTCCGACGCCATTTGAATCCGTAAAAGAAAAAGGAAAAAGTTCGAGCAACAAAGAAGTCCACGGTGCAGCAATCAAGCGTAGCATCAAGCAGAGGACGAAAGGATAAAGCGGATAGCCAACGTCAAAGTCTGATCAAAGGGGACGTAGGGGCAAAGTCCAGGCCGTAAAGACAGAGCGTGAAGCATGAAGCATGAAAGAGCGTGAAATCGTGGGATATGGATACACAGGGTAGTCCGACTTGACCAAAGTCAAGTCAAAAGAAGTCCAATGCGATTCGATTCGATTGTCGTTTGGGTAATAGAAGGTGGAGTCCATGGTCCGAGAAGTAGGAATAAAGAATAATAGTCCGAACAGGATAATATAAGGGGTAGTCCGTGGCGCAAGCCGTTAAAGAAGAGTCGGAGGCCAAGTACGGCGGCGTGCGTAACGTACGATGGAATGGAGGTTGAATCGGATGCCAATCGTTTTCGTTCTCGTCACTTGCTTTTTTCGTTTCCTTTGTAGGTTTCATATCCTTGTGGCGTCGATGAGGAGAGACGTAGATGGGGGAACGATCATAAGGCACCGAGCGCTGTTTGGATGTTCGTAGCCTGGAAACCTAATGTATAGGGAAGGGATAGACAATTATGATGGATGGGGAGAGATAAGGTATTCTACTGAGTTTCGATCTTGACATTCAACAGACGGCGAACGAATTCACCTAGCAACGGGAACCTCACGCTCAGTTTTGTCAGAGCGGCGACGAGCGTGCCTACTTGAGCACGAAGCTCAAGAGAACTGACGGCTGACCATGCCTCTAATCTAGTGATCTCTCGGACGAGGACATTTGCCGCGGAGCCCCAACAAGACTATACCATTTCGAAACGAAAAGAGGAAGAGACAGCTCATCAGCGTCAGAGGTTCATCAAGGACAGGAGATGTGTGATTCTAGGAGAAAAGGCTTACACCGATGATAGGATCCAAAAAGTCGTAGTCGGAATCTCCTATATGCCGAATGATGAACAGGCATGTTCGTGCGGCGCGCATGCACTTCTCGTGCCGAAGATGGTCGTCCTCTCCTGATCGATAATGTAGACGGATGATAGCGGCTTGCACGAGAGTGTGCACTACGATGAGCGAATGCTTGTCCGCGGGGAGGGTTCCGTGCAGTTGCTGGACCGGAAGCAGACTGTTGCTGAAGCGTACGATGGCATTCTCGAATGTCTGAGTCTCCTCGTCGTTGGTAACTGTTACAGCATGAATGTTGAGTCTGCGCCCAAAATTAGACTCCGTCGTGACTCACCGGCTGGCCACATGGAAGCGATTCGGAAAGCTCGCTCAAATAGCGCAGAAGCCTTGGCCCGTAATGCGAAACTCGAGAATCCACCGGCAAAGTTGTTGACCTGGCTTTGATGTGCGAGGAACATCTGAACGGTCGAGAAGTCGGCTAGAACGTTGAAATTCTCCTGAAACAAGAAGTCAGCCAAGAGTAAACGTAGCACTGCAGCAGTGCATGACGAGCGACTCACTGCCTCGTATTCCTCAATATCCTGTGGCCACGGTACGGTGATGGCAGAAATGATATCGTTTGCGTCGGAGATCGTAGGAGGGCGCTGGAGCACGACAGACCAGCACCGATCGAGAATGTAGATCTGCCAGAATGCAAGTATGCGTTCGCCACGCTCAATCGAGTCTTGAGGAGGCGGAAGCGTAAATGGCGAATCCAGAAATCCTGCCGACATGAGCTCCTCGGAGACCTGTCGATGTAGACCCCACTGAAGCGCCAGACTGGCCGCGGTGCTAGCCGCCATGCCACCCTCGACAAGCCGACCGGTTGTGAGAAGGTAAAGCGACAGAAGACAGCTGCCTTGGATGACATCGACGACCTTCGGGCTTCCCGTTGCGATCGCTAGTCGGACGGCCTCGGTGGCGCGTTCCAAGTACAAGGCCTCGTGTTGTCCGAACGATTGGGCACGAGAAAGGTAGCACGCCCAAAGGAAGATGGCGTTCATAAGCGCTGGGTGGCGTTGGTCCTCGAGTGGTAGATGTAGCGAATTCCTGAGACGGTCTTCGTGTACCTGCAAGCCGACCTGGTGTCGGTGTGGCATGAAGATATCCAAGCTGAAAATACATGAGTGATACGAAATCTGGAGGAGGGCGTAGGATGCGTACAACGACTCAGCAAGCTCTATCGATATACCCGAGGCAAACGGCTCCGGCGAGTGCGACCCCTGGAAGCGCTGTGAATAAGTGGTTGTCGAGCAGCAGAGCCAGGGAGGACTGACAGTGCTCGGCTCCCAGGGGAGTGGGGGAGTCGGGATAGGAGATACACCCTCTGAATTGGGAAGAGAATAAGGATTTACACAGCCTCGTGGCAGATAGGGAGTCAAGGCGTACCAAAGGTGCCATAGGGCGAATGTGAGGTCGAGAACGGGATACTTGACGGAGACTCGGCGGCACTGGATGAGGAAGATTCGGGTTCGGAGAAGACCAAGGCATGAGGGTCGAATAGCTGGACGGACGTCAAACTCCTATCTGGATCTTCGAGCTCGCGGACACGGGACTCGAGACGGGCAATGGTCTCCCTCAGGATCTGCGTCCTGGTCTTGCCCTTGCCGTCGTCATACTCGCACATATCGCCCTTCTTTGCCCGTTGACACTGCTGGCACGCAGGCTTCGTTCCATCGCACCTCTAGGAACAGGTACTGTCAGCACAAATGCGGACGACTGTGCCGGGCTGAGAAGACCGCACCATTTTCCTTTTCCTGTCAGGAGGTGGGGTAAGCGGCTGGGAGGTATAAAAGGACAAGGGCTCGACGGACCTGCATCGCAAACAAGCTTTCCCTCTCTGAAGCGCAGGACCTGCATGTCGACTGGACGCGGAGACTGATTCTTCTGCCATTAGCTTAGCGGGGGATAATAATAGAATAGCCAGGAGGGCGAGGAGGGCGGAAGTAAGAATGTGGATGAGGGATGGCAATGGGCGGAAGAAAGGAAAAGAAAGAGGCCCCGAGGGGAAGAGAAAGGGAAATGGAGCCAGCGGGGGCGACGGGATGGACGAGGGTGAGGGATCAGCAAGACATGGTCGGGTCTGTTGATAAATAGGCAGCCATGTCGAGAACGGCGAGCAGATTCGGATCGCTAAGCCTGCATCGCCACCTTGCAGTACGAATGGATCAACACATTCCATCATGCCCATAATCAGCTGGCATCTCTCCGGCACCATGGCGGCGCTTGCAGCCCACGGACCTCATCCTCCCCTGGCGTTCCCGACATCCACCCCGCTCAACCGGCCCTCCTCGATTGCCTCACAATGGCTGTCCCCCATGTGCCACCCGCCGGAGTCCGTCTCGACGGCGTCCGTTCCAGTTTCACCCCTGCCGTCCCCCACAACTCATTACCTTCAGCGCATCTTCACCTCACAAAACGACACACACGGCCACTAGACGCCTTCGTGAGAGCTCCGAGACGCGTAACGCGAGGCGACGCGTGCTGCCCACAGACGCGCTCTCTTGGCGGCAATAGGCTTTTTGGGATCAGCCTGGCACTTCCCGCTCGGCCCGCCCACATCGGATACCTCGCCAAGCCTCGATGTCATCCGACAACATCCGGCCGTCCAGCGTCTCTTTTCCTTCAAAGCTTCAGCCGTTCATGTCGTCTTCGTTTTCGAGCTCACGCAGGTTTCACCAGATCGCGCTCGAGCCTGCGCCTCGTCACAATCAGTCTCTATATCCGTCACGTCCAGGATCGTGAACATTGCTACCGTCTTCGGTTAACAGCGTTCATCTCATCCTGCTCAGGCTTTTGAGCGATCAAGATTTCTCGTCGATCTAACTGCCTTCGCCTGGTGCGACGGAAAGCTTGGCACGAAACTCGTCGGCGCGCAAAAGTCCGAGAGAAACAAGGCCCTCCACCCCAGGGACCGTCGCGGTCCGTTTTGGGACTCCGGCGTCTGAATCAGTATCTCGAATTCGAGTAAGGTTTGCATCCACATCGATACGTAGTTTACATATTGTCGCTGACGACCGGCATGGCGTTGGACCTGACTATAAGTCATGTAGTGACTCCGTGAGGCAATTTAATTGTCGTGGGTTCAGCATTTAATTTCCTACCAGTTCCGACCGATTGAGCCACCACCACCTTGTTCTACTACTCACAGGAGCTCCGAAAAAATACTCTATTGTTGTCGGGTGGCACAAGACGTGAGACTCTCTTCAACAAAGTCCCGACACTATCAGGCTATGCCGGAATCCCAAATACAACAGAAGTCGCGGTGACCGAATCCGCCAAAAACAAAGTCACTAAGTATCAACTTACCCATTCGTGGGCGACTATTTCCCAGCGCGCCGTACATAACACTCTGATCTTGATTGATGGATAGACCACGATTGAGGTAGACGACACGCAATATCCCCGCAAGCGACGAAGAAGCAGACAATGTGACTTTTGATGAGGCGTCTAAGATCGCTGTCCGGGTCATCCGTGACTCGCACCACTCCGAAATGCGAGCGACCCATTCCCCAAATCCGTAGGATCCCTTTGTTGAAAGCTTTCTAAGGATAGAAAGGCGCCATGGGAGCCTACGTGCGAGTCTGATGGTGGAACGCAGCGAGCAGCATTCCCGGAGCCGTAACGTTGCAGCCACAAATATGCATCCTAAACACCAGCGCTCGTGGCGATGACTCAACGAAACCAATATAAAACATTGCGCGTCCTCACAAGATAGGAATTCAACGACCATACCCTCTGCTGAATTGACGCAGACAGGAACGTGGATTGCTAACGATCGTGTATTCAATGACATAGAGTTTAACTCCTCGCAATTACGCCTTCCGCTCGTAAGTCCATAACCTCCGTACTCTGACATCGAGTCTTTAAGAGGCAGGGTCGTTCCTCCGAGGCAAAGCTCCATTGATGGCACCATCATCGTCGTCGCGGTACGATTCGCCGAAGTCCATGGGGTATAGCGGTGACCTCTCTGGGTCCATATCATCGTTAAACTGCGGAAGGATCGGGTCATCTTCTTCATTCTTGACTCGGGGGCCGTACGGACGGTGAGAGAATTCGGAGGCGAGGGAGGGATAATATTGTCTGTAGGAGAAGTACGCAGTGGCGAGTCCGAGAGCGGAGCCAACGACGATGTCGTGCCAATGGTCTGCAACCGGATTTGAGCACGACGGAGGCTAGTAGATTGGGAAGATAGGACGCTACTCACGGCGGTAGTCCATTGTGCGCGATATAGCAACGAGAGCAGCGCCTGCCAGGGGTGTTAAGGCTAGCCACGCCTTCGGCTACGTAACAGACGAGCTAGTTAGCATAGTAGTTCCCGGATTATTATTAGTACACATACAGCATGTCCTCGCGCGTCGAAAAGGTGGAGCTTGCCAGCCAGGTACAACGTAAGAAATCCTAGGCCGGCAAAAGACACTAGATATCACAGAAGCATTAGAGTCGTGTTAATATGAAAACGCTAGGGTGACCTGACTCGATGAATGGCCGCTGGGGAAGCTCCTGAAGCCATCTTCAAGCATCAGAGCGTTCTCTTGATGACAGACATCGACGGAGACGAGCCCGAGTGGAGGGTTAACGGTGGTTGGGTCGGGATTGCATCGTGCGATGAGGTCTATAAATTACTCTGTTAGCTATGGATGCAATCACCGGTGAAATGGAACGTACCAGGACGCGGACGGCCAACGGTTATCTTTGTGAACTGGGTGATTACGCCGGCGAGAGAAAAAGAGAGAAACACTGCGACAGAAGTCAACGCGCCACAGGTCAGACCATATAAGGCGGCTCGAAATAAAAGAAGTAGGCACTTACCTCCGAGAGTGCTGTTGTGCGCGTCCCACCAAGAACGTATGGTGATAAAGTTGAGGATCCACTGCAGCACGATAGGGGCTATCAGAGCGATCACGAACAAGGCCTCGGGCGGCACACGCTCATGCTCTGTGAACCTTGTAGCAAAACATCAGAAGATGTCAACATGATTTCGTATTCGTGAAGGGCTCACGGATGATGTAAACTTTGGGCATCCCGCTCTCCGTCAACCTTGACGGCTCTGAATGAGGTCAAGTCTGGAAAGCTCACGATTCGTCGTTGATGGAGAACACTCTTTTGAATCCATGGATGTTGTTCAGGGAAAAGAAGACAACCCTGCATATGTGCCGGAAGATAGCGTGAGAGGGCGTTGGACGGGCAGTGTGGAAACATAAGCACTCCGCACGACTCGAACTCACAGAATGACTATTGTGATGATCCTGTTGCTCACTGTCAGATACTTCCAAAGAACTTTCCATTCATTTAGCTGTAATCTCACCAGTCTGGTGCATAAGATACGAGCAGCCTTCGTCGCCTTGTGCCAATTGTCGAGTTCAGTTTGCGTCCCGGATATTTGATCGCTTGAACATGTTGGTTTAGTACGTGGTTGAAATTAGTCATGATCGAAGGCCTGGGTTACAAGGTTCTTCTTCAGTTAGATTATTCTCCTATATCACGAAGTACACATTGAAACATACCGTTATCCTGGAGGACACTGGCTTGACTTGGCTAACAGGGGGTAGTACAAGGACAAGAGAGAAGTTGGTGTACCGCCAATGTTCTGGTCGGTGACGACATCGTCGATCATCAACTTTCCCGGCAACTTCCGGGGCGCTGGTGCCACGCTGCAAGCGAACGTACTGCGTAAGTATTTGCCACCTTCATCCTTCTTAGTCCTTCCGGCCACTTCCTTTTTGGTGTTTATTCTGCTAATATCAGTCGTCAAGCCTTTGGACCGATTTCAGCCATTCCGCCAGGCAGCCACGCGATTCTAGACTGTCTATAGGAGACGGTGATTTCAGAAGTTTCTGGAGTCTATTGCGAATAAACGAGTCTGGACCCTCCCCAAGCATCCCCCTTTCAAGCCTCTTTCTGGAGGTAGAAAAAGCCAAAGTTATTTGTGTCGATAAACAACCATCTCATGATTCTACATGTTTTTCCTTGCATACAGGCAGCTTACAGTGTCCTCCACGTGTCCGCAGTACGCACTCCTGCCTTTAGGGTAAAAATATGACGGTAACAAGAAGATCACGCTTCCGCGACTTCCTCCGAAATTCTCGAGAACTCCGGACTCAAGAAAGCTGCTATGAAGCCTCCTAATCTGTTCGAAGACAAAAAAAAACTCCTATTAGCATGGTGCATAGCCCCCGAGTCCCAATTAGGTCTCGCTCCCTTGGGGATGCACCCCAGAGAGTTCCCCGTAGGTATCGTCCGCGCTCCGTCGTCGGTAAAGGCCTAGTTTTCTAAGTCTGTGCGTTTTTTGACTTGCTGCATCCAGTCGCCTACCGTCGAGCTTACTGTATTCTTTGATGGAGGCTATCCTCCCATATACTCTGTGTGCATCGTATCGTAGTAACCGGAGCCGCCGGTAAACATGCTTCCATGGGCATACTGGTTTTCAGAATCTTGGCGGTTTGCGGTCCAGGTGAGTCTCAACCCTCTCACGAATGTTTATTCTTCGCTTCCGTGGCCCCATACCACACGGTCTGTTTCATACTGCAGTATGACTCACTAGGCCCGCTTGTGGAGGTTCTGACTGCTGTGCTCAATGGTGCTGTTCCAAGTCAGTGCTCGCTAGCCTCCCTACGTCCGAGCCGACGTGATTGGGAGGGTGGTCTGGTCACCGCAAGGGTGTTTAGAGTGTACGTGAACGTGTCATACCACCTTATTCTGCTCCGTCCTTTCGCAGTTTGACCAATTTGTGTGGGTGCTGCTGTGTGCTACTCCATCGAGCTCATCAGAGATGCTCGAAATGAGCACGGCGATCTTGCTTGCTTCTCCTTCGACGGAGATCAGATAGAGACCCGTCCCTCGGAGCTTCCAGCTGGTTCTCTCCGACATGTACAAGGCCCTAGATCGTTACCCGATTGAACCATCGTTGTTCGCGCGTGTATGATCCTACCACTATCCGATAAATTTTAGCTTACGGTTGGGCATGATCGAGTAGGCCAGACCTAGTCACTGTCAGGCCTGCGCGTGTTTGCAGCCCTATGTTATGACTTCGGGTTTACCACGGCTCGCATGTATACAGGCTTGTTATACGACTTGGCCTAATAATAGGCATCGTCCTCAACAGGGTTTGCTTATCTGGCCCAAATCACGGATGATAACCCTGGATAATTATGCCGTTCTGTGCACCCCAATGGACCTGTCGGCGGCCTAGATCTATAAACTCGAAGTATATCTGTATGTTTTGTTTTTTTTGTTTCGCTTACCGGATTGGGGCCGAGGCGTCTGCGGCATTCCGGTGATATCACTCAGGGTATCCTCCAGATTCTCGACGGGTCCCGTACAAGTATCTACCTGTCCACGAAGGTGTTTGTTCTTTAGTTTTATTTTGGATGAGACGAAACGATAAACATACCAGTCGCCAATGAGCGCTGAGCACCAGCTGTTCTGTGATTCTCTCATGTTCTGGTGCGTCAGAGCCTAGGCTACGGTAATCGCTATTTTCTGAGTCTCTTCTCAAACCAAATAAGTGCTCCGGTTGGGCCTATGGTGCCACCATGAGTCCTTCGCTCCGAGTCTTCAGGCTACTATATCAAGAGTGAACGTGTTCCATGATGTCTCAGACTTGCGTCTCATATGGCAAGTCGGTGTAACCTATACTTCCTCCAACCGAGTCTGTGTAAGGTGATGCTTCGTCAGGATGTCTTTACAAAAGCACACCATCCAACCTTTCCGCGACATAGGGTTTGTCATTCGAATGTTTCACTATGATTCAGCTTCGTGAGATGTCAGCGGACGCTCTGTTACACTTGGTTTGTGAATTATCCCTCACTTTCGGGCATATGCAACGGTGCCCGACGCTATAGTGCCCTACCTGCTTCTAACACCGTCGTGAATACCACTCGTGTTCCCTTGAATGGTAAGCCTCAGCATTCTCTGGCCATATAACACAAGAACCAACATGCAAAGCGTTGTATCACATTGCAGTGGCTAGTGCCACACTTGCAGAACCATCTCCCCATAAGGTTGCCAATTCGGTAAGGTAAGGAATGTGGCGACCTCGCCTGACACACACCTCTTCTCTACCAATCAATATATATAAGGATACCGACGCATGCCCTTCTTCTTGACAAAACATCGAAACAAACTGTACAGTAACATTCACCCTCCAGTCGCCGGTAAGTACAAATGCCGGAAAAGATTCCTTTCAGTCGGATGAGCCGCATCCGAGTCGGGAGTAAGTACCATCAGTCCGAAGCACCACAATCCTTCGCGCAAACATAACACCGTCCACAGAAATACCGTCATTTGCCACAAAACAGTCTGCCAACCCATGGAAAACGATGAGGCAGTGCAATATGTTGTGTTGTTAACATGATGCTGAAAAGCTCTTCCCCTCGTCACCACTCCCATGTGGTGCCCAGCAGCAACGATTCCACCTCCGGCGGCAAGTCCGAATTAAACGACAATCCTAATCCTATATCCGCCCTTCGTCGTCCTTAAGCGAGCTCGATCCCAATGCGGTACGTATGACGAGCGTGCCAAGATGAACCCTCGACGGATCGTTCGGTCCTCCGAGTCTCCGAGCCTCCGATATCCGTCAATCTTTAACCCCGCCACCGACCAGATCATCTGGTAAATTGAGTGATGGTTGGCGACGAAGCGGTCGGATGCGACACAGAGTACGATCAGGGATAAACAGAACCGAACGCGACCCCGCATTATTGCTCGAAGCCATGCGACGCGACGCGACGCATGGAAGTTGGAAGCGCGAAGCTTCGAAGTCATGAAAATTCATAAAAGAGCCTTCGCGTGGGGAGAACGAGGCGGATACCGAACTGTTGATGAACAGATGCAGAGGATGATCTATCCCGATTTCGCTGACGTTAGGCTACAGCCTTGAGGTACAGAAGCACTCGCACGCGTGGGCGTGAGGGTATGGAATAGGCGCCGTTGCCGACAAGTCCCTGCAGGCGGCCAGACCATGCAATGTCGAGTCAGGCATTGGGTCCGGCGGACGACAGTGGACGACACACCATGGACATTGAGATCGGGTAGGCTAGGGTGGATTCGAGTAGATAGAGTCACCGGTAGGAAGTTCAGAGTCAAGCAGAAATAGATGAGAGTTTAGAAGGTTCGAGGACACGAGTCAGAAGTCTGAGACAGCAAGAGATGTGAAGAGAGCGGGAAGATGAAGATGCACTCTGCTGGCGAGACGCGCCGAGATGCAAGGTGACGCAGACAAAGTGACATTTGTGAGAGAATAGATCGTCCCACCTAGCTAGAGAGAGAGAGAATGGGAAGAAAGTACGTTTCAGCTTGAGCGCAAGATCAGTGATCTGTATGGATGCTTCTCGTGTTGACTAGCCCGAGTCACCTCCAGCTTGTGGCTGAAGAATGAAATGATGCAGACACAAAGTCCCGGTAGGCCCCGGCATCGGCGGAGGTAGAAAACGTAAAAGACAAAGATACCATTTCACGACACGCCCGACGCACCTTGCACACACGATCGTCTGAATAAAAAGATGGCATATTTGACGCTCAAGAAAGCAGCTGTGGTCGAGAGTACGAGCATGCGGATGTCGAGCTGGCAGTTGTATCTTCGGTAGTGAACTTCTTCGTATTTGAACCGAGTCCGAATGGTGATATCGTACACTGATGATGCATGGGAAAGCGACGAGATATACCTGTGTACTAGCATCTGCGCCAAAGCTTTATCGAAGATCCGAACAAAATATCAGCCTCGTTGCAGCCACAATACGAAGGACACGGTATGATATACACTCACCCGACAGACAAGAATCCTGCCCACCCCTCATAACCCATGAGAATGTGCCTTGAGAATGTGCCAGGCACAATGTCTTTGGCGCTACCGAGGGCAGCGGAGGCGCAACTGCCTCATTTCTTTCTGGTCTGGCCTATACGAGGCAGAATCGAGAGTTCAATTGCAGTGTAGTGTGAAGAGTCGTTGTGTGGGGTCACGGGCGTTACAGACAAGCTGAGGAGCAGTATAAGGAATCGACATACCCTCACTATCACCGCCTCGAAGGGCGTTTTTCCCTGGCACTTCTTTAAGGCCGCCTATTCATAGCCATGGACCACCACGACGCAGATACACGTCGAAGCAAGGGGTCGAAGGGGCGGCAGGGATGTCAATTATGAAGTCGGGATGGTACTGACGAACAGAAGAAGACGTACCACCGATGTCTGAAAATGCTAGCGGACCGATAGCCTCTGCAGCACTCGCGCCCCAGCGCTTATGATATTGTCCTACATGTGTGGTGCACATATGACGGGAGTTGGAGAGCAAATGTAATGGCAAACCAGGAGGAAGAGAGAGTAAGTCGGTGCAGGATATCGAGCATCGAGAGGTCATAGACACAGACCAGTATCATCAGCTGCGATGGCGTCGGCAGCGCTGGATCCCCAGGCTTTGCTATTAATGACTGTTATATGCCAAGAGAGAAGATGTCGTGGACACATGTTTCAGCAAGGGCAGAAAGGTTGCAAGACAGGCCTGGAGATACCCCTTTGCTTTTCAGCGAGAAGTTTGTCCTGGTTCTGGCTCATGGTGATCTATGAGGTGCGATAGAAAGCAAGCTAAGAAGTATGAGAGACGAATTGAGCGATAGGCATCATTAGTGACTATATGAGGAGGGCCGACTGCGAGAAGTTAGAGTTGCTGCTCGATGACGATTGTGTGGGGAACAACAGCCTGTTGAAGTAAATGTGGCGCATACTTCACCAAAGAAGATATCAGAAAAGGCAGCAAGAGGTGATCCAGACCAGTCCCATAGTGCATTGCGTCACTCCTTACGCAGATAGGGAACGATGTGAGTCTCAGGGTGATGACAACAGTGTTCCTCTACGTGCAGCGTTGCTGCTCAGCAACATTTGAGTAGTCGTTCTCTAGTACTCCAGAAATTCGTATCGAGAATGGTTCGTAAACAGCGTTCAACAGCATCCACAGATGTTCGAGGAGAATATTTAGAGAAAGGTGTAGAATAATTCACGAAAGGTGACATGGTGGCGAGAGAGAAGAGGCGCTGAGGAGCAAGTTCGCATTCGTGGCAACGGCGCCCAGGCACGACGCGCCACACTGCATAACTCAACCCCAACCGTAACGCCAGACGTCATCGACTCCATCTCCAGAAAACGGCCTTTTGAGCTCTACAAGCATGATGAACAAGTACATCTTCCCTCTGTCTCCTCCACCATCACCACCACCATCTTGCTTTCTCTCAGCACCGTACCTGATCACTGCTAGCCATCGTCTTCCACAATGAGCTCACCTCAACCACAAGCTCAGCGTCAGCTATCGCGTCGCCGTGATGCTCGCAGCCCTTCAATAGATTCCTCGGCATCGCAGTCTCCAGCACCGAACCGTCGTAGACGCAGGGGCGGTCAGAACAGGCAGTTTGCCCCGAATGCGGACGGTCTGCAAGGCCCGATGGGTACGTGGGACGTCGACGACATATATTTTGTCGTTGGAGGATTTTGACGCTAACTGTTTCTGCTATTCGTATAGGTGGGCCAGAAAGGGCACCACAACAGAACAATGCGAATGCTCCTGCTGCCCCCCCTAAGGAAGACAGCAAGGGAAAGGATGAATCTCTCAAGCTACGGTTGGACCTCAACTTGTACGTTTCCACTCTTTATCTGTCCCTCGATATGTCCGACTCATCACCGGTGTTCGTGCTCAGGGATGTTTGGGTCGAGCTGAAAGCTAAAGTTCACGGAGATGTTACGCTTTCGCTATTGTGAGTGCTATCTTTTTTCTGCAGCCGCTGTTCGCGTCTGTTCGCGTCTGATACTGATCACCGTCAGGCAGGGATAAAAGCTAAATGACTTCGCTATGTTGCAGTACTCCGAAGTCATGAACACTGCATCAACCAACCGATACCTTACATATCCCCCATTAGTTTTGCCATTCTCTGTAGGTGGAGAGAGAGGTCTTGTCGGATTCTTCTTGCTCTTCATTATGATTGTATTCGTGACGGACGTTCTCTTCGTTGACTTAATGCTTTATATCGCGCTTTCCTCCTTTTCGCCCTTTCTTGTACTTTTACTTGTGGACCTCTACTAGTACTACGATGCAATACCAAGCCTCGTAATGACCTCTTGGTTGGTTCTTGAAGCTATATTTCGCGGAAACGAACTGGAACTCGAACGCCACACGGCCAACGTGATCTTGTGCCACAGTGCCACAATCATGTGACGCTCGTTGCTTACGTCAACTGACGTTTAATCGTTGCGGTGAGGGACCAATTCGTGCCACTGACCGTCATCCTCCTCATTCTCCGACTCTGCCATTGACGGCGCTGAGACAGTCTAAAACGTGCTGTCGACACCCTCAGTGCTATGGAGCGAAGTCCTTCTGAACAAGAGCGAGAGATTAGGAATCTTATTCACCGAGCAGAACGCGTGCCAGTACAGACGAGCGCTCTGGTGTGTTCTCTTTCCGTCTATGCTTGAGGTCATAGCAATAACTAACCACCGTATGCAGAGAAAAGATGCTTTGAAGAAATTGATTGAGCTTTCAAGGTCCCCTCACCAATCTCTGAAGAAACTTGCTGCCTCAAATATCACGAAGTTCTTCAAACCTTTTCCCGATCTTGAGGAGGATGCAATCAACGCGATTTACGACCTGTGCGAGGATCAAGATTCTAAGGTCAAATCAATCTCGATTCGTCCTTCATGCATCTGATTGTGTCTGTGCAGGTTCGAATAGATGGCTATAAAGCCATCGTACAGATGTCGAAGGAACAACCGAAGTGGGTAAAACGGAATGCTGATGTGCTGGCCCAACTTCTTCAGAGTGGTGAGTTCTTCGATTTTGAATGGTGTATAACAAGTGCATCTGGGCGTTCTTTGAGCACGATATATGCTCCCTTTAGATGAACCGGATGAAGTCACCGTCGTCAAAAAGGCCCTGGCGGAACACTTGGACATGGACTCTAAGATCACGTTGGGCGTTCTGTGCGATCAGATAGTGCCGATTGAAGAGCCCGTGGATCCAGAGGACAAAGCAACGCGAGATAGGCTCCGAACACTTGTCCTTGCTTTCATTGCTGGAGAAGCGAAACGTGCTATCGTCGAGCGACATGCCAGTCAAGCTGGCAGCGAGCAGGAACAATTGATCATCACCGGGTTATTCAAGGTCATGAGGTTCGTTACTGATGTTTAAACGCGAAAGGCTCATATGGTTTGCTCCAGACACTCTCCGACCCAGGCTCCGCCTCTGATGCTCCAAGAATCGTGACCGATATTCTTCTCCACTTACCCTCCTTCAAAGGCCGTTATGTTCTGCGTGGCGCCGAGCTTCTACAGATTCTGCTTGACCAGGCAGAGTACTCGTTGAAGGAAGACATGACCTCTGGGAACAAAACCGTGGACCTGGCTTTGACTCGTTCCTTCCTGGACTTGGCAGCTGTGATTTCCGTTGAGAACAGTGTAGCTAATCCTATGCCGCTTCTTCGCTACTACTGTTCGTCTCTTCTTGTCAAGGACGTCCTTCAACGTCTTGCCCCCGTCGCGCAGTCATTTGTGGCCGTTCATCTGGCAGAAGCCCTGGCAGCTTGCAGTCGATTTCTCCAGCCCGGTTCTGCTGAGACAGAATTACTATCTTCGCTGCGCACGCAAGTCGTCGACGGCTTGTCGCTGCTTCTATCTGTAGGTTTTTTGCCATATACCCTCGTTGCGGCCTTTGTTTAAAGCATGTCTTTTCCTAGTATATCTCACAGACCAAGCCGACTGATCCTCGTGAATGGCGAGCATGCGAGACACTCGTTCTTGCTGTTCAACAGGTTCGTTTCTTCCACCAAGGCTCACAATTATCGCTATACCTTTCTTTCCATTCAGCGCCAGCGCAATACTTCATGGGTTCCCCCACCAGACCTGATTCGGACCTTGGACGGTGTGAATAGCGTTGCTCAACAAATGCAGCAGAAGCCAGCTTTGCGAGTCGCAGAGCTCATCAAGGTTTGCGATCACGCCCTCCTCTGCTCTTCCGACGACAGTCTTATGATCACATCTCTTGAGCAGCCTCTTCTTCCGCCTCGTGCTCCTACCCCTCCAGCACCAGCACCACGGGTGGCGCCTCCGGTTACTAATGACCCTCCTAAAGCCATAGCGTCCAACAGACCGTCTTCAGTCCCCAGCAAACGCAAGGCAGGGAATTCGCCGCCATCAACGGTTCCTCCGTCTTCGTCAGCTCCTATGCCAATTCGCCCTGAAGTAGCACAATCCATCTCAATCCGCGGTGCACATCAACGACAGAGCCCAGGTGCTCTTCGGCCAGGTTTAGCAGATCGACAACGGTCCCGATCGCTCACATCCCTGAGTACAGTAACAACAGCAGCAGGCTCGTCAGAGCAGCCGTCCAAGCGTCCGAGAAGAGATGAAGGCGGTGACGTGTCAAGAGGATCTTCAAGTTTATTGAATCGCTTGATCCCGAAGACAGCAGGAAACGGTTCGGGCCCTTCATCTTTGCCTTCAAAGCCTATCACAAGCAACAGGGCACGGAGGGATGTGCGACCGCCTGAGAAAGCACCGAGTCCTGCGCTTGGATTGTCCATCAAGGGGGCTGCAAGGGCCGCGGAGACACCACCCGCTTTACCGCATAGACCGTCGTCATTACTGGATAGGATCAAAGAGCGGGATTTGGGAGAGAGAATGGATGAGAGCCATTATGGACCAGGGGCGAGCAAGAAGAGCAAGCGGAGAGGGAGGCCATAGGTACCTTGCAATCTATGAGATCTTTCCGTGCGCCTCTGTTCTAACCATGTGTTCTCGACTGTTTGCAGCATACCAATACATCACTGCGATCCTTTTCATGTTTTCTTATCTCACGGTCAGCGGCCATGGTAGGATCTTTCCCACTTGGGCGTGGCCAACAGGCAATAGGTTCTCACCCTCATGAGAACCTCACTCCGTCGAATAAATTCAAGCCTTCTCAGTGCTGGCAATCTTTCGCTGTCTGTGACGAGTCTTATGTATGCTTGGTGGAGCGTCTGTGCATTTAAGAGGGAGCTCGCGTTGGAGAGCTCCTTTTCGCTGTCGAATGTGTCCACTTGATACCCTATCATGAAGGTGACTCTGCTGCTCTGCCTCCTTTCCCTTGTATATGCCTCAGTGGCGGATGAGTATGACATTATTCAATCTGTAAGTTGTTTTGTCGTTGCAACTGTATGTCCAGACTCCACGAGGGCTCAATTCGTGTACCAGGAAGACGATGAGACTGCACCTTCCGGTGTCGACGCCATGGGCGATACTGTTTGCGACGATGTGCGTTGTGTTCTATGTCTTCGCTGCGTGACGAAGGCTGAGAGGCCTTCCCTCCCAGTTCATGTGCGTGTCCGTAACACGAAAAGGAGATCAGATGGAATGTGAGCGTCGGTTTGATATTTCTCGTCAGCGGCCTTCGCCTGATCAGTGGACTCGCACGCAGATGTATTGGAGAGTCAGAGCAAGGAGCCTCTGGGCTGGATGGCCGTGTAAGTTGTTCGACGATGCGTGCTTTGGACACACCTGCTTATCCTGACCATCATAGAGGGTTTGGACGTATCATGGCGCATACACCCATGATTATGATGTGGGCCAATGTCGATCGTTCTGTGACGTTGTCGCAGAGAACTGCTCCTCGTGAACAAGAGCCTGAGGTCGTCAAGAACCCGCCATTCAGGGCTGTACCGTCCAGGACTAATACGCTGGTAAGCCCACTACTCACTCTCGAACCTGATGCTGGCGTCTAACCTCGAGCATTATCCTTCTTCACAGCTCAAAGATGAACGCCCAAGACTGGCTTTCAACATCCCAGTGCGTCTCGTCGCTTTCTTAGCTACTATGCAGCTTGACTTATGTTTATGCAGGCCATCGCAGACGAGCATCAAGACATCATCTGGGCATTCGGTCGCAATCGACCGGACTCCTCAAAAACGGACGCTCATGTCCCAATCCACGTCAAACACGGACACGCAACACTCAACCTAAACCGAACGTTCTCACCACCAGAAGACGTAGTGGAGCCCGTCGATCCGCCGTTTGGTTACCCACCTTTGCAGCCGTACCAGAGGACCATCGTCGCGCATGCGGTATTTTCGATGGCTGGGTATCTGGTTATGTTGCCTGCTGGGGCGTTGCTGGCTAGATATATGAGGACGTTTTCCGCTAGTTGGGTGTCGTTCCATTGGATAATTCAGGGCGTGTTCGGTGCGTTTTTTGATTTAGGGTTGTTGGTTGTGGTAGATACTTATGGGGCATTACATAGGTGGGTCAATAGTGTTGTTTGGGCTCCTAACAGGTAGAAGAGCTGTCGAGAAGTCGGGAGGAGTACATCACGATGATTCGCACAAGGTTAGTCGTCTCGCCAAGATGTTCTCATTTCCCAGGCTTATTGCTGGGTCACAGAAATTCGGTCTTGTATTGCTCCTGGGCTTCTTTCTCCAAGCTGGCCTAGGGGCCCTGGTGCATAGAAAGCCACATCTAAAGAAATTTGGCGGACGTCTTCATGCGTGCTTGGGGCTAATGGTGATCATCATGGCGTTTTACCAGGCAAGGACGGGTTACAAACACGAGTGGCCGTACGTTACGGGGCGACCAGCTATTGAGTATTTGCGAAAAGCATGGTACATTTTAATCGTCGTGAGTCCTTATCACTTCAACTTCCTTCCAGTATCACCTGCTAATTGCGACAAACGGGGGCGTGTAGGCTATCCCCGTACTTTATGGGATGGGACTAACGCTGTTGCCGAGGCAGCTCGCGCTGGTGAGGATGAATTCGAAGGATATAGACGGTAAGGCGTTGGCTATGGAGAGTCTACCACTTAGGCAAAGGGAGGATGGGGACGAGGACGAGGACGAGGACGAGGACGAGGACGAGGACGTGAAAGATGACGCATCATATGAGGCGGCAGTTGAGTCGAAGTCGTAACTAATATCCATACTTTCATTGTCGCCTTCTGTGTGTCTGAACAGGACTCAAAGCTTGATGCTCTATAATATCTATATACGTGGCCGTAATATATGAGTATGCAGACGGGAGGGCCACAACGCCTGCTTTTGATTTTTACGTGGAGTGCCACACGCAACCTCGCAGTGTCCGCCGAGCAATTGAGCAACTTACTGCCGTTTCCCTTCCCTCACCCCGAGTCTTCGCTACAGTGCTCGTCTGACGCTCGGCTACGTTCAAACTCTCTTTTACGAAGTGAGTGGTTGTTTGTGCTGGGATCTAGAAAGTTTTAGAAAACCTGTCCTCGCGAGTGTAGTAGTTTCGCCTTCTGACTCTTGGTACGTCCACTTACCACATCGTCTACTCTCCATCCCGCCTCGTGCTCATTGGCAAACACTTTGAAAAAGCAGATGATGAGTCCGGTGGATTATTGTGGGGTTCGCAAACGTCATATCTGATATGCTTTGTCACTAAAGGACTGTATAAAAGCACGCAAGGCTACGCAAACCAATAAAACCCCTGTATCGTGCTCGCTTCACAGCGTCAACACAACTGCTGCTCCCAAGAATCCCCACAACCCCGCATTGCCTGACATACCCCGGGAAACCAATATATCATGGTCACGTCCACATTCAACTCGTTATTTGGGTCGCAGAAGCATGTCGTCTTAGATGGAGGCCTGGTGAGCTCGTCGCTACTATGCTTTCTTTCCCAGGGTATTCACGCGCTGCGACGCTGTTATTGCTGAGATAGGGTACGACACTCGAGGATGTCTTCCACAAGGATATCTCGACACCTCTATGGTCCGCCCGGCATATCGACAAAGAGCCTGAGGTCCTTGTCGAAGCTCATCTCGCCTTCCTTCGAGCGGGCGCAAGGATTATCTTGACCTCTACGTACGTGCTATAAGTCTTGCTCACTTCTCACAGTCTCTCACAAATGCCCTGCAGGTATCAGTGCACCTATGAAACGTTCGCGGCTGCAGGTTACTCCCGTGCAGAAGGTGAACGTCTGACGCGTAAAGCTGTCCATCTCGCTTCGGAGGCCCGTAAAAGGTTCGTGGAAGAGAGCGATGGTGCCGTTAAGATCGGGGATGTGAAGGTCGCACTGTCCATGGGACCATACGGTGTGACCTGCTCTCCAGGTCAAGAATACGGCGGCTTCTACCCACCTCCTTTCGGGCCCCAAGCTTACTCTGCGTCTGGTCCCAACACCAACGCATTCGCCGCAGCCGACCAGACGAAGAGGAGTATGTCCATCGATGCACTGACGGACTTCCACCTTCAACGACTGCGCATCCACTCTAACGACCTCGATAGCTGGAAAGAAATCGATCTGGTGGCTTTTGAGACGATCCCGCTTGCGAGAGAGATTAAAGCTATTCGGGGTGCTATGCGATTACTTCAGATCGAGCTCGAGCCAAGGCCGGCGGGGTTCGAGTGGAAGCCATGGTGGATCAGCACAGTTTGGCCTGACGGGAGGTTTCCCCATGAGAGCGGTCCGGGTAAGAGGAGGCTGAGCGTCAAGGAAGTCGTCTTCACGCTGCTTCACGAGGAGCCAAAGATGGCGAGCCAGTCTATCGACCACTACGAAGTGCAACCAGACGGTATTGGCATCAACTGCACCAGCATGGCCCATTTGCAGGACGTGTTGACTGGGATGGAAGAGGTGGTGGGCGACCTTTGGCGAAAGAAGCAGGGACCGTGGCTGGTACTCTACCCCAATGGTGGAGAGGAATACGACCCGGTCTCGAGGACTTGGAGCGGCAAGAAAGAAGGCACTGAAGGTGGCACTGGATGGGCAGAGAATCTAGCGGCGTTGGCGAGTGCTGCGATGTCCAAGAGACTGTGGGGAGGTGTCGTTGTCGGAGGTTGCTGCAAGACGGGGCCGGATGAGATTCGGTCTCTGGCAGCATGCCTTTCCTCGTAGATATCAACAAAGATTTCGCAACCTGTTTAAATCAATGTTTTTGCTCTTCGTGAATGTTGTCGTCAAGGAACAGAGACAAACGGGTGGCGCGCCGTCAATTTGGTCCCGTGTGGCCCAACGCACCGACCACGTGGATGTCCACGTGGCCGGCGTGGGTGGCTGAGAAACGGCAGTGGGGCTATACCTCTCGACGACGTGCTGAACATCGACAGAAGGAATCCTCGGCAACACAGGCGTCGAGCTCAAAAGGTTACTCATAGGTATGTGTCTCTAGCGCTTTCTCGGTTGCCGGGAGAAACAGCGAAGAGAAATGGACGAATTGCGAGGGTGGATGCGTCGATGAGGGACCCGATGTACTGACTGCTTCATTTACGCAGCCCATCATGTCTTCAAAACTTCCCTCTGTTCTCAGCGCGACTGAGGAGGAGATTCAGATGCTCCTCGCTGCTCAATGCCACATTGGCACGAAGAACTGCGATAAGCAGATGGAGCCTTACGTCTGGAAGCGAAGGTCTGACGGTTAGTAGAGGGCACTTGGTCAATTGGCGTCTTGCGCCGCTCACGAAATACGCATCCTCAGGTATCCACCTCATCAACATCGGCAAGACTTGGGAGAAGATCGTTTTCGCTGCCCGTATCATTGCCGCCATCGAGAACCCCAACGACGTCTGTGTCATCTCTGCGCGCCCATATGGCCACCGTGCCGTCCTCAAGTACGCTTCGAACACCGGCGCCCAGGCTATCGCTGGCCGATTCACCCCCGGTAGCTTCACAAACTACATCACCCGCTCGTTCAAGGAGCCCCGCCTCATCATCGTGACCGACCCCCGCGTTGACCACCAGGCCATCCGTGAGGCTTCCTACGTCAACATCCCGGTCATCGCCCTTTGCGACACCGACGCTCCTCTGAAGTTCGTCGATGTCGCTATCCCTACGAACAACAAGGCCCGTCACTCGATCGGTCTCGTTTGGTGGTTGTTGGCCCGTGAGGTTCTCCGGCTGAGGGGAACCATCCCTCGCACTCCCGACGGCTGGAATGTGATGGTGGACATGTTCTTCTACCGTGACCCTGAGGAGGTCGAGAAGCAGCAACAGGAGGAGGCTCAGGCTAGGGCTGCTGCGTCTGGCGAGGCTGAGGGAGAGGCTGCCGGTGTCTCAGAGTGGGATGTTAACTCTGCTCCTCAGGCAGGTGGCATCAACCCTGCTGTCGTGCAAGAGGGTGGTACGTCTCTCATCTTCTCTCCCTTCAAGATATCTGTCCTCATTCTACTCAGGTGCCCTCGACTGGTCTGCGGAGCCTGCTGCGGGCAACACCGACTGGTCAGCAGAGCCAGCAACTACTGGTGCTGGTGGGTGGGGTGCGGACGCCCCACAGGCGTCGACTGGCTGGGATTAAACGCGGTCACGAGGTTGTTGTATTTTTCCCTACTTTTCATGCCTCTGCTTGCGCCTCCTCCTTATGCCGCATATATGTCAACCAAAAGCCTACCCATGCCAACATGACATTTTGCTCGCGCCGTCTTGGGTTTTGATCTGAATGGGTTGTGCAATCCAGGCTAGTGTCGGAGAACGAGCGTGCTTCATTCCGACCCGCCTTTATTCTGTCGTCTTCCCATCGGGATACTGTTGGTTGTGATGTCTGCTCTGCCAACTGCTTCTTGCTTTCTTTCGTATGTTCTTCCACTCCACCTGGTTTACCTTCGAGGCAAGATCTTCGTGAGTTGTCAGTATTCGGTCCATAATGCAATATACAGCCGTCCTCTGAGAGTATCCTAGGACGCTAGCCATTATTTACGCGAAACATCGCCAAGTACGTTCATGGCTTTGATGTGTCAAAACCTGGTCAAAGCACGAGGGATGGCCGAGATGATAGCCCTATCTTCCGCGTACCCGAAGAAGTTAATCTATATGGTTGGCGCGTCTGCGCTGCGTGATGGACAGATCCAAGTCTTGTGCACTCCGATAATTGCATAAACATGTAGATTCCATTGTCTGCGGCGGGCAGCCTGCCACGGAAAGCTCTGAGCTTCGTGGATATCTTCGACCTTTTTTTTGCCGAAGTAACAGGACGCACCAACAGGTCACGATGGCAGTCTTTCTCTTGTCTTGTTAGGTCTTAGTAAAGAATTTAATGCGCGATTTGGAGCGGGAAATGGGCGATACTTATACTGACAGTAAAAGAGTCAGAGCAGCTCACGGTTAATCTAGCACAGTCGACTGCATTTCTTACCGTGCGTGCATTTGTCCATCAATCTCCGTACTAAGTTCTGGCGACGTACCCGGTGTCCATGGTACGTTTGTCTCTGAGACGAAGAGGGAGGATAATTGTGATGTGACTGCGCTCTATCTGCATATACGTATCGAACGGATTCCATATTGATGCAATGTCCTACGCCAGCGGGATAGTCTGGAGGAGTTTCCGTGGATAGGGAACGAGGGGACGCTAATGATTCTCTCCGCGGGGCTCAGCACCATCGTTCAGAAGATGACATAGGAATTTACTAGATACACGATGTGTAGGAGCGCCTTTTGGTTAGATTGTGTAAGAGAGACGTGTTATATCACATTCCCATTCGGTCTACCGCCGATGTAGGCCTCTTTGCTTTCCCATGAAAACCAAAACACAGTCTCATGACACGGAACGCGATGCTATCGCTCATAGCCACGCCTCACGTTGCCCCCACGATTTTGAGCGTCCACCACGGAATTTCCCCAGGTCGAAGCGCAAACCCGCCCGCTTTGCTTATCTACGATCGTACGGAGTTAGTGTTAACGTTCAGAGCATTCTTCTCATGGGTTACCCCGGAATTATGTTTGCGCTCACTGTAAATGGCCAATGAGAGACCATCATGACAGGCGTGTCATGCATGCTCGGTTCAGAGCCCTTAGTACTCATATTCGAACGTACTATTTCTAGAAAAGGTGAAAGTATGACATAGGATATCCGTGCGGCGATGGCTACGCCGACCTGGGCAAAATAGTGTGATGAATGTGAAGGCTGGGGAGGAGTAGAGACAGGTTATTCGGGACAATAGTCCCGAGCGTGCCATAGAACTTGCACTCACTCATCGATGATCTACGACAGTCCTCAGGCAGGGGCCGATGCCATGACGCATTGAACTGCGAAGATCTCCCCACAATCAGATCGTCCGCGACTACTACTATTGGTTTTTCAGGATGTGCTGACTTGTAGACACGGACACGCGAACGTCGACGATACTTTCGAAGCCGGTAATCGGATGAGCGTCAGAAAGCGAATGAGATCAATATCCAGGAGACCCCCGACGGTCAAAATTAAACGCACGAGTAGGAGGTAAAGTAGTTATAGATCTCCGGAATGACGTTGGTCCCTGTTAAGCCTTCATCGATTCCGAGCATGTCGATGGTGAGCACTGAGTTGCGCACTTGCATAAGCAGAGACACTTCCTTTCTGAAGTCCATATTGCCCATCACCGGATAGTGCACAAAATGCTGGAAATATATTGGATGAGCGGCACTAAGGTCATGGTATACCAGGAGATGTTGAATTTCTAATCGATGGAGTAACTTTCCGCACTGGCCTGTGGTGCATATGCCCCAATGAAGTCAAGATGGTTATTGATGCACTCAGGAACTATAAGCAAGATGAAGTGGGGATGCTTAGGTTAGCCTCGGTCGAATGCGCATTGCATCACCACGAACCTTGTTGTTGACCATAACAAGAATAAGAGCGCTTATTTTAGTTCAGGGCTATACCCAGCAGATTCAACATTTCTCGAGACCGCAATGTCATTAGGGCACGTCGGTCTGACTATAGTTGATGAGAGAGGAGTATTAGGGATCGAGCTCTTCATATGACGTATAGACACGTCCACTACTACAAGCATCGTTGCCGCCACAAGCTGTGGCGACGCCAGTTGCGGTGTCTTCTAAAGTGTAGATACTGGACGAAGGTATACAATATTCGGTAGGCGTACACTGTATATCCCAGCAAGGAGGAGTACAACGATGAGGAATGGCGCGGTGGTCTCCATGATGTTGCGCTCTGCTGAGTGAGTATCATGATAGTTAGAGACAAGATAAAAAGCAGATGACGAAGTCGACGTCGTAGACCAGCCGTGTGAGCAGCTACCCTAGTTGTCGCTCAAGTCACCAAAGCCACAGGTCAAGCATTCAAGGTGCCGTCCAAAGTCTATCTTGCAAGTAGTAGAGACATCATGGTCCACTGTGGTGCCGCACTTGAAGCTGTCACGACAAAATAAGAGTGTATGCGGCACGAGAACAGTCTACAATTCCTTTACCCGGCGTGATGGTCTAGGCTGCATGATGCACCTCGAGCCTCGACACGATGGGGACCACGTCGCCCATGGTCAGCAACGTGACAGTGTGCGATCATTCAATAAACAGTTCGTCGTGCCCTCGACACGCATGCAGAGCATGCGAGGCCGTAAACCTCTGTGCACACTAGCGCCCTGCCAATGAGCGTCCCGAGCGATTTTTGACGACAAGAAGAATGCAGTATCGAGAAAAACAAGGCCACGGCAAGGGCCTGGCAAGAGTGCTGCAACAACGGCAAATAGGCATCGGAAGTAAATTCCTTCCGGAACGTGGCGTAATAAAGTTACTGCATACGACCAAGCCTTCCCACCTTCTTCGGTTCTGCGGTACCCTTTCCGAGGTTCCTCCTTGCCTAGAGCCCAGAATAGTATATGAAAGTGTAGAAGTCTTTCTCACTGCCAGTGTGCTACTCGAACGTTTGGTATAAGACCTGGTGAATCCAACTCAAAAGGCAACAGTACTTGCTCAGTCATTTGCTGTGGCGCCGTCGCTTCAACCTGAGAAGCAGGAACGTCCTTGTTTCAGTTTGCCCAGTCGAGATTACAGACACCCCGTGCCACCCGTTTCACAATACAAATCTTCGACACTAAATTAGCTGAGGTAACGTACGTTCATTTTGGGCCTTAATGTACAGGTTTTCTTTGCCCTCCAGGAGCGTGGCAAAACCACGTCTCAGGCTGCGGCTCTGCCCAAATACACTTTTGTGTTCGTGTATTTTTCTGACGATGAAAATTTTGAACATAAGGCGAAGACAATGCCCAGGCGAACGCTGAGAAAAGCCACTGACAGGGTTAGAGTATGGATAAGAAGCGACGACGATCAAGCTTGCTGAGCGAGCTTCGCGCCTCAGGGTGACGCGACGCCAATCGAGATTCGAGATCTGCCAGTCACTGGACCCTACTGGACCTCGTTATGCCAATGGGTCAAGAAGGACCCATTTAAAGGCTCCATATGATATGTATAAACCCGCTGCCTTTTAACTCCCTTGTAGACAACCCCTTCGACACTCCCCCGCTATGTATCCCGGTGCTATTCCCCAGCCCTCGATGTACGATGGCAATTCGTTAAACACGGTGGATTATGGCTCCTTTATCAATTTTCATGAAGAGCAACCGGAGGTATGAAATAACATACTATTTGACGTCCTCATTGCCCGAAACTAATACCGTTTGTTTTGCAGTATGCCTGGGATGACAGCGCTTCCCCGAACATGAAGACCACCAACTCCGCATGCGGCGATCATTACGCTGGAGACTACTATAACATCAACTCCGCGAACGAACAGCAATACGCCATCGATCCCTCGTCGACGTCCTACGACAATTCCGCGTACGTGGCTTCAAGCGGAAACGTCAGCGAATATGGGTCTATGCAGGAGAACTACGTTCCGACGGTTTGTTCATGTCTTCCCGTCCCTCGTCCGGTGTTGTCCAGACTGACGACGAGATGGCTTTAGGGATATGACATGTATGGTACTGCCCACTACGCCGAGCCTGTAACATACGGATATCCTCACTCTGTCGAGTCTGCCGTCAACTATACTTCTTACCCACCGGCTGCGATCCCAGTGCAGGACCACCAGGAGTGCGGCACAGACTACTTTCCTCCACCACTGACTCAAGTTCCCATTCCGCCTATAAACCTGATCCCATGCCCTGCTGCATCGTCTGAATTCCTTCAGTATTCTGGACGCGCCGACTACTCTTCCGCGGACCATCCACATCATCGCGAGCATCGCGAGCACCGTGTAGAACACGTTTCGGGCGATCGCGCTCGACTCCACATTCACGTCTCGTCTGGACCTCCAGCATCAAGTTCCCATACTCGCACGCGGAAGGTCACAAGGTACTGGCATTTGCTTTATCTACCCCGTTTTCTCTACCCTACTCACCTGGGTCGTCATACAAGGTCACCCCTTGAGCTTGCGTGCTACTTCTGTCGGGGAAGGAAGATCGGTTTGTCCATTCTACAATTGACAATGGTACGAAGTACTGATCTCATAATGTAGCCTGTGGATGGCCAGAGGGTGCGGAAGTGATGGATCAATCCAGATGCTAGTGAGTGACTTCAATTTTATGAATCCGAGCCTTGCTCTCTTTACCCGCAACGAGTCAAGTGTGATGCTCAAATATGCTTTATCCTTTTCGTCCAAAAGCGAATGCTATCGTAGAGAACAAGACTGTCGATACCCCTCGGTGCGTGTGTCGGCCATGCCACATAGTCGTGTGCTGACCTCGAGGCTCAGAAGTCGCGTCGTGGACAACGAAGGATTTTGACTGCGTTCACATAGTCTTGTCATCGCCCGTCGTCTTTTTCTCTTTGTCTTTCTGCTCTGGACATTTGCGCCTTCACTTCCCTTCGCGGCATTTAATGTTCACTAATGTTTTCTGCCCTTGTTCACGTCTATCGTTCTTCGTCAATTTGGTTTCTTTCCTCTACAGTACAGTCTTCATCCTGTCCTCGCTGATCTTCTTTCTCGGCCATCCTCTTGCTCTGCCGAAAACACGCTTTCTACATTACTCGCCATCTCACTCTCGCTTTGCCTGCATTTCCGCTCTCTCATTGTTTTGCCATGTACCTATTTTATTGCCTTAGCTCTGTATGATAGCTTGCTCCTATCCTGTGTAAGCATTAATAGTCAGTACCCCGGGTTGCCATACATATATGACGGGTTTTATTGGTTATTATGGTGGCCATACCGTCTCTCTTGATGTTCCATACGTTACATACTACCTGCTACTGTCCTTACTAGTCCTCACTGTCTTGGGTAATGTTCTGGGAACCAATCCCAAACCTTTCTGTTGCACTGTTGAGCTTGTTCACCCCAAGACGATCGTATCCGTCATTTCAGGAGTCCACCAAGACCTCAAGTAGATAATCGACGAAGAGCATGACGTCTCGGAAACTCCTGTATATGGGGTTCGAAAGAATGGAAGATTTCATAGAATCAGGCTCTTGGACGGGTTTCCTCCCAATTTCCACTATTCTCAGCCATCGAGTGAATCAAGGTTGCAGCAACGCTTGAAACGTTCATCTTGAGGGCTGGTGACTTCGCTTAGGAAGGGTAACCCTGGGTTTCGCAAGACCCTCCATGGACGACACTTCTAGCTGCCCGGAATAGGACGGGATTGGGGTCTAGTTATCATGATTATCACCCTCAATCCATCGATGCTCTCACAGACAATGAGAGAACATACCCGTCAAGCCTGAGAACCTCCAGCTAACAAATCACAATAATCGAGCGCAGTCGTGGATCATGACCAGGACTTATACCCACAAATCGTCGGCTCTCCCTGCACCCTGCACACTGGATGAGAAAAAGCTCACGAAGCATGATGACTCGGATCTCGCTCGAAGCAGCACGCATGGAGTATCGTTATCAGAACCAGAATATGGAAGGCGAGCAATGAAAGGTAATGAACTGCGCTGTGAGCCACGATATCCCGGCCGGATGCTCGTGTTAATTATGCTCCTGTGCCCGTGTCGTCAAGAGCGTCAAGAAGCAAAGCAAAGACGCAAAAGGCAAGCTCGGCCTGTTTAACTCCATTCCACTAGAAGGCTATGAAGCCTCAACGGAGATCTTTGTGAGGCATTATGTGATCCTATTACTCGGATCAGATTGGACATGTTCGGCGTGTCCGCCCCACGCCGCCAGCCAGTAGGAATTGCGTCGGGCGATGAGCGAATGGAAATTGGTGTAAATGAATGCGAAAAGCGCATCAGCAGTGTTGGCGTTGAGTGGCGCTCGCCAAGAGTAGCCGCAGCACTAGAACGCCGGGAGCTTCAGAAAGGTTATTTGTAGGAATTTCGTTCAATACACAGAGGAGTAAGTGCCTCTTTCCAAGAGCGAGTACCGAACTGTGTCTACAAGGGCGGCAAGAGATATAAGCCGTCGCTCTAGAAGACATTCCGATAATTGCCCACAGACTCGGTGATAGAGTGGAAGGCAACGACCGTGTTCATGTCAAAGCCCACTGAAAATACGTGCCTCAGTCGTGCAGGGAGATCCATTTTCTACAAGAAAACAAGCTAGCATTGATCGTGCCTAGTATTCTAGATCCATTAATGGAGGGGAGACAAGGAAAGTTAGCACGACTGTGCTCCTATAATAGAGGAGCCACAGAGTCTTGGAGCAGTGTAGCGAGACGATAGCAAGGTTCGGCTCCAAGGCCAAATACCCTTCGTCCTTCTACGATCGTGAGCTCTTGGGATTTCATTCCAAAATTTCCGCGGCGACGTTATATCGCCGCTGATGTCGATGGCGATCAGGACACGAAGGTCGGATCGTCTAACAACGGAGAAACATCTAACCATGAAGGAACGAAAGATGGAATAGCGAAGTTTTAAACTCTCGTAGCACATTGCAGGACGCGTGCTGAAACAGGGTAATCATGGTGGTATATTCGAGATGATGAACGCACCCAGGCCTTCCACTTCTGTGATTGTGGCGTCGCATTCGACCGATTCATCGCTTTGAAATAGCCCATCTGAAGGTTCGGCGGCGTCCCAGATCAGAGCAGAGGGTCCAGATTGTAAAACTTAGTCATACGCTTGCAAGCGGCCAGGTCACGGTCCAGTTAGAGGAGAACTGCCACCAGCCCGAAAAAGTCCAGTCGATGTAGGAAGAACGTCAAGGGAGTGCACGCCATAAAGCGAGTCTATTTTCGGGACGCTATGCAGCCTATCTGTTGGAGCTAAACGTTGAACGTTGAGCGTTGAATGTTGAACGACGTCAAACCTGATGCGAACGACGGCTTCCGGGATCAGCCGAACGCTCGGAGCACTGGTTAATTATGGCGCGCCACACCACTCAGCAACATCGAACAGACGTCGACTGCGGTGCGAGGCCTGAGTTGAGTACAACGTTATGCTACAACCCATTTTGAGTGGTATTTGATAAGGGCACAGATGAGTTGAGTGGTGGGGTATCAAAGAACGAGACAACCTGAGTGGTGGGTTATAAAATTAGAAAGGCCGTGAAGCCTCGAATAACAAAATCTCAATAGCTGTGCGTTCAAAATTTCCGGGACTCACTGGGAGATAAGTCATCCTTGCGTCGGTCTGCCTCGTCCATTGTTAGGATCATGTCAAAGAAGAAGCAACGATGTCAGTCACGCAACCTATTCCCGGTACCATTTGGGAGATACCACTTGCCGGTTCCAAAGCGCTCGTGACGACTCCGATAACAGCGAATCACCTCGCCCAATGCTAGCCAGTTGCGTGAAGAAAGTGTCTTGTCGCTAAGAGAGATCAATAGACCGAGCACCATTTGTAGAATATGACGAAAGTGGTGTTTATGGTCGGCGGTTTGTGTGATGCCGAACTTGCAGTCCGTGGGCGTCCGACTGACAGGCGGCAGGCGACCTGAAAGAAAGAAGGTGTCATCTGTCCACAACGTGGAGGAAACTCACCACTTTCCAGCCGCTCAATTGGCAAAGTTCTGCGGCTGCATTCGGTTATGTTTAGCTCTGTAAGATATCGATATCGATAGCGTGTGGTACCTCGAATCGTGATGCTGCGTACAGAGGTTTCCGAACCATCTTTCATGACGATGATCAGGAAATAATTTGTTGTGCACGACCATCGTGCAGCAGAAGATTCGCGACCAAATGAGCACCACTTGGGAGCAAACCACTATACAGTCCGCGATGAGCTGAGGATGTTGATAATAAAGGCGGTCTCCGGTGTTCAGCAGGCAGCGCATCAGGGTGAAATACCTCCATGGTATCAGGGCATCGTATATCTCGGTTGCAGCTGGTACGACTCCAGCTCGGGGTACTGGCAAGACCTTGGACAAAGCATTTGTGTCGACACTGGACCGGATGATGGGCGTAGTTACCAATTCTTCTGGTTTTCGATGATGTTAACGGCGAGCTTATCGTTATCCCTTCCAGCGGGGTATCCCACGGGTGCTGGAGCATGCCTCGCTCCCTAGTTGCCAGTATGCGAACATGCACCGACTGGATGCTCGAGCTATGAAATGGGGTGAAGGGTCAGAGAAGAGTTTGAATACGCGATTGGGTCTCGTAGCTCAGTGAGATTAGCGTGATGGAGAAATTTGCCTGTCTATGTCCAGGGAAAGGGGGGTAAAATTATTGAAGATAGAGCTCGCCTGGATATTCCTCCTGATTACGAGCGTAAACAAGTTCCTATAAGTACATCGCCCGGTCTTCACACACATCTGCCGTCGATATCGACGGTTTTGGGCATATGCACGGCGCCAGTTCCAAGGAGATACATTTATTTGGGCGAGAGTGTATCAAGTGAGCGAGCAGAACTGGCAGAACTGGCAGACATAGGTTTGGGACGCTTCTGGAGGACGCGTTGAAAGGTGCAAAAAGTAAAGGTGAGCGGAGACTTGGCGGAGACTTGGCGTTATTGAAAGTCGGAACCCGCCGACGAGCACGTGCGGCGGCTACAGAGCCGTTGCCCCGCCGGCCGGCCAGCCAATCAGTGGCTCGTCATTGAACCCGGCAGTCTGCTCCTCATTCCGCCGCCGTGCTCCGCGACGAGCTCACCTATCTCACCTCTCCTCCATCGTCATCCATGTCGCTCTCAGTATTTTCCGCAGCTGGTACGCTCCTTGCACTTTCCTCAATGCTTTCAACTGAATGGAGTCCATCTAGTCGCTCGTGCAGGTCGCCGGACAGTGACGCGACCCCAAGTCGGCCTCGCAGGTTGGTTTTGCTCGAAGTTTTGTGATCATTCTGTTGGTTTGGTCGACTCAATAAACGTATTCGACAGCTTTCCGCTCATTACACACAACACCACCGAATCAAGCCACAGACCCAGATGCCATCCCAACTTCGTCAACGAATCCAGAGTCACCTATGACGAGGATCGCCATGCGGGGATCCAACCAGCTCAGCCTTGAGCAGCCGGAGAACAAGGCTGGTGCGTTTTATATATCGAAATTTGCTCAATTCCCATGCATCTGTCTTCACATATGTTTCGCTCCCCCCAGAGTATGTGCTTTCGACGATGGACAAGGTAGTCAACTGGGCTCGTCAGGGTTCGATGTGGCCTATGACTTTCGGTGCGTACATCCTCATTTGCTTGGTCTATATTCACCCGCTGATCTCTTCTGCCATTCTCCTGGGCAGGTCTTGCCTGCTGTGCCGTAGAGATGATGCACATGGCTGCAGCTCGGTACGACCAGGATCGTTTGGGTGTCGTCTTCCGTGCAAGTCCTCGCCAGTCGGATATCATGATTGTCGCCGGGACGCTCACGAACAAGATGGCACCTGCATTGCGCAAGGTGTATGACCAGATGCCAGAGCCTCGTCAGTGCCAACTCTCCACGTTTCGGAGTATAATTGCATGGTTGACATTGTTCGTCGGTGTGCTTGTATAATAGGTTGGGTGATCTCCATGGGCTCATGCGCGAATGGTGGCGGGTATTACCACTACTCGTACTCTGTCGTTCGTGGTTGTGACCGTGAGTGACAATGTATTTGCCCAATAGGCTGGTACAAGGAACTGATATTCTGCCAGGTATCGTTCCTGTGGATATCTATGTTCCTGGTTGCCCGCCAACGGCGGAGGCCCTTCTCTATGGAATGCTTCAGCTTCAGCGCAAGATGCGACGGAACAGAAGGAGCACTCTCTGGTCAGTTCACTTCCTATCTCACGTTTTGTGCCATCACCGTGCCGTGATGCTGACCCGAGGGCGTTCTCAGGTACCGCAAGTAATCTACTTGGGAGCAGTAGTTGTAGTTGCTTCTATATATTCTCGCTGTTCTGCGTCGGTTGTGTAGTAGACATGGAAAGCCGCCTGGAATACATACACATATTTGTTTCGCTCGATAACTCACTTGTCTTTTGACGAATGAAAAAGAGAGGAGGTCATGAGACCGGGCGGAACGCCAAAGAGAGTAATCTGGAAGTAATTTCGGGACGCGGGCAGTGAAGGCCACCCTTGGCATCGCCCGGCCCTGCCAGCTTTCCCTCTCGAGCTCTTCCACATCGTCTCCGTCGTCGACCGTCCCTTGCTCGTCGTCGTTGGCGTCGGCAAGGCTGTTTTCAAGCCAGTTTTCCCTCAGCCTTCACGAACAACACTTGAACAAGACACGATCCCGTGCTCTTCGCTTCCACCCACGAGTTCCCTTAGGCTCTTTCCCCGGTCACGACGAAACCGCCAACCGACAACTTCGAATTCCATTTCATCTCGCCTATACGCTTGCCCTCCTTCCTTTATTTTTACCATCGCCTTTTTTTATCCAACCCCCAACCCGAACGAGCCGACGTTGACTGACGAAACGAGAAGGGAACGCCCCGAGTCCTTTGCTTGCTTCATTCATGGCCACCACCGTCCATCCGCAGCCACACGCGCACGGGCTCGACAGCGCTGCCAACATGGACGTCCTCAACGGTAACGCTCATGCACGTACGCAGTCTCACAATTTCCCCCGCGGGCTCGTATTACCCGACCTCGACTTTGACCACGAAGACCGCGGTCGTTATCCGACTCCAACCGGGCCTTCCTCTCCTCCTGCCAATCACCAGCAATATTCCTCGTCGCCCACTCCTTACGCTGAGCAGGATCGCGTTTCGCCAGACGTAGATCGTGCAAGGAGGTCGATGGTACAACATTCGGATGCAGTGCCTGGTGACCACGACGTTGGCGCTCGCACGTATAGTACCGGTCTTCAGCGGAATCCTACTCTTCCAGCCGATGTTCCCGTCTCTGTCCCCGCTACACGACCATCCTTCGAGGAACCGTTGACATCAAGTGATAGACAGCCCTCGGGTTTTCAGGAGATACCGGTTGGCAAAGACCGGTCGTCTTCTTCGTTCGACCAACAACGACCACAATCTCAATCTCAATCTTACCTCGACAATCCTACCTTGCCACGACCAGCCCAATCTTTATCTTCACCTGCGTCTGGTGGCGGTGTAGGAGGGGCTGAGAACGCAGTCACTAATATGAGCGCGGGAGGTGGAGGGGAGCCGTCGCGCGTCAATGAGCAGCAGTATAGCCTTGCCGACAGCTTCCAACTCTTTCCTTCGTCCCTCGCTTCGACCGACGCACCAAACGTAACCAATAAACTACCCTTCGGTGACGTCAGGCCTAACAATAACGAGTCGAGTTCATCATCGCAGAATCCGAAGATGTCGCTTCAGCCTCAACCTCAGCCGCAATATCAATACTCATCTCAGGTCCAGTCTCAGTCACCTCAGCAGCCTCAGTCTCCGCAGCACCAGCAGCATCGATCATGGCAGCCCCAGCAAGCTCACCAACAACTTTCACCATCGCAACAACAATCGCCTCCGCGCGAATACGGCCCACAAGACACATTCCCGCATACTCAACCCTCTGGGTCTATGCGTCAATCATACGCGCCACCGCCTCCTGGGGCTCAAGCTCGTAATCAGCCTACATCGAGCTATCTCCAACAACAGCAGCAACAGCAGCAACAACAACATCCACAACACTCTCAATCCGCCCAGATCGTCAACGTCCCCCCTCCGGGTCCATCTTACCCCATCCCGATCCCCATCTCTCCAAAATTCCGCGCGCCAGCTCAACAACCGACCTACATAACTCCCTCTTCTGCCGCTCCAAATGCGCTCAACCCTGTGTATTCGCCCGCACCACAGCAGCCGATGGAGGAAGTATGTGTGGAGTGTGCGATGAGAGATCAGGATATGGCTGATGTGGACGTGACGAGTCCTGGTGTTTGGGCGAGGGAGAGTGATGTTGCTTATGAAGAGTTGTTGAGGAGGGAGGACGAAGAGGGGAGCGCGGGGACCATGCCGGAAGAGGTGGACATTGAGCGGCCGAGGGCGCGGGGTGGGAGGTTGACGGAACAGAATTTGAAGCTTTGGTTGAGCTTGGTGCGTGGGGCTTCCTTTCGTTGTTTTGTCGATTTATTCCAACTCACATTCCTACCATTCGCTTTCTCTTTGTGGGGTCTACTCATTTATAGAACCCTAAGGAGCCAGCGTCTAAACGGGCGAACCTAGACAAGTACGTCAAGTTCCAAAGATCGCTGCTCGAGGCCGAAACGCTCGCCCACGCACGGGCCATGCAGGAGTCGAGGCAGCTGGACGACAGGATGCGCGATACGTACTCACAGCTCCGGCGCTCCGCGTACGATCTCGGTAGCAGTGCGGCTCCCGTGGACGACCTAGGAGGTGTCCGTATCAAACCTCCAAGGTCATCGACAATTGTGAACGGCACGGTCGGCGCTAACGCTCACGGGCGCGAGGTCACGTTGCTGGAGAACGGAATGATCGTTGAGCATGTCGATGTGAAGCGTGAAGAAAGAGAGGAACGTGAGCGAAAGAGACGGGAAGAGAAGAGAGAACGTGCGAGGGCGCGTAAGTCGTCGAGGAGCTCTGTCTTCGACGTCTCTTCGTTGTATTCGGCCCAGAGCCCTGCGCCGCACACGGACAGCGGTTTCCATCTCGGGGCGAACGGTGTCAATGCGAGGTATTCACAGTCGCAGTCGCCACGACCGGCGAGCACGATGACCGATCTCCTGCCGGGAACCATGCTCGCGAATGCACATTCGAACGCTTCGATCATCGATGCACAGAGTATGGGATCGTTGTCACCTAATCGGAGGACGAGGTTCTTTGGGATGAAGAACTTTAGTGCGGGATGGAGGAGTCAGGACAGTTTGGCTCAATCTGGGTTTTCTGGGAGTATGGTCGACATGCAGTGCGTATCCTTTTTCTCTCACTTCTTGAAAGCCCTTTTACTCAACGCTGATGTTTTCCGAATTGTAGTGTCGCTCTCCAGCGCGAGAATGCTCGGCATCCAGGGCTCCAGCACTCAACGATGGACAATGCCAATGCTCAGCGCGAGTGGAGGGAGAGCACTACTCTCGAGCCTGCGCGCTCTACCCGGGCGGTCCCTGCCGATGAGAAGCCCAAGAAGAAGAAAGGCGGACTCGCCAAGATTTGGCGGCTGGTCACTGGCAACTCGTCCAACAAGGGCAGTGCGCATCTGAACAGCACACATACCCGCTCATTGGACAGGTCCCACGATCTGGACTACCCTCTCGAGCCTCCCCCGCCTCTTTCTTACCTTGTCAACCGAAGTACAGGTGGCGATCACAGTGGAGGCGGCAACGCCCTACGGCACGTCTCCACATCTTCACTACCCTCTACGTCCCCTAACCATGCTTTCTCGTCTTCTACCGGCGTCTCTCCGCCCACTGCACCCTCTAGCCTGATCCCCTCCCCGACGTCCTCACGTCCTTTGGATCTGAACGGGACGGGCGAGGGCCATGCGAGGAAGTTGAGTGGGCATCAGGAATACGAGAACGACCATCCTCATCCGTCACCTGTTCCGGAGGAGTCCTACGCTCAACAACAACAGCAGCAGCAGCAGTCTAGGGGTCCATCTCCGAGAAATCTGCACAGTATGACTTCAGAACCAGACATGCGAAGGTCGTCGCAAGCCCTCAATACTGCAAATGCGCCGCCCGTCCCTCGGATGCCTTCCACCATCGGCACACGTCCGCAATCATCGTTGTCTATGACTTGGAGGGATAAATCACTTCCTCCGATCCCGCCTACCGAAGGAAATATGCAGTTTCCGCATGATGGCCGACCGAGGACGGTCCTGACATACGACCCTCGACCCGTATCGCAGATGGATCCCTATACCCAAACCTCTACTTTCTTGAGCCCTCAACCAAGTTTCCGGGAGGACTATGCTCGTCGTCAATCGTTCAATGGTCTTGGCTCGTCACCCAACCTGCATGCGCCGCAAAATGAACGGGCTTACAGCGGTGGTGGTGAATACCCTGGCGGAACGATGTCCCGAGAGGAGTACGGCGAGTTTGGGCTCGCGCCACCGGCTCAAGTCGCACCACACTCAACACATCCGAGGCAGGCACCGTCGCAGACTCTGACCCAGTCGACGCACTCAACTAAACGGAGAAGCAAGTTTGGATTCGCGGCGTTGTTGGGGAAGAAGTCGAACGGCCACGTTCAGGAGTCCTCGACGGCGACAGGCATGAGCTCAGAGTCGCCACTGCCGAGGTCGTCCGCTTCAGAGGCGAAGCATGAGGCGACGATTGTGCATGAGATGGGTGGTGCTGGGACTGGGACTGGCAGTTCGGGCATCGGGAGCTCGGGGTCGGGCCATGGACCGTATCCGAGGATGTCTATGATGTCGCAGAAGAAGCTGGATACGTTGGTGGACCAGGCCCCGGAGTTTGTTGCGTATCGGTATCCGTCGAATGACCAGAACTTAGACCTTCTGCGGTAATGTTCATTCTCGTTCATGGTGGGATTTGGAGTGATCTTCTACTACTACTGCTGTACTCTATTGGGTGGTTTGATGGTTCTTGTCGATATTTATATATATATCCATTTGGTGTCCCGTACGGTCACCTCGATTCGAAAGGTACTTTCTGTCTTTTCCTCTTGCTATGCTTTCGTGTCCCTCCCTCGTTTAGCCTTCATGTTCTCTCCATATTCCTTGATCTTGTTTACTTTTAGCTCGGACTAATCTCCACCTCCATCTTCATTGCCATCTCTTCCACCCTCCCAAGCATGCTCACTGTCTTTCGTCGCTTTCTATCTTCTCTTCTTGATTACTCTTTTGATACACGGACTCTCGTAGGCTTAGCTGACATGCCAACTACTTCGCTTTTTGCCTTCGTATGTTACATTTTCCCTTTTCTTTCGTTCGCGTCGCGCTGTCTTTATCGCCTGTCTCTCTGCTCTTACTGCTTTTCCTCCTTGGCTCAGTACCCGCCTCATCCCCTCCAACCTCAATTCAATCCAATCCCATTCATCATCTGATCACCTCATCCCTTATCCCTCATTGGCATCAACTGCATATCGCCCCTTCTCCCCTCTCATCCCAACCCCAAATGTCACTCGTTCAAATCGTATGTATAGTCGGCCAGTCAGTCAACGCGGCCGTTGCCCTATAGCCGACCTGTCTTTTGTGCAATGTCGGAGATTTCGGGACTCGGTGTGTAGACTACCTCCCTCTGCCAGGCATAGCGTACATACTTGGTCCTCAGGCCGTCATAAGTTAATCGAGGAGTTGTGTTTAATGGATGCATACAAACTTGTTTACCTTCCGTTCAAGTGCGGAGCGCACCGGGTCACGGTGGTGGCGCATGGGAAGCTATGGGAAGCCACAAATTCGAACTGTCCATCTTGTTCTGAATCTCAACCAGCGCGTATCGATTATTGTTCAGCCCTCCCCTAACTCCAAATTAGTAGGCCCCAGGTAAGATTCGATGTTTGGCGCGTAACCATAGCCACACCAGTATCCAAGCATGAGAAGGCTTTATTGTCAAGTTGCTGTCCCATGACCGCCGTTCCTGTTTGCTGCGAGGGACTCCCTTCCTGCAAGTAGTTCGCGGTTTACCCAATACTTGCGCCCGTGGTAATATATGTGCGTTGGGCCACTTCATCGAGAGGCGGACCATCCTAAACTGGATTACCGCGCATCGTTGACGGGGAGATACAGCTCTACCTTCACCGTAACAACCAAGCTCGAGCCACTCATCCTCTACTGTTCATCCTTTGCGACGTTCTGCAGCATACATTCAATATCGCGCAATCACTTACAAGATCGTATTAACGGCTGTCTTGAACTTCTCGTCGTGTACCCTTTGTTTCTTCTTCCTTTGTTCGCAGTCGCTCGAACTCGATTGTGAGTGCCTTCCACTCTCAACATCTTGACTCAAGCCATTGGTACCGGTACTGATCCTCTTGTTCGACTTTCCATTCTAGTCTGTGTGGTTGCTGTCTCTACCTACCATCATCACAAGCGTCCTAAATCTTTTCGGTACCCTTTGCTCGCCATAGGCGTGAACAGGTTCGTCCCAGATCTTCGACGCAGTCAATAACTGTCAATAATCTCTGACCATTAGAAAAACCTCAGTTTTCAAGCTGTGAAGTCTGAAGAGGACAAGGTTATTTAGGTAGTCCTTTTTTTGATGAAGGTTTCTCCACGGTTCCTCGGTGTTGAATTGTTTTGATTTCGATCAGCATGGACCGTATTCTGCCTGAAATCCTTGAGGCAATCTTTATCGCTCTCAAGCGCGCTCCACTGGAGTTGGAGCAGCCCGACACGGATCCAGATGGCCCAGATAGGCCCAAAGCTCGTCCCAAGAAGCTTCATCCCTACCACTGGCGAGTGGTTCTTCTCGTCTGTCACAAGTGGCACGATATCGCGGTCGACTGCTCGGCTCTATGGAATGTTGTCCGCCTTCACCTCCTCGAGGACCCCCTTCCCTTCCTCGAGCGCTCCAAAGTCCAGCCTCTCTTCCTGACTGCGATTGATGACGACAGCACGTATACACTGCGACCGGGCAATATCATCACGGATAGACTCGTCTCTGCCATGGACCGGGTCAAGAGCGTCGTGCTCGAAGGTGATGGGACATACTTGAGCAGTTTTCGCCAACTGCTTCAGCACGATGCTCCTCTCCTTGCCAACCTACGCATAAAGTACCATGTGCGGGACGCTGAACTCCCCATACCCAACCCTCAAATGTTTAGACTTCCTTGCACCTTGCTTGGAAATACTAAGGAACCACAATTACGCAGTCTCACGCTCGATCGCTGCGATTTCCACGTCAAATGCATGTCCATGTTGCGTAACCTCGTCACCCTGTCGTTCACCAATTGTATTCTGAGTGCCGCCGACCTCCTCTGCACCTTGCACCAACTCCCTCAGCTCGAGAACCTGCAACTCGAGGACCTATATTTAGAGGGCGGGGACGTTATTGATGATGTTGGACGTTACCGCTTCCCCAAGCTCAAGCGTTTCCTTATCTACGCCCTCATAGATGATATCCACGAAATCGCACAGCACGTCGAGTTGCCACCCGACACAGTCATTTCTGTCCAGTGGCAATTTCCAGAGCCTGATTTCATCGACACAATCGGCGCGAACCGTGCTTTCAAACAGCTAGCGGAAGCCCGGTCCCCTGGTCGTCCCCTCAAGCATGCTATGATTCGCTGCACATGGCCAGGGGAGGTGGACATCTACGACGACGATCCCGAACCCGACGAAACGTACCTTCGCTACCAATTCCTCCGCGTAGACGATGATCCGGAATCAGACTCGGACGACACAAACAGTGATTGGGACGACCTGCCTCCTCCGTTGGATGTCGTCCTGGACAGTCTCACACATTTACCCACGAGCACAGTGACCCACCTCACCTTGGACTTCGGAGCGTCGCCCTGCCTAGTCGCTTTCATACCCCAGAATGGGGGCCTTTTGGCGGATCTGGCAGGTGATCGAGAAGTTACTTTTGATCCTTGTTCGCGAATTGTCGATCTCGTCGACGTCTTCCCGAATCTCGAATGGCTCTCCTGCGTAGGTCAGGACGACTTCATCCGCTTCCTCGGGCACTTGCCACCGAAGGGCAACGATCCTCTGACGCTCGTGAAGGCAGCAAAGTACGACAAGAGCCCCCCGCCTTGGCCGAAGCTCAAAACTCTGATAGTCGAGGGTTGGTGCAATACGGCTGAAGAGATCAACGTCCTCCTCTATGCCCTAGCCAACCGATGCCGGCGGAAAGCTCCCGTTTCGCATCTCGTTGTTGGCGCCCCTACCCTCACAAAGACGGAGGCTGGCATGTTCCTTTGGTTCGTCCGTACCATCGACGTTCAGAAGATCGTCAAAGCCTGGGTCACCAGAAGAGATCCCGTTCCGATAGAGATGGTAATGGAGCTCTCCAGGGCGAAAGGAGAGTGGTATTGGTCCGAGTCCGAGAGGCTCGAATCTGACTGGGATTTCGCGAACGACGCCCTCATGCGAAGTCGTCGTGACTTTTCCGCCCGTACCATTATCGAGATTCTCAAGGGATGGCCTCCTGGGAGGCTGGTACAACTTGTAGAAGCGGGTATCATTTACGGTGTGGAGACGACTCCGAAGCCGAAGTGGATAGGGGATGAGTTATGGAAGTTCGCGTTCAGGATTGCGGGGTAAGCACGCACACTGTCTTGCTACGTGGACAGATTTTGACGTGAAAGATAGTGGCGGTCCTGCGGTGAGTGAATATATAGATACTGTGGTAGGATTGGAGAAGGTATCAGATGATGGAAATTGGAAAGGTGAAGATGACCTTTCGGATGATATCAAAGAGGTCGAAGAGACGCAGCAGTGAGCTGAGAGGTCATCGTTTGTAGCCCGTAGACGCCTACCTTTGCTTGCTTGCCCAATCGTCTTGACGGAAGAAATACAATGTACATGCCAATAACTGATGCCAATAATCGTATGCTTTACGATACAACGCCGATATCCTCGTTCCATAGCTGAGAATTTATATGCAATTTTGAGCGACTCCTTCATCTCAAATCAGCAATTTAATTACCCACGCACCTCTGGTTTCTCTTTTATAAATTTGGACATAAGCGCCTTACATTCCGCATCCTCGGCGACAATAACCTCTACCCCATGACTTCGAAGATACTCGTCTCCACCGATAAAGTTAGTGCTCTCGCCAATGACGACGCGCGGTATCTTGTAAAGAAGTATGGCGCCGGTGCACATACTACATGGACTGCAAAAACAAAGATGGCCAATTCAGTGAGAAACGCTGTGATTCGTCGAGTTGCACATGCTAGCTACCTCAACGTCGTATACTGTCACAGTGAAATGAGAAGAGTGAATCAGCTCTTGTCTATCAAAGGAATAGAGCGTTACTCACAATGGTGCATTTCCTGTAAACTTCAGCTGGCTGTCTGCCCGCTGTCTCTAGAGTAGAGATCTCCGCGTGCAAGGTCGCCGAAGCCTTCTGCCATCTCTCGTTGTGTCCCGCTCCCAAAACACGGAAGCCTTCACCCTCTATAGAATCGTTCGACTCAAGTAGAGAAGAACCAATCGGAACACCTCCTTCCGCGTAGCTTTTCTTGGCCTTTGAAAGAGCAAGGGATAGACCTTCACGATCCATAGGTGAGAGAGTCGGAGACATGAGTGTAGAGGCCTGGGGCCAGGAGACGAAGGTGAGGATCAGCGAAGAGCAGGAGGACTTTTCAAGAAACTACGTTGGCCGACCACGTCATCGATGGATAGTTATCTGCACCTATCCGTACGCCGGCGGTAAGTTGAGGAACGCCGTAGTCGGTGTTCGCACATACGCAACGGCCTCCGGCCAAGTGATTGACAAAGGATTCCTCCACACCAGAGAGCAGATACGAGAATTGAATGTGGGCGCGCCTCACTTCTGTCGCCCACTTCTTTCTAGGCTTAGACGATCCATCTTCATAGGAGAGTTCATTGCTATCACCCCAGTGGACTCGTCTATGTATCTGTGTCTCAAAGGTGGACCATTATGATGGTCATCGACGAGAATATATCAGTCTTTACATTTGGTCAGGAGGCTTCCCGAATCATTGATCGTCCTTGGGCCGTCAGACCTTCAGGAGTGGATGCTGGCCGACACAGTTATTTAGTGATGGTACATTCACGGGGTGGGTGGATTCAGAGCTCGCGTTGTTGTACATGCAATATGTGATGACATGAACAGGAAGCCAATCGCAGGAATATGATGCCCATATTCCGCCGATCAACGTCGCGATCCGAGTCTCAAGCTGTCTGAAGCGCGTTGAAACAGGTAAATCTGCTCCGAGTCATAGTGAGAGCTGGAAACTGGAGATATTATGCACAGTGTGTATATGATCGTCGAGCCTGGGTAGTAGAGCAGGGAGTTTGGATAACCATAACATCAAATTTGCCGACTCGAACGCGACTGAAAATCAATTGAATCTGCCAATCTACGCACCAGTATCTACGAAGATCTATGGGTACTGTCCGTTTACTAGTCGATGGCAAACGATTTGAAAGCTTGTATTGATTGCGACTTGAGCAACGTCCCTGGTATTCTCTAACTCTCGAGAGGGGAAGCCTCAAACAGAGATGCACCCACAGCTGAGATTATTATGGTTGAGGCTGAAAACGCTATACCTTGCGACGAAAGGATAAAGACGAGAACGTGTTTCTGTTGAGTTTGACTCCACCTTGACCTCAGCCACTAAAATGGAGCGGAGATTGAAATGTACCGGCAATAGGCGTGACACGGTCAGCGTTGCAGTCGTCTTGCGAGTTTGACTCTAACACCAAGCACGACCTCCATCTCATATCCACCATTCTCTTCAATGTTAGACATGGAATCTCGAAAAAGACCATTATCTAGTGAGCCTGACGCCGTCCAGTCGAAGAAGCGTGCCATAGCAAACGCCCAGGGTTCACCGGTCCATGCAAACGGTATGGCTTCAACACCGACCTCCAATTTTGACGACGAGCCTAAAGACCAGGATAATCTTGAGGTGTGCCCATTATCCCACTCACGTTTGCTGTGAAGAATAATTCTTGATGATGTCTTCGATGTTTCTCAGTTATTTCGGAAGGAGGCCATCTATCGGCGAATGAAGCATTATTCGCGAGAAAATCAGCGTAGTCAGGCGCGCATTGATGAGCTTGAGCGGTGGAAGACAACGTATGAGGCCAGTCTTGCTGTCATGGGGGCTTGCTGGGCGCAGGTGCGTCAGTTTCCTTCCTATCCGTGCGCGGTTGATAGTGACGTTGTCTTTGCAGTTGATCGAAACCGTACGGGATCTCTCAAAGCCAAACTCGTCTGAACCCTTAGATGCTGACAGAGAACGTGAGTATCAGTTCTCGTACCGATATTGGCACTAGATTCACTAAATACAAAAGACCACAGAATTGCTCGACCTGCCCATACATATATCACCAGGGTCGGAATCATCGCTCAAGGCTGCTCTGGAGAAGAAGGCAGCCAGCACCTGCCATCTCGTTGCTTCTTTTGTTCAGCCTGGAACACGAAACGACGACTCGCAAAGTCTGAAACGGGCTCAAGAGGAGGTGGGTTGTGGACTTCGTAGTAGCCTTCCTATCGCTAATGACCAACGTCAGTGTACAACTCTTCGTTCAGAGCTAGCTCTGGCTCACTCTCAAGTTGCGGACCTTCAGTCTCAGCGCGACAACTTTCGTAACGATCTAATGGCGGCAGAGATACGCCTGGATCGGCTTCAGAGTCGAACCGTACAGTCCATGCAATCTCATACTTTGCCTTCTAGAGATGTAGCGGATGAAGAAGGCGAGGGATCGAAGTCGAGTGGCGGCCCATCTGATGCCGTCCTCAAGTCGTCTCCTCCAATGGTGCGTAGACCTCGTTAGGGACCACCATGGCATAGCGCTTATGAACAAAGTAGTCTCCGTATCCGAATGGCGTGTCTGCAGCCGATTCGGCGGGATGGGAGGAGTTGGCCAAAGCTCGAGAGACAACGATAAAGTCACTAGAAGAAGACCGACAGACTCTACGTCTTAGACTGTCACGTTTTGAATCTGAAGTGCGTCTTTTCTTGCCAAGTTATCATCACAGCTGACGATTCTACCAGCGTCCCGAGTTGTCAGTCGAGACCATCTCTGAGTCTCCCCACTACAAGTTCTTGTTGGATAAGATTTCCAAACTGGCGTATGACAATCATGAATTGATAGAAGAGAAGGATAGGTTGAGTGAGGAGTTGAGAGCGATGATTTCTGGTCGGGAGGAATGGGAAGCTGAAGTGAAGGCAAGTCCTTCGCATCTCGACAATTCGTACATGTGCTCATCGTCTCACAGTCCGTCTATGGGCGTGCTGTCGAAGAAATGCGAGCCTTACTATCCAAACGAGAGTCAGACGTGGTCCGTCTGCGTGAGCAACGCGATCAACAGCATGCCGAACTCAATGAACGCAAGCAGAAAGATTCTGTCAAGCAGCATTCAAAGCAAGAGCTTCGCAACCTAGCCGAAAGCCATGCGGTGAGTTTGATGTCATTCTGCGAGCTCTTAAGTGTGGTATTCTAAGTTATCTCCTTTTATTACTCAGGAGCGAGTCAAGGGACTCGAAGCAGAGATTGCCCGACTGAAGCCTCTCGTGGCAGCTAACGCCGGCCATGCAGATCTGGCTGCATTTCTCGCTCGCGAACGTTCAGGAGAGGCTTCGTATGTGGAGGACCTCCAGAAACGCTTGCAGTACGTCTCCATTTCGGTATGACTTTCACTTTCTCATAGTCGTATTGTAGGCAATCCGAGAACAAACTTACTGCCCTCGAGACATCTCTATCGCACTTCGACGAAGAACACCATGAGGCCATGGATGCCACTCGCAGAGAGGCGCAACTGCGAGAGCAATTACAGGACGTCTCCGAAAGGCTCAGCAGCATGGAGGCTACCTTTGGCGACCAGTCCGCCGTACCTTTGCCGCCAGATGTTGCTCAGCTTACAGAGCATCTGAAGCAACGAGACGAGGAGATCAAGCGTCTCAAGCTACAAGAGATGCACCGCCAACAGTCAGAAGCAGCATTGTACGCTGAACTCGATAGACTGTCGTCTGCATGGGAATCTCTTGAACGGCAAGTGAAGGGCAAGATCTTCGACCTCTCAGCCATGGAGGAGCGACTCAGTAAGAGCGCCTTGGATGTAGGTCCATGTCTTTGTTGTCATTTTTTTTTCGCGTTGTTCTTACTTTCCTGCAGAAAGCAAAATCGGAGAATAAGTTCTACGCTGCGATGAGAGACAAGGAGTCGGGTGACAATGAACGCAAGATTCAGGGCAAATTATTGGAGAAGCAGGAGAAAATCGCCTCTGTAGCTCAGGCAGCAGAGTCGGCTGCGAAGCTTCGGGCGGTAAGTTTCCCTACGCTTTGTTGAAGGCAGCTTCTTCTGGCTCATCTACACCGTCTACAGGATACTCTTCTCAAGGAAGTTATACTAGAGCGTGATCGCGCGGAAGCCTATGAGCGACAAGCCCTGCAGTCAGCCCTTGAGACGGACGCTTACAGAACGCAGGCCGAAGTCAACTTGCAGAAACTTGAGGAGGTTGGTCCCTGTGATTCCATCCTGAAATTGACGTCTATTAATCAATACTTCATTGTCTAGAGCCGAGCCAGCGTCGCCGCTCGAGAGAAAGAGTATGAGAAGGGTTTGGTGGAGGTTCGGGTCGCAAAGGAAGCTGCTATCAAGGCACGGAAGGAGGCGGAAGTACATGCCGCTGCTGCCAAAACGCGACCTCAGAATACATCTGCGAAAGAGAGTGTTCTCCAGAAAGAGGTCGACAAGTGCATGGTGAGCATTAACTATGACTTTCGCCGTGATGTATTCTTTGACCATCTTTCTGGTTGATTTCTGGTTGATCACAGAGTATACTCAAGTGCTCTACATGTCGCATTAATATGCGGAACACAGTCATCACGAAATGCATGCACTGTTAGTCCTTACCTGCTTACTTACCAGCCTCTTTCGAACGCTCATACTCTCTCGTCTAGCGTTTTGCAAACAATGTGTCGAAGCTCGAATTTCGACTCGACAACGGAAGTGTCCAGCCTGTAACCTGGGTTTCGCTCAGTCCGACGTTCAGCAACTATTTTTTCAATAGGCCACGTTTGCCGGGGGTTCTTGCTTTTCTTGCGCCGTGCTCTACATTTATTAGTTTGGTTCTCCGGTCTACGGCTCACATTCACTGTATGTTATGGTCTGTCCATTTTTCGAGCGCGTCGTCTGTTTTATCTCCTGCGTCATATTGTTTGTATCTGATCGTCTGCACAACGCATAACCTCATGCTCACCATTGTCACATGTTCCCACCGCCTTCACACATATCTGTTGTGTCCACTCTCTTGGGATAGGGGCATTCAACGCCGCCTCGACGACAGAGCACACTGATAGAAGAACTTTTCATATATGAGGGTATAACAAACGAGTGAAACGTGTACTGATAAACAAGGAGACAGACACAGCAGGTACGACCCTTGAAACGTCACCGACCAGAACGAAAGGGAGACATAGCGTAAATTAGTAAAGTCGAATGGCATCGAAGACGATGTTCGGTGACCTGGAGGAGTGGTAGTCAGAACCAAGCGCGATCCTGGAAGAAGAGGGACGTACAGGTAAGTGTCGCCAGAGGACCCAGAGACAACGTTGATCGTTATGACGTTCACTGTGGAGCCAGTATACAAAGTACCGTCCGCTATATCGTCGCATGCGGATGAGTCGCTGGCTGTTTGGGATGCAGAGACAATACTTACGAATGTCGACGGTATACAGTACGTTGTTGCCTCTCCAGGTGCCGCGCGTTACACCACGGCTATCAAGATTCTGTTACCGCAACGGTCAGTTCGCCCCGGAACGTGGTAAATACAGAGGCTACTCACCGTAGGAGCTGAGAGAGAGCACCGGAGATCTAGCAGTCAGGATCATGGATGACGAAGTCTACTGCACTACGCACCAGCAGGAGTCGGACCAGTCCAACCATTAACGGTTACTTGGGGGCGTCCACTGAGGTCCACGCCGCGTCAATACACACGTCGTACAGAAGGACCCACAACCTTACTTACCCAGCAAAGGACCAGGTCGTTCCGATATCCAGGGTACGAGCACCTCCTTGGCCAGAAGCCAAAGCAAATCGAATGGTCACCACCCCAACGTCCTAGGAAATGGACAGAGATGGGTCATGGTCGGATTTGGAGGAAGTACCTCGACAACTTCAGATTCTTGCTACTCACCTTGAAGATGGCCATGGGGAAGTACCCTATGTCCTCTTGACCAACCGTGTAGGTTCGCACCCAATCGTGCATACTGATGCCATACCATTCTCTGATTAGAGAACACGATATAGCGCGGATAATACGACGCTCACCGAGAATCGCTAGGGCTATTGAGTTGTCATGGTGAGCAAACAATTGCAGGCGAATGCAGTAAAGTGTATCTCACTGCATCGTTTCGATCATGCTGTGTAAACCTATTGAGCTTTCCCGAACCTCGCTGGAAACTTTGGGAAAGATATTTGGACTAACTCGGCGTTCAAGAATCCCCTTGGCTGCCCGTCAAAGTCCCCTATTTGCCAGATGACAGTAGATGGAGCCTGGTAACGAGATTGTGAGCAAGATCAGTACGATGCTGTGTCTATCCCACCCACATCCTCTGCCGAGTCGATGTTCTTGGAGGTTGTACTGCCTGCCGTGACGGTCACCGAAGACTCTGCAACGGCTAGCTCGTTTTTGTAAACTGCGTAGGGATGATGAATACGAAAGAATGAACACGATCATATGAGCAGGACTGACGAATCATCGCATATGTTCCCGGAATCATGCCAGTCGTATAAAAGTTGCCAGTGCTGCTGTCTGCTTGAACCCTGTGCAGTGATCGAAAAGTATGGTCAATCTCCCCCTGTCACCTCCATTCTGTATCAATGCATACCAGTATTGGTTTGCCGAGTTGTTGAACGCAACAGTGGCGTTGAAGCTTGTCAAGTCAATACCGATGGCCTTCCCTGAGACGTATCCGCGAGACGCAAGAGGGGTATATGCAGAGATACCGAGACCCTCCCAGAAAGTGAGGTCTAGAAGGCCATTAAGACGAGTCACACGTGAAGAGTGGCATCTGAAGACTGCATACCAATGTCAGTGGAGGGAACGGCTCCTGTGGTAAAGTAAAGAGTGTAGGGGCCGTGCAGGCCCTGGCGGTAAGCTGATTTTACAAGTCAATTCAACGAAACGTCGAAGTCGTAGAGAGGATGGCGTGCCTTCGGTCTGAACATGACCAGAATTCTGGAAGGATCGAATGAGTCTAAGTAGCTCTGATGTATCGCCAGATATACACGGTATTCGTTGATACGCACCATGTCTAAAATGAACAATTAGTCGTAACGTCAGGTCAAAGCTACCAGTGTGAAAGACGCACAGAAGTAGAGCTCGTTTTGATCACCGTGTTGGTTGTTAATGTCGCTATACACATCCGCATCCAGATGAGCCCAACAGCAGATTGGCTACGTTGAGAGCCGCTGCACTCAGAAACGTGACGTACCGGAAGAAGGGGCCACCACTGGACTTCTCATAAGCATATTGAGAGAGGATTATGTATGCACCTGAGAGGCCCGATTAGCTGAGATCTACAGTACGCAATGATTCCGAAAGGAAGATACGGACCGATATTGCTACCTGTAACTCCGTGAACCTTGTCATAGATGAATCGCTGGGAAGAGTAGACTGAGAAGTATGTCCGTCAGAACGAAGTAAATAATGGAGATCGATGCAGTCTACTCACACTTCGAACGCGTCTGTCCATCGCAGTAAAACACATCGGAGCCCTCGATGGCATCGTCGCAGATCGCAGACTGAGTATACCCGTTGGGCAGGGTCGCAGAATTCAGGCGGAAGATGTAGCGCAGCTCGCCAACACTTGGCTCTGCCGTCGTATAAGTGACCATATGGATGGCTGGATCCTTGTATTTCGCCACATAGTAGCTGAAGATGGGAAGGGGTTTATGGTAAATATTCTGGCGTGCATACTACTTTTGAGAATCTCGCTACTCACTGCACCAAGGTCGACGTCGTGCAGGCGATGACGACGTAGTGGTCATCATTGCCAGTGAATTCGTATGTGCAGGTCGCGCCAATGCCTGACGAAATTTGGCTGTGCTTGCCGCTCTGGTCTTGAGCCTATTTGCGATCACCGTTAGGGGCCTATGACTAGGACGCTCATTCATAAACGTGCACCTCAATTCCGTTGTACAGCATGCTAGTAATGTCGCCGGTAGTGTGGTCCACTAGAAATGACGGTGTAATGAATATTGTGAGCGATGAGGACATGAAGCAGCGATCTTACCAGTAAAAATAAGTCCACCAGATGTATCAACAATGTAGTTGTTACCAGACACGGTGACCGTCCAGCCCAAAACCGAAGAGACCAAAGTGGCCAAGGCGCAAAGGCCGAGAAAAAGGGAAGAACGAAGCATCGCAGCAGGTTCTACAGATAGAAATGTGGTGACTGGTCGGTGTCGCCGGCGCATCTTATATACTCTGCGGCAACGGGACTTTTGTCATGATGACCTGGTGCGGCCAGGAACTACAGAACGAGCCGTTCCAGAAACGGCGGAGATGCAGTATGTCTTGGCGTTGTTCGAGGAGGACTCATCGGTAAAATTAGAGACCAGGTGGTGCGTGAACCTCGTCGAGAGAAGTGTTATGCTACAGAAGCTCGCATCTTGTGATGAACCGACCGCCAAACGATCATCGGCATGTCGACCTCCAGCCTTGCAACGGACAATCACCATGGCTGATCATCGTGGACGTGATCTGAATGGGAAATGAGTGGTTTTTCCGATCCGGGCCGTTAGTACTTGCGACATCAGCATTAAAAGCCAACAGTGAGAGGATGGAATCAGAGCCCTCCGTTGTACGGTACCGCTCGTACGTTTTCCTCCGAAGATGGTACCTCCCGTAGTGCCGAGGTATATCACAAAGTAAGTCCTGAGATTATCCAGGGGGTTTCGCTTTGACGACTGCGGATTCAAGATTACGACGAGAGTCGAAATAGTATTTCAGCAGTGCAGCTTCCCTCTCTGAGGAGATCGCGAAGGTGGGAAAGGATTCAAAGTAAGGGATAATCACGAGCTTGGACCTTTCGTGGACGATATACCATCATCCACGAGAAGTATGCAAAATAATGCATGAGGGTTCAAGGCACAGGTTCGGATGTCGAAGCTCAACCAGGCACCGAGTATAATTCCATAGGCAGGTGCAACCTGAGGGCAGCGTCCTTATGGCAGGGGTTTGGGATGTCATGGATACTGGAGCAACTGGCAGCCAAGGCGCAGAGACAGTTTAGCCTCACCGCTTGAGCTGAAGCTGCATTATTGTCAGGAGCCAATTTGTCGCGGAGAAAGCAGTGAGGAGAAAGAAAATGTCCAAGGTTCATGGAAGCCGAACGTGCGCGACTGAACCAGTTTCTTGTGCGACGCGATTTCTCAGGAGGGAGATCAGATCTAAGATTAGATTGCGAAACATTGTCGTGGTAAATTGTTCTCATTCAACCCGACGCGTGTACATAGCCCGTGTGGCCCAACCTCATCCGCACTGCCGAGCCACCGTCAGTACTTTTCGAACGGTGAAAGAATCTCAATGATACTGACCAAAGGGTTACAATAAATTAGTAGTTACCCTTACTCTACCTCAACTCTTGCCGAGACTTAGACTGGTGGCACCAGTAGCACCCATCCTCAACACCGATTTCTAAGATCGACCACATCTTCGTCGAGATGCTTCAAAATGCACAATTGTCACGAAACATCAACGGCGTGCACACGGATGTTGTCCTGCAGACCTTTTCAGACCGCATCATTGTTCTCGTTACCCAAGTCGGCAAAGTAGGAAACCTCGTAAGTTTCTCGCATCTATTCCCTAACTCGATCTTGTTCCGCATCCATGTCAGCATTTGCGCCCTGATCTATCCGTGCGATGGAGGGTAGGTTATGAATCATAGCTCCATGCCCCTTCGTGAGCGGTTCTATCATTTCGTACTTAGGAGAGCCTCGTATATGAGCTATACTTCTGTTCGTATGCGAGACACAGACATCACCTCTGATGAGGAGACGACCACGAATTAAGCGAACCGGATTGTTTTCTATCATTGTCGACGTTTTTGGATGTCTAGGACTGCTACCCTCTGTGGCCGAGAGTATCGTTGTCCGGCTTACCCAAAGACACCCCTTGTTTCTTTGGCCATTCTCGAACTGACAGTTCTTCACCTCCAGATCCAAGCCACCCTCCCCTCAACGATCCCCCTCCTTCCCGCTCCCCCACCCCCACCCCCATCTTCCGATCCCAACTCCCATCCCACATCTCCACTCCAAACTCCACCTCACCGCCCCCTCCCTCCTCCCCACCCCTCAACCGAACTCACCTCTCTCCTCGGCAGCGCCCCCACCCCCTCCCTCCAAGCCCTCCACTCCCTCTACACCTCCCACATCGCCACCATAGTCTGGACTACAGAGTCCGGGATGATGGGACAGGGCCGGAGGGGCGTCGTCGTCGGTCTTGCGCTTAAAAGAAGTCCGAATGCGAATGCGGGTGCGGGGAGAGGTGGTGGTGGTGGTGCAGATGCGGAGGAGGGAGCGAGGATGGGAGAGGGGGATACGGAGTTGTTTAGGAGTGTTATGGATATGGTGGCTGAGGTCGTGGAGATGGAGTGATCATGAACGACGCTGACTGCTGATCCTGATCCTGTACTGATAACAGTACCAGCCAGATGTGCTGAAAACTGGGGGATAGACAATTCCCTCGAAGCAAACTCATTCGAACGACTCGGACGCACATCACTCCATGTTCAGTATCATATATAAAACCCATTTCGATTCGCGTCATGCACATCCATACGGAGGTCATAGCCTCCACGACTGTACCTGCACCATAATTGTACCGTACCGTACTGTACCGTATGTACCAATACGAAAACCCAGGGACATACGCATAAGGAAGTTTCTTTTTTTCGCCGAGCGGGTGACGGGAAGAGAAGGAGGGAGTGAAAAGCGGGAAAAAACGCATAGTGTGCCAACAGGCGACAGACGGACGATGAACAATTTACAGCGAGGACGACAGACGACGAAAGAAAGCAAGGACGTGAACGAGATGAACCGGACGGAACGGTACACACTTTTGTAGCTGCACTGCCGACTAACACACTGGAGCCAAAACAGCCCGAGATGAGGCGAAAGGAAGCAGGAGAGAAAGACGGATGATGGAGACAGCGAACGACCGTCAAATCGAAAGAGTTTGAGACTCAGACCGCAATTGGAATTGAAGCAAGCAAGTAAATGGGTTCAAAGAGATGGTCAGATGAAAAGCAAAAAGGTTGAGAAGTGAAGATGAAGATGGTGAGCATGGTGAGGAACTCGATTCGGTGCCGGGAACTGTATGATATTCAAACGCCGATTGCAGGAGAGTCGAGTAGAATGGAAAGGAAAAAGGAGAGAAACAAAGAGAGATTGAAACGCGGCCCAAAGCAATACTAATGAACAATAACATGATAAATGATGGGAGAGCGACGAAGGGCAGCAAGGGGAGCGTTGGATGGATAGCCATTAGAAGGTATGAAGATGATTGGTGAGAGAAAGAGAAAGGCAATGCGAGAAAACAGGGATGACGGGTTGGTGTGGAAAACACAAAGCAAGTATAATGGCGGCGGGACATCGCCAATCAGAAGTAGATATGAGAGCGGTACACACAGATGCTTGGATGAGAGATCGTGGATAGGGGTAGGTGGCAGGTGGCAGGGATAGTCGTAAGCAGCGACAGCAAGTACGACAATGACGCGAAAAGAAGCGATAATGGACAGCGAAAAAGCGACAAGACACGAGTAGGACATATGCAACGAAGCGGCGAAGAGCGTTAGAGCATGACAGCGTCAAAAGGAGAGTGGGGGGGGATATGCGATGCGAGTGTGATATTGTACAGAGCGAGGACAAAAGATTATACATACGGTAAAGGTCAAACAACGACTCTAGCAACTAGTTCCCATGATGTGAAAAAAAGAAAAAAAGCGCTGTGGCGAGGTGGAAGTCGTGATGGTGGAAAATAACGATACGAAAATGCGCAAACCCAGCTCGCAAATTGTCCGGCTTACATCTCCCAAGCGCAGCGCAGATGCACCTACTGAAGGATAGTCCCGAAAAACATTCGCCTAAGCGACAGGAGGCTTCCAAGTACCACCAACCCGACGACTGCTAGCGTTAGAGGCACCCGAGGGAGGCTTGTACGGCTGGGGTGGCGGAGGAGAAGGCGCGGGAGAAGGAGGCGCAGGAGGCGAAGCAGGAGCAGGGGCGGGTACAGACGCAAGCGCTGAAGGTGACGAAGACGTGCCCGAGTCATGGGAAGTGGAAGCCTGCTGAGTGTCATCCTCAGTGCGCGGAACGGGATCGTAATTCGCGTCTGGATGTGTCGGGGAGTGAGAAGACTCCCCATCGTCGTAGTTCACGTATTGCAACATCGCTTCCACACCGTTGGCAGCGCTGGACTGAGTATCGTCGGTGAGCTGATTCTGGGGCCAGCCTTGGAGGACTTGTGGCAAATCAAGATCAGGGAATTGCTGTTCCCACGACTGAGTATTGGCAGTATCTTGGAAGGCCCCAAAGTTTTGTATGAATGAAGCCATCTCTGAACCCAGGCCGTTAGAGGCGTCCTGGAACGGCAGGCCGAAAGAAACGTCAAGCTGTTGGGGCGGGAGAGCATTTTGCAAATCACTGCCCATGCCTTGCTGCAAGTGGAATATGCCCGAAGTATTCAGTCCGAACGACGCCCATACCTCAGGATCAAAGGCATCGAGGGTGACAGGGACAGAATCGGAGAAGCCAGGAGCGAGTGAGAACTGTGCGGGGATGCGTCAGAGTAAGTCATGGTAAGAAGAACGACGGAACACACCTGTGAAGATCCGTCTCCTGCCGGAAGGTCCAAGTTCCATTGCTCGTACTCATTCTGAAGCAACGCCGACGAAGATTCCTGCGTGCTCGGAGGCCACTCTGACGCCGATGGCTGGGACAAGGCCGGAAGAGACAGTTCGGGCCCAAGTGGCGACGGGGGCCGGGATGGAAAGAGTTGGTTGGAGTCTGAAGGAGTGGGGAGCACTGGAGAAGGCTCTGGAGAAGGCTCTCTAGCAGGCTGGGGCTGAGGCTGAGGCTGAGGCTCGGGTTCCGGCTCCGGTTCTTCCCTTGCCTTGGGTTCCGGCTCTGGCTCCGACTCTGGTACGGGGGAGGTGTGTGGCGCGTCGGCAGGTTCATCTGCGGTCTGCTCGGGGGATGGGGGTAGTTGTGGCGCAGCGGTCTCAGGACTAGGACTGGACTCAGAGGTTGATGATGGGGATGATGGGGTGAGTGGGGAGGCTGGGTGAGGGCCAGGAACGTGGGCGAGGAACAAAGGTGGCGAGGGCCCGCGCTCGCAATAGTGGCGGATGATGATCGGGCGGGGCGGGGGAGGTGGCGCGCCTTGGGCGGCGGACACGAAGCTGTTGGCAGAGTATGGGGCCGAGCGTGCGGCACGAGCAGCAGCACGAGATCTCTCCTTCTCCGCCTTCTCGTCTGCCCTACGCTGTATCTTCACCTCCTTTTTCTCTGGCTTGAAACGATAGCCAGGGTATCTCACTGCGTGCTCCGCTTTGGCCACCTCGGCGCGTCGCTCGTATTCGGCGCGTACGGCAGCACTCTCTTCGCGCCACTGCTTGCCCAAGAGCTTCGAGACCTCTGCCTGGAGCATGGGAGGCTTACCGACAGGCTGCTGATACTTGCCGATGTGGTCTGAGCGGTAGATGATCCACGCGTTGGGGGGACGGGGCGTCTTGATGGGTTTATCGGAAGTCGTTGGATCGTTCATGTCCATGTCGTAGTCGTTGAGGTCTTGGCCGGTAGCCTGTGGGTTGTAGTAAGAGAAGTGTAGAGTCGGTGTCTGGAAGGGATTAGGGATGGGAGACGCGGTGGAAGGAGGAAGCGCAGAAAATGTGTCTGCAAACGCGGTCGACGGTTCGACGTCGGATGCACGCGCGCCTTGCCCTCTTTGGTCACGCGTCACCCTCTTGCCCAATGCGGCCTTGCGTGGCCTCTTCGTCGCTGTGGTAGGGCCGTTCCGTTCCGCCTTCTCGCGCTGGGCCTTGGGCATCGTCGACGGTGAGCAGAAGGCTGAGGAGGAGACGCGCTTTTCGACGCGTCCAAGGCAGTGACGGGGGATGGTTCAACGGGTTCAGACCACGAGAGCGCTCCTCCTTCTATAGAACTTTGCTCCCCGGGTCGCAAATTCCACATCACAACCGGCAGGGCAGACAAAAGGAATCGACGGCACATACCGCGAGCCATCCACAGGCGTCTACATGGACCTCCATTGTTCGACCTTATCGTGTATCCCACAGGTGGCGTCCTAAATATCGATGCAACTCTCCCTCTGCTGTCTGCGCTTCATTCTGCATCTTCCTCCCCATCGTCCTCTCCTTGATCCCATCTAGCTCTTCTATTTGGGTCACAGCAAACCTGTACTCCTGGAGCCGTATTTTTTCTAACAGCTGCGAACTCGCCATGGCCGCGGGCTCACGGATCCGTCCTCTCGGCCACTTGCGAAACGAAGTCATCATATCTCCTCCTTTGTCTTGAAATTGAGTTGCGGCGGTATTCTTTCGACGATTTACACGACAGCCTCTTTGCACTACCCCTCGCTTCCATCGCCTCGAGGCAGTCAAAGGCATCGAACTAGTGGGGTGTTACTTCTGCACGACTTCACAGAAGCAAGGTATCCCGTTGGGTGGCGCACAGGTTCTGAGATGATGCCAGGGGTCCATTTCAACCAGTGAGTTCTATGCTCTCGACTGGAACCTGACACTGCATCAATTAGACTTGCTATCGTTGCTCCTACGCAAGCTAGGCTAACGGGTATCTCGCAGTCGACCGAGCCGGGCCATTCTCTCACCCCATTAGACTTCAGCTGCCACACATCATGGCGAATCATTCCCCCGTCCCCCGTCCCACGACTCGCATCTCATCCGTCGAACAAAAGGCTTGAGGGCCAGATCTTGTGGTCAGAGATTCCTTCGCCCCTATGGATGACTCCAGCGTGCATTTTTCGGAGAAGCTACTTTGACTCCTCCATATTCGAACGGTCTCGTCCCGGCTCGTGTTATACAATCATCCTTCCATGGCCAAGGAATGGTGGAGTGATCTTCGTGCGCAGATGCTTCATTTCCTGCTGTCCTTTGGACGAAAGAAACGAACCATTGTGGCCGCGCGTGTCTCCTAGTCCCAGCGGTAGCATGTGGGTGAATATTTGTTGCTCACCGCTACAGCCCAGGGCCCGGCCGTCTATTCGCGCTATCGCTTGCGTTCGGCCGTGTTTGTTGTTTACTTTGTGCTCAAATGCGGTGGTGCATGGTGGGGTACCTAGTTCTTGATCGCTCTTCGATCGAAGTCCAACATGTGTACGGATATTTACTGGTGCCTTATGACGGCCCTCTTTTCTTTTTCTCCATATGAAAACATTGCTAACACGTTTGGGGCATCCGCAGGACCTCAAATCGCTTCTTTCTCTTCGCTTTGTCTCCTCTCGAATTCATACTTTCCTCACCACCTACCTTCCTCCTATCCATCCCATCGATTTCGACCTCACGTTCACCACATGGACATGCCTACATTAATTCAGGCCCTTCTCCTCTCTCCAATCACTACTTTGTCCCTTTGCTTTATGCTACCAAGCTGGAAACGACGGTGGACAAGGGCCCATATGCACCATCTGCCCGTTCAAGTACCCTGCGCGCCTCGTGTATCCTGAGCTATGTACGTTCAACTTGTACAAGGAAATTTTGCTTCCGTGAATAACCAATAGCCACTGGTACCATTTTACTCCCGATTGCAATTGCAATGCGTGTTTTTGTACGTGGAGTGTGGTCGTGATCAGGATTTCGTTTCTTTCTTTCCTTTTCAACGCTTTCCTTCTTTCAACCTGGAATTCAAGTCCGACATCGTTTTGATCTTCGCCCAAGCGTTGCGTGCAAAGAGAAATCCAGACCCTTGTCCCACTGAGGAGGCTCGAGTGCGCCACCCAATCGACAAAGGGCTGGACTCGTGTACTTTAAATTACACAGCCACAAATGCTTAAACGGATGATTTTGCAATTGGAATTCGATGACGAGGGTCTGGAATTTCGTCACATCTCGCATCTTCGTTAGTCTCTAACCAGACCTTATATAAGAAATCATTATATAAGGTCTGTTCCAATTTCTGGGACTTTGGCGGGGAGACCCCGAAAGACCATATAAGGAAATCTCTGGGTCGCGTCGGATCTCTCAGTTCGGTGCCACACGGCAAGGGTGGCACAGCGAAGTTGCGTAGGTTTTCGTTTCTGCTCCTGGATCCTTCCTGCCCGTGTGTATCAGATTCTCTGCCATCTTATTCTGCATCTTTACTCCGTATTTTTCAGACCGAATTTTTGATTATAACACTCTAAGATACATAGCTTTCAAACCGGCACATCTGCATGGTAAGCCACACCCCCACCTGATCAGTGGAACTCGTCAACAATCTCGTCCACAAAGAGCTTGGTAAACTGACATCTAAGAAGATTAACCTGCGTCTCAACGTGTTCTCGACTCAGAAAGACAGATGTCAGCGAATGGCCGGCACAGACTGAGGTGGACGAGCGATGCCACAATAATATTAATCAGGGGCCAGGGGCCACAGTGGCGGAAAGAAGGTGAATCGCAAGCGTCGCTTACAGATAGCCTGCCAAATATTATTCTCAGAAGATTACCGTGATCCAGCGCAAACCATGAGCGCGATTTTGTGAATGTCATCGAGTGTATGAACTCGGGAGAGTTGCAGTTAGCAGTGAGGCCGCCGCCATCTTACTACTTAGATATTTATTGTAGAATGTATGCAGTGAGGCATAATATATGAGATCTAGCTGTACATGGTTAGGGAAAACACAAGGGCACCTCTCCTCACAGTAAAGTAAGAACAAGAATGGACATGGGTCGAGACAAAGACACGAACTCTGTGAACGCCTCTTGCGCCCCCCACGGTTATCGCTTCGCTTAGATGAGATCAGGGCTTCCGCGTTATCATGAATTTCCATATATGGTCTTTGGGGGTCGCCCCGCCAAAACCTCCCAAATTGGACAAGACTACATCTTCGTTATCTTATCTCTCCGGAGAGCAGCGTGATCTTGAATCCGAATTTGACGATTTTGATTTTCTGTGCCACACCGTCCGCTCGCCGCTGCTCCTCCGACTGTGACGCCGTTAACGTTCATCGGCTCCAGCAGCATTGGCCACCGCCATCTGACGCTGTATTTCGCGTCGTTACATCAGACTCAGAGTGAAACCATAACTCAGTCAATAGAAATAAAAAAAAGAAAGACAGAAATAATGACCAGAGGCCGCAAAAAGGACCTGACCATCCCACCCTCGCGCTCACTCGACCACCAACGCGCCTACCGCGATCGCAAAGCGAAATATGTTTCAGATTTGGAAGAGAGATGTAGGAAGGCGGAAGCTGAGAATGAGGCGTTGAGGAGGGAGCTGCGCGCTTTGAAAGCTGGGAGAGGAGAGGAGGAGGAGACGGTGCGTCCAGTAGTCTCTGCTTTCTGACTCACCGCGTTGTAGCTCTGACTGATATTGGTTTATATTTGTGTGTATGATAGCGAGAAGCGTGTGCGAACCTTATGCGACATTTATTGCAGACGACGGAATCGTTGGTGAAGTTCCAGGCGCTGGCTTTCGGTAACTCATGCACAGCGACTCCTTCGTCGCCTGAACGAGAAAATATCAGACAGTCACATATGTACGATCCCACGTCTGTACTTCCATCGCCGAAGTGTAACTCATATCCTGTGTGTTGTATCGACAGCAGTACCTCCGCATCAGAGCTAACTACTATCGCCACAATCCTATCCCAACCGCTTAGGGATCCACATATTCGGCCAGCCTTCACGTTTTCTCCAGCATCCAGTACACACCACAAGTCCTCCTCTACAAATGACCGCGTGACTCCTCCCAGCATTCATGGCTATGTACCACCACCACTACCACATCCAATGCCACTTGTACCGGTGGCACTTCCGACCGTCTCCCCGTCGCCGATACCAGGCCATAGCATCGTATCTCAGCCAACGACTTCCCAGACTAGGATGGACTATGACTCGTACGAGTCGGATACGGAGTCCGAGTGTTGTGGCGGCCTGATGGACTGTCGCGGATTGATCGAGGAAGATGAGGCTGCCGCTGGTGGTACTTTTGCGCATACGGACTCGGAAATGGGTGAGAGGGTCGAAGGCGGAATGGCTACTGGTCTGGGTGTTGATATTGATGCGCATAGAGTATCGAACGATCGGTCCACCTTACATCGAACATAGTAACATGAAATCTAATAGTTGGGGCACGGACTTTGGTGTAGTGTATCGTAGGAACGGAACGCAGCCCTAGCATCACGTCCACGTAGCAAGGAACAAAGAGTAAACGCGGAAAGGAAACAGAACGAAGTTTGGACTACAAATTTAACAGCAGCTCAATGGCTGTCAACACCACCTGGAGCGTTGTTCATCAGTCGTCGTCCTACATGAGACATCTCTTGTAGTCGATGAATTCCACGGTATTCTTCCGGCTGTACGGGTCTCCAGGTGTCGGGAGCTCATACTTGATAACATGGCGACTCCTGCCATTGGTGGTGAGAACTTCAGATTGATCACACAGCAACATTCGAAGGGTTTGAAACATACCATTCAGTATTCCTGTAATCAGTCGACGTTGTCTTGTGAATTTTCTCCCGGTCCCAGTTCAGAAGCAACTCGTAAAACTCGCAGAGGAATATGTTATGGCTGACGACAACGATATGGGGAATGTCTTCGGGAATATCATCCGGCTTGCACAAGCGGTCCTCGCGGTGCTCTTTCAACTTCGACCACTCCTCCGCCTGAGCACGCTCACCTCCGATATTCTTTCCGTACAACCTAGCTATCCGCTTCAGCGCAACATGCGCGCGCCACTGGACATCGTTGAGAGATTCGCCACCGGGGGGTGTATGATGTCTGTCAAAGTTGGGATACCTCCCCCAGCCGTTCACGAGTCGGTTGTAGCTGTAGGAGTCTTGGCGGATTGAAGCACTTCGAGCGCTGTCCCCGATTTCACGTTCGATCAGCCATTCAGATTGTTCGACGGTGAGAGGTTCACAATGTTCGTCGGCGATGCCTTGGGCGGTCTGGGTAGCTCTGGTGTAGGTTGAGGCGATGATCTTGTCGATGCGAACGTTCTTGAACTCTTCGCCGAGAGATTTGGCTTGATATTTTCCTCTTTCTGTCAGGGGGTCTTCTTCGCACTCCTGGGCTGTATGTATCGTGCGAGAGAACGCATTGCCCATGCTCTGAGTATAGTAGTAAAAAAAAACAAGGACATCAGCAAGGAGATACCGCGAAAGCGTTAGGAAGACAGAGAAAACGCAAACCTGGCCATGTCTAACGAGCGTAAGGGTGAATATCTTACAGTCACGGCCTTTGTCCTTGGGAGCTGGTTCAGAGACCTTGTCTGGCTCGACGGTATCAGTCGCAATCGATTTGGCCGGTTCGGGCGCGTTCACGTTCGGGTCGGCAACCTTGTCAGTCTGATCACCGTCGGCGTTGGGAGTAGCTGGTTCGCGGGTCGCGGGAGGTGTCGTCAGAGAGGGTGCCTCAGTGTCTTCAGGTTTCGTTGTGATGCGTTCGTCGACAGAGCTGAGACTCCCAACGTCCAGAGTCCGAGGAATGGTAGCTGGCATAGTGTCCGCTAGAGCTTGAGTGGCATCAGAGGGAGAAGACATCCAAGCACGATAAGCGGTAGCTTGGTCGGGGTTGAATTGGATGGTGTGAAAGGAAGATAGAGACAGGGCTTTTATATGCTTGCCACTTGAGGAGGAAACATAGGAGACGTGCCGAAAAGTTGTCAATGAGTCAGGTTGACGCGGTCATAGAGCCGCGCTATCATTCGGATGCGAGCCTCCTGAGCTTCGTCGCCTCGAGGTGCCAGTGTCGCGACGCGCCGGGCCCGCGCATCTCTGACAGGAATGACTACTCTGCTGAAGATACCCGGAAGATTCTACCACCAGTTGTCGAGGCACGCGCAGTGAATATCTCAAATGTAAACCATAGGATGAAGCAAGGTGAGACAACCTCTATCTCTATCTGTTCGTCGCTGCGACGAGGAAAATCGGACAAATTGAACAAGCTTGACGCGGTCACGGGATCATGGCGATTTGTCATCTCGCAGGCGCGTGTTTGGCGGGCGTGGCACCCGATGACTCCGACTCGCCTTTAGCGTAAAATCATGACGTCTCGTTCAGTATATACAGTGGTACATATTTCTTCCAGAGCTCAAATATGACTATGATGACGGGCTCGACATGATGCAGGGGCGCGATACTAGTCGGTTCACCATCCGGCCCTCCCTCAAGGAGTCAAAAAGGTATCGTGCAAGCCTGTCAAACGACGTCGCCGCGCCCGTTCTTCTCGTCCGAGTCACCAGTCATGCTCTCCACAGCAGCTGATGGCCCCCAACTCAATTTTTGCTGGAGATACAGCGATACCCATGTCAAGGCCAGTAAAACGGGCACTTCGACCAGAGGTCCAATAGTGGCTGCGAGGGCCTGTCATACATTAGTATAAGGAAAACTGCGATGTTTAGATATACGAAAAAAAAAAACATACCTGGTCCGAGTCGACGCCGTAGACGGCAATGGCTACCGCAATCGCGAGTTCCTGCCCGCGAAAAAATCAACAAAACGAAGAATAGGACATAGAGTCACACACTGGTGGCGTCAATTGGAACTCACGAAATTGTTACTTCCAGCCGTAAACGACTGTACCACGGTGATCTCGTACCCAAAGTGCTCGCTCGACCTTCCACCCCTGACACTCAGACGGTGCATCATCCAAAACGCAAAGGTCCACATGATTAGGAAGTAAAGCAACAGGGGCACGATCGTCCGGAATACTGGACCGAGGTTGTGCAGGATGTGGTGGCCCTGATATGCGAACATGACGATGATGGTGTAAAGGAGGCCGAGAAGTGAGAGTGGCCCAAAATATGGGAGAAAGGTGGTGAGGAGGAAGTTCTTGGAGAAAAGGAACCACACGATAAAGCGAGTAAGAATGCCGGCGAGTAACGGAATGCCAAGATACTGTTTGACAATAAAAGTTGTGTTAATATCATGGAGGAAAGTTGAGTGAAAGAAGAGGATAAACGCACGATAAGGACCGAGATCGCAACGTTACCATAAGAGACGTGAATAGCAGACGACTCTGCCGTGTTCCCAATGATATTGATGAAAAGCACGGCATACGGAGAGTACAGAATAATTTGAAGGACGGAGTTGATAATGACTAGGATGGCACAATAGTCATGGTCCCCCCGAGCCATCTGATTCCAGATCATGACCATAGCGATGCATCGAGCCAGGCCGACCATAATGACGCCGGTGCGGTACGTTGGAAGGTCGGGCAGTGTGGCCCATGCTACAGCGAGCATCACGAGAGGGCCAATTATCCAATTTAAAATGAGAGAGATGCCGACATGAATCCAGAGGCGACGAGAGGAGAACATTGCGGGTAGACATTCGTATTGAACTTTAGTCAGGATGGGCCACATCATGGCGATGAGACCAATGGCAATGGCTGTCATTTTCGGAGTCAGTGTAGATACAGAAGGTTTTGCATAGCCATACGCACGAGCAGATACGTTATGTAGCTTGACGGTGTCGAAGGCGGATTGGACGTTGGGAGCAAACTCTCCGATTATGACGCCGAGAATCATGGATAGTAAGATGAGGGGGGTGAGCAGTCTGTCTAGCCAGTTCAGCTGAAGAAGTAGCCCTGCATGTCATATTGGAGTAAGTGACAATAATTGGATGGCCTATCGCTTGCATACCTCGTGCCCTTGTAAGTGGCGTTGAAGTATCATCACCACTGTTTTCTCCTAAAGAGTTATGGGTTTGGGAGTCGAGAGGACTTGGCGACTCTGTAATCTCTGAAGTCATATAAAAAAAGACTCAGGATTGGAAGAGAGACAGTGCGATGGATGGTGACTGTAAGAGATCGCAAGCAAAGGCAGGGTGTGTGAAGACGGTGAAGTTTAACTAGGAAAGCGAATTTGACTTTCGTCAAATTCGGAGTCGGCAGTTTCCGCAGCGATGAAGACCGCATGATTTCGCACCTTTTCGCACTCCTTGCTTGTCCGGAGACCGCGCACTCCGTGTCTACTTCGCGCGCAGGATCTCTTGCTCGAGGTCGCTACAAACATGGAACATTATCACCTACCGCAACTTACCATCCACTCGAGCAATGGGTGCTCTGTGCCCTCCGGTCTTGGTTCTATCTGCACTCCAGCGATGACAAAGTACCCTGAAGATCTATCGTTTACTTACTGGTAGAGTTGAACATGCCCCAGGAAAGTTCAACTTCGTACACTAACAATCTGCCTGGCAACGATGCATCAAACAGGCCGCATGCATCGCTTTGGCTGTACGCTGTGACCATCTTCCGACCAAGGCCAATACAGGCCGTTCGGAAGGTCTCCGGATGGACCGATACGACATCGGTCTGAAATCCTCCAAGGTCAGTATATCCATAAATGTCCTATATTGAAGTCGCGTGTGAGATGGAGAAAGCCCAACGGGACAAGGGGCTGTTAACAACAAGATTCAAAGGGACAGGATATCGATTGTTTTATGAGGGGAAGGTAGGTGCATCGTGCCAAGGACGACTAAACAACCGATCGACTTCTAAAAGCGGGAAAACATATTCGCGTGTTATTGACGTCGGGAGACGGACCCTTGATTGACCAATAGGAGCACGCGGCCTCGGTTAGCGCCTTGGCGGTCAGGCTTGCTTCTTGTGCCACACTGCCAATGCGGAGGTGTTTGCCCACCCGAAATCATGGCCGCTCCTCCGTCCACTCATATATCGTCGCTAAACGAGGCGCACCCCAAGCCCGATACTTAAGAACCTTTCCATCATCCCACCCCAATTTCTTTTCCTCCTCCGCTCTTCCTCGAGCTTTTGCCTCTCTCAAGCACATCCTCAGTCCGACCCCACCACTCTCTTTTGTTCATCATGAAATTCTCCGGATTGTTGGCCCTCGTTCTTGCCGCTGTCGCTGTCGAAGCAAACCTCCACGCCGAGCGCGATACTCACGGAGGACATGCTCAGTTGGCCCGCCGGCTCCCCAAGCATGCCAGCAAGCAGAAGCGCTGCAAGGTTCGCTCCTCTGCTGCACCGGCAGCGACCCCAATCGCGGACGTTGCCTCCACCCCGTCCTCCTCCTGGGTCGATCCCGCTCCCTCGTCTTCCTGGGTTGATCCCGCCCCCTCGTCCACCTGGGTGGCACCTACTTCCAGCTCTGTTGCCCCAGTCATCATGGCCGCTGCTACTCCCGTCGCGGGTGCCGTCGCCGGGTTGATTTCCGTCGTATCCAATACCTGCGGAGCGAGTGGTGCTACCAGTATGTATCGTAACATTGTCTTACAACTTCTCGATTCTGACTTCCGCCTCAGCGGATATTACCGCTACTAGCGGCCCTAACGGTGCCATCACCTGGTTGAACTGTGGACTCGACGGCTCGGGATGGAACCCGCCCTACATCCAGGTCTCCGATCTTATTTCGGCAGACCTTGGCCAATCCATTTCGACCGGTAACAGCCCATTCAATGCTTGCTCCGACTATGTCGATATGTTCTACCAGTATGCCGAACAGAACGGCCGTGAGTATCTCGTATCTCCTTCTTTTTCTATGATATGGGCTCAGACGGATTTCTAGTGCCGCCCATCCTTCTCGCTTCCTTCGCTATGCAGGAGAGCAGCTGCAACCCTGGCACTGTCGGTGGTGCAGGCGAGCAGGGTCTCATGCAGTTGACCAAGGATAAGTGTTACGCCGCCCCAGGTGGAAACTGCCAAGACCCCGTATGTTTTTGCCCATACTTTCATTGACATGTCGATTGATGGATTGGTTGTCCTTCTAGAACTATAACATCATGACGGGTGCCAAGTTCATCGCCGATACTCTCCAGGCCAACGGGGGAGATGTCTTGAAGACCATCGGCGCGTACAACGGGTGGTCTACTGACCTTACTTTGGTGTGTACCTTAGTGCATAAAGATGCGTTCATTGCTAATGCAAACTTTGTGACATAGTGGCAAGCGACCGCTGCTGCATCGACGTCTTGCTGCCGCTGCCAGAACAACCTCGACTAGTAAGTAAATTCTCGATCACGTGTTTATATCTGGTCTTAACCGCACCTTCGTCTAGCCTGCACCAGTTCCTCAACGGTTGGATGCAGGGCGTTGATGCCTACACTAATGTTCCCCGCCTCGGGCAGTACTTCAACCTTGACCAGTGCTAATTTCGCATTGTATATGTACTCCGCCTTTGCACCCTCCCCCCTTTGGCATCGGATTCTCGCCATTTTGCAGCTATTTCTGACCCGTGTACCATAACACTCCTGACACTCTCCCGTCGCCCATACTATAAGCATTGGCGTAAGTATACCCTGCTAATCACCTGCAGAACTTTCTTTTTGGTTTGAATTGGTTCTAACTTCCCCGTGACGGCCGATCCTTGCACGTCTTGCACATCCTTACACTATCCTCCCTACGCTGTATTCGCGATTTGTGTTTGGAATGCAATTGTTTCTCTGGAATAATTCTCTTGCGTGAGAGCCTTGTTTCGCCAGTGCGAACCTCTATCAATCCTTTTCGATATTGGGGCACCAATCAGGGGCTCTGTGGCCCTCAACGGTGTGGCGCCCATTTTGCCGTAATAAGCGTGTGACCAAATCTCGAGAACAAGCAATTCATTGGCTTCGAAATTTCTTGCACACGACAACCCTCTGCCATCGTGCCGCTCACCGTCCTCGCCGTCCCTCCCGTCTGAAGTGATTTCACGAAAATAACTATCATGAGCAGCAGTCCATCGAGTTCTGCTCCGTCTTCGCCTGGACCATCTGGCTCCACACCTCCGTCCTCCGCGCCATCCCCCGCACTGGCGACTCTAAGTATATCCGAAGCGAAAGAGGTCACAGAGCAGGACAAAGAGGAAGCGCAGAAGCTGAAGGCGGAAGCCAACAAGGCGTTCATCAGTGCGTTTCTTGACTTCAATCACCCGATCACTGCTTTGTGGCCCCAAAGACTGAAGTACTGATACTCTTCGATGTGACATTGGACAGGCCATGACTTTCCTCAAGCTGCACACCTGTACAGTCAAGCGATCGAGAAAAACCCGTTGGATGCTACACTTTACTGTAACCGCGCGTATGCACGACTAAAGATCGAAGAGCATGGGTACGCTTTGAGTGATGCTAGTGCGTCATTTCCTTTGTCTATCAGGTCCTGCCCATTATTTACAGGAATTTGTTCCAAAATTGGACAGCCAGAGCCATAGAATTAAATCCAAAATATGTGAAGGCGTACTATCGGTAAGCCTCACACTTGTCTCACACCCTCCAAGCTCGGGTCCGGGTTGACTTCGAGACGAAGTGAGAAGGGACTAAATTTAGTGGCGATGTGGAATACGCTGTAGACGAGCAATGTGCCACTTGCAGATCCTCAAGCCTCAGCAGGCCGTTTCTGATTTGAAGAAAGTCCTCGCTTTGGAGCCCAAGAATACGGAGGTCAAAAAGCAGCTGGAGTCCACGCAGAAGATGATACGCAGGATCGAGTTTGAAAAGGTATGCCCGTTCAACTCAACCTCCGTTGACCATGTCGGGCCACACAGGAGGGATGTGTGGCATCGGCATAGATGCGTTTGAGGTATAATCATCGGAGCTAACTAAGGTCGTAGGCAATTGAGGTGGGGGAAGAGCAAAGCGCCGTCGACAGATGTTTAGATATAATCAGAGAAGGTTCGTCCCCTTCCATTTCTACTCTTCTATCTCACGCACGGCTCTCATCACTTATCCACTACTCAATCGATCCATCCCGTTACTAGGCGGTTGTGAACTAGACAGAACATATGCCGGACCTAAACTAGAGACCACCGACGACGGAAAATACAAGATCACACTCGACTTTGTGCGGTCGATGATCCAGTGGTTCAAAGATGGAAAGGCGCTGCCCAAGCGATACGTCTGGGAGATCGTGCTCGGCGCGCATGCGCATTTCGTGAGCGAGCAGAGTTTGGTGGATATTCCCTTGGAGGACGGCGTTACATGTGACGTTATTGGAGATGTGCACGGTACGTTTTACTTCTTGTGTCCATGCTCGATTGTTTCCTCTATCTTACTACCAATGCTAATCTGTTTTCATGTGGTGTGCAGGTCAATTCTACGACGTGCTCCATCTTTTCAAGTTGACCGGAGAGCCAACAGAAAAGCATTGTTTGCTGATGAACGGAGATCTCGTCGACCGAGGCTCATGGTCAATTGAAGTCATTCTTACTGCGTTCGCGTTCAAATGTGGGTCCTTTGCTAGTTCTAATGCTTTCAGGAAACTCATCCGTGGACGTAGGGTTATATCCCAAGCGCATGTTCATCAACCGTGGGAACCACGAGACGAAGGATATGAATCGGACGTACGGGTTCGAAGGCGAAGCGAAACACAAGCATGGCGACCAAACTTACAAGGTAAAGACTTTCGCTGTCGTGACTGTCGCGGTACTTCACTGAGAATTTTTACTACAGCTCTTTGCCCATGTCTTCACTGCCAGTTCGTTTTTCCATTCCATTGATGCTGCATAAACGTCAGACTCATCATGCATTGCTGCAGTGCCTTTGGCATCTCTTATAAGCGCAACCAAGCCACCAATCTCGTCGCAGGGTGCTATCCTATCTCCAGACGGCCTCAAACGGTACTTCGTCGTGCATGGAGGTCTCTTCAGTAAGGACGGCGTTACACTTGATGAAATCAGAAAGATCGAGCGAGTAGGACGGCAGCCCGGTCAAGAGGGGCTCATGTGTACGTTTATTTCATTTCATTTTATTACCCGTAGGGGAAAACACAGGTTCTGACAACTTGTCTCTTCAGGCGAGGTAACTAGTGCTCGTTCCTTTGCTAGATTAACTATATATAGCTTACTGCTTGGTGCGGTGTAGCTTCTCTGGACAGATCCACAGGAAGAAAACGGTCGGGGTCCCAGTAAACGAGTAAGCCTTTTGTTCTCTCTTGGAGCTAGGAAGACACTTACGGCGAATAGGGTGTCGGCATTGCCTTCGGTCCTGATGTCACAAAGCGGTGGTGTGAGCTCAACGGCATCACTGGCGTGTTGCGTAGTCACGAAGTCCGACAAGGTTCGTCCCGGTTGAGACTCATCCTTATTTTGCAGCTCTGAATGGGTGTATTTGACTACAGATGGTTACGCCATTGAGCACAACGGCTTGTGCACAACCGTGGGTTTTTATTGTCTTGACTCGCTAGACTCATACTCAAGCAATGTTTTCAATAGATATTCTCTGCGCCTAACTATGTGGATCAAGCGGGCAATAAGGGTGCATTCGTAAGTTACCTCCACTCTCAGCCTTCTCTACAATGAGCTCATCATGTTAACACGGAATTACGCAGGTGCGCATTGACTCCGAAGGTTCTCAAGAGTATATCCAGTTCGAGGCTCAGCCTCACCCAGCCATGCGGCCCATGGCGTACGTCCAGAGCGGAATGCAGGGTCTCATGTCGTAGACGATTGCTAGATTATGAGGCCTTGAGGCGGTGCCTATATCGCTACATCTATATCCATCCATGGTGACGTGTTGTATGCTGCTGTACTGAACCTTAGTTATCGTTAGCTTTTCTATACCAGTGTTCTGATTACCGTTTTCAGAAGGGACAATGGTACTTCAGTATATGATGAGCCGCTAAGTGTACCGGGGCACATAGATTGTCACCCATACTGAAGTTTAATGGCTTGCATCATAAGGTTCCATCGTATATACACGTCCTTCTTGGTATGCACGCAGAGACTCAGAAGGACGTCACAAATGCATGGTAATTTGGTACAGCTTATACTACACTGGTTGAACTAAAGATACAGGTGGAGGATCGATGACGGCAACACATTATATCCGAAGCCGTTTATTTTGTGTGAAGGCCCTGAGTGAGCTGAATCTATACGGTCGAATTCATCAGCAAACGTGCCTTCCTTTTCGCATGAATCAAGCCATAAACTCACCTCAGCCTGCGTGATGGTGCGTAACTCTCCTGGTGCAGCGGTCTTACCAGTGACGGCACCGACGGCGACTTGAGCGGTACGGCTGACAGCACCACTGGTGGAAAACCAATAGTGAATCTCTTCGGGGGTCACCTGGATAGCAGAGACACGAGGATCGTTCACGTCGCCCTTATGAATGCCATCGCCAAGGTCACCGAAGTAGCCCGCAACCCTTGATGTGGCGAGGGACTGAGCACAGAAATTGGAGAATAGATGGGGGGAAACGGGACATACATTGGGTTCCAATGCTTCTTGATGAGTTCTTTGTCGTTGACAATCGTTGCGATACCACAATAACTGGCCCAACTCGTCGTAGAGTTGTCGTAGAAGCTGACATTGACATGGTCGTCATTCTCAATCTCCTCGACCTTCTCAGTAGCGTTATTGGTGATGAAGACGAGGGTGGTTTGGCTGTCGGATGTCGCTATAGGCAGTAATGGTTAAGCCAAAGTGTGGTATAGCCACTAAGGTAGGGACATACGACCGGCGGGAGCCATAGCGCGAGAATGAAGGTGTCCGCTGCTGGCACGGCTGACGAGCATAGCAATTCCTGCACCCTTCACAATTTTGTGGAGATCTAACGTGGAGAGGTTGCTTCAGCGTATGTTTCGCATATCTCAAGAGAAATATTGACCTGTGATCTGGAGACGATTTTTGTGATGAGTAAAATGCTCAGATACTCGTTAGACAGTGACAGACCTTCTGCTGGGTGGTAAGGTCATTGTTGGTGGCCTTGGCGGCTAGTACAAGTCGATAAGTCAGAGCTGTGAGAATTTGGAGTACATGGTGCGTGCTCACTGTAAGGGTCGAGCTTGGTATCAGTAGACATGGTGGAAGTAGATGGAAGTATAATTGGTGAAGAAAGACGAACTCGCAGCGGGAGAGGTTTATGTAGGGGCTGAAGCGGACAATGATGCTTGTTCGTCCCACTCCATGATGTCACTGTTGAGCTCGATCGCCACACCAGCGGACTGCTGACGTCCGGATCGGGCTGACATCAAGCGCCACCCCACTTTGGATCCCCATCCGCACTGGGCCACACCATATTCGATTGACTTCTGGTATTCAGTCAAAATATTCCGTGTACTGGCGGCAAATTTAGCTAACGACCCAGGGCCTACGTCGGCGAAGTCTATGGAAAGATACATGAGTGAAGCAGTACCTTTAGAGCCTTTTCATACCTCCACCCGTACACATACAACACGTCATGAAAATTCTCCCATTTCCACTAACTCTTCACTCCCCATATCCTCTCAAACAAAGTCTGAACAAGAGCCTCCGACCCAGGACTACGCGTCACAATTGGTACACCCTCAAGTCCCTCCGTGGCTGGCTTCGTCTGCGCCTTATTCTCCACCATGACTTGAGCTGGCACGGCGGTCGACTCGAACGGCCCATGCTTGACATTTTCCCGATCCAGAGCCGCTTGCATCTCAGCACGATTTGGGCCAGGAGCGTAAGCGTATCCTGAGTGTCTGCGGTCTATAACGCACATCCCGCGGGTATGTTCACCCGTCCTGTCATTGCAGCAGGAATGATGAGCTTCGTGAGTGGAACAAAGAGGCTCGTAGACTCAAAGTGCATACCGTTCTATAACAAACTTCCTCCGGGCGATATTCCACCCATCCGCCAGTCCAAACTCAGCTTCATCAGCAGCATCTTGGACTGGCGGGTTCGCCACTGCTGCCCAAACTGCCGTCACATCGTGCATTTCCATGGCGTCTTTTCCACGCTCATTCATCACCCGCCTCGTACGCTGGAGAAAAGCACTCGTAAAGTGTCTCATCGGTGATTTGTCCTCCGCGATAGAGTGGTTTTGAGGATGGAAACCTTTGTCGATGGTATCGGTGTAGAGGGGGAAGAAGAGCATGTGTTTTGTGGTGATGTCGAGAGGAAGGATGAGGACGCGTGAAAGGGGTAGGCCTTGGTGGGGCGGTGGAATTCCGTTAGAGGGACCTGGCGTGAGCAATTCTGCGACTGCGTAAGGATCGGCGAAGAAGTTGACTGGAGGATAGAAAACGAAACAGTTAGCACTCCCAAGGTATGATTTTACTAGAACGTAAGACGACAGTACATTCGGCGGAGGCGGTCTTATTGCCGGGCACATCGAATGCACCACCCATCACAGACACTCTCCCGATACGTTCTCGTACCAGTTTCGCGTCCTCGCGCATCATAAGAGCGAGATTCGTCATCGGTCCGAGAACGATGTATGTGATAGCTCTCGCAGGGAATTCGCGCAGCATCTCTAGACCAACTTCAAAGCCTGGACGAGTAGTAGGTGCTAACTTTGGATGCTCTGGAGCTTCGATCACCGATGATGGGACATCTAGGTCGGGGTGATTTTGTGTGGCATTGCCCAAGCCGTCACTAAATTTCCCGTAAATTAAAGATAGTAACAAGTTTAGGGTTGTAAGCAATGGGTGATAGAGATGAAAAAGAGTTTGGTTGTGTACTAACCGACCATGGAAGTATTGCGCTGTATGAAGCTCGCCGCCGAGTGGCTCTTCCGCGCCCTTAGCAAGGAAAGGTTTGCGGTCTTGGAAGAAGCCAGGGAAGCGAAGCCGTGCTTCTGGATTATAATCCACCTCTTTTTGGACGGCCTGATAGATTCTGTAGATGTTCGCACTAGTGAAGGCGTCGCTCAGAATCGAACGAGTTCTTACGCATGCAAGATTATACATACTATGAAGCAGGGATGTCCGTGTTTCCTATAAGAACGGTACAAATAGTGGAGTACGTTAGTCTCATCGAGTATCGTGTAGGTGTGGGGGACGGACCGAAGGAGATGGTATATCCCAGAATCTCGAGTTCGGGAGATGTCAGTGCCATAAGTCTGAATCCAACAGCTATCAGAAGAGCACAGACAATATGAGATGAGTTACAATCACGTACATTGCTATAGTATCATCGACACCGGGATCGGTATCAACTGTCAAGGCAGAAACGTATGAGTAATCTATACAGGACCGACCAGCAACATATATTTCTGCCAACGCAATGACTGGCATAGTACTTTACTATGACAGGAGAGAACGTACTCACTGATCACAGGAGTCTTCGTCCGCGAGGATGTGATGGTGGACATTTTGAGCTAAGGGGGCGTAAGTAGCTTTGGCCGCCTGTCGAATCAGTGAGGGTTGTCAATGAGGGGACGAAGGGAGAACGAACAACGATACAGCTACAGAACCGTTTTATGGTCATCAATATCGGGAAGCTCCGATCCGAGAGCCCGTTCTCCGTTTCAAATGTGCCGCTACTTGGGCACCTCTTTGTAGATATTTACAGGCTTGCCTCTCAACTTGACTTGAGTTGCATGGTATTTAGAGCTCGCCCGTACAAACAGTCGGACGGAAGCTCCAGCAACGAGAGAGACTGACAACTTTACGCTCTCCGCCGACCTTACCAATAAGCAGTCAATATTCCGGTTGAAGTTGCCTTTCTTCATCCGACCTGACACAGTCAGGTGAAACAGCATCGAGATAGCAATGCATCATAACCAATGACCGGAGAAAAGACGGAAGAGTGTTCATTCATATATCTAATCGTCTCGCATGAGGTCCGCCCCCAGTCGGCGGCCCAAAATAACCAAGTAGCTGCAACGCCACAGTGGCGCAGCACAATCGCATCGCTTTACTCAGCAGTCGGACTTGAAGCTTCAAGGACCGGAGAAAGCATCAGCGCACCAGCCTGCGAGCCCCCAGACGCGTTACTTCTTCTGAAAGAAGGTCGATATCTTCGACATTCCCGTAGTGTTCGCCTTCTTCAGCTTCTCCACCCCATGCGTCGTCTTCGCCTTGGCTTTCCTCTTCTTCCCATCCTCGTCCTCGGTGTTTTTGGCGCCTCCTTTCTTAGATTTTGTTCCAGTTGGTGGTACAGAGGCGAGGGCGAGAGCTGCCGCCTCTGCTTGAAGAGATTGGAGGTGCTCATCTAGCTGTGAGAAGCTGGATAGGATATCGAAGCCGGTCAGATCTGCACCACGAGACGATGGCAAGCTGCACCGTAAGAAATTGCACGCACTCATATGTCGCGAGAAGTGCTTTGTATACCTCCCCCGGAAGATATTGCGATACCAGGTCACAAGCTGCCTTTAGTCGACCAACTGAAAAGCCGAAAGAACACAGTTCAAGTCAAGTCGCCTACAGGAGAGCCATTGGGGACAATTACTTACCTTCGAGTAGACTCTCTTTTCCATCATCCATCAACCCGTCCTTCGCCATATTCCTTACAATCGTCCGTGACTGTTCCGTGATCTCTGCCTTCGACAGTCGTGTAACCTTAGCCGTCAGATACTTCAGCGCCTTGTCTGGTGAGTAACGGAATACGGAGATCTCGGGTGTGATATCTAAAGGTTTATTCATCAGTCCTCGGGAGTGGCAGGGTAAGAGTACCCGATTACAGAGACACGCACCTTGTGTGTCACACATTCGCCTCATTGCAGCAGCCGTGCAATCCAGTGATGCGAGTGACATTATATCATTCTGTCGAATGGAGGAAGATGGATCGTCGGAAGCTGGGGTGGACTGTAATATCTTGGATGCAGCCTCTTCCAAGACATCGTCGAGTGGTCGGAAGTTTGTCTACACAAGTACTGATATCAGCATAAGAGGAATGGGTGCAGTATAATATGCACTTACTGAGTCGAGACAGCGTAGAATATGGATCAAGAGAAACGCGACGTCGATAGGTGTCGTCACGAGCATCTTACCGTCTGTTTCGTCAAGTGTCAGTTCAAATGATTTTGAAAGGATTCAGTTGTAGTGCTCACCGGCCAGAACCTCGTCGCTTTTCGGGAGGAACCATGATCTGGAGTTTGGCGGAGTAATACTATGTACTTCCAAGAGCCCCCACTGAGATGATGTTTGTGATGATTGCGAAAGTTGGTACGGGAGGAAGAGTGACGAAATGCCTGCATAGAAAGACGAAATCAGGAGTACTCTGCGACTGAGTTGACTATATATATACCTGTTCTAGGGTGAGGCAGGCGAAGAAATTGGCGACGTCCAATCGCAGAGGGGAACTCCTCGTTCAACTGCACAGAAAGGGTATCTAGAACATCTGCACAGTCCAAGTCTCCTTGAGGGACAGTCCAGCTTGAAATTGTCTCAAAACGTACCGATAGGCAGAATGCTAATATGAGTAGTCATTTTTGGTCAATCTTTGCTGTGTGGGGGGAGAGAAGGATACGCGAAACAAACAGAGGTTGCGTGAGGCTTCGGACATTGACACGAGACACAGACGCGTCCTGTCACGTCCGTGACGGACGCGTCATCCGAGTTCCTGGTCGTCGATTTTCTGATGTGGCACGGGGAGTAGCGTACTCCAAACATACCCACAAATATGAGCCATGTTAAGGACGGCTTTGCCGTGTGCTTTGTACGGAAATTTTATGGGCTTGACCTTCGAGTTGAATTAATTATCGAGGTCCAAAGAAAACTGACAAAACTTGTGCGGCGCGAGCACGGGTAACTGCTATGAACTTCAGCTTGGAGTTTGCATGAGACTCAGGCCCGAGGCGCCTTGTTGCCGCGCAACGAACCGAGTATATCGGGCCGGCTTTAGATGTACGCGGCAGCCTCTGAACATGACAAGACCAAATAAGCTCCTCTTCGCACACTGGAGTGGGTGTTTCGATGCCTCCAAAATCCGCCTCTTCCTCATGGCCCACAAACCGACCCCGTACCAATGCACTCCGAGTCGTGGATGTATGCATATATTTTACTAGTACAACATGAACATGCAGCGTGCAAGAAGATGGTCGCCGAAAGTCGTCCAAGGATTCAGTGAGTGCTAATCAGGAATCCTGACATCTAACCAAAGCTCTCATACAACCCCACTCGTCCTCCTCAACCCGTCATCCAACACCCGCTCCATCCCTCCCCCTCTCCTAACACCCTCCCTGACGCCTAATCCCCTCCCCTCCAACCCTTCTAGCACCCCTTTCCACAAATTCCCTTCTGCAGTTGGACCCTGTACACCCCTCACTGCAACTTTGCCATCCAAAATCTGAAGGGCAGCGAGCGCAACAGGAAGGCCGACCGTACGCGCCATAGCTGTAGCTTTACTATCTCCATAGACCACAAGGTCGGAGGTGTGGATGTCCTCGTCGGGAGAGCCTGCTGAAGAGGATCGAGCGACGACTTCGTGTGATAGGATGACGAGGTCTCTTTCGTGGGGAAGATAGCGGAGCGTATGCGCAAGATGAATGGCAAGTAGATCTGCTGGGGGCATAGGTACCTTCGGAACTGGAGGGAGTGACGTTGCGCCTTTCTCGCCCCCTTCAGGCTGCGAAGGAACCAAGCCCAGCCATGTCAAAGCATCCCAAAGTGGTGCGATACGAGATTCATCAACAGTGCTCGAGAGAGCAGACAAGAGCGACGGAGCATTGGTAGGGATTTCGGTATCGAGCTGTCGTTCGAGGGCGAGACGGGTAAATGACGGCCAGCCTAATGTGGAATCGAGTTGAATGGGCTGAGTGGGTTCAAGGAGACCGACGGATTTGAAGGAGTGCATGAGAGACGTGAAGCCCGGATATCTATGTGCAACAGACCGAAATCCTTTAGTCGCTTTAATAGAAGATTCCCAACGTAGAAGTCGTACCTCAATGTCCCTCTGAGCATTGTCCGCAGGTTAGGGCCCAAGTCATAAATATCTGCATACGGCATACTATCCCTATTCGCCATACCCTCCAGCTTCAACACATTCGAGATCGGAACCTCGGGGAAATGATCCCTCAATATTCTTTCTCCGGGGATTTCCCAGTCCTACCGGGTCGAAAAATTAATGCATCAGTTTTCGTTCTCATGCCCACAGACAGTAACCTAGGTGGTGCGGAGAATTGAAGACTAACCTTCCCATTCAGCCTGAATTTCGCACTCTGCTCCGCAGCCCTCAAGACACCCCTCGGGCTCCAACTGAACTTATAACCCAGCGGCACGCCCTCCGCCGCCTCGGGCGCTGGCAACCCGCCACAAAACGACGTGAAACTCACGATTTGCTTGTTCTGCGAACGTAGGCGCAAGAGAAGGGAGTGTGCTGAGCAGTGGTCGATTCCGGGGTCAAGGCCGATTTCGTTCAGGAGAAGAATATCGGATGCGATGGCTCTACAAAAAACGGACACGTCAGGATAGTCAAGTAGAATAAGAGCAGATGATGCTTACTGCGAGTGCAAAGCCTGCATTGAAGATGAGATATATGACGCCGTTACAAGGTGGGTTTTGTGCTCGATACAGAGCTCCGCGACGGATGGATGGAACGGCGCGGGGAGCAAGCTGCTCGATTGAAGTCGCCAGTGAATACCAGCGCCCTTTGTACTGAGGCAAGGGAAGTCGAGACGCACCTCACGACGATGTCAGCTTGCTGTACCAATCCCGCAATACGTTCCTTATCCTCCATGTCGATCAACAAAGCCTTTGCGTTCTTATGATGCTTGACCAGGCTCTCTGCTTCGGCTAGTGCGTTACTGGCTGTCGACCCAGAATGCCAAAAAACGAGAGAATATTGGGAAATATTTTGAAAATCAGTAATTCGTGGATCATAACACAAAGGGGTGAAAGAGCTTGAGTACTGACCGACGATAATCTCCACACCCGGCCTGCCTGCCAACTCATCGACCGCAGGTCCCGCGACCATCCCGCTCCCAAGGACTAAAACCCTCTTCTTCCTCGGGGCGCCCGAAAGACTATTACTGGCAGGAATAGCACCCCCCACGTTCTTCGCCGTTGTTTCTGATGCAGAAGAGGCTTGCGTCTCACCACTACTCTGACTCTCCCTCCATCTCCTAACTTTCCCCTCCAGAACCTCCCTAAACCCATCATCGAAACTCGACCCCTCACCACCTGTCACCCTCCCACCCACTGCCACAGTCGCTCTCTTCAACGCCTTCCTCAGTTCATTATCCCCATTTCCCAAGTCAGAACCCGAGCCGGCCTTCTGTTCCGCGACAAGACACCTAACATAGTCCTTCACAGCACCCGCGAACGATTCGCTCGCATCCTTCGGGAGGCTAGCTGGCAAAATATCCACAGCCATGACGCTTATGCCCATTCCTTTCCATCCCGCTCCTTCTCCGACAGTATAGCACGGCTTATCGATCGTCGTACTCTTCTTCACGAACTCCAGAGCTCCCTCGATATCACATGAAATATCGCCGATGGCGGCTAGTCTTGGTGTGTGGGCTTGGAGGTGAGAGGTGAGGAGTAGGCGGGGGCAGGCTGGGTTCCAGCCTGCGCCGTTGAGGAAAAGTGTCAGGTATGGTGCGATCTAGAATATGGGTCAGTATCGAGCATTACGAATGCATCCCAGAAGGAGGAAATAGGGAGTGAAACGGGACGTGGTAAAGAAATCTTACCTTGGTATGGAAATGGGACTCGTAGGCCTGCGAATTCTCATAATAGTCGGCACGATCGTAGGGCTTTCCGTCCTGCCGGGAGAGGTAGGACTCAGGCAGTGCGTGAACGATGTAGATCTTCGTTAGATCGGCGTCTGGAGGAGGAGTGGACGAAGGAGGTTCGATTAGTTAATGGATTTTTAAGTCAAGGGGGGTGAGAATGTGACGAAAGGAATGGGTTCAGCAAGAGAATGGAAGAAGTGGGTGGACGCACTTGAGTTGTTGACCAATGCGGGTAGATCCTCGGGTTTGATGTATACGAGTGGGAGCTCGGAAAGGATGGAGAGCGCTCCTTGAGAGACTTTGCCATTCCTAATATAATTTTAGGACAACATCAGCGACGGGACGACAAATGTACAGGGTGTTGCCGCAGAATGACCATCGAAATTATGTTCAAGAGAAGGGAAGACGAGGAAATAATAAAAATGAGTCAAGAAAGTACACACCCAGTCACACCAATGACACAAGGACCTAAAGAGCGCGGTGTCCCGTGCTCTGTGATCTGAGTAGCGATCCATTGCAAGGCTGAACGAAGATGCTCAAGCGAAGGTGAGGAGTGAGGACGGGGAGTATACTATAGGATACGAGTAGAGGTGGGTGAATATGATGATAGTGCGGTCCAATTAGCTGGTGGTATAAATCGGGATAGAAAGGGGAGCATAAGAGAATCAAGAGCGCTTACTAGAAAGGGCGACGCCACACCGCCTTTGAGGTGCATGTCCGCCATCGCAGATAGGGATTCGAGAGCTCCTGCGACTAAATAAGTACACAGATGATCAGTTAATTCTTCTGACTCGGGAGGCAGCGGGTATAAGAAGAGTCGGGACGCTAACCTCCAGCAAACCACCCAAACGCCACAGTCCTCTTGCCGCTTCCATCCACCAATAACTCATAATCAATCAATCGCGGTTCCAAACCCTCTTCCTCCTTACTCGAGATACCCGGCATTGTTCCAGCGCCTTTGTCGGCATACTTATACCCACCGGTGAGAAAACGCGATAGTAAAGGCATGTTGTACTCCTGCCCTTTGATGGTATGGGAGAACATGACGTGCGTTCGGGGGTTGAGAACTGGTGCAGCTGACGAGGATACAGGGGAAGAAGACAGAACAGGGGTGGTGAGGAGAGTGGTCAGAGGTGGTTCTTTGATTCCTAATATTATATGGGCGGGGTCAAGCGTGGGGTGGGCTTCTGCTCCGGCCTATTCGGTGTCCGCGAACAATTGTGATTTCAGTTATCATCGTGCAACTGGTGAGTACCAACAGCGATGGGGAGGAGGTAGGACACATACCCGGATATATTCATCCAGAGGAAATACCCTCCGCTCACACTCCTGCACAAGTACCCTCACACCATCCTTCTCAACCAAATCCGCTACCACGTCAGGTGTAAGCGGAGCTCTACGCTCCCATACTCTTGCAGGGTCCTCACAACGGATTCCAATGGTCACCGGGATATTATGGGAGCTATAGCGTCTCCGACTCAAGTGCAAAGGTGACAGCGAAGAGAGAGAAGTTCGTCGAAGGAGAGGCATGACAATGAGTTGACGTGGCCTGTATTCAGGTCTCTTGAACTAAGCTTCAGTAAAATATGAGAGACCAAAATATGAAGAGTAGGTGCGTATGAGCGAGGCCGTCGTGGTATCAGTCTCGGAAGTCAAGTAAGACAGCAGAGGTTAGAATATGGGGGTGCGGGGAACGGAGAGGTCAAGTGAGGAGACGAAGATCCGGCCGGAAGTTGGAAGTGCGCGTCTGTGTAGTGACCGTTGACGTTTCGTGTTACTATAATATCGGTGGCCAACGTGCCAGCATGCGTTGGCTCAGTGGATTAATGGAACGCGTCCGTGTTTAGCGAGTACCGAAGTGCGCTGAGAGTTCGGGAGAGCTCAGGAGGGTCGCCGGGGAGATAGGAGCCTCACAAAACGTTCGACTGGGCGACATGAGTGACTGCATGCAACGAGATAGCACAGATTATAAAGTCCTATTATATTGAAAGGTCAACAAATCGAACACACTACGGAATACATACGTCGTTCGTCGTCGTCAACATCGTTGAACGCTCTTTCGACGCGCGCTTTCGTCAAGCACATCAGATCTAGATCGCCCGACAGCCGGCGCGGGCGCTTAGAATCTCGGGGAAGATAAGATAAGATTTGGATGCCGGCTTGCGTCATGTTCGGATGCTCTGTGGCGAGCTGGAATGGATGCCGCCCACATTTCGTCCGCTCGCGCCCATCATCGTAGACGCACACGACGTGCACCATGCCGCCTTTCCCTTAAAACTTCGCTTCTTTCATTCGTCTTTGGTTTTTATAGACTATCACCCCCAGGTCTTTGATGTTGGGACCCTTTGGCAGCTCGCTGAGAGCTTCACGACCGACGCCATCTTTCGCCACGACACTTAGAATCGGCTCCCGCTTGACTTCCCGTGGATTTGCATTAGAGGCCTCTCCCAAGCCTTCGCGTTTGCAGAAGTATGCGAGGCGTACTGCTTACTTGGCTATCGGACTCGGAGCAGCGTATACGGCGGACAGAACTTTTTATGCCTCTACGATAACCAGGAATCTACGCACCTTTTATACGGTACGTCTGGTTCGAGATCTTGGCTACTACTTTATTAGGAGGAAGCCATCGCAAATCTCAACCTCAAGAACCTGTGCCATTGTGGATAAGACTCGCATGACATATTTATTTCTTTTTGCGACATATATTTGAGTCGTGTGCGTCATAACTTTGGAATGTGGTGCTATCGCGCTGCGCCTGTCCACCAGCCCGTCCATCCCTTTCCTCATCACATAATGTCCATATAAACCCGCAGGGTATCGCTATGCAATATCTGCGGCTACCATTATCTCCACCGTCTTTGCCACTCTCTCCGCGTTACTTCAGATTAAAACTAACAACACATCCTTCCAGTGCGCTATAATCGCCCTAGATTATAAGATAAACTTTGTCGAATCCAATGCTGCAGGCATCCAACGAATCCACGAACGAGTAGGCAACCGTGTTTATGATCTCCTGACCTCCAACGGTGGCCTATACATTAAATTCGGTACACATCTTCCATATTCCATCCTAAATTCATCATATTCGCCATTGACGCCGTCTACTGCCCTCGACTTTTACCACCACGTCTAGGTCAAGCCATAGGTAATAACGCCGTTCTCCTTCCAAAACCTATCCAAGCCAAATTCGCCTCTTTATTCGACGATGCCCCCCAAATTCCCTTCTCCGAGGTCAAGCGCGTCTTCGTGTCCGAGTTCGGTAGACCGCCCGACGGACCGGAAGGCGTGTTCGAGATATTTGAGGAAGAGGCAATCGCTAGTGCGAGCGTCGCACAAGTACATAAGGCGAAGTTGTGGCCCAAACTTGGACAAAAAGAAGGTGAGGGTGAATGGGTGGCTGTGAAGGTACAGAAACCGGCAGTGGGGAAGCAGATGGAGCCTGTAAGTTCAGTTGCATTGGCTTGATTTTGATCTGAGCATTCCTGATCACGATTATCTTTTGCCAGGATCTCTTCGCGTATAAGGCTGTCATGTGGGCCTACGAATACTGGTTCGAACTACCCGTCTTATTTGTCGTCAGTGCGTGTCTGCTCTGCATGTCAATTCAGCTCTCCGTTCCTACCCTCATCATTTTCTCTCACACCATCCTCCAGATTTCATCTCCGATCGTCTCCGTCAAGAACTTGACTTCGAAAACGAAGCTTCGAACGCCACCCGTCTCGCCTCCTTGATCGCCTCTGACCCATACCTCGCCCACCGCGTCCATATCCCAGTCGTTTACCCGGAATATACTACCAAGCGTGTCATGACGGCTGAATGGATTGATGGGGTGAGGATGAGCGATAGGGATGGTGTGATGAGGATCATGGGTGAAGGAGGGAGAAGGCTACCAAAGACAGCCTCGTATCTTTCGCTTTCGCCATCGGATATTGCGCCCGCCGTTTCGAGCACCACAAACAAGTCATCTGCAGTTGACGGGCAGAAGGGCACAGTAGGAGGAGAAGGTAGTATCGACGAGCTGCCTCTGCCTTTGGGACTGAAACAACCGCTCAAAGGAGGTGTTAAAGAAATAATGCAGACCATGGTCGAGCTCTTCGGCGCCCAGATCTTCCGCTGGGGCTTCGTCCACTGCGACCCCCATCCAGGCAACATTTTCATCCGTCCACATCCTTCACCTTCCTACAAGAACCAACCGCAGCTCGTCCTCATAGACCATGGGTTGTACGTACAGTTTGGTGATCAGTTCAGAAGGGAGTATGCGACGCTTTGGAAAGGGTTACTGGCGGCGGATTTGGAGACGGTGAAGGAGGTGACGACGGGCTGGGGAATAGGGACGCCGGAGTTATTTGCGAGTGCGACGTTGATGCGGCCGGTTAGGGTGAGGTGGAGGAGGACGGGGGCTGGTGATTGGCATGCATGGTGGTCGGGGTGGAGATCGGGGAAACAAAAGGAGAGTGTGAAGAGCGAGGAAGAGAAAGCACAAGAAGAAAAAGAGAGAAAGTCGCAGGAGGAGTTTGACGAGTTTAAAGAGGGGGTGGGGATGAAGGAGAGGTTGAAGAGATTCTTGGTGGACACCGATAAGATGCCGAAGGAGTTGGCGTTTATTGGGCGGAACATGAGGTCAGTTTAGCTCTTTTCTCATACTCTGAATTCTCCTAGTACTAATTCCGCCGTGTACCATTTTCCAGGATTGTTCAAGGAAACAACCAAATGCTCGGCTCACCCGTCAACCGTATCAAAATTACCGGCTTCTCTGCCTCCGCCGCTCTCACTCGTTCACCTAACCTTACATTTCCCCAACGCCTTAGAGAATACGCACACCATCTCACATTCCTCTTCGTCATCTACTCTATGGATGTGGCATTCTGGGCTAGCAGGATGCGACAGTATATGAGATTGAAGCTTATGACGTGGGGAGTAGGATCGAGATTGTGGAGCTTTGGGGAAGGGGAAGAGGGGTTCGAGGATGAGTTAGAGAGGGGAATGAGGGATATGGCGAGGAGTTTTGGCGTTAAGGCGGATCGTGGGATGTTTGAGGGATAGTGGCTGGTATAGTCTTATTCCGGTTGTTCTTTGATTGTTCGAATTCGTGCTGACTACTCATTTTCAGGATGATATGGCGGCCGGTGTATCCCTGCATGTCCATGTGCAGGATTAAGTTATATACAGATATTTCTCATTATTAGATCTATTTGGTTACCCCAAGCGACATCCACACAAGTTCTCCAGAAATATCTTCTGGAGCCCAAGGCGAATGGACCATATCAGAACTCTGATCCAACACACATGTTTCCGCTGCAAGTCGCATTATGACCTTACGCATGTCGCTGCGGCTAGCAGATTGATCATGTCCAGGAAGTCTTGACTTCGACTTCCCCTGCGAGGTGAGGTACTATGTTTACTCGTCCTCTTGTCCCACAGTGGTCATATGCTAACGCCGGTGGTCTTATGCACTCGGCGTTCTTCGCTTCTCCATTCGATCTCTGGCATGGTCAGCTATCATTTGTTGACAGCGACTTCGTGTGTGCGGTCGCACCTTACAAGTATAGCCGAGACGAAATCGCTTGTTCATCTGCTTGCAGGATCGCAAGTCTCAGTAGCTCGGCGGCTAATTCCGAGCTCCTATGTATTACACAACCTCGTGCCCTCAGCCGATCCATGTCTTGTCGGGTATGTGGCCTTCATTCTCGTTGAGACCGTGGCGGCCTCATACCCCCTTGCGCATTTTACCTCTTTGTGCTTTGTAACATGTTTATACATGGATGCACACTGGACGCGCACTTGCGACACCTGGAAGAGCACTCAAAACGTTCTCAATGACCGTAACCCTGGTCCGTAAGACCCGATAGGCAGATGAAATACGACAACTGTCGCAGTCGCCATATGCCATTCCGTGCCCGAAAGGCTGTGGTCTACAAGTCCACGAAACGCTTCCCTCTGCCACATCTGTCAGACCGTGGCGGGATTGGTCGTACCTGAAGGCAGGACAGACGGGTATCTAAAGGTATCTCGACGGGGTCGCAAGGGCAGAGGAAGAGCATGGTCCTTGTCGGAATATCTGGATGTAGGTCTGTCATTTTTTTTTTCTTCCTCTGTGCTCACTATAAATGCGAGAATGGGTGAGCTTATGTTTCTGCGCCCAGATTTCCAGGCCTCACGCGCATATTTATCGCCCCACCTACACCTACCAAATATCCACCCACCCGTTCACTCTCCTACACATTTCGCATTCTCCTGCTCGCCATCTACGCTTAACTTCTTCATGGTTATGAGCCCTGTCGTTCTCGACGTCAGCTACAACTGGAATCATCCAAAGATCATCGAAGCGGGCTTCGATCCTCATTCTATCCGCCTTCGCATCGCTGCAGGTCCTCAGACTATGGCAATGTTCGGATACGAGATGGATGGTTTCTTTGTCGAGCCCCTCGACGATGTCGACGCCGAATCTAATACCTACGACCCCACCATCGCCAACAAACGGAAGTCTAATAGTCTTTCATCCCAATATTACGACAGCTCCGGCAGCGATCCTGATTCATGCGACGGTGACACTACTATTGATATATTCACCAACCGATTTGTCGACACCAGCAGCGAACAATACATCGCATCCAACATCAAACGATATATCGAGAAGCTAAGGAGCAGAGAGTACGAGGCTGTGATGATCGAATACTCGATCAGGATGGGCACAGACAAGGTAGAGACGGTGTTGTTCGAGAGGCTCGTGAATGCGACGAGGGAATTTGCGCCGAGGGCGAAGCTGGCATTTAATTGGAATCTGGGATCGACATTGGATGCCTTCAAGCGGGTGACACCGGTTCCCGTGTGAGGTTCTGTGCCTGGGGGCAGTGACACAGGTGAGTGTGGCCCTTCACAAGCCCCCCTTTGTGATCACTTTCGGGACGGCGCTGATTATTGGTAGGTCGCACATCTGTTGATCAGGGCGACTGCGATCTGTATGTGTTGTACGAAACACAAGCCAATGTATCTGTATCTGTATTAGAGGGTGAGTATTTCGGGATTGTGGCGGCCTTCGTGCGTTGATTTGACCGTCTCGTTTGCACATAGGGACATTATAATAATCATTTCTAATTTATGTTCCTTGCACAAATTCGGGCACTTTGTGTCTTCCTTCAGCTTGTATTCCAAGTTCCGGCGCTTAGGATCGTTGAGGGTGCACATAAGTATTATACCGTGCGACTCAAAGAGGTTCGACTTTTTGGATATGTTGACCATGAGTGCTCGCGTAACCACACAGCGTCACCAAACAGCATAGGGTTGCTAACACTTTGGGTTCTTATAGCTTTAAGTAAGCGAGCCCATGATTTCCGTGTTGCTCCTACGTCTCCAATGATATCATAGGCTGGGCATGGAGTTCACTGTGGCATATAAATGTGTCCCGAAGCTTCATCCATCCTTCAGACGATAATTCCAGCACTTACGCTCATACCATCATCATGACCGACGTCCGACCAATCTCAGAGAAAGACTTTCCGGCAACAAACAGCAAAATCCCACCAGGATTCAGCTACACTGGCAGAGTGCCCAGCAAACGAAACCCTTTGAAACCTCTCCCCGACTGCTTTACTCGCGAGCCAGACCCGAAATGCAGCTACAGACCACTGCGCTCACCAATCCACATTCCTTCTCGTAATATCAACAATCTCACCGAAGGGTTCCTCCCAATGTTCCCAGACGCACCTTCCCTCCTTGCACACGACGTACTCCCGGCGGATTTGTCACGTCTACTGGAAGACTGCCACCTGATAGGCAAACTTACGCTCGGACAACATATCGGGGCAGAACTTGTTCCCGAGCTCATGGGTGTAGAAGCGGTCGCGGGCTTCTTCATGGCGGAGGGAATTTCGGGACAGGCAGCGAAGAGAAGGGTGAAGAACGTAGGAGATTTATTGGACACATGGAATGAACAGTTCTTTGCGCCGAGGAAGTTGAGAGCGTGGGTGCATACCGGAGGGATGATCAAGGATACGGGGGATATCGGGAATGGGGCATATGGTGGTGATACCACGGGTGGCGAGAGTGACAACGGCTCGAAGGATCTGAAGAAGAAAATCAAGGAAAGGGTGAAGAAGGACAAGGATCGTAAGGCGGAGAAAAAAGTGAGTCTCCATCTCAAGGTGCATCACAGGTACTGACATTGTTCTTTCTACAGAAAGAAACAATATATCTTGTGATCGAGACACTCAAAGTCTAGCTCCACAATCCCAGCAATAGCCTACCATGTACGAATAGCGAAAAACTACTGTGAATCATGAATGCGGTTTTCACAGAATCACAGTTCCTCAAGGTGGTGAAGGCGTTTATCAACATACAATCCTGACATCGCTAACAACGGAACCGTCGTCTTCAAATCAGTCTGGACCATGTTGGGTCGACGAGCAGAGATGCTTGGAAGGATGTGTTGGTCTTTTCGGGCCATGTCTGGGAAATGCTCTCTGCACTTTTTTCTGCAACTCCATCTTACTCACAGACGACTGATTAGTAGGTCATAGTCGCTCCTCGTCCGCGGCGTACTCAAATTATGATCTCCATGGTGACTATTCCTGAAGGCTATGGACTAGATGTCACAGGTGTTGGCGTGTCCCAACCATCTTGTATTTAAGGTCGGTAGGATCAATTCCTCTAAGCTCTCATCGCAGACCAGTAATCATTCACCTGTAAACCGCCTTCGACCATGTACAGCTCGCGATCTGATCCCCAATACCCATCAGCCATGCCAAACCCACCGTTTCCCGGTACCGTTCCCCCCGAAGAGTCTTCGTACAACACCCCTTCTCGTTCGCCGAATTATCAAGACAACGGCATTGATTATCAGCCTCCTCACTACCCTTCGCCGTCGTCTCAGCCAGGAGAGGTTGGTCACTCACTTACAACATCCGAGAAACGTAGCTTTTTAGCTGAAAATACGCCCACTACTACCGCTGTACTTAACCCTAGTGGGATCCTGGTGCAAATTTCTTCGAAGCTTCCTCCCGGGGAGTGGCATCTGACTTTTCGCCAGGCCACACAGCTCCAAACACCCACGTCCCCCCAGGCTTTACCTATACCGGCCACGCTCCTCACCATCGTGACCCGCTTAACCCTCTTCCTGACGCATTTAATCGCCCGCCCAATCCATCTTGCACTTACTATCCGTTGTCCTCTCCGATTCATTTGCCATCAAAGAACCGAGAAAATCTAACAGAGGGTTTCGTCCCCATTCTCCCTGCTCCTCAAGAACTCCTTGCGCATGACGTCCTCCCAGCAGACTTTTCTCGCCTTCTTGAAGACTGTCACCTGATGGGCAAGTTATCGCTCATGGAGAAGGTCGGGGCGGAAATCCTACCCGAGTTCATGTCGCTCGCACCGGGCATGGGTTTCTTCGTCACACACGCACTCAAAGGAAAGATGGCCACGAAGAAGGTGCAGAGCGCAGAAGGTTTGGTGGAGGTGTGGGACGAGACGTTCTTCAGACCCAGAGGCTTGACGGTCCGGGTTCAGGTGGGCAAGGATGATGATGCACACGAGCATGTAGAGCAAATACATCATGGCGAGGAGGTTGGTATTGGTGGTCGTCGTCGCAGAGGCAGGGGTGAAGGGGGTATGAGCCGTCTCGAGATGAGGAGGCAGGAAAGGCGTGAGCATGGTGGCATGAGGGTGAGAACGTCTTTCGCATTGTTTTCCGAGTGTATACTGACATTGGTTTCTTATTTGTAAGGGAAAACACCATGATCCGGTCTACCTCATCATCGAGAATCAACCGCAGTGAGAGATAGTCTCTCACACATGGGATGATTATACGAATAGCGCCAGTACGGACTGACATTTCGTTATTTATGGATTCTGCCTCGTATACAATCAACGTCCTTCGTGTACATGTACGATGTCCGACGTAAGGTGCCGGTCGAAGATTTCAAGAAGTGGTGAACGCAGAATTCGCTTGGAATTCGCTGCAAGGATACAAATCTGGGTTGTGCAAGTTGCTATAACGTGTCGGACGACTCGGATTGGCGTCCGTGACGTTTCCATACCCCGAATGACCTCCATTGTGTTTCCAGATCCTTCTCCCCATCTGCAAACCCCACTGCCAATCGTTCTTCGCCAGGTTGCTCGTCAAACGCATCCAACAAAGATGTCTTCATCGAAAGCTCCGCTTTCAGCATCTCTGACCGATCCGAAGCATAAAGGGTGGCAGCCAGCGAAAGAGGGCTTGTAAGGCGCAACTGCGTGAGCTCCAAGGCCGACACCGTCCTTCCTTTCTCGCCTTCCTTTCTCACGACAGACGGTACCTGTAGGATCATGTCTCTGGAGAAGATGGTGGCCTGGACTAAGATTATCAACGCCGCCGCCGAGTAGATGTATAGAAGGGCGAGGAAGATGAAAATGGGCCACACGGGGTAACGTCCGAGGATCTGGTCGCTGATTTGGTACACCGTCGACACACTCGGTATGGTCTCGTTTGTGATGGTCGCGGCGGAACCAAGGGCCAGACGGGCGAAGTCTTGTGATAGAAAAGCCATCACAGAGTCGCTATTGTTGTCGTTGAAAACGCGTCCTTCGACGTTCGCAACGAGGCGCGACAAGTAGTGCCCTAATCGGGTGGGCGCTGCGAGGCCGTCAGAAAGCCCTGTGTTGGACAATACCTCGTTGACAACCGAGTAGCTGCCATTGAGATAGGTGAGAGTAACGTTGTAGAACGCGAGGGAGCAGTTTGTGAACATCACAGCCGTATTGCTGTCCTGTGGCATAAGGAGCGCGTTCGAAGCCTTCGCCGTATACACGGGATCGTCTCCATCAGACACCCAGACGAACTCCATCCATGTCGAGTAGGCGTTAAGAGGCGGTGGATTTGCGGTATTCAAGGTACCAACATCGTCCGAGGCTAGGGCAGCCGAGGTGTCCACGTGGTCACATCCTTCACAACTGGACGTTTGGAGATGCACCTGGGACTGGGCGTTCGCGGGCTCGCTGTCAGAAATCTTGCTGAAATCGAAGGGGACGAAGGAGGATGGAAAGCCTTCGCATGTGAGTGAAGTGTTGACACTGCACAAGGGAGTGACCGATTGGCACGATGCGCGCGCACCGTAGGTTTCCATGTCAAATTTGAGTAGCTGCGGGATAGAGGACACCACAATGACAGCCATATCGGATGCGTTGTTGATAGTGATGACTTGGAGGGCATCGGAGCTGTTGGAGGAAACCTGCATCCCAGGGGCAAGGCTATCAACTCCTGCACCCCAATAACCTGCACCGTAAAGACAGGGATGAATGGCGTCATAAAAAGGATCCGGGTAAGGTGGGCATTGACTTTGACTGATACTGAAGTTATTTTGAGTCTCTGTAGGAGAGAAGGTAGTGAATAATACTGTGGATGTCGAAGTGTGAAGCCACAGGTCTACGCCGCTATCGACAGGGAATAACAGTCAGTAATGCAAATAAAATATAGAGTCGATTGTGCAGTATACCTGGTCGCATGTGACAATAAAAACACGAAAAGGCCTACCACAAACGCCTTCTTCAACATAGTGGACGCACGGGATCGTCGTGTAGAGCTTCTAAGAAAGTATCTTGTGGTTGAAATTAGCGACGCAATGCTTGTTGCACCTAAAACCTCCACCAATAGGCCATACCTAAAGATAGTCAGACGAATGAAGAATATCAAGGACATAATATTACGGCTTGAAATACTCACTGCAAGGGTGTCGGCAGCTCAGCCTGACCGTGATCTATGTTGAGGTCCATTTGACGAACGTGATCAAGCCAATTCTGTGCGATCCGGAACGCATATAGCCCCATGATTACTGGAGTGGTGAGTGATAACACCGTTGACTGTACAAATCGATGTGAATAAAAATTGAGGTCGAGATTTGCAGGTAGGGACTTACGGCGGCGGACGATATCGTCAATCCCAGTAAACGACCAGAACGGAGGCCGCCCTCTGTGCGTTCCCCTTCGTCCAACAGGAAAGCACCGTCTTGCCAGACTTTGGTGATCGTCGGCTGAGTCTTGTGGATGATCAACCAGCCCAAAAGCGCCGATGCAATTCCAGCAGTTCCGACGAATACAATGACAGTAGAGAACACTACTCGCAAGCTGAGACGATGCGTCCGCGTCCCCTTGACGGGAGTGGCTGGCTCGTTATAGGCCGGACGAGATGACTCTGTCGACGGTGTGTAGGGATTGAAAGGCCCAACATCTTCGACGGGGGTGTCTTCATGTCCATGACCCAAGAAGGACCTGGTTTCGTCCATAGGCGCCCTATCTGCGGGGAGGGAGGCCATGTGTGGCGAGTGGTTCAAGGACAAAATGAGGCTAGGTGGACTCACTTTATAGTGGATCGAACTGATGAATAACAGCGTGATCCATGTTTGTGACGCCAAGAAAGTGAATATTCCCAGGTCAAGGTGATCTCTTGGGTTATAGACTTCCTACATAGTGATATTAAGATGATCACAGGAAGCAATGGCATAGCAACGTGAACCTACTATGGAGTCGTATCTCATTCCCGGTTCCATTTATAGTCAATGCAGAGTACTCTGTGACCGTCAAACATTCGATGAAATCTTTCCGCCCATATGGGTTAATGTGAGGAGGGGACGAAACGGACATGTGCCCGTCGTATTTGGGTCCAAGCTCTGCCATTTCTGGAAAGTTCCGGTATGGGAGAGGCACATGCAATTTCCTGAGACATAAGTGACTCGGATCGATGAATTCAACCCCTCAATGGATACCACGAAGAACAACTTCTGGCGGTTTGTACAAACTTCAAACAGAACTCTCAGATTATCACTGAAGTCAACTTTACCGTAACTTCCATTCGCGGGAACTACCTAGATTCGATATTCCAATAAAGGTCATGGTCAGTGGCCCTCCAACCTTTCGATAAGGTGAAGTACTCACTGAAGCGGCGGTGACGGAGAGCTGGAGAGATGGTCAGGACTCAGTGCCGAGGAAGGAAGATAACGTGGGTCCCAACCGACGCCATAATGTCGGCTCAAGAGCCCCGAGGCACGGAAGCCGCCGGTAAGCATCTCATCCATCCGCGCCGTCACCCAGCGGTTCACGAACGGCTTCACTCTCCTTTTAACTTATCCCCTCCTCTTCACCTCATTCACTCTCGCTCCCTCTGTCACATACATAGTGAAGAGTAATGGAGGCCTTTCATAAGCGGCTACGGCTTCGCAAGCAACGTTCGGACCTTGTTGTTCAAGGCTTGCGAGTATTCTGGGTCACCGTCGTCCTCTGGGGGGAAATTGGCATCTTTTATTGGAGCTTGTCAGACTGTACGTGGCCGGATAAACCCCTTGCTGAGGTGCGTAGATCTCCAGACACACATGAATACTTGTCACTGATATATATCCTACTTTATGTCCAGGCTTCGTCTAGAGTCCCAGCAGCAAAGCACATCCTACTCATCGCCGACCCATACGTTCTGCCTCCATCTACGAAACCGCTGGCGAAAATCACATCATGGCTCTCGCCCTCAGCATGGCCATCTATACGTCGCGAAGCTCATTTGCACAAATCATGGTCGGTAGCACGGCGCTTACACCCTGATCTCATAGTCTTCCTCGGGGACATGCTCGGGACAGGTAGATCCATGCAGGATGACATTGAGTAAGCATATCCGTTACGCTTCCCAATATCCGCCCGTCTGTGAGCAAAAGAGTGAACTTCGTAGATAGGTTCGATGCATATGTACATAAATTCCGAGACACCTTCCGCCTGGATGAGGAGCAGGCTGAGGTGAGATTCATCCCAGGAAATGGTGATGTCGGGTAAGTCGACTCCCAAACGTGCTCGAGGAAATGCATGGATCTAACGCTATCTATGTTTGGAACTGTGTAGACTTGGATCCGCGAATCACTTCGCAAAACATGTTTCTGAGCGTTACGCCTCCCACTTCGGACCTCCCAACCAACAACTTCACTTTGCAAACCACAGCCTCGTTCTTCTTGACGCGCCCGGCTTAGTGAACGAGGATTACCAGCGTGCAGGGCGCGGGACATCATTCGACGATTGGACCCCGCTGAAAGGTGGTGCGATCGAGTTCGTCAAGGACATTGCCATTCGTGAGTCTGCACTACCGGCTCTGCCATATATGGTTCTGACACCGCTCAATCGTCTGGCCCGTTTAGGATCTTCCGCGGACCCCACCATACTATTCACCCATATACCGCTGCACCGATCGGAGTCGCGGAACTGTGGCCCTTTACGTGAGCGTGGAGGATCCATCCACAGAGGTGTGGGGAAAGGATGGCAGAGTATGCTTGGGAAACAGACTTCTGCCTTTCTGCTCGAAACATTGAAGCCTGTAGCAGTATTCAGGTGCGTACGATGGCCTCACACTAGTTGAAATGCTGACACGCTACTGGATACTATTTCAGTGCGGATGACCGGGATTATTGCGAAGTGGAGCACACGCTTCCTTCAGAGATCGTAGGACGGACAAGGGTGCCCGGAAAATCCATCCATGAAATAACCGTCAAATCATTCTCGCCCTCTGTCCACATAACCCGCCCAGGCTTCCAACTTCTCTCCCTACTTCCCGCCTCATCACGTCCTTCTTCCTCGGCCGCGTCGCATTCGACCTCAACAGGTCTCAGCGTTCCCTCACAGAGCTCCGCCCAAACCTACTCATCCAAACTTTGTCTCCTCCCCGCCACCTCCTCAACAGCCCTTTCCCTCTACCTACCCATCTTCTTTCTCTCATTCGCCGTCCTCTTCATCGCACACTACAATGTCCGACGTACACGAGCACACAAGCTTACACATGCCCTGTCCAACTCTATAGGGGTTTCTGACTGGAGTATGAGGGAAAAGCTGGAGTTTCTACCCAAATTCACCGACGGAATCCGCTTCCCTCTCAATTCCAGTCGCGCACCCGGCTACGGCGGTGAAGACAGTGAGAAATCGGGCGCGGATACACCAAGTAGGTACATACAACCTTCGACATACTTCGAGATGCCATTGCCGGCCTCAAGCCCGGTCCCCAAGACGCCAAGAACACCGTGGACGCCCTGGAGCCCTGTTCCCGTAACGGGCTTTCCTGGTTCTAGCTCGCAACAGCTGCCCCGTACACCTCGTACACCACAAATGCCTCTGTCCAGATCTACTTCGAACTCCAATCTCACCTCGCTGCAATACGGACCGGATGACGAGGATGACGACCATTACTCCTACGGTGCGAGAGCGGATGATGTTGAGAGAACGCCCCGGACTCCCTCGTATAGCAGTCCCCAACGCAGCAAAGCACCATCCTCAGGTTCCAGGATGGGAGGACGATCGAATGCGAAGCATGGGCTGGGGTTGGGGATCAGCTCCTCGAGAGTCGGGAGTATGACCAGTTTGAGTGGAGGCGCAGTCGGAGTGGATGAAGATTACCATTCGACCTCTGGGCCTGAAGGGTCGGGATCTGGGAGCGGAGAGAGTGGGTCAGCGGATAACGAGGCAAGCGAAGGGGAGTATGTTTATGTTGGTGCCGGTGCTGGGGGCCGACGAGGGGCCGGAGCCTCTGGAAAATCAAGACAGCTATCGAAGCCTCCGTCGGGGAGGTCTGTCATGAAAGACCCGGAGGCGAAGCCTGCAGCACCATTGTTGAGGGAACGTGCACCTAGGTCGGTGATCGGAGTATTGAGATGGGGATTGAGGAATTGTTTGTTGGCTGTGCCGAGGATGGTGGGCAGGGGTGGTGGTGGTCTGGGTAAGGGGAGGGAGAAAAGAGGATTGGTGGAGGGCGTGATTGCGGATCTGGGGAGGGTGGTGTGGCCTGCGATGATCGTCTGGATAGTTCTGTCGTGGTGGTTTTCGCGATGAGTGGACTTTATGATTTGTGAAACGGACCTCGGGGGTAGAATTATCTTATTACGCACGCGCACTCGTTACTTAGGACAGAGACAGGTTGGAGTTTGTCTTATGTCCTGGACGTTTAGTTAGTCTACGATTAGAACAATGCGAACCTCTTTTTGGCATTGTGACCGTGTATTTGTGTGTGTAGCTCTTGTAAGGCATGGCGCATGCTGTCAAATGCGAATATGTTTGTTTTACCAACTGCCTAGCAAGTCGATTAAATAGAACTCTAGTCCAGAGTGGTATGGTAAGTTCCTGCACGCTGAAGCAGGTAATCAGCTACATAGTCGAGTGTTTGACGATCGGCTTAAACTCATGAGAAACATACCTCTAGCCAAGACCTGCAGAGTCCGAAAACCTCGCCTGTGTACCACATCAACATTCTCAACGCGAACAAAAACCGCCCTCTACTGAGTTTTCAGGAAGTTCTGCTCCCGTATTCTCTGCCTATTCTCCTTCCTCATTCTCTTCTTCTCCGCAAATCCTCCTGGTCCGTCATCCTCCAACACCTTCTTCTCGAGCAACTTCCACAACCATGGTGGGTATTCGTCGTCTGGGAGAGCGAGAACGGGCGGCTGATCCTTGAGCCATGTTACACCCTTCAGGACTGTATTTGGTGGACATATAGAGCGTGATGTCGGTGCACCTGCATAATCAACCATAATATTCGGAGGAGACCCTGTTCAATAAGCTAGAGACGGTTGAAGAGCAAATGACGCACCATCAGCTGAAGCCTCGGGTATTGAGGCTGCTGCCGCAGATGGGGCAGCATTTTTACCAGCCGCAGGCTTCGCCGCCTCAGCTGCAACTCGTGATGAAGAGGAGAATTGGCAGCAGCATTGAAATGCTGGTCTGTGTGGCACCCACCGTGGAAGAACGCGAAGGAAAGACATGGGGATGTGACGTGACTCAAGTGCAGTCACGGTCGCGAATTGGGCGAGAATTGTGGCCGTCCAGGCGGATCCGCCGAACACCGGGAGAGGTGCTGGACAAGTTCGCTTGCTTCCGCTCCTGAGGGCGACTCAGACTGTCCGTCTCGCATTCACCGTGACCTTCGTCTTCAGGTGTCTTTCCTCAGTCGTCCTTTGGTTTCCTCTAGAACTACCTTTGCGCATGTATCATAACAAAGGCTTCTTAAGTTCATAGCCTTTTTCATTCTTCATTACCAACGAGTTATTCTACCTTTCCTCCGCAACTACACACTTCGAACAATTCCAGATGCACACCCGCCCCGACCTAACTAGACCCTCTGACTGCCATAATTCGATGCGACGCGCTACTCTCGTTGAACGTGTATCAACTCAATCTCCTCGGTAGCCTCCCTGACGTAAACCTTGATGTATACAACTCAGCCTGTGCCTGCGTAATTGATACAAGTAAGAGCATGCTTACAACAGGAATGAGTGTAACACTACGGCCACCAGCACTTGTTGCCACCGCAATATCATCGCCTTGCTGCCTTACACTACTTCCCTCGTCGGAATTTCCGTCACTGTCTTTGCTTGAACTACTCCGCGGGTCCAGCGGTGCACCAATATTGCCCAGAAAACGACCTTGGGCAAAGACTAGACCGGATGTGACGTTGTAAGTGGAAGTTGAATTCGGGTTAAATGACCGCAGGTTGAGAAAGAGGCGGTTGACCAGCAGATTGGGCAATCTGTGTGGGAAATCTGTTTAGTCCCATCCAAGCTACATATGAAGCAAGACCCATACATATTGAAGAACGGCGCGAGGGAGTTTGTTGCCAATATTGAAATCTCAGAAGCATTCTAAAAATGAGAGTCAGGTAAACGGAAATATCGTGTCAATCTTCGAGGCTAACCTGAGCAACGGATATCTATAGGAGACATCAGCCACGACATTGAATTTCGAGTGCGAGTGGTGCGTACAACACGAAGAGCACCATCTGCCACTCCAACAGCAGTTACTACACTGGATACCAGTCAGAAATCTCTCCCCACGAATCGTTCTTCCTAGAAGTGACACTGACAAGAAATAGAGAGTTCCTGGGTAATCATCAGGTTGGTACCTTAGCTTGAACAAGAATGGATTCACCATCACGAAGCAGGATCTCATTGATGCTTGTTTGACCGTTGCTACGCGTCTGAAGAGCATGTCGGTACGTTTGAACGATTGTAAGCCCGAAGACGAAGGTGTCAAACAGCAAGGTCAGGACCACGGTGGATACCTCGACTGTTACGGAATGGAAATAATTTTTGAGACTGAGACACGCGAAACACTTCGGGGAAGCTTACGTCTGCCCATCAGAGAATGTTATCCAAATTCAGCACGAAGAAGGCATGGCTGATTTGCTCACCGCTCGTACAAAGGCGCACTGGCATCTACGAAGTCGATCAGGCACGTGGACAATGCCTCGTAAGGTGTTCCTTGTGTTGACCCTCCTACACACATAAAATAATCCATCTTGGCTCGTTGCCGCGACCTCAACAAGACCTTACAGAGACTGAGAAGAAGAAGACGAAACGCTCACCCATACGTCTAAGCCAAACCTTGCAAGAACCAATGCAGATGCCACCGAAAGAACCATCCTGCTGTGACCACAGACAGCATAGACCCTGAGGGTGAACAACACTACACCAAGATGGGTGAAACTTGAGGTCGTCACGGTTCAGGAAGAGTATGACATCGAATATGGACTGACTATTCGTGGCGATGAGCGTAATGATCTGTAGCGTATTGTATGTCCTGTATAGTATATCGCAGCTATGTACAAGGACAGAGCGCATGAAGTTGCATGGCACTGTAGTATTTGGAGAGCATATGACCTACCTGCTGTTGCTGGCAGAACCAGGGCCAATCGCCGTTAAGTCGAGGACAAGATATACTCCGAAAACATAGCGGTTTATCAGAAATAGCACTCCGGTCCCTGTCAGTTTTCTTGACCAAAGAGCTTCGATTTCGGTTGGTAGAGTCTGGATATAATCAAAAATCCACAAGGCTAATGAGATAGAGGTCAATGAATGAGTTTTAATGAGTAATAGAATAGCACAGACTTGCAGCAGAGAAAATGCTATAATTGCTGATGAGCCTAGACATCGTGGCACCGATATGTTAGAGGGGGCGAAAGGAGCTTCCTAGAGGTGCTACACCTACCATAACCGTTCTTCGAGAATGATTCGTTGTAGATGCATGCCTGTGGTCAACGTGATAGTAGAGCAGGAGTTTCGTGCGTGGTCGTTGAGACTTTGAGACCCTTTAAATAGTACCACTGAAACAGCCAGTCGCTGTCGCTCAGAAAAGTCGCATGGGGTACCCAGTGTGAGAAAAGTCAATATTAGGATCCTTCCAAGATGATTTGGGTGTTTAAATATCCTGAGAGATCCCTGGGCGACGTGTTCCATGCGTCGAACTTCGAACAGGGTGTCCAGGACAAAAGACAGGAGCAGAAGCGCGAGGTGCAACCGTCCATAGCCGCACACAGCGTAACATGCTTAACGGTCAGGGAGAGGATCGCGATGCTTCAAGTTGGTAGTCCCAAGTGAATAACGATAATGTGACGATTCAAGCAGATGATGCCCTACCGCGGAGACATTCTTCTCGATGAATGTAAACTTCCACGTACCCGCATCAATGCAGCGAAGCCCACGCTATGGGATACCAAGAGTACAATGACAAGTTAAAATAGCGCTTTTGCGCGGCAAGGACAATACCGTCGCGTCAGGGGCTACCACCAAGACACTTGACAGTTCGGCGGAAACATGTGGGACAGGACGGAATGGATTGGACGCCGCGGGAGACGTCCTCATTGAACATTCATCTTTTGTACGATGCGGCACGCACTGCGATGACAAGGATAAACAAGTGGACCTGGCATACTTAAGGTTGATCACCCACAGTATTCAAAAATTGTGTTCTAAGATTCGAAGAATGAGCTAGCGGGCCGGGGCCGAAACCGAGTTGAATGTATCGACGGGACTTGCCAAGAGGTCAGTCGTAGAGCACATGAATCCTCGTACCGGAGATGTCGAGATAGTACATTCATGTCTTAGGGCAAGGCCACTCTAAGTTTTTCGACCTATGACCGGAGCCGCCATAGCTTGTTAGTATACAGGAGATGATTGACAGCAGGTCTTCAAAAGAAAATCTCTTTTAAATGCAAGGTATGATTGAGAATATGCTTACCCAATCGTCCCGCCAATTATGCTTCTCCTGAATTAACTTTGCAGTCTTCTGATCTGGTAATACTATGGACACGAAATCTATCAGTTTCATCTCCCTCTCCATCAACACAAACCTCGCCAATCCGAGACCTCCCTTCTTCCGCAGAAAGGCCGCACTCAGCTCCATGGCATCCACTTGCTCGTCTCCCGAAACCCCTTTTCCGCTCAGCCGCTTCCGCAATTCAGCGTCAGTCAGCGTACAGCCATTTATAATAGTGTATTTGGCACCCGGAGGCTGACTGGCATGGTCAGGTTTGAGGGATACAGAGATGATCAAGGCGTGCGTCGTTGCAGCGGTGGGATTATGACCAAGATTCAAAGCGCAGATGAAAGCGCAGCGAAGCAAGTCGTTATTGGTGTTGTGCCTATAGCGTACGTACCGTTCGGAATTAGAGCGATTGATTGGAGTCGTGAACAGGCGATACTGACCATTTCCTGAAAACACCGACTCGCTGGATTAGTTCTGGGTTTCCCTCCATCTGCTTCCTTCCTTCGACACTGCCTTTACAGGGAGCCTGTGATGCAGGGGGGCAGCACGCATGGACGTGAGGAGTCCGAAGGCACAACGCCCGTTTATAACATGGAGACGAACCTTATGGAGCGGCCAACTGGCGACCTGACATTCTTTACTCTGTGGCGTACAGCAGGGATATCATCAGTACTGGGCTTAAACGTAGCAGTAAGCCCCAAAATCAAGACTGACACAATATATAACCTTCACCGTAAAATCATGAGAGCCGACGTATCCGTCAATACTGTGTATGGTCCTCTAAAAAAAGCGACTACGCACCTCCTTACACTTCGCACAAGCCTGAAAGGGTTTTATGCCTGGCTCCTGCTTCTTCTCGCACCAATGACAGACCTTGCGCGTCCGCGATTGGCCTTTCAAATGCCGGATACGCTCCTCATTTCTCTCCTGTTTCTCTTCTGATGAAAAGGTGGTCTTCGTGCCGATACTGGAGCCAACAGTAGTGGCCATGGTGTCTTGTGGCGGTTCTAGCCGAGTTCACGAGGCCGGCACTTGCCGTCCAGCCGTGGGCGTGCCGCAAGCGAAAACTTCGCCCTCCGCTCTTCCCTCCGCTCTCCGCTAAGCCTCTACATCGCTTCTGTTCCTCGCCCTCGTCTCTCTGCCATTCGCAACATCGCCGCCAGAGTGTTCACGATCAGCATTATTTTTTTAATAGTTTCAGTCATGATGTTGAACGTCCTTCATTGCCAATTTGCGCGAGGAGTGAATGTGGCGGTGGCCACGTCGAAGGAGCGCAACCTGAAAGGCCTGGTCTACGTACTGCTTTCCTATGGCTGAATTCTCGATATTTTTTGTTGGGAACGAGTGAAAGACAGTGTAAGGTTATTATCAATCAAACAAAACAAGTGAGCGACGAGAGATGTATATATCACAGACATATGAGTACGATGACGGTCAGAACGGGAGGACGGAGAATGAACGGGATAAATAGGGATTATCAAGATTGAGGCGGAATGTAGGGATGCGGCTGCTGTTGAATAAAGGCAGGAACCGTAAGTACGTATGCGAGCGACATGAAGTGTTTATATACAGAGGTATAGGATAACGAATGACAGGTGATAGCACAGAGTCCGCGGCGATGGGTAGGGTTCGGCGAGGATGGAGGGGTGTTAGGCGGATGGGTAGGAAGGTACTACGCGGGATAAAGGATATGCAAAGCGTCCGAAGAGTCATCAAGTCTATCAGAGTCCATGATGAAAAACCAAATTGCATGCGAAGAAAGGTAGTTCAATGTCAGCGATCAATAGAGTCAGCCATGCAAGCACATCAGATGCGCATGTGGTCGTTAGGACCATCTCCTAGAGACCAATCAGACGAAACATCTCACAGCCCCAACATCGCAAGCCCAGCACCGGCCAACATCACCGCACCGTACATCGCACCCATGCTACCGATCCTCACGCCCTCTACTGACCTCGCACCACTGGATTGATCGCTCGAATTGCTCGAACCAGATCCAGTGCCCGATGTATCATCAGACGAAGGTTGGCTTGTAGGCAAGTCCGCCACGCTCGACAACGTCTGTGTCTCGATATTCCCACTGCCCACTCTCACCATCGTTCCGTTACTCGGAATTCCGTTGATCGTGACGAACAACAACCCTGGGCCAGGCTGGAACAAATTTGCGTTGGGGGGAGGTTGTGAGACGTGGTAGGTGATCGTTCCATTCGACGCAACGGAGTACGTGCTGTTGAGTTGCATAGCGCGCTGTCCCATGTTCATAGCGTGAGTCGTAAATCCGGGACGCATGAGCCAGATGGAAGTGTTGGCGGCAGCGGTGTTTGCGGATCCAGAGTAAGACGAAGAGTCGACGGTGACATCGAAGTAGTTTCCACCGTAGGAGAGCGTCGAGGGAATGCCCTGTGGCGAGGGGCGAGTGGTGGCGCTGAAGTAAGACGGGTAGAATATTTCGGCGGTGTAGGTGGTGGGGAAGTAGGTAGTGAGGTTGACGTCGACATTGGGATTGGAGCCAGCGACGAAAACGGAACCGTCAGCGAGGAGAAGTGCTGTGGAGTGGTATAGACGAGGAAGAGAAGAGCTGCCAAAGCCCGCGCTGGAGAAGCGGCTTCCCTTCGCTGCGTTCGGGTTATAGAGGACAGGCTGGGTGACGGGTCCAGCCGCGAGGGACATGCCATAGGGCATCTGACTATAAGACTCGGTCTCTCCAGTTTGTGTAGCGTATCCTGAGGACATTGTTATTATGACGTGAAGGGGATGATCATGCACTTTTTTGACGTACCTGCAGTACCATTCTGACCTCCGTTCAATATCAGCATCGTCCCGTCCGGAAGAGCAATAAACTGGCCCATCGTACGACCAACAGGCAGATCGTCGTCCTGCTCGTATGCCGGAGTAGATCCATCGGTAGGTTCTGGTGTAAGGCGTTGGCAATCGGTCGAGGCGGGGTAATCAAAAGTGTTGATAGCTGGCCAAGAATAGTCTCCCCAGTCTTGTTCGGGAATGTCGGATCCACCGCAGAAAAGGAGAGTAGGGTTCCAGTTGTTCGCAGGGGTGAGGGGAAGCATAGCGACGGCGCCCGACGCAGGGTAGACGCGGACAACGTGACCAGGCATGTCAGGGAGGGGCGTCTCAACGTTGTTATAGTAATCCCACAAGACTAGAGAGAAAAAATTGTGAGAAACGAAACGAAAGTACGAAACCAAGGATCAAACATACCAGTAGACCAATTAGCTTGTACGAGCATCTGCCCGGACGGCATAAGATAGGTGTGTGCGTACGAATTCAAACCGCTAGTCTGGATCATGAACTGCATGACCTGAGCGGTCCCATTCGAGGGATAGAACTCGTAAGTCGGCTCAGCAGCGCCTCCTTCGTACTCTGGATCGGTGTTGGGGTAGTTCCTGTTGATGTATCCACCGTTCACGAAACCACCGACCAAGACAACGCTTCCATCCGCGAGAGGCTCCGCTCCTGGGTACCATCTGTGCTTCTGCATCTGCAGGCCGTTGGGTGAATCGTACCAGGAGCAGCCCGACGACGAGACGTCACCGTCACAGGGAGTGATAATCCGGATGGCTTTGGTACCGTCGTAGTCTTGGTAGGTAGCATCATAACTAGCGCTCGAACCACCGGCTTGCTTCACCGAACCGATGTCACCTCCGGTGGTGATGGCGCCGTTGCCACCAAAGGTTGCGAAAGATCCATTTGGTAGATGCATACCCGCCGCACAGAACGGGTTAGTCTCCACATCCATGACTGTGGCGGTGCGGGAGGCGACATCCCTATAACATGCAGGAAACGTTGGGTGAAGGGTAGACGGAAGGGCTCGGGGCAGTAAACACGCACCATACTGACGCCCAAGCTGGGTGACCGTTAACTTGTGCTGCATTTCCCTCTGTTTTGTCAAGAATGTAGACCTTGCCCTCGTTACCAAGGAACATCTACGATTGCGGTGTACGCAAACGGGGTCGACCCTTCAGCGCCACAATAGCCAGAAAAAATGGGCGGATAATGCTCACCATCATGGCGCTCACTAGGGTATCCCCAACCTGTTCGAACGAGCCTGCAGTCTGCGCGAGCGCGGGGCTAGCAGCCACCCCCAGAGCGAGGAGTGACGAGAAGAACATTGTGAATGGAAAAGAGTGGCGTTTCTCTTCAGCAAAAATATTACTAGGAGGTAGAAAGAAGGGAAAGAGAGAAATTCAAGCCCAAGACGAGGCAGACGACGGCCGAAAGGATAGCTGAGGGATGAAGCGAGCAGGAGCAAGAGGGGAAACGGGTCGCACAAGACTTGGCGCCCTGTTTTTGTAAACGTCAAGGCGGACATGCATCACCGCCCTGTCACTCCATCCGAACTCCATCAATTTCATAACATCTACGCCGGATCACTTGAAATAGACTATTCGTGTTGATTCCACCTATAAGTAGATTCATGATGGTCAAAATATCCTGATGTTCCGCGAATCTGACCATACTTGTCAAAGCATTGGTCCCAAACTCACTTCGATCGGCTCACCCGAACACTGACACCTGACGGTGGCCTTGTGTGGCGTAAAAAGTAGTCGAATGGACGGTCAGAATATTCCGTGTGAGTCTTTTCTTTTTCGTCTCTGTCGCAAGCGAACAACGACCCGTCGACAGAATTGTAACCGTTCTTCAAGCTTCACGTCCGACTCATTTGCACTGCACTTTTCCGAGATCGTCATGACACAGAGCATGGACCCCTTCGGCGCGACTATTCTAGGTCGAAAGTATTCGCGCCACCATCCAAATATGCATGATGAGGAGGTCAGTTGACTGGGACGTCGTTGGGCACGAAATACGTGGTGCCAAGAAACGTCCACAAGCATGTTATTGACCATAAGCGTACGGACTTCCCAGGGGTGGCATACTCAACCCATTGTGCCCTTGCCCAACAGCTTTCAACTGTGCACATCGGCTAACGGTTCAGAAGTACTGTACTTGTACGGGCTATGCAAGTTGCCATCGGCCATCCCGAATTGACTGATTGAGTTGCCGTCTACGGGGCTGCATCAATAACTTAGTTACGCCACATGTGGCGCGGGGACCATTCCTCCTCTGGCGGCCTTCGTTCTGTGTCTCTGGTCCTACTAATAGCACGCCTACTACACCGTATTAGGCGGAGCCAGAAATCCACCTACGCCTCAAGCCAGAAATGTAACGCAGAAACCCAAGATTGTCCTTTATTCGAAGCGACATCCGACACCGACGACTACAACAAAAGCGAGGATGGAGACAACGTCCAGTACCAAAGAAGAACAACAAATATCAAGAGAGTGTATGTATCTAATGAGGAGAGGCAAATATATAACGTACAGACATCCTAGTCACGGTATGTAAGTAACCAGCACCGGGTACCAATTGACAAGTCAGTCTGTGTATGTATGGATTCAGATTCAAAGCGAGAAACGAGCGAGGAAGAGATCTATGTCTATGGTTATCAAGTCTATGTGGATAGTATGGAGCCGAACAAAACAGAGAGGTTGAATGAAGTCTATGTATGGAACGATCGTATGGATAAATATGGCAAGAGGGGGGGTGAGAGAGGGGATGAGAGAAGGAGGTGTTGCATGTACGTTCATTAGTCGACGTGATATGTTCATGTATGTGTTCATATGTTATGTCCGTCCTCGAAGCCCGTTGAAGGACTTGGGAAGAGAGAACTTCGTTTAGAATGAGCGGGAAAGTCTAGATGGAGTGCTGAGGAACGTCAGAAAAGAAAAAGAGAGACGAGAGAAAGAGGGAAAAACAGAGACGGAGCGGTGGGTGTTGAAGGTCGAGCAGGCAAGGGAATGAGTTGAATCAATATGCATCAGGAGAATGCGAGAGGTATCGAAAGAGATGCAAAGAAGACGAGATCTAATTACAAAAGGATGCGTGGGTGTGTAGGTCGAAGGTAGGATAATACGGATATGTACAAGTCAGATGAAGACGAACGAAGATGACGAGACCGCGAGAGAAAAGAAGACGGGTAGCAGCGGAGATAGATAGATAATATAGGTAGACGATACAGTGTGGACCTGAGTAGCAAACGACAAAGAAAAAGCCCCATAAGGGTTTGGAGAGCCATATGGAACAAGCGCGCACAACATGTAGGCGGCGCTGATAATATGCAGAACGAGGACCGTATCCAAATATACCATCCAAAAACAGAAGAACAATCGCGAAGCACTATTGCGCCCCCGTCGTAAACATCCGTCTCGGTCTCTCGCCCGCCGGCGTATTTGGCAAACTCAACGACGGCAACGACATATGTTGCGCCTGCGCCCTCGCGAACCTCGCCGCCAAGTCCGTCTCACTCGAGCTCCTCTCCGCCTCCTCATACGACGGCAAACCCTGCATACTCGCCAACGGCGGCACACCACCAAGGAAACCCCTCGACGCGATCCCATAGTCCGGCACCTCAGTGAACGCCCGATGTAATGTCGCAGGCGACGTATTCTGATGTCTCAGGGGCGGAGGCTGCGGTCGAAGTTGAGGACTTGCGGCGCCAGAGGCAGACTGTGAATTGCTTGGCGAATGGTGACCATGTCCGGTGAGGGAAGTCAGCGAGGCCAAGTTCGTATGCGAATTGCTGCGAGAGTTGAGAGAGAAGGGAGAGGAGATGGTCGTGAACGGCTTCATGGAGATGTTGAAGAGGCCATGCGAGGCACGGCTCGCTGGGTTCTGCGCGTGCACGTATGTATCGTTTGGGTTTCCTGGCCTGCTCCCACCTGCATGAGGTTCTGGGCTTGGAGCACGACTCCCATGTCGACTAGGACGACGACTGTGCGCACGAGACCCCGGACGGCTGACGGGTTGGCTAGGAGGCGTTGTTGTCGGCGGAGTATCAATCGGTGGGTTCTGCAGTCGGGGTGGTTCGTCCTGCGACAGAGAAAGCAGTAGCTCTGAGTTGACGTACTCCAGGTTTGCGCTTCCGGCATCGGCGTCGTTAGGTAGTTGAGAGAGGATTTGTTGTGCGTCGAGCGGGGAATGGGGAGTGTGAGATCCAGAGGATAGAGTGGTTTCTGCGGGCTGTATAGGGTTGACGCCGTTGGTTACCCATGGGTTTGAAACGCGTAGGGTGGCTGCCTCTGGCAAGTACATGTTCGCTACGCGATCACGGACATGCGACGAGTAGCTCGGGAGCTCCATATCGTCCGCCTGCTCATCCGCAATTTCTGGTCCTCCCAAAAGCAACCGACGAGTTTGAGCCGTAGCGGCACGGGCCTCGTCAATAAGCCTCCAGTCAAGGACGTGGAGAGGTAACGAGCAGCGAAGTTCGGATGTGTGGCCGTCGAGATTGCTGATGAGGATACTCCAGCGGATACGGTGGCTGACGATGATGGGTTCGAGTGCATGAGTGGGAGTAGCCGTTGATGGGACGACGACGTCGATGGCGGTGACTACATCCGAGTCCGAGGGCTCAAAATCAAGAGGGATGGAGTAGGAGGACGACGGAACGGGCATGGGAGCCGCTCGCGACGATGGGCCCGCTTCGGACGCAGGAGTTTGGGAGTGAGAAGACGGTCCGGAGTCAGGACTGTGATTGTTGGGTTCGGAGGTGAGACCGGTCATCGGTGGGAAGTAGCCAGAGTGGTTCAGTGGCGAACTAGGCGTCCCGAGAGGACTGTTGCCGCCTGAGCCGTACGGCGTGACTGCAGCAGGGGTGGCGGGCATAGACTGTGTCGGTCGTGGCCCGTAGGAAGGCTGGTGTGCTGGAGTCCCGCGAGTGCGGTGTTGCTGGTGGTCGACGCAGACGGCACGACCGTTAATGATTTCGTGCTTAGCCGAGACGACGGGTCTGGTGTTCTCTTGCCATCCTGCACGAGCGTAGAGCTTGACGGTCTCGTTGACCATCGTCGAAACGCTGAGAACGCGGGCACCTTTCGCAATCGGTTGGAATTTGACGACGGCGGTGAGCGTATCTCCGGCTGCCCATGCCTTGTGTGGGATCATGATGGAGTACATCAGTTTCTCGGGCCAGGTGTTCTCTATCTCGAGGGTCTGCTGATACTCGAGAGCCTCCGGAGCGAATGAGCGAGTGATGGAGACGGGGAGCTGAGCCAGGAGATTATGTGCAAACCCGGGCCGGACGGCGACAGCGCGAAGCTTGTAGGCCACTGATGCGCCACCGAAGACGCCTGTGCTAATGCTGGACGGTAGAGAGCCGCCAATGTGAAGTTGGAAGGGGAAGAGGTGGCGTCCAGCCTTTAGAGTGTGGTTGTGCTTCTTGTCGCCCTCGAGGAATGACCACTCATGGTTGCAGACGATATACGTCATACCAGAGCTGTTCAACATCATCCTACAAGGAGAACGGCGTGAGAAGGTAATTAAAGGTTAGAATGCCGATGGCGGTAACGTACGGTTCGCTCGCGGTGGGCGGCAATCGCGCTTTGCCTCTGAATTGAAGCGTAATCTCCTTGAAGGATGTGGACTCTGCGAGATGAAGGACGACGTGACCAGAGAGGAGGGAAGGTGCGACGTCTACTCCTGTCCCCTTGAGGGCGAGGACGTCGGATGCGACGACGATCTCAAGGCTGGGAAGCTTCTCCTTGTCCTTGCCTGGCATTTCACCGTTATGATGATTGGGGTGGGCATGGCTGGAGATGCCTTGAAGAGCGTTATGTAGGGCATGGGAGAGGGACTCGACTTCCTGACGGGAACGGTGATCTTCGTGATTTGGAGAAGGGGGTCTTGTGAGGGAGAAGGACATGGTTGATGTGGTGGAAGAGGGCAAATGGAAGACTGCCCGAGCGAGGCTCTGTGGCCTGAGCGGATGAGAGGAGTTGGAGGAGGACCGAATCTGGAAGCTGCTCTGCGGCTCGGCCCAATTTATTTGTTTTCCTCACCCAGATCTTCTCATTTTTTATCGCCGGACCTCGCTGACGTCGCCGATCGAGATCGTAGCTATTCTTCTTCCGCAAACTTCCCGCAACAAAAATCCTCGACCGCTCCGCTCCCCTGATTAAGCCTGACTCCAGCGTTATCTCCAACCGTGCATTTTTCTGACATTTTCGTCGCTCGTCGTCGTCCGTCATCGTCCGTTGCCACCAGTCAGCTGCTTCGCCCCGGGCGAGTCGGAATGTCTGGTACCGCCTTTGGGGCTCTCGTCGGTACCCACCGTGTCGCTCGACGATGCAGACGGAGGTGGCCAGGCGATTCCAGGTACGGTTGTTCTTCCGACTTGCCAAGTCGCTATCGCACGCACGTTGTCCTGCCGTAGATCTTCCGGGCCGAGGCCTGCGCGGTGCATCGCGTTTGTTTCCTCGCTTTCCCGGACGTCTCCGAACAAACGCAAACGTTCAACTTCTTCATTTCCGGCACGCTTTTTAGACCTGAGCTCGCTTTCATATACGTCTTGCGCCATGATACTTACCGAAGTTCTCATTGCTATCTTTTCGCCTTTCTCATGCGTGTTCGTCTTCCGTAGCGTCGACGATCATCTCACCGCCTTGCACAGCTCTAAACGCTCCAGTCTGCGCAATATTTGGAGCTCGTTGACACGCTATATTTCTCCCGGTCGTGAGCCTCTTCGGGGCGGATTCGAATACGCACGCATCCGTGGCACTTCTCCTTGTGCTTCATCGCAGCGCTCTCAAGAATCATCATCACCACCCTCAATACTTTGGCTTCCATCTTCCACACAAATCGAGGCCGAGTCGACGACTATGCCACAAAGGTGGAGGTACCCTCCTCTCCATTCAAGGGCGAACACCGCTATGTCTCTAGACTCGGCTACTTCGTCCCTTTTCTAAGCATGTTCAACACCACATCCTGATGCAGGCCCTCTACAATACTATAGATAGCTATTTCGTCCCGGAGCCGCGGTATCTGCCATCTCGTCGGCGACCCATAGTAGGCATGTCTGTTGTGTTTTCACCGAGCCGCATGCTCGAACACACCTATTCTTGTGCAGTCGAAGGCCTTGTCTGCTGGCATGGAGAACAGAGACCTCTGTTCTTCTCCTTCTCGCCCTCTTCCTTGTCCGTGTACTCAATATCCGAAGCTTGAAGCTTCGTTCTTTTCGATAATCTACTCGGCGACGGGCGTTCGTTCTCTCAGCAGGCAAGTCAGACAACAATCCTTATGTCTTTCTCTTCGAACCTCCCCGTTTGACATAATGGAAACTGATACAGGGTCTTACCGTAATACCGTAATTCCCTCGCACCTCATCGATGCGCCACAAATTCCGTCTCGAGCATATCTCTCCCGCAGTACCTCATCCGAGTCACCAATTGTCCATACGCCTCCGAGGATCAAGTACCACAACTGCAATACTTGTCATCTACACGTGCAGGCATGGTGGTAGCTCGCATCCGGCAAGCAATCTCGGATCCATCTCCGATTGTTCCTTCTGGCCCAGAACGGCACTACTTCTCCTGTGCCTTGGACAGTCACTGACAATACACACGCCGATCTGCATAACTTCGGGCCTCGAGGCCCAATCGAGGTACTCGAGCGCTACATGACTACCACCTTTGCTCCTCCTGCTTCGTCCTCATCGGCCACAAACACCACTTTATCTATCTTTACCTGTTCTGGCGCGACTGATCTCGGTGCCTCGGTGACACGTCGGGAGATCGCACTCGAAACTTTGTCAGTCTAAATGCTATGTATAACGGGCTCTTGCCGTATGCAGCCTTCCTTGCCCACAACTACGTCCTAATGTTAGGCTTTGGTGTATGGCTGGCTTTGCTCAGGGTAGGTTCTTCGACTTCTGGTGTTTTCGCTCGCTTCGAGAAGAGCGCCACAAAGGTTTTGGAACATGTGCTGTGTTGCCTTACCCAGTAGTCCCGCCGGGACTGTACGGTCAGTATGGCAACTTCGGATGATACTGTTCACCGCGCATATTCTCATGCAATAAGGTTTGTGGACTGTTTAGCTATGCGGAGAGCTGCAATTATCGTGCGACGTATTCACTTCCGAATGTGAGGCTTTGCTCTCCCCGCGGCGATTGGGGGTTGATATTTCTGAGACGTCTTTGTTCTTCGAATACATTCATTCGAAAGTGCGCTCTCATCGGCAAAGCCAGCAAATATCCCTCCTCGCATGCAGGCCGCCTGCTGACCTCTATAATTTACCCTGACATTGCAGCATACCCACGGTCGGTAATATCGCCCACAATGCTGGTGCTAGACGGCGAGTTCAACGATGAATATGTCTTAGGCCTATTTACCACAAAATAGACGGACGTCTAAGTTCCCCCGAGGTCGCTTCGTGAAACATGAAGTGCTATTCGGACTACATTTCTTTCCGCGCTCCACCGGTGATAGAATGGCCCATCAACAAATCCTAAATACGCCGCACCCACCGTACTTAATCCACACGCTATTCCTCCTCATCAAATCATCCTTAGGATAAATAGTCACAGAGATTAGCGCAGCCTCGAAGGACTTCGAAGGACGCTCTTGTTGACGGACTACAAATAGTCAAACGTTGCTGCATATAGTGTGGTATTTCCGAGGTTGTGTCGTGGATCGTGATGGCCAACTAAACTCGTTGTTGACTCGCTCGCTCGCAGAAAAGACGGATCAGGATCAGGAAAGTCTACATTATTTCCGCCCAAAACACGATATTTCTGCTCCCGAGACTAAAGTAGTAAGTATTCAATACTAGAAGATCGTTCTTAGTGAGTGTTGAGCGCTGAGCGCCGAGCAGTGCCACATACATCCGTGTCAGTGCATGGTCCGAGTGCGCTTCTCGACTTGCATTTATTCTCTATCAAGGTCGATGATGGTTGAAATGGGTTTTCTTGACAGATTTCCTGCGTTCTTGTTCAACATCGCATACGGCGAACTTCACGGGGATAACCCGGAAAACACAAGCAAACACGATACTGATAAAAATGCTATCTACGATATCAGGCGCTCTCGGGCTTTCGGACTTCAACTTTATCGAAAGATTGCAACTGAGCGCTCGACTCAACAGCGTCAGAGCGCCCAGGGTGGTTGTTGATGTCTGATGGGGATATGTTACGAGGTCTGATGGGGATATGTACAAGTGTAGCTTATTGGCGGTGCAAAGGCCTCAGTGGCCGTCGGCTCTCCGCTGTTGAGGATCAGGACATCCTTTGATTAGACGTTAAATATAATTCGTGTTATGGCCAATGGTGGTGTATGATTCGACCAGGGCCAATAGAAAATCTTTTTTCTTCTTGTGATCTGGTCGCTCGGACAGAATATGTGGCGCCAGGGAGTTCAGGACGACGAGTTCTTCGTATTGGCTGAGAGTATTGATTTCAAAACACCTGTAAATGTGCATGAATCCTCAGTATAAAGCATTGCTTACAGTGTCAAGCGCAGGTCAATAATAATTTGTGCAACGACGATCCAACGCCACACGTAAAACTACAAGCGCAAGTCGGCACGGACTCCGAGCCCATCCGCACCGGCAAATATCGGAAAAACCGCATAGCGCGAGTCTGCTTTGAAACCACACGCATTGCACAGGGCACAGGCCGTAACAGAAGCTCTGGCAACGCGTACGGTTCATAACGGATCATGGATGTACTTTCGCTTCAGTCGAATGAGCAAGCAAGGCCGCCATGGCAGAGTCAGAGAGTGGGTCAAGGAAGCCGGTTTGCTCTGGGCCTGAGCTGGAGCTGTACGACAACTTCTGAAAGTTCGCTTCTCCCGTACTTACTGTAGACAGTGTGCGACGGTGAGAGAAACTCAGTAGGTACCGAGCGTTGCGGTCCGTATAGGAGCGTCGCCACCTACTCAGGTCGTATCCTTGGCGAAGACGAGCCCTGGTCCTGCCCGGACTGGTCTCGTCGGAGGATGATGAAGAAACATGAGTATGCAACGATGTTTACCGCAGTCGACCTCTGATTGAGCGGTGGTGTATTGCATAACAGATAAGCATAGCTAAGATGATTATGACATATAGAGTTGAAATATAATGATGAGTTATACGGCATGAAGTCTAGCAAATCCAAATATTCATCCGGAACAGAGCCCGAAAAGAGAGAGATACCCGGAGTCCACTCTTGCCGTCTGGATCTACGCCTGGTATAAAGCGTCCAAGAAGGCTGACGCAAGTGTACCGACCATCTGAGGGCCAACAGCGCTCGATTGGCCGAGACCTGGAAACCGCGATGTTAGTAAGTCTCTCGGTCAACGAAGGAGCTCGGTCTGTGATGTTGCTATCGGGGAAATGTGTAGGATCGAACATACCGTAGACGGCAACCATGTTGCCCGCACCAGGAGGCGATCCTCGCGCCTCTTTGATTGACTCTTTGAGGTCAGAGATTAACGTGTCCACAACAGGAATTGTCAAACGCTAGAGGCCACAGAAAAAAGTGTTTTAGATCGTGAATTCCCGATCCCACTCGGAGCCGGGCGTCAAGGGTGAGTCGAGGGATATATGGACATTCGACGTACCGTGCAGGCAATATGAACCGCGGACGGGTTTTGAATCGCATTCAAATGCCACCCCTTCTTCGCCATCTTGTCCCCGACCTCCAATACACTTACATTCGGTCTTCTCGAGCCGAAGGCGACGACAGACGCGGGCGGTTTACCAAGGATATAGAGTTCTGGGATTTCGGACTTGATGCGGGATTCAATCAATTTGGCCGCGCCGACGATGTCGCGACAGGACGCAATGTATCCTCTACACATTATGAAACATGATGAGCGGAGGTTTGGATGGTCAAGGAAGAGGAAAGCACGTACTCTTCGCCCATGTGTTGCATGACTGCCCATGCACCTGCGATGAGGGCACCTGGACTAGACACAGATAATTTAGTATTGGACTGATCCCTACGGACAGATAAAAAGATATGGACACACCGCGAACCGGAGAAACCAGGGCTTGCGTAGAGGCCACCTGAAAGAAGCTGTCGTCAGACTTTGAGGCGCTCCGTGTTGGGCAGGAAGTTAAACGTACCGGCCCATTCGGGGTTGACGTAGTACTGGTGTTGCCTGAGCTCTTTTGACCGGTACATTACAACGGACGAGCCCTGCGGAATACCGGAATCAACACCGTATCAACTCTGAAGCTTGTTGCTATATGTGCGTACCTTTGGTGCAAAACCATACTACAAACAAGTAAACAACATTATATCTGTAAGCGCGACGACTATCAGTGGAAGTGAAAGGAATGCCCACTTTGTGTGTATCACAGCTGATACTGGTTACGCCCTCCACTCGGAAGTCGAACGGCTCGACGGGGAAGCCTGCCTTTTCCAAGAAAGGCATGATGAAGCTACCTAGACAACAATCGACGTGCAGACCAATATTGTGCTTCTTCGCGAGTTTCCCAAGAGCAACAATGTCGTCCTGACAGCCATCCGGGAAGTTGATCGCAGAGCCTACGACCTGTAAAGTGTCAGATTTGAATATAGAAACCCAATGGAGGAGAGGTATACCATGATAGTGTTGGCGTTGCTACAGAGGACAGAGCGTTAGTGGTTTACTGAGCGAAGCAATCAGTGCTTTGCATGAAGACAAACATTGCGCGAGCCACACGCTTGATGTCTACTTTGCGCGTGGTGGGGTCGACTGGGATGGTATGTAGCTTGATTTTGAAATATGCCGAAGCTTTGTCAAACGCTGCATGTGCAGAGGCAGGGATGATCCTATCGTCGAAATAGAACTTCAGCCCACCGTTTTTCAACGAGGAAGGTTAGAAGAAAGACAAACATTTCAGGTTGCGTGATACCCTTGACCACTCTCGCCCAGTCTCTGTGCGTCTTGCAGGCCATGATGATGGACTCAGTGCCACCGGATGTTGTGGCTCCAGCACCATCGGGGTGGTTGTACATCCTCAGGCACATGGCGACGACTTCGGCTTCCATTTTGCGGATAGCAGGGAATACGTCGGGGTGCAGAGGGTTTGAAACGCAGTACTTTGAGAAAGCGGCGACGATGATTTCCTCCATGTCCTCTCCGCCATCTTGTAAGACTTGTTCAGCAGAGCGCCAGCTTCACAGAGCCGAGGATAGAGGAACTCACGGTAAACAGCTCCCGAAAGCTTTCCTTCTTTGTAATCAGTATGCGATTTTCCTTCTGTATCCATTTTGTCCATCTCCTCCAATATCCACTCCAGTGACTTACTCTCCTGCGGAAGGGCCAGATGTCTTACCACGTCCTCTCCTTGCGGAACAAGTTGCTCTTGTATCATAGCTTTGGCCCTACCCATCTCAACCTCCACTTTTTGCCTCATAGACGGCATACGAAGGGCCAGAAGGACAACTTGCTATACATCGAAATAGTACGCAGGCGCGTGCCGGTTGTGGGTTGATAATGAGCGACGTGTTGACTTGTATGATGAAAGTCACGCACTTGAGCAGCCCACTTGTACATCTCACCGACAGTGTTTCGCAGCCCTCTAGCACGAACATGTCTCCATCCCTTGAGCGAGTATGTCAATACAACATATAGAACAAGCAGGTTTTTGGCGTTCTCCGTCGACGACTGTAACCTAGACCGTAACGGCGAGAAGAGATTAATTGAGGACATCTCTCTGGTTGATTTTCTCAGACGTGTTCCCCAGAGAGAGTGGCCGGCGAGGATAGAGGAAGGTGAAGAGATATGATTGCGTGGGCGTTGCCTTTTCGCTTTCGTTGTGAAAGGCTGAAGCTCAGTCGATTTCACGAGCGCGAGCTCGACCGTGTGATCGGGCTTGCTCGGGCCGACGCGTGGCTCAAGACGTAGGTGGCAATTATTCAAACGTTCATCGACATCGCCCATCCAACGCTCATCTCTTCAAGAGCCATGCTCGAAGCTCTGGTCTTGTTCTGTTATTTCCTAGAGTGCTCAGTACACGTCGCGAAATTAGAATTGTGGTATGTTTAGCAACCTCACGGTTCTGTGCGCCCGCAGCTCCCTGAGACTAGGTTCTCTGTAAATCCTCCTATGACAAGAATAATCACCGGAAATTAGGTCCTCCGCACTTTGGGCCTCCTCGCCTCCACCTCACACGATGCCAGTCCATTGAGCATTGGATGCACGATGTTTTGTGACCGGTGACCTTCGTCGACCAGCTCACACCGTCTTGTGATCTAAATGAGGCTAGGGCGCGGTTGCAGATACTCAGGCTCTGAGTTTTCTCACTGGGCTTCTTCCATCATTTTCTTCCTCTCTCCAACTTCTCGTCGGACGTCTTTACTTGGGTGCATAATAGAAGCCAGCTACTCTCCTTGAAATATTGCAGCTATGTTTCTCTCCGTTCTGCTCAGGCTTTTGGGGCTGGCAACATGCTCCGTCTCTGTTCGTGCTCAAAGAGCTGGATCTTTCGAACAAGTGGGAGACACGCTTGTCAGTGCTATGATGGTGAGTGCTCTGTTTTACGCATTATATAATTGTTCGAAAAATTGATGTGAAGAATCTCTTCTTTGGAGATGTTTCTGGGAAACGAGGGCAAGGTCTACATTCTAGATAAAACCGAGGGGAACGAAGCACAAGTGAACGGCCACCCTGCCTGGGCATCGGTTTGGTACGCCCTATAACAACTGCACTACCGGCATTGTTTGTGCTGACCTAACACTTTTATGATAGGGATGTAGCCTCCCGGACAGCGACTGTCATGGACGTTGAGACCAACCCCTTCTGTGCTGCAGGCATGCACCTTCCAAACGGTTCTTTCGCAACCTTTGGAGGGAACGGCGCTATCACTGTCGGCGGCAACATCGGTTCGAGCCTCAACCCTGATGGCGTCAGTGCAAGTTTCGACTCAACCTATCAAGACTTCGATGGCACCAAAGCCATCCGTATCATCACACCCTGCACCGGCGATGTATCGGAAGATCCGTCCTGTAGCTGGTACGATTCTCCTAACGGTCTGCAGATGGAAAAACAGAGATGGTATCCAGGTTGTGAGGCACTCGCAGACGGGAGTGTGGTGCTCATCGGTGGATTCGTCAATGGAGGGTACATCAATCGAAATGTTCCCAATACGGATCCGTTAACGGAAGGATTGGCTGCAGAGCCGACATTCGAGTTTTACCCAGCGAATGGCAGGACCGCGGAGGTGATGCAGTTCATGGTCACGACAAGTGGGTTGAACGCGTATGCACATACCTATCTTATGCCTTCGGGCAAGATACTGGTCCAGGCAAATTGGTCCACAAGTAAGCCCGATATCACATTATGTCTCGAATATTTTCTGAAAACTTGTCCCCCTGGTCCCGAAGTTTTATGGGACTACACACAAAACATCGAGACACCCTTGCCCGACATGCCAGGACATGTTGTTCGCGTGTATCCCGCCTCTGGGCCTGTTTCCATGCTCCCTCTCACCCCCGCGAATAACTGGAATCCTACGGTTTTGTTCTGCGGAGGCTCTGACATGCCAGAAGAGGATTGGGGTAATTATAGTTTCCCGAGTGTCAATACCTGGGAGATTCCTGCCTCCGCGGACTGCCAGCGGCTTACGCCAGAACCTCTCGACGGCTCCACGCCAGAATACGAACAAGATGATGACATGCCTGTTGGTCGCACTATGGGCCAATTCATTGCTCTCCCAGATGGAACACTTCTTGTCGTCAATGGCGGTCAGAACGGCACCGCAGGTTAGTCACTTCCTTACTCTCTACACTTCATCATACTCATCAAGATGCGACAACAGGGTACGCCGCACAAACCGGCCAAACCGCCTCCTTCAGCGACATGCCCTTTGGTATGTCCCTTGCGTCCAGTCTCGTAGGCCAACCAGCCCTATACAATCCAGATGCACCTAAGGGCAGTCGCTGGTCTACCTTAGGTTTCGACTCATCTTCCATCGCCCGTTTATATCACTCTTCCGCTCTCCTCCTGGCCGATGGATCCGTCTTTATCGCAGGGTCCAATCCCAACGTCGATGTCAACACCAGTACCGTCTTTCCTACCACTTACACCGCAGAGATTTTCTATCCACCGTACTTCAGCGCTTCCACCCGTCCCTTAACTCAGGGTGTCCCATCGGTGCTCTCCTACGGAGGGGATTTCTTCGATATCACCGTCACCCCGTCATCCTACTCTGGCCCTGCAAATGACGCGGCGGCGAATACTTCCATCTGGCTCATGCGTCCGGGATTTACGACCCATGCGATGAACATGGGACAGCGCGCTATGCAACTCAACAATACCTACTCGGTCGCATCAGACGGCTCTATCACTTATCATGTCTCCCAGCTCCCGCCAAACCCGAATCTGTTCCAGCCGGGACCGGCGCTTCTCTTCGTCACCGTCAATGGCATCCCCAGTAATGGAACACTGGTGAGAGTTGGGAGTGGGAATGTCGAGATGCAGCCGACATTCGATGTCTCTGAGTTGCCTGCGAGCCAAACTGCCGCGATAGAGTCTACAGGGTCGGGCAATGGAAGCAACGGTACTGATATGGCTGGAAAGAGCGGCGCAGGAAGCTTGACAACGTCGATCATTGGGAAGGGGAAGCTTGTTGGGGTTTACGGTGCCGTGACGTTAGTGAGTATTGCATCTGGCATTTGGTGCTGGTGATTCCTGTTCTTGGGACCACGCGTTACGGGACATTGTCCGTGAGTTATGCTTTAGGACTTGGCCATCAATTCGTCTTGGGTACCCTCCCCGAGGACTTCAGTCGGACTGCCGTGGTTTTATTCATCTTTTTCTCTTCGGGACTCTGGGGTAATATCGACCGTAAAGCTGCATATTAGGGGCACTTTCAAGCATCACGTGTTCGTCTTGTCGCTCGTTACATTTCGTGTTGCCATCTTATTTTGAACATGAAAGATCAGATGCTGCTTTCTCCTCCAATCGAGTACTGCAGATATTCCGCACATAATGGTCGTTATGCCGAAGTCGAGCATGATACACTGACTCGTGGCTCTGGGAGGAATTGCATGTACGTTAGATATTGGCTATCTGATTGGACCCACAGTCTGCTAACTCAGACAAAGTCAGTTTGGTGCCTCTTGGATGTGATTCAGCTTCGGGAAGGTAAAACACACCTTACACCTGGGCGTCATATTGGCGAAACAACTCCGCGAAAAACTGATGTCTCTTTATAGCATGTTCGAAACCATGACTTTCCTCTTCGCCCCTCGCAAACAACTCATACATCCTTCCGATGTTCCTCGCCGGCAACGACAAGTGCTCCAGCTCATCTTTCACAGGCTCCACCACCTCAACCTGACCCGTCTTCTGATCGTGCAGCTCTAATAAGCTCTCAGCGAGACCGACGTTCAAGAACGGCCCGGGCGAAGTGAGACGGATCTCTCCAGATTCTCCATGGATACGCCATTCAAGAGCAGGGGTGCCTGGGAAGGGTGGTCCACTACGCATGTAGAAGGAGAATATGGCGCCGTTCAAGGTCTTAGCATGGAACATGACTTGGTCGGGGACTTCATTCTTGACTTCTTTCTCGGCGACAGAACCGTCACGCGCGACGATGTCAACTACGGGATGGCCGTTGAGCATGATGCTGTCGAAAGAATCGATAGATCCAAGAACTACAGGATCAGGCATTAGAACTGGACAAAGAATATTGAAGAAGAACCGCCACGATAACTCACCATGCTCGATGGACTCCAAAGCGTGTCCGATACCGATGGTGATAGGATTTGCACCCACCTCTCTCTTCGTGAAATAGTCGACGGGCACTGCCCCTCCGAAGCCTTGAGCAGTGATATATGAACTGCTCAGGACCTTACCGATCCTCCCACCGTCCACCAACTCCTTGACTCGCCTGACCAACGGAGAGAACGATCCCTGTAGGCCCACTAAATTCCTTGCGCTGTGCTCCTTTGCGACGAAGGCCATCTCCTTCGCTTGCTCCAGGTTAGATCCAAGCGGCCATTCAACAAAGACCGCTTTTCCAGCACGAAGAGCGGGTACGGTGATCGCATAGTGTCTGTCTACGCGGACGCACACTACGATGAGGTCGATATCGGGATCGGCGGCAAATGCTGGGGGAAATAAGACATCGTAAGGACAAGACGAAGTTGGTCACGGATCCAGGCATTGAGATAAGATGGCGAACATACACTCGATGTTTCCGTATGTCTTTGTAGATTCGGGTAGGTTATACAATTTGACTGCGTTCTTCGCCGACTCTACCGAAGTATTGCACAAGGCGACCAGAGTATATGCATCTGAGTTGAGAAGGTAAGGCAGATGCGCAATAGGAGCCCAGCCTGCACCCTGATATTTGTCGGGTGGCGCACTCGACAGGCCGATCAAGCCAACACGTATGGGAGACATCAAGTATAGTATTCAAGGTGCTAGAAAAAGCGGAGATGATTTGATTGACGAATATGAAGAGAAGACGCGAGAACAGAACCGGGGAGCAAAATACGATGCATCCATGTACAGTATAAGTATAGTCTCTCCGAGGAAGCTATTCAGGGTAATCTGCTGACTGAGCTCTCAGAGGAGCTGACGCAGCAGATAGCGAGCCTGATCTTCAAGACCAAGAGGCAATGATGCAATTTTGAAGGCATGCGGTACTAGTAGCTCTGATGGTCGCCCGTGAGCAGGTCCAGAGGCGAAAGGTCAGATCCGGAGAGCTCGAGTATGTGCGCAAACTGAGGCACGAAGCTGAGGAGAGAGTTCACTATACTAAGATGGCATATAGGTCCTGAGAACTGAAACAGATAACTGGAGCGAATGACTAATCACATGCATGGAAATATTGGATGGGTCAGGATGGATCCAAATGGATGAAACAACATGGTTTCTGGAGGAGGCGCCTAGATACTTTCGATGATCTCTTCAGAAGACAAAACTGGTTGAGCAGAGATCAGGTGCGTCCCCGGAAGCCGGACCATGTCGAGATGGGAGAGGCCGCCGAGGAATAATCGATAAGTGGGAGGGAGCAAGACGAACCGACTCAGGGAGAGAACGATCAATGACAGAGCAGGGCATATTCCTACCGTCAAACGTCCACTATTAATTGTGACACCGGACATAAGATATTATGTGGGACCGCTATATTTCACACTGAGAAACCTTGATGAGGTTCCACGACTGTGGGGTTGATAAAAGGACGTATCGTACACGCACGCGCAAAACCTAGTGCTAACATGAGGAGACTATTGACATAGCACGTTAGTGCGTTATCCTAGGGTATAGACTAGTCTTAGCAAGAAGAAACATACATCATGCCTGAGCATCGTATTGACGGAATAGTTCCGCGAGGAACCGATGTTTCTTCGCTGCATGTTCGAAATCTTGGATTCCTTCCTCACCCTTCGCAAACAACTCATACATCCTCCCGATATTCCTCGCCGGCAATGGCAAATGATCTAGCTCATCCTTCAAAGGTTCTACCACTTCAACCTGACCTGTTTTCTGGTCGTGGAGCTCTATTTTGCTCTCGGGATGCCCGACGTTCAAGAACGTTGTAGGCGAAGTGATACGAATTTCGCCAGTCTCACCGTGAATGCGCCATTCGAGGGCGGGGGTGCCTGGGAAGGGTTTTCCGCCGCGCGAGTAGAGGGAGAAGATAGCGCCATTCGAGGTCTTAGCGTGGAACATGACTTGGTCGGGAACGGTCTTCTTGCGTCCTTTCTCGACGATAGATCCGTCGCGCGCTATGATGTCGACGACGGGATGGCCGTTGAGTACGACGCTATGGAAAGAATCGATAGAGCCGAGAACTATAGAATCAGACATTAGAAATAGACCACGAATAATGACGGAGAAGCGGAGCAATAACTGACTATACTCGATGGACTCCAAAGCATGCCCTATACCGATAGTGATAGGGTTTCCACCCACCTCCCGCTTCGTGAAATAGTCGACAGTCCAACTTTCCGTAGCCCCTCCATTTCCTAGGGCAGAAGAATACGAGCTGCTCAGAACTCTACCGACCCTACCGCCATCTACCAATTCCTTGACCCGCCTGACCAATGGAGAGAATGATGCCTGTAGACCCACGAAATTCCTCGCGTGGTGTTCGTTTGCAATGGCGGCCATCTCCTTCACTTCCTCCAAATTAGCTCCAAGCGGCCACTCGACAAAGACTGATTTTCCGGCACGGAGAGCAGGGACTGCAGTCGGATAGTGCCTGTCTACGCGGACACATGACACGATGAGGTCGATATCAGGATCAGCGGCAAGTGCTGTGAGACGAGTCGAGGACGAAGTCAATATTCAACACAAATCCGAGCATTGCAACGATAGTGTGCGTACCCTCGACACTGCCATATGTTTTTATGGATTCGGGTAGGTTGTGCAACTTGAGTGCGTTCTTCGCTGACTCCACAGAAGTATTGCATAAGGCAGCCAGAGTATACGCATCTGAGTCAAGAAGATAGGGTAGATGCGCCATAGCAGCCCAACCAGTGCCCTGATACTGGTCGGATGGTGCACCAGAAAGACCGATCAAACCAACACGAATAGGAGACATGGGGCCTAGATGCTGAGCTTTGTTTGAGAAAAATGAAGGGTGAGGGCAGATCAGAATTGGGAGTGAAGCGTGTTAGATGCACTTCAGTCCTTATGTAGAGCTGCGTCGAGAAAACTGTACCATTCGAAGTTGTCGCATGCAAAGGACTTGCTGACTGATCTCCGAGCTCAGCGCTCAGCGTTCAGCGGAGTCAGCAGCGATGTCCGGCTGACGAAGCAGATTGCCCTTTGAGATCGACGTACAATGATGCAATCTGAACATACTTAAGTTATGCGGTGATGCTGTTGGCCCAGATTTCATCCTCCGGACAAGGTCAGGGGGCCAGATCTGGAGAACCTGAGTATGTCTCCGCACAGACAAGATAACAAGCTTGGGAAGAGCGGCCGGCGAGAGCGAAGTGTTACGACCGTGGCGATCCGGTACCAGAGAGACGAGTTCGTCCGAGAAACAAAAGGACTCTAGAGCGCCACCCACCCAGATAGACGAGATTTCGCATGAGTAGTAGGTAGAGTAGAGCAAAGAAACAGAAGCTACGTAGAATGGTCCGTAAGAGATGTTGGGGGTTAAAAACTGGTTGAAATTAGAGTCAGACTGCCGGAAAGGTTCAACTAGCTGACTAATCAATGTGGCGTTGTGGCGTGGGGTCCCGAACAACACGTCGAGTTCGGGTGTGTGTGCGATAACAAAGACGGTATCTCACAGGGACTGGGGAGTTAAAGGTATATTATAATAGTAAAATTATTTGGGAGAGAGAGCAAGTTACAATGTACAGTCAAGTCCCAGTCAAGAATTGCTCATACACAAAGTCAACGCAAAGTCTACAAGGACGCAACCATCCCAAGTACGGACAATGCCACAGCAACCCCAACAGCCTGCGGCAGAGAGTGCAACCTTTGTGACCCGCCTGTCGGTGCACTCGTGGTCGCTTCAATAGGCCCGGTAAAGTTGGCGGAAGCCCACAGCTGGACGTTCCGGAAATATGAATGTGTGTCGCGGGACGAGGCCCAGGATGAGTCTGAGCCTATCGGGTTCACCACCGAATGGAGAAACGTGGAAGAGCATTCGTGAGCAAAAGCGCAGGAGGTGGACACAAGGCGTAAGACGAAGACATACCACCAAAAAAAGTACTGAAGTAGAATCCTCCCGGGGTTACATCACTGTCGTTCCCAAACATGACTCCGGTCTGCGAGAAAACATGCACGTCGTTATGACTGCGAGCATACGTGGTCAGCAATATTAGGTGCAACCAAACCGAACGACTGACTATAATGATATTTGGCCGTTGGAGGCGCCAGCAGGATGATTCGTTTGCACGAGTAGCGTGATACGGTTCCATCTAACACGTGTTTCAATATTTAGCCTTGACGTGGAGGAAGAAGTGAGTTGGAGGTAATGAACTTACTGCCCAGTGGTAAAGTTGAAGCTGCCCCGATCTAAGCTTTCTCCATACTTGTCGTTGCAAATAGCCTCCGTCTCGTTGCACACACTCGAGGATTTCGGCACATAAGCATACACTGTTGAATGCACAACTGTCAGCGAGCAATCAATGTATATGCGCGAAGACACAGACCTTCGCCCATTCCTCCTTCCCTCCACATTATCCTTGTGCTGAAGCAATTATCTCCGTCTGCCTGGTTTCCACCAGAGCAACCATCAAGACTACCTCCTCTGAGACCCGGGAGTTTACCACCCTTTACCCAATCGAAGTCATTGTCGAACGCAACCTCGTAGCTGACCATCATCGTTTTCCATCCTCCGCTATCGATCGGTGGGTTCCACAACGAGTAAAACTGTGCTCCCCCTTGATTGTTGTTCGAATAACTTCCGTTGGAGTATAGTACTTGGAGCACAGGGCCTCCGCTCGTCGTCTCGTCAGGGCTTCCGCTCGTCGTCTCTTCAGGGTCACCACTCGTCGTCTCGTTCGCCTGCCTGCCTTGAATAACAAAGGAATTGTCGGTGCTGGGCACCGCGTTGGACGGGAAAGGGTCCTGTGCAAAGGTGAGATCTGATGCACCGTTCTCGATTTGCCCCTTTGCAAGGCCCCAATTGGATGCTAGGAAGGTTTCGGTGTCGTTCGTGTCGAGCATAGTGGTAGGAAACGAAGGAGAGGCACTCGTGGTAAGGGAGAGTTGTGCTGCCAGGGATGCTGCAGGCACTGCTTGCTGCTGAGCGCGACATGACGCGAGAAGGACGGAGACGACGATAAGCGGGACCCTAAGTGCCATGACGGTGATATATAGAGCTATAGGTCGAGAATGAGGGAGACAGGAGAGTGAGCGTGGAAGAGGCGAATTAAACATACGTACGAGTAAATCGGGTCTTAGTCCACCAGACTGGTCTCAGAGAGGTAATCGACGTGTGTAACGATCAGTCCATTGAATTCTCGGAGCACTTACAGTGAGACAACGGAAGGATAGCAATCTGTCAGACAGTCATTCCAGTCATAATTCAGGTCTAATTGGAAAAAGACATCCCAGGCTGCAAACGGAGTAATTGACAATGTCTCAAACTGTCCGTCTACCGCCACACTGTGAAACTCGCCGACATCAACTTAGCACCTGGTCTTATATTCAGCGTCAACAGTCTCTGACTTATACCACCCGAAGAGGATATATATTGATTTACCTTCGTGACCCGCATATCCTAACAAATATCTTCATAGTCCTCCCCGATCTCGAGATACTTCCTAATATCATCCCCCTCCACCATACTCTGCCTCGTGAAGTGTTGGAATAATATTGAATAATTATCTGTCATGCATCAGGGTCAGTATTTCTAAGCTAAGCATCGCGAGGCGAAGGGGGAAAGGATTAGATTCACCCGTCCATCGAAAAGCAGCCTCCTTCGCCAACGTCACCGCGCGTTTCTTCTCATCGACTTTCGCGGGGTCGCAAGCACCATATGCTTGTAATTCCGTCTCAAGATCTGAGATCTGTTTCTTGACGGTTGCGAGTTTGTCTAGCGCTGCGGCTCGTTCGGGCTTGGGAAGTATAGGCAAGTGTACATGATTATTATATGGATAGGGTGATGGTAGGCGTGGATATGGAGTGCTTACTGTGTCATTCCTCGCGCTCTTCTCGACCTCGATGCTAGTTTTGATTTCTTCTAACTGTTTCTGGTTCGTGACTTGCGTCTCTTTGGCGGTGTCCAGCCGGTTTTGCATCTGTTAACATCCCAAATCATGTCAAAACGAACGTCATCGTCAATAAAACAGTGCATATATGGAGTTGGAATGTCTAACGGAACGTACAATTGCCCCCCTCTCGGACGGAAAACTCCAGAAGACTGCATATATGCGCCCCGAGGGTGCCGGACAAGGAGACAAGTAAAGTAGATGTGGTCAGATACCTGGAGACGAGCAAAACGGGACACGGAAACTTACAATTAGACGAGCCGACTTTGTCCGTCTGTACTAGGCCGTCATCAACGAGGGATTGGAGGACCTCTTTCACGGATTGTGAGACTGCGATTATTCATGACGCAGAAACGCGCATATATTCAGCATTTTTCATCATAAAAGGAATGCATCTAGATCAGATACGAGAGGGTAGAATCGGAACTAGTGACGATGGAATGTATATGGAGCGTGCGATGTGTCTGAAGGAGGGTGTGCGAACGTCTGGGTGGGCAGGGAAGACGGCGGCAGTGTATGGGGCAAACCGAGCAGAGTCGCGAATAAGCCACTCACCAATGCCTTTCATCTTCGGCCCTAACTTCTCCAGCTCTTTCAGCTGAATATATGCTACCCCATGAGCACACGCTTTGCCTCAAACAGTCGCACTGTCGCTGAAAAGTCGGACTCAGGGGCTCCATACCTGAAAGAAATCTTTCTGTAGAAAAACTTTGCAGGTTAGCAAGATATTGTATACGCGGATACGGTACACAACTCACCGTCTCGTGAAATATCTCGACAAGCTTTACCCTCTTGTCTTCTGCTGAGAGACCGCGGGGAGCCTGCGTAGTAAGAGAAAGCAGTGTCAGTAGAACTTTCAGTAGTTTACGAGCAGATACTGCTCACCATGATGATGGATCAAGAATTATAAGCCGTTTATGGGATGGCAAATTGAAGCTGGGAAGAGTGTGAGGTGGAATGCAAAGAAGGAGGGGAAAGAGAGACGGTGCCACAATAAGTTGGAGCTTAAGTACGCTCGCCACGCGCCAGATCCCGGGAATCAGCACCTAAAATGGAGTGGCGAGCTATGGCGCTACACCAAGCCCCCACCGGACGGAGATCATCCACAGCTGGATTGCGGGACTAACGACGGGTTATACAGTGAATACATAACTATATATACAACAACACAACAAAACACAACAAGGAAATACAGACACAAATTACACACAGAAACAAATAGTGATACAAACGGAGGAGATGGAACTGAGGGCTCTGGACGCTGAGGATGAGGAGAACTACGAGGATCAGAACGCCAGAGGTGACGAGTTTCTGAATGATCAGAGAGTGAGAAGGTAGTCTGAATGACGGAATATGGGGAAGGAGTGAGGATTAAGAGGGCTAAAGGGAGATTTCGCGGCAAGAGGCAGGTAATTATAGGCACAAGGAAACCGACGAACGAGCGGACGGACGCTCATAAAAGAGAGGAGGATAAAAGTTTTGAAACATGCTGGGACTGATGAGAAGAATTTATAAGGTTGGATGATAGAGAGTGAAAGGAAACTTACGAGTCGAAGATATAAGAACCGGGACCATGCAGGTATAACTGAGCCAACGAGAACGACAGAGAGCGCCAGTCGAGAGGGAAGAGACCGAAAGAGAAACGAGTCGACCCAGAGTCCGGCAGAGAAAGACATTTAAGACCAGCCACGAGATCGAAAAGCCGATCCATACCCCACCCCTCAAACTGTAAATCATTTACTCAGACCTCCTCCCTGTCGCTCCTCCCATACTCCAGCGCCCCTTCCAACCACCAATGTCCCCTGACCTCTTCAATCACCGCCCTATATTCCGGTTCTGGCTCCAGACACCTCATCATAATGTCCATGGGCCCCTCGCCCAGCCACGACGCGCTTTTCTCCGTCATTACCACCCTACCCTTGATCGCGTCCCTCTCCGTCGGAAACGGCGAGTTTCCCGTAAGAAGGTAGGAGAGTAGGACGCCAAGAGTCCATATCTCTGCGGGCGGTGCGCGGTAGGGTCTTTTGAGGAGGACTTCAGAGGCGGCGTAGGCTGTGGTGCCGAAGAAAAGGGTGTAGTAGGGACGGGTGCAGTTGGGGTCGGTGACGACGGCAGAGCCGAAATCGACCAGTTTGACCTGCAAGAGGAAGGAATCCCATTAGCACTTGTTAACGGCAAGGACAATGGAGGGGTCATGACAAGGAGAAACGAGAAAGACGAAGGTTAAAGGTCTCACCTTGAGGTCACTATCGACTAAAATATTCTCATCCTTGATATCGCAATGCGTCACGCCCTGGCTGTTGAGGTAATAAACGGCCTCGACCACCTGTGCGAAGATATATCTCGCCTGATCCTCCGAAAGTCGTTTATGCTTCGACTGTTCGATACATTCGAACAGGTCGTGTGAAGGACGACGTACGACTGCCGGTCTTGCGGACGGAGCAACCGGAGGTTCGAGGAACGCTGAGGAGGATACACAAGAGGGATTGAAAAGCTCAGCGGCCTCGGCGGGAGATATACAATCCATCAAGGAGGAAGTAGAGGCATCTGCGCGGGCGTCGGCCGAGAAGCAATGATTTTGGGAGCTTTGTTCGGTAGAGGCAAAAGGTGAATCGGTAGGACTGTGGGTTACGAATTCCACTTCGTGGGGAAAGGAGTCGGTGACGGAGATGCAGAGTTGAGGGGGTGTCGCAGGGCGGTCACGCTGAAGCGAGCTCGCGCCCGAGGGTGAGGGCGTGAGCGCGGGCGTGGAGAGGTCAGAGAAGATGGAGAGTTTCTCTGGAGCAGAAAGTTGTCTCTGTGGCATGCTGTCCTTCTGTTTTGGGACCCATGGCGTACCGTGGAGCTCTTGAACCTAAACACGGAGGGAGAAATTGTGAATAAGTGGGTTGTCTGGGTAAATATAGGGGACGACAACGTACGAGATAGAAATAGAGATCGTCCTCGAACAAGTCTAGACACTTGACGATATTCTCGTGGTCCAATAGGCCCAGCAACAACGCCTCAGTCGGAACCCTATGTCCGCTCCGATCCTCCATCCATGCATGGTCCGGCACCTTCGCCTTGATAATAAACTTAACCGCGACCTCGCACTGTTCCAGCCTATGGCGCGCAGTCATGACGAATCCGTACCCGCCTGCGCCAAGTTCATCACTCAAACGGTAAAGGTGCACGAATCTTGCGTCGAGAAAGTGATCGGCGGGGAAACGTTCCGAGTAGAGCTGAGCTTTGCGAGGAATGGCGAGTTCAGAAGTGAAAGGTTGAGCGAGGCGTGGACGTGAACGGGCGGCCATAGATGATGACGAGGTAGGATATGGCTGACAGGTTGGAGTCAAAGTGGTAGAAGAAGAGGGAGGAGGAGCAGAAAATTTAGGGGGCGAGAACACGGGTGGTGGTGGCAGGCCTTGTGTGTGTACTTCGTAAGGCCTCTGCATGGTGCGTGAAGGAGTTGAGGAGGCATCCGGACCAAAACTCCACATCGGAGAGATCGCTGCCGAGAATGGATCGCCACCGAAGGTGGGACTAATGGGGCTGGCGGCCTGGCTAGAGGGCGTGCTATACGCTTCAGGAAGCTGGGTGCGCTTTTCGTTTTTTGACTGGCGGGGACTGGCGGGGGACAAAGGGGAGAGACGAGGACGAGCGGCTCTCGACGCCTTTACACGTTTGCATCCAGGTCCTGATAAGCCATCGTCTAGTGGAAGACTCAACGAGGATTTGTTGAAAGCAGAGCAAGTATTATAGGAAGGGTGACAGCGGGAAAGGTAATCAGTCTCCTTGCATTCTCCTTGCTCCTGCAGGGGAGTGGAGACGGCGTCGCCCTCGTCTGAAGAGTAGTCCATGTCCATGGCCGGCGTGGAGGGATAACAGAAGAGAGAAGAGCTATGAGGCATGCGAGGACGCTGAGGCTAAAGGGGAGTAGAGGACAGGGCACAAGGACAGAGGGCTCCGAACAAGGATGAGACTCGAACTTGGGCGGCCTGCGGGAAAGCCTTTGCCATCGAGCGCGACCTTTATATACGATTGCCGGCAAGAAGCAGCAATGTGAACCTGGTCAAAGCCAGCATTGGATGTCACCCGTGCAATGCAGCTCAGTGGCGTGTCCCCGTTGAACGAGCGCATTTCGAAGTTCGTCCGTCCAACTCTCCGAAGAAAGTGATTCAATTGGGCGACCGACGAATCCGGAAGCGAAGACGATCATTCGAGCGTGAGTGCTCTACAAGGGAAAGCTAGCATAGAGTTACCTGAGTATCGCATAGTCTCTAGCTGGAAGAACACAGAGGCAGCAAAGCAGGCAGAAGGGCAGGCATCAACGCGACAGAGCATTGCGGACTGGAGCGATTGGGGAGCGATGACAGAAGAGCGCGCCACCCCAAAGAGGCAATCGCCGCTGCCGGTCTCCCGGGCCGATCTGCCAGCACTATGTTTCTGAGTCCGTCCGATCTCTCTTCACGGTGCTCAGGCGAAGCTCAGGCGTCGCGGCCAACTGCCCAAGTCACACTAGTACTACGACATTTGCTTTGTTCAATTTATCGAAAATTATCAGAGACAACGAAGGGACGTCCGTGAACTTTCTACTTGACTCACTTACAACCTACAACCTGGAATTTGCCGAGTGATTGATTTTACTTGCGCCACCACATTCGGGGGTTCGATGCTAGCGGCTCAGCGGAGGTGACGAGGAGCGGTAGCTACAGAGATTCCCCCACTTCTGTAGAGCCCCAACTTGGCTCAAAGTTCAATGTATTTCCACTAACAGATCCCAGGAATACAATCTGAGAGCCGGTGTTTACATGTTTTCCGGGCGACAAATGATCAATCAAGTCGCGCCAGTGCTGTCTGATATGCCTTCCTCATCTCACTTCACAAATTCGATGAGTTCATCCCGCCAGATGCACCTTTCCCAAACGACAAGCCACAATCAACTACCAGCTTCCAGCAGAAACATGGACAGCTGCTAAGATGACGAGGTCGTCGTTGGTGATCAACTGTCCGGTTTCTGAGCATAAAGGATGGCTCTTGGCCGCCGTGGATGGCATTAACATGTGCATTCTCGGCGCCAAACATAACAGCTATACGCACCTTGAGGTAGTCTCTCATAGTCGTACCGAGGTGTCGGACAAACTGCCGGAGCGTGATGGCTTTCCTGTGTATTGTCTGGTCTCTGGTACTAATCTGTCGTTTCCATACTGATGTATGGAACTATAGAGGCGAGAAAATCCGATGAGCTTCTAGGAGACAATGTTCATACATGAATATGAGCTTACTACCCATACGCGCACTTGCACGGTAGCCTTTCCTCCCAGTTCTGCCACCTCATTCCACCGTCGAATATGCGTACTGTTCCCTTTACAAGCTTCTGCAACCGTCAGACCGAATCCGCCTCCGTTGAGATGGTCGAGAAAGATGGGCTTTTCCAGCTTGGCTCCCGTTACATATCGACCGAAATTGGTGTCGGTGGTCGGCTGCCAATAGTGCTGAGGGATAATTGACTGAGAGAGATCGTGATGGAAGTCGAGGCAAATAGGCATGTGAGTGTATCCGAGGACGCTGGGTGGAAGGAAAAAACAACGCCGAGAGCCTTCGTAACAGATGTGGAGAGTATCGAACGGCACATGGAAGATGGCTTCAAAAACACGGCGAGCAGCATCTTGTCCCAAAGAACAAGATATCATACCGCATTCCATGAGAGCAGCGTTCATGCCGCCGTTTACTGTCTGAGACCAGTCAACATCAGCTGGAACGGATACGTGAGAGACGTGCGTAAACGAAGTTCACCTTCTTGCTAGACATCCAGTTGGCCGCAACCGGGTCAGGAGCAGTATGTTCATGATTGACACAATGCACCGGGATAGACGACATCAAGCAAGTGGACAAGCTGTCGCTTGTGTATGGGAGAGGTATGTAGTAGTCTCCTGAGGACCCCGTAGTGTTAGAGCTCCTCTAAATATCTAAACTGTGGCGAGATAGATCGGCATTATACCAGACCGATGACGAGAGAGGATGAATGGAAGAGGGCAGAGGTCTGAATTCCGCAATACCTTCCTCGCAAATCTTACCAAACTGGATGCAGCGGAAGAGCCAGGGAAGGAACTGTCCACTAATTTGGGTGAAGAGACACTAAAGTAAGTAGGTGGCTGCCCTCGAGAAAGATTTAACGAGCCAAAACCTTGGGTTCTGTCAACCTCTGACAAGGACCAGTGCCGTAGCTCAATTCCGAGGATGGACGAAGTGGCTCGCGCAACGTTGTGATTTTGAAACTGCCAACAACTTGAGGACCCAATGGGCATGCCCGAGAATCCCGAGATGTGCTAAGTCAAAAATAAGACCAGCAACTACAGCAATGTTGTCGTTGATCCAGGGGTTATAGAAGGTGCGACCGGTCAGCATATGAGCGTCACGGTGGATCAAAATGCCTGGTGTCAAGACATGACACCAGCGTCGGTGTGTCCATGCTCTTAACGTATTACCAGACTCGAGAACAGCCTTTCGGCGAGGTGACTTCTCACCGGTGGATGCCCGAACAGATCAAGGGCTGCAGTTTTTTCATTGATTGTGCTGCTTCAGGCTCTACGAAAGCCCATTTATTCGTCCAGAGATTGCCGATTTTCCGGCACCTCAGGTTGTGAGAGCGTTTGGATTCAATGCGGCTGGTCGACTATAAAGAACAAAGCAAGTGTTCGTTCATCTAGGCTGGTGTGTGTAGATAAACATCTCACTGGGATAGCCAGAGGTTCGTAGAAGTAGCGGGAACGTGCTCACTAGCGTCAATGTGGTTGTCATCGGCTTTCAAAAATGTGCGAAGTACCGGAAACAAGGTATAATTTAAGTCACCGTCGGCACTCCTTGTGCCCATGAATAGAGTTGAATCGGCTGTTAGTGTGTTCTAGACGTTGCGGGATCTACATACACTGCGCCTCCCCGACGGGGAAGCCCCACGGTTGTAGGTCTTAATCCCCGACCGGTGACATCTGAGCAATGAACAATAAGCTCAATGACCAGTGGTATTGAATAAATAGCGATCCCCTTCGGGAGTAACTGACCACGCCAAGATCATTACAGACGGGAGCTATAAGGAGTCCAGATAGCTTCCGGGAGCCTCTGATGCACTCGCGACTGCACATTATTAGCTACTACCCAGAGGTACCTGTAAGCCCATCCGATATCTGCTCGATTATGCTTGAAAATGGTGCTCACCTTTACGGCCATTGTCTCTAACGAAGCAGAAGATGGTAGTCTTCATTGTGTATTCTGCGGACGGAACCTCCGTCCAGCGTCAACAGCGTATACGACTCGGAAAGAGCGGAATTAGCACCATGTACTACTAGTCCAGTTTAGTCTGCTTGCTTCTTTGCCTCCTCGGACATGAAGCACAGCAACACCAAGTGGCTGCAGCGTAACTCCATCCCCGTCTTGGTCTCCTACCTTAAGGGTGTACTCACAACATCTTCAAGCTTCCAGTCCTGATAACCTCAACGCCATCGCACACCGGCCTTTCTAGCCGTGATCGTCTTCTCGTCATGATCGTCGGCAAGAGGGGGGGAGACTTTGGTGGACGCGAGTCTTCCATATGATACAACTGGAACTCGGGGGATCCTAAACACCTGGCGTCTGTATGTTCAAACAAGGCAGAGAAATAATTTATAAACAGACTGTAGATGACGTCCTCACCTGATCAATAACCAAGTACACCTGCTGTGACGTCCTCGCACGTTATGAGTCACTCGAGAGCAAGTTAGCTAACGAGACCCGTGTAAGAGAGCAGAAGTGGCAGTGGGTGGCTATCCGTGGGAATTGAGGCACCTCATCTCCACGCACAGATGCAGGACTCACTTGGTCGTGAGGACCTGGGCCGCAGAGCTGCCGAAGCTCGTCTATGTGTTTGGATCCGTTTTAAATGTCCTATGGATGGCCATCCGATCGAGTATCACCAACGTAACCCTAGACAAGACCAGTATGCGAAGATTGTTGATCTCGTGTCTGTTCGGTTAGTGCGAATTAAAGAATATTTTTAATAGTTCGTCCACCCATCAATCCCAACGCAATAAGCTCCGATGTTCGATGTCGTGGTGGAAAATCCTGTTCAGAGCTGATACCCCTGGGCGAATGAAGAATCCGGCTACAGAGCACTTGAGAGCGAGAGGGAGTGTAATGAAGAGGCAATCGAGTACAGCCCGGAAGATCGCCATGACCTCGCCATATTTTTTAGATGGCTTCCTGCTGGTAGTTGGTTTGAAGGATCGACAGGTCAGCATTCCTGCGCGGCTAAATTTTCTCGTTTGCGACACTGGAATAATAAAGAGTCTCCTTTTAACGGTGATATTGTGGGGAACGAGTTCTTCTTACACCTATAAGTAGGTTGTGAGTATGTGAGCAAAGACTTCGTCACACTAACAAGAGCATGATAACCATGAAACCGAGGACTGATTACGAACTGGTATGGTGATCGATATCGGAAACGAGTACAAGGCCGAGTGAGCGAGCAACGCACGCATGAGAACGATGTCGGTGAAGCACTGAGAAGAAACCTAGAAAGACTCAGAGGCATCGTAGAGAGGTAGACATAGACATTCCTTAGTAATAGTCGATCCGGGTGCCTCGGTCGACTTCGCTGAGACGGTAAAAACTTGCGAGAAAATAGACCAAATAAGCGCCGAGCGAGCTATACATGTGAGGATATAGCTCGTGAAGGCAGGCTTGCATCTGAAAGCGCGGTACGTGAGTGAATGGTCCATAGCATCGATGCGTCCGGGGGCTTGATCACACGAAGTCGCATCCATAAGAGTTGAGAAATGTATACAGCCGGAGAGCGCGAATTAAATACGGGATGGGTAAAGCAGTAAGCGTGACGAGTGCAATGATTGCGGTGTGGTGTAACGTGAATCGGGCTTGTGACGCTGGATGAGTATGATACACGTCTAGGAGTGAAATAGGGCAATGATCGGGGCGAGAGTCAAGGGTGCAAGACTCAGTGGGACGGAGATGACTGGGGTTGCATGTTTTCAGGTACTAAATAAACCACAATATTCGTGAGCAAGATGCAGAGAGAAATTGTGGTATGGATATAGAGGTTAGGTCGAGATTGAGATAGTGGTGGGACGTACAAGGAGGAAGTTGTGGTCGGGTGTTCTCCGAGAATACCCGTCCCAAAAGTACGCCCACACCCTCAAACACACCCAGCAGTATACCACAGGCTACGGCTGACCCAAATGCTGATCTTGGTCCACCTGGGGAAACGATGACGACACGTATGTGCGTTCAGCGAGATGTCGAACGAGATCGGAGTGAGGAAATGACTGACTTCGTGCGGCCAGACAACCACCGGTCATGAACCCAGAGATGATCGCATTCCATGCGTCCTCCTTTTGTCGCCATCCCTTGACGGCACAGTCAAATGTTGAGAACATACCACCCCACACACCGAAGTTGCCACCCGTGACGGGTGCGCGGGCTTTGATGGTAGAGATGGCACCGATGAATCGCTCGCCCTGGAACACAGTTCATCACCCAGACAAAGTGAAACAAGCAAAGGCACGTACCTTTGGTGAGTTCCGGGCACCCTTGATACCGTGCCAGATACCACCACCGACCGCTCCCATTGCGAACGCGCCGCCAAAGTCGTTAAGAATGACCCATGGGCTGCCCGAGTCTATGAGCGCGCGTCTTTCTGGTGGTGTATGTACTACTCACCAAGGGTCTCGTGTGTGATCAGCGTGGGCCATTTTTCAAGAATTAAGAACAAGGACGGGCAGGGATGGCTGACGTTGTACGCGAGAGCGAGGAGCGAATCGGACGAAAACGTCGAAGGGCCAGAAATTCTCGGGGGACCGGCTTAGTCAGCATCGGTTAACTTACGTATGTGCGCGTGACCCAATTTGGCGTTCGTTTATTGCCGAAATCAACAAAAGGGCGCGTCGCGTCCGACTCGTCCTCTTGCTCTCTCCCATCATCTCCGCTTACCGGACTCACCCCCTTCCCCGACACACGTTCACCGCCCCGACTACAGTTAACACAGCACACACATATACAACAATAATGTCGGCGAGGACACAGCCACGCCCTATATCTTCTGCAAGGCGACTCTCGCATGTGCAAGTTCCCCCTTCTCCATATCGCACCCCCTCTTCCGCACGCGTCATGCCGACCCCAACCGCGACCCAGAATGGGTCCGACCAGGAGAACACCCCTCTGCCCAAAGCACGCGCTTCCATATCTCCTGCCAAATCTACCACTGCCGGCACGACTCCATTGAAGCGGAAAAGGTCAGAGCTCGATCTGTCTCATTCCCAAGGACGAGACATGGCGTCTGCTTCGTCGGATCCCAAGTACAAGAAACAGAAAGTTACCGTCGACGTCTTATCCAAGCCGAAACCATCCCCCACCAAGAAGATTGGCACGTCAAAGTCGGCGGCCCTCGCGACCGGTGAGGATCCCCAGAACGCGAGTGAGGAGTTCCCCGACGGTTCTTTTTATTGCCATCAATGTGCGCGTAAGAAGGATGTCAAGGGTCAGTCTTGATCTTGTTCTTCTTTGTACGCGTTCTGACGCGTTCTACGGTCGACCAGATGGCCTTCAATGCACTATGGCCACCGCCAAGGGCCGCTGCAGAGGTCGCTATTGCAAGCGTTGCCTCACTAATAGGTACGGCCTCGACATGGCCGGTATCATGTCGGACGGTACTGCCAGCCGAACGAAGGAGCACGTCAAAGGCACAATGTTCATTTTCAAGTATATCACTTCTCATCTTCATCTATAAAATTAGCTACGACATTGACCATGCATGTACAATCGTAGGTGCCCTAAATGTAAGGACGCCTGCAATTGTCGCTACTGTCGCAAGGCGAAAGGACTCCCACCGACAGGGTATGTTCGGTCCCTTCTTCGCGAGACATGTCGTCCTCATCATTTTTCGTCGATAGCAATTTTAATCTTGCAGCTAAGAAGGCGGAGGCTGCCAAGGCTGATAGTGACTCTGACGACGATAAGCAGGTGAGTGACAGATCGCGCTGTGTCAATGTGCACATATACTCATGGCCCTTGCAGACTACTACTAAAGCGAAGGGCAAGCAACCCGAGAAGACCCCTAGAAGGTCGAAAGCTGAGGTTAACAAACAACCTAAAGGCTCCACGTCTGCTTCCGCGACTACTAAACCCAAGGTCTCTAAGAAGTCCGCGTCGACTGCTACTCCCGCCACCAACATTGCAGCAAAGCCCAAACGCGCCTATGCTCCGAAACCCAAGCCGATTCCCCAACCTCACTGGAAATCTGTCCATCTTCCGTCGAACTTCTCTCACTCTGCGGCTCTCGCCCGTATGGGTGTCCGCGAATTTGTTCTCCGCTTCTCTAATTTGTTCGATATGACTCGTCCCAACCTCGAGGAGCTCGAGGAGATCGCAGGGTCGTCCGTCAACGGCCGTCGTCATGCCGTTCTGGACGATGACGAGGACGAGGAGATGATGACGGAGGAGGAATGCGAAGTCTCGCTCGGGTGGGTGAGCGAGGTGTGCGTCAAGACCATCGTCGTCGGCCTGCTCCACCTCATTGCGGAGAACGACGCTGCGGTTGGCAGCTCACAAGGGAGGAAATTAGTCCTTACCGCGGCTAAGGAGGCGAACTCATGTGGCGCGAACCTCTCTCGCCTTTGGGGTGCCCTTGCCTCTATGCGCTCCTCCCTTTCCGCCCTCGCCGACCCGCTCGACACACTTACCTTCCCGGACCCGCTCCCGCCCCCAGTGTTAGCTACGGCGCATAGCACGAGGAGTGGGAAGTTAGCTGGGAGCGGTGTACATGTGGCGACGTCGGCGCAGTTGGTTTACGTGGTCGAGGCGCTCATAGAGTACGCGATTGGAGCAGGGAGGGTGAAGGAGGAGATGGCGCAAGTGGAGGCGCAGATCAAGGAGCTGGGTAAGGAAGACAGGGAGAGGACGAAAGAAGAGAAGGACAGATGGGAGGGCGCTAAGAAGGATGCGGTGCGTTGTATTCTCTTCCTCGTATGGTCTCGGTCGGGGACTATTTCGCTGATTGCATTTACCATAACGTTCACAGGACAAGACGGATCGTGCGCAGCATAAGGTAGCCCTCGCAGCCATCGAACAAGCCCACCGCCTCGCCGTCCAGTCCTACAACCCCCGCTTCTCACCCCTCGGAATAGACCATGACGGTCGGATATATTACGCTCTCACACCTTCCTTCGCCGAACAGGAAGCCACTCTCGCGCTCCTCCAAGGCGACAAGAAGAAGTCCGGGAAAGCGAAGGGCAGGGCTCGCATCACTGACGACGATAGAAAGGTGTGTGAGAAGTGGGGTTGGTTCGTCGCGGTTTATGGCAGGAAACCTGCGGCAGAAAAGGGAGCGGCCGCGGAGACCAAACAGAAAGGCAAGAAGAAGGCTGAGGACGAGGACGAGGAAGGGCCGGATGATGGAGAGGAGAAGTTCTGGGCGTTTTGGGAACCAGAGGAGGTGAGGAAGGTAGCGAAGTGGATAGAGTTGAAGAATGGGCTGGACAAGGAGGAAAAGGTCAAGGCCAAGGGCAAGACTTCCAGTGCGAAGACGACCGACAAGACCGCGGGCGTGTCTGCAGCCAAGCCGAGGCCTATGAGCCCCACGAAACCGGTCCCTGTTGTTCTTGTTGGGAAGGCGAAGGCTGGGGAAAAGGGACGCGCTGGTCCTTCCACGAGCGGCACTTCGACGAAGGTTACTTCAAGGGCGGCGAGCAGTACAGTCGTTGCTGATACGGATGCAGATGGGGATGTCGATATGGATTCGAGCTCGAAGGCCTCGTCGCCTCTGTCTGATGTTTCTGACGTCGAGGACCAGCATAAGCACGGTCATGCTGCGGAAGACGTGGATGAGTTGTCGGAGCTGTCTCCGGCTTCGCTTTCAGAGGATGATGACGACGAGGAAAGCGAGGATGAAGATGCAGATGAGCAGGACGCGGAGACGCAGATGCGGGAGATGATGCGCGTAGATGAGGAGGGGAGGGTGCTGCCCGTCAGGAAGGATCTCGAGGCGTTGGTCAAGGGGTTGCAAGAGTATGCGGACATACTAGAGTGGAGGATCAGTAGGATGGTGGATGACGAGGCTGTGGTTCAGGAGAAGGGGAAGGGAAAAGTTTAGAGTTTGGTGGTTCCCTGTTTGATGCACGTCGTCCTGCGCCCTTAGATGGACTTACTAACTTACTCTGTCCCGCTCCAAGTAAAGCTGGTGTTTCTTTTTTCTTTTTCTTTTTCTCTATCTTACCGTCCTCTCGCGTACAGCGTAGTGCCGATGTGTTGTATAGATCCGGTGCTCTGGCGTTGTGCACTCGGATCATCGCTTTCGTCGTCGTATTCCTCGCTCCCGTCTAGTTCTGCTAATGCATCTGATTGTTGTTTCTCCCAAGTTTTATTCAGTTTTCGTTCTATTTACTGTAACTTTTGGCCTCCTTGACCCTGACTTTGACCTTGACATGACTACAGAACTCTAATACTACTAGACCACGTTCTGTGCATTTTATTTCTGTCATATTATTAGCTTATCCATTATTGTTGCAGTCTCCATATCCGCGTCTGTCTTTCGCGTTCGAGTCCGAGTAGTGCACTCGCCAACAGATGAAACCGTATACAGGTATGCATCAAGATTCCGTTCTAAGCAAGGCGACAAAATCGTCCGGTCCGACCTGCTTCTCGACGAACTTTCCAAGTCTATCCGCCAGCTGCACCGCCAGTACATGTTTGCACTACAGCACAACACTCATCGCGTCAAATGTGTGCAAGAAAATTTGAGAGCAGGAATGAAAGGCACGAACCATGATATGCGAGTCCATTAAAAGAATGGCTTTTGAGAAAGCAGGACAGGTGCAGAAGGCGGGCGTCGCTGGTGATTGGGGGAGGGAAGGGAAGACGGTACGGGTCGCCGTTGAGCTATGGACGTGATAATGGTGGTGACCCCATGTTGTCGTATATCTTATCACTGTTAAGAGCAGTCAATATTTCGGGACTGTGAGTTCAATTTTACAGACGTGAAGGAAGTGTCTTACCGCATTCTCTATCTATGAGGTCGAGAGCAGCGAGGAGGAGGTCGTCGGAGAAGAGATGGCTTAGCTTTTCGACTATATCTTCGGTTACTAAAAGCAGCCAATTAAATGCATAAAGTTATACTCATAGACTACGGGCATATGAACTTACAGCCGGTTGTTCTCAGAGGATCGAGAATTGTGTCCAAGACACGATATATGTCTTCGCTCGGCATGGTTGAACAATTACAGCTTACTTATGCTAGAACGCTTCAAAACAGCAGTGATCAGAATTTCATCCTAAAAAGATGTCCCTCGTATCGCTAGGTTGAGTCGAAAATATACTGTCAAGGTGTCAGTGTCAGGATGTCTCCGGGAAAGATGGGCCACACGAGAGTGATGAATGTGGCGATAAGGTGTTTGTTTGGATCAGAGGCTCTTGCCAAACAACGCCTGCAAATATCCGATCTGAGATCCATCGCTCTTCACTCCGAACATCCGGCTCTCGTCTGGGATCCAGTCACTGGCGCTCATGTCTCGCCCATATCTCTTTGTCTTTGCTCAAGCACACGATGAATTCAGAATACCAGAACTGCTGTCTATAGCTGATCTGTACGGTTTTAAGCTCAGCATCCCGGAGGACTTCGACAGCTCGCGGCCGTTCTCTGTCTTGCAGCTCGAAGAGGAAGAACATGCGATACTGCTGGCGAGGAGATGTATCTTGATCAAGTGCGTGACCTGCTTGCTCGCTTATCTTAACCATTTTCCCATGCTTTGCCCTGGGTTAGGTCGATTTATGAGTTTTACGCCCGCGGTGCCACATACGAAGACCTTCACGCACTCAACGAAAAACACGGCCGCTCGAAATGGGAGAAATATATCCCTAACACGTCATTCAAATTCTTCGTGAATGGATACAACCAGTCTATTCCACAGCGAAGACAACGTGAAGTCGTCGAGAGCTTCTCGTATATGGATTTCCTGGGAAAGATCGACATGAAAAATCCCGAGGTAGTGATGGGTTGTTTCGAGGAATGTGAGTTATGGTATATTTATCGACTTATGTGAAGACTTGACTCACAAGGCATCGGATAGACGCTGACACGAAAGGGACGACAAGACATAAGCATGAAGGAGACGGGAACTTCAAGGAGGTTTTCTTTGGCAGGTTGGTACGTTCCTTACTATGCCGAAACGGATTTCACCACCTACCTCAGAATCCTCGAAACGATGTCTCTGACCACTTCTGAAGGTAGAAGAGGGCTCTGCGCGGTCTCTAATTAAGAAGTTCGATGTCAAAAAGAGAGCTTATTTCGGGAACACGAGTATGGAAGCCGAAATTTCATTGCTCATGGCGAACCAGACTCTAGTGAGTGCATTCGTGGTCTAGGGCCTTTTTCGCTTTGCTTACTGCTAATGCTCATGCAGGCTTCTCCAGGCAAGCTTGTCTACGATCCATTCATCGGTACCGGTAGCATGGCATATGTGAGTTTCTCGCTCCTCGCACCTTCACATGAACGTTAAACATCGGGGCAGACAACAGCGCACTTTGGAGCCTTCGTCTTTGGTTCAGATATCGACGGCCGTCAAATGCGAGGAAAAGGTACGCTACCCTAACTAACTTGTGCGCCCCTATCGCTCTGACTCCAATGCGGCGGACCTGCTTGATCTCACATTCTGTCATGGTCATTTTCACAGAGACACGCCCAGGCATCATACGAGCGTCAGCGCAGTACGGTGTCGAGCAGCGCATCATCGACTTATGCACCTTCGACGTAACACGCAATCCATGGCGATGTGGCGGCTTGTTTGATGCGATAATTACTGATCCGCCTTGTGAGCTTGCCTTATAGAGCCTTCGAGAAAGACAGACTAAACCGAGTATATTTCGACTCACTAGATGGTGTTCGTGCTGGTGCAAAACGTCTTGGGCGGAAGAAGGAGCGCGAACGAACGACGACTCCAGCGGTACACATACCACGCCCGTATGTCATTGACGCCACCTATCAATTCGACTCGCCTCCGCCCTCGTACTCGTACTCATACTCACTCCTCCATCATATAGTGATGATCAACCCTACGTTCCACCGACAAAACCCTACGAACTGTCTGCCCTCGCCACAGACCTCGTTCTCCTGGCCCGCTACCTCCTCAAACCCAACGGCCGACTGGTTTTCTTCCTTCCCACAGTAACGGATGAATATCAAGAGGTTGATATATCGACCATGATGTGCGAGGGGATGGAGGTTATCGCGAATTCCTTGCAGGACTTTGGGGCGTGGGGCCGACGGGTATGTTCACTACCTGCGCCATTTCATCTGGTGAAATTCTCTCTGTGCTGATCGATCGCAATGCAGCTCGTTACGATCCGAAAGATTACATCAGAGACTTACCACCCGCCTGAATTCGAGCCAGTAGCGAACGACACAGCAAATAAGAAAGAGGGTGAGCACGTTCCTGCGCATCGAGACTTCAGAGAGAAGTATTTTTTGGGATTCAAGAAAGACTCTGAGAGTGAATCAAGAGAGGCTTTGGACCCAGGGGTCAGTCGAGACTCAAAAGCATAAATTGCAGAAGAAACACGTTGTTCATTCGGAAGTAAAGACAGCAACACGCCTGTACCACTACACTGTAACATTTTGTCTCCATCAAACTAGAAAAAGTGCCGAATATCTCAGGCTCGAGTCCCCACACTAGCGCCTGTCTTTTTCCACGTATTTCTCTTCATAAATTTCATCCTCATCCTCAACCTCAGGAAAGCGACAGCCAACTTGCACTTTACCACCTTTCTCGACCACAGCATAGTACATCCCCTTCAATCCTGGGCCAGGCTTCGCGGCCCACGGATGTTGCACCATACCACACGACATCGACCCCAGACCATCGCGTTCTTCGGAAAGAGGGTTGAGTCCGAGTTCGGATGGTGTCAAAAGGTTCTTCACTGGGGTTCCGTATCGTGACAGGCCACGGGTGCCCAACGATAGCTCGAATACCTCATCGTTCAACATGGTGGTAAAGAAAGCACTGGTCAGTCGTGACCTTGCGGCCGCCTCTCCGTCTGATGCATCGCGTTCAGAGATGGCGAGCAAGGGCCAGCCGTTGACATACACGTCGCGCACGATATCTATCGATGCTTGTTTGGTGCGAGGAGACAAGCTGGCGAAGATGTAGCGTGCATCGACATCTGTGATGTAAGAAGCGATCTTGATGAGGATTTCAGAAGGGAGGGTGTCGAGGATGCCGGCGTTCGTGAAGAGGGTTTCAGGACTCGTATCCTCGGTGCTGAAAGCTAGACGTCCCACCGCATCTGGGTCGGGCAGGTATGATAGACGGCCAAGGGCCGTGATACCCGGGGTCGATGGAGATGTGGCGTACCAGGATGGCAGGAATGGGAGAGCGTGGGTGTGGGTTACTGTGAATGCCGCATCTGCGCTAGAATTACGGTCTATGCGGACGATGGCGAGGTGATAGCCAGAGAAGATGATGGAATATAAGACATCTGGACCTGTATTATCAGGTTTCTCGAGCATGGCCTTGTTACAGACCTCGACGACAGCAGCACGTAACGTCTCGTCGTCGTCAATGTGGAGATGCATGTGCAGGAAGACGTCTCGTCTGAGCCAGTTATCGACCTCGAGCCTTTTCTTGTCTTGCTGCGCTTCCTCGTCGTAGTTCGCGAAGGACATGGGATACATAGCCCAGAGCATCATATCTCTCATGACAGAGAGTATGCGCGAATCGGGGCCATCTGAATCGCCCACCTCGTCGACGTGGCTATACGTCTCCAGCTCCTTAAAGTCGTGACCCGACCTATACGAGCCTATCTCTACGCCCACCATGACCTCCAGAACTCGGATCCTGACTCCCTCTAGGTGGGACAAACCAGAGGCTACACCAAGAAGATCATGAACCGCCTCGGATCCTACCATAACAGGAGCTTGTCCACTGCTCAACTGCGCGTATTCATCCACAACGGACGTCTCAACCGCGCGCGGGGTAGCTTTCCGGTTATAACGATACTGCTCGGGGGTATCCGAGGTACAAGCACGATGCCCGTAACTATCTTGCCCGATCGAAGTGATAAAGATGTCCCGGCTAGGGGGCATGTTGTCGAGGCGGAACAGCGGGAAAGTGTCGACGTGGAAGACGAGCCTATCGAAGTCGAGCTCGTAGACCCATTCGATGAAGAGGGTGTTGGTCGGCTGGATGGCGGATATGGTATAGTCGCCCATTTCGTTCAAGCGGGTGAATCCGTGCTTCATCATGACCTTGCGTAAGGTCGCATCGTCTGCGTCTTCGGAAAGCTAGAATACAACATCGAAGTGAAAGCAAACGTCAGTGTCACATCCTATGCCTATATATGAGAAACATAGGGAATGAAAATGCTGACCTTCAGACGTTTCTTCATCTCAGTTATGAAAGCATTCAGCCGTGCTCTCTCACGCTTGATGTATTTTTCGAGTTTTTCAGGATCATTACGAGGTATCCGAGCATGCAGCATCGCGCCGAGACATCTTGGATAGCTGTCGCAGTGGTTATAGACATAGAAGTAGAGTCTCTTGTACCTGTAGACGATATATCCTCGAGTCCCCATGATTGAAGTCGTTCGGGAACTGGACGGAGGTGGGTGGCGAGAGGTGGTCACTGAGGTACTGGGATCGCAGGCGTGACGGGACGCCTTTATAAGTCATAACAAGCGAAGTTTCGGAGCCAGAGATGGCACATTCCACGGGAGTCATACTGACCGGTGGCGTACAACCTGGATGATATCAGTAGACGTAACAAAACGAAAACGAGGAATTCGCGTTCAGAAGCTTCACATATGGGCGTAGCGAGGCGATGCAGACGCGAGACAACACGATGCAGCGTACCAGGCGAGTCGCGCTGAAGCCTGCCCAACGTAGTAAGATAGGATATGTCACAAACAAGGTATAAGATCAGGAGAGGTTGTATGTCCACAAAGAAAGAGCGACGGATCGAACAGATAACACAGATAACATGGATGATGTACAGATCGAAACACACACCGAGCAGTCTGGATCAATAAGTAACGTACAGACAGCACGCACCATCACCTCATCCCTACATCTCACCAAATCGCCCTACGAGAATCATACACACACCCAATGTCCGAACACCGAGAATACACGCACCCGTTATCCACCTGACCCAAACGCTTCTCACTTTGCCTCCTCACTTCCCGCACTCGTCATCGCAATGCCCACCTCGGCACCATCCTCCGCCTGCGCTCTATGCACTTCTTCATCCTTGACTCGTCTGGCCTGGTGTCCATTAATGAAGAAAATGAGGCCAGATGTGGCGAGAGCGAAGACTCCGTTAAAGATGATCGCTTTGCGCATGTTCAGGGGTGGGTTGGCGGTAGAGGGTGCTCTGAGAGAGTCCTGGGCTGGATAATCGACAGTGAAAGGTGGTGAAGATGTGATTATCAACGTGACTGTACGGTGGGTAAACAGAAAGAGTATTTTTTTGGGAGAACTTACCAAGGACAAAGATGACGCAAAAAAGATTGCCGCTGTGAAAGTCTAGTGAGTAGAACGAACGGTGTGAGAGCCGATGTATAGACGTACAAGAACCACAGGATAGCTGCACTTCCGTCCGCGTTCCTCGTCAGCTCGCATCCCAATTCAAGTGCTACAGGCAGTAACGAGATTGAAGCTGCACCAATGACGATCAGGACGGCAAATATTCCGCCTGTGTCATTTGGCCTCACTATTAGAGGGGAAATAAATAAACAAAAAGCGTTGATAGGATTTGGGGTCAGTGAGAAGAACAGAGGAATTGAGCGCAGGTGGAGCTTACCAGCCCAAATAAGCGACAACCAGGACGCCCCGATGAGAGGACAAAGTATGCGAAGCGTGATGGAGAGATGATGCGTCAGGACTCGGTCAAAGAGAGGCGCGGTGGCGATGGCTGCGACGATTCCTGCAATTAAAAGTGCAGCCCCCATAATCCCTGTAATATCATCTGAATATCCCACGGGAGCCTACGGAATCAGCAATACGAACCAAAAGTGAGTATAGAACTTTGTGTCAGCGATGTCATAGTGTATAGCGTACCATCCACTCCGCACTGAGAACAGAGAACGTATTGATGCTGCACACAAGACAAGGCCAAGTGTTGAGTTTTAACACTCGATTGTAAGCGTGAACCGAACTCACGCAGCAAGGAAAACAGAAAAACAGGTTACCAGGATGACGAAATCAAGTCGTTCGCGTATCGTCATATATGCCTCCTCGGGACAAGGCCGGCCAAGCATCGCGTTAAGAAGGGAAAGGATAGACGGTGAAGGCCGTGAGCCGGCAAAAGCTATATAAGGAGCAAGGCGACAGAACGAAGTCAGAGGTGCCCGAGAAAATTCTCCACGTTTGATGGAAGGATAAATGGACATGCGTACTTGGAGGTACTGGCGGAGCCTCGAAGATCATGAAGACGACGGGAATGACGGCTGTACAGATTATTGCCAGCACTAGGATCTGCGGTACAAAGAAATCATTTGTTCTGGGACCCTTTATGAGATTCACAACGGTAGAAACGAACTGATTGCCTGGTGTCGCCTACTGAAGGAGATAGAAGCTGTCCCAGAGCACCTCCAATGGGGTTCGCTGTCGATCAATAACGAACTCATTAATCTTTCGGAGAATGCATGGGGGTAATCAACGCGAAAGGTGGAGTACCTATCGAAATAATCATGGTAGCCGTAGTCCGTCCCTTCAGGTCGAACCACACCTCAGAGTACTTGGGTGCTGAAAGATAGAGGAAATCACGAGGTCAGAAGCACGACCGCATCAATCACATCTTCTAACAGTACCTAGTACTTGAAACACCGGGGTAGAGATAGCCGATAGAGCCTACGAGAAATATTCGTGAGATATTCTAACCAGCTGTCCACTGATAGAGACACACCTGTCCGATAATTAACAGCGCATAAGCACCGTTCATAGGGAGCGAGTGTGCAGTGCCTGCATAGCGAACCCAAGCCGAGACCAAGAGACCACCACATGCAATATAACACTATATTAAACCAAGAAAGGGTCACGTCGGCGAGAATTTCAACGAGATAGAGATAGATGATAGACGTACACAAACACGAATGCCATACCGCGAACATATCATAGGCGTGAAGACCGTGACGGGGAGATACATACATGCGATGATGTTGCCCAACCAATTAACTTGCGTCAGGGTGAACCCAAACTCATCGACCACTGTCAGCGCAACCCATCAACAGAGAGACGGTTCGGGTTAGCACGATGGGTATGTAGAGTAGAAGAGCCATGGACATTGTTGCACGCACCATTGTTAGATATAGGTCCGAACCATGGCCAACTCATACTCGCGACAGCCTCCAGGATGAACTGAACAACCCGCCGATCGCAAGCCACCGCCAATCCCATGGGACCCAAGACCAAAGCGCGCACAGATTGAACACCACACACCTAACTTCAAGAGCGGAAAGACGTACCATTGCGAACACACCGAACCACCGTCGTCTGTACATTCGATACGGACCTGTTCGTGCCGAGTCCAAATCCAACGTACTTCCATCCTGAACAGAAGGCAGAACCTCTACCATCTCTCCCTCTTTCTTCCCGTCGTATGACGCTGATCGATGTTCACCGCTCGATGATGTTGAAGGTACAGCAGGGCCTGCACCTGAATCAGACTCTGAAACGGCGCCGCCCATCGTGTAAAGATGCGAAAATAGGCTGGTTCGAGGACTCTGCCAGCCGAGTCGTGGGTGGGAGAGATAAAGACACTGGGTGCGAAAGGGGGATATATTATATACAATCAGGTGCTTGGTGTCCTTCAGCGATGCATGCGACAGACGAACTTGGCAAGCGCTTCTCAGCACTCTGCGTTTCTGTGCCTGTGCAAAGGAAGTGAACGACCCTTCCTGAAAATCTTGCTGATAGGATTATCTTGGCTCGGGTAGTCCCGTGGATGGATAGATACCGTGGAGTTGTGCCCCTGCCCGATAGGGTCAGGATATGGCGGGTACGGGTACGTCGATGGGTAAACCCACAGGTTGACTGCGGGTAGGTTTCTCATTACCATGATCATCATATGGGATGCATATCCTGAACAGCATTCTCGTTACTCACCGTGGGGATGAGTACTACTTGTTGTCTTCTCCAAGTTCACTTGGTGGTCTTCAAGTTGCTGTGCCCCATCTCCTTCTCGATCATCTTGGTAGTAGCAATGCTATGTAACATCGCGAATGAGCGAAGTACCCAACCATGAGCCCACGATCATCGGGGTCTTGAAGGCATGTCTTTCTCGGGGGAGCCGTTGAATGACAGGTTAAAAGAGACATGTTGTTTACGACTAGCGATAATAACAGCTTGGGAGATTACGCTCTTGATCAAAACAACAAGAAACCGTCTAAACATACAACCATCCCATTTTTAGCTGTGTAGAAGGACATCACTTCAAGCCATCAACCCTGCACAAACTCGTGCAACCTCTCCTTCTCCACATCTGTCGAACTCCAAACTGGCTCCATCACATTCACGTTCTCCTCGATCGACTTCAGCTTCTTCAACATCCTCGCTCCACAATCCGGGCCCAACGGTACCCTGATCCCGCTACGCTTCTCCATCAGGCCCTTCGCCAAACCCGTGTCACTCACTACTTCGTACATCCTCGCAGCAGCTTTATCGTTGTCTCCGACCTGGCCTTGTTCGACATGCAGCTGATGGTATCTATTTACGGAATTGTATCCCTGAGAGGGTAGCGTGTAAATTCCGAGGGAACGCTCCGATGCAGGCTGAGTCTCTCTCGCTCGAGAGAGGAAGTTGGTTGGGAAAAATCCAGGGGTGATGATGCGGACTTGGATTCCGAATGGTGCGACCTCTGGTGCGAGCGCTTCGGAGAACGCATCGAGGGCTGCTTTCGTGCCGTTGTAGGCACCGAAGACGGGACCGCCTGCGAAACCGGCGATGGAGGAGACGTTGAGGATTTGGCCTGATTTTTGGGCGCGGAAGGAGGGGAGGAGAGCTTGGATGAGCGTGATGGGTCCGAAGACGTTGGTCTGGAATTGGGCTTGTATGTCGGTAGGGCTATGAAAGGTTCGTTAGAGTTGTCTATTGCGGGGACGGCTGGAACCAATAGAAGGCATACCTCAGCTCCTCGATGGGTCCTGACAAGCAGTAACCAGCATTGTTGACCAAGACGTCGATGTGCCCATAAGCACTTAGCACCTTCTTCACAGCCGAGTGGATCTCAGCTGCAGGAGCGTTGAGGTCCAAGGGAAGCGCGTGGGCGTCCTTGATCGACGCGGGAATTTTCGAGATATCTCGCGCGGCAGCGATGACCTGCGTGTAGAATAACACAGTGAGTATCGCGCCATGCACTAACGTCGAGTCGTTAGACTCACCTTGTCGCCTTGAGAAAGGACGTAGCGAGTGAGGGCAAGACCTAAGCCAGAGTTGGAGCCAGTAATGAGCCAGACACGAGGAGACATGACAGTTTATGAGGATCAATAGGATATGCTTGAGCACAGATGTAGAATGAGATGCCTCCTGAGAGCAGTTCATGGGTCGTATTTATTGCATCCAGCCGCCACAAATACGAGTGGATTGAACCCACATCTTGTGGGCCGAAACACAGCCAGGTACAAGTTTATGCCGCTGAACCAGCAGCAAAAGTAAGCTGAAGCATTCGAGAATCCTTCGAACAGAGCATATGATCGTCCAAGCGGTTACAGTGGCTGACAACGTCGAGGATGAATCAGAAGAGGAGGTGGCCCACTTCGGTTCCGTCGATGTGTTTGAAGTTGCGGGCTCTGGGCGTCTATCTTATCTTATCTTATCCGCCACGTGGAGGTACGTCGACGGAATCTCCCCGCCACTTCGTTGGCCGGGCGCACTCCCTTGGCACTCCCTCCATCTCGTCTAATTCATCATTATCACTGCTGGGCCACCTCAAGAATTAACATACCAATACCTTCACTGAGTGCTCATCACGATGAGCGAATACTGGGTCTCCAAGAAACGCTACTTCTGCAAATACTGTGACATCTACATCACAGACGATGCCCCCTCCCGTCAGCAGCACGAGAATGGTCTACGACATCAGGGTAACAAGGAACGGTTCGTCCGAAATATCTACAAGACTGGAGAGAAACGGAAGAAGGATGCAGAGGAAGAGAAAAGGGAGATGGCCAGGATTGAAGCCGTACGTCCCATTCTTTTCATCTGTTCACAATTCCAGTACTGCATCATCACATTTTATTATACTGACTCAGTCTTGGTTTTTGATTGTCACAGGCCGCACAAGCAGCATATACAGAGGACATAGGAGCAGGGCATGCCAAAGCCTCAAAACCCCAATCCCAAACTCCTCCACCAGTCGCCTCATCCAGCAAGAAACCACCACCTCCCAAACCCACTTCCAAATACGAGAACTATACCACCGCGGAATCACTAGGGTACACAGATCCCGATCTCGAGCGCGCCCTTGCCGAAGCCGAACGACGACGAACTCAGGGCGTAGTCGGTGACTGGGAGGTTGTGGCGACAGTTGAGCGACCGAGCGCTGAGTCTGCTGAGGCAAGCGCCGAGGAACGTGGAGATGGAGGCGTTGCCGGTGAAATTAAAACGGAAGAAGGGGTTGTGGGTGCTGAAGCTGAGGGGAGCAGGAAGAGACCAGCTGAAGCGCCGTTAGAAGACGAGGAAGACGGAAGAGGTTGGAAGCTGAGGAAGAAGACCGTTGGGCCTGGTTTAGGCGAGATTTACGATCCTGGCCTCATTCCTATCAAGCTCAAACCAAAGAAGGAAGAAAATGGTGGGGCTGCTTCGTTGGTTCCTCTGAGGATATTAGGTGCTGGCGTGATAGGGGCTGCTGCAGGATCGAATGGGAGTATGCCACAGGCGAGCGCGAAACCGACGTGGGCCCCGACGAAGTGGAAGAAGGCCGGAGAGGAAGAAGAGACACATGAGTCTGCCTCTGTTGCCCAGGCGGTCGGTGCAGATTCAAATAGACCAGATGGCGTGGAGCAAGAGCTGGGGGGGCCGTCTTCCTTACTTGAGGTGAAGCAGGAGGAGTCATCAGTAGGTGTGAAGCTTGAGGGCGATGGGCCACCCGCGGAACTCTCGAGTGGCGGAAGTTTGTTCAAGAAGAGACGGGCGCCTGTTGGCGGCGGAGCTGGTAGTCGTGGAAGGCGGTTCTGAAGCTCTTCTTGTGCTTACTTCTGCTACCGTATATGAACATCCTTGGTATGCTTCTGTTATGAATCTACGATTGCTACTCTGACAAGTTTGACCAGCATGTGCCTGACGAAACGTTCCGTGGCACCCTCCCGATTCACTGCTATTTTGTTTTTGCTTTCACGGTGGGACTGATGCTTTATATGGTGCCTCGTACCAGATATGCCCAATGAGTCTAGGCGAACAGCCTCGTCAAGTCATTCGCAGATCACAGTATTGTCCCACAAGAACGCGTAACAGAAAGAAACAAATGATGTGCAAATTAGCACGAAAAGCTCCCCATATTTAACTGGTGCATGCAGCGTAAAGATCTGAGCTCGTCCCGATGTAACTCTCGATATCTGAGGAGCGACATTTCGTGCATCAGCATATAGCACAGAGAAAATCCAGGGCACAGTGAAGGGAATGAACATACAATCGAGTACAGAGTCTACGGGAATCATGTCGAGAGTACCCAAAGGGGTGGAAGTCTGCATTGGCTCCCCGCCCCATAGGACACGGAGGTACCAGCCATCCGTACTTGCATAGTGGTCGTGTATGGAATTCTTCTTGTATAGTTCGAACACAATCTCAGAGCCCCTATTGATCCACGAACAAAATATCAGCATCAACGGCGATTCGAGATGACGGTGACTTAGGATTGAGCACGTACATCCCCGGCCAGACCATCTTCGAGATCTGGAAGAACCCAAGCAAACAACTCATGGACTCGTCGTGGGCCACATTATGGAAGTACTTCATCTATAGTTGCAGCAGAGTCGGGTAATCATAGCTCATCCGTTAGATCTATTGGCGGAATAGACGGTACCCAACGAAAAACATACCTGTCCACCCGCGATCTTTGCCTCTAGGTGGCCCTTCAGCTCTAAGATCCAGGCCCCATAGTGCAACGCCGAATAAAGCGTTGAGTTCTGTGCGTCCCTGTAGTAGTACGAGTACTCCCAATTCCCGAGCCTGTAGACGGTATCGGCTTCGTCTTGTGTTACGCAGAGGGAGGTGTCGTTCACGGAACAGGGAAGGGTCTTGTCGTGACACTGCTTCGCGCTCATGTTGTCGTAGTAGCTGTAGAGAAGAAAAGGCGGCACAGTAGCGTGAGTTATCAACGACTGATATTGGAAAGGAAGAAATGGTGATGATTAAGAGCAGCTGTGTCAGGAGACGTACTGGTCGAAACTGGTATGCCAATCGGCCGTATCGTTGGTCTCAATCCCGCTCACAGCATCTAACTTCTCATAAAGTCCCGCCGCCGCCGTCAAATGTCCCGTCCAGCTTGTATTATCCGTTTTGTAGTCCGTCATGATCGTAACAGAGTTAGGGCAAGAATAAGCCGGTTCCAGAGAGTCGAAGCTGTCGGACTGGATCAGAACCTGAACAGGGGTTCCAACGGTGTCTGGGAAGAGACCGGCAACGACACCGCCAGCGACTTGAGAGGTGATCACGTTGTTCGTGACACCTGGATTAGGGAGAGAGAATATATTCATGAGCATGATCTGAGGAAAGGGGGAACGGATACGCACGGATGGCGACCGTCTCATAGTCAATGGAGGATGAGAGCCCAAGGAGTGGCGCGTAAACCGAGCGGAGGTCTGCCCCGTGCGTGTGCGAGTCGTCCACACCACCTGCTGACTCTTGAGGAAACTGACATCTACAAAGAGAGGGGCATGTAAGTGAACAAACTCGAACCTACGGAGATCAAATTTACGTGGAGTTCGCAAATCCTGGTCCGATGGACGTGGTGAAGGGGTTAGCGTCGTTGTACGCAGCTTGCCACTGTACGACATGGAAAAACAAGTTAAACCGGTTTCATCACTCCCTACGGAGATTATAACACACGGACCTGAATCACGGATACATCACGAGCTCCCTTGGGAGTCTTGGCCGTCCCATAGTAAACAGGACCTGCCTCATCACAGCTCCAAGGAATATCTTCTGCGAAGAAAGTGTTGCTGGCGTATGGTGTACGTTTATGGTGTCTAAATCACCGATCGAAGGGTATCCTCATGAGCGATCACGTCGGGGACGCGAAGAGAAAGATCGTGCCTACCTGTGAATGACCTCCACATACTCCAGAGTGAACTCGTTGGAAGGAGCCGTATACTCCTTCATGCGAACATGAGGCATGTTGCACCAGTTGTACTCGCCATAAATATCATCAGGGGTCGCAGACGAGTTGTATATGCCTAGTCAGAAAGGACGGATGTGTTAGGAAAGTGAACACGAATGATTAAATAAAGAACCAGAGGCATACCAGGCGCGCCAGTCCCGTTCAATACGAACTCGATACTGTTGATGTTCGTGATGTTGGGTGGGTAGTGCACGAGCCCACCGACAACGGCATGAGCCAAAGAAACGACAAGCGTGTTCGCGAGTTGGTTTTTGGGATACATGGGCGGTTCGTAAGCTCGATGAAAGTTGTCCTATATAGGGAACCGTTCCTGGCGTCTCGGAATGACCACGAGCTCTTGGAGCGAGGGGTTGAGGCAGACCGGGCAAAGTAGCCAGTCATGAGGGTATGTTGTTTATATACGGCTGTGGACCTCGGTGGATGACATCCGTCCGCACCTTGGATAGGACGGCGGAACGCTAGGCATCTTGAGGAACACGAATGTCAAGAGTGAACATATGGTAATGAAATCAGGAAGAATAGTAGATGATACACGGCCTGCAGGCACCCTTCGATAAGGCTCGGAAATACATGGGTTTGAGATTTATATCGTCATATTTACGCGCCATTTGTGCTCTCAAATTGACCGCGTTTGACGTGGTATATGATAGGATCGCGGATTGCTGCATCACACTGGCCCGTCGGTGCGGTGATCCGGCGGTCCAAACGCGTCGCGTGCGATCTTAAACTCCAAGGCGGCGGAAGCTGAACAGAATACAACAGCTCGCTGTGCGGAGGATGTGAGATGCTGAACAAAGCGCAGGGAAATAACCGCTTATCTTTCACGCGTCAAAGATCGATAGTGAGTGAATGGGGGTGATAGCAGGTGCGATGCAAAAGGTGAACCCGACAAATACGCAAGTCGTCAAATAATTACCTCTAAAAACAGATATGATACGTCCTCTCATCCTTCCCACAACATATTCAAAATGTCCGAGAAAAGGTGCACACGACAAGCACCTAACTTGCTCCAGTCCCTGCCCCTGGTCCCGCTGCCGTCTGACCGGCAGCACTAGCACTCGTGCCTGCAGCTCCGGGCCCACCGGCAGGAGGTGGTGTAGGCGGCTCCTCTTCCGCAATCTTCAACTCGGCCTCGATACGTTCGCGCGCACGGACTACTTTTGATTGGACGTAATGTGAGTGGGCTGTGGGGGGTACTGCTTTCTGGCCTGGTGGTGGTTTTGGAGGAGCGGTGGGTGGAGAATTAGCTTTGAAGAGGTGTTCGTAATTCTGTTGCGTGGATGTCAAGTCAGCAAAAGGGATTGAAGCGGCGAAGACCACGACTGGAGGCGCATGAAATCAAAATGAACCATACCCGGAGCACATCCTCCAGCTTCTCCGTACGCTTCGTGTTCAAAATGAGATGAGCCTCGTCGAGCGTCATTCGGTGTTCACGGGTCAATTTATCTGTTAGTGAACCAGTCGTAGCATTCCCCACGCCTGCGATATCCGAGCCACCGGCAGCCTGTGGTCTGTGCTTTGCATCTACAGATTTCATGGCGCTCAACACTGACTGTCCGTGCAAAAGAATCACAGTATACGTACTTTTTGCGGCCTGTCTCCCCGCCTCGTAGAATGCCTTCCCCAGAATCCGCGACCCAGTTATGAGGATTTGAATAAGGACTTTTGGTGAGGACTATCAACAGCCATAGCAGTTCAGATAACGACAACGGAGCAAAGCCTGCAGAAAGACGCGTACCATAGCAGATACAAGGAGCGGACGCGCTGACGAACGAATTCTTGCCGTGCACTCTCGGAACGAAGGCGTGAGAAATTTATCGATTTTTCCTTCCGCGAACCAAGTTTGTGGCGGCAAGTCTCCAGCTTGTACCGTTTCTCTATACACCTCTTGTACAGCTTGGTCTCGTCCTGACTCTCGAACCTAGATCTTATTCTGGTACTATTCGTCTGGTGGACTCGCCACTCACAATGCCACCCTCACCCACCGCCACCATCCCCAAGCGAAAAAATCCTGCCGACCCTTCTGACGCCGACCACGCAGCCAAGAAAGCACGGAAGGAGGCTAAAAAGGATAAAAAAGAGAAGAAGAATAAATCAAGGTCGAAGCACAAATCCAAGGCCGGGGATGTCGACCTCTTATCTTCAGCCGAATCTGAATTTCGCTCCGTCAAAGCCTCGGTGCAGCTCACTATCCCACCGGTCTTTGCGAGTAAACCTCACGAGGGGGCACATGAACTGCTGGACTCTATGATCATGAGGTGTGTATGTTATATGGTACCATGCGCAGAAATGAGATTGTGAACGGTAGTGTGGCATGCCTGCTTAGGTATATCCCAGCTCTGCAGGGCGTAGTACTTGCGCATAAGGCATTGGAGTTCCTGGAGAGTACGGGGAAACTAAAGGCGGACAGTCCGTTTGCGATATGGAATATTGGTTTCGAGGCGATTGTGTGGACTCCGGAGATCGGAATGGAGCTGGGTGCGTACACTCTTCGACTTGCTCATTCAAACGTTGGATTAATAGCCTCCCGCGCCCATGATTTCTCATTTTATAGACGGCAAAGTCAATCTTTGCTCTCCGGACCACATTTCCTTGCTTGTACACCGCACATTCAACGTGTCCATCCCACGACATCATATACCGGCCGACCAGTGGGAGTTTGAGTACGGGCCCGCAGAAAACGATCCTGAATTCGGATCGAACACCGTCGAGGAGCCTCAGGGGGATGTTATTACAGAAGGACATACAGTGGATGAAGAAACGCAGCCGACTGATGGAGCTGAGGGCGAGAGTGCGGAGAAGGGCGGGAGATGGGTGCATAAAGTGACTGGCGATCGACTAGGAGGGAAAAGTGGGATCCTGCGATTTACGGTTGTTGGGTAAGTCTCGTCTGTCGGAGCCTGTGGCATCGGCTTACATTCTGCTCTACCCTTCGGTTTTTAGCATGACGATAGCGAACCAGATGCTTTCTCTTCTGGGCTCGATACAACTAGACCCATTCTCACCGGAACACGTACCACGATCAGACCAGCCACAGCCTACCTCCCACGACATGCGCGCATCTTCACCTCTAGAAAACGTTCTTGATGACATGGAAGGGCCTCTTGAGAGCGATGCGGAAGAAGAAGATCCGTTCGTGGAAGCGAGCAAACTACGTGAAGAGCCTCAAAACGTCGAGCCTGTGGCGAAGGCAGAAAAAGCGCAGAAGAAAGAGGAGAAACGAAAGAAGCGGAAAGTGAAGGACGAGGCGGAAGATGGGTCGGAAAAATTAGAGGGAAAGAAGGCGAAAAAGAAGAAGACATGATTGTGATTGTGGCCCGTTACACCTCCTTCAATGGGCATTTCTTCTTTCCTCGAAGATATCTTTTCTGACTGCGGTTCTGCCCTGAGCAGGCTCTCTTTCCGCCACGGCCTCTGCTTCCGGTCGGAGCGGACATATTCATACGAACTCACAGGTTCTGTAGACCTCGCCAGACTAGAACCAGGCCATGGTTGTTCCAAAACGTCCTTCATTGCTACGACTACGCGACGATACAAAAGCATAGTCAGGGTGTCCTTCATCAGCATGCTCAACCTTGATTCGCGCAGCTTTCTTGGCGTTTGCGAAGTTTATGCGCACAATCCGGTGTTGGGTTTAAAAGGTCCTGGTTTTGCTCTAACTGGACCCCCAATTGCAGAGCCTTTCGCCAGAGTGATATGCATCAACTCAGGGCCTGTAACTCGTCTTTTCTGTTCATTTATTAACATGTATGAATAGTTTCCTCCAGCTGTACTATGGTGACAATCTTCTACGGAACCGTTTCATGCGGGCAGGGTGCAGATGTCGCTGTTCGGCCAATCCGTGACGCTGTTTTACGCAGATCCTGCGTCCGCAGGCATCCGCTCTATCGGACCTGATGTTGTTGGATGATGCTGCCAAGACCTCCCCAATACAGGATGAACTTTGTTACGCCACACCGCTTCGTCCCTTCGGTCGAAGCCGACTTTTTGGAGTGTAACAGCTGGTGACAACGATGCTTGAACACAATATCTCATATTTCTGGTGGCCCCGATTTTTGTCGCAACATGCAGTTCACTAGCTGCCTGACTTACCAGGATCTTGAACTGTACTTCATCGGAACTTCTGATATCGTTTAGCAGCAGCTTCGCTGCAAGCGGCTCTGCATATGCACGCTGCCTACTCGTGATACGCAGAAGATTGACTACGGCTTCTTTCACGGCGGCCCTCCTCGTCCTCGGTCTGGTCCTTCGCATCCTGAATCCTGATACACAGGTGCAGGTGGATCCATCTACCCTCCTGTGTTTCCGGTCTTGTGGTTCATCCATGCCGTCATGACGTTGATCCCTCAAAAAGCTATTACTGCGGCACAGTGCTATAGCTTTTGTCGCCTCGCCGATCTCTGTTCATGCACCATTTTCCCCGATTTAATCTTTCAGCCAATCGCGTTGGATGGATTGACAACGCCATCGAATGTCGAGGGTCTCTGGACACAACGCAGCTCGACTATTTAGCCTCTTAAAGCAGGTGAACCCTTCGTTTTCCATCCATCCATCCCTCCCTCTCATCCGCTCCGCACTCTCTCCTTGGACATAACCTTTCCATTCACCCCACATTTTCTAAACCTCTTGATATCACATCGACGATACAACATGGTTCATCTTCTCGCCACCCTGGTGATCGCCGCAACATCCATCACCGCCGTCTCTGCCCATGCAGGGCCCGCACCCGTCCACTGGAGACGCGACAATCACGTCGCTCGGGATCTTCTTGAGGAGAACTGTGGCGCTCAGCTTGCCGTGAGGCGCGCCAAGCGTAATGCTCATTCCTACGACCGTGCTATCGCGAAGAGGGCGCCTGCTAAGAGGAATCTTGCCATCAGGTTCGTACATCACTTTCCCTTATTTTCGATCCGTAACGTCCTGACCTCTCACTCGGATGCATCTACAAAGACAAACCTCCACCAACGATTCTACCTGCATCCTCACTCCTGAGGTCACCGAGGGTCCGTACCATATCCTTGGCGAAATCGTCCGCCAGAACATCACCGAGAACCAGGCTGGTGTTCCCCTCGAGGTTTCCGTCGACTTTGTCGATATCGAGACGTGCGAGCCTGTCCAGGTCTGGGTTGACGCCTGGCACGCAAATGCCACTGGTTACTACGCCGGTTACATCGCCGAGACCGGCGTAAGTTCTTCATTGCTTCATCTACCACATTTTCCCGAAGCTCAACCACCCTTTTTTCTCGACGTTCAGGCGGCTCTGTCAGGAGGCTCTGGTACGGGTGGTGCCGCTCCCTCAGGCAGTGGTGCTCCTGGCGGCAGCTCCGGTGTTGCTTCGTCAACCTCCACTGCGTCGACCACAGTTTACACTTACGGTCCTTACGACGGTGCCGATGCGGAGAGTGCTGCTAGCATGCTCAACACCGATATGGACGACAACAGCACTTTCCTTCGCGGTGTTTGGCAATCTGAGTGCGTCTTCATCATCGTTCTCGTTCGACCATGTAACTCATATACTCGGCACCAATTTTCAGCGAGGACGGTCACTTAACCATGTACTCCGTCGTCCCCGGCTGGTATTCTGGCCGCGCTACTCACTTCCACATCAAGGCCTACCCAGACGGCTACATCGCCACCAATGGAACCTTCGTCGCTAACAGCTCAGCCGTACACACCGGTCAGTTCTTCTTCGACGAGGACACGCTTGAACAGGTTGCTGTGGTCGATTCCTACGCCTCCAACTCCATTGACTGGTCTGACCACGTCACTAATGATGGTACGTGTCTTTCTCCTCGATTTCGAATCCCTTTTCATTTAAGGATGTTCTAATGATTATATCTCGTGTTGTTCGTCAACAGCCGACCAATGGTACCCCTACCAGGACTCCTACTATAACGCAATCATGGACATCACCTGGGTTGGCTCCGACATCACTGATGGTCTCATCGGCTCCATCGCCGTCGGTCTCAACATGTCCTATGCCTCCATCGAGCTCAGCACACAATATGCCGCCTTCGACGTCGACAGTTACGAGGCTTCGAGTATGCTTCCTTATGCTTCCGCTAGCGCTTCAGCATAGGTTTCTGTTGTAGGAATGCGTGGAGGTTTGGCTATGGTCTCCGGTCTTGTAGCTTTATTTTGTGGATGATATATGGGCTTCCTTTGTCTGCTATGGCTTGCCACGACACCTTCCGGCGCCTCAGTCGTTATCCTAATCTGTGGAGACGTTCCGTTTCGTTTGCTTGCATAGACATTAGTTCCCATTTCAACTCCCCTGCAACTTTTATAGTATAGGATTCGTTAAATTTCGAGCTAGTGAAATCAAGTGCCAATTTTTGGGCACTATCATCTTTCTCTCCGAGCGTGATCTGATTGGAATGTCAGGATAGTGTGGTGCCCAGCTGTCAATGTGCTCGGGTACATATGCAATGTTCTGTTCGATTCGCGGCATGTGGCGTCTATGTGGCGCAAGAAGGAAGGAAGGTAGATCCCGCTCCGTCGGATATAAGACCGGTGCAGAACAACCAAAGTACCCGATCGTTTTCACACTGAATACAGCACTGAGGCTTGCTGGAAGGAGCCTGGCAACGAGTAGAGTCCCAAGACGGGACAGACCGAGTAGCGTTCGTAAGTTTCGCGACGCAGTCAACGTGAAGGTGAGAAAAAAAATTACGAAGGCTGCGATAATCCTAAAGATACAAACGTACATAACCAAATACTTAGTACACCAGAGGGAAACACCTCATAATAATCGAGGGGACATTCTACCACTTCACTGCAAGCCCCACTACTTCACTCTCGACAGCTCTATACTCGGTTCTGAACAGTTGCCTCCGCCTTGCCTCCGATTCCTCATCCATCTTATGGCCCCATCGAGCAGGATGATTTGCACCGTTTTCAGGATCGTTCGGCCGACATAAATCCTTCAATATGGTCCCCGCCAACTCGTCCGCCCGCCTGACTTTCGCCCGCTCGACATTGACGAGCACTGCACCATCACGAGGCGTCAACTTTGGGGACTCTGGTGGCGTAGGCAGATCTCCTGCTCCGATCCTTACCCGCGGTGGTTCACCGCCCCAGTACGTCCTCTCAACGACCTTGACCCACTTCCTGTCGCCCCACTTCGAGCTCGCCACACCTATGTTGCCGCTGCTACCCCCAGAGACCCCAGTCTCGTTCCAATCCCTAGCAAAGCCCTCTTCGTCCTTCATATCTTGATCTCCAGCCATTCCTGTGACGGATGATGGGTTGGTCGATGATGGTGTCAAGAACGCCTCTGAGGGTCGCAGCTGCCCTCCACCATTCACGCAACCTCCCGGACAAGCCATGACCTCCACGTAATCGTATGCTCTGTCTGCTGCCACCACCCCATCGCCTTCACGACTAAGACCCGCACCCGCACCCGCAGCTCCAGCCCTCTTCTTTACTCTCGCCCTCACTCCCGCCCCTGATGCAGCCTTCCTCGCACCCAGTCTACCAGCAGCTCCTTTCCCACTTTGTACACCCGCAGACTTTGCCACTTTGCGTACCACGTTTTGAAGGTTCCGGAAACCATAACAGCGGGCGGCTTTGAAGATGATTTCGGAAGTGCGGGTGTCCGTGAGAATATACTCCTCGTAGTCGGAGGTACGAATCGTTTTGGCTTCAAGGTGGAGAAGTGAAGATGGTGTGGGGCCGACGGATTCAGAGGGAACTGGTGATATGGATGCAGAGGCCGAGGAGATCTGTGGATGTGTCGAGGATGATTTTGATGATGGGTAGGTTGATGCGATATCTAGAAGAATAGTGTGGAGGTAGGAGCCCGACGAAGATCCTGGATGTTGTAGAAGGCGAGGCAAAAGAGGTTCCGAGGGGGATGGCGATGACGAGCTCGAGGGTACAGGCATCGAGAGGTCAAATCCTTTCTCCTGCATGAGTAGCTGTAGCTCTCCAGTGGTGAGAACACAGTCGACATCACGGGTCTGGTAGATATCGTTATAAAAGTCTTGCCGTGATGCTTCCAATTTCTTGTCATAGCATGGCATCACGGTGACATGATAGATCTCGTCCGGCCTGAAGTTTGACACAATAACTTGTTAGTGAGTGAGAGGACAAAGAATACAGCTATACGTACTTTTTGCCCCATTGCGGAGCCAACCACTCTTTGACTATGGTGCCCATGACCTGTTGTGGTGATTTCGTCCTAGAGATGAACGGCAACATTTCCGCATGGGTCTTCTCAGCATAACATACCCACCCCGGACATGCACTCGCGAGCATAGGTATCTGTCCGCCTTCTCCAGTCCCACTTGCATCTGCAGCCTGCTTCCGATCGTGAAACTCACGGACATGCTCCATTAGAGACAGATGCCTCGCAAAAGTGGTGTCGAAGACGTGCGCGAAACCCAATGTGGAGACACAGAAGTGCTCTATCCGGATGAGAGTCTCGTAGAGCGAGACTTCTGTTGCTTGTGCAGATGAAATGGATGCTGCTAGCGATGCGACGGACTGGGGCGAGATAGACACAACGGGGAGTTTGTGGGAGGGGCTGGATGACGGGGCGTTCGATGAGAGGAAATTGAGAACTTCGGTGTGGGATTGGAGAGTAATAAGGACAGATTCTGCTGATGTTATACATCCACTGAATACAGGATAAGCTTTCAAAACGAGTGCATACCATATCATAAAAACTCACCTGCATGCGAGACAATCGTTCAGGCTAATCTCAGCCGTCTCGAGCTTCTTACCACTCCCACTGCCTGAGGTTGATGCCATCTCGACATCTGGCACTTGTGACTTCGATACTTCATAGTATCCACCATCAGAATCTACACGGATCTCTGTCTATGGTAGGTCGCATTTCCCCAGATGCTCATGTGAGCCAAATGGATATATGACTATACGGAAGTACAGAACGTACCGCAGCTGCTCCCGGTTGTGGAGCTTCAGTTATGGGTGTGTTTTTCTGCTCTACTGGCTTGATACAAGCCTGAGATGGAGTGATGTAGTCATTGAGGTCCGTTAAAGTCTACCCAGTGTTAGATTAGTTGCAAGTGTGGCGACTCTGTGGCGAACGTGAACATACGAGAGCTCCCGAGAAGGCCATGATGAAGGAAAAAATGAGATCCAAGTACAATAAGACAGAGAGGAGGAAGCTTCGAAGGCTGCCGAAGGAAAAGTATGGGTGATGAGTGTCGGTGAGCAAAGTGAGCAATTCAAGCGGAACGATTGGTGAGCAGAATTCGGAAGGCCGTAACCCTGGTATCGGGTTAGGTGTGGCGCAGCGAACATAGTAAGCCACATGTGGCCTCTGCGTTCCATCCACCACGAACTTCGATCACATTCGTTAGGAAGGCAAATGTTATGGATTGAAGCCAATTCATTTTATATCTCTATAACAATAATAAGACAAGAAACCCTTTGAGAAAACCCCACCAACAGACTTTACATGCATCATCATCACTACTTACACCCTTTCCGAGTCGAAGGAAACACATAAGAAGACCATGTCACGAATTACCCTCCCATAGTCATAAAGTTCTCAATGTTCAATTATTACAAGCATTATAAAGCTCTGATCCCGTCCCAATCCAGCTTTCAATATCTGTAAATGGTAGAATCCTCGCATCAGGATCACGCGATGAACCTAGAGCAGGGCCCCTCGGGACAATTTGACAGTGAGGAAGTAACGTACAATCAAACACATCCTGCACTGGGATCATATCCAAAGTCCCCAGAGGTGTTGATGTCTCCATGGGCTGTCCACCCCACAGGACGCGGAGGTACCACCCGTCAGTGCTACTGCTATGGGCCGCTGAGGACCTCTTGTTGTAGAGTTCAAACACAACTTCCGAGCCCCTTTGAGTTATAAAAAGAGATATTAGAGTTAATTGAAGAAAAGAGTGAGAAAGGTACGTACATTCCAGGCCAGACCATCTTTGATATCTGAAAGAACCCAAGGAGAGGCCCAATAGACCCGTCATGTCCCACGTTATGGAAGTACTTCATCTGCAGCAGACAAATCACATACAGACTCGTTATCGACTCTGTATATGACTGAAGTCAAGTAGGAAGAACATACCTGCCCACCGGCAATCTTAGCCTCCAGATGAGCCTTCAATTCCAAGATCCAAGCACCATAATGTAATGCCGAATAAAGTGTTGAGTTCTGTGCGTCTCTGTAATAGAACGACCACTCCCAGTTACCCAACCTGTATACGGTGTCGGCTTCGTCTTGGGTGACACAGAGGGAAGTGTCGTTCACGGAACAGGGCAGAGACTTGGAATGGCATTGTTTTGCGCTCATATTGTCGTAGTAGCTATTATGCAACGCATCATGAAGAGTGGTAAGCCCCGAGGATCGCAAGCAAGCTGGAGAACGTGGTTCAAAGACGTACTGGTCGAAGCTGGTATGCCATCCCGCCGTGTCATTACTCACAATCCCACTCACAGCATCCAACTTCTTATATAGTCCCGCCGCCGCCGTCAAATGACCCGTCCAACTCGCGATCGTTGACTCGTAGTTCGACATGATAGAGACGGCGTTGGGGCACGAGTAAGCCGGTTCGAGAGCATCATAATTGTCCGACTCGATAAGAGCTTGAACAGGTGTTCCAGAAGATGCGACGGAAGGGAAGAGGCCAGAGACGAGAGCTCCAGCGACTTGGGACGTGATTACGTTGTTGGTAACACCTGGATAGTGAGAAAAGTATAGTGTTCAAGGCAATGTCAAACCGTAGAGAATAATAGCACGTACGAATACCAACGGTAGTATAGTCAATAGAGGAAGAGAGACCAAGACGAGATGCGTAGACTGAACGAAGGTCTGCGCCGTGCGTGTGCGAGTCGACCAAACCTTCTGTGGTTATTTGAGGGAATTGGCATCTATGAAGGGAAACGTGGGTTGAGCTTCGCAAGTATACAGGCGATATAAATATGCTGCAAGAATGTGGCGAAATATCTTACGTCGAATTAACAAACCCAGGTCCGACGGTTGTGGTGAAAGGGTTCTGGGTGTTGTACGAAGCTTGCCACTAAACGTCGTGAGACATGGTAAAAATTGGGCTGTCGTGCTCTCAGTAATCATATCAAACAGACCTGGACCTCCGAGACATCATGAGCCGTATGGGGAGTCGAAGCTTTCCCGTAATAGACGGGACCCTCTCCGTCACAACTCCAAGGAATAGTCTCCTCGAAGAACGTGTTACTAGCGTAAGGAGTTCGTTTATGATGTCTGGACTCAGAGTTCAATGGTGAGCACCCGCACGCAACTCAAGAAAAAGAAAGAAAGGCTGACCTATGAATGACTTCCACATACTGCAGAGTGAACTCTTTGGAAGGAGTTTTGTACTCCTTCGAGCGAACATGAGGCATGTTGCACCAATTATACTCGCCGTAAACATCGTCTGGTGTCGTGGAGGAGTTAAATATACCTGATGGCCATATAGTAGTGTGTCAACATCCAGTAAGACCTCGATGAACCGAAGGGGAGCATACCGGGGGCTCCAGTCCCGTTTAGCGCGACCTCGAAATCGTTGATATTTGTCGCATTAGGAGGGTAATGTACACGTCCAAAAGCAAGATGAGCCACAGATACAAATAGCGCGTTGACGAGTAAGGCTTTGGAAGACATGATATCTTGAGCTCGAAAGTGACCTAATGGAATGTCCCTGGCGTCTCGAAATGACCAGAACTCGGGTCGGTGAACTGAGGTGGAGGCCGACGACGAAGCGCTAGTCATGATGGTGTAGCGTTTTTATAAGTCGGATCGTGGAAGACATCCGTCCATGTGCTTGACAGTGATGGGCAGTCGCTGAGGAACGTGTGTTGTCCAGTACTCGGTCGGTGGTTATGAGACGAGGAAATCTAAATCCGTAAACAGACAACTTGAAAGGACTTCTTTATCGCTTAAAATACTTACTGACGTATGCCTCAGGTGAGTGTGCGCCTCCGCCAGCGATGAATGCGGTAGAAGCCAGCTCGAGTTCACCGGGTGATGATGGTGGAGAAAGGATGAGTGCTTGTGGCATGACTGTACTGACGCCACACGGGCAGCTCCGACGAGGCCCGACACGGGCAGCTCGCCACGTTCGTTTCCGTCGACGCGGTGCCTGAAGCCGATCTGTCTGCGGTAACCCGGTTCAAATGCTCGCCTTGTTCAGAACTATCATCGACTCCTCCGTGCCTCGACTTGCTCTTGCAATTGCTTTCTGCTCACCGAGTCTCATATTACTCAAGAACGTGCTGCGCCGTGCCCCAGCACGTCCAAATTCTGACCTAATGTCCAAGATGCACGATCAAATCCTCGACTCGATATTTTTAGGAAGGAACACTGCCGCATCAGGCGCACTCAGTCAGGGCAACATTTCACAGCATGATAGTGGTCCACCATGGCCCTGCAGTCTTTGATATTCTGTATCTTCAGTTCTATGAATACTCGCAAACGTGCTCCTTCTTTCAATATGGGGTTTGCGTATATATGTTAGGTCCTCTGTTCTCTGTATACTTCGGCAACGCAGGACGCAATACTGCCTCCTTCGACTTCTGCCATTGGTTATCCCCGGGCGAACAAACGCGTCGATTTGCCTTGAAACGCATCAAAAAAGTCGCGTTTGATCTCCCACGACTTCTACCTAACGCACTTCACACAGTACACGACCACTTACGATGTTTTCCTCCTCTACCATCACGGTCCTCTGCGTCGCCATTTCGGCTTTCTCTTCTCTCAGCGTTTCCGCCGCGCCGTCTGCCAGACGTAGCAACTCTCAAGCCGCTCTAGCCCAGAGTGCCCTTAGAGATATTTTGAACCGTGGAGCTCCTATTCTTGGTATGTACCGGCTGTTTTCTTTTATCTTTTATTCTTGAGATCTCGAATAGACGGGCACTCATCAAACTCACATGATAGGCTATGATGATGGGTGCTCTCGTAGCTCTAGAACCTGTGACTGGATGGCCAAGGTCGCAGACAACACGAAACTTGTCCATATGAAGTCCGTCATAGCTTTAACACTATATTTGCAAGTTTGTTAATAATACGAACTTGACAGCTTACCTGGAACACATGACTCGGCGACCTGTATGCTCATTTTTCCCGAGCAAATATGTGGCCCTAACTGAGTCGTTCATCTGTAGGGAACTATACACAGGCCACCCAAGACTCACTCGTCCGCTACACGGGCACGTAAGTATTCATTTTGGTCACGCTTCTTCTTCAACGCATGGCACTGACTTGAGCATGTAGTATCCCAGCTGCAGAATACTTCCAATGTCAGGGCCATTCATTCTTTCAGATGCTCAATGGAGGCATTCGTGTTTTCGACCTTCGTTTCGCGCTCAACCCAGGCAACGACACCATCGGTTTCTACCATTGTAAGTGGACCACCTATTTCAGTCATCCTAATCATCTAAATAAGTCGTCTAATGTCAACCTAAAGCCCAAGCCTTGTTGAGCCCGACGACCTCCATCGAGGACGTTTTCTTCGGTTTCTACTCCTGGCTTGACAAACACCCCACGGAAGCCGTCCTTATCTCTTTGCAGTACGAATCCGGCACGGGAACCGAAAACACCGAGGCTCTGCAGGTGCACATGTATAACCTCCTCAACTCTGATTTGGCAAAGAAGTATTGGGTCCAGGCGAATGGCACCGTATGTCCTCTCCTTCAGTCTTACTATACGAAGGACTGATGATAGAAAAATCCGGATAGTTGAACACCCTTGGCGAAGCTCGTGGCAAGCTCACACTCCTTCAACGCTTCGACTGGTCCCTCCTCCCCGACACTTTGACGGATCGCTTTGGTCTCCATCTGGATCCTGAGGATTGGACCGATAACAGCCCCAACATCTCACTCACGTACAATGAAGACACCGGTGCTACAGCGTACATAGAGGTAAGCAGCTTTTCTATTCCTTCCTCTTCGCCGCATCTTCTCGTATGAACAACGTGCGGTGTATTAGGATTACTACGAGATAGGCCTCCCCATTGGCGCCGGTGCCGCCGAGAACATCCAGTGGAAGTATAACGCCACGACCGTCCATATCGCTGAAGCTGCCTCGAGCTTGCATCCCGACTCTCTGTATATCAGTTTTGCGAGCTCAGAACATACTAGCGATTTGCCTCCTGAGACGCCCAGAGTACGTGGCTCTATATCTGTTTTGATCTTCCTGCCTACCGTTTTGGCTTTCGTAGATCATGGCGCTTGGGAACGGGTCGGATATTCCCGGAGTGAATCAGAAGTTGCTTCCGTGGCTGCAGGAGAGGAAGGGGCAGCGTTTTGGGATCGTCAGTAAGTATATGCCCATTCAACTTTCTCACTCGTGCTCGATGCTAATACAGCCTTTGTATGACCATCAGTGCTAGACTTTTTCGACAGCATCCCGGGAGTGGTCGAGGCAGTCATTGGACTGTAGTTCTATGTGCGGACCGTCCGTCTGATCTTTGTAGTGCTCCATTCTTGAATACCCTCGTCAAGATGGTGAATTAGATGCCTTACGAACAGTGAAAAATCATTGCCTTGTTGGTCGTCACTTTGTCGCCCTTGCTGCTATGGATCCGAGTAGCTTCCGATATCTCCTGACCGATATCATTTGAGCCACTGTTGGGTGCGATTCGGGTTCTGACCTTGCCCTGTTTGAAGGTTCACTATCATCCTCGTAAGTAAAACACTTCACACAGTTCTTTCGCTCTTTTCTCATATCGTTGCTCGTATCAGCCACCATCCATCGGTTATCCGTTAGATTCGGTTCGAAGCATCCGAGCAGAGACACAAAACGGTGGCTATACTGAACCAGATGGCCTGATATCGACGGTGGACGGCCTGGTGGTACTGGTGGGTGAACAGGTATCACTGTCTACGCACCGGAATGTAGGACAGTGGACGAGGGGTATTCGGATACGGGTGGGTCAACAACCACTGAAAAGTGGGTGACCCCCTTTCCGCAGTGGCCGCGTGGGCGTCTGCACAGACCTTAAACGCCCTGTACGCCTAATCGGTGGCTCTGGCTGGTCGAAGGATGAGTCCTGAGCTGTTCAAACAGTGTTTTCCTGGAGGCAGGAGCAGTCTGAAACGGATGTACACTTCTGTGCATTATATCCTCTCTGATTCAGCTTCAAATACGACCTGGGGGACAGGTCACATAGCTCAGTTTTTCGTGCTCCTCCACCTTCTCAAGTTCCTGCGAGGCTGCTCCAGCGATGGCGCCCCTCCTTCTGTTGTCTCTCGGTGCTCTAGTCGCGGCAATACCATCCCCTCCCACTCCCGTCAACACTCTCGCAGGCGAACTGAACGTAGCAGCTTCCGTTGGATCACGGTCCTCACCATGTTTTCTTGCCCTGGACTTTGAGATGCCTCAAGATGTCCCGGACAGTCTCGATGGTTGGTGGTGCGACGCAGCAGACGAGTACGCCTTTGGAGGCTTCAGTTACGAGGTTACCGCATGTGAGCAGTCGTGCCCATCCAACCTTTCTTTGACTTATGCTACCTGTCCCATGCAGGCCAGACCTTGGATCGACTGAGGGCAAACTTCAGCGACATCCGCAACACCTTCAACTCTCGTTACGTCCGGCTCTACGGATTTTGTGATAATGACGGCTTCTAGGGCTTGTGAAGTCTGCCCCGCCAAAGATTCCGTTGCTGACAAGCTCCTTTGCAGCGACGATATTGTCACAGCTGCCTGAGAGAACACTCTCGGCGTCCACGCCTTGATCTGGTCCATGGACTCCGTACATTTTCAATAATACCATAGGCTCATCCGCGTTGTGTCTGTTTGCGTAGGTTCGGATTTGACGGGACAGATGAATTGATCAGTCGGTGCGACACCCTCTTCACGACCTTGCACACTATACCTAAGGCCAAATACGTTACTCGCGTCGTGCAATTTGGTTCTGAGCCTCTGTACGACGATGCTTTGAGCCCTGACAACCTCACGGCCCAGATCTTGGCGGCGAAGGCCAACCTCTCTGACCTCAGCATACCGGTCACGGTGTCCGAATTGGCATATGGATACCAGGAGAGGGGTGGCACTCAGAATGTGCTGGATGTCATAGACTCGATGTGAGTCCTTCTCTGTATTATTCATTCCTGTATGTCTGACTTCTTGCACGCAAAGAAACATACATATGCTTCCGCTTTTCAATTCAAATGCATCGACGGGTATGTTCTGAACGAATATCTAGAATCGGGCGTCATCGCTAATATACTAACATATTCAGCGAACGAGTCGTGGCCTATAGTCTACGGTGACCTGGAATGGTTTATCGAGCATGGCAATGGCAAGAAGATGTATTTGACGAGGTTAGTCATTGCATATAATACATTTATGGACGGAATCTAATCTATCTCTGAGCATTCAGAATGGATGGCTTTCTGAGATTGCCCTGACAAGCCAGCAGCCCAGCAGTCCAAACGCCGTCGCCGACATACCCAACGAGCAGGCATATATACCTCCCAACGTATATCTCTACGTTTAGGTTGAATTGACGTTATTCTCATCATACAGGCATACTACCAACTCTTAGACGATAAATGCAAATACCTGAAGACCGTGTCGGGGAGTGGGGTGGGGTGGTTTGCACATATCTACGACGATAACATGGAACCTGATTATGGTATCTACAACTCGTCCGGAGCCTTGAAGTTTCCATTCAGTCCCCGGACACACTGCTAGATGTTTATTGTCGCATGTTGATTTTTGGCTTTACCACACATTCTCTCGCGTTCGCTTCGTCGGTTCTCATTCAGCCCCCGCACGTCCATTATATTTATGCATTGTACCTCAACATTCCTTCCCTTACCTTATCGCATGTGATTGCTCCTCTCTTGAATATCTACTAACGGTCCACAAATTTTAGCGCGCGTTCTCCGAAGAGTCACCACGCGCTTCTGTTATCGTGGGCATTCGCCGGCGCGCAATTGCTTCGACTTCTTGTACCTGTTTTCCCTGTTGGGCACTTATCTTCTCTCCATTTGTTTGCCCCACGGATATGTATATATACCGAAAGCACGGCGAGCAGTGGAGATCCTGTCGCGGTTGTACTTGCTCCTGTGACTATCGCAGGGTCTTTGCGCTGGGCTTTGTCTGGTGAGTGAACCTGTCTATGCCGTGGACATGGAATCTCAGTCGGACTGATCATGAGACTGACTTAGAATCTTGCGGCCCATCATGACTACTCTGGCGAGTAAACCTGATTTCGAGTCTCATAATAATCCTCCTACGACGACCGTCGACGCACCCCCGGAAGTCATCATTTCAGACAATCGTCTTCATGAGCTCGGATATCAAACTGCTTTCCGGCGCGAGATGTCGCTCTTCGGAGTGTTGGGAATTTCGTTTTGTGCCATCGGAATTTTAACAGGGATGAGCAGTGCGTTTCAGACAGGACTATTCAGTGGAGGGCCCCTCGGCTTGTTTTGGGGATGGAATGTATGTTTGCCTTATTCGAACAATCGTGTCCGTACTAACTAGTTACGCCTCTCGAAAGATTTGCAGTTTCTTCATGCTTTTGATTGCCCTATGTCTGGCGGAGATTTGCAGTGCATAGTAAGCCCCGGAGTCGCCACTTTGATCGTAGAGCTGACCATTGTCTTGGCAGCCCTACTACGGGAGGATTATACTTCTGGGTGTGCAAGCTGAAGCCAGACGCACCAGTACTTGGCTGTGAGTATTCTGTCGATATCACGAATGACGAGATCACAACTGAGGAGCTTGTCTACAGACTACACTGGGTACGTATATACGATAGCAATGATTTTTACCGGCACCTCAGGCAATCTAAGGTACGATAATCACTCGAGAGTTCTCTGCTCGGATTCAATGCTGTAGCTTATCACGACCCCGGTGAACCGTGCAGTGTGGCTTTGTATCTTGCATCTCTCGCAGAAGTCGGCCAGAGTCGCATCCTCACTCGAGTGGAGATTGCTGTGATTGCGTTTGGAGTAAACATCGCGTCGGGCATCATCAACACTGTGGGAACCAAGGCAATCGGCGGCATGAGCACGTTCAATGTCTGGTGGACGCTTGGTGGTACCTTTGTGCTGGTCATTACCCTTCTGGTCAAGGCTCCCGTCAAGGTTCGTTCGAATTTTCTACCCATGATGTATAAAAGTGCTCAAACGATGTCTAGAATACTGCAGACTTTGTCTTCACAGACTTCGAGAAGTACATACACGACTTCTGAATATATTGCGCACTTTACTGACAGATTGTCTTCGAAGCTTCACAGGATGGGGGAACAAAGGTTTTGTCGTCCTCTTGGGCTTCCTTCAGGCGGTATATTCTCTAGAGGGTTGTGAAACTGCTGCACAAGTCGCAGAAGAAGCAAAGCGCGCTGAACTCCTCGCCCCTCTCGCCATCGTTTTCAGTATCGTCGGCTCGTACATCGTCGGACTCGCCTATATGCTTGCCCTTCTCTTCTCCGTCCAGTCTATCCCCTCCGTCCAAGCGACTTCATATGCCCTCCCCATCACTCAACTATACTATGACGCTGTTGGCCCAAAGCTCACACTGATGTGTCTGACTGTTGTTTGCTGCGCACAGTTCATGGCCGCAGTGACTGCGTTTACGGCGAGTTCGAGGTTGATATTTGCATTGGCAAGAGATGGCGCTGTGGGAGGTCCTGCGAGGGTCAAGTTTGAGACGCTTAACCGGTGGCAGGCTCCGTATTGGGGGATTTGGTTGTCAGTCCTGGTTGGCTGTATCATCTCGTGCGCTTACATTGGCTCAACCATTGCCGTAAGCATCTCCCTTCATCTGTTCGCATGCACAAATTGGCACCACATCTTAACATGCCGATTGCCTCCAGTTCAATGCGATACTGTCGTCTGCTGCTATCGCAGTCATGCTGAGCTACTTGGCACCCATTATCATCCGTGTTTTCTGGCCCAACTCGTAAGTTACAAAACTGTCACTCGTCATTCGCAAAGCAGCTGACGCCCCTCCCGACCAGTTTGAAAGAGCGTGGTCCGTTCACCCTAGGCCGCTGGTCGTGGATCATTAATTTCGCCAGCCTCCTTGTGAGTGTGGCCCTGGAATTCGTCTTGACCGTACTGACCGTGTTGCGATATCATAGTTCACCGTATTCATCTGTGTTCTCTTCATCTTACCGACCGCCCAGCCAGTCACTGCGGATGATATGAACTATAGTATCGCGGCCATTGGTGCTGTATTTATACTCGTTGGGTTGAGTTGGCTCTTTTGGGGACGATTCCACTTCAAGGGGCCAGTCTCAGAAATAGACCAAGGGGAAGAGGTGGTTGTCGAGGATGAGAAGGTAGAAGTACCTGTTGATCGGAAGAGCTAGGGAAGCACATTTTTTTCCTGTTATGACTGGGTGGTGATGATACGCTACGTAGCGTGATGAATATATCATTCTGGATCTACCTTCCCGACAGTGTTGAAGTGTTCGCCTGAAACACTGGGGTATTTGTCGCGTGTGCGGCGTGTGGCGAGCAGCTCGCATTTCTCGGGTCCAACAAAATGTATATTAAGACGGCGCGGGTGCAAGATGAATGTAGTACGATAGGAGCGATGCATGCAAGGGTAATTGTCCATGGGTTCGGGGAGTGGAGTCGTCGCCGTTGGTTCAGAGGTCATAATTTTGAGCGATATATGCAGGGAGAGTTGTATTGTGGATAGAGACATGCGGCGATCACATATGTCATATAGTAGACGACGAATAACAGAAGAAAGAGTAAACCAAGCATCACCGAAAAGACTGGAACAAACCACCCTTCTGGGACCTCGTCTTTGGTGCACCCGCCCTCCGTGATTTGGGAATATACGATTTCTTCGTAGAGCTGTCATCTGAATCCGATGCTTCGGAGCTGCTCTCGTCCTCGGTGTCTGAAGGTAGTTTCCTCAATTTCGGCGGGACCCTAGAGCGAGTGGAGACCACCGAGTGGACAATAGGTGTCGGTGGAGTCGGAGAGAGGAGACTGACTTCGCTGTTGGCGAGCTGTGAGAGGCGTCTGAAGGCAGGAGCGGGAGGGACCCGCGCGCGAAGTGAAGGTCTAGGGTTCTTAGGAGAAACCTGATCCTCTTCACCATCGGACGCTGAGCTCTCAGAGTCTTCCTTTTGCTGGCTCGCATATTGACTTGCGTTGGGGAACTGACTGCTACCAGGGAGGAAGAGAGGATGCCTAGCAATCAGGTTCTGTTGAGATTCGTCCAGAGCGGCTACTTGAGATACTAATGGGGCCTCCGGTGATGATGGCGGGAGTAGATCCTTTGAGGGCGAAGCAGGGACTTCTGGGGCCGAAGTATCTTCAGGGCTGCTGGGTCTAAGTTGGTCGACCAGAGATGACTCCGAGGGTTGCGATGGAGATGATTGAGGTATCGCAGCCCACTGTGCTGAGGAAGCCTGCAAAGGGTCGTCGCCTTGCTCTTTATCTTGGGCGTGCGAGATTGTAGAATGGCCGGTGGCCGATCGGGAGGCATCTTCGACATCGTTTAGAGAGGAATGCTCAGTGGCGGCCGATTTCACAGATGCGGATGGAATAGCACTGCCGTCCGACTGCTTGGGACCCTTTGCGCCAACACGACCTTTCTCCACAGTTTTTACTTTTTCAGCTTCCCTTTCCTGTTTGACCCGCTCCTTCTCCATCTTCTCGACTTCCTTCGCCGCAAGCTTCTCCTGCCTGATTCGCTCCTTCTCCTCCTTGGCCCTTTCCTTCTCCGCCGCACGACGAGCTTTCTCCTCCTCAGTGAGGCGACCTCGTCGCTTGGATGTAGCCCGAGTCACCACCGGCGTCGTGTTGCGCTCTGTTTCTGCGTCCACTTCGGGGGTGGCAGAAGTAGTCGCTGTGGTGCGCCCCTGCGAGGACGCGGGTCTCTGCGCCAGACGTCCAGATCTACGAGTGGGCCCTTGGGAGCTGGGTTCCACGGGTTCGGAACTCTGAGAAGCTTGCGAGGCAAGCACAGGGAGACTGTCTTCCAACCTCAACCCTCTGCGATCCTTCATGCGCATTGCCACACCCGCTCTTGGAGCGCTGGTACTGGGTGGAGCCCTTACACTCCATAGAGATAGGCCTTCCTCCTCCTCAATAGGATCCTCCTCCTCTGGACCGTTCTCCTTGGCGTCCATTTCATCCTCAGGGTCGATGGACTCCTGCTCCTCGTCCCGAGCTTGCTTCGGGATTTGAATGATAGGCCGTAATGGTGAGTGCTCTGATATGGGCGACGTGGATAGTTCTTGGAGTTCATCGCACTCGTGGTCTTCGACAGGATCAAGACGCTCTTCCTCGTGAATGGGGGGTGAAGTCGACTTGCCGTCCTCTGGATTGATGGCTGTGGCCTCGGATGTTGGAGACGCCATACCTATCGGTGAATTGATATTGTCCTGGCCCCTTGCCTGCTCTGCTTCCTTCGCGGTCATTTCTGGTTGCGGGCCAAGGCCTGTCTCAGGGAGACCAACGTCTTCGTGTTCTGGCTCAACCACTGGGAGAGCTTCCCCAAGGACAGGGGCGGGAGGAGGGTCGGCTTGCGAAGCTTCTGGAGAGGTTTTCCGCGGCTCTGGAACCTCCATCTCGGGAAGAGACGAGACCGAGGCAGGAGCGTCATGGTCTGGCTCGGGAGTGCTAGGCGATGCTGGCGTTGTCTCAGGCTCAAGGAAGGGGTGCGAGAGCAATGAACTACTTTCGGGCACAGGTGTGTCGATTGAAGGAGCCTTGCCCGGTATCACATCGTTGTCCGATGCGTTGAAATACTCTGGAACCTCTGGTTGCACAGCAGCAGCTTCTTCGGTAACTTGTCTACTGTGCAAGGCCACAGACTGAAGAAGAGCAGTCAGACCTATGGATCAGATAAACGAGAAGGTACGTACGGGACCGTGCGATGGCTGCCTTTCACGTCCATCCATGAAGGTAGGTGGTGTCCCTTCTTCTTCGTCCTCCTCGTTATTCGCAGCCTCCGGCTCACTCGAAGAAGACCTGACCTGCCTCCCACTGTGGGGCAAATGACGGCGACGAGCCCTGTTCGCCTTCTCGTCATCTTCCTCTTCCAGCACCACCTCTTCTTCTTCATCCTCCGAATCGCTCCCAACATCGGTAACCTCTTGTTCGAATAGCTTGTCCAAACTATCAAGAATGCTTCTTCTTGGTCGAGAAGGTTGAGGGCCACGAATGACAGCTGCAAGTTGCTCTTCCAGTTGCGATGGGTCCAACTCATCAACGTTAACTTCAGGCTCCTTCTCCTTTACACCATCCTCATCGCTACTTTCCTCCTTCTCATCCTCTTTCTCCACATCCAATCCCGACTTGCCACCCTCCTGCGCATCATCACTCTCCTCGTCGGAATCTTCATTGCTACTCCCCTCGTCCTGGGTCTCGACCGTGACCTCATCCAACTTTGCCCCAACCGGAATCAAAGGCGTCGAGACCCGGCTCCTAGGTGTATCATCCCCAGACACAGACCCACCACCACTGATCACAGATCCCGTCTCATTCACGTCCAACAACTTCAAAACCACAGGAACGTTGGCACTGACGCCCTCATTCGCACCTGCCTGATCACCACCTTTACCCCTTCCCTGTTTCGCGGCCTCCTGTACTTTTGCCTTCTCCTCTTCTCCCCTCGCCTTTACTCTGAATTCTTTCAACTCGTTGACTAGATCCGGATCCGCTAGGTCAGACTCGAGTTCAATGATCCTGAAGTCGATGGAATCAGCTCCGGCCGTGACGACGGGGCATTGAGACCGAACATGGATTGGCCGGGTGAGGCAGGCAGGGCAGACAGGATCGTTCACTTTCGTTCGTTTGGATGTGGATGGTTTCGAGTTGGGAGTGGCTGTAGTGTTGACGACCGTGGGAGGAGCAGGGGACGGAAGTGTAATAGGCGAGGCAGTGACGAGTGGAACTGCAGGGGAGGGAGAAGTTGGTGGTTCGGCGGAGTGAGCAACAGGTAGCTTTGTGCTCTTGTCAGGTGTGTTTGGCGCCAGGACTATCGGTGCAGGTTGTTCAATAGCCTCCGACTCTTTAGCGACTGGAGCAGTAGAAATGCTCGTAGCATCTTTCGTAGACTTCGGTGGTTCTGGCGACGCCTCAGAATCATCGGGCACCCAAGACACGCTAAGCCTCGACTTGCGACGCTTGTCCTTCGGTATGGGCGTCTTCGCTGGGGAGGGAGCCAGAGACAAAGCTAACTTCATAGCAGCCGAAGCGATCGTTGGGGTAGCTGGTTGTGGAGAGGTAGCTGAATGAGGTTGGGAGGCTGAAGGGGGTTTCGCCTGCGTGCTGGCCAGTATGACGCGGTTCATGGCTGCTTCGAACGCTTCGTCGTCGACGCGCGTCATAGGCCGCGTTTTCGAGGACGAGCTTCGGCGTGGCTTCGGTTTGGATGTAGCTGGAGATATTATTTAGGGACTACTGAAAGGTGATGAACATAGAGGTGGGACAAACTCACAAGATGTGGCATCGCTGGTGGTTTGAACTGCTGGAGAAGGCTCGTTTGATGCTAGTGATAGGTCTCAGACAAAGGTAGATGCCGGATGAATTTGTTTTGCGACTTACGAACGGATGGGGGAGCAGCCGGTTGGGCGGAGGCTGTTAAAGGTAAGATCAGTGCTGGGAATTTCAAGGATAACACGAGAGAAAGCTACCTGATTGTACCGCCGGAATGACAGAGACAACACTCCCACCATCAGCCGTCCCAGACTTGTCTTGTGGTTCCTTCGCTTTTTTGCCTGGTTTTGCGTTAGTGTCAGTAGGCGAATCATTCACAAGTTGTTTTGATGTTCTTACTTGACGAGTCTTCGACAGGCTCAGATGGTGGTTCAACTTGTCCAGATGGTTGAACGGACGGAGTGTCTGGATACGCAGAAACGTAAGCGAAGCAAAAGACAGCACGTTGAATATCAGTTCCTACCTGGAGCCTCAACAACTGCACTCGCTGCCTTCTTAGCATCTCTCCTTTCCTTCTTCAGCCTTTCGTGCTCCGGAATCCTCTTCCTCTTCTTCTTTTCCTTCGTGGATGTGTCGCCGGTCTCTGGAGCGGGAGAAGGAGTGGCCACAACGGCTGTCACATCTTTGGGTGGTGCATGTGAAGGTGGCGCCACACTGCCTGGAATCCGTATGGGAATACCCTGAGGTTTTTCAGATGCGCTAGAAGGGTTCAGAGCAGCTTCCACGGGAGAATCGACTGGAATGGTTGAGCGGCCATTAGGCTTTGCAGGCTTAGCAGCGTCAGTAGGAGTGGCGGTGGCGTCAGTGATAGGAGAATTGAGGGCTTCCTTCAATTTCCTATTTCTCCTCTTTTTGCGCGGACTTCTACCCGCGACCTCGGCGACTGGTGTAGAAGTAGAGAGTTCGGCGTTTAGAGGTTTCGGAGTCGAAGGGGCAGGTGACTCTGCACGTTTCCTCTTCTTGGAGATCTCAGCTTCCGAAGGTCGTGATATAAAAGGAGTAGACGAATGTGCTATTGCGTTGACAGACACGGAAGGAAGAGATGAGGTAGGATTGGTGGTGCTAGACTGCTCCATTTTAGACTTCTTCCTTTTGGACTTTTTAGAGGACTGAGACGGAGATGGATTATGGGAATTAGACGATTGAGGTTCAGCGGTCTCCGTCTGCTTCGCTATTCGCGGCGGACTAACGGCACGGGGTGAAGTCGACTCTGCAGAGGTCGCATGAGGTGTCGAAGAGAGGTCTCTATTGGGATTCTTCCTCTTCTTTTTCTTCTCCTTCGAGATAGCCAATTCTGCATCAGTGTCGTTAGTTGTCGTAGGAGTGTCCTCGGGAGATGGCGCTTCATCGAAGGCAACTTTGCGCTTTTTCTTTCTCGGTTCAGCAACCTCGATGTCTTTTGAAACGGTGAGATCCTGGGCAAGAACTTCTTTGGTTCGTGAAGAAGAGGAAACGGGTTTAGAGTTTGATGCAATCGGAGAGGGTTCGGGAGAGGATGGACGTTCGCGTTTCCTGTCCTTCCTCTGCTCGAGAGCCTATGCTTATATTGAGAAGGATACAGAAGTCTAACTATTGTGAACTTACCGGTGCGCCGATCTCCGTAGCATTTGTTGAAGGTGTAGGCCCCGCAGACGGTAGATTGACCGGATCCCGCCCTTCGATATTCACCATGACATCAACGTGAGATGTAGTATGTGCGAGCGCACGAAAGGCATCAAAGTCATCGTCTAAGAAGTGATGGAGAGGGGATCATTAGAAACATTAAGGTTTTATAGGAAGGAAGACGCACCATCCTCTAAGTCAATTTTTGTGTTCGCTCGAAGTTGCACAAGTTCAATCGACACCTTAGCATCAAGACCAAGCTTCTTCCTCACGACATCCTTCGTAGCATCCAAAGACTTCTCTAAGTTGTGATGGTATAGCATCAATCAAACGTTACACGCATTACACGCAGAAAGCACGCACCTTTGAACAGACGATCAAACGTCCTGTCTGGAGTATGGTAAGTTATTCGAGGCCTCTCGATATCCCGCTTTTTCGACTTGCTGCTGGAGCTGTCGTCCATCTCCAGGGTCGACAACACAGGACACCCAAGTGTTGGGCGAGACAGAGGTGGTGGTAAGTAAAAGCTAAGGTGGTCAACTTGTTAATTGACGGAGGACGGAAGAAGAATTTGTGGGCGCCGTCCGGTCGGCCCGCCTCCGACGCGCTCCCGGTTCGTAGGCGACGGTGAGCAGGCGTTCTCTTTCATCAGCTTCGACAACCATGGCGGGCCACGGCACATACAGTATGTTTGAGTTCTCTCTGGCTCAAATATCTGTTAACTCCTTCTTTTAGATCCTGAATTTAAACCTCACTTGCCGGGTTTCAGATACAACTTCCTTGCCAAAACCCTCGGAGCGACGATGTGGTTCTTCATCTTCTACCGCGCCAGGTGCGTTTACCGCGTATTCGTACTGTTGTGCTCTTCTAACTGGACTCCATTTGGTGATAGACAAGATGGTGCAAAGCTATTGGTGCGCTTCACTATGCCTTGGCCGTATTATAGTTCTGACTCTGACTATGGATGCGTCTATGATGTAGGGTGCACACCCATGGGAGGCGCATGGTCATGGACATGGACATGGAGAGGAGTCTCATCATTGATTGTCGTATGCAACATAATAGAGGATATCTTGAGACATACTACAGAAATGAACTTTGGCGGTACGCTCTCTTGCACGGTTGCGTTCGGAATGGAGCTTTCTGCGCCAACAACATTCAAAGCTCGGCCTCTCAAACCAGTGATGAAGCTGTCGCCCTTTCTGGTGAAACGCCCTACCCGATTCCGTTCGTCCACGTCCGAGACTATCTCGCACCAGTTCAACACACCTCCCACACACGACGGCTGATACTTAGAACGACTCCGAATCCTTTGCGCGCGGAACGAAGATATACCCGCACACTCTTGGACTTGGTAACAAATTCAATGAGTTCTGTAGGGTGAACCTTGTCATCTCATTGGTCGGAAGCTCATACTGGTGGACCTGTTCACGAGTTCGGAGTGTGTACTGGGAAAGGTGAAATCATGAGGCGGCTACAGTGGTGGATGTACAATGGGTCTTTCTGAGATAGCCAGTAGTTTCACGCACCTGTGCAATTACCCATTGTACTTCCCATCGGGTCTGCATACCCATACGTAGGCCCGGTACGTGCTGTGTACGACGTGTGCGTAGAGAAATAGCGGGCCACAGTGGCGAGAGTCAAATGTGCTGACAGGCTCACGGAACGACCCCAATGAAATTGGCATGATTGGCGCGGCCAGAAAGCCGAGCGACGCGTGCGATCGCCATCAACACTGGTGTACCCATCGGCGACTGCTGGCAAAGTCGTCCAAAGTCGTCCATACTCTCTTTCTTCCATACCACCACCATGTCCACCCTCAGGAAGTCGACGGCAGTAACGAGAGCACTGGCTCGCTCGTATGCTACTTTGCATAGTGCCCCCGCGAGTGGTAAGAGGTATACATGCATCCTAGTCGCGTTATATACTTGCGTAACTAATGCGGTTCTATATTTGAAGCCCAACAGGTATGTCGTGTTCGAGCGGAAATTATATTCGAAATGTTCATGGTCGTTCGTCCACACGTCCGAAGCTATCGTTATGTTGAACATGGGTGGCCCATCCACCGTAAGTGCCACATGGCCTACTTGGATTGCATGCCACTCATGAAGTAACCTCTAACAGGTAACAGAAACTGGAGACTTCCTCAAAAATCTTTTCTTGGACGGCGACCTCATACCCCTTCCTTTCCAAAAGTATGCAGCTCCTATCATCGCCAAACGTCGAACGCCCTCCATCGAAGAACAATACACTGCCATTGGCGGCGGCTCTCCCATTCTTCGTTACACAGAATACCAAGGCAAAGGAATGACTGCACTGTTGGACGAGCTACATCCCGAAACTGCACCACACAAAAACTATACTGCCTTCCGATACGCGAACCCCCTGACGGAGTTGACGGCGAAGAGGATGAAGGAGGACGGTGTGAAGAGGGCAGTCGCGTTCACGCAGTATCCGCAGTACAGTTGCAGTACGACGGGAAGTAGCTTGAACGAGATATTCAGGAAGGGAGCACCGAGTGGGAGTCTACTGGAAGGGATCGAATGGAGTGTCATCGACCGGTGGGGAACGCATCCTGGGTTCATCGAGGTCCGTGTCTTTTGGCCATACTACCTCCGATTCCAACTCATCTGGCTTGTAACTTGTTGTCACAGGCCGTAGCTCAAAATATCGAAGCAGCACTACAGAAATTTCCCGAAGCCACTCGGTCGGACACCATTCTCCTCTTCTCAGCACATTCCCTTCCCATGTCCGTCGTGAACCGTGGGGACCCATACATCCTCGAAGTCTCCGCCACCGTCTCCGCCGTTATGGACCGCTTGGGTAACTCGAATCCGTATCGACTGGTATGGCAGAGTCAGGTTGGACCGTCGGCGTGGATGGGAATGCAGACCGGGGACGCTCTGAAAGGTCTGGCAAGGTTGGGAAAGAAGCAGGTGGTCATTGTGCCCATCGCCTTTACTAGTGATCATATCGAGACGCTATACGAAATTGATCTCGAGTACGCCAAGGAGGGTAGGGAGGTCAGTTGCTTCGTACTTTTCTATCTATTGTCGGCCATCCGCGCAATTGCAGTCCACTTATTTTCTTCTATCATTTCTAGCTTGGTATGGACGTCCACCGTGCAGAGTCACTGAACGAGTCGCCCGTGTTCATCCGAGCGCTCGCAGACATCGCCGCCAAACATCTCAAAGACTACTCTGCGGGCAAGGGCCCGACAAGCATCCAGTTGAGTCTGCGGTGTCCAGGTTGCACCAATTCAGTGTGTGCGCAGCAAAAGTCGTGGTTCGCCAAGGGAGGAAGGTAATTTATGTGTTTCGTCTGGGAAGGGGTAGACTGGATAGGTCGTCCCTCTGCTATCCTGTTTCTGTTAGATGATCTGTTATTCCATTATACTTATCTTGTTCAGGACTATTTACGTCGAGTCTGTTTGTACCGTCGAAGACCGTTATGAAAAACAACTGCTCCCCTCACCTTCTCTCGACAGAGCCACAGATACGGCGCTACTCTGAAGATCGTTCTACGGCAAACCCCGTGAATCAAACGCCGCTTGAGGTGGCGGATGATTTTCAATCTTTAGCTCATCCGTTCCACACCAGTCTGTTGCAACAGAACTACCCCAATATCCGAAGCCAGGGTGTCTGTTCTGACTTGTTTTTTGATCATACGCAGCTAATGTCCACTGCTTTGTTGGTGACCACATGAGGAAACTCCGACGTTGAACGGTTTGGTCAAGTTGACTCGCACGCTGGTCTTGCCAGCAAGGAGATGAGAGTACTACCATCGGCTACATCGGATGGTTGGTTTGAAGTTGTTTCCCGTTGGTTGTTGCCGGTCTCTCCGCTAGACTGGCAACTGCTTTAAATTAACCTGACGCTCTAGTCAAGATGGAGTTCTCGGATGCTCGTTGACAGTCAGCCCTGCGAAACTAATTTCTGACAGGCTTGTCTCGGGACATGCAAGTCTTCCGCAACGCCCCCTATAACAGCTGCCCTGCGTCATATCTGTAGGTTTCACTGTTTCCACCTTCTATCTTTCTCTTCGTCTGCATACTTATCAACCCTCACGTCCTTCTCTCTGTGTGATACTTACACCCTCGATGAATTTCGATACATTGACTGGTATCATGTATTCCGTCCAAAGCGTAATATTCGGAGACTATGGGCCGGAAAATGCTATCGCAACACAATGTGTATGCTTTCCCAAGTCTCTTAACTTAGAAGAAGTAAACTGACAGATATTTGTCTCTTCAAAGACCACTTCTACACCTAAGCATATCTCTACTCAACACCCCTTCCCCTTCCCCACATCGCTGTCTCCATCTGTCACGTCGCCCAACGTTACAACAACCTGTTCCCCTCGACAAAACTCAATCGCGGGCCCTAGTAATATCTCAGACGACAGTCGCAGCAGCGAGCGCCGGCGCCACACAGTGTCTGCAGGTTCGCGTGGTTCACCCCCAACATACGGACAAACTATGGCCCGCGATATGTTCACTTCCTCCCGACCATCCATTGTCTCGCCGAATCTTCCGCCACCAGTCTACCCCTCAGATGCAGGACCGCTCCAGCCATCTGCAATCGCGCCGAGTCCATCTTGCAGCATCCTTCCCATTTCACCCACAAGTAACTTGGTTCGGTACACACCTCCTTCGGAAGGTCATGCCATCCCCAATTCTCCCTCCCAAATGGAGCCCGGATCATCTTCATCTATAACAGTACTACATATATTTTCCCAAGACGCTGCGAACGACATTGCAGAAACCAGCGTATCAGTCGACCTCTCCGTACTTCAAAGCCTCAGCACGAGCCAATCAGCCACATTTAATACCGCCTCTCGTCCCCGCCTCCCCCTCGACCGCGGTTTCTCCGACGACACGGTTATCGCACTCGAAGCCTACTACCCCGATGCTCCCGACAGCGTAAGGAGGAGAATGAGCACAGGATATGCCAATTATCCTGGCAGTTATGGTGGTTATGGCGGGATGAGCGAGAGCCAGTCGAGGCGTACAGTTCCATTCGATGAGGAAGATGGAGATCCGGAGTTGCCGACATACGTGGAGGAGGATAAGCTGGCTTCGTCGAGGATGGTCCAGCTTCTTCAGGATTTTGGGACAGAAGGGAGGGCGGAGTCGACGCTCAGAGAGAGCCAGAGCTTGCAGTAGGTAGAGGGAGCAAGCGATACGGCGGGTTTTGACGGTTGGATGAGGCTGTTTTGCATCATATATTCAATGGAGAATTGACCCGCATTAACTTCGCACCTATAACTTGCCATCCTGTGTTTCTGTAGAGTAGTCCCAGCCGCAGTGCTTCATCTTTGATTTTGCTTGTAATATCTGTAAAAATTGTGTACTTATAGATAATCCGTCGCGAGCGCTCCCAACTGCAGTCAGCGCAGCTTGGAGTATGAGGGGAATGCAAAAAGTTGATTAAGGAGGAACATGAATATAAAATGGACATGAATCCATCGTAAGCAGTCCTTGGTCCACTCCTACATGCCCCAAAGCCATCCGCCATTGGAGCGCATACTTCAACAACCTCTCGAAGAATCCTGAGACGCCATGGATTGTTCACTCCCTCTTATGACCACCGGCTACACCACCGGTCAAAACGCTCGGCAGGTCCTGGCTTCCGATTCCGTACAATAAACCGATGGACCCGCCAACCATGACGAGCAATGCGATGACAGTTCCGGTCAGGAGCACGAAAGATCTATATCAGGTTGACGAAGTTAGCATACGATCAGAGTAACATGCAGGGAACATCGCCATAACGGGGAGAAAGAGGGACTCACTCGCTGACGTCCTTCCTCTCACAGCTCTGACCGGCCCAGTTCTCCGTCCTGCCCTTGTCGTCCTGTGTCCTCACACACGAACAGACATAACACGTCCTTCCGGCCTTCAACACACCAACGCACTCTCCCCTTCCGGAGCAAGCGCTCGTCCCGTTAGAGCACGAATCCGCTGTAGTAAAGCAGCCTGAGATAGACTCTTGAGCAGCCCTGAAGCTAGGTGCCATGGCGGGTGATTGTGATTGCCTCCTCTGCATCCCGGCGGGTGGCTCCTCGGTCGTAGGAGGAGGGGCAGTGAGCAAGACGAGGTGGAGGTCGTCCTTGGTCATGATGCTTTCCATGGTTGCCTTCAACGTGGAAACAGCCAGGGTGTATTGCTCGCTGTCCTTTCCATACTCTTCCTTGATAGCCCTCAAACCCTCGATCTCGAACGCGCCGAATTTAGTCGTGTCGGCTGGTAAGGGAGTCTCGAGGAAGTCAATGAGAGCGGACGCTTCGGTAAGGAATTTGTCGGTGGAGACTGAGGAGAGGGAGAAGATGTCGAGGAGGCGGGGAATGGTGTATGATGGAGAGTCGGGCGAGGGGAGGGTGAATGTCTCAGAGTAGACTTCATGCGCTCGGGAAAGCGAGGTTTGGAACATGGAAGCGAAGGCACTGGATGGTGGCGAGGGTATCATGTTAATTGAGGGTTTGAAGTCTTGCGGAATGACATCTAGACAAAGTTGAGTTCGAGACGTTAGCAATTCGTCTCTATCGACTGCAGGTAAACAACGCACCTCGGGCATCGTCCTCGTCTACCCTCAGCAGCAATGAGCTCTTTATCCCACTACCTACAAAGCCTCCATGATGGGAGAAGTATTTGGTGAGGATTTGGGTGTCCTTCGCTGGTTCAAACTCTTCGAGCTGGAGGTGGTAGGCAATCACAGAGCTGGCATGTGCAGGTGGAATACCATTCGGAAGAGACTTTGGTCTGGGATAAATGTAAACCTGGGCGGCATTCGCGACCGCAACGAGACAGAACGAGAGGTAGAGGCCGCGCATAGCTGGCGTTGAATTGAGTTGCTGCTAGACGCTCACCGGGGAGACGAGCCACCAAGTCGACGCGTGTTGGATGCGGTATGTTCTTCTCACGAACCATCTTGAGCACATCTCATGTTTTCGCGCACAAACAGCACCGATCGGGAATGGCATTGCCTCAAGACACAACTTTTCCGAGCTCACTACAGCCTCATGAGTAGCACAGAACCCATAGGGATCAGTGTTATGGCTGTGGTTGAGTTCAAGAGTGTTTAGGCCTGCTGGACACCAACTCATCCTTATTATCCAGTCGAGCAACTAGTGAGACCTTCCGAAAGCTGAAAGAGCAGGACCTTCGCAATAGTGAAGACACTGATATTCGGAAATAACTAATTCATGTTACTGGCTCGAAGCGGCTCGAGGGATGACGACAAACAGAGTCAGAGAGAAGGCACAAACTTGAAGTGACGCCACATGCGAAGTCGGCATTAAAAACAAAATCAACGCTAAGGTATGAGAAGATTCACAGCAAAAAGAAGTATAGGGTACAACAAGAGAACATCTGACGAAGGTATAATAAAGTCCGCGAAGATTCATAGCGTGTCGTGCAGCCGTGAGGGATAGATGAAGCCTTCAGCCACCGTGCCTACCGAGGCCACGAGTGCTCTTCGTCACTGAAGCAGCCTCCTTCTGCTTCGCCTTCGCGCGTCGTGCCCTACACACAAAGAACAGTCAGCGCTGCGTATCACACAAAATATTGTAAAAAGAATGACTTACTCCTCCAACGCCTCCCTCTCGAGGAATTGCGCGTGGTCTCTCGCAGCCTTCACCGCGTTCTTCGCCGCAATCAAAGCTGCGTCCGCCTGCCTCTCCGCCGCCTCCGCATCTTTGATTTTTTGTCTTGCGCCCTTGATACTGGGATCAGAGCCGAGGGCCTCCTCTTCGCTGTGGTTTCTGCGGGCAAAGAAGCTGCTCTTGCCCGTACCGTTACTCTGGGTGGTGTTGCTCCGGTCGAGGTCGCTGGAGCCGCGGCTGCTGCGAGAGAACATGGAGGACTTGTGTTGAGGCTCGACGGGAGCAGGCTCCTCTTGCTTGGTTCCGAAAAGAGGCATGATAGTTTACTGCTGGGACGATTCAGGGAAACAGTAAGCACACGAGTGTATGGCAGGGAGTCGAGACAGGCGTACCTTTTAGAGTAAAGAAATAGAGGGAGGTTTGGGTTCCTGGCGGTACGAGGAGAGTGTGGAGGTGGGTCTTTCTAGAGTGCGATGAAAGTTGTACGCTTCCCAGGCGTGTTCTTTATATACGCTGGGGAGGGCTGAGGGGAGGAGCAAGGGTTGATTGACTGATTGACGTCAGTGGGGCCTAATCTTGGGAGCCACTCTTTGCGCGCTCGTCGCAAATGGTAACCATCCAGGAAACATGTACCGCGCAGCCTGTCTCGCGCGGGACGAGCCAGGAAAGTGTTTGGAAGGACAGCGTACCTGATCTTCGGTGGTCAGTGGAGCGCAGGGGAATGTTACAGCTCACTGATATGCCAGTTATAGATGGCAGGTGCGGTGCGAGTAAAAGAGAGCTCGTTGTCGTCATAGCTGCAAGCTCACATGTTCACGATACTAGAGTACCGGGGATGCGTAGATGCTGTGTTCGTGTATTGCACCCTCGAGTCGATCCAAACGCGATCAACATGTTCAGTGGGCGTGGTGGAACATTCGATTTTGTCTAGCGCCAAGACCGTGAGCTTGTACAAATGTCATGAACGGTCCTGAGCTGTATTTAACAGCTCTAGAGCACGACCAGGCATCGCGCATTTGAAGTCCAGAATAACACACAGCACCGCACTCCATTCCGCCAAAAGAGGAGAAAAATCGAGATCACTCATCAAGGTTGATTGCCTTCCCGAACTTAGCGTACAACGACACCTTAAGCTCCTTCATCCCTTTCTCGCACTCTTCCTTCTTCTCCTCCAGACCCGATAACTCCTTGTCCAGAACTGACTGATCGTGCAGGAGGCGTTTTGTGGCCCGAGAGTGTGGCATATGCAGAAACGTTTCGCCGACTTTGTATCTAGAAAACGAAGAAACAAGATGGCTATGAGAACCGTGAAAAGCGATCGAAAGTGGATCGAAAGTGCTGGAGGTAGATGGCATGACGCGGTGAAAAGCAATACGCGGAGGAACGTACAGGACAGGTTGGTCTTCATCTGCGAGCTCAAGCTCCATCGACAAGTCATCTAGTGCCTCCTTCTCTTGCTATTCGCGGAGTATCCATAGTCATCGATGAAGAGCATCACATTTGAGAGATTCAATCAGCCATTGTGTCGTATACAATTCCAGGCATGGTGCACACCTTGAGTTCATCCCTCCGCTCCTCGATCACTCTAACCCTCGCGTTTAACTTTGAGAATGTGTTTATACGCTGCTGGTCCTCTAGAATGCAATGGGTTAGCTGAAATGTACCGATCCAAAGTATACATACAACGCAGATCTATTCTCGAACAACAGGTGGAGGACGTACCCCATGTAACATCGATATCATCATCCGTTTCTTCCTCCTGCGCGAGCTGCATGACACACAAACCATGGCGTAAGGGCCGGGTATAGACAGCAGATATCGTAGATAAGATCCGAAGACGTTCAGCGTACCATACGCATGTTGTTCATGATAGTTCAATGACCGTGTTCGTAAAGAGGCGCGAAATACTAGTCGGCGGGAGTGAGTTCAAATCAGATATGCAAGAAAGACCGAACAAACCACAACTAAGAGGGGTTAGTCTCCTTGTACTAGAGACACAGTGTGAGCACGAAGGTAAAAAGTACGCGTCAACGGTGAAAGTTCAGAGCAAGGAGAACACGGTCATGATCAGACGCGATTTCAATTTCCTCACGCTCAATTCTGAGTGGCGTCACGGGTTAATTTACGTTGTGGCCCATATACTTATTCCAGTCTCCGGAGTTCTTATGATCAAGAGATATGTCTTCATGCAATAGATACACGCACGACTACCGTGACTTGGTTACAATAAAAGGCACTGCGGCTGTTGTCTTAACTAATAGATACATGGTGTGCCGTGATAGATGGGCCCTACTTAGTTGGCAGTCGCAGCAAACCAAAGGAACTGCAGTATTTGTACAGTCAGACACTATGGAAGCGCTAGCCTGAGTTGCTCAATCTGCGAGTAGAAACAAAGGAATCAGTCCACGCGAAGACACTTCCTCAGCCGTAAAAGCATAATCCCAAAGACTCACCCAATCCTCCCCCCAATCCTCCTTTTCCTGCGCCAACCTCGCATTCTCCTTACTCGGCAAAACAATCGTCGTAAAATCCACCATCTTCTTCTCATTCTCCATCAACAACAACCGCGCCAATCCCAACCCGCCCTTCTTCCTCATAAACTCCGAATTCTGCCTCGCGTTCTCCAGCATCTGTAGGCCCTGCGGCCCCTGTGCGCCCAGCATGTCGCGTGCTTCGGCGTCGGTGAGCGTGAACCCGTTGTGGACTGTGTATTTTGCGCGGGCGGGTTGTGTTGCGTGGTCGGGTTTGAGGGTTAGGGCGATGAAGATGAGGTTTGTGGTGGCTGCGGTGGGGTTGTGGCCTAGGTCGAGAGCGCAGATGAAGGCGTGGCGGAGGAGGTCGACGTTGGTGGAATGCCTGTAATATGCATGTGAGTCAATAAAAAAAACCTAGATGAAAACAATGCGTCGAAGTGGGATGTAGATGACACAGACCATTTCTTGAAGACAGCGATTTGCTGAGCTAGTTCAGGTTTACCCTCCAGCTGTTTCTTCGATTCGACAGCACTTTTACAGGGACCCTGTGTAAAAATACATACGCATCGAGGAGAGTAGTTAGGGACACGACGCGCATTAAATAAAAACAGAAAACAGACCTTATGATGAGGCCAGCTGGCGACCTGGCATTCCTTGCTCTGTGGCGTATAACAAACATCCCATTCAAGTCAACGAGCTGCATTGGGAGAGTATACACCTCCATGCCAAGACTCAATACCTACACAATAAATGACCTTTAACGTGCAAAAACCCAATACATTCATCAGTTCGTCAAAGCTATCAAGGACCACCTCACTCCAAACCGTCGAAACGCACCTCCTTACATTTCGCACAAGCCTGAAAGGGCTTCACCCCAGGCTCTTGCTTCTTCGCGCACCAATGACAAATTTTGAGCGTCCGAGACTGACCTTTCCATTTCGGATCTTTCTGTTGTTCGTCCTCCTTTGGTGTAGATGTGGGGTTCGTGTCTGTACTGGTGGACATGGTGGTGGTCCCGAAGGATGTTGCGCCAATTGTGCGACGGCGAATTTGGCGTGTGATGTCACGCGTCTGAGTGGCGAAGAGTGGCGGTGGCGGAAGGCGCTCACTGCTCAACATTCGCTCGTAGCAAGTGAAAGAGAGGCAATATGTGTGCAATATACATTGAGGGCTGACTGTGTGTTTATTAAATCGTTTATGAAGGGCACTACAATATACATACAAGACAAGAGAGTAACCTAAAATGGACACCGTAACAAGTGGACAAGGTTCGCGGTCACCCATGGAAAACGACGAGTAGAATGAAGATAAAGAGGTGCATCGGGGCCCGTTAGCTCCGTTTGAGCCAATGCGATTGACACGAAGTACCTGCTCGTGGGAAAACTATACATACGTACCACATCGCGAGTTCGACGTGGGTATCACAGAAGTCCCAATGGTGAACAACCTGAAAGAACCGTTCGGTTATAATCCGGATGAGCAGCCACTAGCACCCGCTACTCAGGCACTCAACCAGGGACACCGTGACCGTAGGATCAACACCATCGGCATCGCTTAGCCAGCAGTATCCGTGGGTGGCTGTGGAAGTAAGAGCCAGAAGGAGAGCCAAAATCGGAATCGAAGAGCTCTATCAGAACGCGAGGCATGTGCAGCAAAGGCTTGGGGGTAAGTATAGAACGCGGAGTACTTAAGATGCTGCCACATAAATCGCGGTATTGCGGCGTAGAGTGAGAGAAAAGCTTGAGGCTGCTGGTCTCTGGACGGTCAATGAGATAAGTGACATGAGCTTCGAGGAAAATGTCCAGTTTATACATAGCTTCAGATGTCCCGATTGGGGTACAAGGAGAACGTCCTGCGATCTTCGGCCAGCCTTCCGAAGCATACGGGCGTCCGTTGGCAGAGACTAGATAGTAGTGAAGTTCCTTAGATGAAGCCACAAAATGCAGGATTACTCGGGTGGCTGCACTCAGAACCGAGAACAGAGTGGAAAGAAAAGCAAGCAAAAAATTCACTGAAATCGAGTTGGAGAAGCTGAAGGTCAGGAGAACGGCGCTGCCAGGGGAAATCAGGGCGAGCGAGCTGTCGGCGACGGTGAGAGCTTGTTGTGCGAGTTGGGGACGAGCACGCTGGGCTGAGTCAAGTGATGGGGCGGGGACCGTGACAAATTGAATAATAAAGGGACGGCCACACACGGCGCCTTTCGTTTTTATCTTCAACTCGCTCGGCCACAGCGGGCCCCAGCCGCCGCCAGCCCCCACCGCATCCTCGTCGCCGCGCTCGATGTCATTGTCGCCGTCCACAACAGTGTCGAATTACGGTGAACCACAGTTTAAGAGACAGAAAACGATCTCCACGAATTTGAACCCCGTCCCCGTCGAGATGTCGAACCAGAGCGCGCCGGCGGGCCTGCCTCCCGCGATGAACATCCCCAAGAGAGGAGCGCGGGCCTGCACTGCATGTCGGAAGGGAAAGAACAGGTGTGAGGGAGAGGTCAGTTCGTCGATTCTCCAAATCCACTCCAACGAGCCGCCAGCCGTACGCGTCCCGCTCACCCCGCCTCCCCCTCCTGGCCCGTCATACCGCCCCGGCCCGGCTTGCTATTACCCCACAGGCTCCCTGTCGTCGCTGCCAGCTGAGCGGAACCCCCTGCGTCTTCGAAAAACCAGAGAAGAAAAATGGCCAGTTCGTCACTGGGCCCAGCGTCGAGTACGTCTACCCATTGTCGCACGAATTCTACCACGACATCCCTGACGACCCAGACAGGAGGCTCAACCGACTCGAAGGTCAATATGTCGTACGTCTTCTTCAGACTCCTGTGACACTGATCCCCAATGACCATGAGGGTCTGCGCAGGTCATGCAAAGCCAGATGATCGGCATGCAGAACACACTGGACCGTATTCTTGCTGCCGTACAGGGTCCTCCACCACCCATGGGTGTCATGCAACCTCCCCAGTATCCTCCTATGCGAGACGGACCAGGCTATGTAAGCAATCTTTCAGATACTCGTACTCCTTTCGAAGGTGGACCTTCCCCGGATGACCGTGGTCAGAAGACATTTCCTCCATTGCCGGGGTTTGCACCACCAGTAAGTCTCTCACAACCATCTTCCAACCATTCTCCAAACTGACCGTCTTCCCGCGCATCAGCCACACAAGTACGCAACCTACGGTATCGTACCTAGCACAGCACCATCCTCGGATGATGAATCGGAAGACACATTGCCTCGCTCGACTTTGAATGCACCTATCGAGGCTCTTCAGGGGCTTGCGAACGCAGCTGCAGAGGCCGCATCCGTACCTTCGTTTGCGCCAAGGTCAGTCGCCATATTATATTCACGCTCCGGGCTGTAGCTGAAGTTTATCTGCAGAGTGAAGAAGCGCAAGCGGGCGGAGCCGATCCCCCGGAACGCTTTCCCAGATGTGGTGGAGAAGGTACGCAAACAGTGGTATACCTTCTAGCTCACATATCAATAAATGTTGCATTGTAGGGCTTAGTGCTAGACTCAGAAGCCAGAGAGCTATTCCACATGTAAGCTCCAGGTCCAGCGAATCTTTCATCGGCTAATCCTCGTGTCCTTCATTCAGTTTCTTTTCCGGGTGTCATCTCTTCATCCCTCTGTTCGATCCGTCGTACGACACATACGAAGGTTTGCGAGAACGCTCCCCGTGGACCTTCGATGCCATCCTTGCTGTGGCCGGTAAGATCAGAGCGGGAAATAATGCTCCAGGCCCTACTTTCTACAAAGCCCTCGAAGAGGCCCAAGGGATCGCTCGGTCCTCTCTGTTCGGACCTGTTGTCAGGAAAGAAGCCGTTCAAGGCAAGTCTCGTCTGTGAGACTACACCATGCATCGGTTGACTCACCATCCCTTGTTTTGTTAGGTATGCTTTTGTTGGCTGCTTGGAGCACGAACGGATGGCTGCCCAGTGGCCATGCCATGCGTATGGCCCTCGATCTTGGACTCCATCGTGCCCTCGAAAAGCTAGCGGACGACGGAGGCAAGAACCGTTCCGAGGAAGAAGAGCGCGATCTAGTCGTTTCTTCTCGGATCTGGCTTTGTCTGTACTGGTTCGATCACCAGTACGTTATTTCTATTGTTTCACAGGTCAAACCACATGCCTGACCTCTGGTTTCGTAACTGTAAGGATGAGTCTCGGAACTGGCAGACCGATCGTTTTGCGTGACGAGAACTCGATCAGGCATTGTCGGATCTTGTTGAACCATCCACTGGCGTCACCGACAGACGTGCGGCTCATCGCACAGGTCGAGCTTATTGCACAGAAAAGTGAGTATTGGCCCTTCATACTCGTTGACCTCTAGGACAAGACTGATGCTATCGAACTACTCTAGCTCAAATCCATGAGACACTGTCGCCCCTGGGTGGCCAAGTGAACCATAATACGCTCGCGTTCATCCGTCGCGCGAATGTGGCGCTCGATAAGTGGTGGCAGGATTGTGACGAGTTGCACCGTACGTTCGCAGGGTCTATGTTCGTTTCGTGTGTTTCATTACTGATTGTGATCTTTTACGATAGACCAAACCATGGACTCGGACTCGCTTCTCCGCAAGATCCTCGCCGGCGAACTTCACTATGCTAAGCTCTGGCTTGTCTGTGTGGCCCTTCGCGGTGTCGCTTGGGATAAGATGCCATTTGAACAGCGCGAGCTTGCGTTCCAGGCTAAGGACGCGGCTATGAATTGTCTTTCCGCGTTGCTCACCTCCAACGAATACAGGTGGGTGTCAGCGCCACTTTGCCTTCGAGGCGGATCTCACTGAACTTTTGGCTACTTGTTTCATAGAGCGGCGCTTCGCTATGCGGTTCACGATAGTCTCGTCACCGCGGCTTTCTCTGGTCTGTTCTTGTTGAAGATGGGGAACTTATTCCCTTCGGAACTTGACTTGGGAGCGATCACGGCCCAGGTCGAGCAGCTTGCCCAACTCCTGTCGGACGTCGCAGCCGAAAGGTATGTCCCTCACTCTCCCTCTGGTTTACTTCTTTAAACTTAGCTATTACCTTTTCTTCTTAGGTATGCCCTCACCCTGCGCATAATGCTCGCCAATCTCCGCCGCAAAGTCGGAATGTCCACAGGCGCGCCTCCTACCCCCGTCCCCGGCATGCACAACGGTGGTCCAAATGGTCCGGAACCCATGGTCCTCTCGTCGCAGTTCGTCGAGCAGGGGCCTGGCGGTGTGCCAGGAGGCGTTCCTCCGCCGCCGCCGTTCACCATGGAGGAGCTTGGGCTGCCGTGGCCCGGGAATCCGGTGGCGAACTTCAGTCCGAGCGATATCCCGGTTTGGTTGCAAGAGCAGGTACGTCGCTTTCCTCATCCTCCCTTGCGCTCCCCGCCGTATGTGCTAATGGGCCCTTCTTATCGATGCGTTCGTAGAACCTCACTGATTTGGGACTTCCGCTGAATGGGCTTGACGGGATCTTCATGAACTTGAACCGGGCGAGCGGCTGGCCGGGCGAATTCGCTCCGATGCCTGAGGCGTGGTGACCTTTGTTTGTGCTCCCTCGTTCCGAACGGTCTTGTGCTAATGTATAGTCTTTCTTCTTTCTTTTGATTTTTCCGCTCGGTGTACTGTACCCGTTTTTCGCTTTTCGCGCCGCCGCCTTTTGGGTGGATGTAGGTTAAATGAAGTGGTGATCGCGACTTCGTGAATCGGATGAGGCTGGTATGGATGTGGTATGGTATGGTCAGGTTGAGAGTGGTTGGGTTTGGATGAGTGTGTTATGTGTATGAATGTCGGGTCTTCGGGCGTATGTATATACTTACGTGCATTTGTATGGTTCTCGTTTGATTTCGTTCCTTGGTTCTGGTCTATATCTTGTTGGTATTCCGGAATCCTTCCTATGCATCTCCAGCCTCGTCGCAATAGGTCGCTTTGTTCCACGTATGGTGTCGTTGCAGCACTGCACGATTTCTTGGTCTCGGAGTCCGTTCGTAATATAATCAATTCCCTCAGCGTTTTGTCATGTTCTGATATATTGACTTCCATTCAGGTATTCCATGTCGATATGTTGGTTGTTCAGTGTTTATTATGAATCCATGTCTTTCTTGATTTATTGTTGTTGGACCGACGCCTGGTGCAAGTTGTGTGCTTAGACGCGAGGAAAGGTAGCCATTAGTTGGCCGTGATTATGCAAAATGCAGCGTAAATAGGTACAGGCTACATGGGTAAACCGAAGGCGGATAGCATGGAGAATACAAGGCATAGTCAGGAGATGAGAGTGCATAACGATATAGTATTACGTGGGAGATCTACGAGCTCTCCAGCGCGTGGTGAAGAGTGAGCTCAGGAATCGGAACGGTCTTTTCGCGCGTTGCGACAGTGAACTTATATGGCCTTGAGAACCAGTCTCGACTGTTGGTCAGATCATGAAGAATATTAGAAGGAGCTCGAGACTGTCAGTGTAGTGGATGCGCACGAGCTTTGTCGCCGTCTGATGGTTCGGTTTTGCAACGACGAGGACCGATACAGATCAACCGAGAGGCAAGCGAAAGCGGCCATAGCCCTGGGACACCAAGCGTCAGCGGGGCCCGCGATGAGTCTGTAAAAGAGTGTGTGCGTACCTATGGGCTTCTTAGGTTCGGGGCTGGTGGCAGGTTTGGAGGGCTGAGACAACGACGCAAGTCGCTCCTGCTCCAGCTCCTTGAAACGTGCTTCAGCACGAGCCTGCGAATCCAATCGTATCCTGACGAGTCTTAGGGTTCAGTGAATGGCAAATGATCAGAGGCGAAATTTGAGACGCACTTCGTCAAAGCCGCGATTTCTTCGAACAGGAAACGTGGATCGGTCACCGCTTCTACCTTCGATAAGTCATACTCCGGTCTCCCTGTTATAGGTATGATCTGGGCCTCCGGGGTGTTCCCGTCGAACATGGCTCGGAGGAAGACGTTGTTGACGGCGTCGACTTCGGAGTTGGCGGATTCCTCGCTCTCGGCGTCGCTGTGGACGGAAATGTGCTCAGAGGCCTCAGATTCGTGGTCGTCTTCGTCTTGTTCCTGAATGAGGGTGATCGGCGGAGGTGCGTCATCGGTTCTTACCCCCTTGTAATACTTGTATGCATTGAGGCCTCTGAAAGGATAGGGATAGGCGTCTAGTGGTACAGAGCGGAAGAAATATTATTGAGCCCTTGAATGAGCTCAATCTGGGTACAAAAGCATACCGTCCACATTGTAAAACTGGGCTGCCTCCAGTAGGGCTTTACGCTCCGTCTCATCCTCGTTCCAAGCCCTGCGCAAGCGACTCATGTCCTGGTGACTGGAGAAAATCGCAGCAGAGTAATCCTGCGTGCGAGTAGGTATGCGAAGAATAGTGAACATCGGTGAATGATGGTAAATGTTATCCCATGGGAATGGTTTGGAAGGAATAACCGGTAGTCTCCCGGTCGGATGTTGAGTAGCAGGAGAGATGGGCAAACACATCGCCGCCTGAACGCATCGTCGCTCAAGGTCTTCTCCTGACGGCAAACCCTGGCTGAGAAGACGTATACGCATTCTGTGAAGTGGGCGGTCGGGTAAAGGCAAGTCCAGTGTCTGTTGATCATAGAGAATGATGAGTCACTCGCTGTGAAGAACGTTATTGTTGACTCACGCGTTCAGCCAAGCCGATGTAGGTTCCACCATTGATTTTCTGTGCAGCGGAAGTAGCCTCCGGGTCATCTAAGAAGTCGACTGAGGCTATATGGTCGAGAGAGAAGGCAAAATAACACGTCAAGAAAGGGCAGAAGCATAATAAATCATCCGCGTCATCAGAATCGGGGCCATGCCACTGGCAGTACGTGCGACGCCGTTGATGAACCATTGAGACCTAGCGAGCTTAAGGATGTTGACTTCAAGAAGTCAAAGGCTCTGTTTGCCATAAAGGCGAGTATATAAGCTGCACATACTGTCGAAAACGGAACAAAGCTCGGTTTCAAGGTCGATGGCGAAAGCCAGCCGGGCTCGAGGACAACAATAAGATTCTTCGGAACAAGCCGTCCCCGGCAGTTTGGTGCAGGCCTTGGGCTTTTTGGCCACCAACTGCCAGCGGACCGACCAGTGGATGATCGGACCTTGAGCTTGAGGCCTAGGTTCGTCAAGTCTAACCACTCCTACTATGTCCTCAGGCTGCAGGCGGCCTGCACTGGTGGCCCTCTCTCTGCCAACAAGTCGGAACGTAGTACCTCCAGAGCTGACTGGACTTGTTTCAACTAACGACTTGAAGATCCAGTGTCTGAGATCATGCGATACACTTCAGGTTGTGATGATTTTTCGCCCAGGAGTTCATTATTGTTCATGAAACGAGCCAATGCAGCCATGTAGCGCTTGTACCTGTACTCAGCGCCACCGGGGCTCCCTTGTTGTTGTCTTTAGGTACGCCTATTTCCCGTCCAGTAGCGTAATCTCCCTACGCATCACTGCGGGAAGTATCGCCAGTGTTTCGTACATAGAAATCCTGTGCTGTTTTCACAGGAAAACCCTGTATTACGTACCGGTATAGTACTGTCATATCCAGTGGTCGAGCACTGGAGATCCCTGCAAAAAACACAGGATGCTCCAGTACTTTTTGACACTTCTTACCGGTTAATCCTGTAATACTCTACCGGGTTTCCCAGTACATGTGTACCACACTTTCCTATGCCGAGTGATAGGATTACCTTGTAGCTGGCCACGGGTTTTCCGGGAATTTGAGCGGGGGCATCCAGTACTTCATTACAGGCTTGTACAGTAGTATTAGGTCCGGCTGAATGACACGGTATTATGTATGGTATGTATGTAGCGTAAGTCACTGTATGATTATGTGCAAGAAGAATCATAGGATAGTGAGGAAGAGGTAGAATACGGATAGAAATGTAGCAGTGTGAAGGTCAAGAAATAGTATCTAGTAGACGTGAGCAATCTGCAATCAAATCCAGGCAACAATATGTGTCGAACGAGGCAAAAGTAATAATAGATGCGAGATAGACAACCAATAAATCTAGAGTGTCGATGTCGGTTTCTTTCTACCTTGACGATGAGACCTACGAAGACGAACAGCCTGCTCGATGAAAAGAAATGAGTCGAGACATGTAACACAGTAAGAGGCAAGAATACTTACATTGTCTGGCTTATGTGTGCTGTTATACTTTGCAGCGTCATCGAGAGGAGCAGATGGTGACGCGAGAGGAGCCAACGACGATGCGGGACGAGCTGACGACGATGCGAGAGGAGCCGATGATGATGCGGGACGAGCTGACGATGATGTGAGAGGAGCCGATGACGATGCAGGAGGAGCGGACGGTGATGGTGATGATGGTAATACTTGAACCTGACGAGACAGCGAGTAAGTAAAACCGAAGGCATTGAATACAAATGGTAACAATACAAACCGATGGGGGATGGCTGGGCTTCTGCACCTTGATAGGTTTTGGTACAGGACGAGGCATAGTACGCAACTAAAAATGAACCATCAAATTGAGCAAGAGCAGAAAAGACGTGATCAAGAAAGACAAACGAACCGTGGAGAATTCTGCGGATGCCTTGGATTGCTCTGTGCTTTGAGCAGGTCTGTTCATTCGACCATGTCTCTGACGGCCAACATTCTTTAGCGTTGTCAATCAGCCGCGGCATGTACCCTTATCGTACCTCTCCGAGGATTTGCTTCTGAAACTGACGAATGGCCCTTCCAGCCTGCAAGCGTGTCGCATGAGATGGCGTATCATCGTCCTCGTCCACTACACTGAACTGCGCCTTTCCGTATTCAACGCTATCGAGTCGGATGTCGTTGGCTTCAGCAACACTCGCGGCGAACCCGTCACGCATTATCAAGCGGTTCACAAGTTCTGGTATGAGCACATAGGCTCGGAAAACTTCTTGCGTCACAGGCTTGATAGCGTCGAGAAAGGCTTCAGAGAACCATTCGTCGTGGGTGACATCATTAATGATGCCCTCGAGAAGGAGCTTCCCGACGTCACCGTAGCTGCCAAATAAGGAGTCAATCAATGTTCTTAGACGAATAGCACGGTCGAGCAGATGGGTGATCGCGAGAGAAGGAGACATGCGTACAAGCCGGGGTACGAGATGCCAAAGGTGATAGCACCGTGATCCGTATTCCTTGACTTAAAGCCCTCTGCCATCTGCTGAGGCGAGTAGTTGTCGCACAGCATCTGCCACACTACACTATCTGAGGGCTGATCCACAATAAAGAGATCGCGGAGCTTCCTACTCTCGCTGGTCGCATTCTCAAGGAGAGCATGAGGATCAAGCTCAGTGGGCCACCCCTTGCTCTGCCCTCGAGGCCAGTGCAACTGTTCAAAATGAAGCCTGCTGCAGAGATCTTTCTCTGCGGCCAGAAGAGCAAGACAGCTCTGTATGTCGCCGCGATCGCGCTCGCGTGCACGACAAGTGTCCCATCTTTCTAACAGCTGACGGACGGGTGTGGATGGACAAAGTGGAATGACACAATCGCCACACGGACATCCACTATCTTTGTCCGAGTCATCGCTGAATTCATCAGACACTGGAAGGCCACGCTTTGCGTGCAACGCAAAGGTGGGAGATGGTAACGGAGAACTAGGAGGCCTGTGGTCTTCCGCCCAGGGAGGTGAGATAGAAGGGAACTGAGCCGGCCGACGACGCTCTTCTGGATTAGCGCGAGGCTACACGAAAGGAGCAAACCGTTAGTTTAAGCTGTATATCAGGATGTGGTTGGAGTATAATCACAGTCGAAGGTAAAGTCCCTGCGACATGCCCATTTCGGACGATATCGTTCGTGATTATCTTCTTAGTGGAGCGCGTACACTAAAAGAATTTGTGAGCACCACGATACGCTGTTGATGCATGAGTTAACACACCTCGACGTGCTCGTCCTCGTCGGCGACATCGCCACCGTCTTCGTCGAAGTTGTCAACATTTTTGTCGACGTTGCCACCATCTTCATCCATGGACCGTGTCTCCTTCTCGAGTGGAGCCGTGTTCTTGCCCTTTGTCGCCATTATGCGCTGTGTTGACACATCCTTCCCCTGGGTTACCACTTCCTTCGCCTTCGCCTTCGCCTTCGCCTTCACCGTCGCCACCATCTCTTCAGCACCCGCATCGGTATTCTCTCCAGACACATCACGACTTCCCCCTGGAACCTCTTTCGTGCGTCTCGTCGTACGCTGCTTCCTAGTCGCCTTCTCCACATCTAGTGTCCCGCTTGCATCATGTCTAACTTGCGCTAACACCTCCTCTCTTGCAGCTACCTCGTTCCGCGTCCCCATCACCTCTCCACCCACAGTCAAAGCCTCCTTTCCCGTTGCCAACTTCCGTTCCCTCACCGCCACCCTACCCTTTGCCGCCTCCTTTTCTCCATTCATCGCCACACCCTTTCCTCTTGCTCTCGCACTTCCATTTGCGACGCCATTGGCCCTTGTTAACTTCGAAGTCTCGGCGGGTGCGGTGGCGGTAGCGAGAGGCTGTCGGGGTGATCCAATGGTTCGCAAACCGAGGCGAGCGTCCTTCTTCCTTGCTGTGGCGCTAACCGGAGCGATACGGGCGTTGGGGTGATGGCTGGCTCGTACTGGTGAAGGCTGTTGTTTGGGCAAATTTTGATCCTCTTCATCTTCCTCGTCGCTCATAATAACGCGTCTTCGGCGAGGTTTCGGTCGGCTTTCACGCGCAAGTTCATTTGGAGGCTGTTGTTGCAATCGCGCAGCTCGTGTCTAAAGACTGATGTCGGAATCTAGTTATAGTATGAACATAGTGAACACGTACCTGCGAGCGCGTTTGACGGACGGTGGGCTCCGTCGCAGATCGCGGATCAGGTCGCGTTGGTATTTGTTTCGAGAGAGCGGCCTATAAAGAGGTGAGAGAGAACCAATTTCAGCGCCAATAACTAATAACAGGTCACCAAAAACTTCCTACATTAGCTGGAGTGCGCTTTCTGGAACTTGAAGGGATATTGACGATATCCTTCAAAGGGACATCGTCTGAGTCCGTCGTGTCAGAGCTCGGCATTTCAGAATGCGATGCCTGTGAAAGCAGAGCCTAAGTACGAGCTCCGAAGATACTGTGAGAGTTTCACGACTTACCTGTTTACGCCGTTGTCTCGGAGGTAGCTCAGGCTGATCTTCTTGAGATCTTCCCTGAACCTCCTGAAAGGATCTCTAGAGATACCAGAGTCAGCGATGCATGTAAAGGAGACAGGATATGAACTCGCCTTCTGTCCACGTGCCGGTAATGCAGCTCTCCAGAGTGATCGCAGACGACTAGTATCGCCCTGTCCAAAGCCATGAAAGCCTGATGAGCATAGTCAACTCTCACAGTGATGCTGAACGTACATTACTCTCCGGCCTCTGGCCGGTGCGCAAACCTAGAGTACACTGAATAGATGTGAATCCCTCCGGTCACAATAGCGTCACCAAGGCAAGAGATTCTCTTACCGCTTTGATCTTATGAATCTCCCTGCGTTTCCGCATCAAACTCGTGCTCTAGAAGAGACAACGACATTATAAATGGAGGTCAGCGGAATGGAGTCCGACAGATACAGATACACAGAACCTTTGAATCTTTCTGCATTGGTAATTTTGGCGCGAGATCTTGGGGAACTGCTTGACGTCTCTGATTGCGCTTGGTGCGCGATAAGTGCATGGAGATAGTATTTTGACGGAAAGTAAATACCTGGCGCTTCTCCACTCTGTGATTCGGTTGTGTGTGAAACAACTGTGGCGCGCTGCCAAAACCCGTCCACTCTTCCTCCCCGTCATGAGCAAAACCAGTCCACCCCTCTCCATCTTCTACTTCACCGTCCACCCTTCATCTAGTGTTGAGAAGGCACAAGATAAAGTTTAGACTATATGAACAGACTCACGACTTAGCAACATCCTCTCTCTCACTCTCGTCGTCGTCACTACTGTCAGACTCTTTCTGCCCTCTCCGACTAGCGTTGAACAGGTATATTTTGAGCATCGCCTCGACTGGCCAGGCACGTTCATACTGCTTGACCCACGGAAGTTTCACGATGACCTGTATGTTGTTTGAGCATTGGTAATACTCTACATCAGGGAGGAGATGATCGAAACATACATCTAGCATGGCTCTAGATCGGGAAAAAATGTCTTGATCACGCCAGGTCCGACCCAGTTCCAGAAACTGATATGCAGCGAGGTGAATTTGGCGCTATCCAAATACTTTCTCAGTCGTCCTCTATATGAATAAGGTGTGGAAGGAAGTACTGACCCGCAACCTTGCAACATATCGCGAACCGCGTTCCGAGTTCAACCTCATCTCTGTCTCCAAATGATATCCGCGACGAGATACACCATTAGGAGATCGCCCAGGCTCTCCTTTTGGTTTCGGAATCAACTGGCCATTCGTGGTGAGAACAGGACCACGATGTGCCTTGGCTTTCTCGCGCTCGTTGGTTCGCTGGTCGTTTGGTCGGGTGATAGAATGAGATGATGAAGTGGTGAATGGGATGGTGGGTGGCATGAGGCCCTACGGCGCGAAACCGACTTTGCTGATGGAGGCAAAAACGACACGACTGGTTGGACGCGATGCTCGAAGCCTTTTTCAACATATCACGTGGTGCCACGGACTGCTTTTGCCACTGTGGCACGCTATATGAAGTGGCACCCATCACCTACGGAGGACTGTTTCCTCTAATCTCGCCGTAGTATCCAGATTCGACTTATGTACTACATGTGGTAGATTGGTGAAGTGTGAACACAAAAACAATATCAGCATGGCCTGAGATTCACACAAAGTAGGCAAATATGGATGGCTTGGAATAGCCTGTGTGGCGCCGCTCAGAAATCTACACAAAATAATACAGTACATCAAGAAGCCGCCTCGGTGAAAATTGTCCGAGCATATTGAGCACTAATATCTACAAGTCCCCAGTGTGCTCCTTTTTTGACACGTCCAATAGGACCTTGTATAGTGCGTAGGTCCACCACAATAGGTGCAGTGAAGTCCTGTTCACGATGAAATACTACCTTCTCAGTGGCATCATCACCGTTGGTGGAGATTGGCGTGATGAGTGCAAATAGAAGTATCCGATCTGATAAGGTGCCCCAGAAATCGTCGGAAGGAAGTTGGCATTCTATGATCTCTTCAAGGCGTCCGTAGAACACTGCTCGGATCTCTGGGACTTCAGTGTGTTGAGACTGATTGCGTGGCCTCTGCCGTGTTATTGGACTTTTGACCATAAGCTCATACTATTAAAAACAAGGTGAGTAAGTACTCAATATCACAGAAATGCAAGAATAAAAATACCCGGATATACGACCGATCACGCTCCCTGTTTCCTCGTCGCCCCATCGCCCATCTTGCACAGATGGACTGTCCGCTACTCGCTATTCTCACTCTCCCCCACAAACTCATGACTCCCGGAAGCTTGGAAAGGATATGGTTACGTGGCTTTCCAGGAGTAATTATCTCAGAAAGATACTTGGCAATCCTGATGCGGATATCAATGCTGGGCTCATATGTTCTTTGATGAGGAGAGCCCAATATGCTGACAGGATCTAAAATGTGAATAATTTAAATTTCAATGAGACAGCAAATACAATATCAGACTTACAGCCAGGTACAATGTTCTCAAAGCGAGAAATGTCAGGTGTATCCTCCATCTCCAAGATGTCATCTAGCCCTTCAAACCGGGTCGAGAGCTGTTGAACATAGGCCATATCTAAAATGTGTTGGTTTAATGTGCCTCTCGGGTTGCTTTTCTGCCGGATTTTACGTTTGAGAATACCACAGAATCTTTCCATGAAGAATGTCCATGTCACCCATACAGGACCATTGTGTTCAATGTCATCAACAACATGGAGAAGGCCATGAATGATGAGGTTGCATGCGGGAAGACGATCAGAGTTAAACTGGTAGTAGTATCTGTGATTGAATCAGTATTGAGAAAGAAACAAGTTGGGTACTTATGTCAGAGACATCAAGACATACCTTTCGTAGAATTCCACCCATCTCACAATATCCTCACGGAGCTCCATCTTTTCATTGCTGCTAAGATCCCACTTTAGACACCGTCTAGCAATCTTGACAAGGTCCATGAAGTGGTCATAAAACTTATCATCTGGGAAGCGGCCTTTCAAGACAATGGGAGCGATGTGGATCATCCAAAAAGACCACGACTCTGCAGTAAAAGCACTCTGCTCTGTATGTATGTTGTGAAGAACACGAACAAATTCAGATGGAATATGAGAAACACAAGCAGCGGTTTCAGCTCCGATCTTCTCCCAGTTTGAGCGGACTATGATGTAGTTCTGGGTTCCGGAGTCAAGATTGCGGTATTCACCCTTCCACATCATCACCATGTTTGGGAAGAGATTCTCAAAAAAGAGGTGTAGAAACTCCCATGAAAATGAGCGAGCATAGTCAATGGACTGTACACGGCGACCTAGCACAGGCATGCCTTTGATCCCTAGACGCATCGCAGCGCGATTGCGAGCTGTACTTTGATGTGCAGGTACAGATTGTATCTCATCAACTGCGGATTGCCAGTCCTCATGGGTGCGGAGAGGAAGATTTCGAGGATCATACTTCTGTTGGGTTGCCCCGGGAGGAGTAAGAGGATAATAATAGGTCTTTCCTCCTCCTTCAATGTCACGTACACCATGGATCTCGCAGGAACGGCAAGGCACAATAGCATTGTGGCCTTTCATATCAAGCATTTTTTCGATCATGAGGATGTCTGCAGCACCAAGGGTAGCATATGCTCGTAGCAGAAACTCTTGTCGTGAGGAAGCATTCCAGGTTGGAATGCCTTTGGCAAGTTCAACACATTCTTCATCAAAGGGAATGAGAAATGAATGCATATTGCGAGGTTGCTTCGGTGGAGGAATTACACCAAAACAGATTGCATGCTCAATGTGAGTGCGGATAGTCGGTGGTAGATTCAGGATCTGTATAAGAAATGGGATTGCCGATGGCCCTTTCTTCCAATTGTTAAACAAGCGGAAACCGTCCCCACTGACACAAAATGCAATATCAGTAGGTTGGTTGAAATACTTGTATGGCTGCTCTATGCCATCAATTACAACGTAGGCATCTCGTAGCTTAGAATAGCCATCACCATCAAAATAGTCTCGTGTGCCACCATTAGGAGTTGGCTCAAAGCGATCACGATAAAGCATAAGATCAGCCATGTGCGGACGACTGAAGAGTGCCTGCAGTCGAGGGATGATAGGAATATAGCAAAACTGGGATGCAGGTCTCTGTGAAGCATCATAGCGTGGTGATTGGCAGTAGGGACAAGTCGTCAACTTTGCCCACTCTCCAACAAAGCAAAGGCACGAGTTTGAACAGCAATCGTACCACTTCGGCTCAATCTGGCTGAGGATGGCTATACGATGCAGAATGACATATTCTGAGTTAATGTCCATCTTGTGATGAAAGATATTTCGCATCTGCTGAAATAGGCGTCGGGGCATCTCGCCAAAGTATTTGAGCGCAAATGCACGTATATCATCTATATCACTCTCAGTCAATTCTGGAATACCTGCAAAGTACTAAGTAAACAAGAATGACACCCTCCCATAATGAAAAAGTATATCCTACCAAATTGTGCTGTATCTTCGCGTGCGTCATTGGCCAAGTACAAGTCAAGCTCAGTTTTCAACTCATACAGGCCCTTGTGGTAGTCAAAAGGAAGGTGATCACCAGATTCATAAGGTTCAGAGTTGTCCGAGTCATCAGCAGGGTCAGAATCAGAGCAGGAAGCGTCAGGTTGATACTGCAGTACGCGTGAGGGAAGAGTCGAGAGACGGTCTAGTTGATCGGTGAGATCATCCTCTGAGATATCATCACCGGCTGCCATATTGTCGTCACCGTAGAGCTGGTGCAGCTCATTATCAAGAGATGGTGATATGGAACGTGAACAAGGAGGTTGGTCAAAGGTCAAATCATTCGTGATGATGTCCACCTGATGGGATGAATTACTGTGATCGTCATGGGCAGGATGTGAAGCGAATTGGTTCTCAGTGCTATCACCACCATCCGAGCTGCGATCCAAGTCATCAGTGACTGATGACTGTAAATCAGAGTCGTCGCCCTCTTCAACGACCCTTTTATAGTGGCGGTATCTCGTGCGCTGAGAACGTGGTGCGTGGCACGAAGGGCGACAACGGCAAACGCGTGTGCCCGGTCTGGCAGACCGAGCCTTGTGCGGAGACATCCAGATAGAGATGGTATGTGTCTTTCGAGGTCAGTTCGAGGTAGAGGTGAAAGACAGAAAGGTGGAAAAGAGACCCATGTAGACGTTGATCGATGGCGAAAGATGATGGACGACGCTCAATAAAACAAGGTTCACGGCCGGAGACGGCCGGCAGAGCCATCGGTGCCACAAGAACTCACAGGACCCCTGCATATCCCGAAGGAGGTCCCATCCTGGTGCGACAATTTTTGGCCCAAAAATCAGCCTTTGTCCGATCCGTAGTGCGGACCAAAGGGCCTGGTCGCCCGCGAGGTACCATCGGCGTGCGGACCAAACAGGGCTGCAGATTTCCCGATATCGGTGGCGGCTGAGGCCATTTATTTTCTTTCTCCGACGCCTGACTGCATTGTTTCGAGTTGCATTCCGGCGGACTGTACCTGCTGGGTTGTTTATTTCAACAATATCGAATTTCAGACCATAAATCAGGTTCTTTCGTGATTTTGTCTTTTCGTCGGATCTCGCTGAATGGAGCCCGAGAGTGTCCGAGTCGTCTCTGTTACTCTGTACCTGTGTTAGTCGCTGTTCAGCGTAGTGCACGTGTCTGTTTACTCGGTCTGCCAGATTCTTTCGTTTTCCTCCAACCCGTGCCCTCCTATCGTTAGCAATATCTAAGGTCATCAGGCAGACAAACATCGACGCCGACACCTAAGGCTTTCCCATCACAATGATACCGGTACCTCAGGTAAGTATTAGCTTTGTTTTGGACCTTATGCGAGCGTAAGGGAGAAGTCATTCGAGCCTTGATTGCGATGCGGGGGAAACGGAAATTAGATGCAGTGCCACATTGACTCAGGGTGGCGCTGTGGCGCCACAAGAAAATAATCGCTCGGAAATGGAAGTGGAGGCTAGTGGAGGTCGATTGGGAGCAAATTGAGGGTGTACATCAGTATATGCAGTTCAAAACCGGTTGGAGCAATTTTTGTTGATTTTATATGAATATATGGAAGGAAAAAAATGCGAATTTTGAGGTACCATCCTATCGTGCGGACCAAAAACGAAAATTTTGAGGTCCCATCCCGTTCTGCGGACCAAAATGGTCGAAATTCTGAGGTACCATCGTCATGCGGACCAAAATATACCCAAAATCGTGCGACAAAAAGGGCAAAATCTGGGGATTTCGGATGGGACCTCCTCCGGCATATGCAGGGGTCCTGAACTCACGCTATGGATGCATTGGACCTTTCAGCGTTACCGCTGACTTCGTTCATGTACATCTCTTTCCAAATTCCAAACACTCTGATCACACTTCGGAAGCTCTTGAGCCACGGAATTTACTGTAGCAAGGCATTGGGAGCTCCTCTAGATCAAGTACAGGATATCCCGGTTGCCCAGGTACAGGAAAATCCAGCGAGAGCTCACGAGACATGTGGACACGCAATAATACTATCATACAGTGCTATATACGACCGCTAAACAATGGTACTGAGGTCTATCTCACCTAGAAAGAGATTCTGAGGGAGTGTGGAGTGCTGCCAGAGAGCACAGGAAAATCCAGTACTTTTGGGCGGTGACATTCTTACGGGAAAATCCGGTATTTCAGGGTAATGTACTGGATTTACCCATGAGTTGTGCAGGATTTACTTCCCGCAGTGGCATCACCTACAAAGGTAGCCTAAGTCGAGGATCTGTGCACACCCTGCACTACCTTTTCCTCCGATATCTGTTACCACTCGTTTCCCCATCGCTGGACGATCTTCTGAGGCATTGACTGTCTCGGCATCACTATTGTGTTCTTCCACCATCCCATTCCTTCATTGTCATGTCTCTCGAATCGGCATCTTTCGACAACGGTATACCGTTAGTAGGCTCGGTCGTGACCGGGACTGAAAGCGTTTACACCCCACTATACCGCCTTCTTGAGCAGCTAGGGGCAGGGCGAAAGTCGACGTCCGCTCTCAGTCGCTGTTCGAGACACTCTGGCAAACGCGGCAGACCGTGCATAGTCATGGAAGATAACGCAAACGAGGACCATCTATTTCCAGACATATGCATCATGGCGACATTCGAAGGAGCACACCCCTCAGAGCTCACATCCTTACATCGAGACTTCATTGTTCCTGTTTCTTCATCTTCTTCCCCCTCCTTCTCTTCGTCATCGTCTTCGTCAGAGAACTCCGATACCACAGAAGAAGACGAGATATTCATATCGCCCCCTGTGGAGGGAGGTGATGGCCACAGACAATGGATCGTAGCTTTCCCGTACACTGCCTCGAATCCCGTGAAACCACGTCCCCGGGTGGCATCTGCAGATGGACGTGCATCCCTTGTATCTCCGGAATCGCTCGATCTCCTATCCGAAATTTCGGAAAGTCGCCTGAATATCTGGCAAAAGAAAGCACGACGAGACCCGCAGTTGATTCGTCAAGTGCTCGGAGAAGTACAGGTATATCGAATCATATTCTCCGAAACACAATATCTGACCTTTTCTCTAGGCTCACCAGAGAAACGAGCAAGCCAAGTTTGTCGCCAAGTCTGGAATGAGTCTGTCGAAGGTATGGCCTTTCTACTACTGTGGTCACCGCTCGCTCACGCGTGCGGCAATGTATAGCACGCCCGACAGTCGGACACAACATTCGCCGACCTCACAAGTGATCTGAGCGAGCTCAAGGTTCACGACGCTTCTCATCAACGGCGCAACGTTTCACGAGTGGTCAGTCCTGCATTTATTATCGTCATCAACTACACTGGCTGATATGCACGGTGATGCAGAGCTTTTGCGAACGCCGGATGTCGCGAACTCTTTCTCAGGCAGACATGGACCACGACTGGCGTATGAGGCCCGAATCGGACGACACCTCTGCGATGGAGTCTGAATTGAAGATCCAAACACTTGAGACCACGTCAAGTAGAGCATCGATACTGGTATGCGGTCTAATTTTCCACTGATGAATGGTAATGGAAAGGCTAATATACCTGCTAGCTTTCGCCACGAAAGGGGAGCTTCCAGCACAACTCTTCGACGCCCACAGTCGCCGACAGACGATCGAGATTTGGGTTCAACAAATTGTTCTCCGGGAAGAAGGTGTCGGACAAATCGAACGTAGCCTGGAGAACATCGAAGTAGCAGGCTGGCATCGGTCACCATCTTATATTAATGTCTGTGCTCATGATATATATTATTGCTCTTCTCGCGACCGTGGCAGTATTTACACCTATAAATCGTCCACATGTTCATGATGATTCTTTCTGTAATGTTATGCATATGTACCTACTCATACGATAATACGATATAGTACACATTCGCATCCTACTGTCTTGTCTTGGCCTGATAGTAGCAACTGCCTAGTACAGCTCACCAGTTCGTCTCGTACTTTGTTCCGTCTATGGTCTCATTGTCGCACTACCCGATTTCTTGGCCTCGAAATCGGTTCATAACACGACTAATCCAATCTGAGTGTCTTAGTATGTTCTCATGTTGTTTACTTCTATCCAGGTATTCGATGCCGATATGTTCGGGACCGACGCCTGATGCAAGTCGTGCGATCAGACACAAGGAGACGTGACCATTGATTAGTCGAGACTGCGGTAAAAATAGGGTGTATGTAGATACATGATACATAGGTGGAACGAAAGGCGGATAGCATGGAGAATGCAAGGCATAGGCAGGACGTGAGGTTGCATGGCGATATAGTATCATGAGGGAGATCTTCGAGCTCTCCAGCGCGCGGCAAAGAGTGAGCTGAGGAATCGGAACGGGCCTTTCGCGCATTGCGAGAGCGAACTTGTATGGTTCTTAGAACCAGACTCATCTGTTGGTCAGAGCAGGAAGAATGTTAGGGGTAGTACGAAGCTTTTATTGTAGTCGAGGCGCACGAGCTTTGTCCCCGTCTGACGTTTCAGTTTTGCGACGACGAGGACCGATACAGATCAACCGAGAGGCAAGCGAAAGCGGCCATAGCCCTGGGACACCAAGCGTCAGCGGGGCCCGCGATGAGTCTGTAAAAGAGTGTGTGCGTACCTCTGGGCTTCTTAGGTTCGGGGCTGGTGGCGGGTTTGGAGGGTTGAGACAACGACGCAAGTCGCTCCTGCTCCAGCTCCTTGAAACGTGCTTCAGCACGAGCCTGCGAGTCCAATCGTATCCTGCCGAGGAAAAGGGATCGGTGAGTGGTGAGTGAATGATTAGCGGCGAAATTCGAGACATACTTCGTCAAAGCTGCGATTTCTTCAAATAGGTAACGTGGATCGGTCACCGCTTCTATTTTCGATAAGTCATACTCCGGTTTTCCTGTGATGGGTATGATCTGAGCCTCCGGGTTGTTTCCGTCGAACATGGCTCGGAGGAAGACGTTGTTGACGGCGTCGACTTCAGAATTGGTGGATTCCTCGCTCTCGGCGTCGGTGTGGACAGACACATGCTCAGAGACCTCAGATTCGTGGTCATCTTCGTCTTGTTCTTGAACGAGGGCGACTGGGGCGGGGGCGTCATCGGTTCTTACTCCCTTGTAGTACTTGTATGCGTTGAGCCCTCTAAGAGGATAGGGATATGTATCTAGCAGTACGAAGCGGATGCTTATTATTGAGCCATTTCATGGGTTTGATCTCGATACAAAGACGTACCGTCCACATCGTGAGACTGGGCTGCCTCCAGTAGGGCTTTACGCTCCGTCTCATCCTCGTTCCAAGCCGTGCGCAAGCGACTCACATCCTGCTCACTAGAGAAGACCGCAGCAGAATAGTCCTGAGTGCAAGTTGGGACACGAAGCGTGGTATACATGGGCGAGTGGTGGTACATGTCGGACCACGGGAAAGGCTTAGAAGTGATGGCTGGTGGTCGCCCCGTAGGATGGAAAACAGCAGGGGAAACGGGAAGACACATTGATGCTTGAACACAGTGTTTCTCAAGGTCGCGTGCCGTTGGCAAGCCGCGACTAAGAAGACGTATCCGTAGGCGGTGACACGGGCGCTGGGGTATAGGTAAATCTATTCCCTATAAAGCGGAGTAAAGTTAGCACACGGTCAGGAGCAAGTACAAAGGCTCGATTCTACTCACTTGCTCGGCCAGACCTACGTAAATCCCGCTCTTGATGCTCTGAGCAGCAATGGTTGCCTCTGTGTCATCCAAAAAGTCGACTGAGGCGACATGATCGAGAGAGAAGGCAAAATAACAAGTTATAAATGGGGAGAAGCAGAGATAATCATCAGAGCCGTCCTCGTTCTTCTCAGGGTGCCAGTAAGTGCGGCGGCGCTGATCGTGAGCCATCGTGGACTTGGAAGATGATCCTGCAAGTCGAAGAGCGCGGAGATTTCAGGGTTCCAAGCGGTTCTGTGCAAGGAGATCCCTAGTATAAGAGCACGGGTGAAGTTCGTAGCTGGATTATAAGGGGGACAAAAGACTTTGTGAGTCTCGTCAGGAACATCATGATTTAGTAAGTCAGGCCAATAGTAGCCAAAATCGATCAAGGGCCCACATTGGGCCCAAACTCCAACAAGAGACGCAAGGCCAACCGTGACAATAAGGATTGCCATCTTCGAAACAAGGCGTGTGGTTTGCGTGTGGTCACCAGGCCATGCTCTGGTCTCTCGATGGGGGTGAAGACTTACCCGGCATTTCGGGCCCAAGGGCCAACTGGTCCTTAGCCACCAACTGAACGTTCCCGTGACGACGTGCGGCCGGGCCAGCAATCTCACGCGCAATCAACACTTTTGGCGCAAACCAGATTCGGAACTGCCACAATCGTTTTCATTTTCTTCCCGGGCAGTCTTTCTTCTTCGTAACATGGTTTCCCCTTGGTGCGTCTCCGATCCAGTACTTGCCTTGGGTCTCATAGGCAATATTAGACAAGACTATCGTCTTCGGGCGCTCACGCGACTGATCACATACACGCACCGTCTTCCAATGTGAGACACGCTATTGTCAACAACAACTGACACTAAACTAGCGGAGTGAGCTTGCAGCGTGGGCACTGCCGACGTGCATCACCTGCGTCATCTGAGAACAAGATCGAATGGAATGGTGTTTTGACCAGGTACCTTCTCTCCCTATTTGGCTGGCCTTCTCACCGACAGCGATCCATCCATAAAGATGGCGCGCGTATTTTATCTTCCATATATTCTGGACCCCTTTGGACCACCCTTGTCATTCCCCCTCCGCCAAACCTTCTTCGCATCGCTGGGCGAGCAACAAAGGTATCGACTGTCTTGGTATCTCTCTACCGCGTTCTTTTCTCCCTCGTCATGTCTCTCGACTCGAATTCTTTCCCCGGAGGTGTCCCTCAAATAGGTTCAGTGGTGTCTGGGACTGAAAGTGTTTACACCCCGCTATACCGCCTTCTGGAGCAGCTAGGAGCAGGAAGAAAGTCGACTTCCGCTCTCAGCCGCTCTTCAAGATACTCCGGAAAGGCTGGGAGGCCCTGCATAGTCATGGAGCAGAACGACTACGAGGATCGCTTATTCCCTCAAATTTGTATCATGGCCACATTCGAAGGAGCCCACCCATCAGAACTCACAGCATTGCACCGAGACTTTATCGTTCCTGTGTCCTCTTCCTCTTCGTCCTCTCACTCATCATCGTCCTCTGACGCTTCACATGACATCGACGAGAACGAAATATTATTATCCCCCCCTGTCGAAGGCGGTAACGGTCACAGGCAGTGGATTGTAGCTTTTCCGTACATGGCATCAAATCCCGTGAAGCCACGTCGCCGGATGGAAGCTGCAGGCGGGCATACATCTTTTGCTTCTCCAGAATCAATCGCGTTACTGTACAGAATTGCGAACCGCCGTATGAACGTTTGGCAGGCAAGATCCCAGCGCGACTCAAAGTTGATACACAGAACTTTCGAAGAAGTGCAGGTACGCGCTCTGTTCCCCGGGACGCCCGTAGTGAATGTAATTTTGCTGATATTTCTCTCGTTCCAGGCTTGCCAGAAAAAAGAGCAGGCCAAATTTGTCGCCAAATCCGGCGTGAGCTTGAATAAGGTACCATGTTTCCAAGTTCTCCAAACCGTTGTCACAGCTTCTCACTCAAGTGGCCATGCATACAGCATACCCGGCAGTCGAACATCTCGTTCGCCGAGCTTACAAGTGATCTGAACGAGCTCGAGGTCCACGATGGTTCTCATCAACGGCGTAACGTCTCACGAGTGGTCAGTCTCGCATTTACTCTCGTCATCCATTGCACTGCTGATATGCACGGTGGTGCAGAGCTTCTGCGAACGCCGGACGTCGCGAACCCTTTCTCAGGCAGACATGGACCACGACTGGCGTATGAGGCCCGAATCGGAAGACGCTTCTGCGGTCGGGCCTGATTTGAAGATACAAACACTTGATACCACGTCAAATAGAGCATCTATACTGGTATGCCCTTCAATTTCTCCACTAATGAATGGTAACGGAAACACTAACTCAACTGCTAGCTTTCGCCCCGGAAGGGAGGCTTCCAGCAGAACTCTTCGACGCACACAGTCGCCGACAGACGATCGAGATTCAACTTTAAGAAATTATTCTCCGAGAAGAAAGCGTCGGACAAGTCGAATGCAGCCTGGAGGACAGTCGAAGTAGCATCATAGGTCCATCTTATGTTAATGTCTGCCATGCTCATGTTTTACGTTCAGTGCATTATATTTTTACTGAATACAGTGCATCCTCCACGCATGCATTATACTCCCTTCTTTCATGTTATAAATATGTATCTGCTCATACAATAATTCGAACTAATACTCATGCACATCCTATGACCTTGCCTTCGCCCAAGTTCTTGGTGTGCGCTCTTTCCGCTCCATTGCTCGCTATAGACAGAGAAGACCAGAAGGCGGGCGCTAAAGTCACGGTCACGTGAACATTGCCTTGTTCTGTTTCTTGCAGAACGGATGTTTCGTCGGATTGACCGCCCGCCAACGGCCAACATGGCGTGACAGCTACAAATATATCTGCCATTTTGCAGCCCGACACCTCTGCTATCGCGGTACCTCACATTCGCCTCCCGACGGCAACCTAAGATTGACGCTTTTCATCACCAAAGCCGACTCCAACTGCTCCTACTACTAGCTCAGACCGCTCATAACTTGCAATGGATATTCAAGGTGCAGATGTCATCGTCCGGTCCTCTGACAACGTCGATTTTCGTGTGCAGGGAGCTGCACTGTCGTTGTTCTCTCCAGTTTTTGCCGATATACTGTCCATCCCGCAGCCAGAGAGTTCCAATGGTGAACTTCCCGTCGTTTCCGTGTCAGAGGATCGAGAATTATCTCTAGTTTTCCTGAGGTGCGCTCTTCTGTCTCTGTTCCGTTCGTGGATTTCGTTGTGACATATCTCTTCAGTCTATGCTACAGACTTCGTATTGCCCACTACCCCTTAGCCCGACTGGAGAACATCCTCCAGGTCTTGGAGAAGTACGGTGTTACTCGAGTCCCGATCGAAATCATCGAACAATTCACTACACATATCGACACACAACCCGTTCACACTTGCGCTATTGCTTGCCGGTACTCTCTGTATGATGTCGCCAACCAGGCAGCCAGGGCCACCTTCAAGAATGAAGCTCTCTATGTCACCGATCTCAAACCAGACTACCTCAGTTTGATGGGAATCAACCAATACCAACACCTTGTTCATTATCGCCTCCAGGCTAGCAAAGTCGCAGCCGACGCGGTCGAAACATTCCCAACTTTCGACGACGTGGATACCATCAATAACTCTATGCAAGTTTACATTCCCGGATCTCGAGCGAGCCGCGAGTCTTGCGACTGCTCCGAGCGCATGTCGGGTTGGAGCTACGAGGAACTCAACCACGAGGAACTTCCGATATACATAGTGCCATGGCTACAGGTGCTGAAGAGAGATCTCGAGTCTGCATTGCAGATTTGGTCAGATGTGGACACCGTCACTGCAGATGGAAAGCTGGTCATGGAGGCCGTGAAGGTAGCCATGGACTCGAAGTGTTCAGCCTGTATTCGTGACGTGTCCGAGATTCCATGGGTACTAAAAAAAATCAGCCAGCGAGTTGAAAAGCAGCTTAATAAAGTCAGTTCGGCTCTCCAAAATACGCGGATACTTGAGCATGCTCACGATCGTACTCTGCTACAGATGCCCCTACCTTTCCAAGCTGCAACGGAACCCTGATCAACCAGTGGTCTCGGAGAATAGTTGGGGGATTTTAATTCCTTGTGAGTGCGCACGAAATCGGCTCAAAATCTATAGCGGCTGACTTCGTCCTATTTTGGCCGGCGAATACCCAGATTTCCGAGCGCGTTGTATTCGTGCTTTTGTCTTTGTTGGAATTGCATACTTTTGTCTACGAGATCACCGCGGTTCACGGACCTATTGTATTGTGGTCTCGCTCCTATCGCTCGCACAATGCTATCCTCCCGCTTCAACAACCTGCATTTCACTTCTGCTGTACCCCGCCACACCAGCCTTATCAACGCCACACACGTCTTCTGGAGCACATGCGCCTGTAAGGCTGTATGGGACACTCATTCGTACCACTTACGCCCTTCGCATGCAACCAAACTGAACGTTGCCCAACATCGTCCCGCACCTCTCGCAGTATTCCTCGAGAGCATGTGTTCGCCTTTCAACTTCTGAAGAGTCGATGTGGGTCCCTTTCTCCAAGAGCTTCAGCACTGAAACCCTCACTCTGATGGCGCTGACTAACTTCGGGATCCCTCAGTTCTGAACACGTATAGGTAGGTATTGTGCTGAATCAGCCAGGAGTGGGCGCAACGTTGCCTTACATCAAGCTCTGCGTCGGATCTTATCACCTTACAGCGCTTCGGACTCTTCATACAGTGATTCAATGAACTTAAGGTATCTTTCATTCCATGTCTAGGTAGACGTTGCGACCTCCAAGTGTTTGCGAGTAAATCTCTGCCGTCTCAGAGCGTCTTGCTGACTCTATCCTTCCTACTGGTATCTCGATTCAGAACCCCAGTCTCCTTTCGACGCCGAAGCGTGGATTCCTAGCGGTGGCGGCAGGCCTTGTCGCCTTGACTCATCAGAGTCTTGATCTCATGTCCGGAAAATCCTCCTTGTTATATCCATATAAAGTTCAACGTTGTCAGTGAGCTTGCTGAGTAGTCTCAACAGCACTGCTTGTTCTTACGAGAATCACCATGGTCAAAGTTGCTCCAGCAGGTTGTGCAGGAGGTTTCGGTCATAATATACTTGACGCGTTCGTTCCTTTCACCCTTCTCTAATGCCTCATTATCATTCGTCCTATGTTTTTTTTGCTGACGCTGGCTCCATCCTCCTGAATGACAGAGTGATTGCCGCGGACAGACATTCCATAATACTCCTCTCCCGCACCCCAAAACCCGACCTCACTGCCCAAGGCATCGACGTTCGTCCCGTCGGGTCTTACACCGACCACGCCCTCCTCGTCTCAGCTCTTCAAGGCGTGCACACGGTGATTTCGTGCATTACCAGCTCTGACGATGGGTTCGAAAAGGCGCAGATTAATTTATTGGACGCGGCGAAGGAAGCTGGTTGTAAGAGGTTTGCACCGTCGGAATTTGCTATGAAGGTGAGTCTAATGCTTGTGGTTGGGCTCATGACACCGAATCTGATATATGCTGTCGTTGGTATCTTATAGATAAATGACGGTGGTATTGAGCTGTATAAGCCCAAGATAAAGGTATGGGAGGCATGTGAGGCTTCCGGGTTGGAGTATACTCGTTTCGCGTGTGGGTTAGTATCTTCCTCATCGCTCTCCCACTTCACCCCAGCGCAGAATATCTGATAGTCTTGCCGCGCACTGATACTTCCAGCATCTTCATGAATACCATGGTCGCTGGTACACCTCACAACGAAACTGAAGCCCTCTCTGGCCTTCGTCCTTGGCAATTTGTCATCAATATCCGTGCCGGAACCGCAGACATTCCCGGCTCCCGCGATAGTCCTCCCAGGGTCACCTATATCTCGGCTCAAGACTGCGGGAGGTTCGTCGCTGCTGCTCTTGATATACAGGAGAAATGGTGGTCTGAGATGGGCCATATGGTTGGAGAGACGACGACGTATGAGGATATAGTCGAGTCAGCGGAGAGGATTACGGGGCGGACGTTTTTGAGGAGGTATGTTGGGAGGAACGAATTGGAGGTGCTGGCGAAGGATCACAGCAAGAGGTTTTATAATAAGGTCAGTCCCAATGCCGAACTATCATATCAAGGTTCTGAGGTGGTAGGCTTACAGTGGACTTTTCCTTTCTCTTTACTGCGCAGGTTCGACTGGCGATCGTGGATGGGAAGGCGGACATCGAGCCGATGTTGAACGGACTTTGCCCTCACATCAAGCCAGATAGTGTGGAACAGTATCTATGAAGATATTGGCAGGGTGTCGAGTCACCTGAGCCGGCGTGGGCGGAAGATTATATCGTGGCTGTTTGAGAGAGGACTACTCATTGAATGTCAGCATGATGTGGCGTGCTGGCCGGTTTGTCATGTAGTGGCGAATATTTCGCTTGTGGACTATGGAAGAATGCCCCCTGGATGCATGGAGTACGATATTATCCGGAGGTTATGCGTAATTCGTCGAGTGTCCTTGGTACTTGGCCGACTATCGATGTTGCTTGATCGCGACGCGTTCCGGACGTGTTCGCCGTGGCATGGTTAAACGCGGTCACATGATTTGGCTGTAATCATTTCTCGCGCGCTTTCTCTTCCAGTTCCGCCTGTGGCGGATGTACGGATGTCTCAGCTTTTCAGTGACATGATGCCACCTATTTGGCATCGCGGGGAGTTTCGTGTTCTCAGAGACATACCCCCAACTTGGCACTAGCACAATTTCCTTGCAACGCCTCCGGTTCGTACATGAATCATCCACCGAGGAAGCAGTCACTTCAAAGCAGTTCGCTTATTAAAAATTCTGTAGATGACCTCTACTGCCACCTCCTCTCAGACGTCAGGGCCCGCCATAGATGTCGACGGCGCGGACGTCGTCATCAAATCCAATGACGACGCCGAATTTCGCGTGCAGAGAACCGCACTGGCACTGTTCTCACCTGTCTTCGCCGATATACTATCCCTCCCCCAACCTGAAGGCTCTCACTACAGTCTTCCTGTTGTCCCCGTCTCAGAAAACCGTGAATTGTTCTTGATCTTCGTCAGGTGCGTCGCATCGCGTTGTAAGTCGTTAGAAGATATCGTTCTGACGAGCCACGACACAAATTCCTCAGTCTCTGCTACCGGCTTCCACTCCCCAGTCTGTCCTTGGCTCGACTGGAGAACGCTCTTCAGACATTGGACAAATACGGCGTCGTGCGAGTTCCTGTCGAGATCACCCACCAGCTAACGAAGCACATCAACGAAGACCCTGTTCGCACTTGCGCCGTCGCCTGCCGATACTCTCTGTACGATATCGCCAATCAAGCGGCCAAGGCCACCCGTCGAGACCTTGCTTCGAAAACCAGCAGCCTCCCACCCGATTATCTCAATCTCATGGGCCTCGAACACTACCAGAAACTTATACACTATCGCCTCCAGGCCAGCGAGACAGCAGCGCTCGTCATCCAACAATTCCCGACAAACAACGACGTGGATTTCATTAACGACAGTGACTTTGAAGTTTATGTCCCTGGCACAAGGAATAACGACGACGCTTGCACATGCCCGTGTATACGTTGGGGATTCGGCAATGACAGGTCGTCAGACGTTCCCCTCTATATAACGCCTTGGCTCGAGACGCTGAAGAGGGCGTGCTTGGCTGCGGTGCAGGAGAGACCTGATTGGGAGACAGTCTCTGCGAACAGTGCATTAGCTATGGAAGCGGTGAAGCCAGTTATGCGCTCAAGCTGCTCCGTCTGTGCGCGCGAGGTGCTTGAGTGCCATAAAACCCTGGCTTATATGGGCACAAGAGTGAAACAATCGCTGGAAGAGGTCAGTTCGTCGGTCTCCTCCCCTTCTTACACCACAGACGAGGAGCCACACTAACGAACTTGAACTGTCTATAGATACCTTTGCCATTCCAAGCTGGGTCTGAGAAATGACGAAATGGCGATCTCCCTAGGATTTATTGAATATGTATTTCTCGCTCTATTGCGCGTTGCATTTTCTACGATCATTATATGTTCGTTTCTGTAAGACTCCCGGACCGCTGTAACTAGCACACATCACGTATGCTGTATTTCCTAGCTGTCCGTCACCGCTCCTTTTTCGACTTGTTCATGCGTGCCTGCAAGCACAACTAGTTTTCCTTAGGAGCGTTCGAGCATTTGTTTAGGTTCGAATGTAGGATTCCCAAATGTCGCGCTATTATGCTCATCTCCTGGTGATTATACATAAAATTCGCCTCTAGACAGTGGTCCATGTGCGATCTCAGCGTGCTCTGGCGAAACCGCGGTGCGACCATCCGCTGTCCCGGCGGAGCGAACATCATCGTCGACAACGCCTCTCAGTCCTCTCGATCTGGTGCCCGTGGTCCAATCTGTACAGATGTCCGTATTCATTGTTTGAGCGCTGATTGACAGACCAGAACCAGACGGAAAAATAAAATGAGAGACGAAGAAAATAACTATCCCACAAAACAAGACATCATAACCGTTACATTCAAATCTCGACAATTCTACGCTTCCTCCTCGTCGCTCTCCTCTTCCTGCTCTTGGAGGAACTGTCGCACCAAAACGCAGTCAGTCTCGGATCCCCAGGGTGAAGTACGCGGCAAGGGGAGGAAGGGGGACAATGGTAGGAAGAAAGACATACCTTGACGAGCGTCTCGGTGCTCTTGAGGAAATGCTGCCTGCCCTGCGGCTTCGAGCCCTTCTGGTGCCAGTAAATGATGGCTTGGTCTGAAATACAGTCTTTGTTATACAACACCTGGAGATGTAAGGGTAAATATCAGTCGGTCATCGAAGGTAGAGCCACTCCAGGCGACGAACTTACCTTGAGAATCTGCGGGAACGCCTTCATGATGCGCGTATCTTCGTAACAATACACTTGCACGCTGTTGATCAGCGACACCTCCGTCTTGGGACCGTTGCAGAACGGCTCGAGAATCGGAGCATATTTCTACACGTCGCGTTCAAACCATGGTCAAAAAAGATAGTTCGCGAGTACTGGGAGGTGGGCTGAAAAGACGTACGGTAACTTCACGGAGGGCCAAGCCTTCGATCTGGTCTGCGCGGGCGCTCCAGTCGACGGCAGACATGAGTCCTTGCCAGAGGCAGGCGATGACTTCAGACTCGGCGAGAGGCCTCTCCTCGACCGTGGTCTTCACCGCGTTGACGATCTGTCCAACCAGAAGTGAAAGATTAGTCCACCGTCTCCTACGATTCGACCACCAGAAGGAAACGAAAACCGAACCCGTGAAGGCCGTATTGAAATGGGACGTACGTTGTCCGGCGTATCCTCGTGATCAAGCATATCATGCACGATCTTAGTGATCTCCTCCTTGATGAGCGCGTTCTGCCTCTTGGTCCACCACTCCGCGACTTGCGGGATCTGTTCCTTGCGGAAGAATTCTTCGAGACTCTTGTTGTCCCGCTTGTTGGGCGGGAAGAAGAGAGACAGATCTTTGATGTTGGCTTTCTTGAGGGCGGTGGACAGGTGCTCCATGGACGCCTCGGCGAGGTAGGCGCGGAAGATCTGCGCAAGGACGAAGATGGCGTGGTCTGTAGATCCGAAGTGGTGAGGTGCGTTAGTATCGTATGTGGGAGAAGGCAGAAATTGGGAGAAGAAATGGAGGGAGACGAACCATTCTTGACGAGGTGCTCCCTTGTCAAGCTCAAGAGGCAGGATGCATTGGCTAGGTTCTGGGCGATGAGGAGGCCCGTGCACATGGCGAACTTTGTCGTTTGAATCTGATCCCATTTGTTCACGTATTGCAAGAGGGTAGGGAGTACCGAAGTCTCCAATGGCTTTTGAAGGTATTTGTACCTGTCAAACCGCCAACCCAAAGAAAACAAGTCAAATGTGGTGAGCAAACGGAGGGAGAAGAAGATGGAGTACGGGGCGACTTTGTTCGCGTGTTATTGCGTACCTCCTGATGAGCTTATTGAAGACCTCAACATACTTCCTGATGTCATCTAACTCGGGCGGTTCCTTTGCCTGGAAGACGGAGAATGGGGAACTGGGGCCTTCCTCGTCGAGGTACTGGCCACCTGGCTGGAGGAGGCCGCCCACGATGAGGATGTCGAAAAGTGCGTCTGCATATTTGAGGAATTCAAGAGTGGAGCCTGCTTGGACTAGTTTGCTGGTGACAACTTCAAAGTCGCCAGGGGGGACTGCTTCGAGATGTTTATAGAGCTGGTCTCTGAAGACTATGAACACGGAGTCAGAGAATTGGAAAACGAGTCGCAAACAGAAACGTACTTGTGGGTTCGTGCTTTGCATGCGCCTTTACGGCGCCCTTTCTAGCTTTGATGCGTACGCCCTGGAGCGAAGGCTTGGCTGCTGTTTGTTGCTGAGACATCCACTGGAGAAAAAAAACGATGAGGAAGACGGCAACAGCAGATTCTGTCGGCCACTGAAGAGACGACCCCGCCTAATCCGGGCCACGCCCGGGCCACCTCCAAAACAGCCCATCGATTGCCCCTTTCGTCCCCAGATCTCACACAAGTCTCTCATCCATGGGTACGCCGTTTCAGATATACAATCATTGACGCCTTGCAATCGTCCTCAACGATTGTGCATATATAGCATCCGAAGAACAGCTCAACTTTAACGAAGCGCACAAGCCTCACGCCAACGCCATCGAGGCGTTCACCGTCGTCGAGTCCCAGCTCAAGGCTGCCATCCACAAGTCCCGACACGACTGGGACAAGCATGAGCCCAAGATGTGGGCTCGCGCGGCCGGTGTCTCTGACCACGATCTCACTGCGTTCGAATTTGAGCGTGACCTCGTCGCCGTGAGGAGCGCGTCGACGTCCTATGGGACCATCATCCTAGGCAAGCTCAGGATCCCCGCGATCAACGATGAGCTCGGGGAGGGCTTCGTTCATGTTCGGTGCGTGGATTTGTTTTTGTCGAACACGACCAGGTGTGCTGAAACATAACTGTCGTACTTGTGATATCTATAGCATTCACGACCCGCCCAACCGGGTACGTCCATATATCTACGCCACTTACATGTCCTGTGTTAAATATCCTGCAATTTATAGGGAACCGAGGACGTCAAGTTCCACTCCCTCTTTACCGACGAGCACAGGGATGACCCCGAGGCCCCACCCACCTCTTGGAACGCCGTCCAGACCGCGGATACCCCTCTCGAGTTCTTCAACGAGTAAATCTCGAACAGCAGAAACCATGCTCATACAAATGGCATCGGAAACGCCTGTAGACTCTCGACAGTCGCCAGGCTCTGTATATTTCGAAGATGGCGGAAGGACAACGGAGTGTGTAGGAGTCAGGATGCGAGCATGAAGATATCTTTTGACGATGTATAAATGGACTAACAATGAGAAGTGAATGGCATGTACCAATTGTGTTGGATCTTTGTCTTGCAACAACATCAAACTATCCGCCTTTGGGACCACAAGTCACTCCGCAGGAAACACCGTTCGATGACGGACAACTTCCAATGGACAAAGAACCCAGGTGGCGTATCAGGATCAAGGCGGTAACGATCATATGTGCTCTCCAACGTTCGTCCTTCTCATTCGAACCATCTTTCAGACGTGAAGGCTGACGAGTACTTTTGGTGGCGTACAGCCCGAATGGATCTATACCGATATGCCCATCTTGTTCATAACTCCAGAGGTCATCCAGCCGCTGCATCTCCAAGTGGCAGAGATTTACAGGATAAGCAGGCTTTGTATCTGCTTCTGGGGTAGATGAGCGATGGACGAGAACCTATCGCCTTTGAGAAGCAACGCCGAAAAACAAACCTCTAGTTTTACAGTTCAGTGGCTGTCAAGGCAGACACACGGACGACGTACAACCGTATGTGGCACCCACGAACTTGGTTCGAAACAACACCAGCTAACGTCACCATCAATCATCTCGAAGAAGATCCATGGTTAAGAAATACATACAGTCTCTGGGTGGCGCACAGTACAAATCATAGCATCAACAACGTCGATATCTCGGAGTCTCGGTGGCGCCACCGTGATATCTGCTCCTTGCCTGTGCTGTACCTGTATTATTATTATAGGACCTTCGTTCCCCCCAACAGCTCCGCAGAACCTCTGCGAGCTTCGAATGATTAATGGCGGACGACTCTCAATCAGTCTCACTTACGTCCATCGTCCATAAAAAGCTTCGGACATCTCCTCACATCGCATTGACAACTGTAGGTCCATATGAATACTGAAAACACGTGTATACATAGCTCACAACACTTTTCATCACTCAAGCACGGATTCAGAATCACGGAGATCTTTCAGGCCCCGCTGTTCATCTTACATAGGACCAACAGCAAAATATCCTCACGCACATGGTAGGGAAAGTGTCAATACCAGTACATCGATTACCTCCAACAGCCTCCAACGTTCATCTCTTCCCGAACTCGCCATAGACGGTGACACTCGCGATACACATACATGTATCTCCCAGGAACTAGAGCTTCCTGCGTGGTCCAACAGCTGTCGCACCATATCCGAATCATTCATCTTCATGCTATCCTCGTCAAAGCCATCACCGCACTCACCGCACGACGAACAAAACGAGCATACCACGAGAAACCTACGCCCTCAACGGTAGTAGTGGTGGAGTCAGAGCGGCGGCCTTAAATAAGCTCCCCGGATCCTCGCATCGCTCTGCTATTCCTGACTCAAAGTCCACTCTTGGGAGATCAGATGACATGTTTCATTCGGTCACGAACATGGACAGTAAGGGACCTGCAAAGATCTACTTGATGTTGACAGACATATCCTACTGTCGGCAGTACATACACCACCTCGCGCTATCTGTGCTGTGATAGATAGATACGTGAAGCAGACTTCGTATCGATACGAGGACGTCGACATCCCATCCCGTGGTTTTCCGACTCCCACCAGACAGTTATCTCGTTGCGACACACTTGCCAACACGTCCCATATTCGTCTTGAGTCGCTGGCCCGATATCCTAGAGTGGAGAACACGATCGAGAAGGCGGCCTTGAGCGTGGGCACTGAAACCCCAAGTAATCGTCCGGGTTCGTTCCGCAAATCATAGAGTATTGGGTAGCCATCGCTCGTTAGTTGTGGACAAAGAGTATGCATTGCCCCGGTGCCAACAACTTATCCTAAACCAAGTCTAAGAAGGAAACTTGAGGGCCGAGGAGAAAAGGCTATGCAACGGAGATTTCCTGCTCTTCGTAACTACCTTGATACCTTGATAGCGTCCTATACACGGCCGGGCGTGGCATGATGAGACATATGACTCGACACGACTTCGGTCCCCTGCTATCCAGCGCAAATTCGATAACTTTAAACCCTGTGATGAACTGATGCAGCCTCGGTCTTTGTATCGTCACTATCGTCACTTGAACACGATTGCGCCCACGGTGAGGCCTTGAGGTGAGGAAGGAACGACCACTGCCTCAAGGTTCAAACGTTCTTTGTGGGTGATAGGTCATGGTCATGATATGTATGGAATCCGATATGCGCCAGGACCCATATGTTATGGTCATATGTCTTTGCGAGCTCGAGGGGTTGAGTACCGTGTTACCGAGTGAGGACGAAGTTGGATAACAAAGTTGCGTCATGGGCGTTGGGCGATGGGCGTTAAACATTCGTTTTTGGCCACTGGCAGTCCGGAAGAGAGGGTGAGATAGAGCGATATGGTATGGCATGGAATGGGTATGGTACGGTGAACGTAGCTTAACTAAGTCGTGTCCCGGCCGTCGTCAGATTCGCTTTGAATTCGATATGCTGCAGCTGGACCTCCTCCTCGCCTGCAAGCCCACCTCTACCTAAAAAGGACTCAAACAGATATCAGCACCGAAACTATCACGCATACGATAGGGGCGAGTATTTCAAAGGTATATGGAATGAATGTTTGGCGGTACCGGTGTTAGAGACCGCCACGAAAGGACCATTCGCCGTAACTGCTGCCCTTCCCGCCAGTGCCAGTGCCAGCAGCCTTCAATTCGAATTCGAAAACAAAAAGACACGGGTCCGGTCGATATTGAATATTTGATATCCCATCGTCGTTACCGTCTTGCATCTGAATCTAAAGTCTGACTCGTGTGCGAAACTGGACGGAGAATGCGATGCCGACTGCAGTCACCAGTGAATAAAAGTTGCCGGTGGATTGACGACGCCGTCCGTCACGCATCAAGTACTGGCATATAATCGCGCCCTTCTCGGCGTTGGTGTCCAACCGTTACGACGAGTACGGTACCGACGGTAGTAGGTGGTATGATTGTAGACGCGGTGGCCACGGAGGACCCGTGGATCCTAGTCACAACCGTGTAGCGCCTGATACATGCATATGATGATGGCGGCGAGCGGCGATTCCGACTCGCGATGCTATTCAGCGGTTCAGCGGTTCGGAACACATTGTTTGTTGAACGTTGACTTCGACTCCGACGGCGAATGCGTAGGACTTCCGTCGCGGTGGCAATGAAAGAATAATAATGTCAATATCAACAGACCATTGGACACGAGAGACAGGGAGACCAAGACAGAGTTAGGAAAAAGACGAATATATACACAAATCAGTGTGGAGAAAAAAGGAGGACGAGAGAGAGGAGGATGGACATAGTGGAAAAACGAGAAAAATGCAAGGCAGAAAAAAAGGAGAGAATGAAAGGGAGAAGATGAGAGAAGGATTGCATGTGGCATACTTGTAGCTTTGGTTCCCCAGCCTCCCTGGACCATCCGAATGCTTGTATGCGTACGAGTATCGTGATTCGCGTTTGTCTGATGTCGTCCGTCGAACGAACGGACGGACGAGGAGGTCGACCCAGCTCGGATGCGAACAACGAACGACGGCCCACCGCAACTCAAGCTCAAGCTCACATAGCCTGCGCGCCGAAGATACGTTGGACTGTCTGGCTGGCGATCCCAAATGTCGACGGACGAACAGCGGGCGGACGCACAGAAACGTAGACAGGGAAAAAGAGGAATGGAACTGATCGCAGTAACGAACTACTGCTAGAGTAGACAAAAAAACCCCAAGGACCTCTCCACTCTCGCGTACAGCGACCGGCATTTTCGTCGACGGCACAACAATAAACAGCACGGATGACGACTGGCAAGGCATATTGACCGAGATCGGAAGTTTGGAACGAAGGGGGGACTGAACTACCCACGGGGAAAGATATATCTTGGGTTTTGAGAGTAAGAGAGAGATATGAGCAAAAGGTAAGAAGAAGTAAAAAGAAAGAAAAGGAAAAGGAAGTTCGACGAGGTCTAATATGTACAGAGGATGAAACGCAAGAAATTCAAACCTGGTGTTTAGTACACGAGACGGCAGTGCGCGAGTGAGTGCACGACACCTCGGATGAAGATTCGCAAGAAACGAAAGAAAAGAAAAAAGAAGAGGCATGATAAAATAAGGATGCATGAGAGAGATATAAGAAACACAGGACAGAGAGATGAGAGAAAAGGACACGAAGAAGGAATTTGTCCAGTCGCTGCACGAACCGTATCCAGTCATGTATGGGAACGAAACACCAACAGTGAGGGAAAGGAAATCACGAAAACACCTGTCCCGTACCATTCAACCGGCAGCGAAAGATGATAGCGCTACCACCGACCGCTCCACTCCCATCCCGCGTCGAATGCCATCCCAGGAGCGTTCACGTTCGAGCCCGAAGTAGTAGGCACGTTGCCCATGTTCGGTATGACGAATGTAGTGGCCTTCGGCGTCGGATCGGACACGATCGGCGGCGCCGCCATATCGCAGTCCATTTGAACCCCGAACGGCATGGGTGGCGACGATGGCGAATCCACGGCGCCGGCAATCTGGATGGTCCTTTCGTCCTCGGAAGGGAGGGTTTCTAGGGAGGATTCGCTGTCGGTCGACGAGGGCGAGGCGTAGAGTTGTGGCGTGGCGGGAGGCGTTCCGTCTGACAGGATCGACATGCCACGCGCGGGAAGCCGAGCGGAGTCGCCCACGCAAGACGTGGAAGACGTCGAGGCCATTGGTGGAAAACCTGACATCAGAGCAGGCCCAGAGAAGCCAAAAGGCTGCTGAGGGACCAATGGCGCAAAGACATTTGCTGGGACAGTGCTCGTGCGGCGAAGGGTCGACGGTCCTGGCATAGAGAAGTTCTCAGGCGCAGACATGAAAGACCCACTGGAGCTCGCAACCAGGCCGCTTTCGCTAGCAGAGCGAGAGACCGGGGAGCGAGCCTTGCTCGCAGGGAGCTTACCAACCCAGAGGCGCCATTCCAGGGCTTCACCAAGGGCCCGCTCGCATCTGCCAATCTCGCGGGGCGGCAGCCCCGCAAGCTTAGCCCAAGCACGGTTCGAATAACACTTGTCCTGCATAAACTTCGAAGCGAGGATTAATGCGGCAAGGAAAGCGCGGCGAGGGCAGAGAAGCGGCGAGGGGAGGGGGGGAAGGGGTGTCAGGTTTTCGGACTTGGGCTTCTTGGGAGGATAGATGGAAACCGGGCACTGCGTCGACGGTTCGCTCGGCGTTGCGAACGGGATGGCTACGAAGTCCGGTATGCGAATGGTTGCGGCACTGGAGTCGATGTAATCCGGGTTGACGAAGCAGGAAGGATCCATAAGGTCGAGCGGGACCTCACCGCCGACCGAGGACTGATCGAGTTTCTCGATCGAGATGACTCGTTCGCTCTGGTCGGCCTCGCCTCGTGTTCCGTGGCCCTGCCTCTCCTGGCGAACGTAGTCCGGCACCTTATGACGGATGGCTTCTAGATAACAAAGAGCGGTCTGAAGGACGCCCGACGAGGTCCGCGATCGACGCAGAACCTCGTGGACGAAAGACTTCAGGGGCGCGGCGTTGTTTCGAGCGGGGTCGTCGAAGATGGCGGTGGTGGTACGTTCTAAGGGGGCGGGCCGTACGGAAGGTATTGAGACGGGGAATGCGACGGGCGTTGGGTGTGTCGGTGTGGTTGGCGAGGGGAGTTGGGTGTATCGGGAGGTGAAGGCGTGTTGTATGTTCTGTGCATTGTGGAGATGAGGTGGTGTGGGTGTGGCGAGATGGACGGGATTGTTCGCGAGTGATGTGATAACGGCTTGTCGAGAAGAGGTGGAGAAGACAGCAGGGATGTCGTTTGGGTTCCATATTTCGCTGAGAGACTTCACGGCGTGGTCTGGGGGTGCTCGTTCAGGCGGGAGGGGAGGGTGGTGAGCACATAAATAATGAACGCACCGACTAGACCGTTTACATATCTGACTTTGTGGGCCTCGCGAACGAAACCTTCCTTGAGGGGGTGTGCGAGAGTTGCGGATTGTTTAAGAGCAGAACGGGTGGGGTCGTGGATGGGGCGAGTTTCGAGAGAGATTGGTGTTGGTACAGATGTTTGGGGGGTATTAAGATAAGAGCTCGAGGGCGACCGCGAGGAGGTGGACGGGAGAGATGAGTACGGCTGCCAGCGGGGGCGGGCGCGGGACGCGCCGGTGCCCCGGTGAGGAAGCGCATGAGGGATTGCGTGCATTATGAGTGCGGGTCGGGATTGTGTTGGAGAAAGACCAAGAGAAAATCGACGTGTAAATAAATTAATCAGTTGAGGCTAGCATTGATTTGGATGGGGGTAGAGTTAATGTTGTCAAAAGAGGGGCCAGAGAGCGAGCGAACGGAGAGGACGGTAAGAGCAACGGGAGTAAACACGGCAGGGGGTTCGCGGGGGAAGCGATACGAGTACATTGTGACCTTTTGAGGCAGAGGCGGAAGACCAGCAGATGCTGTGTCGCCCGACCAGAAATTATCGCCCGTTCAGCGACGCCGAGGGCTGGTTATATATCCTGTCTGGAGTCAGAGGCAGTCAAGAGGGCGGGGAAGAAAAAACGAGGAGTGCAGAGGGTGTGAGTCAAGCGCCGGGGGGTCAGCTACCTGCGAGTCACTCCGCCGGCCCACTTATATTATCTTCCGCCCAAACAGTCACAAACCCGTGAAGCCCAACGCATCGCCCCCACCCACGCCCCGCCTTTTCGGCCTGCCCTTTGTGCCATCGTGCCCATTCGCCTTTTGTTCCTCGCCACTTGGTCGTCGTGGTTGTCCACAACAACACTTGCGACCTCCAACCGCGCCCCTGCTCGGTCAGCACCGCGCGAGCCAATCAGCGCCCGCCTGTTCCTCAGCAGCGGAGCATGCAATTTATTGTCACAGCTCGGCGCCTGTCACGCCGCCCCCCGGCATCCGTGCCAATTATTCGCCATATTCATGACTCGTTCAGTTATGAAACCCGTCAGCCCCCTCCAGAGCACTCGAGGACGGTGCCAGGCAGGCGTGGTCCTGGCCGTGGCCCACCGCTCACGCGCGTCTTCCCGCGTCTATTCCGCGTTTCTCCGAATATCCCTCGTTCCTCGTTTGGGTTGGGTGGCGTCACGTTTCGCCCTTGACTCACAAACCCCTCGTCCGCCTTTCTCCTCCCAAAAGGAAAGGCCGGTGTGATCCATCATGACACAATCTGATCTACGCTATCGCGACCGTGTCTTGTTCTTCGATCGATACTTCGCTGCTGTGCCACTTCATCTCAGGGCCTCGCCTCCTCCTCTCTTGTTGTACTGTACAGTGTACTACGCTCACCTCGCAAAATCTTCCTCCCCAACGCAACCTGATCGCCCTCTTCCGGAGTTGCTGTGTCCTTTCTCGCAGTGGCAGCTGCAGGACGATAAGCGCTGCGTGCTGCAGCATCTCCGTGACATTGACACAGCCTCAGCTGTGGCAAACAGGCGATCTCCTTTCACCGCTTCGAACGTCTCCCACTTATCACGTTCCTCGTTGCACCGGCCGTGCGTATGTCGCCATGCTGCTGTGCTCGTGTTCTCAGTTTCCTTCCGTTCGCTCGCTCTCGCAGTCCGTCCACTCGTCCTTTTCTCCCTAGGTTCCTATGTTGGAACAAGAGGAGTCATCTTCGGCCGGTCATTCATCGCTCTGATGCACCGCTCCCTAATTGTATGTACTATGTACAGCGCCATCTTCGACTTCGGAAACGCTGCATACACTTTCCGCACCGGTGTATCTGTGTACTTGCTCCGCTGTGGTGTTCCGTCCAGTTACGGACCCCTGCTGATATCCTGCCGGTGATCTCCTGATGCCAAATATGCATTCTCGGGCCACGCGATATCCATGCTTGGGTGCTTGAGTTACAGTTCCGGCCACCACCACCATGATGCATAGGTCATACTGTACCCCTTCCATTCGACTGGGCTCGTGTAACCATGTCGTGGAAATTGGAAACGTGCTCGAATCTCTAACTCGTTTTGTTTATCTCTATGAAGTGTGAGGTGTTAGTTGTGCGACGAGGACGATATTGATATTGTCTTTTGTCGCTCGTTCGGGGAGTCTCGCTCCAGTGCTCCAGTTCTTGTTGATATCAAGTATCAAGGTATCAAGTGGCAAGTATCAGCACCCTTGTTTCGTCTCCACGATCCTGCTCAGGTAGATCACTTTTCATTATCATCATACATTGACAAGCAGATCATCCGAGTACACCGTATCCCGCATCTGCAGTCACCCAAGCAATCAGTCCACACAATCCGAGCATCCGAACATCCGCACTCGAATTTCCTTCTTCATCCAACTCGCCTACAGTGTACACTCACACCACATCTCATACCCATACCCGGATCCAGCGTGATCGTGACCCATAAGCCCACCAAGTCCTTCCCACTTCCTCACATTCTCATCCCTTCCCACACCGGCCTTCCATCTTCCATCTTCCCTCTGTCCGCCGAACCCGCACCCGCACCGTACCCGCACACACTCACTCACTCAACATAGCTCCTGGCCCAACGGGGCACGGGTACTTAACCGCCCAGAGCCTATGTAAATACCCACCCTCCTGAACACCTCTTTCCAGTCCCGACCTTATTTAGTAATCTTCTCCCAACTCCTCTCCTTTTCACTTCACTTCTCTCCCCCTTCTCCTAACACTGAGCTTCCACACTTCTATACAACACATAATCCCGAAGGCGGTCATCGAAACCTTGCTACCTCCCACTCTCAAATCCGAGGTTGAACGGCTTGGTTTAAGTGGCTAACATAAACGCTCTGCATACGCTCGAGGCCTGAGGCCTGAGGGGCGCTTGCCAACTCGGGAACTGCGTGCTTGCCTGCAGGGCTCTTTATCGCCGGTGTGTTCGGACCCGGTCTTTCAAGGTTCATGGATGCAGTCTTTATCGTGGCGTAAAGGAGTCGTGAACGTCTGTCCGTTGTTGGCGGTTTTTGTGCGTTCGTGTATAAGTTATGTGTGCATGGAGGCTGGAAGGGGGCAGATAAGCGTATCGTTTCGTGTTTCGTGTATCGTGTATGGATGAGGCATTGTACATGTAAGTACAGTGTTATAATTATTATCGGAGGAGAAGAACAAGGTTCAAGTTCGGGCGAATGGATGCATACAGCTCAATCATGGAAGATTCTAGGGTTCTAGTTTGCTCGAAAGTAGAACGTCCCTCTACGTTCTATGCACTCCTGTAACACCACCACCAACACCAACACACCAACACCAACGTCCGAATCTGTTTCGGGTTCTTGACTCTGACTCCTGCGTTTGTTGCAGCGCACGCACGCATCCATAGTTGAACAGGCCCCCGTTCTGAATCCTGATTGTTCGTATGTACGTTGTTCGGCGATATACATGGACACCTAGGCTTCAAGCTTCAGATTGTGGCACGAGTCACGGTGTCGTGCATTCCTATTCTTGAGTAGCCGTGACCTGCCTTGCCGTACGCCAACTGTATGCTGTGGACAGGATTCTCTGATTGAGATGCGCCAGACGCCGCGCTGTTCTTCTGAGATGCCGATGTTTGGGGTGCTCTGAACCTGCTGCATTGCGGTCTCACACTGTTTCATTGCTCAGAGCTTCCTACCTCCAGCTGTCCGCTCGCCTGTACCTCTTGTACACCTCGTCTTCAACTTCTCTCTGCATGAGCACAGGTAGTTCGTTATACTTGCGTTCGCATCAGGTTATGTCTCGAAGTCCTGCTCATTGACAGCTATTCCAGTCGAATGGAATTCCACGCCACATCATCTCGACACTGAGCTATAGGTCCCAGGGCCCTAGAAGGCTCAGTCAAGCCAAAGTTAGCTTTTCCAGTGTCCACAGCTGTACATGAACGTACACAAGGCCGTTTCTGAAACGACTGATCGACTTCAACACGACGAACCTTCAGCGTTCTCGAGTGTCAGTGGAACCCTAGTCATCATAATAGCAGCACGGTGTGCATTGAATCAATGACGCTGGATACACAGATATACGCACTTACGTGTGCGCTTGCACCCTCTACAGTTGTATGTATGTCCACCCCTTCATTCCATTCCATTCTGAGGGCCTGTAAGTTCAAGTTTGATTGATCACTGACTGACTCTGATTCGCATTCCAGCGACAACGACGGAGACAATACAGCATCGATCATGAACGCCCTCTGGCACAGTGGCCCATACCCACACCTCCGCGGATCCGAAAGACAATACGTAGGCGAGGACAAAAGCGAACACGAACAAGAACACAAACACGAACACGAACGAAGGCTCGAGTCCATCCGAGTCGTGGTTTTCCATACTGATCCTGACCTGACGGTCCCATTGGCTTTCCCGGCGGGTACGGTCTTCGCCAATCAACTCCCTCTCCATTGAACATTCCAATCCCAATTCGATGAGTATGCACATCGAGAATCGAGATCCATCTCTGTACATTACACAGTGTACACTCGTCCATCATCTACTGTACTTACCCACTCAGGTCACAGTGCAGGTGCGCACATGTCCTCCCGGCCGATCTGTACAGTACAAAGCTTTCGGAGCCGTGCTCACATACTGACCGTCTTGCCCCTTGAGTAGACCTACGTATTCTGACGAGCATCATGCGGATTAACACGACCCACATCCTCACCATGGCCACTATCGGCACTGTTCATCCGGACTTGCCACTGACTGTGACTGGCAGGACCAGCGCAATTGCAACCTCCTTCTCACCTCCGTAAGCTCGCCCAGAGGTCGAATGGAGACAAGAGTGCACAGTGTCGTAAGGCGCATTACAATCCACCTCTCGGTCTCGGATGGGCAGGCTCTCGTATTCATCGGACGTGCACTGGGGTGTCAGCCACATTAACATTGCTGGAGTAAGTCAGGTAATCCCTCGAAGGGCCGACTCGTCCATGAACTGCGGTGAGTAGTTCCAGTACTGTCATGAGCGCTACACCGGCACTGAGATGTACTGGCATGCACTGACAGCTGACGAGGAACACTGAGCAGGGAGTAATCCTCAGCAGACGGGTGAGTTTATCTCGTTATCCACGCCTAAAGACATACGCTCGACGGCGTGACACACCGTCCGTGAATGGCCACCGATGGAAAAGTTGATTGGTCATTGGACCCGCTGGTGCACACACAGCGACGGTCCCTCTACAGACGATCGTCAGTCTGACGCTGAACAATCCTCTACAGCTTTCACAGGCGCGCCGGCCGCTCACCGCAAGGTCGACCGCGAGTCACCGTGGTGCACACGCACCCTCTGTTCACCGGTCGGCATGAGCAATACGCTCCCTAACTCGAATAGGCCGCGTCAGCGCTGCCAAAGGTCCATGTTGTGAGTCTCATCCAGTCAACATTACAATAAAAAATTTCTGACCAACGATCGAATGAATTCCAGTCATATTTGAGCGTGACAAGCTCATCCAATCATCATGAGGCTGGCCTGCACTGTAACAACAAGCCGATCGTCCCGTTCGCATACTGCATGCAGCTGACTGGACGAACATGCTGGATGCGAGACTCCAGGGTGAGTAAGTAAGTGCCCGGGCTAACATGTGGGTATTAGATGGGCCACAAATGTAACGCGCCACCGGCCAAATTGTCAAGCAAATATTACAATGACGCGGTGCCGTTGGGACGCTTTGACGCCGGCCTCCCCGCTAGCGCCGTTGTACAGCAGTCCCGACTCCCGACTTTATCCAAACATAGAAGGTCTAACAACTTTCAGAAGAGTCAAAAGGTCGCTCGGGCGTTCCTGCAACCTATTCGGAACCGAGCATAGTAAAAGTCTCGTCACCTCGGTCCTCGGGATGGAGCGCGGGTGCCACACCGTTCGCCGCTCGTTGCCCCAAGTCGGGCTCCACGACCGAATATCACGAGGCCGAACGGAGAATTTTTCTGCTGATGACACCATTCCCCTCTCTAGAAAGAGAAAAAAAAAGCTACGGACCTTGTGCATAGCAGGAGCAACCAGGCGTAGGAGCATATGATGTTCCTCAGGTGCAGCAGGCTCCGGAGGCGGTGTCGCCAACGAATCATCGTGGAGCCATTCTATACAGATCCGTTCAAGATCCTTGAAGCCTGTGCGAGGAGAGGTCTTGGCTGCCAGTACTACAGCGTACCCAGATGTGCAAATTTTGCGGCGCTCGAGCTACTGTACTCTTTTAACATGCACCAGTGCTAATCTAAGTACACAGGTAGGTGGCAAAAACCCTAAACTACGCTTGACGATTTTATCGGGATTTTTTACTAGTAAGCTATGCTGTCGTCGACGTCGAGCGCGTCGACGAGTGCTTGCACCCAGTAATGCAAATGTTCACTTTTGGCGGGCCGGAAGCCTTCCGACGCGCGTCGCAAGTCGAAAGTGCATACTTTCGACATTTTCGAGCATTTTGACGGGACATGCTCGATTTGCGCCAAACAAAGTACCCAGGGACGATAGTATGCTGTATTTACATGTTGAGGAATATTTCCAGGGGGAACGGGGGAGAACTCGAAGAGTAAAGTCAAAATTTGCACTTCTGTAAGATTTGCACATCTGGGTACGGGGTAGTAGTGTCAAGAGGTACGTCCAGTGAGGCCCACATGATACCGACCGAGCCGTCATTTCAAGTATGGTGAGAAAGTAAAGAAAGAAAATTCATTCTGCTGGGTGCCGGTGACTCAGCCCAAGTCAGATTTCCAGGACTTCGACGAGACACGTACGCGTGAAGCTTGAAGGCCGGGGTTTCCGAGAACATTCTTCAGTTCCGGTATACATCGCCATACGCAACTATACGGTGTCAATATGCCGCTATGGGTGCAATTATCGCGAGCAATGCCGATGACACGACGACGTCGTGAGTGTGACTGGGAGCATGACGCGTACCCAAGGGTTCCGAGAGCACCGACGGCTGCAGAACGTAGTCAAAAATGGACAGAGAATGTAGCAGCGCCGGCTGCATCTCTCGAAAGGAATTATGTGCCATAACAAACTCAGCATGCTGAAGCCGAGGTCGACTCACCATGTCCGTTACACGGTCCTCGAGTCCACGCGTAGCGTCCTTCGCATTCCGGCAGATTTGGCCTTGTACAGCACGCACACACCCCAGTAACTGAACCAAGACATGTGCGGCGAATAGACAGCCCAGCGATGGCAATGTTTGGAACCACAGTCCCTTCGCCTGAGAGACAAGCCGTAAACTCGAGGCCCATAACCGTGAGAACAACTAACTAGAAACAACTTGAACGAGCCACGATCGCTTATTATTGTGGCGTCAGTGTCACCACTGCAATAGACTGGGTGGTAGGTCTACAATGTGCATAAATAGAGCTCTTCAGGATTCCACGAAGGTAGAACAGTGAGCATCATGTATCATCTGAGGCGGAAGAAGTACCAGTGGCACTTGCGCAGAGTCCTCCGAGAATGAGAATATGTACTGCAGTGACGCAGTATTCGTTTCGGTGGTTAAAGTCCCGAGAGCCGCTGCGAACGCAATCCTCTTCCTTCCGTAACGTTACTGCCTGATACGTGCACATGCGAAGAACATCAGTGTCTACGATAACATTGATAGGCAGAATGAGGAACAACACGAACCTCCAATAGCGTCACCAAGAACCGTACCTTGCCTGAGGTCTCAGATATTTGGGCCATAATCCCATTCGAGGCAAGAGGCCTCGTCTAAGCTATGGACGGATGACGCCATCCTTGCGGTCGATGAAGTTTTTTTTTTATGTCTTCATGCTGCGCACAACGATCTGAACCACACGAAAAACACACGATGAAGCTCAAGCACACGACGACGACGATATATCACCACACAAACAGTAACAACGACGAAGAAGCACGAACAGGTTTTTGGATGTACACGACCGTAGCGTAAACGAGCAATACGGGAGCAAGAGAAGAAAGGCTACACCCACCCACAGGATGATATGGATAACAAGACACGGGGATATCGACGATAAGATCATACTAGTACAAGCCGGATTGTGGTTGGAACCGAGGACTGACGAAACCTGCCAAGGAACGAAAACGACGAGACTGATACTTAGTAAACGACAGGAAGGGGGACAAGCGAGGTACATGTGGATGAGTGAGCCCTAGCAAGAAATGGAGAGCGAGATAGAAAGACAGAGAGAGAATAGAGGCCACGATGAGATAGATGGGACAACACAGGAAAGGACGTGGCAAGCATAAAGAGAAATGACTGAAAAAAAAATGCGACACCAAAGTCAGCGGTATGAAACAAATGATAACAAGGTAGAAAACGCACTATTTAGTAAGAGGGACCACCACCGTAGCCTCCCCTACCATATCCAGCCTGCCCTCCCCCCTGGTAATCGCCGCCTTGTTGACCAAAGCCGGTTTGAGGAGGGTAGGAGCCTTGTTGACTATACTGTTGACCGTAGCCTGCTCAATGAGTGGTCAATATGGAGTGTAATGCCTTGGACAGACCTCACGGACCTTGCTGGCCGCCGTAGCCTCCGCCACCGTAGCCACCACTCTGTTGGCCACCGTAGCCTCCGCCACCGTAGCCGCCACGGCCACCACCTTAAAGTAAAAAGGAGGTCAATAACAACAACGCCTAGGAAGGCTAAGAAAACAAACCACCATATCCGCCTCCACCGGAGCCTCCGCCGTATCCTCCTCCACCACCGAAGCCTACAAAAGACATTGAGTCAGAACATAAGACAATAAACCGAGAGAGAGAGAGAAAAGGTCTAACCTCCTCCACCTCCACCACCGCTGCCCTTAGCGTTGGCGAGGTTAACGCGAATCCTCCTGCCGTCGAGCTCCTGCTCGTTAAGGTTGTTGATGGCGGCGTCCGCCTCCTCAGGGGTACCGAAAGTGACGAAGCCGAAGCCGCGCGAGCGACCAGTCTCGCGATCCCTCATGACGATGGACTGAACAAACATAAGACAAGGGACATCACGGTCAGTCACCTCTGCACACGATCGACGGCGGCGTTCACATGCGATGCAGTCATTCTCATGAACATATCATCGGACGCGGAGCAGAACGCCACTGTGTTGACGGAAGAGAGGGCAGCGGAAGGAAAAACTTGCGCACATCAAGTATGGCACCGAACTCGGAGAAAGCCTAAGGGACGGAGGGACACGATCAGGATCAGGAGCACGGTCAAAGCGAGAGCCTCGCGGCATGGATATCACACTAACTTGGCGCAACGTGTCATCGGTGGTATTCCAACTCAAATTTCTAACGGAACGGGGTGTACAAGAGGAGGTACTATTAGTCTAACGCACCCCCTCCCTCTCGACGACGAGGGCAAGGAGAGAGAGAGCGCGCCGCGGAGAACGTATCATCGAGAAACACATCGGAGACTGACCCAACGTAAACCTTTGCAGACATGATGAATACAGAAACTTTGGGATCCTACACGGTACTGGAACGGGGAACGAGGCAGAAAACGAGACGGGGACCCGAAAAAAAACTTGGAGAACGGGGACGGCCGATTGTGGGGGGAGACCAGATGTGGACCTGGATGGTCGTTCTAGGGGTTTATATACCTGCTAACTTTTCAGACTCCGCTTCGAAGTCAGGACATCTTGAATCTAAAATCTGATCAGCTGCCCTTGGCTCGGGCAGATGGAAACTTCCAAGCGTTCCAGGCGCGGTTTTAGGGTTCCGGAACGATGGTCAATCCGATTGGAAATTCAAGAAATAGCATGGGCGTGTGAGAACGAACACAGCTGAAAACGAAAACGGGGAAGCGAAGAAAAAAAGATGTGGGAGAGAGTATGCTATACTACAAATGCGCCACGACCGTGATGGGTACAAGCTCCAGCAAATGGGAAGGGGGAAATGAAGGGGAGACTGGTGGTAGTGATTACCGTACGATATGGCACAGGCGGGGGAAGGGGAGTCATAGGGGTCGTGAAAAAAACAAAAACGGAAATCGTGGCAGAGGCGTAAACAAAAGACAACAAGAGCCCAACATTCTTCGCGGCGCAGACGCGAATGGGGAAGAGGCGGAAAGGCAATAAGGATGCCGAACCGAGTGTGGAAAGGAGATACGGCGAGTGTTCTCCATCACGCGCCTGGACCAGCACTGCCCGACATGCTCCTCCTCAGCTTCTTCCTATCCTTCTTCTTCTTCTCCTTCTCCTTCCCACCATCACTTCCCTGAACGCTCGGCACAGGTGATTCTGTCCTCACGGCATCCGTTACACTATCGCCCCTCACGCTGCCGCCAGCAGCACTCTCGTCCTTCGACGCGTCCCTCTTCAGACCAGGGATGTTGGGGATGCTGGGGAACGAGGACGATGTCGAGCCCTGGCGCTTAGTTGAGAGCGAGATCCGCCTTGCTAGCCTCTGGAAGTTCTGCGAAGAAATCCGCTTCCGTTTGGGCTCAGATTCAGGGTCAGGCGTCCCCGTACGCCCAGCGGAGCTCACTTCGGGCGCGAACGTGATGCCAGGAGAGGACACAGGAGGGTTGGCGTTAGACGCCGATGCATCATCCGACGTCGGGAACTCAATCGGACTCGACACAACAGCGGGCTCCTCGGATGGCCCTGCGGCCGCTACGATCTGTTCGTCGTCGTCGCCACCATCAGGCGAGGACGGGAACGCGACAGGCGAGTCCTCGGCAAGGATGGGGCCCGGTTCGTCGTGCGTGGACGGTGCGGTCACGTCGTTCGTGGGTATGTCGTCCGCGTTAGGTACGCTAACGTCGGCAGCAACGGCCTCCTCAGCAGGTGCCTCCACGGGGCCAGCCTCGGGAGCATCTTCGTCATTCGAGGTGTCCTGGGTCGGGCGTTCAGCCGCCTCTAGACCAGACGCAGTATCCGCGGGCTTGTCCTCGACCGAGTATCCTTGTACGGCCAACGGACGGACGGCAGGATCATCTGACGTCGCGATCTGATCAGCCCACATCGACGCGAAGATCCCGTCGAGCTCCAACAGCTCTTTGTGGCTGCCCTGCTCAACGATTTGACCATCTTTGAGAACAAGAATCCTAAACATAAACAAGGTCGGTCAGTCTAACTAATCTCCCGCACCGGAAAGGAAGGAGCGGGAAGAACTGACAGGTCGGCGGTAGCAATAGTCTAGATATAGAAGAGCAATTCAGTAAAGTTGATCATTTGACAGAATGGAGAAACCAGCGTACGGAAAGCCGATGAGCGATAGAGAGCGATGAGCGGCCTTGTACGAGATTCTGGAGAGCCTTCTGGATATCCCTCTCGGTGGAGGTATCGAGAGCACTGAACCCAAACCATTAGCACAGTACTTCGGCCGATAGAGCAGTAGTGACAAACCTTGTAGCCTCGTCTAACAACAGGATAGGTGGGTTCTTCAATAGTGTACGCGCAATGGCCACACGTTGCTTCTCGCCACCACTCAACCGGATGCCACGCTCGCCAACCTTAGTCTCGTACCCATCGGGGAAACTCAGGATCCTGTCGTGCATCTGAGCAGCCTTGGCAGCCTCCTCGATCTCTTCTTGGCTAGAGCCGAACTTGCCATACCTGTCAAACAGATACAAAGGCAGAGACAAAGTCAGTTCAAATAACACGAAGATAAGCCCCTTCGATCGCCACTGCCACCAGCGAAACAACTAGATCAAGACATACCCGATATTATACGAAATGCTTGCGTTGAACAAGACAGAATCCTGCGGCACGACCCCGATCGCCTTCCTCAAACTCGTCTGCGTAACATCCCTGATATCCTGTCCATCAATAGTGATCCGGCCCTCTCCCTCCTGTAGATCATAGAACCTATAAAGGAGACGGAGGATAGTCGACTTTCCCGCGCCAGACTCGCCGACGAGCGCGACCGAGCTGCCTTTGGGGACTTTGAACGAGACGGACTTGAGAGCGGTGCTGCGTCCGTCGTAGGAGAAGTTGACGTTGTCTGAAATGTGGCGAGTATTAGTATCGGTGGAATGCGATTATATAGGATAGATTCTAGACGTACCAAACTCGATCTCTCCGTCGCTGACAAGAAGGTCGGGTGCGTTGTCCCTGTCGTTGACCTCAGTAGGCTCGTTTAGGAGCTTCAACAGCCTCTCGGTGTCGACCAACGATCTTCACAACGTAACATCAGTAAAATAATTTGTCACATCTGATGAATAAGACTTACTGGTTGATGGAACGGTAAATGTAACCGAGGCTGTTCAGAGGACCGTACAGTTGACCGAGGTAGGTCATGAAGAACACAAAGTCGCTGGTAGAGAGCTGTCCTCTGGTGACACGCAGCGCGACGATCAAAGACCCGACCAGGAGACCGATAGTCTAAATAGGTAGCACTCGACTTAGACCCAAATGCTGATAAATTCGGAGATGATACTCACGATGATGAAGTTTTGAACCAGGTTCAAAAGGTTCAACGAAACTACGATCAGACCAATACTCGGTTAGATTATGTCCTACACAATGAGAATTGAGTATTCGAGACTTACGCATGACACGGTACTCCAAGCTCTGGTAGTCACGGATGGCACCGGCATACCGTTCACCTTCATGCTCCTCGCCATTGAAGTACTTGACAGTCTCATAGTTCAACAAGCAATCGGTATGGATTCCGCGAGTAATCTGTTGCCGCAGAAGGCGATGAGCGTTGGTGGGTAAAGGTAGGAGTCGGGATACGTACCACGTCCTTGTCGTTCATCCTCCTCCGCAGCTTCGTACGCCACTTCGTGAGCAGTACACTTGCGGTAGCTAGTACATCAGATGACCCAGCAGTTAGATACGCGACAAATCATGCGCGAACGTTCCGCAGGCAGATCGATACGCACCATAAGCGAACATGACCAGGAAGATGACCACCGCGATAGTCCAATCGAGTCTAAGCGTGAAGAAGACGAGCGCAACGATGATATCGATGATGGTAGGAATGATGTTAAACATGATCAACTAAGGAGATCGAAGCCACACGTAAGTCAGCTTTGGCGAGCAATGAGTGACTTCAATGAGTGAAGCTAAACTGACCTCGAGAGTGTGGTTGATAGCGGCGCCACGATCCAAGATGCGGAGGACCTCTCCGGTCTTGCGACGGGAGTGCCAAGCGAAGGAGAGATTGAGAAGGTGGTTGAACGACAACTGGGACATTTCTGGGTAGATGGCACAGACATGGTGTCAATTAGCGATGATGAGACTAGCGTAACACGAAAACGAACCTCGGTCGGAGTACTGCATCACAGGTGCCCAGAGAGCCTACGAAAGCATGAAGAATTGAGTACAAGCACGTACAACTTCGTAAGAAGTCAAACGTACATCACGCAACGCAGCGAGACCACCTGCACCCTGGAGGAAGCGCAACGCAGCATACCCGAAAAGATAAGGCCAGGGCGACTCGTTGGATTTCTCGTCGAAGATAGAAATGAGTTTCGCGAGAATGGTGGGGACGGCGATGTTGACGACACGGCCGATGAGCAGAAGGAAGATGCACAAAACCTGTAGGGCCACATTTTTTGGCAAGTCAACAAATGTAGCGTGAGTATAGCAGATGAAAAAGAGGGGACGAACAGCAACGAGTTGCAAAGCGCGAGACTTGGAAGGCCAGAGGAAAGGAGTGATCCGACGAAGACGGTGGAGGATCTCAGACCACGAAGGATCAAGGTTGATCTCCTTCTCCTTGGCGTCAGGCTATCCAAAGTTGAAACTCAAGTCAGCACTTTACGTTCGACGTTGACGCCGTGACACACGACACACCTTCAAAGGCGGGACACGCCCGGACGGATCGGGAGTGTGAGCCCTGGTGGTGACACCAGAGGCTGTAGTGTTGCCTCGAGAGGTATTACTCCTGAATGTGCCGTACTTGCTGGTCTCGGCCGCAGCGTTCGGGGAAAGGGCCGACGCGTGAGCCTCCGAAGGAGGAAGTAGGAGGGAAGCATCTGTTGGAACCTCTTCGATACCGTCCTCGTTAATGGCGGTGTATGTAATACGAGGTGTGATGAGAGCGAAGAAAAGTGGCACGAGAATGAGGACTCGGAAGAGGGGCAGCACGAAGTGGACGAGACCAGCGATGGATACTGGGAGACGAGTGTGGGCTGAATGGACAAATACACAAATGTTATTAGCGACATTGATGTTGAACGGCGAATATAGACTCACTGGACTTCGGGATGACGACACCAAACAAGGCCACTGTGGCGATATCGAGAATCAACGAGAGCAGAACCGAGGACTTGATCCTCTTGAACGACCAAACCTGCACGCCGATGGCATCCTTGTACGCTCCCAGAGCGGCCAAACCAGAGAAGGCGACGAGGCCTGCGATCGCATTGACTTCGATTCCGGTCCGATAGGGCCAGTTTTTGGTGAGTACGGCAAAGATGACGAAGGCGAGTCCATCGAGAAGATAGGTGAGAGAAGACAAAGAAAGAAGAGAGAGAATGAGAGCCCGACGAGGGGCTTGAGATGCGACGACGACAGGTGTGATAGGCGACGGAGACGGCGGCGGCGGGGGCTTTGAAGCGACAATGGAAAGAGCTGAGAGGAGGACGAGGCCGGGGGAGACGACGCGTAGTAGAAAGAGGGCGAGATTGAGAGGGCCAAGAGCGTCTGCCATGGCCGTCGTCGTCGTCGTCGCCTGTGTCGTGGATGTCGTGGGGGTCGTGAGCGTTGATAGAGAGAAAAGAGAAGGAAAAGGCAGAAAAAGAGGCGAGGGACACGGCGAGTCGCAGCGCGTGGCACGCCGTGCGCTTTATAATTATGAACTGCTCTAACGCTTATCCGATATCTCCCTCTGCTGTACATAATCTCTCCCTTCCCGAATCTTCCTCTTTCCATACCGTCTTCCCTCCTTCACAACCCTTATTGTTTGCGCTCGTCGTCGGCCTCGACGACGGGCCACCTGCTGCGTAGATTAGCGTCATCCCGAGCCCACGCCGCACATTATTGCTATCGACGGTTGGACGCGTCGCGCGCGACCGCGAGCTCGTAATATTATCGCATTGACGGCAGGGACGTCCTGGGCACTGAGTTCGCTACTGGCAGAAAGGTTTGCCTCGTGTAGCACGCGTTGCATCTTTCCACTCTTCTCGTCGATGTTCGCTCCATTCTACACACACGATCCAGCACTCCTTTGCACCAATCACCGCACCTGATCCGACCTTCCGCCCGACTCGAGGCTACCACGACCCTCGGCAGTGAGCATTAAAAAGGATAATGGAATCTCTCGGATGTGACGGTACGGAAGGGGGTCCCGAGATACGAATCTCGACGCGATATTGAACGTCGCCTAAAGCCTCCTTGGACAAGATGCTCGAAGGATTAGACCGGCCATCACAGAGTAAATGTCGTTTCGCGTTGACAGATCGCGCGGACCTTGGCCTCGAAGAAGCGGCATGGAACGTATTTGAGATTGGAGCTGTCTTTCTTCAGGGACTCAACTACTCACGAGAGTGTGCAGACAAATTCCACATACACATCCTCAATCACTTGCACGCGCCCCCGCATTGCGTTCAAGCACCTCACCGACCTCTGCCAACTTTGCTCTGACCTCTTCTACCCTCTCACCCTGTTTGTCCACCGCTCCCCTGTTTTGAATCCTCATGGCCTCCCGTGCAGCTTTCGCGAACTCGTACGAACGTGTGACCGACTCGTCAACCGCGCCGTTGGTGGACGATGCAGTCGAGGGTGTGGATTGAGCTGGATTTGAGGATGTGAGGACAGAGGCGAGGTCGACCTCGAAGGCGCGGATCAATGCGAGGTCTCGAAGGGTGTCCTCGAGGGGCAAAGGATTGGGCTTTGGTTTGGCGGCGGAAGACATGATGGTGGTTGGAGGTAAGTTCCGCTAGCGCCGTGTGTTAGAGTTATCAAGTGTGGCGTTCTATCGCATACTGCAGTGTGGCCCATAACAAGTGCATCAGACTTTAGTCTGCGGGCAAATGCTCGCTGCAATGATACGTTCACCAACAACCTCCTTCCAGTGCTAGTTTCCAAATACACTGGTTTACATTGCTTCAGCATACGCCCCCCACGCCGGCTCGGGCAACTGAACACCCTCCCAATACTTCCTCAAATACTGCTCCACAGTCTGCGGCTTCACATGCGGCAACAATCCGTTCAAATTTGGCTCAATGTCTGACCATCCGTCCACTATGGCAATTCGAACCTGCACAGAGCATCGTGAGCAAACCATATCCAGTCATTGACTTGCACTATTAGGATGAATGACTTGACAGCAAAACTGACCTGGTAATAAAACTTCTTACTCGGATCCTTTGCCAACTCCTCCAACTCACTCCTCCCCACATACTTCCTCAAAAACGTCCTCCCCGTAATCCTCTCCGCCGCCTCGACAATAGCATCATACGTTGTCGTCTCACCCACCATATGTCCCATCTCGGGCCACCATTTCTCCTTTATATCAAGAGCAGCAGCGACGAACTTCCCGCAGTCTTGGGCCGAGATGTACGTGACCCGAGCAGGATTGGAGCGCGAGCCGGGGATGTCTGCGGTTCCGGCTGGGATGTTGACGATGAAGTTCAAAGGACGAAGGCCGGAGAGGGCTTCGGTTTCGTTGCGGGGGGTACCGGCGACCAACGTGTTTGTCAGAATACTGTATAGGTAGGGTGCATCTGGTGAGATGGAGCCTGAGGGATCTAATCAGGAAGATACGCACCCGCAAGCAAACCGAGTGTACTCCAACCCGGAAGCCTCGCATGCCTTCCAAACCTTGATCTTGGGCGCGTACAGATCGACGCCCTCATTCGTCTACAAAGAGCATTAATTCAAAACCATAATGATCCAGTGACCCATCTGTCACATCAGCACAAAAAACAATCCCACCTTCATGGCCCACTCCGACGGCGCAAATCTCCTACACCCCGCCTCCTTCGCCGCCTCCAACAGCCTGAGCTGCGCCTCCCCATAATCTTCGTCAACGCTCACGATGGTCGAGATCACGGTTTCGACGCCTCGGAGAGCTGAGACGAGCTGGGCGTGGTCGTCGTAGGAGCCGACTGCGACGACGTCGACGCCACGGGCTGTGAGGTCGGGTTTGGGGGACCGGGAGAGCAGAACGATGGAGTGTTTGTTTGTGGCGAGGATTCTGTATGAGATTTGGGATAGTTCGAAGAGTCGTTAGTCATTTGTGATGGAAGGAGAGCAAGACGCATGGGTTGGGGAAAGGGAGGAGGAGGAAGAGACGAACGCTTCGAGGATATTACGGCCGAAGCCACTTGCGCATCCTGCCAGTGCGACTTTAACCATGACTATTTAGAAGATAAATCTCACAGTGATAAATCTCGAGGTGTTGACGGACTTGTTGTCCGAACCATCGCGGTCTTATATACACCATAGCACAAAACTTCCCGACGGCACCAGGGCTGTTGGACCCACTGGGCGCCGAAGATGGGACCCACAATGCATCCACTCATCAGCATGACATTTCTTTAAGTGTCTATGCGGCATCGAGGGAGGTCAGCCACCGTCAGCCACCAAGTCATGATCAGCCACTGCAAGATGGGTCGAGAACTTGGAAATCCACATGTAGTAGATCAGGTGAACAGTATCCGGAGCAGAAGCATAAGTCAGCGTAAGTACAGACGGGGAGTAATTGAGAGATATCGCAAATCCAACGACGTATATGGGTCTTCCACATACTAAAGGCTGCTTCGAGACGATGGACCTGAGCAGTTCAAGTCGTGGCTCCAGGGCTTCAGCTCAATGAAATCGCAGCTGAGCAGTACTGTTGTATGCATAAAGCCTGCCTCACATCGCATTGACATGTAGCAGAGATTAGTGCATTTGTGTACCATTTAAGAAGTGCTCTTGAGCTTGTGTTTTGACGACTTAAAGGATTAGGGAGGAAGTAGACTGAGCGTCGTGATCTTTCCACAGGTTCCTCTGCCAAGTATCGCGCTGGGTGCCAGGACCCGGGACAATGTGCACGGAAGTCTCGTGATCGCGTTTTGCCCTGTTTTGCCACGGCCAGGATCGCGGAAGGAAGGAAGGTTTAGGAAGGTTTACGAATGATGTTGTCCGGCGCGCGTCGGAGTGTTTCCAAACCTCGTCAGACAAGATGATCAGCTCACTGGTCCGGTTGAAAACTCGTCTCAACTTTGCGCAAAACTACGAACTTCGAGGGTCTTGCGATCTGCTTTCACTTCTATTGCATCTTACATAGCTTGTTGTTGATGACTTGAAGCCCGTTGACGCACTAATATCACCTCTCACCACCAAGAGACTCGCTAACATTCGCCTGATAGGACTCTCTGATACTTGATACAGATGAACCCTCCTTGCACCCAAAGAGAGGCTGGCGGCCCATTGCCCAAACATGACAGTGCGTGTCTCGTCATCTTATTCCAACCCTCAGGATGAGCCGCCTTTGTACCACTGCAAGCATGGTGTTGTTGATGACCCCAGGCCTCAAAATGATGGTCTCGTCAGGGCAATCACTCATGAGGCTGATCCGTTCTGGAAAAGCAATGTCACCGATGCTTCTTTGTGTTCACCGGGCCATATGTGCTCAGAAGCACCGTGCCTTCAGACTGTTAGCATACCGCTACCATTGCGAAGAGCGAAAGTCCCATCTCGACAGTAGGTATATTATTCGGCTTATCAGCACATGTGCCTTAGTTATGCTCAAAATGGCCGGCCTCTGCGATGCTCGAGACTTGATGAACTCACTATAGTTCAGTGCCTTGATGTGGACAGACATCTTTGAGTGATTATTGGGCCTGTGCTGGATGTTTTCGAAAGGTTGATCATTCTCGAGTATGGCCTCGCGGGACCGTTTTGCCATCTTGTATTGGAAGTATGAGGCAGTATAAAAGGCTTCCCTTGAATCCAACGAACTGCCTCAGGTTCAGCAGCTCTAGCTCTCTCTCAGCCATGCGTAGCCGACTTTCCGCCCTAGGGTGCTCTTTAGCATTCATGCTCTCGCATGTTGGGCGGGTAGCGAGTAAACAGGTCTTTGCCCATTACATGGTACGTCAACCTGTTTATTCCTGTAGCAGCTCCCTCGGGACTAATCTCTGCATATATGTAGGTCGGGACCGTCACTGAGGAGCATGTCCAGCAAGATATCAACGATGCCATGTATGTCTGTCAGTGTTTCCGGCACTTCCTTTGGCTGACTCTCTCGTTTTCAGAGCTGCAGGCATCACGGGTTTCGCTCTCAATATTGGCGACCCGTCGGAGTCGTTTGTGAGCGACACGCTCCAGTACATGTTTAACTACGCCCCCACCGTCGGGTTCTATCTGCACATCAGCATGGATATCTGGGCTTCGGGAGATGCTGACGGAGGCCATCCCGAGCTCTACAACGATATCCTACAGGGTTACGTTGCCAAATCAGGCTACTACCAAGCAACTGCCGGAATGCCTTTTATCACGACGTTCAGTGACGGTGGACTCACTGCCGACGAATGGGATGCCTGGAAACTAAGTGCCCTAGCGAACAAGCTCTATTTCTGTCCCGACTTCGACGGTACCGCAGGCTACAACACAAGTGCTACAGAATGGTGGTGCGTGCAGTGCCTTTTCTACCTCTCATATCACGGTCATTCATTGATGTCGTCTTATCTGTTGCGCAGGGACTACTGGGGGGACACTGTCGATTGCGTTTTCAGTTGGGACGCGAGCTGGGAGGCTCGGCCGGGTTACTCTGGCTCTGAAGGTCCCGGATCCATAGAGATTGACGAAGTCGTGATCGCAGGCGCGAAAGCTCGGGGAAAGAACTACATGATGGGTGCGTATCTGCATGTTAATGTCTAGAGTCGTCGTTGACCGCTAATAAAACCACAGGGCTGAGCGCTTTGCAGTACAAGAACGCGGTAATTACCAGCAATTGAACCGTCTCTGAGGTGTATAACATGCTCATAACATACGCTTACAGTACTCGACAAATATATATCGCCCCGGAGAGATGACACTAATTAATCGGATGGTGAACATCCTGGGCATGTCTACGCAGCCAGACTATATTGTCGTGATTACATGGGTAAGTCTTCTTATCTTCCACCACTCAGACGCGTACTCACCTCGCTTATGGTCCTCAGAACGATGGTCCAGAGAGCCACTATGTTGGAAACATCTGGCCAGAACAAAACACCGATGCAGACCCTGCACGTTATGTCAACTCGGACGCTGAGTGGTCTCACGCTGGCTGGCAACCCCTCATTCACTCCTTCTCCGACGCGTACTTTGCGGGCGGGAGTGTGTCATCTATGACTACCCCACTCGGTTACGATGGAACCGCTCTCGGTGCGATCTGGTACAAGTCTGTCCTACAAACCTCCACGTGCTCGAGCGGCGACCACCCTGACGGCTGGACACTCGGCAAGGATCAGATCAACTGGGCGATTGTCATCAAGACTGGTACGGATACTTCTAACTATGTTCTGCGCATCTTCAACGGCGCGAGTACGACGGAGAAGACGGGTCTGACCACGGGCCTCAACTACGGCTCGGTTACCGTCGTTGCCGGCACTCCTTACGCTGAACTGTACGACGGAGACACTCTCGTGTATATCGCCTCCGGAGGTCGCGCGGTATCATCTGGATGTCCAGACGGTATCTTCAACATGAATGACATTGTTGTGGGTCTCGCTGCGGCCCCGGTGATCGGCTGTTCATCTCTACAGCAGGACGTACTGGTGAGAATTTCCTTTGGACTGCGTCGCTGAGCCTCTCTGAGCAATCGTCACTATCCTCTCTCTGAAGGATGCTTTGAGCAACTTGATGTCCAATACCGTCGGATACTGGGAAAACCGAGGCACGTTTCTTCCCACCCTTGTTTCCCATTTGATATCCTCCTGCTAACATTATATCAATGAAATAGACTGCGAGAGAACTGGTGTGTTTCTATATTCGTATGGCATCACTTCTTACGGGATGTCTAATGGTCGCCTTCAGGTATATGTGGTCACTTCCCGGAGGTATGAAAATTTCCATTCACGATCCAGGCGCATACGTTCCTCACACATGCGATGTCTTACAGCCTGGCACTTCGTCGCCCGGCCTTTCCGCCCAAGAATGGACGAACGTGAACTCATTCGAGACCATCTACAACGCTATGTGGCAAACGGCAAACGTAAGAGTGATTTCTATCGTGAAACCTGAAAGATACTGAACGCACCGAATGCGCTGCAGACTGACGATGATGATCTGATCGAAATCCAAGATATTGTCCCGAACATCGACCACGGCAGCGCCAACCTCCTTCCCGTAACGGAAAGTTATAGTATGTATTGTCTACCTCCCCAGATGAAACGCTACTTATCGAGATGAATGGACTTTCGCAGCATCACAAGATGGTATGTGTGCATACTTCTCTGCAAAGGAAAGACCGAGTGTTGAATGCGTGTATAGACGCCGGATGGGCTGGGGTGATGTATCTCAAGGTACAACAGTATAACGACGCGCACGGACTCCAGAGTGGTTCGTCGTATTACTACGTGAGTACTAGTCTTCGAATTGGGACATTTCCGGGAATAAGATTTACCTCCCGCAGGATAAAGCCGTAGCTATCCAAAAGGGTATGGCTGATACCTGGCTCAGCGGGATTGCATGTGGCGGTGGCGGTATGTCTGAATTCATTATCGATTTTCTATGCATTCGTACTCAAAAACTGTTGTCGTAACAGTTCCCCAGCTCACTAGCGGCGGCAGCCCCAATACCATCACCACGCATCTCTTCTTCTGGCTTTCTGTCAACTTGGCGCTTTACTCTGACCCCGATGGCTCTCTCCGTACCTGGGCTGACACGGTAAGTCGAGGTTCACCGTCCGCTCGTAATCTATCCCACTAAATAGTCGGATTGTTAGGTCGGTGCTTGGTATACGACTGGGAAAGGCACTTCCTTGCGCGATACAGATGGCCTCTATTTCGACGGTCAAGGCGCAGACTGTGCCAGTCCGGATAACCACAGTAAGCCCTCAACTTAGTACATATTCCCAATGCCCGTGCTAATCTAACCACTGTTCTCCCTTATGCAGAGTACACCTACAACCAAGGCCCCATCTTGTCCGCGCTCGGAGCCATGGCTACACTCACGGGCGATCAATCATATATCACGTTTGCCTTGACCACACTGGACGGCGTCGTGAAGGCTGGGTCGTCGACAGGTCTTCCTCAGACAGACTCGTCCGGCAGCGCTTTCCTTGAACTCCCCAATGGTATTTTGGCTGAGTGGTGCGATGGGACCGCGTCGAGTCCGGATTGTGACCACGACAAGCAGTATTTCAAGGTTTGTGACTAGCTCCTTCACACGAGGACTGATGGAACTGATGGGTTGTCTTATCCAGGGTGCTTTCATGAAGGTAAATCTGATATTTCCTCCCATATGGATCAGAGTCTAGTACTCAAGTCAGTTTCCTCCAGCATCTTCAATACTTCCTGGACAATGTAAACGTCAGCATCCAGGCGAAATATGCAAGGTACTTAGTATATTCTCTTACATTTCGAACGCTTCTAACAAACTACGTGAACCGTCTATAGCTTCGTAGGGGCACAAGCCTCTGGCGTCATCCACTACGGAACAAATTCTGACGGCCTCATCGGAAGTGTGTGGTATGGTGCAGAGTAGGTGTTCTTTGTATCAGCGTCTTTGCACGCGTTACTCACCAGAGCATCTTTTTGTAGTGAGGGAGGCTCGATCTATAACTACAAAACACACACCGCTGGACTGGATGCCCTGAACTGTGCCCAGAAGGTTTGTCAATCTCACCTTCTGTCAGAAATGTAGACGCTGATACCCCTATCTCTCTGCAGTACGCTCAATGCTGAAGAGCATGATGGACAGTTTGAAAACATCCGACTCCGAGCACCAGGGATTCGAAGTTTATGTTAAGCGGTAATCTATTGGGTTGGGGTACTTGTTCTATTATGTGGTCTCGCTGGGTCTAACTTATTCTGCTGGGAATCGACACTGAATTTATCATAACTTATTTCGACATCCGTTCTGCTTCTGCATGTCTGCTCTTCGCCGTCGGTGACGATGTCACCGCCACACATATGAGTTACCAGTTGCAAGTGCGTGCACGGTGGGTCGCATCCCGCAATTCAACCTCGATATAACTGTCAAGGGCCCAGCCCTGGTTTGTTACATGATGATAGGCGTATGCAAGTATGCAGATCTGCTTTGAAAGGATATTACGCACGTGACCGCGTATTTTGAATTTCGCGCAAACCAAACGCGTGTAAGTATTTGCTCCTTCTCTCTTGACCTTCGTGTGAGTGCGATGGAGGGTCCTCCACCCTCAGATGCTGGACCTTCAAATACCAGCCAATCTCCTCAGTCATCTAAACCGCAGATATCGCAGCAGCCCAGTGTCACCGCACACGTCCCGTCGTATCAGCATCTTGCTCCCCCAAACACTCAGGCTTCGTACTACAATTATCCTACAAATTGGTCTCATAGTGGTAGCTCGACCGTACCATCATCATGGTCGTCTACTGGGCCTGCGAATTCATACGATCATGGGTCAAATTATCAACAACCACAGTCATACCAGGCCCAGCAATGGCAGCAGTATCAACAGTATTACCAACAACTGCAAGCTCGCCAATCACGCCCTTATGCTCCCTCTCATCCTCCATTACAAGATCAATCGCAGAATCAACCATACTCCCAACCATACTCCCAATCATACTACACTCAATCTCCATTCGCACCACAAACATACACTCCTCAACCTTCTTTGCCGGAGATACAGGCTCCTGCACCTTCAAAAACCCCAATACCATCACCTCCGCCGCTAGAACTGTCCAAGGACTGGGACGCTGCCATATATTCTTTCTTTACCAGAGCTGGATTAACGCAGGCCAAGCACGGTTTTGAGGCAGACATGATGGTTCTGAACCCCGAGTGGGAGGCTAAAGAGGTTCCGTCAGCTTTGAGGGAGCTGCACACAAATTTGACGGTGCGTATCTTTGGTTTTTATCACCGGGATGTGCGCGAACAATGATCCTCAGTGATTGATGCGCGGTATAGAGACTTCTGAAGCTCGAGGGTGCTTCTACGGATGAAGAGAAACAAGACGAAGGAGAGAGCATGCCCATGCAACCACTGCCTGGTCCAGAAGCCAAAGAGGACGGCGAGGCGAAATTTCAGTCCGAAAGACCACTTGACGAGCGCAAGCTCGACTACATCCATTCCACACCAGGTGCCCAACCTCGTACCCAGTCCTCCGTACGTATATTCATCTGCGCGCTAGTATTCGAAACCTGTTTCGTTATTGTGACTTATCTTCGAATTGGCAGGTCAATAAATCTATATCGCAACTACTCGCGCGTAACCGACTACGAAACGATTCCTCCAATCGTTCTGAGTTTCTATATCCGCATCCTTCTAAACGGCGTCGTATTGATGGGACACCTGGCCCGTCCTCACTCAACACGGGCTCATGTGCACGCACCGATGCAAAGCCGATCAACAGGGACGTCATGATGAAATATGACATAGCAAAGAACGAGGAGGGACCTTTGAGGAGGACGACGAACGCAAATGCAAATGCAAATACTTCGGGTAATGCTTCAGGTTTGGATGCTACGAAATGTGAAGCAGGCGAGGATGTGAGTGCGGATATGGGCGTCGGGGTGGGGGCGGATGGGAAGGAGTCTGTGACACCTGAGCGTTACCCGCCTTTGGACGAAAGATTGAAAAACTTGGAGACGCATCTGGCAGTGAGATATGGTGCGTTCTGTCTGCACTGTCTCCTCTCAGAATATCTTAATTGAACAGCTTTTATGATCTAATCTTTGTACAGTGCCTTCGCCGCCAGTATCTTTATTATATCGTCTGCAGTACCTCGAAGACCATATCATACGACTAGAGAAAGACCACCCGCCATGGGCAGCTTTGCACTTCAACCAGCCTCGCCGCGGTGTGAGTATTTTCCTTTTTTCTTGCCCAGCTGAAGCTCATCCGTTTGCTATGGCTACAGTGGCCACCTCCACCTCGCCCAACACCAATTATTGTTCCTTCTCACCTGACATCATCTGCACCCCATTCGTCCATTGGCCCAACACAGACATCTGCATCCGCATCTCCTTCAGCAGCTGGTTCGTCTAATGTGACTGAATCCAGCGGTATCTCGCCGTCGAGTACAAACCTTACAGAAGGAATAGGAGTGGGTAGTAGTGGTGCCGCTGAGGGAAAGACTAAGAAGAGTAAGGGGAGGCAAAAGTCGAGTCTGCATAGAGCTGTATTGGAGAGACTGGAAGTGCAGAAAGCTATGAGCGACTTGAAGGGAATAGGACCAGGATGATTTGGTGTTTTTCTTGCGCTGTGGGGTTGCTTGCTTTTCTTCTAGTACCAGACTTTTGTTCGTCCCAGTAGAAGAGCCCGTCGTCGAGTTTGAACGAGACCGTACCATTCAGATAACTCCCGAGAACTGAGTACTGAGTGGCGAAGGCATGTGGCCCAAAACGGGTGGCCCTCACCGTCGGCGCCACCGGTACCAACGCGTCGCGTCTGGGTGTGCAGTCGGTCACTGACCGTCCATAATGTGCCTGAACTCTTCCATGTACCGCCAACACCATGACGAGCTCCCACCAGAGCTCATATTATCCATCCAGCGTATTCTTGAAATTCAACCGGGCCCAGACAGTGATCCTTTAGATACACTCTCTGATGACTTGAGTACTACCGACATCCTCAACTCTTACTTTCCCGATGGTCAGCATCCCACGTCCTTCATAACCTTGCGTATCAAGACTGACTAGTCAAGTTCATGGGCGTCGTTCTCAACTCAAATATCCTCTGGCATTAAACTCCATACTGGGTCCATAATATACAGAGGCCTCGCTGGCGCAGATAGATGCCGTCCAGGCCCAGCTCGCGAAGGATGAAATGGCGCTGCAAGATGAGATTGCTGCATTGCAGGACGAGTTAACACGGCAACAGGATCCGGGGAGGATGCAGCTCATTCAGGAGATGATCTCAGTGCGCCTCCTTTCTTGCTAGTTCATACCGTAACAACGCAAATGAACAATTTGGTTGTCGGAACCTGTGCAGGATCTACTAGGCCAGATGTCTCGTATCAGAGAGAAGGCCACGGAGTCAGAGGCCATCGTCCGAAATATCACTAAGGACATTCAGGTTTTGGATTTGGCGAAGAAGAATCTTATTCTGAGTATGACGACGCTGAAGAGGATGCAGATGCTCGGTGCGCTTCCGGTGCACTCTCCCTGCCCGATTCTTGCTTTCTAACGGAGAATCCGTACAGTCAATGCTCTTTCACAGCTGGACGACTACATTAAAGACAAGAAGTACCATGAAATCACGGAGAGTCTCGCCGTACGTCGTCGCTCTTGATGTTGCACTTGTGTGGCGCACATTCGGACTGACATACGTTGTACAGGCTGTGAAGCAGATTTCTGCGTCGTTCAAACCGTATACCTCGGTCCCCCGGATAGCGCAACTGTGGAAACGTATACAAGAAGTTCAGGGCGCAATCCGAACCCTGCTTGAAGCAGACTTTGATACCTAGTACGCTCCATCATATACCTATTTCCTTACCTGCGCCACACAATATTCCTCCAATCACCCTTCCACGCATGTTCCCATATTAATCTTTGTGTATTCTGAAGTTACCTACAAACCCCTGCCGCTCCAAAACCTGCCACCCTCCTTGCCGCCTGTTCCACCGCTGATATTCTAGGCGAAGACGTCCGCGCTTTCCTCACATCCCGTTATGTTTCCCTTCTCCTCGCCGAATACCGACGCGTATTTCGATTGACGGACGAGGCTGGACAATTGGATAATGTGAGCCGGAGATTCGCCTGGTTTAGACGGGTATTGAGTACACACGAGGGTGGTCTTGGGAGAGGGTTCAAGGAAGAGTGGAGGGTTGGATGGGCTCTTGTGCAGGGCTTCACGGAGGTTACCAGGTGCGTTGATTTACGTGTGCTGAGATCCTGACATTGACAGTCCATCGAGTTCAGGGATGATATGGCAGCTCTGTTGAGCAAGGCGGGCAAGGACTTGACTGTAGCCATGCTTTTGGACGCATTGCAGCAGACGAAAGATTTTGAGAACTCGATGGCGAGGAAGTTTGCTGTCCCTGTGAGTCTGTACTTTAAATACGTCCCTCAGACACCTTTTTCACAAATTAACGGATGCTATCCGTAGTTCAGCGAAATAATACAGGCTTTCTCATCGACCCCCACACGGCCTGCTCAACCAATAAGCGCCGCATTTGAACCACACATGGGCGTGTATGTCGATGCACAAGACAGGCCAGTTCTCCCGTCCACTCGGGTGAACTTGTCCCTTATTAGCGCTCCCTTGCAGATCCATCTCAGACATGCTTGCCCCTCATCGATCTTCCTCCAAACCGCCGGCTCGGACATCCCTCGATACTCAACTGTCTGCTGGGCCAGAGAACAACGGAGATGACGAGGAGGGAGCGGCTGCCGTTCTGCCATCATCGACTGAGCTGTTTTATTTCTATGGACAAACGCTGGAGGGATGTGCCATGCTCTCAACTGGAAAGCCGCTGTTTGATCTGTGTGAAGTGTTTAGGAAGTGGTTGAGAGTCTACGCTGGTGAGTTCGGTGTCACCTTTGAACCCATTGTGTTTTTAAAGCCCTGATCTTGTCTCGCAGAGGAAGTATTGGTAGCTAACAGAAAGAGGTATGTTGCTCTCCCTGTTCACCCTGAGCGGCAAGTCAACGTCTGCCAATCTGTCCGTCAATAATGGCAGGCCGCCACAACAGGGCCGACGCTCAATGGACACTCGATTCGATCCCAACGAGGTCAAGAACGCGTGTGTTCTCATCAATACGGCCGATTACTGTCAGACAACAGCGCAAGAGGTCGGTGCTTCTTTATCTTTACCAACCATGAACAGGGTTGGGCTGATGTGGCGGTGGTTTTATAGCTCGAGGAGAAATTGCGTTCGAAGGTGGCACCTCAGTATAAGGAGAAAATATCATTCCAAGCGGAATGCGACCTTTTCATCAGGCATGCCCCTGCCATCAGTCTCGTTTAAAATGTGTCTAATTAGCATCACTCCAACAGTGTTGCATCATCAGCTATCCTCCTTTTGCTCCGTGAACTTGAAGTAGCCATCGATCCTTCCCTCAATACCCTCACCCGCACGCCCTGGGGCACAGATGTTACTGGCCCGTCGCCGTTTGTGGATGAGCTGGCTCGGGCTCTGGACATGGTCAGCGAGACGGTGAAACCCCTCGTAGAAGGCAAAAAGTATCTGAGGAATTTCTTCGATAAGGCGGCTAGGTGTGTTCTCGTGCTCCCTTGTGTTTTTCCGCTGACTGATACACTGATGATGTGGTGATGATTTTTGACAGCTTGGTGATGGCGAAGTTCACAAACTCACTTGTGAAGAGTCGACCGCTGAAGGAGAATGGAGCTGAGCAGGTGGGTCGTTCCGATTTCGATTGCATTTTTGCGCCTAGCTCACGTCACAACTGGTGTGCAGCTCCTCATTGACTTGGCTGTGCTGAAGACCTGCCTATTGAAGCTACCAGGCGATACATTGGTTACGGCGGGGTAAGACATGTGTTGATCGAGCTTTTGATTATTGGAGCTCAATGTGGCACGATGTTTCGGCAGGTACACCCGGAGCGTTACAAAGAGTTCGCAGCGGCTAGAGGCTCTGCTGAAGGTCATTGTGACGCCGCAAGACCCTGCGGAAGGCTTTATTCTGAATTACACACTGCTCATCGGCGATGCTTCGTTCTCCAACTTCCAAAAGGTACGCAGTACTCGGGTTTCCCCTGTCCGTGCTGCAAGACCTTATGAGACGGTTCTTCATGTTTCTCTACCTCAGATCCTGGATCTAAAAGGCACCACTCGCGCCGCTCAAAACGACCTCCTAGACTCCTTTGTGACCATCACCTCCACTAAGCCTGAACTAGAACAAACCTCCTTCCTCACCTCGCTCGACATGGACCCCCACCCGCAACAATCCCAAATACACGCCTTCAGTCAATTAGGAAATATGACCAGCCCAGGAGGCTCTCGAGTCTCGTTGCCTGGCTTATTGGTGAATTCCGGTGAATCGGGGATGGTATCGCCGCCTCCGGGTGCGTTGACGCCGACTGGGTTGGGACCTGGGAGTGGGGCGGAGACTCCGTTGAGGGGGGAGCAGAAGGTATTCTCAGATTTCAGGAGGTTTGTGAGTTTCGGGTTGAGGAGGGATACGGCGCCGCAGTAGTGTGGACTGTGGCAGCAGGCACGACAGGAGGTAGCAGGATGTTGCTGCATGTAAACGGATTTGGATTCAAATAGATACCCGCTTGGAATCGCATGAGTAAGTTGCTTGCAAGCTCTGGGCATCGATGAATGCAAGGAAGAATTTTAGATGTGCTACACTCAGCTGCTCGAACGGCCATACACCGCCAAGTATAATATCGTACAATGTACACTACAGATAGGTCAAACCGCGAAGCCCAAAAATCGAAAAGAAGTAGAAGTGGACTGGAACACTTGCGAAAAGCGAAGGAGCGTATGGACACATGCACGAGCAACGCAAGGGAATGAGTGTCTCTGGATCAGAGCATCGTCGAAAGCAAATCCATAAATGTGGGGTTGGGTATGAAGTGAAAATGGTTGATAGATGAAAGAGTAAATCAAAATGCAGAGATACGACAAGAAAAGAACTGTAGGCAGTGTGTGATCACCGACATTAGCAACAACACTGAACTCGAAAGCGGGACACAAAGATGCAGTAGGAGAAGCAAAAATGAAGGACTTTTGGTCCGTATGGTACAACAAAAACATCTTCGTCCGTGGCCGCAATGTTCATGAAGAAGATAGCAATTCTCGAAACCTGTTCGAAAGGATGGCATGCAGAGATCATTCGTAGTCCACCCACGGCCGCGTGCTACCGTCATGCGTGGCAGCCTTCCTCACCGTCTCCCACTGGGTCTACCCAACCCCGGTGCAAACCTTAGCTGCGGCGACACCTCTTCTCCTTCCTCCTCCTGAATTTGACTCCTTACCCTCGCTTGTGGCTGCTCTCTCGCTGACTGCGGCTCCCGTCCCATCCCAGGACTGTACGATACCGGACCAAGCGTCGGCAAACTTTGACCTCGTTCATGGCCACGACCCAGTGATGAACCGGTAACTGGTGGCAACCTCCTTAGGCTAGCGATGTCCGGTAAAACAGTCGACGACCCCGATGAAACACCCGTAGCTGCCGTAGACGCTTGACCAGGGCTCCTGCCGAAGGCGATTTGATCTCCGAAGAGTTTCTGCACGATGAATGGTGAGGCATAAGCCCTTTGGGGTAGGGGTGGGTGAGGCGGGCGATGTGAACCACCCATCCTATCACCTTCCGGCGAAGGTGTGATGTCGTCGGAGTCTGGTTCGGAGTCCTCGTGTCTGAAATGAATATCCGATACAGTGGCTGGGATGCTGTCAGTGGGCGAGATGCCAATGTTGGCCGAAGGAGGATGGAGATGGGAGAGGTTGCGAAGAAAAATGTTTCCAGCAGTGTTGCCTGTGCCGTTGCCGCTGCTAGTGGCGAGACCAGACACGGACGCTCCTGAAGCGGACATCGAACGATGTCGTGCTCGCGGGCGGATGTGTTCTGTCTCGACGCGGAGGCTGGGCGGAGTCTGGTCAGATTGCAAAAGAGGCGCAGACTGTGGTGGCTGCACCGCATCCTCTCCAGCTGCAGGCGCTGGTATTCGCGGTAAGGGTCGAATGGGAAAGACAGGACCCGGCGCCACATTTGAGGTTGGACGACCAACCGGTGAGCCTACGGGTGTAGGGGCTGCTGGAATTGTGGGTAACGGCGCGGGAAGACTACGATGGTAATCAAACGCAAATCCAAGTGATATAGGCCGATCAGGTGCATAACTGATGGGCCTGTTCGGTGCGTATAGCGAGCTCGATTGACTGAGGTGGCTCGCCCGGTTCTGCCGCGCAGAGACCGATGACGATGATAACGAGGACGAACGCTGTGCAGGAGATTGATGAATGGAAGGAGAACCAGAAGAGGAGATGTCGAGGAAGGAAAAGATGGTTTCTGAGTTGTCAGCTTCGTCGGGAACGGGCTGGGAGTGGGCTGGCGAGCTTGCGACGACATTAACGGTGGGAATGGGAGGTAATGGTGCGATTGGCGGCGGTCCTGCCTGTGAATTTCGAGGAGACAGTGCAACGGTGGGAACAATATGGGTTTTTCGGGGCTCGATATTAAGATCTGGTCGGAATGGACTGTGAGATGTTACTTCGGGGAGTAGGTTATCCGCAGGGGCATCAGACAAAAGTGCGCCTAGACTGGAATCGCGCGCATGCGCGCCTTGCGAGCGTTTCAACGATACCGTCGGGCTGCGCGGAATGGGTTGTACCAAATCCTCCGAGTAGGCCCGCTGTGAGTTTGTCGGAGGTCGGTTGGTGATCGGGAGCTCAAGCGTGAAGCTTAGACTCGCATGCGCTGGACTCTTGTCCTTTGGCTCGTCGTCGTGGAAGCTCCCCCGCCCGATGTCAAGCACGGAGCTTGGGTGGGTTGGCGAACGGGACTGTCGAGAGCGAATGGCGCGCCGACGACGTAGGAAAAGAAAGAGAAGTGCACAGGTTACCAAGAACCCGAGGACGCACGCGACAACGATGGCTGCGATGGTCCCTCCACCAAGGCCATGAGAGGAAGAGTTCATTCTGGGCAAAAACATCGTGAGCTCAAAGCCTAGGGTGTTTAAATGGATCCTGGGCGCCCGGAAGTATGATGGCGGTGCTTACGCGGGGATACCAGAAACAGTAGTTACGTTGATGGCACCGACAGCAAGCAAGCCGTCTTCAGCGTTCGTAATGGTCAGCTGATGTGAGACCGCGGGATTCAGTCCTGTCTTGAAAAAGAGCTGGGTGGCTTCTTTCCATGACGATTTTCCGTTTAAGCTGTAGACCTCATCATCGAGCTGTACCGTGTAGTTACCCGACCCTATATCACGAAACCCGGATATAGAGACGGCAGAGCCTGTAGGAGATGTAAGGAACAAGAATGAAAGACATCAGGCCGAGACAAGGTCTCAACGTTAGGCGCATTGCTTTTGCACGGAACGGGAAGCCGTACCACTAAAATTAAAGAACGCTTGATCTCCTTTATTTGAGGTCGTGTGAAAGGTAGCGTCATCCGATGTGAGGGCGTTTTGTTCGAACGACCATTCGCCGACAAACGAAAGATGGGTGTCTGTTGTAACGACATTAGAGACAGTCGAGCTGTGCGAACATCATCAGAAGCCGACTTCGGCGGACTGCGAATCTCATCAAGACAAGGAGCGCGAACGTACTTCGGTGAACCTAATGGAACAGAGATGGCAACTCGGTCGATGGCAATCAGGGTGGATGATAAGTTGCTTGGATTGCGAACTATGAGTGTTAGAGTATGGTCTTCGTTGTCGAGGTCGTCGTAGGACGCGAGTAGAGTCGGATCCAGTGCTGAGAATGTCGATATAGATGAATTTGTTTGGCCGTCGAGGCGTAGATCATAAGTGGCGGATGAGGACCGGTTCCCGAAGATTTGGACGCCACTCCCTATTGCACATGTACTTACCGTAACAACATGTGGACCGTGCAAGCATCACTCACCAGTCCAGTTGAAAGAGAACGCAGCTCCATCGAATGAGGTGAGGTGGAGACTGCTGCCATTACCCTGCGTACCCAACGACGAGGGGAAGCCCGAGTCTGTAAAGTAAGGATTCCAGCCGGCAGCGAGGTCCGGGATGCCATTGAGCGTGTCGGAGAATGGGAAATAGGATAGATTCGGTGAAGTATCATCTATGACAATCTGGAAGGTTTCAGCCATCCATGAACAATACAAGTCCCTGAGGCGATGGGTACTCAAGGGACAAAAGGATAGGGAAGACCCGTCGATGAGGAGATGGTGGAAGAGGAGAAAGAAGAGGAGACTGTGCCGAACGTAAAAAGGTCGCTGGGTAATGTGAAATCATAAGGGCAGCATGGGGTTAGCGAGAATAGGCGCCACGAATAGTGTCACACAACGAGGCGAATTCGGGTCAGAATCGGGAGACCTCGAGGGGGAAAGCCTGGAAAAACACGGAATCCTTCGATGCAGATCTGAGACAACTCTCACCCACATCATCAGCGGGAGGCGTTCATTTGTTACTCTTCATCGAAGTTGCCGCGGTTGGCTGGACCAGTCCTGTTGAGGAACGAGATCCAGTTGAGCGGGCAACGCTTGCTTCTTTCTACTATCTTATCTCCGCCGTGGCCACAGCCGAAGGGCCTCATCATCCTTAAATCGCTACCAATCGTAACGGGCCACCGTCCTTCAGTGCAGACCTTTCGTTTCACTCGGACTACATTGTTCTGTGCTATACTGTGCTTGCATCTCGGCCGCCGCTGAATATGCACGGCTATGAACCCCTGGTCAACTTCCAAGCATCGAGTTTGAGCATGTGTATCGAGCTTGAGAAGTCTATACCGGCGACTGTCGTTCTGCGAGTCTACGTAGTCGCATCTACCTCTGCCATCATACTCCCACCTGCTCCTCCAAGTGGTGTTTTTAGTGCACGCCACTATCGATTGCACAGCCAACAAAGAAGACTGGTCATATTCTTGTACATGTTACTTTATACAATCTTGATCTCGAGGGCTCCGACATTTCCAAGTTGGTTCCATACGTGCACTATCCATGTTCCTTACACTTGGTCGACAATCCCGCCCAGGACTAGTATCAAAACTGACTCCATCAAAGGTTATGAGACAATTCTTGATGTTCAGTGCCTCTTCAGGTACGTATGTATGTCTCATTACCCTCCTTTAGTTGGCAGCTACCATATTTCTTTCTTGTGTCAGGGCATATCCGTTTGACTCGGGCGGGTGACATCCCAGCGCCTCACTAGGACTAGTACCGTTTGGTGCACGAAACCGTCTTGATACACTGAGCAAAGTGCCCTGGTCGCGCTCCGACAAGCGTCTTTCTGCTGTGGCAAAGATTGTCCGCCTGATGATGGTTGCGGAGTGCCCATTCTCGCTCAACACCGAGTCCGTTTGCGGTCCGTGATGTGTCGGATATGATCACTACCTTTCGGGACGCAGGAAATACGCTTCGTGATGTCGAGCGATATTTCTGTGAGTCGGCAAAAGTCTGTTGACCGGTCGGCCGCTCTCGCTTCATGTATCCTTTGTATGGTGACATTTTTTCACTACATGCCGGGTCAGATTTTTGATGTTCCACCAGCCTTTACTTCATTCCGTAGACTATTCCCACCACTCACTTCACCGAGGGGATGAAACACGCATCTATCTTTCTCTCACTTGTGGTATGTCTTCTCCTCATCATGTCTCCAAATTGCTCCCGCTCTTTACAGACACAGAAGGCCACACCGTTAGCTGGAAGGAAAGTGGCACCGTGATGGTCGGCAATAAACACTCTGCATATGGTGAAGTAAGTACCTTTTGAATCCATCTGGGTGCGCTGGCCTGTGGATAATAAAGCTCGAAAAATGTTACATAAGGAGATGTTGCTGTGGTGAACAACACTGAACTGACGCCCGGAGGAAGTAGCGGACCAGAAGTTTCTCTACATCAAGCTCCCGCTCGAAGTTCACGTCTCGAGTTTCCACTTCTTCCATCTCGACTTTTCAAAGCTTCAAGCGGGCTATTCGTGTTTCAGGTAACTTCCTCAGTGAACGATATGCTTCCAACTGCTTCCAAGCGGCTCGGAGCAGAGATCGCCGTAGGCTGCATAATGATATAGAACAGCTGCGTAAAGGTCCAAGAAATAGAACTCAGCACATGCGTATACAGTGCTACCGTGCTTCTCTCCCCTATCCCCATCAATCGTCTCGACACGGGTTCCTAACTCCGCAATTTTTTTTTCTTTCATTTCTTTCTTGCGCATCAGAGCGGCAACGGTTGATAAATACGAACGGGTTCAACGGGTGGATTTGCTGGAACATTGACAGATTGCGATGATATCATAGCTGTAGGCTTAAGATCCTCAGCAAGGAACAGAGCGTTGATCGCACTGCGTCTCGTTTCACCGCTACAATCGTTCAGTCGTGCCCACGAAATTCCGGAGGAATCCCGGATACAGAGTCCCTTTTATTGGTAGAGATCTCGTGGCTTCATTCGAGGATATAGTCAGGTACCGTGACTCATTTGAGGGTGGTCTTGATAAAGCTGATAAACTACCGCGCTCGTATAGAAGGATTCAGAAGACTGAGTGCTCGTGTGCACCGTTTGGCCGCTGCGTTCGATGACGACGATAGGTATTCGAGATGCCGAACAAATGGGGCATCACATTTTCCTGCACGCGTACGCTACCCATCATTTGACAGCATGATCATGAGGATATAAATGTAGAAGTTCAACACGTCCCGCGAGTCGTGCGTCGCCCCAAGCCTTCGCCCTCAAAGTCGATAGAGGCCGTCTAGTACGACACGACCATTCGCGACCGACACTATGTTCCAGTTCACGCGTCTCGTCTTCGTCGCTGCGACTGCTATTCATCTAGCCGGAGCGTATAACGTTCCTCGTGCTAGCCTATCGTCTTATGCGGGCGCGTCGACGTCGTTTGCATACCTTCCCAATGCTACGATCACTATTCCCGACCCAAATTACCCTTACGCGAGCGTGGTTGGCCACGCTGGGCCTACGCCGAGTAAGCGCGACCCTTCTTGTCCTCTTTGACGCGTCGCTTTGACCTGGCTGAACGCGTTGTTCTGTAGCGGGAGATGAGGCCGAGGCCATCGCGACCGCAACTGCTCTCGCAAAAGTCGACAGCATATTCCCCCTCACACGCCCAGACACGGAAGACCACAAGGGCACAACATTCAACGTCGAACGGAGCTGGGGAAACCTCTCTCCGATGTGGTCTCTCGATGCCGGCACTTTTGGCCTCAACGAGTCTTCTGCGGTGATTCCAGAGGGTTGTTCGCTTACCCAGGCACATCTCATTCACCGACATGGCGCTCGTTATCCAACGACTGGTGCTGCTCCCGCGCAGTTCGCTGCCGCTTTACAGAATGCTACGGCCACTGTTAACGTTACCGGTCCCCTTGAGTTCTTGAGCACTTGGACTTATAAGCTTGGCGGTGAGCTCCTGACACCGTTTGGTCGCGAGGAATTGTGAGGTTGCTTGTGTCTATGCCCTGTACATATCTTGACAGATTTCTGTGGGCAATAGGTATTCTTTGGGAGTTGGGTTCAGAGTCAGATATGGCGAGTTACTGAAGGGATTTAATGACTTCCCTGTATGGAGGACTACTTCGGAAGGTATGTAGGCGCCTTACCTTTACTCGATCGCACTTTTGCTGACATTTCTTTCTCACTGGCAGCCCGCATGGTAGATTCCGCGTATGTTTATTTTATTCTCCATCTAGATGTAACTTTGTTCACAAACTGACTGCTCTCACGTCCAGTTTGCAATTTACAGCAGGCTTTTTCGGTGTCCAGGCTTACCAGGACAGCTATCATGAAGTGATCGAGATTGAAGATACCGGCTTCAACAGTACTCTGGCTTCTTGGAATGCATGCGACAACGCAAACAATGATGTTGCCAATTACGGATTCGATCAGGCAGATAAATGGGCTGATATCTACACGGCTCCTATCATCGAGAGACTCTCGCAGTACATCACCGGCTTCAACTTGACCTCCTCCTACATCACCGGCATGCAAGAGACCTGTGCGTACGAGGTAAGAGCGGATATTCAACAATGGAGTTTATCTGTATGCTGCTCTTTCTAACATCGTACACGTAGACTGTTGCCCTTGGCTACTCAAGCTTCTGCTCCGTCTTTACGGAGGAAGAGTGGAAGCAATTCGAGTACTATTTGGGTGCGTGATCTCCGAAGGTGCACTCATCGCTCTCTCCTCTAATCTGAGTCCCTTAGACTTGCAATTCTGGTACGTCTATGGCCCGGGAAACCCTGCAGTGGCTGCCCAGGGCGTTGGTTGGCTTCAAGAGCTTGTCTCTCGCTTGACTCAAACACGTATCACCACATTTGCCACCTCGGTCAACGAGACGATCGTCTCGTCGAACGTGTGAGTTTGAGGTTATAGATTCTCAGGAAATACTGTCCTACTTACTCCTGGTTTTGCACAGTACTTTCCCTCTGTACCAGCCCATCTTTGTTGATGCCTCTCACGACACCAGTATGTCTCATCTGTATGACCACTATCGTCTGATGTTGGCTGATCGTCGTGTCCCATCAGTCATCAGCGCGATTCTCACTGCGATGAACCTGACCTACTTCTCTGCACCCGGCCCGCTTCCAACGGACCATATCCAGGATGGGCAGGTCAGCATCCCACTTTTTCGTTCATTCCGTGACCGCTCACTGCCACAATACAGACATGGATAACCCCGACCTTTTCACCCTTCGCCGCCAACATGGTCGGCCAAGTCCTCTCCTGCCCCGCCTCCGACACCCCGACCCACATCCGTTTCGTCCTCAACGACGCCGTCGTCCCGCTCGCCGGTATCCAAGGCTGCGACACCGGCGACAAGGACGGTCTCTGTGAATTGGACAAGTTCCTTAGTGGGCTCCAAGCACGGATCGACGAGATTGATTATCAGTTTGATTGCTTTGCGAATTACACGGTTCCGGACCCGGACACTATCACGGATGGGAGGTATCCGGACGCGTTGAAGAACTCGACGACGAGTGCGCGTAGATGAGGGGACTAACACGATGGGATGGAGCTTGAGCGGAGAAAATATACGATTACTTATGATGCTGTATCCAGAGCCTAAGGTCATTGTTGTTCGTGAACATTTGCCAAAACACTACCTTTCTAAAACGCAGCCGGCGGATTGGCCAGGTAGTAAGGATCCCCACAATCGGACACTAAATGGTCTCTGTCAACTGCACGTATCGAGTGAAGGAGCGAAGTATCCTTCTGTAGCATGGAAAGTCAGATTTTACATTGATTCTATGGCTAACCCCCTGTAAACATTCAAGGGCAGGCCCAGCTCCACCCCTTTCTGGGTCCTGAGCGTTATACAACCCACACAAAGAAAGAAAAAATACAGGAAACAGATTGGTGTTGGTAGCTAGTGGTTATGTATGTGGTTACGTGGTGGCTTCGAGGCATGGATGACAGCGACGAGACGGATAGGAGGTTGACGGACATACAGGGCGTAGAGTGCTTGGGCCTAGAATGTAAATAATGATACATACCCTTACAGTGTAACAGTGGGATGTGATGGTCGTTTGAACAATGAGACGTAGGCGATTCCTCTGGAAATTTGTGTTTGAGTCCCTAGTATTTCTCGAGGGAGCCCTGGTCAGCTTCGCCCCCTTTGTAGTCTGAGGGCAGGACATCGGGTGCAGATCGAACACCTCGTTCGCTATTGAATGGATTAAAAGTAGGCGATCAGTACACATCAAGGGCATATAGATAGAAAGCCGGATAGGGTACTTACATCTCGTCCAGGGCAACCATGAGATCGTAGTTAATCTCCTGGCTCACCACCGAGTCAAACTTATACGCAGGGTGGGACCTCACGAACTCCCTTAGCCACGTCGCCGGCGTCTTCAGTGAACCTACGCGCAAAAAATAGATTCTCTATGAGCTATCGTCCCGAGAAAGTAGAGCCGTGTTCTTACCGTTCGCCCTAGAACGGATGAGATTCAAATAGGAAGCAAACTTCTCCCGTTCAGGCTCCTGCACGTCCAGAGTCCCGAGGAACTCCTCCACCAGAGGAATCAATCCAGGGAACGAGTCACCCTGAAAGAATCGAAAATCAATGATCGCCATTAGTGAGTATCAGACGGTCAAGAACGAGGGAGGCAATGGTAATGGGGGTACAAACCTTTCCATTCATAATCTCATTCATGGTCATCTCCTCATACTCCGCCTCCACAGATCCGTTCGGAAGGCCTTCCTCAGGCGGTGGGATCGGCGGGAAACAATTCCTCAAGTGACGCTCTTTCTTTCCGGTTCCATTTCCATTTCCATGCACATGTCCGTTTATACCATTAACACCGTCGATGGGGGTCACATTGCCTGAGGACGAAGCAGTGGATGCTCTGGAAGACGCAGGGGGGAAGATAGACTTTCGGAAGAAGAACTTGGACGAGTGTGCGGCGTCGCGGATCTGCGCCCTGTGCATGTTCTCGTCCACCTAAAAGTGTCCATAGTAATGCAAACACCGCGAAGAGAAACATGAGTTTCCAGGGTTCATTCAAAGAGCAAATCTTGGGACGGACCTTAGATATAGGAATGTAGAAATTGAGATTCTGGCTCATAATGGCACGTGAGAGCAGAACGATGAATACCGCAAAGGCGGCATTCTCAAAGTCAGTGAGTTGCACTTCCATGGTACGGAACTCGACACGCCAGCCGATGGGAGAATTGGGCGGAGGTGGTTTGAAACGGAGGGTTTGCCAGTTGGTGGATTGGATGTTCTGAAAAGGGATAACGCCAATCGATAATGATGTTGATTTACGCCGGTAAGTAAGAAATGACAGATGGTGGAGCGGAGGGGGGTCTAACCTCAAAATGATCGGTGCTCTCGTTATCGTCGAGGTCGATCATTTCGGAGAAGATGACGATAGGGTCACGGATGAATAAGTGGGATATGTGCTTGGACAGACGATCGTCAAGACCTGAGTGAACAATACGCAGAATTTAGCCAAAAAAAACACAACTTGAAGTAGCAAGCCAGAGTACTCACCGTGCTTTCGCAGACGGTCATAGATACATGAATCGTAAGGTGCATCGGTGTCGTTGTATTCAGGTCGGTTCATCCACTCCTCTGAGATGTACAGATCCACACTGTCGTAACGAGACTTGGGAATCCTGAACTTATTCTCCTTCAAGGGCTAAAACCATCATAACATACACACTATCAGCCGTCAATACGAATACTTGCGGACGGACATGGTGCAGGATTAAGGTGAATGAAGACACGTAGAATCACACGCACCTTGAGACCGCGCTCCTCTTCTGTTCTATCGTCCACTGATCCTGCGATGACATTCCAGCGACAATCGACGTCAGCGATATACCCGCGCCACAAAGGACTCGCTGCAGTCAAGGCGAGCTGCAAGACAGATATGATGGTGAACGAAAGCAAAATAAAAAGGGCTCAGGTCATTGAATGATGACGAAAGTGTGATGTAACGCGATGGTTCACCATGATAGGTCCGATTGGGACGAGGGCGTCATACATTCGTCTTGCGTCTTGGACGTTGCAGGATTGGAAGGTCAGTTGTAGGCAGCAGCAACCCATGCCGAAGCCCATGGCATCCATGTATATATGGTCGTTCAAAGCAGCGCCATTTCTTGCCTCTGAACGCACCGGTGCCTATCAGCAATAGCATGAACGAAGAGGGGCGACAAGGCATACCGGGATCTTCGGGATATATATTACGCTGCCACGGAATAGTGGGGTCCACGAATGGTCGGGGTGTACGCTCATCTATGAATAACGGAAGGTTTATAGCAACCTTTGATCCTCTTCGCGTCCGGATGTTTGCCGTTAACGTTCTAAGTGGGTGTGAAGTGGGCCACACGTGAGATTGCAGACAACGCCACACACGGATCATGAAGAGTTTGAGGCTACTGACGGGAATCGTACGTGAGGATTAGTGATCTCCTCCGGTAGGAATAGGCTGTGACTAGACGTCGCATCGGCAGGATCGCATGGTGGTTCGGTGAAGACTCCAGGGACGCCCAAACGAGGGAACGAAGTGAATGTGATAGGGATCTCATTGGGCTTCAGGTGTTTGCGAGCAAGATTTCGTCTGGAAGGCCATTGTAAAAAGCTCAAGATAGGTGCGGCTGAGACTGACTCTCACCTGTATCGCATGTTGGACTCTACCGAAAGGAGATCACGAATGGAACCAGTGTAGGGTGAGCCGGGGGTAGACTCGAGCATGTACCGGCCATATTCCGGATGAAATGTAGGGACAGAGACTCTGAGAAATATTAGGTAGACAAAGTGCTGAAAAAAAACAGACATACGAGCTATCGGTATTCGCATCTATTTCACTAGTCAACGGCTGTAGCTTGGCAAGGATCTCAGTCTGCCGGAGAGACAATACAGCATTCTTGTTCTCCTCATCGAGAGAGATGACCATGTATTCAATCTACACACGACATTCGACATCATTCTGATTGGTGGAGATGCAATCTAAATCCGAGAAGAGCGCACCTCATCGCCCCAGAGCAGTTCATCCCCTTGCCGATCCTTGAGACGGTCCCAAATATTTAAAAACTGAGTGATACCATGTTGCCTGACATGGTCTGCGTATTGTTTCGCATCCGCCCAGGGAAGAGGTGTGCCGAGTGACAAGAGGCCCATGACAGTCAATAATAGAAAATAATAAGAAAGAGGATGTCGCAAGCAGAGGGCGGAATAGCGGAGTGGGAGGTGGAAACCAGCTGGTGGTGGCCCAAAGGGCCTATTGAAGTAGCTGATGTATAAGCACAAGGGTGGCCTTCGGCGTTTGGCTCTCACACCCTTCGGCTGTCCGAACGGTTCCCCAATATCTGGCAACCATCCATCTTATCTTCTCCAAAGTCCTTTACAAAGCCATTTTTCCTTCCTTCCACGACCGCTCTGACCTGCCTTCTCGTCATTTTCGACGCTGATGCCGGCAAGACAACCTTTGAAATCTTGGGACACGCCATACTCGCGAATCTCTGGCGCTTCAATCCTTTGCAAGGAAAAAAGTACTATCCGTAGGAATCTAGGCACCTTGACTCTACCCTGTGCGAATAGATTCATGGCTCAATTGGCCGTGATCTGCTGCAGAGCTGCCGAAGATTGTATGTGTGGCTGGGATCAAACGTCCTACGGATAGCCATCCACTGAGCGGTACAATTGCGTTGTCTGGCTCAGGCAAAATTATTGTACATGCTCACCCCCGCGCACGCCGGCGCCGTAGGTAATCGATGCCACTGAATAAGCAAAAAAGAGGTCCCAGGGAGATACAAATCACGTCGGATCACCCTCACGCGGTAAGTCTCACACTGCTTCTTGAGGAGATGGAGGCAGAGTACTTTTCTTCATCCAAACGGGCGAGTCTAGATGTGGCCCTAGCCTATCGTTCGTTGGTTTTACTCGCAGCCAACAGATTGTGGCGCCTGGCTGTCCTCCTTCTTCCTACTTGGATCCCCGAGCCCCACCGCGAATAGGCACATCACCTATCCAGAGACTACGATAGTCCGGTCTGCTCATAACAACCCCATTTGTCTCTAATGTGCGTTTACGGTTGAAACGCCAGGATGCGGCGAGGAGTATACTGTATGAGAGTCCCTTGGCGGATCCATGCAATTCCTAAAAGTAAGCAAGTTGCCTGGCAGCGTTCACGGGTCACGGTTTACTAAGTTTATGATGATTCAGAATAGAGCTATGTTTATGGAGAAGTAGTAAAGTCAGCATGTGCTGAGCACACGGCGCCTTCTCCTGTATAGGACTGTATCCTCCCAAGGACAGTAAGATCAAGACAGACAGCTTCGCATGAGAGGAAAGAAGTGGAGGTTTGTACCCGAACATCCGTTCCTGTCAACGAACTCTCTGTTTCCAACATTCCCCCATACCATGCGTTCGTTTTGTCAGATCATGGTCAAGTGGGGTTTGGCTGGTCTTTGACGGGACGTCGTGATAGCCAATCTTCCGACAGTAAAGGACTCGTCGACCTGACAATTCATGGACCAAAAAAACATAGCGACAATTACCATCACAACGTCCCATCACCCTGACATCCCTTTTTACTTCGCAGACGTAGAATTCTTCAACGCATCCGGGAACCTCCCATCCGTGATATCATCCGGCACCGGAACCGTATAATTCGCAAAACAATCAAACTGATAATCCACCTCCTCGATCCTCGCCTGCAGGCCACTGATGAACTTGTCGATCTCGCACAATCCGTTCTTGTCCGCCGTGCAGCCCTGGATGCCCGTGAGCGGGAGGACGGCGTCGTTTAGGACGAAGCGGATGTGGGTCGGGGTGTCAGAGGCGGGGCAGGAGAGGACTTGGCCGACCATGTTGGAGCCGAAGGGGGAGATGTGGGGTACTATCCATGTCTGTGTAGATGGTAGAGGTTATGTGAGTAGAACACGAAACAGGAGGATCAATTAGGGGGATTAGTACTGACTTGATCATCGGGGATGTGATCAGTGGGAAGGGGGCCAGGTGCAGAGAAGATGCTGAGGTTCATAGCAGTGACAATCGCACTGATGACTGGTGACACACACTATCATCAGCTATTTATAGCTAAGAAAGACACGAGTAAGGAGCTTACTCGTATCGTGAGTGGCATCAACAAAAATTGGCTGAGACAAGGGGAACGTGCTGAAAACAAACATATATGGGCGACAGGCATGAAGAACCACGAGGACCTCAAACACTCACACGTTGGAAGTGACGATGGTCTCGTTAACGGAGGTGTCGAATGTGGAGATTGGTGTTCGAGTCAGACGTGAAACGAGCTCTTGAACCCAACCGATACCCTGAGCGGCCACTGCTGGGTTACCGGGACCGTTTCCATACCAGAATGAGACGTCTTCAGGGGTATGATGTTAGATGGAAGCAGGGTTCAGAGTGACCCGAACGATACGCACCCAGGAAATACTCGAACTGCTTCCATTCCTCCTCCGTGAAAAGTGCACAGAAGCTCGAGAAGCCGAGGGCCACAGTCTACGAGTCCCAGTCAGCATGCACGACGCCAAAAGTCAACCGAGGTCCGTACTTCGTATGCACAAGTCTCTTGCATTGCAATGATAGTTGAAGCCGTGAGGTTCAAGCCAGTGATGTGTTTTGACAGCCTCTCGATCGTAGGAGCCGTATATATTTCAGCCCAAGCATTGGCCTGAGTACTCCCCAGAGACGCGACGGCGTTGTTCGCATTAGTACAGACGTCGTACGGAGCTAATGTGCTGTTGAATCCCGAGGACTCTATTTCGATGAGCTGATGATAGCTAGTCTGGTAAGACTGTACGCCGAAGAACCCTGCCGCGAACTGCAAACTATTAGATGAGGAAGGACTTTTAGCAACGGATCATGCATCATGAAGAGTTGATAACCACTCGAAATACACTCACGCTGAGTCTACCATGCGCTCTGAATGCACGAATCCAATCAGATCATGATCGGGCTTGAATAACGGATAACTTACCCTCTGAGGTGGTACGCCACACGGGGAAGTCGTTGAACCCCTTCAACAACTCACCGTACCTGACCCTGAAACCGACACCCAAACCATACCTAAATTCACGCGTGTGAGCCAAGTCATGTACTCAGAAAGTCTACGAAGAACGTACAATTGCTCACGTCCGAAAGGGGTCAAAATCTCAGCACCAAGCTTGTACGTCCAAGTACTTAGAAACTCCAGCGGGCCCGTCACGTTCACGGTCGTGTTAGCATTATGCAACGCGGCGGCCAATTGCGCAGGAGCAGCACCAGTGGTAGGATACCTCGCTCCATGGCGGTGGAGGAGGTGCGCTTGAGTGAGGGAACAACCCTCTGGGATCAGAGGCGATGACTCGTTGAGACCGAAGGTACCGGCATCGAGAGAGAACATAGGAGAAAGATTGCCCCAGTAGTGTTCGACATTGAACGTCTTCCCCTTGTGGTCTTCCGTGTCTGGACGGACGAGAGGGAATGCGCTATCGACTTTGGATAAGGCAGTCGCGGTAGCGATAGCTTCGGCCTCATCTCCCGCTACAGAACGAAATACATTACGAAGTCAGGGAGTCGGATAACAGGTATGGAAGAGAAGTGGGACAGACTGGGTGTGGGTCCGGGAAATCCCACCACACTCGCTTCAGGGAAGTTCGGGTCAGGAACGGTCACAGTGGCGTTCGGAAGAAATGCGAACGAAGTCGTCTCTCCAGCGGAGGAAGAGAGCACGGCGCGTGGAACATTGTAAGCTGAGACTTGCACCAAGTGAAGGCTCGCGACGAGAAAGACGAGACGCGTGAACGGGAACATGTCGATCGGCAAGGCGAAACGATGAGCTCGGGGCTCCAACTCGTCGAGGAGATGATGAGTTATGAGTTCGAGGACCGAGATCAGCTGCTCCATCCACTCTGCGTTGATGATATTTATATATAGTACTCATACTCGGGATTACAGCCGATTTGATGACGGGACCTATGCCCCTCAAATATGCTTCGCGAACGTGCATTTCCTCATCATCAGACAGGATGAAGACCTAGCCCGAATGTTTTATTTTTATACGAGCTATGATGGTGTGATTTGCCCCCGTCCGATGTACCGCGAGGCTTAGACGGCGTGGCATCGTAGCTACTAGACGAGGAACCCGCTGAGTTTGGGATCCCCCTGGATGATTGACAAGCATAGATTGAGAGGAATGAAGACGAGACTGTTGGCATAGAGCGTACGATATCAGGCAAAGCTGATGCTGCATGGTGTATGAGGGTCCCTATAGGCGACGAACGTGCGTTAGAGTCGGTATGGATTTGGAAAGAAATCATTGAGCGAGAAGGCCCGGCGTAAGCCGCTGCGGACCTTGAACGTTTCTTACGCCACCGAGAAATAATGTGGCCCTCGCGAAACGCTCCGAAACACATATTTCATCGTGACAAGAAAGTTGGCGCGTTCGGACACCGAGTCCGCGGGGCACCTCCAAGGTCATGACCAGAACAGTAGATAATCGATAATGAATCAAAGCGCGTTCTGCTTCAACAACGCCGTCGCCCCCTTGGTCCCCGCAATCCTCTCAAGTCTGAACCAGTCGTACTTTGAGAATAGGGTCCGGCAGGTCACGTCACCCGGCTGGACGTCCTCGTCGAGGAAAGGGTAGGAGAGGAGTTCGGTGTAGAACTGCGCGTGGTCGGGAGGACCATAGAAGACAAGGTTGCGGATACCTCGGAGTTTGTATCTATTGATGTGATGTTGAAAGATCAGAGGCTGAGATTGTAGTTGAACGAGAAGGGAAAACGAGGGGGGAACAGACTGACCTTCGGTAGAAGTGGAAGCGCTCGCTGATGAGGAGGAAGGATTTCTTTCCTGTGAAGAACGCTTGTCGTGCTCGAGAGATGTCCTGATTGGAGGAATACCTAAGAAGAGCAGTTCGTGTCAGCGATAATGAACATCGGTCTTGAGAGACGACTACGTACTCAGAGAGAACAGTGTATGAGTATCCTTGTTTGCGGAACTGGTTCTCCACACGGATAAAGTCGAACGAGGAGGGGACAAAGATCGCGGTATTGGCGCTTTGAACGGCAGACTTCATGATAGCGGGCAACATCTGGAAATTTCGACAAGTCATTATGAGGCAGAAGTGTATATGGGTTGAAGGCCAACTATACCTGTGTTGTAAAGTAATGGAACCGTTTCTCCGGCTCGTCCTTCAGGCTCGTACAGTCAAATTGTACAAAGTTCTGGGTTGTGGGGAGTGAGTGAGTACATCACTCGTTGTACGGGATTGGCAAGAAGCATACTTGATCGAGATCTTGAGGAACTTGGACAGGGGCCCATTGCCTTGTCGTTCGAACCTTGCCGGCGACATTCTTCAAGGTTTGGTTGAACAAATTCCGGGTCTCTGGTGTTTCATATGCCGAGAGAAGGACGGTTTGGCGAAGATATGCAGCACTGTGCAAGGCGTGATGAGGCTGGAGTAGTCGCAATGAAGTAGAATGCACTTACTGTCCGTCCAGGTACCAGGGCTTGATACGAGAGAAATCGGTGTTATGGGACTCTTTCGGGAGTTTGTTCAGGTGAGAGAACACGAACTGGCGATGGAAGATGTATAAGAGGATGGTGTGTTTACAGAAGCATAGATGCTTACCTGCACATGTTCCCAATTTTGCATTGTCAGGGTGTCCATTTGATCCACAATGAGCATCTCGATGGAAGACAAGAAGTCTGCTTTACTGAGAAAAAGTTAAGTTCGAGGAAGTAAAGGATGAATGGCCCGAAAACAACACTTACTTGTCCTTTTCTATAGACATCCTCAGGCCTAGCGGACTGGCTATGATGACATCACACGCGTAGAAATCGGCAAACAGCTTCACGCTCTTCCTCGTCAATTTGATCCCTACCCTAAAGTTGTCATCCATATTTCCCTTAAACGTCTCAACGTGATCCCGTGGATACGTCCCAGGTTCGGCGGTGGCCAACTTATCCACAGCTCCCTCAGGAAGACCAAATTCGTTGAGGAACCGTGCACGATTCTCAACTTGGTGTGTTGGAGAAGGAGTATGGGCGGAGAGGGCATCGAACCAATTGAAAGCGGAGGAGCGGAATGGGACAAGGAGGAGTATGGAGGGACGGGTGAAGCCTTGATCTTGGACATCTTCAGGTGGGGAAGCAGAAGCTTTGATTGCATGAGAGAGGCGCTCATTATTTTTGAGGACCCGTCGCCGCTTTCTGTACAAGTATTAGCGTCCGAGGAAGAATGTGAAGGTAAGAAGGACCGACTTCGTGACATGGTTCAGATAGTGTAGTGTGATTGCATCTCGCATCTTCGCTGCAGTATCCAGCGTGGTGTGGGTGTGGTGTAAATCACGATTGCTGGAGAGTACTGAGAGGGTCGTACTCTGGAGCTCACGGATCTCTGAGAAGGGTACATATCAGCGGAAATTAGGGCAGCATGGCTGTGATAGGTACCCGGAGTAAGCTTCGCCTGACGTTCTTGAAATGGCGTCCTCAGCCTCTCCAGAATCTATAAAACCAACAATATTTAAACATACAACACCACATAGCTATAGCATGTAGGTACTAACGGATTGTTGGCCTTTCGAGGACTGCTGAGGGGCTGAGGAGCCTGACGGTGTGCACTCAACCACAGTACCGAGTCTTCGAAGAGAAGAGGTAGAAGATGCCCATTCTCCTTCATCTACAGCTTTTCTTGATGACTCTGTTAAAGAGGCGGGCTTGGGCCCAAAATGATACTCATACGGATCTGTCGGGTCTTTTGGGCCACATGAGTTTGAAGCCTCCCAGATAAATTGTGGGGCGCACCGTCGTCCTTCAGATCCTCTGCTTCTATTGTTTTGTCCTCTTCTACTTCATCTCCTTCATCGTCCACATTAGTTGCGCCTGTAGTCTCCTCGTTGGAGTTTCCCGGATCGGAGGCTGGCTCCAGCGACCGTCTTTTATTCAGCTTTGTTGTTGGTAATGGATTATCCTCATGGCGTTTTCGTTTGGTGGACCTAGCAGCTGATACATTGAGAAGAGTAAGAAGACGGGTCGTCGGCGATGTTGGTTCCACAGCCATAGTTGTGTTTTCGCAGAAAGACAGTTCTGGAAAATGATTTTGCTTCAGAATATCGGTGGCACAGGGTCACATGATTAACGCGTCTCGTTTGTGGCTTTCGCGACGAGCGCCACTACTTCGTGATCACCGCGTTCTGTCTTCACCGTCGACCATCTCGTCCTTCCCCCCTCCGGCGCCCCTTGTTTCGAGGCTTTTCACGCGTATTTGAGCTTCTGAATTGTTTCTCTGGATTTTGAATTAACTTCTGGTCTCTGATCCACACCACCGGGCCAGGCCAGGGACTTTCGTAGCGAGATATACAGTCTTATAACGGCGCTTCCCATCGGAACAAGGATTTGTTCGAGTTCAGTCGGTGATCACGCCTGTGATGAGGGTTCTGTGTGTGGCAGAGAAGCCTTCCATATCTAAATCTATCACACAAATCCTGTCGGGCGGCCAATTTACCACAGTGTGTCCTTTCCCCCTCTTGTATGCCCATCAAGTCGCTCATGTCTTGAAACAGCGCAACACGGCCACGAACTACGTAAAAAACTATGACTTTACCTATAACTACACCCACTCCACATTCACAGTCACTTGCGTCGCTGGGCACTTAATGGAATACGACTTCCACGACACTCATCGGAAATGGCAATCGTGCGATCCCATTGCTCTTTTCGACGCACCCATCGAGAGTAAAACGGCAAAGGACAAGACTGCTATCGCGCAAAACATTTCGAATGAGGCGCGGAGAGCGGATCAGCTCATGATATGGACCGATTGCGATCGCGAAGGAGAAAATATTGGATGGGAAATTATGGTAACTGCTCAGAAGACGAACCGTAATATCATCGTCAAGCGAGCGAGGTTTAGTGCAATCATCGCACAGTGAGTTGCTTCACTCATATATTCGTTCGCGCAATCCGGTTCTTCAGCTCCCAATAATTATACAGACAGATCCATAATGCCGCCCAACATCCCATCGAACTTGACCTTCTACAAGCGCAGGCAGTCACTGCTCGCATAAACCTCGACTTGCGGATAGGTGCAGCTTTCACTCGTATGCAGACCATGGCTCTTCGTGACCGACTGGAGAAACTTAAAGAAGCCGGCGTCATTTCCTACGGTGTGTCAGATTTGTAACATGCGCTTGTCGACGTGTTTTGATTGAACTTTTACTCTGGAAGGACCCTGTCAGTTTCCAACACTTGGTTTCGTTGTCTCGCGCTACAATCAAGTGCAATCATTTGTTCCTGAGGCATTCTGGTACATTTACCTGTCGATCGAGCCTAACGCTGGCTCATCCAAGATCAATGAGGAAGTCCAGTTCACGTGGAGGAGAGGGCACTTGTTTGAGTTCGAAGTCGCTCTGGTCATCTACGAGGTAGTACTCGCCTCTCCACGGGCCAGAGTCACAAAGGTTACCAAGAAAAATACGAAGAAATGGTTCGCTATAGATTTTAGTCTCCTTTGACTGTGACTCATTCTATCCTTTAGGAAGCCGTTACCCCTCACGACGGTCGAGCTCCAGAAGGCTGGCTCCCGTCTTTTGAAACTCGCCCCCAAGAAGATTCTTGATGTATGCTAATTCTTGTCTCTTGAACTACGAGAATAATTTGCTGATCAATGGAAGGTACTTGCAGATTGCTGAGAAACTCTACCAACAAGGATTTTTATCGTACCCTCGCACAGAAACCGACCAGTACGACCCACAGTTCGATTTCATGTCTCTCATCGAAAAGCAGAACGTCGACCCAGAATGGGGTCAATTCGCGCATATGTAGGTAGACGCAGACGTCTTTCCATTGATAGTGACTGATATATGACATCGTGTAGGCTTCAGACTCAGGATGGCTTCAATGCACCCAGGAAGGGCAAGAACAATGACCACGCGCATCCTCCGATTCACCCGACAGCACACGCAGCAAATCTTGGCGGAGATGATAAGCGAGTTTACGAATTTATCGTTCGACGATTTCTGGCGTGTTGTTCGAAGGATGCATTGGGCTTTCAGACGACGGTCGATGTGCTCTGTGGGGGCGAAGAATTCTATGCTACGGGTCCGTCATCGTCACATCATGTTCTTTATACTCTGTTGTGCATTCTTGTTGAAATGTATCTAATACATCTTCATGTTACCCCAATCATGATAGGCTTGATTATCCTCGAGCGGAATTTCTTGAACGTGTATCCCTATGAGAAGTGGAGCGGGAAGGAACTACCCGACTTTGAGGAAGGAGACGAGTTCATGCCCTCCGTTTGTGAGCTTCGAGAGGGTGTCACTTCTCCGCCGAACCTTCTTACCGAGGCTGATCTCGTCGGATTGATGGACAAGAATGGAATCGGTATGCACACCCCTTAACATTTCTCAAAACATTTACCAAAGGAGGGGTCTGGACATAGGTACCGACGCGACAATTGCGCAACATATCGAGACTATCATTGAACGCGGCTACGTTATACCTCGGCCGGATGGGGGAGTGAAGTACCTCGTTCCCTCGACGTTGGGTATCGGACTGGTGGATGGATACAACGAGATCGGCTTCGAGAAGAGTCTGAGCAAGCCACAACTCCGACGAGATGTACGTTCACTCGTTGTCCTTTCTGAACCTAGCCAGTCCAGCCCCCATATCAACTTCACCCTTCTTTACTGATCAATCATCTCATTGCTGCACCTGCCAGACTGAGCGCAATCTAGTGCAAGTGTGTCAAGGACAGAAGTCCAAGACCGACATGCTTTCCGAGAGTATAGAACAGTACAAGGAGATGTATATCCTGGCCAAAAGAGACTTCCCTAAGATCATGGCCGTGAGTGTTTTCTCATGTCATCACAGACGCGGGTTGACCATTTTTTCATGCCCTTCTTCGGTACATGATATTGCAGGCCGTTCGGAGGCGGCTTGATGGTCGCGGCAACGCTGGCGCAGCTGGCCAAGGTGATGGAGGCGGCAGAGGGCGAGGAGGTGCCCGTGGTGCTGGGCGTGGTGGGCGTGGCGGTGGAAGAGGTGGACGAGGCGGAGGTAACGGTGGTCGTGGAGGTGGGGACGATGACAGCGACAATGAAGGACCTGGAGGTGGAGGTGGGAGGGGTCGAGGTGCTGCAAGAGCTCGAGGGTCCACGCGCGCTGCTGCACCAGCCTCTCGTGGACGAGCGACAGCCCGCGGTGGCGCACCGAGAGCAGCCAGCCCTCCTCCAGATATGGATGAAGAAGGTGGAAGATATATGCCCTTTTTATAACTGCCTTTCCTTCGCTCAATATAAATTTTCACCGTTGTTCACGCAGAGTTCTTCGCGCCGCCGCCGCCGCCCCCTCCAAAACCGCGGTCGACTGCCGCTAAATCGACTGCCGCCAAATCTGCACCAACGTCCACTTCGAATGCGAGTTCTCGAGCTGGGCCAAGCAGAAACACGAACGCAAACAATTCGGACGAGGTCCGTTGCGACTGTGGCGAGATCGCTATCGAGCGTACGGTTACGAAAGAGAGCATCAACAAAGGCCGCACTTTCCGAAAATGTGCGACAGAGAAGTGCAGCTTTTTCGCATGGGGAGACGAACCCGTAGCTTCGTCGTCGGCTTCAACATCGGCAGCTGCAAGAAGAGCAGATCCGATGCCGGCGCCTGTTCTGGGGAAGAGGGCGTTCTCTGAACGTTCAGTAAATCATCGTCGTTCCTATCTTGTAATTGTCGAGCGATGCTGACTTTATTTTGGCTTGCCGTGTGTTAGGATTCGAGACAATCCTCGAGAACGGCCGAGGAAGGGCCTAAACGGTGTAATTGCGATATGACCGCCATCACGAAAGAAGTGACCAAGGATGGCGCGAACAAGGGACGGAGCTTCTGGACTTGTCCTAACGTCAAAGTAGCGTCGTGTGGATTCTTTGAGTGGGTGGCGGAGGGCGTGGGTGATAGTGGTGGAGGAGCTGGGGGGAGAAGCTCCAGTGTGGGTGAGGTCAAGTCGGGCGGCTGCTTCAAGGTGAGCAGTCCGTTTGCCTTCAGAGAGATGAATCGATGACAATGTCATTACAATTGAAGTGTGGTCAAGAAGGACATTGGGCTAGTGGTATGTGTCTTTCATGTACAGACATTCACAAACAGCACTCAAACATCGTCCAGCATGTCCAAATCCACAGGGTGGCTCTGACTCCAACAAGAGGTTCAAGTCTGGAGGAACATTTGGAGACAGTGGTGGTACAGGTAACGCATGCTTCAAGTGCGGCGAACCAGGGCACTATAGTAATGGTATGTTCTTTTGCCGTCGATGCTCCTCTATGCTCCCCTCTTTCGAATATCTTCTAAACATTTCTTTCTAGCCTGTCCAAACCCGAATGGTGGATCAGGCCAACGGACGAAGTCCTCAGGTGGAGGAGGCGGAGACAATGCATGTTTCAAGTGTGGCGAGTCTGGTCACTACAGCAATGGTGCGTTTCTTTAATATAACCATCCTTTTTTTGGCGACTGACACCGACTACACCTGCCTTCGACGAAAGCCTGCCCAAATCCTGGAGGCGCTGCGAAGCCGGCATCTCGGGCTGGCTCAAGAGGAGGCAAACGAGGCAGAGGTCGGGGTCGGGGACGGACAAGTGGAGGGAAGTCCCGGGGAAAGTCCTCAAAATCGGCCGGCTCGATGTTCGGCGCTGCTGATGACTTTATGTGAAACGTTAACCGTGGACTCTTTTCTTTTCCCCTTTCTGTGTTGTGGCGAGGATCCTAGTTTTTTTTTCCCCTGCTTATCGCACTCTCTTGTTATCGCTGTATTTAAAATAGAAATTCCTTGTTCATTATAATGCTGCTGGCTTTTTGTGTAATTTGGTTGTAACATTTTTTGGAGGATGGGTAGTGTTGGAAGATGGGATTCAGTGGATATGCACCTCGTGAGCCTCTGTGGTAAGCTCGATTGACAAGCTCGATCAATCTGTTCGTCACGGTACTCATGTTCCTGATACGCGCTGCTTCCACCATGATCCAAGTAGCATTCAACTCCTCAATCGACGAGCTCGTTGAGCTGAACAAAATCAAGACAAAATTGATCTGATATAACCCCGCACTGGGCCATGAGCAGGTCCGCGTGAGCCCGCCCCGCACGGGAACATCGCCGTTTTCCCCGGATCTGTTTGTCGGACTGTGGGGCACTTTGCGTTTTGAAATCAAACATCGTCTTGTCGCCTGGCTTCCGTCCGCAACACATCCACTCCGGCCCCGGACACGGAGAAGTATACAGAAGTGCAGAACCATGATTGGGCCTTGAATTGATGGTCTCGTGTCCATTGATTTTACATTTTAGCGCTCGTATATATACACTGGCAGGCCGCTTTGCAATGACGGCTTACTCTGTCCCCCCGCCTCCTTTCTCCACCCACATCACTAGCTCCCGTCAGGACAATGCCTGGGTCTATCGAGAAGGAAGACGAGTCTATGCGCGAGACGGCCAAGGTGGACTCTCCGAGTCCGGGCGATCTCTATGAGCGGGATGGCAAAGAGGAGAGACGAATATTCCGTAAGATGGACATGCATCTTTTGCCATTCGTCTCGCTGCTTTACCTGCTCTCGTTCTTGTGCGTATCGTTATGCTATCCACGCTCGGCGGCGAAGGCTAATTCTGCGCACATCACGACAGGGATCGGTCGAATGTTGGTGAGTGGCATGTCGCATGTTCTGCCTCACGCTTTGGAGCTCAATGACTTTACTCTTACAATACGTAGGGAACGCGAAGATTGCCGGCATGGCTACAGACCTGAAATTGGTGGGCCTGCGTTATAATATCATTGCCGCTGTGTTCTTTGTGAGTAGCGCTCTCATTTCTGCGAACAGGCCGTTCTAACGGAAACTTAGCTTCCCTACTGTTTCGTAGAGATCCCATCGTATGTTCGAAATGTCCAGGCAGAACTTGAGGCTGGTTTGTTGATAAGGTCGACACAGGAATATCCTCTTGAAACTTACGAGACCTTCTCGATGGAGTACGCAACTCCGCTTCTCGGTCGGGCTTATCGTCCATCCTCAGGACTGACCTCTCTGCCTTTTTTTTCCAGTCCCTTCGATCATGCTTGCTTGGGGACTTGTGATGACTCTGATGTGCCTCGTCAACAGTTATCACGGTCTAATAATGTTTGTCCTTTTTCCAAAACGAGTGGACGGTCTCGATGGTAGGATACAGTTCTGACGGGCGCCTACAGAGCCCGGATATTCCTTGGATTGGCCGAGGGAGGTCTTTTCCCCGGTGTGACGTTCTACATCTCGCTCTGGTTCGTGAGATTTTCGTTCGGATGCCCTAGCTCAATGCAAAAGGTCTGCGGTTGCTTACTCCTTCGGGTGCATCAATAGGTACCCTAGGCGCAAACAGGCCAAACGCATTGCTATCTTCTTCTCGGCTGCAACGATCGCTGGAGCATTCGGTGCGTGGCACGCTAATTTTGTTTCCATTCATTCATCTTACTCAAATGTCGGCGTGGTGTTTCAGGTGGCATCCTCGCGTGCGCTTACTGTCTTTGTCTTTTTCAGAAACATACTGGCTAACTAACCGTTTCTTTCTTTCGCCACAGGTTTGGCATTGAGAAGATGGAGGGGTGGGTCTTCCGTCTTACGCACGTAGCTTGTTTTCGCGAGGGGTCCTGATGGGGTTCTTGGTCTCTTCAGCATTGGGGGCCTGCATGGATGGCAGTGGATTGTGAGTGATTCATCCGATACGACCCAGTGTGCAAAACGAACGGCTAACAATTCATTCGTTCAGTTCTGCTTGGAAGGACTTCGTCAGTGTTGCTGTTACTGAACTCTCTCCGTTCATCCAAAACTGACATCTCGGATTCTGGCAGTGACCGTCATCATCGCGGCCTTAGCCTTCTTCTTCATGCACGATGCGAGCATCTCTCATCTTCGTCGGCCATTATTTCGATACTGACACTACTTTTGGTCTGTTTGATAGTATCCGGAGACCGCGACCTTCCTGACCGACTCCGAGCGCCGCCACATCGTGGCATTACTTGCGGAGGACTCCAAGAACCTCGCCAAAGGCTATTCTCACAAGTACTTCTGGCAGGCCATCAAGGATTACAAGTCATGGATGCAGATCGTCGTTTATATGGGGTACGTCTCTCTACATCTTTAGTCGCCATTGCTTTGACGCGCACTGACTTGCCTACTATCTGATTGTGTTTAACCTTTTGGATCAGCGTCCTCATCCCAGTCTACGCCGTCGCTCTCTTCACACCCTCAATTATCGCCGGCCTCGGCTACGCAGCGGCTCGTGCCCAGTTACTCTCCATCCCACCATTCGTATGTGGATGTCTGATGACTATTGTCGTGGGCATATACTCCGATAAGTTGAACTTGAGGGGTCCGTTCATTATGGGCGGGGCATTCGTGAGTCTTGTCGGGTATATCGTCTGTTATACGACGACGAGTCCTGGAGCGGGGTACGTCGGTAAGTAATGTTCCTCATAACGTATATGCCCTGTGCCAGTTGTCTCCACCATGTGCTAAACGGTGAGCTTGTATGATAGGTGCTATCATCGCGTGCTTAGGAGTGTACCCGACGATTGCTGTTAACCTGGCTTGGGCGGGGGGCAATGCGGGTGGCGATGCTAAGAGGGGAGTGGTCATCGCTATGGTCATTGGTATCGGAAACCTCGGAGGGTATGTGTTATATATCTCGCACTCTCATGCGTTCGCTAACTGGCAATCACGATGATTTTGTCATTGGACCTTAGAATCTGCTCGTCTTTCATATACTACGACTCCCCACGATTCCACCACGGACATGGCACCATGATGGGCTGGCTCGGTCTCACGTACGTTCCGGTCTTCCACTTGATCAACGAGCACGACTTACAGATGTTTCGAACATTAGAATTATCTCGACCGCGGTCCTTATGTGGAGATACAGCGTCATCAATGCCGAGAAGGAGGCCCTCTGCAAGCGGGAGGGCATCGATGACAGTAGAGAGGAAGAGTTCAGGGAGCTGGGCGATGAGAGCCCTTTGTTCAGGTTTGTTGGCATCCACTTGGCATCTCTTCTATTCCCTCTCTAATCTTAACTCCTGGGGCTATAGGTACACTATCTGAGACTTTTTGGTGCTGGTCTTGATGATGGCGGGGATCCCCAGACTAAATTATGTTGCAACCTACCAAAACCCTGCCGTTGTGTAAGGAGGACGTCACTCTTGTGTTTTTGTATTATATCATGATCATGATCGACGTGTAGACCATACACAATATGACCACCTTTAATGGCTGTGAAGTACCGTCGGCAGTGTGGCCCAAAGGCCACAATTCGGGTGTGGCGTTGGATTTCAAACTCCGCTCCGAACAACGAACAGGAACACCCTGGAACACCACACTTGAACCACACGGACGGTGACGGACCCCGTTCCATTTACATAGACGACAAACAAAATAACATCAAGCAGGCGGTAGAAACACCGTCCAAAGCACGACCGACACCGCACCCCACACCACGCTCCAACCCACCCATATCTTCCCCCACCAAGGTTTCTCAAACACGAGCCACGCGGCGGCCCAGTACGTGAGCGGCATCGAAGCGGCGAGGCGGAGTGCGATTTGGGTGTGGGAGTTGAAGAGGAGGGTTAGGGAGAGGATCAGGGCGTGGATTGCGTGTGGGGTTAGGGAGGAGGATAAGAAGGGAGATGAAGGTGGGCGTTCGAGTTTTGGTTGAGTTCGGGGATCTGGGTTTGTTTGGTTTGGGGAAGCGGGTTTCTGAGTGTTGAGGTAGGAGGGAAGGAGACGGTGTTTGAGGATGGATAGAAGGGTGGGCAGGGTGTGTGAGAGGTGTGTGAGCGTGAAGGTGAAGAGGAGAGTGAGGACGGGGGCGGCGAGGAGGAAGTTTGGGAGTTGGGAGAGGGTCCAGTAGTTGAGGAATCCGATGTTCCAGTACCGCGCTTGGACGTGGGTATATATGAGAGGGATGGTCTTGTTACACCACAGTGGTGTCGAAACGATCTGGCCTTTGTCGTCATTAGGGGTGCAGAAGAGAACGTACGCGGCCACTTGATGTGCGACGAATGGCACGAAAGTGAGAGCAGTGGTGAACACTGCGTATGCAACCTTCTTGATTGAAAGCTAAAAAATTACGATAAGATACTCCAACTTTTGTCGTAGTATGGATGATAGATAATGTGCTGATTGTAAGATTGATGAGAGCTCACCTGTCCGTGCAAGAGAGGTTCAACAACAAGTCCCCAGATTAGGAAGCCCCCTAGTAGTACACCATTCGACCGAAATGCGCCTGCAAGTGCGAACCAAAACGTCGCCCATAGCCATTGCTTCTTCGCGCACGCCAACATGCCTTAAAGAAGTCGGCCTCGATGAGCGTTTGACGAGGAGAACTGGGCAGGGAATATACCTTTATATGAGAAATAGGTGAAGAATGGCTCTGTGTAGGCTGCATAGTGAATTGTAACTGGACTGCTGGGTATAAGCGACAATAATGACGCGATGAGAGCCAGAGACGTTGAATTGAGATGATGGAAGGATAATCGGTAGAGCGTGCTGGTACTGCTGCACGCCACAGCGGCCCCCACGCCACGAAGCAGAATGTTCTCCCATCCTAAGTCAGGACCTCCTCCAAGTGATATCAAAAAATGACTGAGACGACCCATAATATTCATGACAAGCGGTAATCCAGGAGAGAATGCCCATTCGTGTTCGTAAACATAGCCTTCACGGGCAATGTGCGTGAAGTGGAAAGCGTCCCACCGAAGAAGGGAAGATGTCAAATAGGGTGTAGAATCATCGAACTGAGTACTCGCAGAGGAGTCGAATGACGGAAGGTGAGACGCCAAGAAGACGAGCGAAATAGTACAAGCACGGGCGGCAACGGTGCAGACGTTCAAGAGGCGAAAATGGTCGTCAACCAGTGTGGGTGTCGGCGAAGACGTGTCCGGAGCCATACGCCCCTTGTTCGCATGTTGTTTCCCCATCGTCGTCGACGACAATGACTCTGCTACATAGATTGTCAGTTATAACGACCCGTTCGACGAAGACAAACATGCCTTGAGGTCACGCGGAAAGAAGACAGTTGATGGTCAGCAGCAAAGCCTGTGATTTCGCGTCTTGCCTCTGACGCGCTCTCTCACTCCAGTCTCTGCGCCTCAGCCTTGCTGCTTACACTCGTGCGCACATCCGTCCCATAAACTCCCTCTGGATACTTGGACTGACACATTGAACAGGCAGAGGCTCTAAAATGTCTACGGCGTCGCCACACAGAAGAGCAATGTCTGTACCCCAACCCCAGCCTCCTTCAACCGTTTCCGACCATGCTTCGGACGCCACAGTTCATTCTCTAGTACCTACACTGCTTGATTTCGTGAATACTGTTCCGCCACCACTTACAGCAGTATTGACTGGTCTATCACCAACTGTCACTCCATTTCGACGTACTCTCGAAATTCTCAGTTGGCAAGCACCATGGTCCGAGAGTTGGCTCGTGGTCGCCGCTTGGTGGGGTGTATGTTTATTGTCGAATTTTGGGTTCAGGTGCGTGCGCCTACGTCTATAACTTATTATGTTGCTGGCTGACGTGGATACTTATTCAGATATATGTTTCCCATAATATTTTTGACAGCCGTGGCTTTCAGTAGATGGCGAGCCCGAATAGCTGCAAAACGTCCCACTTCAGAACCCGTAACAGAAGATAACCTCCAACGGACAATCTCGGACCTCTCCACCATTTTCACACTCATACCTTCCTCCCCATCCCTCCCAACAGCAGACTTCACACTTCTACTCCGAGCTTCCGCAATTCTATATCTTCCCTACCTCCTCCTCACATTCTTCGTTCCCTTACGAATCCTCATCGGCTTCGCCGGCACCATCGTCCTCACGTGGCGAGCGCCGTGGGCCACTCTGATCCGCACCAGCATCTGGCGAAGCGCCTGGATCCGGTGGTCAGCCTACCGGCTGTGGTCCTACATCTCCGGAGCCCCATTCCCTTCTCCACTGCCCGGGCCACACCTCGTCTCGGGAAGCGCCTCGTCATTGTCAATAAACCAGACGCCGGTGAATACCGTCCGATTTTTGTTCACGGTATATGAGAATCAGAGGTGGTGGATGGGATTGGACTGGACTGCGGCTTTGGTTCCGGGCGAACGACCTTCGTGGTGCTCCGCCACTCAACAGCCCGTCCCACCACCAAGCGCTTTCGCACTTCCACAGCCTACGATCGCGTATCTCAAAGATTCTGACCCGAAGGGCGCCGAGCGCAGGGTCAAGAGGGTAGCGATGTGGGGATGGGAAGAGACGGAGTGGAGGGTCGTGGTGAAGAAGGAAGGGGAGGACGAGTCGAAAAGGGTGGAGAGGCCGTTACCGGTTCCGAAGGAGGATGGGGCGAGAGGAGGAGGGAGTGGCGCGAAGTTGTTCAAGGCGGCAGAGAGAATGATGGAGGCTCCGCGGTCAGCATCGACTGCGTCTTCTTCGAGTGCGGGGACGGGTGGGAAGCCGAGGAGCAGGAGTCCGGTGGCGACGAGAACAGGTTCTACTGCTGGGGAGGATCATTCGGATGGTACGGATGGAGCTTATGGAGACTCGGATGATATTACTACGGATACGGACGGATGGATTTATGGTGACAATAAATGGGAGAATCGTGGTAATAAAGGCGGAATGGGCAAGGTCAGCATTTATTGCTTTTGGCTGGGCCACACCATTTTCCCACGCATACGCCACATCAATTTCTAACGGACTTTCCCGTCTTATAACCTTGTAGTACACAAGATACCGACGCTGGACCCGCATCGCAGTCCTCACGGAACTCGTCGAACCAGTCTCACCAGGACAAACCGGCATCCTCGTGGAAGACAGCGAACACTCCATCAGACCCAGTCAGACCATCGAGTCTGCGCCCTTTGTCGCGTCGCCGACTTCGACCTCGCTCGGGAGGAAAGATACGGAGGAAACGACGTCGACGTCGGCTGAAGAGAAGACTGGGCTAAGGCAGCGGTTGAAGGCCGCTGTGGCTGGGTCGCATTGATTTTTGGGAATTAGTACTGACTCTGTTTGAGATTCATTGGCATGGGGTGTATATGAGGGATATTTTGTTGTAATCTATGTACTGCGCTCTAATGTGTATGATGGTTGAGCTCTCCTTTCCTGATGTGAGTGTAGTCTTTGGGCAGCGTTTTCAGAGCATCGGACCGTGATTTGCCTGCGACGACCCGCGTTGTGCGTTGCAAGAAAACGGTTCGGAACATTTATTCAACAAGAAGAACGAGATGCTATAAATATTGTACAGTACATAGTGTGCATCTAGTGCAGCTTAAAGGTCAAAATGCTACTACGGTGTCGTATTGACGGCGTCGTTGTTTGCACAAGAACCTTGATAACAAAATCTCGGGCCATAAACACGATTCGGAGGCCACCGAACGCATGAGGATCAAGGGTCGATGGTGGTGAGCTCTGCTGGTCATAGTAACTTAGTCAGTAAACAACATGATACGTCTGGGACGCACTGAGTGAGCTGCGAAGAAGCACACACCAGTATATTCGACTGCACATGAGTTAAGTCGTGTTAGACAATGATCCTTCTCTCGGGGCCGGTACCATCTCAATGTCCCTCACGCCTTCGCCATCATACACCTGGCAATATTCTTCAGATCCATGTAATACCTCTGTTGGATTTAGCTAGTTGCAGCTCGACGTCGCGAGAGCTTTCGCGAGCTTTCGACGGACACGGATGACTCAGCAGCGCAGCTGCTTTGCCACTCTCTCGAGTACTGTAGAATATTCGAGTATAATTTGTACAGTAGTATAAATACATGAAGAGTTTACCTGTGTAGGGCATCGGTTTGCCCTAACACAAGCCAGCCTCACAGCTCAGTGTGATTGCAAGCCCTCTCTGATTTCTCGTGCTTTTCTCACTCGCTCACGAAAATCCAACACAAACCGATCTCGGTACCGTCGCCGATAACCCGACGCTCGTCCATCATGTCCAGCTTAACCGCTGCGACTGATCTACCGACGGATCTCCCGACGGCAGCCCCTCTCGTCGCCCCTGCGCTTTGCCTCACGCGTCGCCACTCCCTTGCACCCACTCCTGTGCGCCACACCCGCTCTACCACCCTTCCTCTTCGTCGCACATCCTCAGTCGACGCCAGCGCACGCACCCCGCCTCTGCCATCACCCTCGCGTTCTCGCGACAGTCATCCCGACTGGAGCAGAGCGATCTGCCGCCACTGCCGAGAAGTGGGCCACATAGCCCGTGTATGTCCCTCCGCCACTCTCGTCACCTCGTCCCCGCGTAAGCCGCGTAGCGTGAACGCGCCGCCGTTACCCTCTCCATCACCTTTTTCATCCGCCGCACCTCCTCCGGCCTCTCCACCCTCCAACCCCGCGTGGCGAAAAGCCATCTGTCGTCGCTGTGGTATTACCGGCCACATCGCACGCACCTGTCCTCGTCCGAGCCCAGCTCCGAGACACCCATCGTCCGCCATTTCCGTGCTTTGTGCATAGAACGGGTTCGATCCCCGGTCCGGAATTTGACGTTGACTCTCCGCCGTCCCTTGTCGCCACATCCTCAGCCCCTATTCCGCCACTTCGCCGCCACCCACCGTTCCTCACCATCCCTTGCCACCCACACTCCTCGCCACCTTCGCCCCGACTCTCTTTTCGGTGTCTCATCCAGGCTGTATTGGGCACGGTTTCGGATGCCGTAGCGCCAGGTGAGCCGATGCTCACGACGCCTCGACGCGCATCAACCGCTAGGATACGCCGTTCGTCATCGCGAGCAGAACGGAATTGCCATATGAAGGAACGCGCACATGTCCAGGGGGAGTTCCTGACGACTGCCGTAGGTTCTGACCATAGACGGGTAATTCACTGCATGTCGTAGTTGATCTCGAGGTCTTTCCCGCACGTCTCGCTGAGGGGGAGTGTTGGATTTAGCTAGTTGCAGCTCGACGTCGCGAGAGCTTTCGCGAGCTTTCGACGGACACGGATGACTCAGCAGCGCAGCTGCTTTGCCACTCTCTCGAGTACTGTAGAATATTCGAGTATAATTTGTACAGTAGTATAAATACATGAAGAGTTTACCTGTGTAGGGCATCGGTTTGCCCTAACACAAGCCAGCCTCACAGCTCAGTGTGATTGCAAGCCCTCTCTGATTTCTCGTGCTTTTCTCACTCGCTCACGAAAATCCAACAACCTCGTAAATAAAAACTAGCTGCTTATCATTGGCACGAGAGTGGTGTTACCGTCGCTGTTCTCCTGCAGGAGCACCCTCTGACTGTCTCGCAGTTCTTCACGTTCCAGTTCTACGGCGTCGTCGAACTGATTCTCCCACCAATCCGGATCGAGAGGAGCACCAATATTGCCAAGAAAGCGATTTTGAGCGAAGACTGGTCCAGCAGTGGATGTAATAGCCGCAGTGGAGGTGCCTGGGTGTGACTGGGAGTCACATGAGCGAAGGTTGAGGTAGAGGCGGTTGACCAGGAGGTTTGGTAGTCTACGTCAAGATTGAGAGAGAAAAAAGGGTCAGCCATGCACCTGCTTTGTATAGCCCAAAATATTATATATGGTGACATACACGCTGAGATAAGTTTCAAGTATAGTTAGTGCTATGTTTCCCATGTCTCCACTGGTTGACGTGGACATCTGTGTAGTACAGAAAGACGAGGAAGCTTAGCACGTTGATACACAATACTATGTGTGAATGCACTGACATAATATAAGACCTACTATGAGCGGTCGTTCAGCGATGATCATTCTGGATATAGACCTAATGTAAAAGTCTGATCAAAAAGAAAGCTCTGAAAGGCATTATCGCCAGAAAGTACAAGGTTCCTAGTAAGATATGAGTGTGGGCGGCTGAAATAGACAAACCTGTAGGCTCACCGTCTCTAAGTAGGACTTCGGAGATGCTGCCGCCCTTTTCGACCCGACGCATCTGCATAGCATGTCGATATGTCTTACGTATCGTGATTCCAAAGACCAGTATATCGAGCGCTACGGGCAGGAAGGAAACAGTGGTATTCGCGGCTGTTATCTCTATAATTGATGAGTTTGAACATGAAGGACATAGTAACCACTACCCTGCAAGCCTACCTCTGCAAAAGTGGCACACTGAAATCAAACGGCGATGGTGTAAAATACACTGATCAATGTTTACCTTCCATTGTTCGGGGGGTTATATTCTTCGTCGCAACCTCCAAAAAACACCTCGTTCGGGGTCCCTTCCGACGAGATATTCCGTACAAGAGGAGGACTACTCATCTGCCCGAGTCGATATTGTGGCCTTTAGCCTGAAGGTGCAACAGCCTGGCAAAGAGAACAGACCCAAATGTCTATTCCAGATCTTGTGAGGGCCATCACCATTGTTATCCAGAGGACGGCTTTCGTTTGACCGCACATGGCATAGACCCTGAGGGTGAGAAGCACTCATACCCAACACAAGAGTATTTCAGCTCAACGACAAATATTGTATATATCATCGTGACTTACTATATGTAGTGACACCTGAACATGTCCCGAAGATCAGCTGAAAGTGTGCTAGTACATTGCAACTAGGATGACTCGGACTGAGTGTAACGACTGCTTGCATTTTTAGATCTATTAGTACCTTGTGTTCGATACAGAGCCAATGCGTCGAGTCGCCAACTTGATAATGAGGGAAGCTCCATATGCATAGCGGTTTACAAAGAAAAGAACTGCGGGGCAAGAGAGTCTGCGCGACCATACGGCCTGGATCTCCATAGGCGCAGTCTGGATGAAGTCAAGTGCCCACAATGCTTAAGAGACAAATGCCATGAGCATTGCAACGTAGGCTTGGAACGACTACCACGAACCGACTGAAGAGGCGGAGGCATAGTCTGCAATAAGCCTGCATAGGGGCAATGCCCTGATTAATATGCGGAGACGCAATAAATGACTGTACTCGCCCGAGTAAGTCCTCGAGCGCGATCCCCCGGAGTGTCCCAAACTCAGGCATGGTGCGACGAGGACGTACAAGCAGAGGGCGTGGATACTTTCCTCGCATTGTTCAAGACTTGATATAGGGAATCCCTAGAGGCCTCTCCGTTTCCCATCCTGAACGGCTCAACAGATCAATTGTAGCAGAGCACGATAAGAAACAGATATAGCTGATACCCATAATAAAACAGTTGATCAACGAGTTTAGATGAATGTAGCTCACTTACGATGACTTCGAGCGGGTTCCACCTAATGGTTGTGACCTCAGAAGTTTTCACCACACCAAGAACTTGTTCTCTACCAGCCAGAATCAAGGGGAGCTCCAATGTTCCGGAAATTGATTCTCGGAAATTACTGGTTCCGACACGCCCATCGTGTATCAAGGTTGTGTCTGAGCATCGTGATTTCTTTCCTGGAAGGTTGAGGTGAAGGCGGCTGATGAGAACGTTGGAAAGCTTAGTCAGAACAATCATTTGGGTTCGGAGCGGAATGAGACGTGAGTTCAAATAACTCAGCTTGGGGAGATGGTTCTATTGTTCAAAAAGACATATGATGATGAACATAGTAGACTCACCGGTGGAAGCGCGCGACAGGGGATGGTAATCCTTTGAGGCACAGTTAGCATCACGGAAAACAGACGGAATATGACCTTGTGAAAGCGACTCGGACTCTATATCCTAGCGAAACACCATGCTGGGGAGAAAATAACATATTTTGCGACGTGGCTCGACAGACCAAGTTTCGCGTGTCGAGACAACGATCACGGACGGAAAGCAAGAAATGAGGTCAACGTACATTCATCATCTCCGCGAGCAGGTGGCATGGAACCTAGCCCAAGTATGAGACATAATAATGCGTCTCTGCTTAAATTAGCACAATGACACTATGCCAAACTTCCCAGACCGTGACGTGGGTGCATAATTCTTCCCAAAAAGTACACTTATAGGTGCGACAGCTCTACGAGCACTCTCGCTGCATCGGCACCATCTCGATGTCTGCGATATCTCGTTGGTTTCCGTCGTAGACCTAATGTGTGGCCCTGAGTGATTTCCTTGACATCGTGCCCGAAAGGTGTACTCACCACTGGTATGAGCGTCGTTTGCCCGTTGCCTTCGGGTGACACCATCGGCCCATCTTGACCGGATAGTCTTGACGTTGTACTGTGGTCTGCATAGTCATCCTCGAATCGGGTTTCCCACCAATTCGGGTCTAAAGGTGCTCCGATGTTGCCAAGGAACCGGTTGTGGGCGAAGGCTGGTTCGGGCATATCCTTGTGGCCTGAAGTCATTGTGGAGCCCGGATCTGCTAATACACGAAGGTTGAGGTAGAGGCGGTTGGCAAGGAGGTTCGGGAGTCTGTTCGTAGTGTTTGGAGTAAGTCAGACCTTGCGAAATTCGGCTCGAGGGCGGCTTACACGATGAGGTAATTGGACAGGACCTCCGACCACAGGAGCGAAGCCTCAGTATCCTTCTACGGTTATTTCGTTGAGCATCAGCATTGGGCAGGATAGAATCATCGTCTTAGAATGCGGTCACTGACATCGGCTAGTGCTGCCTGCGTCAACTGTTTTAGCCATTATTTTCTGTGGAAAAAAAAGGTGGGTACCAATTGAAGTGCAAGGTTTGCAGCTGAAGCAACGGAGACTATGCTGCAAGTGAGAGACAGATACTAGTCAGACGGAGAGGCTGGTACTGTGAAAGTTACTGACAAGAAATACAAGATTCCTAGAAGGTCGTGAATAATGTGTTTAGAAAAATCTAGTGTGGAATGCAGCTAACCATCCCTCAGAAGGACTTCGGTGATGCTTCTCTGGCCTTGTTTGCGCATCTGTGTGACGTGTCCGTATGTCTTAAAGACAGTTATACCGAAAACATAGGCATCGAATGCCAAGGGCAAAACCGCAGTGACAATGTCGGCTGATACCCAAAGTACCGAAACAGAAGATGAGCTTAGCTCATAAGCGGTGATCTACGAACCTACCTCTTTGAAGAAGTAAACCACAACGTCAGTCTCATTATGAGATTTTTAACCTGAGACTTACCGTTGATATGCAAGAGAGTCAGATTCAATCATTCCACACATGGAGAATGTTTCGAATTGTGACCCCTTGGTTGATACGGTTGTAGACATACTCGGAGCATTCTGCTGTAAATCACTCGACTGTGTGAGAGATTTGTTGCGACCTTAGGATAGTTTCAGAGTATACATACCCACAGGTTGACTCCGAATCTTGCAAGGATCATCGTCAACGCCATACAGAGAACGGCTCTACTTTGACCACATATTGCGTAGACTCTGAGCGTGAACAACACTACGAAAGAGGTGTGAAATGTGCGGTAACGGACAACATATAATGCATTGACCAACGGTTCGTGGATATAGTTGCAGTGATCTGTAGGATTGCTTCGGATATAGCTAGTGCATTACAGCTGGAGGGTGTGACGAGTCAGCAATCGGGTTGTCTGTCAACTATAGATACCCAAAGCTCACCTCTTATCAGTCGCAGATACAGGGCTTCCAATCACCAGTTGAAGGATAAGGGACATTCCAAAACAGTAGCGGTTGACAAGAAAGATCGCTGCAGTTCCTGTGGGTCTACTCGACCAGACGCCTTCGATCTCCATGGGTAGGGTCTGAATAAAGTCAAACATCCACAAGACTAGTCGGGCAGAAATGCCAATCAACGTGGAGCACCCTCTGCGCGGAACAAAGACACACACTTGACGAAGATAAAACAGCATAATCATCGATGATCCTGAGCGTAATGGGGCTTAGAGAAGTACTATAAACCAGTAAGTCAAATGTTAAGACTTGCCATAATCGGTCTTCCAGCACGACCTCGTTGAATGCTGCTTGCGATGCTGACATGACGGGCGAAGGACAAAGCGTTAACGAGACTGATGTTTTTGTGCCGGTTCTTTATACTCGCGGCTGGACAGCTACAGGACCCCTCACGTTCTCGGAACACTTTGTCTGATGCAGGAGCAGACGACCACCACAAAAATCTGACGGTCATTTCCCGAAAATAAATTCGGTGAGAACATCTTCCTCGCATTGATGGCCTAGGAGCGCAGTGATGGTCCTAGTATAATTGGGAGGTAGTGCATGGGCGGGATGGTTCGTCCCGAGTGCCAACATCAAGGTGTGGACGCAACTGGTAACACCCTGGAAGAATTCACGGAACGATGGACCGCCGACCATGGAACCGGAAGGTGTCCATCCTCTAGGGATCGAAGGATCGCCTCAAACTACATTGTGGGAGTGGATACACGGAAGTGCATAGTTCCGAAGACGATGAAGAGGGACCATCTAGGACCACCTTGATTCTTGGATAGCCTATTGTGCGACGGTTTTTACCGTGTGCGGAACCCGGGATTAGCTCTGTTCTCGTGCTCACTCTGCCAAATTATGTTATGTGGAGCCCATAATAGTCAATTACAGCAATGGAGTCAAAAGCACCGCAAGATAGACAAGATCATTTGCGAGCGGAGCATCTTTGGGGCCCACATAACATCCATATGTAGGGCAAGGCCAGAGTACGGTTTGCTATAGCTGGAAGAACGCCCAGCCTGACGAGGCGAGTTGAAGGTGGGGGAGATCACTCTGCCTAGAGCAGCACATTGACATCCCGACAAGTGAATGGATCAACCAAGAACGCGAATGCGCAGCTGCTACACTTATCCTGGTGTTGATCAACAAGATGGGATAGAATGGAACTCACTGACGATGACATCGAGCTCGTATCACACCCTACGCAGATTTGCTACCACACCGACAACTGAAACACGAAGCCCTTCTCATTCGCAAACCAAGGTTGCCGTGCACCACCAACATCTCCGCATACCGTGAATTTAGCTTAGCTAAGTTCTTCATCATTGAAGATGGCGGTTTTGGCGACGCCATCGTCCCTGATGACACCGCGATACATGCCTGGGCAGTTCAAAGACAACGCAACTGAGGGGCAAACGTGCCGCAGTTAGCATGATGGTAGTATGTGGGATATACAGGTGTACTGACCGTTGCCCTCCTGGTCCAAAGCGATCACTCCACCAACACCATCGTGCTCCTTGAGATCCTCCACGACCCAGTCCGCGGCCTTCGTGACCGATTCTCCGAGATACTGCATCCTTCTCGCCATCGTCGATGCTGTGTTTTGCCTGATGAACTGCGTACGTATGGTCAGAACATCAGCATCTTCCAAACCAATTCCGAAAGCGGAATGAACAGAGGAACACTTACGAAGTCGCCGTCCCCTGTTCCCGAAACACCCAGCGCGTTGACACCCCCCTTCCCGCGAAACTTGTTCCACGTCCTTCGCAAAAGTCCCTTGACCTTCCACTCTTCCGCCCAAAACCCTGATCCCATGTGTGGCGTGTCACCCACCCTGCCCACCTGCTTGTTCGTCCTCCCTCCCGTCGACGTGACCGCGCAGATGCACCCTCTCATATCCAAGGCCACTGCTCCCACCGTTCCGGTTGGCATCTGATCCAAGTTCAATGGTTCGGGAGGGGATGCCGGAGTATGACCCTCAGGTAGCGGCTCCTCGGGGAGACCGAGACCACGACGATGTTCGCGCCAGCGAGCTTCAGTGAAGAAATACGATGAGGGGACAGTAGGTACACCGAGAGAGGTACCGATCGATTCAGCATAGGAGCCGGATAGGAAGGGGTGTGGGGTGGATTTAGGCGAGAGATAGAGGGTGCGGGCGAGGTGGCAGGGGTTGCGGGTATGAGTGAGGAGGGTGAGGGCGAAACCACGACGGTTGGTTGGGATTTCGGGATGGGTGGACGGGGGTTTGGAGAGCATGATAGAGGTCTCGAGCTCATTCTGACGCGCAATATTAGTCATTCGATGTAATTATAGCTGGCTTGTTGAAGACATACCTTTCCGCCCGTGTTGAAGACAGCACCCTTGCCGGCATTGAAGAGAGGGCAGTCTACATATTGGTCGATTGTCAGGGACGTTTTTGAATGGACGAAACAGGAAGTGACACACTTTCTAAGACCATAACGGCCGCAACTGTCGCGTCCATGGCCTCTCCGCCCTGCTCAAGTACGGCGTACCCAGCACGCAATGCCTGGGCTAGCACGGCTTTGTACTCGGCCTGCTGTACAGGCGTACTCTTCTCGCGCGACATTGTCCCTGCACCACCGTGAATAACAAGTACATACTTGCCTTCACCTTTCTTCGGGTGAGTGGAGATGAGAGGCAGTTTCTCCTGGGAGGAGTAGGTGGAAGACATGGTGGACGTCGTGGGCAAAGATAAGGACGCTGGCACGGGTCCTCTTATGTACCAGGGAAGAGTACTATTTATGTGATGAAATTGTTGTAGAATTCGCAGGGCCAGGCGTCCGAGTCCGAGTCGAACGAGCAGAAAGATAATACATCGTGAAGTATCCGCACACTGAGAGGAAGTTCGGGAACCACAATGTGTTCCGGCCGACTAGGACGACTTAGCCACCAATCGGCGAGATTCAAACGGCGAACTTTAACCCCTTGTTTAGGGTTAGGGGTAGAGTGCCACACTGTCATATCCTTGTTCCCCGAAAGAGGTAGACCTTGTAGCTTATTCCGGGATGGTCTTTGTGCCAGCGGGCCATCGCCTCCCTACATTTAAAAGGAGCCAGTGGCTGGTTTGAGACCATCCCTCACCTCGAATAATTTATCGCCGTTCAACCACTCTGGGAAGCCAACCATTTTGGCTCTGCCCGCCCAAAGCCTATCGCATTGCACCGCATGTGCTCGACGGCGGCAAACAAAGGTGAAGGAGGCTTGAGGTTGTGGCAGAACAACTCCGAATGCGCAGACTACCCCGTCCTTTGATCAAGGAACTAAAAATGCTAGACTCTCCGGGTACAAATATAGTTTTACTTCTCCTACAGTGGGTGCAGTTGCTCTACGCAGACCCCAACATAATATGCGCACAGTCATTTATCGACTCTTCCAATGTAATGAAGTCCTTCCTGCCTAGCTCCTTCAAGAGCTCTATGGCGCGTGACCTTGCCTCCGTGAGCGTGCATAAATCCTTTGGCTCGTCAGGAATGTTGTCGGGCCACTTGCGAGTAGGATATGCCTTGCGCAGGATATCGAGGATCTTGCTCCAGTTGTACGGTTCCGCATAGGCGAGGATGCGCTCGGACTTGACAGCCGGGTTTGTTAGAGCGATGACGTGAAATCGAGCGGTATCGCGGACGTCAACGAAGTACTCTGAAGATGGGGGAAGAATAAGCGTTCAGGATTCATCAAACAGTGGAGAGAATGCGATAACATACGAGGTGCTACTCCATATTTCCTCGCCGTCTCCAGATCTCCCTGGATCAGGGTACGAATCGCTATGAACGACGGCGAACTCTGCCCTTCACCCAACGCTGGCCCAAAGTTCCCACTCGGCAAGACTGCATTGAACTCAAACGCTGGTTTCTCCTCCGCCATAAACTTCCAACACGCCTTCTCAGATTTGAGCTTGCTCGCGGCATATACCGCGAACGCCCTGTCCGGTGTGTATGGCGGTGGAGCCCAAGCGATCTTGCTAGCTTCGTCATTCCACGAGTCGACGGTGACTTCGAAGGGTTTATTGGGGATAGTAGAGGATGCAGCCGATGAGGAAGAGGTGTAAACGACGCGCTTAACGGTGGATTCTTTGTTGGCTGAGTTGAGGATGCCAACCGTGCTGGCAATGGTTTGGGGGATGACAGCGTTCGGGTCTGGCGAGAACGAGACGTCGGACGCGACGTGTACGATGCCGCTTACACCTGAAAAATTGGTCAGACCAACTTCGGTGTAAGTATCCAGGCTCTGAGGGATGAAGGAGAGCTGGCATACCTTTCACTGCTTCATCAAATGCACCGTCGGCACTGGTCTGAGACACCAGGACGAGTTCTAATCTGCCTTTGCCATACTTCTCGTCGAAGAACTTCTGGACCCATTGGCATCGAGAGGCATCCCGGACAGTACCCCGCACTTTATAGCCAAAGGAGAGCAGTTGGTCAGCGGTGTGCGAGCCAATGTATCCGTTCACGCCGGTGACGAGGACAATTGAGCCTTCCGGGATCGCGCTGGACATGTGATAGTATGTGAGTGTACTTCTAAACGGTCAGGGTGGAGTTGGATGGCGAGAGGTGGAATAAGTATGTGTGAGGTTGGTGTGAGGACGACTGACCAGTTCTTATGTACTGCAGAAGCATATGTCTGATGGCTTCTTTACCTCATGTCATATGGCGAAGGAGACCTTTGATGTAAGCGTCCAGCTGTTGCGGTCAGGACGAGGCGGGGTGGAGGAATGTAGATGAAGTGCTCAAGGAGGGTCACGACTCGGAAGCGGATGGAACAAGCCCCTGTTACACAGCCCATGACGATATATCATTTAGCACCGCTGTTGTCAGGTAAGTCACTTTGCCGGAGTGGTTAACGGGATCGCCTGCTATTTATAGCTCTTAGCGGTTGGGCTTTGCCCGCGAGTGTTCGAATCGCTCAGGTGACGATTTTTTGCTTCCTCTCTTCGCTGTCATCGCCACTGCCGCCTTGAATACTCGCCACTCGTACGGTTGTACCGCAACATCCACTTCTCTTGACGGCAACAACTCACACTATACCCCTTCACACACACCCCGTGCAGCAATCTATTGCTGGCTAACGTCCACTTTCGCACACGCAACAAACAACGACCATGAGCGCGACTAAATATGCGAACCTACCGGATATCGTGAGGCTCTTGTAGATGTAGACTTGCTGTGCTCGCAACGTGTTTATTTCCGTTTTTCTCGTCTAGGATACCGCACCAGATATCTACGAAACTGATGATGTGTTCCCGACAACGCAAGCCAAGGTAATATCGGTGTCATGCTTTCCACTGCCCACTCATAGTCTCGAACTGTCTCTCAGCAAGGCGAGTCTAGCGACGAGGAATCCGGTCTCCCCACGCGTCACTCGAATCGCGGAAAGAACGCGGAGGTTCCGAGTAAAGAAGAGCTTGACAGCAGCAGTTTGATAGGCGCTGATGAGGCGAGTAAGAAATTCAGGCGAGCTGAGCGGAGAAGTAGGTCTCAGATACTCTTGCCATGGCATTCACTTGTATCTCACCAGTGTGTTCGTATTACCTATAGGTACCCGAGACCGCTCCTTGTACAAGTATCCATCTACGCGGAGCGAGTCGCCATCACCCAGCCATCCACCTTCGTTAGCTGTCCGCCTTCGCTTGCTTCAGGCCGAATTGGCGTCTTTGGAGACAGAACTTTCGGATCCTTCGAATTCAACTGTGCAAACCGAGGAGGGACATGTTGATCCCGGGGAACTCATCCAGAGCTTGGTCGATGTGAAGAGTAGGTTGGAGAAGTTCAATACGAAGCAGGACGGGAGGTCGAAATTGGTGAAGGAGGTCCTGAAGGAGGAGCCCGAAAAGTTCGAAGACAAGGAAGGCGAAGTAAACAGTTCATCACAGAAGGAGGGCGAGGATGAGGGTAAATCGAAGTCTGAGGTACAGGACTTGGCTGGGATAGATCGTCGGCTAGGAGAGATTGAGAAGCTCGTTGGATCTGCGAGTACTTCATTAGATGAGGTGCGTTTGTTCGCTATGATTATTCTTGATTTCATGGTCCTGATGTCGAATATTAGGCTTCGCCCATGCCCCCGCCCCTTCTTCCCCTCATCACGCGGCTCAACACGCAACTCACCGTCCTGACACAACCTCGCCACCTTGATAACATCTCGCGTCGCCTCAAACTCCTTCTCACAGATCTCGACCGCGCTTCATCCACAAACCACCAGCGCAAGACGTCCCATCACGCCGACTCCTCTTCGGGTGCAGCACCCCCTCCTTCGGCTCTACAAGAACAAATCACTCCACTTCTCACTCGTCTCGTCCCAAGTCTTCCTCACATCCCCCATATCCTAACAAGGCTGCGTACGCTGTCGACATTGCATACCCAGGCTGCTGAGTTCCAAACCACACTGGAAGGGCTGGAAGAGGACGAAAAGAAGGTCAGTGAGGCGTTGGAAGAGCTCGGAAAGGCGGTGGATGATATGGAGAAGAGTTTGGAGGACAATGGAACCTTGGTCAAGGGCAATGTGAACTCGTTGGAGGGACGGATAGATGCTCTGCTCGGTCGGCTGGAGCAGGTGAGCATGTAGAGGTGGGCATGTTCTGTTACGACGTCTCCCTTTCATGTTACTTTCCTTCGGCGTAATGATATCCTTTGGTGGAGGATCTCAACCGGCGAACAGCGTGTATGGATGTCTGAAAATACTAGCGTCTCTCCTCGTCGCATTGAGTATCGCTGGCGTAGAATGCACTGCTCGCGTTCTAGGCTGGGGCGCGGGCGAACATGTTGAACACATGCTTTGAATCTGCGTTGTTCTGATTCCCTGCTTGTTTCGCATCCATCAACTCCTGGCAACTCGTAGACGCGAATGCAGTGCCACTCAACACTGATTCAGCGGCTAAGTATTAGGAGAAGGTGTCGATCCCGCACCGGACTATAGCATCCTAGTTGGATGATTTTCCCTCATCACGCACGTTACGGGACACCTTCTGCAGCTCTCCGTCCCCTCGCCACTCGGATATTGTGCACTATTTCTCCCTAACTGCTTGGATGGGCTGCCCGCGCCACAGGGACATCCTAAAGAATCGGCAACCAACCAAACTTGATGGAACGGTTCTCCGGATATACAACAATCTACTCGTGAAACCCGCTCGACATGTTGGAAACCGGCAAGCCGATGATTGCCCTTGAGGGGTATCTCTTGGCTGAGCTAACATCGCTTCTACCCAGATATAAAACACTGGACTCAACATTGAAAAAATCCCCAGCAGCGCTCACTTCGACCTTCTCCCGGTACCGGATACCCTTTCACCCCTTCATTCACTTCTAACGTCTCTCTTGGAATATCTCACATTATTTATTAATTTTTATACCTCACCTCTATACTCCATATACCTTCCTCTTTCTATCATCTTTCATCTCAGTCATGCGTTCTACTATCGTTTGCGTTCTTGGTGTCGCTGTCAGCGCTTCCGCTATGCCCTTCGTTATTCCCTCGTCTACGACCCAGTAAGCCCCTCTTCTTCGCCTTGTTCGCAAGCCCCTCAACTAATTACTCTTTCTTTCAGCGCCTCCCCGTTCTCCAAACGTCTTGCCGTTTCCCCAGGTCAAAGTCGACCTCCCCTCCCTGTCGGTCCTTGTGGGTGAGTGCTTCATTTTCGACCCAAAGAGTGGTCGGGGCTGGGAAGACGACACAGTCACGTTGATATTTATTTATCCTCCCAGCATACAGGTGGTCGGATTCAAACGGTTCGATCTTCATACTTCATCCTTACTTTAAACAAACCCTGATCATTAGTGTCTCTTGACAGTGATGCGGACGACTGGTCTCTCACCCGCCGTCTCGAAATCACATCGGGTCAGAGCTTACCAGTACCGCCGTCTATCTTCTGTGGAGGGTGAGCATTTACTGTCCTCGAGCTCCCCCCGTTGGCGCGCCTTTTTGACTTCACCTTTTCCCTGAACTACACAGACCAAGTATATCAGGCGCCAGACGTGACGTTGGTGACGATATTGAGGACGGGTTGAAGGCATTCGGGTAAGCTCTCAATTTCTACAGGATTGCTATCGCTATCCGTTGGGTTGCTCAACTTGACTTTTGCCGTTGCATCAGCGGTCTTTTCCTTGGAGGCTTGGGTGCCCGGGATTTGAAGGACGACCTTGAGACTGGCGCGGGAGATGTCATTTCTGCTCTTCCGGAGATTGCTACTCTTGCATCGAAGTTCCTCGCTCGAGAGCCTCTTGATGAGTACGTCCTTCCTGCGTCCTTCTTTCTATATCCAACCGACTGATCCTCATTTTTTGGATCCGTTCAGCAACGAGTACGTTCGAGTTCATACTCATCGCGCACAAACATACAGGGCGTTTCTAAGTTTTTTATAACAGGCGAACGATCCTCGCCCGTGGACTTGGTACTACGATCCTTCATGACGCTGAGACCATCATTCCCGAAGCTCTTCCTCTCATCACTTCCTTACTCAAGTTCGTCGCGATACACCGTCGTTTAACACTACAAAATAATTAATGACTAATTTCTATGTTTATAGGCGTGGCCTTGGTACCACGATCCTTCACGATGCAGAGACCATCATTCCTGAGGCTCTTCCTCTCATCACTTCCTTGCTCAAGTTCGTCGCAACACACCGTCGTTCAACAAACGAATTACTGACTGATTTCTATGTTCTGTAGGCGTGGCCTTGGCACCACGATCCTTCACGATGCTGAGACCATCGTCCCAGAGGCCCTTCCTCTCATTACTTCACTCCTAAGGTATGCCACTCACAGCTCTGAACTAACCCGATAAGTACTCACAAAGCACAACATCTCCTGGTATAGACGCGATATCGGAGACGACCTCGAGACCGCGGCGAAAGATGTTGGTTCTGCTCTTCCGGAGATTCTTGGCCTTGCCTCCAAGTTCCTGGTTCGTGAACACATCGGTGTCGACGATGAGCCCATGCTTCCGAGTCTGACCCCACTTGCGGGTGAATTCTTGAGGTGAGTAAGCGTGTTTTTGTCTGTCTGCTAATCGGACCTGTTGCTCATGTGTTCGTTTCTGACCTCGGTATACTTAGGCGCGACGAGTTGGAGGCTCTCGCGGCGATGGCGAGGCGTGAGATCAATGATCTTGACTAGATGAACTGTGGTTTGTAGGGGCATTATTTTTTCCTTGTGTTCATGGGCCTTCTTTTCTTTTGGGGTTTCTAACCTTTGTTGTTTATGGTTTATATCGTACTATTTTCGTAATTTTGATTTACTGAAGTGGGGCATATTAGGAGTGGAATCTGCTTCCGCCAAAAATCCTTCCGTCCGTAGGTTCAAGATTTCCAGCTGTTTTCAGAATTGTAGTCGCGCCCGCGTTTTCGTTCGATGGAGCGGTCGGAGCGTTCTGACGCAACCGGCTACCGTTTCAGGACGCAAGCGCCAATTCTTATGTTCCTACGAAGGGCCACACCTGCCCTCATAACATCGACATAGGCATCACTATTCCATCTCAGAACATGAGATAGGTGTTTTTATGAGATAGATATCTTGCATGAGGTTCTGGATATTTTTTGGAGACATGTGCATCGGGACTAACGCTCTGAGGGCTTGCTGAGGCATACAAGAGTGCTGTGGCCCAGCTTGTGGCGAACCCGGGTGAGGCTCCGAATGGGGCCAAGCCCCATCGACGAAAATCCTTGATGCGACTACGATTCTGAAAACAGCTGTCAACGTCACGGCATCTTTCACCCAAGATAGTTCACGGACAGAAATGAGTCTTTGTTCCAAGAAAATAGTGTACATTATTATGTATAGCAGCGAGTATTCGTACATTTCGGCATGACTTCAAACGATCTCCGACAGTAACAACATCCACAGCAACATTAGCTCTTCGTCGTCTTGTTCACAAGGCGTTGTGTTCCCCGAGAAATTCCCGAGCGTGCTTCTTAGCCTCTGGAGAGACGCGGTCATCTGGAAGCGTTCATGTCAGCCTACACACACGGATAACGAACAACGAACGAGACCAAGAGCGTACTGTTCAAAGCAGCCCTGTATCCTGCAAGCACTCTGGTCTGGAAGAGCAGCAGTATGTATGTCGGTGAAGTGCCGCTAGTGGAGTCAAAGGGACAAAACTTACGTCGTGCTCGTCCTCAGTGGAGCCCTCGGGCATCTCAACACTGTATCCACTAGCCTCAAGGACCTCACGCGCATGCCGCTTGGCTTCTTCGGATACGCCAGGGCGGTTCAAGGTAGCCTTGTATCCTCCTACACATGGCATCCAGATCATCGTCAGCGCCGTGACCACTCACAACGCGAGAGCCAAGACCGGAGGATAAACGTACCCAAAACTCGGTGGTCATGTTGACTCTGGTCGGGGAGACCACCGGTGTGGCTGGTGTGGTTGCGTGCGGTGGAGCCGCCGGTCTGACCGAGCTCTTCGAGTTTCTGTGAGGCGTTATGCTTGGCCTCCGTGGAGGTGTTGGGGTTGTGCAACGTAGCCTTGTAGCCACCTGCAGCGACGTTATATGATAAGTTCACGGGTACGATACGCGAGAGATGGGACGTGTACCAGCGACGTGGTTGTTGTGCTGCTCCGAAGACATGGTGATTATTCAGTGTAGGTGGGTAAATTGACGGTGGTAAAAGGTGCAAAAAATGTGGAATGGAGAGAGAGAGAGAGCAGTCGACGCGCTTGGGCTTATATACGCGTCCTGCACCGAATTCAGTATTGGCTCCAAGGCGCGTTTGATGGCTGCCCGATCCGAATATTGGTGCAGCATGACGTCGCGTCCCCACGTCGTGACGTCGTTTCGACAACGGCGATCACGTTACCGTGTTTTGTGGAGTTACCATTATTCACTCACGTATTTGAATTCTGGGGCCGGGAGCCTTCGACAAAAGATGTGGACAAGTACCGTGCGGGAATTTGCCAGAAAAGAGAACCATACATGCGAGGCGGCAGTGATATCTGAGAACCTGCCAACCAGCACCAACGTGTTCGAGGCCCTGTCTGAAAAGCCGAAGACTAGAGTTGTAAGCGAGTTCACAGATACAAAGAGAACGACGAGCTACGAAGGTCGGCGGGGAACAGAGTAATAAGAGCCACGAAAAGATGTGGCGATGTGGTGAAGCTAGCACTCGAGTAAGTTCGATATAGTGTTCTAGTGGATATGCTGCCTCCTGGGAGGAGCAAGTTATTGTCCGGATGGATTTGACCACATTGGTCGAAGAAGACCTCCTGGTATCATGGTCACTTCAACAAACGACCTTGGTATGAAATTTGTCAAGTGGAACACAGAGAGACCATCTTCATTAGGAAATGGGAGAGGAAACGATTGATGAGAGGCTAAAATGGAGAGGATAAACAACATACATCTAAGGTTTCGTCATGCTCGTCGACTCCAGCTTGTAGTGATTTTGTGTCCTAGATATGCACATGAGATAATATATGATGAGCCTATTTCGGACAGCATACATGCAAGAGCAGTTTCGAGGACTCAAGCATGTCCTTCGAAGCCTTTCCACGGAAGTATGAGGAAAGAAGAGGCAACATTCCCCAAAATAACACACCTACTACAGGGTAGAGATATCCTCTTGCATCTCTTTGGCAACTTGAAGCACCTTCAGGTCATCCAGTGATAATCCTGCCTCTTCTGCTCCGGAGGTGTCTGCGGTGAGTGCTTGCTATCCGAGTCGCCGGCTTTACAAATGACGAAGTCTGCGTGATATATTTTCAGTTTCACTATGAACACGCATATATGCTGTAAGTAAGCGGGGTTCCACGGGCGAGGCCACGAAAGACAAAGCGCTCACTGATGTCAGTGTCGGAGTTCGAAATTCGAATATTGACGGTCAAGTTGGCATTGGCTTGGACTTGAAGCAGCACGGCGGTCCTCCGGATCCTGCCAGTGGCAAGGGGAAAAAATGCCGCTTCCTGCTTCGTGCCAATGACTTTGAAGTCGTACGTGGATATGGATAGGAGACCCAAAAAGCTACGGCTGTGCAATGTGCATTGTGCAAAAAAAAAAGAGAAAAGAAAAGGTCCCGTAATTCATCCGTGGGAACAAACCACGGGTGGCACCGTGCACGTTATGGTCAATCTTCGACGTTCGTCCACGGTACGTGTCTCTGCGCACTGAAACAATTTAGTGAGCTCAAAACAAAGCGCAATGGATGATTTTGGCTTGGGACGTACGACACATTATGTTGACACAATATGCAGAAATTTCATGCGTGGGCAGTGTGAGTTACTACTTAAGTATGCTAGCGAGCAGGCCGCCTTCCCGCATTAGGCATTAAGATGAAGAAAATCATGCCATTGATACGGCGGCGTTCAGCCTCCTCAGCTCTCCGTTTGACTTTCGCGAACTTAAGGATGAAGAACGTCGTCGCACTTCGTGATATTCCGGGTTCTGAGAGGGTTGAAGCATAATGACGTGCGCATAGAATAATACAGATGCAAGACGACTATCCATCCGTCCGTCCAACCAAAAGCAAAGAAGAAAAAAAAGCATATGAAAGCGACAAGAAATAGCGTACACGAAACACAACCACGACGGGTTGTCAGGCAGGTCTTCGACGAGGTTCGGGATGCGTGGGACCTGTGGGTGTGGCATCGTTTGGCTTCATGCCTACCATACGCTCGACGACGGCCTGTGCAAACAAACAAATGAAGAGAATCATCCAGTCAGTGCTACGCCACACGAAAGCGACAACGACAAGAAAAAGGATGCGCCAGTCCACCCACCTGAGCCTGATCCCAATCCATCTGATCCTCTTCCTCATCCTCCTCCTTATCTTTATCCTTATCCTTCCCCTCCTCATTAAACGCCCCAAGCCCCCACCCACCCATACTCGCCCTCCCCCGCTCTCCCCCATTCGTCCCCGCACCGTTCCCGTTCCCGCTCCCCGCCATCTTCGGATCCGGACTCTTCAACGCCTCCAAAAACTCTCTATCCCTCTCCCTCTCCCTCCCTCCTCCCCCTCCTCCTAATGTCGCCCCCACCCCCGCCCCCGCATACCCCGTCCTCGGCGTCTCGCCCCCTCCATCCAACTCGTCCAAATCATCGCCCGACGATACTTCAGGGTTAAGCGGCAGGGACATCGGACGCGGCCGGGGACGTTGCGCTATACGACCGCGTCGATCGCGGGGGATGGCGGCGGAGAGGAAGGACGGGGCTCGGGCTTGGCGGGGGTGGCCATGGGTCATCCCGAGGGAGAGACGGGCGCCGGTGGAGGCGCGGACGAGGAGGAGGAGGTGGGTTACGGCTGCTTCGCCGGGGGTGGGTTGGGGCGCTGGGGCGGTGAGGGATAGGGAGGTTTGGGGGCGGCGGCCTTGGGAGACGAGGACGAGGAGCCTTTTGGGGGTGATTACCGTTAGATTTAGATGATGATATGATGATATTGGTGATGAGAATGGGGTGGGATGGTGGGTGTGGTGCTCACATTTGTTGGAGCCGCGGGTAGGTGTGGCTCTCGGTGAAGGCGGATTGTTTTGGTGAGTTTAGGAGCGCGTTGAGTTGGGAGAATAGGGGCAGGATGACTTTGTCTCGGAAGGAACGGAGAGCGAGAGTTCGGACGTCGATTGGGTATGGAGAGTGGGGGAGATGGGAAGTCATGTTCATCGAGCCTTTGCCGTTCTGACGCGATGGTGAGGAGTTCCGATGGGTCTTTGGTGTGCGGTACAGAGTGGCGAGGATTGGTTCCGTTTGTAGAGGGAGGAGGACCTGATGCGATAAGTAGGGTGTATATCAGCGAGGTAAACTTGAATAGGTGCTCTGACGTACTCCTTCGACGTAGGGCAAGACCTGATCCCAGAAGAATCCCCAGATGCCGACGACTCGTGCCACGAGTTTCTCGTCGTCCAACCCCGCGAGCTTTCCGTTCAGAGTGTCCATGCCAGACGCTATGAGCTCCGAAGCCTCGGCTTCAAGGGTGGAGATGGCCTTCGACGGGTTCGACATGACGGTCTGTATGTGGCGCTTCACTAAAGTATTAAGGTCTTCACTTTCGCGTTGATACAGGGATCAGACCCCTGAAGGACCATCATACGCACGGACAAGAAGAGAACACTCACATGGGTACTCTGAGCGGCTCGCCGTTAAAGAGGGGCAAGACAAGGACGTGAAGCATTCCCCACGGGTTATCGGCGGACGAGTTGGATGCACTGTTCGCTGCGGGCATGGGTGTAGCGTTGAGAGTGGTAGATGAGGAAGAGGACAAGGCGGGGGCTAAGGAAGAGGGTAGATGTGCGAGATTGCCGAGACGATGCATCTCCCTCGAGACGAGTTTAGCATCATAGGTCCGGGTAGAACCCTGGGATATTCGAAGACAAGGTCAAAGATGGAAACGGCGATGGAGAGTTCAAGTTCACGGATACCTTTGACGGGGACTGGTGGACCTTGGACGGGGTGCCAGAGGCCATTAGCAAAGGCGATGCTGTGGCGTCTCTGAGGCTGTTGAGGGACAGAGAAGAGTCACGCCGGGAGTGGGATGTAGTACGCGGTGGCGGCTGGAGGAGATGTAGTTGGGACGGGACTGGAGAGGCGCGGGAGATGGCGGGCGACTGCGACGAGAGCTTGTCACCGAAGATGGCGAGCCTCTTGGACGACCCGTCTCGTTCCCGCTCCCGCTCGGTCGACGACAGCGCCGCTATCCCTCGCGACGGCGCTCTCGGCGTCTCGTCGCTGTCGTATGACCTTCGTGTCGAGATAGCCGCTGGCCGTTCCATGGCCTATTTAATCCCCTATTTATTTGCAGACAGGGGCGAGTGTGTTCAGAACGAAGAGGAGTCGCTAGTTTGTCGTCGGACACGACGAACGACCCGCGTTGCCACGAGCGTGGACGACGGCTGGGCATGTGCGCCAGGCCCAGGCTCTACGCTGTAGCGCCTCTTCGATTTCGATAGAGTTCACGCTTGCAGCGGCCAGCCGTCAATGCGAACCACCATCCAGAGGCTCTTCTCCGCCTCCCTCTCACGCACACGGCCCTTCACCGTTCTCGCCATCGAGACCTCTGCGGACGACACTGGCGCAGCCATCCTCACATCCAATCGCGACATCCTCTCCAATGTCGTGGTGAAGCAAAACGCGCTGTATGTTTTTCTGTTTTTCTCGAGACCATGTAGCAACACGGCTCATTGCGACATTTCTGATCAGGCATGAGCAGTGGGGCGGTATACATCCTTATGTCGCCGTCCAAGCTCATCAGGCCAACTTGGTGCGTTATTTGTCCGGATGTGGCTTTGTCGGGTTCATGCTGAACCCCGCCACAGCCAGGTGCGATCCGGCGAGCGTTGGACGAGGCAAATATGCAAGTCGCCGACGTCGACGGTATCGCGTACACGCGAGGTCCAGGTATATTGTTTGGCAGACCTATGGTCTCTGGGACCCCATTCTTATTCCTCCGACAGGCATGACAGGATGTCTCGGTATAGGCGCCGCATCTGCCAAAGCCCTGTCCAGCGCACTCAACAAACCTCTCGTCGGTGTGCATCACATGGTCCGTCCCAATTGCGATCCACACATGCCATTGCTCTCGACTGAATCAATCGCCTTGTAGCAAGCCCACGCTCTGACCGCTTCTCTCACATCCCCGCCACACCAACGCCCCATCTTTCCCTACCTCACCCTCCTCATCTCCGGCGGCCACACCATGCTCCTCCTCTCTCATTCGACCACATCCTTCCGTATCCTAGCGAACACGCCGGACGAGAGCATAGGACGCGTCTTTGATAAAGTCTCGCGTATGCTCCAGCTTCCTTGGTCAACTTATGGCCCGGGTGCCGCTCTCGAGGATTTCTGTCTCACCGGCCCATCTGAGCCCGCCGAAGACCATTCAGCCAGAGATAGAGATGCAGATGAAGCTGGAATACCGCAACTGTCCGTTCCAGCGCCTAATAGACTGATGTTCTCCTACTCGGGCCTACACAGCGCCGTCGAACGGTTCATTACCTCCAAGGGCGGAGCCGACCACATCGACGAAAGCACGAAGAGGGCGTTGGCCAGGCGGTTCCAGAAGGTCGCTTTTGACCAGATCGTGGAGAAGGTGCTGTTGGGGCTGAGGAGGTGTCATAAGGCGGGGATTGAGGTGGGGCATTTGGTTGTGAGTGGGGGCGTGGCGAGTAATCGGAATTTGAGGGAAAGGTATGGATGGCCCTTCATGTTTTCCTTCGAGGTGTACCCCTTGGGCTTGGATATTTGGTGATTGATTTTTTGGTATGGTATGGTATGGTAGACTGCTGGACATCACGAAACGCTCCGCTGAATGGCGTGGCGAGACAAAACCTATGCAACTCGTATTCCCTCCGCCACATCTATGCACAGGTCAGCTCCCTTGCATGTTCTCTTTGGCTGATTGTCTGAATTCTTTCTAGACAACGCGGTGATGATTGGGTGGGCGTCCATGGACCGTTTCTTGGCGGGGGACTACGACACAGATTATTCGTTGCCTATACAGTCGAAATGGAGCCTCGAGGATCTATCGGACGAGCCATTACCGCCGTTTTGGGACGAGGAGCTTGTAATTGCTGATCAGGGTTCAAAAGCCTCAGCCGCAGAAGTCGATTGAGAGTGCTCAGAGTCAGACGATCACGCTCACCCGCAAATTTATTATACATTCGCCGTAATCACTGTAGTAGTCATGCTAATAACACCTTCACTTGTGAGATATTGCCCATTGTCCGATCTACCCACTCCCGAGCCACGTCTCGGAGCGTGTCCCCCGACAAGTCAAATATTTTGTGTCTTGAATTTGCGAGCGGTCAACTCGGAGTGCCACCGCCACAGTGGTTCCGATAGCCTGGCGTCACCAAAGTTAGCCGCTGAGTCAGCCTTCACTCTCAGCTGAGCGGTACGCTCCTTGTGCTTGAGCAGCAACTCATTAGCTCTCACCCGTACTCTCACCTGCCCACCCTTCCTATACTACAATATGTCTGAACGTAAAGGTAAGACGGTATCCCTTTGTCCTACGTTCCAAGTCCAGCACTAATACTGCCGAACCAAAGTCCTCAACAAGTACTTCCCCCCGGATTTCGATCCCTCCTTGATTCCAAGGCGAAAGCAGCCCAAGAATGCACAACAGGTCGTTCGTCTCATGGCCCCCTTCTCCATGTACGTTCTTACTGTCTATTTCCATACATAATCATCTGGTTACTGACGAGACGGAATGGGATGGGCACAGGCGTTGCAATACGTGTGGAGAGTATATTTATAAGGGCAAGAAGTTCAATGCGAGGAAGGAGACAGTGGAGGGAGAGGATTACTTTGGCATCAAGATCTTCCGGTTTTACATTAAATGGTACGCCTACGCTCGTCAGTCCTATCAAGACATAGATAGGATATGCTGACACCAGTTCCATTTCGATTCCATTCAACCACGCAGCACACTATGTTCCGCCGAAATCACCTTCAAAACCGACCCAAAGAACACAGACTACGCCGCCGAACACGGCGCCTCGCGCAACTTCGAACCCTGGCGCGACGAAAAAGCAGTCGAAGAGGAGGACCGGCTCGCGAAGCTCGAGGAGGAAGAAAACAACCCGATGAAGGCGCTCGAGAACCGGACGACGGACTCGAAGCGCGAGATGGACATTCTCGACGCGTTGCAGGATATCAGGGCGCGGAATGCACGGAATGAGAGGGTGGGGCAGTCGACGGCGGAGGATTTATTGGAGAGGATTGGGTTGGAGGAGAGGGGCCTTGTGAGCGAGGAGGACGAGGAGAAGAGGAGGCAGGAGGAGGAGGATGAGAGGTTGGTTAGGGAGGTGTTTTCGAAGGTGCCGATTGCGTCGGGGAGTGGGTCATCTTCGCTGTTGTCGTTGGCGGCTGAGAAGGCAGTAGTGGGTGAGGGAGCGGGGTCAGGAGAGGGAGAGTCGTCGACGGCGACGCCGCCACCGCCACCACCACGGACGATCACGGTGAAGCGGAAGGCGGACGATGTGGAGCATGATTTGCAGAGTCTGTTGCCGGAGAGTACGCGGGCGATGATTTCGTCGACGACGCTGACGATGCAGCCGGCGAAGAAGAAGAAATCGGATGCGTCAAAGTCGTTAGGGATCAAGCTGGTCAAGAAGGGCAAGAAACCTGCCATTGTTTGATGGGTTTGGGTGGCGTTCGTGGCGTACTAGTGATTGTCGTTGGGGATAAATTATTCGCGTACTGTACTTATCATGCTTTCTCCGGACATATAGTGTATTCAATCTGGACTATGAGTCTTCTGATTCTACTCAGACCCAATATCAAATTGTCCTGAGCCTCCAAGCAGGAAACAAGGACTTCGGACGTTGCCGGGTGCGTGATATCTCGAACGCGTCGCGTCGCGTCGTTCAAATTGAAACCACAGCTACCGACGACCACACTATGGACGACCGAGAGGAGGACCACCCACGGATATCCGTTGAATCAATACAGGCTTGGAACACTGTTCGCAGTAATTGCACGACCGCACTTTTGGCCCAGGTCGACGCCCAGCTTGAGGAAATGAGCATCTCTCAATCTGAACGCGACGCCCTCATCGCCCATGTTCAACAAGTGAGTATCACCGTTTGGATTACTTCCTTGCGTTCGAGTTAAATTTGCTTCCAATTTGTGGGGTTATCTAGTTTAAGGATGAGATTTTCAACATGGCGAAACCGAACGTGAGGGTCAACGGCCGCAATCTTGAAGATATAGGCGATGAGGGTGACTGAATGGCCCTTCTCTGTTCAACGGGAACTCACCAAAAGCTAATCGCTATCATACCCACGCCTAGAGGTTGCCGTTTTCGACGAAAGCTTGGATAGACGGATCTGGTCGCTCTCGGAGCAACGTATGGACTTCGACCGAGAAGTCGCCACCAAACGCCGCACCCGGCCACAAGAGGTCGAGTCTCTGATGCACGACCTCCTGCAACGACAGCGCGCCGCTGACGAGGAAGACGACCCAAATGCTGATGATTTGAGGGAAGACCCCAGTGGGGATAGCGGCCTGCCCGGTAGGAGGCCCTTCTGTCTTTTGTGTTTGACTTCGTTTTCGTCCATTTCAGCGCCTCACGCTTTTCTCCGACCCGTACAGATGAAAAGATCCTTGCGGAAGCGCAAGCGAACATGGCCGAAATCGCGTCTTTGACTGATGGGCTGCACCAGGTGCGTCTTTCCCTTTCAGTCTAGTTGTCTCGTACTAGGGTCATGCGCAACTCATGACTTTTGCGCCGTCTCGTAGTCTATCCAGACACAGCTTGAGCGTGTCGGACGCTTCAAAGCTGCTGAAGCCGAGATCAAGGCTCTGAAGTCGTGATCATGATGTCCGCATACATGTGGTCGTTCTTTGTATTTACAGTATATCCCACACGCATCGCTATCTCTTGAGTGTATATGTATGATCTATAAATATAGGTATGTCTTTGCCTTTAGGGGCATTTTGAAGTTCTGCGTCTACGGCTGGCGATACACCTAATGCCACGTGGATGCCCCACCTGTATGGGCGAAGTAGACAAACTCGATTATCCGCGCACTTTCAGTTCGAGGACATGCTCGATTCCCAACTACTCGGTATCGCCTCGCACTGCAGAATCACAGGGCAGTCATATCAGTGCATTACCTTACTTGGGTACCCCACGGTTTCTCCGTTCCCTGATGACTCACGAGTCAGGAATAGAGGACCCGCTTTTGCTGAGGCTGATAAGACGGCTGGACCACAGCTGGACTGGATCTTACGGAAACTTCATCACGAGGCGGAACGAGGTGTTGATGGAGTTCCCGCTTTTGTGAGGGGCGCTTGCTATATTTCGCAGGTGTTAGTCCCGCAGTGGCAGTTGCACGGACAGTCCTAGGACACCAGCGTCAAAATGCGCCACCCATATCGAGAACCATATAACGTTGACGTTCGTCTTCTTTCCCTCTCTGTTATCCCCCTCGACCGCTCACTACTCCCCCAGCTCCTTCTTCGACTATCCCGACAACTGTAGCCACCCTATAAGTTCTTTTGCTTCATTATAGCTAGGAACTATGGATCCTCACACGGGGCCATTGGTGCTCTCAGCGCCCTTGTCGAGTGAACGACGGAGTGCGTTATACCAGGTTCTGGAGGCTGTCGGCGTAGGTCCTCCCGGACCTCTCATGTTTGCAAAACTTCTCGGTGGTCTTCGGGCACCAGAGCATCTTGGTCTTCTGAAGCCCAGTCTACCATCCTCTTCAATATTCCATTCGGGAGGCAAGGGGTACGAAGTGATGCAACGATGCTGTCAGTTCACGCTCTTTGTTTTGCATCTCCGTCTTGCTTACTATTCCTCGTTTGCGTCACAGATGCTGGCAATGACCCTGCTGCGAGGTTCCTCGGAGACTTGATGACCGAGCTGTGTCAGCAATGCACCGACCATGGTAAGAATATTCCTCATGCTAGGGCTGTACGATGCCAAGGCTTATTGTTCCGTGGACAGCCTATCCGGTTACCAAGGAAGTAGACTACTTCAAAACGGAGAACTATACGCGTATCCTGTCCAACATAGATCCTCTAGTCGAACAAGTCAGGAAAGAAATACCCAACCATCTCTGCTCGTTCGGCAATATCAAACAGATACTTGACATCCTTCTTATAGTAGATATCATCTTTTCCACTATCCAACGCGAATAAAACATAGCTGATCTCGGTCCTTATTATTAGATAGAGTTGATCGCGCACCAACAACACAAGCTTCTATTCTGGGAAATCGTAATCAGTCTTGAAGACATCGAGATCATGTCCGACTGCCTCTTTCACTTTGTGATGCAGGCCTTCAACGATCCTCAAACACGGGAATCGGCCGCGAGTCGAAAACAAGCGCTCTCTCAGATCATCGAAAGGCCGGCGAGGGTTAATGCTCGTGCCCCCGCTGTCCCTGGCGCCGGCGCCACCTTTTCGTCAGCCAGTTCCTTCTTACCCCCTTTCCCACGTTCAGTGCCCGTTCCGTCATCCCAAGCACCTCAGCCTTTGGGCGCCAGTGACCCATGGCCGAACGACTTGTTCCCCGAGTCTCACCTTCCTCGTGGCTTTCAGGTCCAGACTGAACCACAGAGCGCTTTCCACGCGGAGATCCCTTCCAGCTCCTCGCAGCAATCTACGCCATGCCAGATCATGGCGGAGGCTTTGAAGAGATACACAGAGATCAACACGGCAACAAAGGCAGAATGTCTCGGTGTGCTGACAAAGCAGGAGGAGTCCAGGCAGCAGCTTCAAGTCGCGTTCCAAGAATTCTTGCATAGCGAGGCCGTTCTTCATGGTCAAGCTGAGCAAAAAATCAGCGCTCTCTTTGACGCAGCTGGGGCGACTAGCGATCATATAACGGTAAGTTTTCGTGGCGTTATACTATTACCATCGTTGACTAAGCAGATGGGTTTTCTCGTAGTACCCTCGTTCTCCGGGTGACGCCTCTGCAGCCCCGCCATCGTTCTCCCCTGGTGCTCCGCTGGGAAGTCGCCCTGCAAACGCTCAAGGACGATGGGCATCATCCGCGATTTTACCGGAAAGTCTCTCCCCAGGATACGCCCCGTCCGTCATGTACCCTCCGTTCGCGCCACTTCATCCTTCCCCGTCAAATAACGCCAATTTTATGAATCCACCCGCCCTGGGTCCGAACCCGTACTCATACTCTCCCCCTTACCCCGTCCCTCCTCCCTTGGGCAACCTCTTCACACCTCCCAGCTATCCTACCACGACTGGTTCCTTCCCGGCGCTCTCCCCTTACGCTGCGTGGCCTATGAGTGTGGGTCCTGGCGCATACTATGGCTCTACCTTTTCAGCACCGCAGACGTTCCGCCATGCTCAACCGCCTTTTGGTGGCGCCTCGGCCTCGTTTGGGACTCTGCCTCGGTGGGAGACCAGGGAGCCTCACGGTAACACCTCGAACTGGAAAGCACCAAGCATACCTCCTACGATTCCGAATGCTACGTCGCATACCGCACCGTATGCGAAGGCCGCGTCGCAACACCGTTCCGTTCCTCCAACAGGATCATCTTCGTGGAGCGCTTCGTCACCTTATTATCCTTTTTATAGTGCGCCTGATTCTTCCCAGCGGTCGCCCAGAACCTGCCCTGCAGCTCTCTTCACCCCGCCGCCCCCGCCACCAATGCTACGAGTTCCTGACAGTGCTGACAGTTCAAGATGCACGAGCCCTTATATCAATCTGCCCGACTTATCGTCATATGTGATGCCTCCGCTGGAGAGTTCCTCCGATATTCCTGGACTTCAGCCAGAGTTCAGTGACGTCGGAACTCCTCGTCGGGAGCCTCTGAGCCCTATAACAGAGCGTACCAGTCAGACAGGTTCGGAAGCGGTTAATGGCGAGCAGCATCGCGTACGGATTGTCGAGCTAAAACGCTCTCCCTATCTCCCCCGTGCGCCTGAGGCTCCCGGTCACTCAAGTAATGCGCACGGGAATGGACCGTTGAGGATGACTTCCCCGTCTATCTCTTCGCCTATATATGTAGCCCCATCGCCGATCCCACATGCGAACACACCGCCTCAGCCATCGAGGGTTGAAGTTGATTCGTCCGTCTCAGAGCTGGTTACAGATTCAGAGCCCTCGGTGCTATCATCTCCTACCTCCGACAACGCGCTTTTCCGCGAAGCTGAACGTGGAGGGTGGTACTTCCCTACTTTCCCCCCTAACCCTCTGGTCATCAATTCAGTACCCGTGATCATTCCTCCCTCCCCGAGCCCACGGATTTGTGGAAGTACACAAATTTCCGTGTCGCCACCGCCTGGTGTCCGCGACTATGAGACCACTGACATGTCGAGGTCGACCTCGTCTCCCATCGCATCTAGTGCTTCCAACCCTCTGCCCCCGTCACAACTCTCTACGCAGCTCCAGTTCTCCCATCTCTTCTGTGATGATAATCGTAGTCCTCCGCCACCCCCGGTCATCATCCAGGCTCCGCCGCGACCACCTTCCAGTTCCGAGCGGATAGAAAAAATTAAGGGCCGCTTCGATGAACTCAAACAGGCATTCTCCTTCTCGCGTTTCGTTGACGTTAGCATGGACGGCTCCACTTCCAAGACGGTTGATACGACTGCGCTGTACGCTACGACGCTGATGGAGTGCGCGTTGAACAACGGGAACCATCTCTCGATGTTGACTGGCAAGAGGTATCGCATGCTGCCATTCGGGTCAGAAGGTGGCCGTCGCGTTCACCAGTATTCGAAGGATCTCGACGATGTGCTTTTAGAACTTGACGGGGTGTGGTGCGGAGACGATGCGGCGGCGAAGGCGAAGAGGAAGGAGGTGGTCGACGAGGTCGTCAAAGAGGCGAATGTGCTTGATCAGTGGAAAGATATGATCTGCAAGATGGCTGATGTCCAGCAGTGAGGATCTGAAAGCGTTTCTTTCAGAAAAACGTAGGCGCGATCACCGAGAAGTCTTCAAGTGAATATGTATGATAGATGTTAGTACGTTGGGAGCTAGAGTTCTTGGACAGTCATGTTGTCTCATATTATTGTTTTCGAGTTTTTAGTCTTTGCTTGCTTATGCCTTACCCTTTGGTTTTGGATCTTGACGACTCCGAAGTTCGTGCACCTTTACACCTCTTGATGTATATCTTGTATATGAAATCGAATTCACGCTCTATTATCGCTATCTGAAACGGGTATGATGATGTTGACAGTAGAAGTATGGAGAGGATGCAAGAAAGAGGTATTCACGACTAGTCCTGTTGTGTAAGCATACGAATCAAGCAAGATATGTAACCAAGTCCGATTATCCTGAAGTAGTCTCAAGAAAGTTAAGCAAGAAGAGATTATCGTGCGCGACGCACAGTATATGTATTGAATAAAATGGCTGCAGTGGTCATCGAAAGGCGAAATGTATACATACAAATAAATGGCAATGGGTTAGCAAGATTATGGGCATCTAAGTCAGGTCTATAACATCGTCGTCAGAAGAAGGACCGGTTTCAGGGAATCGTCTAGCGTGTCTTGGCTGAATGTTAGCAGGGCCAGATGCTCGTTGCGTAGGTTTCGGGACAGTCTCGTCATCGTCGCTCTCAATCTCGATAACATCCGCGTCGTCCATGGCAGGCGGAGCACGATGAACAGGCTGTGGAGGTCTCGGTCGTCTGGCAGTGGAGGTTCCTGCGACAGGACCTGACTCCTGGGTCCTCGGCCGTTTGGCGGGTTTATTGAGGGTATCCCTACGCGTCATTGGGGAACCGGTGGCAGGCCTCTTGACAGGACCTCTTTTGGCTTTTTTGGAACCTGGAAAGCAGGTCTGCTGGAAGATGATATCCATTATGTTTTGTGGCCCATCGGAGTCATCGTCTTCAGACGGAGGGACTGGCTCGGCATGTCGTTGGGGACGGCGTGGTGGATCAACGCGTTGCGACTGTGGACGGGGTGGCGACGGAGGGTTCCTCTTCGGAGCTGGAGCAGTCAGCCTCTGCGACCGTGGCGCGAAGACCTGATTGGAAGCGTCGTCGGATGCATGACGCCCAGAAGATTGAACAGGATCCTCGTCAGCGAAGAGCGCGGCGAAGTCGGGGGCAGGCTGAGGAGCGCGTTGTTCTGGTTGAACCACACGCTGGGATTGTGATGACGAAGTTGTTTTGCGGGTTGGGGTTTTCTTGGGAGGACCGGCCCTGCGAGATTGAGAGGAGCCTAAAGCGATTGGCATCGTCTTGTTATAGGCATCATCCCAGATGTCGCGCGGTTGGCCTTCAAGAGACTGCACTCTTTCACGAGACGGCCCGGTGGATGCTGTAGGCCTGGGTGGCGGTTGAGCAACAGGAGGAAGCTCAAGACCATCTTCTAACACTAGCATGTCAGGATCATCCGGATTCGGGAACCAGATAGAGAGTCCAGACGGCGGCCTCGCTGGGTCAGATTGACCGAGAACCGCTTGGCCAGAATGGGCGGCAACGTTCAAGGTCGAAGCGCTTGAGCCAACCTGATTCGGGCGAGGATCCACGAAAGTATGGGGCGGTACCACACGATCGGAGGCAGCGACGGGAGTAACGGAAGGCGAGATAATTTGTGCTCGGAAGTCTTTCCCTCCGTGACTATCGTTCGACCTAGGCGTATCACCGAGAAGCGTTGTGTCATCTTCTTCCTCTGAATCGTCGTCGAGATGGTCCATCGGCTGTGTAGGAGCCCGGCCCTTTCCCTTCCAGGTGCCCGATTTCTTCGCAGCCTCAACCAGACTCGGGTGGACAGTCTCCATGATAACGCCGGGGACCCACATTCGCACGGCGCTGTCCGGAGCAGGACCTGGTGTCTTGGGGTCTTTTTTCTTGGTCTGTGCAGGACCGTCGAACATGACGTTCCATTCGTCTTCGACTGCTGGAGTATGATTGTTAGGACATGTTGGCGCTTTGAGTTTGCATGCCTTGCGAGTCATCTCGACGAAGATGGATGGAGTGAACTCCACGCGATATTCGAGAGTATGGTCCGTGGATACATGCTGTCGCGAGGCGACGATCTGCATTCGAAGTGGGTTCTTGTCTTCGTCCACCTCGTTAGCCAGAGGGTCCGGTTGGGAACCTTGGTTGACGAAGGCAGCAGCGATGCGGTCGTTTGCGTCCGTCTTGGAACTCTCTAAGTGCCGGCGAATAAAGGATAGAGGTGTACCAACTTCGTAGGGCGTAACGACCACACCACGCCTCTTCTGTCGTTCGTCAGCCTCAATTGCCGCATGTCGGAGAAGAAATATGAGGACCGATTCCCATAGAAGCGTTCGAAACCTCTTGACAATCTCGTCCTCGTAGCCCCAATCCCCGAAGTGGCGTTCGCAGAAGGCTGCTAGGCGAGGGAGACTCATGACCTTGCTATCTCGGATAGTCCCACCGCCTGGGCGCCTCTGCCGTTCGGTGGTGACGGGGTTGACGTAGTTTTCCATGATCTTGAAGTCCGGAAAATCGATGGGAACGAGAGTATTCGATCTGCGGGAGAGGAATCCACTAGCGTTGGTTTGCAGCTCCTGGTTGGCTCGATCCCGCCATACCGAAAGTAAAGGCTTGATGTCTTGAATCCCACGCTGTTCATAGATGCGCATGAGATCCTCTCCGAAACCACAACGTGCCAATCCATGAGCGACGGTGGGCCCAATCTTCGAGACACCCTGAGAGATCCACACGTCAGTCCACGCTGGAGGAAGAATGAACCAGAAAGAAGGGAGACAAACCCCAGAGTAGTCTCCGCCCGATAATAAAGCAATGAGGACCAATCCAGCCCTCGAGAGATCGACATTAGGATTTCTTTGAATATCATCTGCGTTGTAACTCCAGACATGACTGGCACTTCGCTTGCCGTTCGAATCTAGCGCTGGTTTGGACTTATTGCCACTAAGAAGAAGGCCTGAGCTAGGGTGCTTCGAATCAGTTTCCGAAGGTGAAAGCAGACGATGAGATCCTCACTTCTTCATGGTATTAACCGCACCGAAAACGATAGCATCGACGTCGTCGCTGATGATCGCGTCGATGACGCCCTGTCGGTTCAGCCACGCCAGTTCGGCTTCGGCCTCTCCCAGAGCCTGCAAAGACAAGGTGAGACATGATGGTGTGAAGATAAAAGTAGACGCACCATTCGCCACTCCATTCCAAAAAGTTCCAACAGCTTCTTGAACCCAGCAGTTAGAGCATGGGAACCAGCCTTTCCCATACGGCTTCCTCGCTTGACTTTCGGACGCTCACAGCCATCGAAAACGAAGAGTGGAATAAGAGGCAGTCTGGTAAGTCTGCACAATTTGAAGAAGAGGAATCGAAGCTCTGGGCTTTCCCCTTTTTTGCTGAACGACGCGTGGTGATACCAAATGGATGCATCAATTCCTATGAATTGAAATTATGAGTCTGCGTTGTACTAAGTGAGATAGGAAAAAGTCACCTATGCGATATCCTCGTTTCCCTCCTCTGTTTTCGACGAATGCCTCCGTCGCGACCTGGGTCATGGAACGAGTCCGGCCAGCGGGATGCACGACCTATAGGGACATACCGATGAGAAATACAATTAAACAGAAAAGTATAGTGATACGTACATCCCAAAGCCCTGGAACGCCCATGATAGGATGGTAGTGAGTGTGAAAGAAGTCAAGAATGCCACAGGGGCCTAAATCACGAAGCACGCGACGCGACCTGTCACTCTTCGACGCGACTCGTCACACACACGTGCGTTTGTTGATTTGTTGTTGATCGCCTTTGTTCAAGTTGGTGGCTCTAGCCTTACTTTAATGGAATCACTTACCATCCGGGACAAACGAGAGAACTAGAGCATAAAGACCCGGCCACATGCCATTACAAAGGTCCTCATATTACAGTAGTTTCTTCTGAATGCACTAGCCCGTGAGAGATTGACTACTTATGTGCTCCGATCGTTCGAGTACATACTAGTGATGTTCTAAGGGTATCAGGACGGGAACCTCGAAGAAAGTAAGCTGGATAGCGTTGTACTGTACATAATTTAGCAGTCCGAATGCACCTACTCCACGTCTTCTTCTTCCTCTTCTTCATCCACACTGTTCGCAGCAGCCTCGTCATCGTCTTCGTCCTCGCCTTCCTCGCCCGTACTACTGTCTGGAACAGCCTCCTCGTCTTCCTCATCTACCTTGGAGTTCTTTTCAAAGAGGAAGGACAAAGTACCACCAGGAACATCATCAACCGTCAAAGCCGCGAGATCCAACTGGGCGACATTGTCGATGTCGACGGCGGCTAGGAGGGAATCGATCCTACTGGTTGTACCTCCAGTCGGAGGGTTCGAAGTCGAAGCCGAGCCTGGTAAAGGTTTCGGCGAAAATATAAGCGTCCTCAGCAGCTCGTCTTGGATCTTGGTTATCGCGTCTGGGCGTAAACAGTTGATGTGAGTCCATTCACCGAGCGCGGCGAGCTCTGCTTTCTTCTTCTTCTTGTACTGTGATAAAATGTTGAGTAAAGTTACCCGGTTGAGGAAAAATGGCGTCTACTCACGGCCTTGTCGATAAGTGGCACCTCTTCAGGCTTCACCTGGGATGCGTTCACGAAACCCTTTGGAACTCCAGAGACCTCACCGCCCCCGTCGGACATCGAACGTTCGAAGGGATCGATGTTGTCGGATTGGTCGCATGGACAATCAAGGAGCTCATGCGTGTGGCAGGATGTGTGCGGATGGATAGTGAAAATATCTCGTAACTAAATATGTCGATGAGCGCCTTCGCTTTGTAATATCAGCATGAGGTACTCACTTCCTTCGGGGTGAATGAATCTGACTTAGATTCCGACTTGGTCTAGACACACGGAAAAGGTGGAATGAGATGGTGTCCTCACTGTAGTCAACGAGAAAATAAAATCACATTGCCGATAAGCGCTAGAGCGGAAGGGTTATCAGATCAGACGCTCAGAGGAGATTTTCAACACGAAACTTACTGCTCAGACCAAGTTTCGTCGTCTGACGCTGGAAAATCTTTTCTGTAGAAAGCCGAGCTGTGTCAGTCGATGACCAGGTCTGAATGCTTCCGAATCCGTACCATCGATGGTCCCCGCAGTCATGAAGCGATATATGAACACTTCACGCCGTTGGCCATCTCTAGATATCACGGTCAGTCACAACCGTATGGCATCACCGTGAACATCCGACGCACCGGTGGATTCTCGCCATCGATTGAAGGTCGTGACTGACGGAGTGTCAGTATTAGCGTGAAGATGTAGAATGCGTGTCATATCGTACCTCGGGTTCCAGTCCGAGTCGATGAGGCATAGTCTCGAAGCACCGATGAGGTTGAGGCCTACGCCCCCTGCTTTGGAACTCAGAAGGAACATGACTAGTAGACGCGGTCAATAGGTCGGTACCGGCAGGGACCAGAGATAGAAACTCACAGCAGCGCTCTTGTGACGACTTGTTGAAGGTGTTAACAAGTTCTTGCCGCTTTCCTGCTGGGGTTTGACTGGGTCCGACAAAAATCAATACAGCTGACGGCGCAATAATATCGGGCGACCTACCCATCTAGCCGCAGGAAAGTGTAAGACTTCTTCTTGCAGAACTCTTCCAAGATGTTCAACGTGGACGTATAGTGGGAGACAACAATACACTTCTCGTCCGTTCGCTGAGGGGGATCGTTAAGCATCTTTCGGCAAGAAACACGGAAAACCTCTTACCTTCCGAATGGCACGGAGTAGCGTGGCAAGCGCCGCAAGTTTGCCTAATAGCAGGCGGCAATGAGTACGGTAGTGCAAAAGATATCACGGTATTATCGAAGTTACCACTCAATGACACATCGTGGACTTGTGCCCCATTGGGAAGCAGTTTGACGGCCTCTTCCACGGCGGAAGTTTTGGCTATGTTGCCTTCGCCTTTCGCCTTAGCCTTCGCCTTGTCGGCTACAGCCTTGAGGAGGATGGGGCTGTTACTGATCTTGGTGAGCATGTTGATAAGGGCTAGAGACTCGGCGGTCGAGCTCTGGATGATATTGTCCAGTTTGTCCGGGTTGAGAATTTTGGAGAAGATGGAAAGTTGTAACAGCGTCGGCGTCACGAAAACAATATATTCATCTAAAAGGATCGCCGAATGCCTCAGTCTCGGTTGCCGACGCTCATAAATACAGTACTTACGTTTCGGGGGTAGATAATTCTTCAGAATCCCAGCCTCTCTCCGAAGGACGAAGCTGCGGGAAATAGCTTGCAACTAGACCCGTGGTGATTGTAAGCGTCTCAAGTTTGCAAATTTCTGCCAATAATTGTGTCATACCTGGGCCGACCGAGCTTCACCAAGCTCCTGTTCCTTCTTGGTGCAACCTGGCGTCCTACTACGCAAGATAGGGGTCTCATAGACGCGCCGGAAGGTGTTATAGTCATCTACGAGAGGAGCTTAGTTCAAAGACGTACAATGAGGGCGGTAGAGTATCACCTAGTAGCCCAGGGTTGCAGAAGTCCGCCTAGAATTGTGCACTGAGCATTAGACGCGGCAGCCACGAATATGGAATGTTCGTACCATGGCAAAATATTCACGAAGAGAGTTCTGCACTGGCGTTCCAGACAAAATCACTCTCCTTGGCGTCTTCAAGGCTTCAAACATTTTGGAAGTCTTGTTGTCCGCTGATTTGAGCCGATGTCCTGAGAAACCCCTATGTCAGCATGAGTAGGGATGGTTCAACAGACACACTGACCTTCATCCGCAATAATGAGCCCGATTGGTGGCCTGTAAAATAATGTTCAGCTCACCCGCATATCAAGAATTGAAAACTACCTACTGGCAATATGCCAATTCCGAGCTGTCATGGGTATGAGAGTAGTTTCTTCCAGAATATTACAAAATGGGGGCGTACATAACACTTCGTAGGCGCTCGTAACCCACAATGAGAACATGGTGGATTTTCCTGGGTAAAGGATGTCACGACCGCGCCTAAAGTGGGAAAACCTATTTGCTCACGAGTTGATAAACTGTTTGATGGCACTTTTATCCTTGTCTCCCACGAAGATTCCAACTCTGTCTCTCCCTAGCCTAGAGATCATTGAGCACATATGCACGGCCAGACGTGCCACGGACTTACCACTTGTGAAACTCGTTCTTCCAATTCTGCGCCAAGTTATCAGCATCGACGCAATGTAAACGGAAAAGTGGCGTACGTTGATGAGGGTCACAGGACAAACGATGAGGACCTTGCCCACGACAGGACCCCTATCAATGTAGGGATTTTGCTCTAGTGGCGTAGATGTCAACGGCCAACGAATAGTGAACCTTGAGCATAGCGCAAAGAACTTACTGAGAAGAGTCCACACCAAACTTATCGTCTGGGTATGACCGACAAATCAGAACACTGCGTGCATGCGTTGAATAGAGAGTCACGCACCTGCAGGGTTTTGCCCATGCCCCTAACAAAACATCTGATAAGCGAGCGCTCGGGCGGCAGGAGTAAGGAAGAATTACATTTCGTCTGCAAGAATGCAACCGTTCCCTTCATGTTTACGTAGGCCCATAACAGACTCATACATGAACTTGACGCCTAGGTACGGCAGTTAGTAACGTTAAATGGTTTGAGTAAAATCGGCGGGCTCGAACCTTCGACCTGGTGTGGCCGTAGACGACGAGCCAGAACGGGATCGATGACGACGGGAACGACGGGGGAATTTCTGCCAAGAAAAGACCGTTCAATCCGGACACTTAGGACACTGACGGAAGGGAGTACTTCTTGTTGTATTTCGTCATGTGTTCCTCTGTTGGCGCCTTCATCACAACGGCCCCTTCAGCATCAGGATCATGCCTACATTGCGATAATATTAGAATCATCGTCTCAGCGCTTCACTAGAGCAGATATCCCCAAACGTACAGAGGTCCCTTAGGTTTCAGTTTCGGTGGGAGCGTTCCATAGAACGATTTGGGAGGTACATATTTCTGGACAGACGACGGTGAATTCCGGATCGGCGAGCGCGTTGGCTGGTCAGCTTGTGCTTTCGCAAGGAACGAGGCCTTTCTGGGGGTCGTAGAAGGATCCACAAATTCCACATCGTCGTTCTGGGATTCAGGTGACGTGCCGGTGATAGATGGGATGCTTGATCGCTTGACCTCGTTGTCGATTTGTATCTCACGACCACCAATATGAGTTTGGTAGCCACGACTTGGCTTGCCGCCTTCCCAGGTCTTGGAACCGAGGCTACAACGCATTCAGTCAACTCGGGGTCGGAAAATGCAACACGCCACCCACATCTTGCCACTTTCTGATATCAATGTAAGTTTATCCCCTCGGTGGACGAGCCAGGCATCCCCGTCCCAGGTCTTGTGCTTCTTCTGCTGGTGCTTTCGCCTGATGCATGACGTCGCAATCAATGTCATGCATATAACGAGATAAACGTACAACCTCACCAGTTCACGGCCCAGTAAGACTCCAAAGCTTTATCCTCGGAGCTTGAAGCCTTAGAAGACTGGGTAAGGTCGATGATATCCGACTCCAGATCCGAGGAAGTATGGATCGGTGCATTGGCCTTGGGAGTGTTGACGGTTACAGGCTTGAAGGGGACGAATTTCTTCTCAGAAGTGCGGGGCTTTTGCATTTCCTCAACAGCAGAGAAGACGGCGGTGTTGCGCCCAAAGCATCGTCCAGAAAGAAATTCTGCACGCGAAAGAGGACAATCGATGAGAATGTCCTTGTTGCCGAAGGGGAACTCGCTGCCGTCAGTGAGAGGTTCTGATTTGGTACTCCCTTTGGTCAGTCTAAAAGCGCTCGTCAGTCACATAGAGAGGTTAGAGAGCCAGACGCATGCGCACAATTTGCCGTCAGAGTCGAAGAGGGATCCGGTTGTCCCATTGACCAACAATACTCCATCGCCTTCCCATGTCTTATGCTTCCGAGCTTGCGGAACTCTCCTGCAGACCGATTAGTTTTCAGAGCAAACCAAATAAATATGTACGCACCATTGAACATTCCAATACCGTTCACCGCTACCATGCGCTGCCCCTGCATGTGGAGCAGCCGTTGCGACATTATCGGTTGCATGCCTCTTCGAACGTGGGTACTCCGAGGCTATGCCATCGCTGTTGCGTTTCTGGCCAACGTATACTCCAGAGGTAGACGGAGGAAGAAACGGGGGCATTGCGACTAATGGTGGCAAGTAGAACAGATTACACCTTAGGCTGACTTGGGTCGAGCCGGTGGTGGTAGCGATGAGGAGCTGCGAGCGCTTGGCTGATGCGATGCCGCCGTCGCGTCGCGCCTGACGCGACGCTTCTCGGTCCCGTGATATTTTCTAATCCCGCCACCACTGACTCATGTGGCGTTCATAAATGTGGCCCATATGTGTGACCGTCAAGAGTCGAATTTGCGGGCAGCGAAAAATTCATGCCATCGATAGTCTAGGATACGGAGTCCCAGAATTTCCTAGTGCGCACAAGATAAATATAGAAGTCCCTCAAGATTTTTCTCACTGCCGCTTCAAGGGGTATCCGTGCAGAGAGAATAACAGAAGTCAACAAAGTTCAACAGCCCACGCGAAGTTCGTTCGGCAGCCGAGCAGGATCTCCCAGAGACCACTCAACGGCTGCCGAAAAAGAACAGTGAAAGAAAAGAAAAAGAACCCTCGATATAGATATCATGCTCATTAAACTGTACACCTCCCAGCGCTTTTCGAAAGACTTCTTGCTACGCCTACTCAGTCAAAATTTCCCATACGCTGGCTTTCCATCGATTGCTGTCGTCAGTACTTCAGTGGCCAAAATTTCCGAAGCCGGTATCTCCATGATGTCCTTGGAGAGGACAGTGAAGTCGGCTCGTTTTCCAGGCGTCAGCGACCCCAATGTGGATTCCGTGAACGATGCATACGCTGCGTCAAGAGTCATTCCTAGCAAAGAGGACATTCAATGGGTCAACTAAACTGCCGCTAAAAGACACCGACGTGTTCCACGTACCCTTCAAGGCTTCTTCGCGTGTGAGACGCTGCTCGGGGAACCTGAGGGAAGGCGACAGTTAAAAGAGAGTTCCCGCGATGTTAATCCTGAGCCGATGAATGCCTAAACTTACCATCCATCTGGGCCGTGCGTGGACGTACCGTCCGGGGCAAGACGAGTGATAGCGGCGTAGAAGCCAGCCAAAGGATTGATGGTCTCGACCGGGCCGTCCGAACCCAAAGCAATCCGGGCACCATTGTCGATCATAGACCGGAAAGCATACAGCAGCTTCACGCGTTCAGGTCCCTGTGTACAAAGTCAGTCAAAGTATTGAGATGTCTGCAAAGTCATGCTTTGCCTACCAGCCGGTCTTCAGCGAAGTACATATCACTTGGTCTATAACGTCACAAGAGCAAAGGCTTAGAATAGTCGACAGTGTAAGGAAGAACGGAAGACCAACGCATGTGTGGGCTGTATACTCGCAATAACTAGACAGACATGCTGATTTGTTGATATCGAAAGCGCTCGAAGAAGAGAAGCATTGACATACCGCCAATCTTGCCCATCCGAGCCATATCAACGTGTCTGACCATCTGAGCATGCTCGATACGAGGGCGGAGGGCCGTTACATTCGCACCCTGGAGGGCTTCCTCGAATGCGTCGAGGACGATTGCGTTCGCCCGGTCTCCGATAGCATGAACGTTCTGATTCACGATGCGTCAGTAAGCGTGTTGTTGGCAGTATCGTGGTTACGGATCGCAGTACGAACCACTTGCCACTCATCCGCCAAGAATCGAGGTATGAAGGACCTTAGGACGCTCGGATCAGTCCTCATCAACCCTCTTGTGGACGGATTATCCGTATAAGGTTCAAAGAGCTAGAGAATCACAGGAATGGATCAAAGGGGCATTAGCGGTTGCGTCTTGAAGTGAGCGTTTACACTCACTGCCGATCCTCCGGACCGTAAGGCACCTAGATTTGTGGTTGCTCAGTCAGTGATCTTGAGCCACCGGCCCTGTTATACTCACCGTCAGCAAATATCTTCACGCTCCGTGCAGTGAATCGCCCGTCAGCAGCGCCAATTATGGGCTTCGAAAGATTACCCCAATATGGTGCGTTCTCGTCGAAATATGTCATGCCATAGATACGAATCTGTATAGACATGCTGAGTGTGAGACTTCGAATTCCGGCTATATGAAGGGACGCACAGGTAACCTGTTTTCCTCTGCCAAGCTAGAAAACGTGCTGTTGAGTGCTCTAAACTGCAGCACTGCATATGTCAACTCATACTTACCCTTTGAAGAACTCCAAAGACTTCGGATCAAAACCTGCATCGTGAATCGATGTCAAGCCAAAGGAAAGCGCATCGTCAACCACGAGCCGGAACTGTTTCTCCAAATCGGCCTGTGTCGGAGGAGGCACGGGGACCAGAAGTTGAGCGTTATCGATCAGGCATCCTAGAGTACGACTTTGAGTTAAAACCATTCGAGGCATAGCAACGACTTCTGACCTGTCGGGTTACCGGCCTCGTCCCTGATGATGAATCCTCCCTCAACAGTGCCAGGAAGAGGGTACATTTCTTTAAGCACTTTTCCGTTTACCCAAAGAGCATGTCCGTCCTTGCTCTGCAGGACGACGCGACGATTCCGCACGATGGGATCCGCATCAAGAGCGGCCTATCGAGAAGTGTGAGCAAACTTCGCAAGCCGAAACTGATCAAACGTGGGGATACAGACAGCCGTTGGGAACTGCTGCCCTTCCCAGCGGGTATGGTCCCACCCCCAACCCATTACGATTTTCTCCTTGTCGCGTAAAATGTCAGGGTCTGACAAGATATATTCCTTAACCAGAGTGGCCGCCGCTATTCGCCGGCATGAGTGATATGGAGCGTGAATCGGCCCTTAGTAGTAAACATACCTTCCGCGGTTTTGGCGGATTCAAGGGGGATGAGGCGGCTAGCCCCATACTCCAACATGTGGGCATGCGAGTCTATTTTTGATTGGTCAGTGGCTGAGTATCGTAATGTCGTCATGAGAATATATTCACCACTGAGGCCTGGCACAATAATCGCTCCCGTGTCGATGAAATGGGTAGGGAGGCGCAGCTGAGTTAGTGAGAGAGCCATGTTGCTTTGCCGGCCAGAAACCATCGCGAGCCAGCGACGCTGTACCTCCTCTGAGATCTCGAGAAATGAGCCGCTATTCATAATGATATGGATGGGGTAGTACTCACCAAAAGATCCTGTATCGAGGATGGTCTTTCCGTCGACCACCAAGCATTGGACACGGGGGTTGGCAGGATCGACGGTATAGATGTTGGGTCCCTCTTTGGAGCACACAGCGTATGTATCTCTGAGGCTACTCTCTCGAGCATGCAGAAAGATAAAATACAGTGCGGCAAGGGACACAGAACATGCCCAGAGCACTCTCTGTGCAGTTATGAGAGAGGATTTGGACTGAGCTTGCGCTTTGGGAGATGGTGAGTTATGATCACGAGACTTTTCGGGCCTAAAAGCGGGCTCAGCAGGGCGCAACACAGGAGAGCGATTTCGGAGATCTGACATGGTCTGAGTGCCCTGGTGAAGTAGTAGGATGGGAATAGTATGGAAGCCTGGTCCAGCAACTTGCTTTTATATGTGAGCGGGTGGCATTTCGTGGGTAGAAATTAGAATGCTTCGAAACGCTGCTCACGGGAATTTTGCCGTCAATGATCAAATGAACACTGCCTCTCGCGAATGGCTTTCTCTAAGCGCTCGTTTGGCGCTCGACGACATACAAGCATAAGCGCCCAACTCCGGTATCTTGGCTTCGTACTAACTCCTCCAGAGTATCTTCGCGTCTGATTGGAAGCAAGTACGTTGCTGGCCGTTCATTGGGGTTGGGTTCTCATCACTTACCTGGGTAGTACATCATCCATGCTAGGAGAACACCCTTCCATGCCGCAATGAATGGGTTTAAGTATGAGAAACAGGATCGACCGATATAGCAAAGCGAAGATCGCGAACTATACAAGCGATTTAGAGTTCCAGTTCCTTTTGTCAGTCAGTTATCTGTGTCACAGTATCCAGTGATATGCCTTTTTTGAAACGAGTCGGATCTCTGAAATTGGTACACGACACTGGTGCTCCTGTCCTGTTGCATGAATGGTGTGGCGGCCAGTTCTCTTCGGAGCGCCCAATGCTGATGCGAAAAGGCGTGAGACATTTCTCATTCGGGACGCCGAGCTGCCACCGCCGGACGCCACGTTGGCAGTTCGGAGTGCGTCGTGTTGTTGCGCTGGCTGTGGCGCGCCAAGCGCTAACTCTCATCAACCACTGTCTCGAGTCTTTCGCTGTCAGCATTCCTTTATTCGACCCCTCCTCCTGGACATACGTTTATCTGTGTCTTGTCCGAAAGTTTGCTCTTCACGACGCTGTTCGTGACAGCGTCGCGCGCTTAGGCCACCATGGATGCTCTTCGACCCAGACTTCATTCCGTGGCAGGATCGCTCATTTCTCATCGGCTGCTCCTCTATACTTTGTCGTCTACCGTTGCTGTTTCCGCTGTGATAGCCAACGCCTTGCGCATTCACAGTAACTTCTACTCCATCACAGTCTATCTTTCTAAGAGTGGACACAGTGTCCTAGTGCGTCATTTCATTGAACTGTATGCTTGGTGTCTGCTTACCAAACTATGTTAGGTTCTTGCGAACTTCTGTATTCTCGTTTTCTTAGTATGTGGGAGAATCTTGCAACAGGTGTTCTTTGGATCTTTGAGGCCTCTCGAGGTGGAGGTACGTCGTAGTCGCCCAATCTCAGAAGTCTCTGTACGCTAACACAGACATCTAGCGTCTTTATGAACAAATGCGCTTCTCAATCCCAGAATCTCTGCTCGCATTCACAATGTTTCGTGATGAGCTCGACGTACCGTTTGCATTTATGTTCGGCTTTCTCCTATTTGTCAAATGCTTTCACTGGCTCATGGCTGATCGAGTTGAATGGGTATGTGACATCCCGTTGTGCGGTGTAATACTGGCTCACATCTATATAGATGGATCAAATGCCCTATCCAGGCCCGTCCACGCTATTCCACCTTCGAATCAACACTCTGTTTTGCATTCTATGGGTCGTCGACTTCGTGATGTTCATCGTCGCCTTAGAGAATATGTTGGCCAACGGTATCACGGGCATGGTGCTATTCGCGAGCGAGGTGAGCTCATCTCGTGTATTCACATCTGAATATATCATATAACATAAGTTATGAAACTAGTATGCGATTCTGATGACCATTGCCACGAACTCCATGTTGAAATACCTGCTTTCCGTTTTGGAACTTCGCCGTGCAGCTTCGCGGGGAGGCGAAAACGCACCGCCATGGGAGAACAAGAGCATGTGGGTTTTCTATGTCGAACTATGGACGGGTATGTCCTATCTTTTCAAAAGTTGTACTGCTTTTACTCAATCGTGTGCAGATTTCATCAAGCTGGCCACCTATCTGGTATTCTTTGCCGCTATGGCCTTTTACTACGCCGTTCCTCTCAACCTACTGCGCGATATCTTCATGACCGGCCGGTCATTCATCACACGCCTTGGGGCGCTGGTACGGTACCATTCTGCAACCCGTAACATGGATGAGCGCTATCCAAACGCAACTGAAGAGGAGATGACCTCCATGAACGACCGAACATGTATCATCTGTCGAGAAGAAATGGTCGCAGCAGCCTCTCGCGATGGAGCAACACCAGCAACGCAGCCGGCAGCTCCTGATGGGCCAAACATGACGCCTAAGAAGTTGCCTTGCGGGCACATATTTCACTTTAGCTGCCTTCGTTCATGGCTAGAGCGGCAACAAAGCTGTCCCACTTGGTAAAGCTTCAGTTCGATGACTACGGTTTATCACCATTGACTGATGTACCATCCTTCTAGCCGACACACCGTTCTGGAAACAAACCCTCAACCGACGCGGAGGCCACAGCAGGGTGCCACTCGTGCGCCGGCGCCTCAACCAGGACAGGCAGGCGCCCAGGCCCGACCGCAACCACCCCATGGCTTTGGCAACGCCCTTCGTGGTATCCTTGGTTTTCCTGCGCCACCAGCAGCTCAGCCTCCTCCACTCATTCCGGCTGGACTACATCCATTTGGTCATGCAGGAGGTCAAATACCCCAGAATCCGTGGGGTCAATATCCACCTCCGGGCTATCAACCGCAACAGCTTCAGGCCCCGCCTGTCTTTCATGGGTTCTTTGGTCCAGGTGGTGTCTGGCAACCATGGCCTTTAGCTCCGCCCGATCAGGCTGCTGCTCATCCGCCTGCCAATGACGCCCAGGCAGGACCCTCGACGCCGTCAACCGTCCCTACTCGCACATCTTCTGCGCCGCCCGATCCTCCACATAATTCTGCACCAGCGCCTCACAACACCTCTCCTGCGGTCCCCACTACGCCTCCTGACCAGGCAGACGAAGACGCGTCTGGCCCGTCGAATCCCAGGGAAGCCGCTGCTGCGGCAGCTTTACGGAGGTTTGGGTCTGGTAGTAATGCCCCTCAGCGAAACGACTCTGCCAACCCTCGCGATCAAACCGCGCGTGCAACTCCTACTGCAACAAACAACGCTCTACCCCCGTCTCTCCCTAGCACGTCGACGTTGCCCAACGGGTTCGCACAACGGCCGAACGTTCCCTCCCTCATACCTCTCTCTCACCTTCCACCAACTTTGGCCCCCAATGCCGCAATAGGCCACCAACGACCAATTCCGTCTACATTTAGAAGTGATCACGACGATACCTTCACACCGTCACTGTTGCCGCCAACGTTGACCGACGAGCAGCTCTCGCGCCTGGATACTCTCACCCGGGAGGCAATCGACGAGAGACTGAGGATCTTGGAGAATATCTCGAGCACGGTCCAACGCTGCGTCGAGGATCTGACACGAGTGAGGAGTGTGTTGCCGGCGTCCTCTGCGACTGGCAATGGCTCCGCTCGGGAGAATGGGAGTGCGCCCGAAACTGTACCTACGTCAAAGGCAAACGAGACTGAGGCTTCTTCGAGTGCGAGAGCGGCGGAGAAAAAACCGGAGCAAGAGCCTGTTGTGGTGAGCGTCTCGAGTGAGGAAGAGGATCAGGCGTAGAGTCTGTGGAGCGTCTCTTCTTTCTGGGTTCGGATGCTTTGTGTAGGCATATATGTATATCAATGGAACTCTTGCATATTTTGTGCTCGCTTGGGGTGTCATGTTGTGATAATCGAGGAGCCCAGATACGTGGGTCATGAACAATATATTTATGTCTTCATGTGCTTGGACGCGTCCATAGCACCGACGAAGGCTTAGTTCTGGTGATGATATATATAAGCCGCGTCAACAGTGTGCGGTTGTAAGACGATTGCCCTCGAAACAGTGTGCGGTTGTAAGACGATTGCCCTCGAAACAGGACGCGCCAACGCATCTATTGTGATTGCGACAAGAGAACCTCCGCCCGCCTTTTGACTAGGTCTGGATCCACGGTAGATTTATCTACTTTTGAGTAGAACGTCTTGAAGAGTAAACCCATCGCTTTCCGAGAGTCCCCTTGCGGATGTCCTTGTTCGGAAAGAGCGGCTTTTAGAGCAGCGTCAACCTCCGCTTCGGAGAGAAGTGGTGGAAGATATGTGGCCAGAAGGTCTACTTCACGCTGTTCCTTCTCTGCGAGATCCTCTCTGGAGGCCTGAGTGAACTGTTTGGCAGACTCGGCCTAGAAGGAAGTCAGATATAAGCGCTAACTTGATATTTTGACGAGCAAGAAAGGATGACAGCTTACCCGACGAGCGGTAGCCTTTTTGATGAGAGCTGCTATAGACGAGGATGATATCTTCTCGTCGTTTGCTTTTTTGTCAGCAGCATATACTTCTGCAAGGATAGACTATGTATAGTGTGCATTGTGAGATGACACGCAGGCTTCTGTGCTAGTCAGATGTCTCACTCACTCGGATGGTGGTCGATGTAACTGTATCTTTACTCTGAAGGGAAAAGAGAACAATCAACTATGGAGGCAGTTTCTCCGGAGGCATGGCCTACCCTCATTGACGACTTCAGGTCCGTCATAAGTCGTGTCCGGAGATCTGTTAGGAAAGGGCGTTCAGCCAAGAACAGGCATTCTGTTCACAGGGAAGTAGTCACCATCTGCTACAGCAGTATAATATCGAGCTTGGAGAAGTCTCCGCGAAGCTCGCATAGAAAGAAATGACCTGAACATAGGACACAGAATTGGGGCTTGCTTGGGGCTGACTTGCTTGTAAAGGGACGGCGTGTAGGTGATGGAGAAGAAACGGTCAACCACGGGGACTTCCGGAAGCAGAATCTCAACATCGTTGAGAAGGTTTCCGGAAATTGCCGATCCATCATTTCTTGAACTTACCAGCAATCTGTTCAAGCCACTAGAATCGCCCTCCGCAAGCAAGGGTCAGTACGAGCTTTTTCTATACCTCCAGAGGGTCCTTCAACTCAACCATTGGTAGGCGCAGACACTTTAAGTCTAAAGCTTGCTGTGGCCCTCTGGACTGACGCTGGTGGCCGCATCGACGCCGGGCTGACTCATTCTTTGCACTTGCCGATCAAAACAAAGAATCTCCACTCAACTCTTGAGGTAGGTCGAAATAATGAGGTGTCTTATAGACTTTTTTGGATTACTGACGCAGTTCCTGGTCTTTTCTCGCTCAAGCTAATACCCATATACACGCCCTGCCATTGATCCAACTCGGCATCACTCACACTATGGAGTCGCCCCTACCACCGCTCCCTGCTTCAGGTACTTACATGCGGTCCATTCGCGATTCCTGTCGTCTGTTGAGAGAATCTCATAATATCCATGTGAGTCGACTGCACGGCTGTCAGAGAGTTAGGATCCGTGTATAGCGGTCCTCGTAAGCGCTCGCCACTGTACTCGGGTGTACCTCGATGGAGGTACAGAGGATCTGGGGTATTGCATGTGAAGCCAGCGGCGTCATCGAGCGCTCGCGGCATAAATATTTCTAGAGACTCGCGTCACAGCACTGGTCTCACATACAGCCGATGTAGCGCACCCTATCCTTAAGCTGACCTCTCTACTCACACACGACTGTCTGCGATGTGCGAGACCTTCTGCATCAAGGTTCAGGCCATATGAGCCGTCATATCTTTGTAGGAATATTCTGGAAATGCGATTACGATCAGCCCCCTCGGCTTCTTCTTACTCTATACGAGTTCCAGGACATACGCTGACCTGCCTCGATTCTGATCACATCACATAGATTGCTCCATCCAGCATCCAGCGTCTGTTACTTTCCGAGGCTTTCAGTTCAACCTATCACCGCATCTCCAAGACCTCACATGGTCTCGCTTTTCCTCTGAAATTCCCCTCGGCGCTCGCTGAACTGAACCTACTATCGATCCTGTCACTCCTCAATATCGCATCCGGTTACCGCGTTCCCTTGCACCAGCAGACAGGACGAGGAGCATGGGATTCCATTCGCGCGTTTGTCTTCGGACTGTATCTGTCGTCATCGATAGGGGCAGACGATGATCTACTCAGCGCCAAAGGGATGCGGTCTATCAGCGAGACGAAGATAGTAGAACTCATGGGGGTCAGCGTACACGTTGAGAGGCCTCATGAGAGTATACCAGGGGTGACGGTCGGGGAAGTCGGAGGTCCGATACATGAGCTGGTGCAACTTTTGAAAACTCTCATGAATGAGACCGGCAACGTGCTCGTCAATGGCGGATACACCGACCTCGGAAGTTTCGTTCTGGAGGCTTTGAAGGAAGGTGAGAAGGCTACAAGACAGTCAGGCGACAAGACCGCTGCGGCAGAAGTCGTATTGGAACGAGTGAGCGCCTTCGTTTTAATCGAGTATTTTAACGAGCTTCTGATGTAACATCGTAGCTGGTCCGCGCAATTCCGGGATTCAGAGACATGGCAATCGTCAATGAACAGCGTAAGTCTTCCGCCCTTCAGGATCGTACCTGCTGGGGTTCTCATCGTTTACTTCTAGCCGTGTACTGTTTCAAAAAAGCCTTGTTCTTGATCCATGGCGTCTCCATACGCTTTGGCTCTTCGTCCCCTTCTTCGGTCCCCATTCCCGAAACTTCCCATCTCCCAGTCTTCACGGACAATGTTCTTCCAAGCATTCTAGTCCATTTGGGCGTTCTCGACCTCACTCAAGCCACACAATCCCTCATCTCGCTTTTTCCGGGTGCAGGGTCCGAAGAGTGCTTGATGTCTCTACTAGCGACCGCTCCATCGGATCCTCCCGAAGATGCTACAAAAATGAATGAAAAACCATTACCGAAAGAAGGTCCTATCTTGACGACAGAACAATCTTACATCCTGCGTGCTGCTGCCATCGATGCGTGCGAGCTCATCGTGGAATACTCTCGGTCGATGGATACATCGGAGCTTCAGCAACTGCGCTTGGAATGGGTCAAGGACATCACACTCCCGGACTTGGATATGTGGCTATGGGCAGTTGCAAAGGATAGGAAGGACTACCGGGAGTTAGAGAGATTCGTTCTCCGAAATACCCTCTTCTTCTGATCTGTTGAGCTCATTGAACTACGGTGTGTTTTTTTCGTGCCGAAGGCGTGCTTTGATCATTGAGTTCGACTTACATCTCTAGATTTGACTCCCCTAGCGGCTTTCAAGTTTATACCGAATCTTGCACGCGACCGCACTTTGTTGTATAGGCTATAGCCTTCACAATATAGTTCCATGAACCTAGTGTACGATATTGAAGGCACGGCTTCTCTTTTGCAGTCATCTGTTCCCTATGTCAAGCATGGCTTGATCCCTCTACTGCTCTGAAGGAGTATCGCGCTCAACAGATACAGATAGACTCTGTTCCCTTGGGCCAGACTCTCAACCGGGGACTTATGAGTTGTCACCGTGACGGCTATCGTGCATCATCACTCTGTTCCTTGTGTAATCCTCGAGCTAGCCTGTTTTTCTGCCTTCCACGTGGTAGATGCCCTCTTCTCCTTAGCGTAGACATTCCCTCGCTGAGTTTGGGAAAGCTCTGTGGCGACGATTCACAAAGTTCGTCTGCTTCCTCACTCCACACCAACCACTTCTTGCTGACTTCTGTGTAGAAGTTCATCTTGACAAGTCCATGCACGAGCCTCATGGCACCCCTCGCATACAACTTCTACACACATTCGAACCTCGATATCATCCCGCTCTCAGATGCTCCACAGCGAATGAGCAAGTGATTCAATCGATCTTCCTATCCGAGCAAGTTCTGTACGCTGATTCTTCCAAAAGAAGTTCGCTCAATGAACGACCTGTGGTTTTCATCTTACATTCTCGGGGCCGGAGTTGAACCTTGCTCAAGTTCCTGGCTCATCTCAACTGCGAATGAGGACAACTCCGACTATGCTCTGGTTAGAGCATACTAAGCTAGGGTGGGTAAGCATCCGTTCGCCGAGTCCCAATATAAGCGTCCTAACTGGTCTAAACTTAACGGCTGGAGCCGTGGTGAGATTCTGTGCCACAGACTGATACGGAGGCGTACAGTGACGCGGATGCGGTCGTGTCAAGTCACACGATCGCAGAACAATCCCCAGTTACTCCCACAACACGAACAAATCTCAAGGGCTCGAATTCTAACACAGACGTTCCCTTATAGAACAGCAGTAATGCACGAGAACCTACCCTATGATCAATCACAGACCTACATTTTCCGACACGAAGCGCCGGTGGTCGAAGCCCACTCAATTGACTGGGCTTCGCATGCATTGTTGGCCTCTATTGGCCGCAAAGAAGGGCTGTTAAGCTTCGACGACGCTTGTTACATGATCGTCGCAGTCCGACCAACGACTTCTCAGACTTCTCTCAGGCCTCAGGAAGCGCCCTGCGAGATGGCAAACCTCGAAGATCTGACACTGAAAAACAGTAAGATGTCGAACATCGAAATCTTCCAGCGTCAATCGACTCTTCGAACATCTTTCATCTTTTCGTCTCATTTGCTTAAATAAAATGCGCCCTGCATCTCAGATTGCCTCAGATCTAGAATTCGAGCCGGTGCTTTCTTCTTCTTCCATAGCTGTGTCGCTGGGTCGGCGTGTAAGTATAAGTTTCAAGCCCGAGACTTTTCGTGCTACACACGGATGTACGAAGACCTCAAAAGGGAAGCGCCCACAGCCTCTACGGAACCAGACGGAGCCCGGAACCCCTGGAATCCCAAAATTTCGTGGTGGGATGGAGAGCATCATATGCTCAAGGAGGTACATTGTATGGACTGCATCGATGCGGCACATGTTCGCAACACTGGGCGTGTAAATCATGTTCTTAATTTTCCATAACGTCTCTAGTAGCACCCATACCTCGAGGCCAAGGTACATATGTACCCGACGCGTCCCGAGAACTCGCATATTCACAGGCCTACAACACCAAACAAGGGCATACTCTCCGCCCGTGTCACTCCTACGGCCCTCTTTCGGAGCACGGTCCTCTCTCCGAGTCATTGGAATCGTCAGAAACGAAAGCGATCATCTATACGCTGGCCCCCGCAATATACAGGCCAAGTTAAGTATGCAGCAGTGCGTCCTGAATAGTCTGTGTATGGAGTCGTCCCAACCGAAAGCCAAATATATACACACATATAACGATCTAAAAACGGAGAAGTAATACCGCGAGTCTAAACACCCACCAGCCGTAGAATGCAGAAAGAGGGAACCGACCGACCAACCAACCGCCCGTAATGCATAATTACGCCCCCACATGCCATCCATACTCGTACACACTTGCGCCCGAAGAATGAAACCTTTGGAAACCAGGCCGGCGTCTAAACCACCACCCCGTATGTTAGCCCTACACTCACTCCCAAGTGACTTTGCCTCAGGAAGGCCTGAAGTTCCTTGCGCCCGCACCGAAGCAAAATCACGGATCGGAATCGCTCGCCGCCGAACTATCACTCTCGTCGTGACCCCAAACCGCAAACGCCCTCGGATGCATCGTCAACGCCTCCGCCTCTTCTTCTTCCTCTTCCTCGACCCTTCTCTGCCTCGACCTTTGCCTCCTCTGGCCCTGGTGACTCTGGTTCTGGCTCTGGTTCTGGGCATGGCCACCGGCATGGTTTGCGTGAGAGTGGTCTCCGACCGTCGGCGTCTTCATGTCGTCCCTCGAGAGGTGCGAGTGTCCGTGCGGCAGAGACGCGGCGTTGTTATTACCGTAGGCGAGAGACGTAGTACTGCTGCTCGAAGAAAGATTACCTGGCGAGACGAACTGAATGTGTCGCGGCGAGATCTTCGGCGGATGAGGATGGGGGCCAGCGAATCTAATATCGGTGGTATTCCAGGCGAAAGGAAGACAACGCCAGAGCCAAATATGCAATAAATACAAGCAGGGTCAGTTCCAGCGAAACATGCACCCACAGCAGAAGATGACGATGAGGACTGTGCCCTGTAGGTGGTGGAGGAATAAGGGTGGTAGTAACTGAAACCGACCTATCAGGACTATCGACCCCCGACCGCAGCCCGCTCTTGCTCCTCGCTGCTAACCTCGACTTCTCTTTCGACACGCCCATCAAGGCCTCAGCTGCTCTCTCCGCCTCTCCTTTCTCTGCGTCATCCCTTCCCGCATCGTCCCCCTGGAACTGCTCCACCGCCTTCTCCTTCGCTGTCTGAGTCGCAGTGGCGGACGGTTTCTGGAGGTCGATCACCGCGCTTTCGGGGGAAAGATCGTCTATATCGAACTTCTCCTCCTCCTCTTCCTCATCGTCGTCATCCTCATCATCCTCCTCATCGTCCCCTCCCAGCTCATCGTTCGTATCCGGATCATCATCATCGGCAACAGCCTGCCCTTGCGCTTGCGACTGCCCATGTGCATCCGCAAACCCATTCTGCACGACCGGATGCATCGGGATCGACGACGGCACCTGAGGCCTAGCAGTATGACCCTGCGACTGTGGCTCCTTCCTCCGCTTCGCCGGTCCCTCCTCGACGACGACGAACGACTTCTGCCGCTCCCGTTCGTTCCATTTGAGAGTGCGGGAGATGGAGTGGAACCAGTCCGTAGATTGCTTGTCGGCGCAGACGGTGGGGAAGGGATATTTCGAGGCGGTCACTTTGATGTGGTCACCCTCTGTTTTGATTTGATTGATGGATGGATGGACAGAAGAAGGGGATCAAGATCGGTCGGTCAGCATTGTATCAACGGAGACGAAAGATGGATGGATGGCCGGGATGGGTCGAAAGATGGACGGGCCGCGAAGAACGGATGAGTTCGATGGATGGGTGGATGGATGGATGGATCGACAACGTACGTTTCAACTCCACACGTCCCCGTCCATCAAACGATGCCCAAGCCGTGCTCCTCGAATTAAAAGGCACGCAAATACGGACCTCCATGCTGTCAGGCAGGAGCATAGGTCTGAACGACAATGTGTGCGGACAGATAGGCGTGATGAGGATCGCTGGGATCTCTGGATGGACGAGCGATCCGCCGGCCGAAGCCTGGACATCATATTGTCAGTAAGAATAGAGGGCGAGAGAAGAGGGGTCACTCACAGAGTATGCGGTGGATCCGGTGGGTGTCGATATTGTGAGTCCGTCTCCTTGTACGGTCGTCATGTGATGCTCATCGCCTATAGATGTAATGCCATCAGTATTGAGGTAAAATTCAGAGAAAAAATTTGAGTATTCACCAAACAGCTCCAGCATACTGACATACGGACTGGGGCCCCTATCCACCACCAAGTCATTAATCACCTCAAAACTCTCCACCGGCCTCGTCGTAAAACACATAATCTCCTTATCCTTCTGCGCCTTCCCTCCCTCCGGCTTCTCCTTATCATGTCCATACCACCCACTCTCCAACGCCTCCCATCCCCCCTTCTCGATATTCCTCATCATGATCTCCCCCGTATTCGCCTTCTTCACCGCCTTGCGCTTTCCCTTCCCGGCGCGGAGGAGCTCTTCGGCCGGGACGGCGCGATAGACGGTGCATGTGAATCGCATCCGGAGGTTGACGCGGATCCCGGACTCGAGCGCGCTGTCCATGACGGCTTGATGGTCCGCGAAGTCAAAGTTGGTGAGGAAACCGAGGGAGCCGAGGGCGAAGGGGAGGACTGGAGGGACGATGCGTTGGAAGAGCCATGATGTGAAGAGAACGGTTCCGTCGCCACCGAGCTGTGATACGCCACAAAATAAAAATACAAGAAATGATGAGTAAGAAAATTCAGAACGTGGCCCATTATTCGCCACCCAAGTTGAAGTGTAGCTCGAGGCCAGAATGGACACGATCGGGTTTAGCGCCTAGCGCAGTCAGAGCCCGACCCCGACCCACTCTCGTATTACTCGGATGCCGAAAGGAGATGAACGGTACGATGTGGATGGGCACTCACGGTGACCACGAAATCGAAGAGATGTGGGCTTCGACTACACATGTCTGCGGTCCAATACCTAAGCTGTCCATTCTCGTTCGACGCTGTACTCTCGTCCGTCGAATTGGACGCGAGCGAGGTGCTGCTGGAAGACCTCCTCCTCGGATGAGGGAAGAAGAGCTCGGGATGGTCGCGCTCGATCCCTGCGGCGTCGAACCTTCGCGAAGTACGAAGCTGGTGGTCGACGTAACTGAACAGGCAGCCATCGTCAGGTCAGGCCTGAATGAAGCAGCAAGCAGGAGTGCGAAGTTACGCACACGACAAGCCCACGGCCTCCGTAGCGGGGTTTAGTCATGAGGTAGAGGGCGAGCTCGCGCGTGAGCTGGATGAGCCTGTTGTCGCGGGCCTTTGTGACGATGAGAACGTTTTGAATGTGCGACTTGATGCGTGCTCGACCTTTGTACGAGCGATTGTGGGCGTAAATAAGTAGCTAGATTAGAAATCAGTGAAGAAAGACATACCAAGCTGTTTGCTCATTTCGCGAACGCCAACGGCGGTCTCTGCAAGTTGTCTAGTGAGACTACCGCCATCCTCCTCATACTCCTCCTCAAAGTCAATCTCATTGTCGACAGCATAGTCGGACATTGGTTGTTCATTGTAAGGCAGGGGGAGGATCTTGCCGTTATCGAGCTTGCGATAACGACGGTGTCGATTTGGCTGAGGCTGGCCGCCAGAAGAGCCGGAAGAGCTACCTCCTGAGGGAGATTGAGATTGGAGTGAAGGCGCGACACCGACATCGGGTGGTGAGGGGCCATTGCCCTGCTTAAGCCAGTCCGAGAAAGATGCTCCCTTGTCGAGGTGGGAGTGCACAAAGCAAGGCGAATGTACCACTGCAGAATCGACGTGCGGCGTACGCAGCTGCTGGGTCCGAGAGCTGTCTGAGTCGGACGGTTGTGAGTTCTGGGGGATGGGGATGGGTGGTTGAGAATGTGAGTTCATCGAGACGACTGTGGGCGGGGCGGATCTGTTTCCGTTGAGGAGGGACGAAGACGATGAAGCGGCAGATGTCGCGCCTGGCTTCAAGCTCTGATATATTGCCTTTGGCGTCGTCGACCTCGCCGTCTGCTGGTGGCCTGCACCGTTTCCGTTTATGTTCATGTGTGCAGGCGAGGGAGAGTCCTGGTCATCGAGGACGATGTCGGGGTTCCAGCTCTGGGTGGCGTGGTGGATGCTGAGGTTGGAAGGCCTGGTGCTGTTCCGTCGCGAGAGCGAGGGCTGGATGGTCTCCGGGTGGACCATCGGACTCGTTGGCGGGGTCGAGAACATGGGCGTCGCGGGCGAGTCGATTGTGGTTGGGCCGGACATGGTGGGTACTGGTGGGTATTGTAAGTGCTGGTCGCTGTTGCAGGTGTTGCTCTATTTGTATGGCTCTATGTTCAATCTGATTCTAGGAACGACAGGCGACGGTGATGGAGAGAAGATGGAGAACAGTCGCCATGCCAGCTCACGTCGCCGCGAACGAAACTCATCAACGTCCGGATCGTTAACGGCCATCGCCTTCAGAATCATATCTCATTGGCTTTCCGATGTCCAATCACCAACGTGTCCTCGACCGCCATCACTCTGTTCCTTAATCTTACTGAACCAGCTCTTGCACCTTCGGCATTTTTCTCACTGCGAATACGTTCGTCTCGACCTTATTAATACCACCGGCTTTCGTTCATGCCAACAGGCTACCAACTTCTGGCTACTGATAGTCGCCGGCCTCTCACGCGCTCTCGCCATCCGGCCAATCTAAACCCTTCGGCCCAATGGGTACCTATCCTTCATCTCAGAAGAGTGTGCACCATTGGTCGAGTACAGTAACTCTGCGTATTTTCTATGGATCCATCTCCATGGTATATCGAAGTCATTCCTCCCGTCTTCAAGCAACGGTAGCTCGTCGATTATGATAGATACGTCTCTCTACGACCATTGCTCTTATTCGCGGTTCAACGTTCAACGTCCAACCTGAGCCTGGGCCACACGAGGACACCCTTCTGGTGGCGTCCGGCGACTGCCGAACAGGTTCCTGCACTCGAAAATACTGTCTGTCTCTGTCTGTTCTCGCGCGATTCGTTGATGTCTGCCTGAGGGCATCGAACTTCACATCACGATCAAGTGGATCAACATCTTGGGAACCTATAGGTATTTTCTTTGCCTATCTTTGCGTTAGGAAATCTTGTTCCACGAACTATCCCCGCGAACTGTGACACGGCATGCTCCCAGTTATGTGGTTCAGACTCAGGGCTACGCCTCCTAGGGACCGTATAAATCCCTTTTGCCCATCTCGCGCTTCGCAAATTATGCTTTCCAGGGTTTTTTTTTAGTGGATAAACGCATTAACGCTGCACAATGCCATAGCGCCATACCGTCTGCATGCCCCCCTGGTGTTCGGTTCGTCATTGTAATTTTTTTAACGATTCGCGAACCGCTGTTCACTGACATTTATGTTCTCTTCGTCGGCATATGCAGATTCCATTGCCTCGAGAGCCTAGCTCTGGTCGGTTATCTAGTAAACTGTACTTACAGATCTACACGGTCAAGTCGGGCGCGGACGGCCCAACATTGCGCAAATATGTGGGTACCATTTTTCTTTCTTTCTATCGACATACCGGCGCACACTTTCTTTCTTGCACCGCAGCTCCGCTGATTGCTTATGAAACCATACTCGCAAATCTACATCAGACCCTCCTCGACCCAGTCCCTCGTCGGCCTCTTGGCCTCTTCATAAATGTACTGGCTGACGACCACATTATTTTCCGGTCACCCCAGCCAGAATCATGCCAGGATTCACAGAGCGAGCCTTTGCGCCGGCTGGCAGTGATCTCCCTTTCAGTCCTTGCTGGTCGCGTCTTCCCTTTCGGGCCTCATTCGTGACGTTGCCAGATTCAAACATGACATATATGCGGTCAGCTCCTACATTCAACGCCTCAGATGCTGGGATATCAGGATGAGGATCATTTGACCCGGGCACGATAATCATGGGTGCCACATTTCCGAGATTACCAGCGCTACGCATTATCACTTTCATCTGCGCAAACACAGGTACGCTTTCGAGCGTGGCTTGCGTTGTTGCAGGTCCTTTCAGGGTCATTTTGTTTGCCACAATAGCTTTCCCGATGTGCAGACGTATAGACCGTCCCTGTTCCAATGCATAGTTGGTTTTTATCTGACACAAATTCGATTCGATCCTCTCCACGCACCCGTCTCTCCCAGTCGCTATACTTGGGCGCTGCTTGACTCCAATATTATACCCAAAATCTTTCGAGGATAACAACTGGGCGACACGGATGATACATGACGCAATGGAGTATGCTCTTGCAGGTCATTCTGGCTCTGGAGTCTTGGCAGTCGATGGCTAGTCCTAGTTGGAGCGCAATCGTACCCGCGTCAGTCGCCCTTTCACGCCTGTAATCTTCCCACGATTGCGTTCATTGAGGCGAGCGTATGCCACTCCGTTATGCTTATAGCAGTTCAATTCTCACAGAAGAGGAACAACGGGATACTCAGCTGCTTATCCTGTTTACGGCGTTGCGCGCATCTGAATGGGCCACATTCAACCTGCACTGCTGACCCCCAATCTACCCCGCGCCACGCTCACGCGCCCCACAGTCGGGAGCTCAGCCCCGACGAACATGTGGAGGTTGAACTACCCCGCGTCACCACCGTCATCGCGCCCTATGACGTTGCTCCTAACTGACGCGTTCGGGCGCGTCGGCCAATTATTATTTATGCGCTGTGTTCCTCGTATAAAGAGCAAGGTCGAGAACACTGGAATTCTCCATTAACTCTCTCCTCCAAACAACCACACAACCACACTTCTTACCCACCCACCCAACCAACTTTTATCAATCAACATGTCCGACACCGGCAGGCAATCTTTCACCGACAAGGCTGGGTCCGCCCTCAAGCCCGACTCCCAGAAGGTCAGTCAATTGACATTCACCCATCTTGTCATCGTTCGCCACAAGATTTCCGCTGACATTTGCTTTTGATTCTGTCTAGTCCACCACCGAGCAGTTCGGTGACTCCGTGAAGGGCACTGGTGACTCCCTTGCCTCGAGCGCCCAGCCCCAGGTTTGTGCCATTTGTTTTTGACGGGTATATTATTCCGACTGATCGTGTTCATTTTATTTTTGCTCTCTTACAGGGTGAGAAGTCGACCTCGCAGAAGGCTGGCGACACCTTCTCCGGCAACTCTAACGAGAACGACGTGAGTCTTTGCTTCATCGACACACTCCATCTCGAACCTCATCCTATATTTTGTTACCTCGAATGCTCACCCCCTTTTTCTACAGCAATCCATGCTTGACAAGACCAAGAACGCTCTCGGCATGGGCGAGAAATAGATGCGCCCTTAGTCTAGCCATCATCGCATGTCTTACTTGCTCGTTGCATACCATTCACGACTCCCATCACGTCCCGTTGTAACATACACCGCCATATGAATGAGGGAAACTGTATTAGCATGTATTGTCAGGAGGAATAGCTGCTTGTTCGAATGTATATTGTAATTCACGGCTTGATTTTTTCAAAGGCATCTCAGCGATACCTCGTCTGTATCGTGTGATTGACTGGTTCTGCGATTAGTGCGATTATATAAACTTCAGCCTTTAGAGTACGGTCCGCACTAAATCGGGCTATTGCCTAGTTCTCGGAAGCTAAAACGGGCAAGGGTGTTGTTTGGTTCCGGCCGGAATCTTTCACTGCCCCCACATCATCGATGGCACATCCGAGAGCGGCTGGAATGTCGCCTCAAACGATCTCGGTGAAGAGAGCCAGTTGTACACGGCCACCAGGGCGTATATGTAGTGATTTAAACCGTTCGAGCCTCTTCCAGAGCTCTTGGTTCGCTCCATGATTGTCGCTACGTATATGCCCTCAGGCTTTGTATTCGAGGCAAGTCCCAAATACGCTGGACCAACCGATCACCTACTAGATTCCCTGTAACTCTTCTGTGCTGGTCGATAATCAGCAGCAGTGGCAAGACCTCGATATCCTGTCTTAGCAGGTCTTAGCCCATGCCAGCCGTCACCCACCGCTGTCCAGGTCCGGAACTTGGACATACAATTACTGCTAAGACGACGATCAGATCTCAGGCTCTAGCCTCTGTACTGGCATCTTCGCGGCGCTCAGGGCGATCTCGGTTACCATCCTACTAATATGCTGTTAGTTAGCACGACCCGGCGGCAAGGCAAGTGTCGAGCTCGGGCTTGTCGACTTCTCGCTGTCGAACGAATCGGAATTCATACCATCTGAGTGGTTCAGAAGCGTCCCGAGCATGATCCGAATCTCTGGCTCGTCGTTCACGTTAAAGTTCGTTGTTTTCCTTCCGGCGGCGACAAGCTTTCAAGGTGATCGATCTCATGTTGAGGTTCTTGATCGCCATGTGCACGGTGACCTCGACGTGTGTTCTAGTGGATGCCTGTCGTCCATACCTCAGCTGGGACAAGTGCTCCGTAGTTCGATCGTCTCTGCTGAAGAGATCGTCGTGTAGCTCTCAAGACGACACACCGGATAAAATGACCAAGGGATAAAATACACCAATATGACGATCAAGGAGGCAGCTATAATACACACGTCCAGAGTCCCAGAAAATCTGAACACCCGGCCCGACGGACTAAAAGGAAAAGCATAGTGGCCAAAGAAAGAAAGAAAAAGAAGGAAAGAAATCAGACCGCAAACGGCGGGCCGACACCCACATGTGCATCCAAAAGAACCGTCTAATCTTCAATCATAGAAGTCTCATCCTCCAAGCCTCATTACTGACGCCCCGACCATTCATCAGCGCTCTGGTAGTACTGGCCCGTCCCTTGAAGCGCCTCGTTGTAAGCGGAGTATGAACTCGTGCTCGTGCCGTGTCGTTGCGGCGGGGGAGCCCACACCGCCTGCGACTGAGTGGTACGGTAGGCGTCTACACCTGGAGCTCTGTAGTCGTCGCGAGAGTGAGGCGCATCGTAGCCCACTGACGTATAGCGGGAGGAGGAGCCCGAGTCGGTGCCTATGCGGATGGGTTGATACGAGGATTGTTGGTGGCCTTGGTCGTGCTGAGCTTCGAGGTAGACGAAGCCGGGTTGGAGATCGTCTGCATGGGTGGACTGCTGCGCTAGGAGGGAGGGTGTGTGACGTGACGGCCTCTCAATGGCGTAGTCGGGGTTTTGCTGGGCTGAGGCGTAATGAGATAGAGTCGAAGACCGACGACGATGCGAAGATGAGTTCGACGTGGGCTGATGAGACGGCCAGTCGGAACGGTCGTCCCGGGCAGCTGCGAGGCCCGATGGGTTTCGGTTGTAGGTCGGTGGAGAGCGCTGAAGAGTCAGAGCGTGAGAGGCGTCGACGGCGTGGGGACGATCTCGGTTTGAGGACCCTGTTTGCGGGGAAGATGATGACCGCGAGGGATCGTTCCTGTTCTCCATGACTGTTTCTTCATCGTCGTGGCTGGGCATGAAGGGGTCAGCGAGAGATAGAATGCGCAGGATGGCGCCACTCACATAGTCGCCATATTGTTTGGGCCCATACTGATACGGGGAGGATGCCTAAACTTCGTTTGGTGGACCGTACTGAGCGGAATGATTACGGATGCGATATCGCGCCTGGAATAGCAGGGCCTCTGGAGGTGTCCGCTCTGGATGTCCTCCTCCCTGAAATATGAGATGACATGGCTGTCTGCGTTGTCGACCTTGATGGTGATGGTCTGGCCGATATGTTCATCGGATGAAAATGAGTTCATATGAAGAGCGAGAGAACCAGCGCGCACCCTCTTTATCAGACTATCGTACGTGAACATGTCAGACGGGGTTATTGCTCCGCAAAGAAAAGGAGACTCTCACCCTCCAGGCTTGATCTGTCCCACCTCGTTCCTGACATGAGGGGAAGATGAAACTTCTGTAGTGGAAGTCAGACTGCCACTGGCCATGGATGCTCGGTAACTGTTCCTTTCTATCGGGGATGTAACCTCGCGATATGACAGGAAATTGCCGTCTTGGATTCGAAGCGTCAGTATGGACGCGAATAGCAAACACCCAGTGACCGAACGGTGCCTACCTATCCGACTGGGAGTCCATGCTAATCCTTCAGTCCACCGATGTATCCCGCACTCTTCCGTGCAAAATACGAACACGGAACCTACAACCATGTATCGGCATCAGATTTAAGGGCAGAGTTAAAACAACATTAGCATATACGGGGGCTATTAGTGACGCACCACTATGAATCATCGACCGTCGCTCTGCATCATTTAGTCGTCGAGTAATCCTGGGAAGATACCCAGCCCTTCAAGACACTTCAGTCAGAGGCTAAAGCTTGATAGGCTACGAGAATGAGCAGACCTGGCCGCTATCACCAGGCGGAGAGCATCTACGGTGGTGGCTACATAGCCTATAAAAGGGCGTGGGGTTCTCTGCTGCTGAGTTGGCGGGGTAGACAACGACTCCATCTGGATTAATATTGTGAATTTCATGGCGCATTCGGCCTCCTTAAGAGTGTCTTGCGACGTCCGAAATAGCTCGAACAGGTGGAAACCAAACTTTTCCATGTAGTTCGCTTGTAAGGGTTAGCTGAGCTCTGTGCGGATGTAGTGTATCGGGAATGGAAAGGGCTTTGCCTTTAGTGTTTTTAATCAAGACGAGGCTTCTCATCACTTGAGCACTTTGAAGTCTGGGCTCCGCGGAAGAAAAGCAAGCATCGACTTATGAAGGCAACTTTGGCGCGGCGGACTGATTTCCGGATGTGCATCCCGGGGCCGGCTTTTTATGGAAGGGCGAGCTTGAAGAGCTGATATCGCAAGATGAAATAAGCTAACTCTAGGGTACACGTAAATGAATCTCTATGCTAAATGTGTATAATGCAGAATCCTTACCAGTCAATAGCCTCTCCAAGCATTCAGGAAGTTGTCATCGTTACTGTAGTGAAAATCATGAAGTCTGTTAGTTGAACAATCCATACGTGAAGGATGCATCTAAGAACGAGAGTTGTACACGCTAGGGACTCCCGCACACAGACGTCATTCAGTCTGTAACGCTGGAGACCTACTCTCAAATGGAATCCGTACTGTGCTTTGTTCAAAGAGACGCGAGCAGTAGTGCCAGCGGCCGCCGAGAGAACGATCTGCTCTCATCGAAAGCTTGTATTAGGCAGAGGCTACTGGAGATTTACTCTCAAATGGAATCCGTACTGTGCTTTGTTCAAAGAGACGCGAGCAGTAGTGCCAGCGGCCGCCGAGAGAACGATCTGCTCTCATCGAAAGCTTGTATTAGGTAGAGGCTACCAATCGATGAACGCTGATGTCGGGCCGAAAGGGAGTCGACAGGATGGGTGTGCGACGACTTTTCAGAGCAACGATCGTCCCCAGGAGGAATCGGAGTTTGAGAGCTATTTTGATGCCAGGGATACGCAGACACGAGATATTACGCAGGTACAAAGAAGGACTATGTTAACCAAGTCGAATCAACACATGGTCCTATACATAGACTAGAAGCGAGCATGTTCTACCGTATTCTCCCGTCAGTGAGGGCCGGCATATAGGGATAATAATGGAACCATGGCCGACGTACCGTCACAAGATAGCCTTAGATCCTAGGTGCCTCCAAACCTTGCCAACCTTCTCTTACGCATCTCCTCTACGCTGACGTTCTCCTCCTCTTTCATTGGTTCGTCAGCAACGTCATCAGGTTCCGTATCAGTCTCTGTGCCAGCCATGCTCGTCTCGTCCGTTTCCTCTTTGTGCTGCACTCCACTGGAACCGGTATTGGCGGATGATGTTGGGACCGAAGACAGTGGGATGGAAGGAGCGGGTGGTGTATCAGGTACCTTGAAGTCGGCAGGAACCGTCTCAAGCGAGGCCTTCAGGGCCGCCTGTAACTCGGCATCGTCATCATCGTAGACTCTGTTGGCGGCACTCCCCCACGGCCGCCGTGTGTCGTGTGACGGTTCGACGTCCATATCATCGTCAGTTCCTATAGCTCCTTGACGTCCAGCCGTTCTTTCACGTTCCCGTGCTTCTGCCTCACTTTCCGCGATTGCTCGTCTGAGCATCTCGGCCTCTTCCTCCTCTTCTCTGCGCCGTGCAATTCTGGCAGGATCCACAAAGCCTGCTGTCTCGTCCGCGTATTGCTCCTGAAGTGCCACTTCTTGCTCTCTTCTCATTCTCTCGAGCATGCGTCTCTGTCGAGCCATGCTGGCCTGGATAGGGTCATCATTCACTTCTTCCTGCCGTCCACCCTGGCCTATGGGATGGGATGGAGCATCGACAAACTCTTCGTCTTCGTCTTCGTCTTCGTCATCGGATGCGGCCTCTAAAGGAGGTAGAAGACCGGTATTGGATTCTGAAGAACCTCTGTTCATTTCAAATGAACCGAGGCTGAGGCCACGCCCAGGTCTCAAAGGTCGACTGCTTCCCGAGCCCATGATTCGATCGTGCGGCCCACCAACAAAGGGGATCACGGGTGGTCCGGTTGATGGTCCGGACTGAGAGCGCTGTGGAGTAATAGGGGGTGGGAGTTCATCGTAGCCACCTAATGATGCCTGCAGCGCAGCTTGAAGCTCGTAGTCTTCTTCCCCAAAGTCGGAAGATGCCTGGGCATGGGCAGCGTTGGACGCAGATGAAGATGAGGGCTCAGGAAGAGTAGAGGCAATGTCGTCAGCCTGGGTGCGGGGAAGGGTGAGAGGAGCCTCCGGGTCCGTCTGAACGACGGCAAACACCGAGTAGCCTGAAAGATGAGTACGTTGAGCTTGAGACAGATACATATCAATAGGTAAAATACAAACCTTCGGTCTCTGCCTGACTAATCACCATTCCGAGATACGTCTTTGATACCCATTCTGGATTTTGCAGATATGAATTAAGATTGAACCAATGGCCATTTGTGTGCTCGTTGACCTCGGGATCGGGCGAAAGACTGCCAAATCGACGCAGAGTGAACCAGTGCTGAGAAAGGTTGAGAACGAATGCGAGTTGATTGCTACATTGCCGATGAGATGATGGGACATCGAGCGCTGAAGATGAAGTGCAACGTACTGAGGTTGATCCTGGTAGGGGCGCATAATCTCGCTACGCCAGCGGACTAGACTAACACAGAAAGGGGTGAGAATCCACCATTTACGGGGAGTGGTAATGAGCTCGCCTCAAGCCCCAAACGTGAAGTGCTTCCTCAAGCACCTGGACAGAGAAAAAGCCTGTGGACAAAAGTGAGCATGCTGTTATCCCCTGAAGAAGCAATATTCCCAACCAGTATCGTCCATGTTAGTGCTCCTGCCCTGGCCATCTCCTTCCATAACGCCTTGCTCCATCGTATCGAGCGTTCGCCCAAGAGAGGAAAGATCGGCCGCAGAGAACTGCCGGATAGAAATGGAGACATCGCGTGAGTACATCATCATTGATATGTTTGTAGGGAGAAGTGAGAGCGAACATAATCTCCCTCTTCAAGCCAAACGTAAATCGAGGGTAGCAAGAGCCAGTCAATGGGTCAGCGCCACCGCGAAGAAGTCCGGGTACATAGAGATTGAACGTACGTAGAAGTGAGTTCAGAGCATGTTGGGCGCATAGCATCGATCCCTCCTGTTGCCTCTCATGATATATGTGAGGTATGAGAACGTCTAAGCCGGCCATGTCGAGCAGAGTGGTCGTTGAGAAGAAGGAGTGAATGCCACAATGGGGGCCGCCGTTGCGGGGAATAAAGACTCTTTTTAGCCGTGACGCGTACCGTACGCGTACGCGTGTATTACGTAATCACTCAGCCCAACTCGGAAGCGTAAGTAAAGTGCTGGAACTTACTCGTTCATCGTCATATCCTATAATGTCCCCAAGGTCAAGATCAGCAGCTGGCTCCCTCTGCTCTATTCTTCTTCTCTCATCAGCTATTGTCAGCGCTCAGAATGAGGAATGTCACATTTACATCGATCCCTGGAAGTACGACCTCAACACTACAAGAGGAGACCACTCCGTTGAGCGGACAAGAGTGACTCCGCCAAGTACCATCCGGGAATCTGTGCGATTCAATTTGTGCGACGAACTGCAACCGCTGGACGGCGTGGCCTCGGAGGATCAGGTGAGTGCGCCTCCACCTCAATATTATACTCGCAAGCTACATACTTCTCCGCACAGTGTCCGACCGGAACCAAAGTCTGCTTAACGCAAACAAACATCAAGACAGACCAGGTGGACCGTGTGATCTCTGTCATACCAATTGCAGAGACATCTGGCCTAAATCCCGAGTTCAAATCCCTGAGTGGTTAGTTCATCATCTTGTGTTCCCTGGACTGTTGCACTGATGGACTGCAATTGATTCGTTCTTTGACATTTAGCACCTAATAAAGGCTTGAATATTATCTACCACGGAAATCCATACCCTTCACTACCGTCTGCCGACCCAATATCACAATTGTTCAACCTGACTCTCCACTGTGACACAGAAACGAGCCCCATAAAGTTTCAATCGTATGATGGTGTTTCACTGAACCTTGAATGGTCTGCTCCTGCCGGTTGCGAATTCAAGGGACCAGATGGTACGCCGCAAGACGACGAAACTGGTGGTGGCGACAGCGACAGTGGAGATGAAGGGAAGGAGGCAGAGTCCGTGGGCAGTGGGGTCGGATGGTTCCTCTTGGTCCTATTGCTGGCGTTCATCGGTTACTTTGCACTGGGTGCATACTACAACTATACGACGTACGGGGCGACAGGCATGGACCTAATTCCGTAAGTCTGACGCTCAATCTGAAGCTGCAGTGATCTTATTTCTTGGTTTTATCCAACAGACACCGCGACTTCTGGAGAGAAGTGCCGTTTATGGCCCGAGACGTCGTGTCTCACCTCTGTGGCTCTTTCAGACCACGCCATACTTCCAGCCGGGGAGGCTACATAGCCGTCTGATAGGGGTTTCTTGTGTGCTCCTTGGGTTATAGATGGTGGCGCCGTGGCGGCAGAGTCGGGGACGGATTCATTGGGACTGACGCTTAGTATATTAGTTTTGATTTCTCGTTCATGTTACTGCTATTTGGATCTCTCGATTGTTATCGACGGTCAACAACCGTACTCTACTCCATCCTTACTTGCCCTCGGGTGCCACATCAATATTCTCTGTGGCGCCGTCTGATCGTCACGCCGCATTAACTTTTGCTTCCGCGACTCCGCTTCAAAAAAGGTTCCAGGTCATTTAATCGACTTGCCATGGCCTTTCATCATCCAACAACACCAACAGGTTTCTGCTCTAGATGTTCTCGTCAATGTTTGAGGTTTCTCGAGGGAGCGGGATACTTGCATGGTTACGTACCGTGGAAGATCGCGTTTTCGGGTGCGCGTCGCGTCGGAATTACCGTGGCGCGTCGAGCCATAGGCTCGTTTTGTACGTATACCTTCCAAACCCATCTCCTATGAAAACGAACCTTCAACCCACCCACGCAGTCTCTCGCTCACTACAACTTCAACCCTGCTAAAAGCTGTCTCCGAAATTAGCCAGTCTCATACACCGAATCAAAGCTCTGATTCACAATTCTTCGTCGTTATTGCTCACCACACGGCGTCGCTGGTAAGACCTTTAAACACTAGGACCGACGCAAAGCGACTTGCAGGCCGCTGGTGGAGGTTCTACAGACAGGAATATTGAGCTAAATGGGTCGAAACTGGCGGTGGTACATTATTATCGCCGGAACGAGACCTGGAATTTATCGCGAATGGTACGCAGATTGAAACCCCCCTTCCCTCACGATCACGACCGACATTACCGTCACTGTCTACATCTCCACGTCACCCTTCATCTGACTAGTATTAAATACCCGCAGGGCTGAAGCTGGTCCCAAAGTCGTCGGTATTCCAGGCTCAATTCACAAGGGCTACATGACCTACGCCGAAGCCCTGCGTGCTTTCCAGAAGGAAATCGCCGAGGGCAACATCAGAACCATTCGCGTGGTCACTGTGAGGGACCAGTATCTTCCTGAGGATCCAAGAACATACCATTATCCTGACATTGTGGACGACTCGCCGTCTGCTACTACGGGGTCGTCGACGTTGACGGTGGGGGCAGGACCAGTACCATCGACTTCGAGCGCTCGTACAACTGGTGTGGCGGGACATACCCGTGATGCGCCCGTCAGGCGGGAAACTCCTTCGACTTCCGGCACGAGAAGATCAAACGTCAATACCGGCGGTGATGCTCGGGATGCCCGAAATAATGCTATGGCGTCAAGTCCAGAACAGAGACGACCTTTAGAACCTGCCGCAACTTGGCCGCAGAATTCTGTATCTCAGCCCGAGCCATCGTCCCCTCATCGACCCAATTCGCAGCGATCTACCAATAATGGAGACCGAACGCACCATCGCCGTACTGCAACCTTGCCTTCTACCCCATCGACCTCCGGCCGACCTTCAGCCAGGGCGTCTGGGACGCCGCCACACCAACAACGTTCCGCTACTTCTGTTCGCTCCAGAGACGTTGATCACAATGCCGCGTCGTCACCTATACCCATTACCAGGCAGTCGACAGAGCGAATTCTTTCCCCAAGGCGCTCAGGCGCGTCGGATTCTACGAGCTCTTCTCCACCGACGGATGTTACTCAGTACGGACCAGACCATTTCCCCTCACGGTCACCGAGTCCTGCTTCTTCACTGGCAGGCTCACCTGTTCTCTCGAGACACGGCCTGTCACAACGAGAAGATGCTAGTTCACATATTCTCGGTCAGGATCAAACTGGTGCACATCGCTCGCCAATATCATCAAACAATTCTCAGGAGACTGAGATCCAGGACGAATCACGGCTTCCTGTCCGTAGCCATACAAGCACCCCTTCGCGGGATAGCAGCCAGGAAAGCCCTCCCTTGCCTATACCCCCTCGACAGACGCGCTCATTCATCGCTAGAGCTGGGAGTACCCCATCTGCTTTAAACTCCTCATCCCGAGCACAGCCCTTGCGGGCCCATTCGAGCATGCCTGAACCCTCGCGTTCGCATGAGGGTAGTTCCTCTGCCATCTCTTCTGGACGAGTACTCCTCCCTTCATCCATTGTATCGTCGCCTACCTCTCTGTCTGCACCTCCTTCCACCGGACGAATCTCTTCTTTGGACAATCGCTCAACACGCTCAACACGCACCCGTGAACGTCTTCGACTTTCTTCTACCTCTACTACCACGCCTAGCCACGTTCCTCTACCCCTTTCTCCCAGTTTGTCGATCTCCAACTCGGTCATCACTTCGCACTCGGGCTCAAGCTCCGGGTCTTCCCCGTCAACTCGACGCCTTCGTACACCGGGAACACCTTTTTACCCCGTCATTGAACCCAGCGATCGTGAGCTTCCGAGGATCACACCTGGTGTTACACCAATCGCCACTCCCCTCGAGACTCGTGGTACCAGTCCTCAGGAGCCTACGAGCATGATCGTCCCTCCGAGTACCAATGCTTGCGAGCCCACAAGCATCGGCAGCCCTCCTGCAGCAAATTCCGTCGATCATGCGGCTTACCAGTCCACGACCCTGTCTCCAAACACCAGTTCACGCGAACCAACAAGCATTGGCGATCCTCCAAGTCCAGATCTCTGCGAACCCATAGGTAGTAGCCGTGTTGGACCTACTACGAGCGTCAGCCCTCCTCCAAGTACTACTCCTCACGAACCTCCGATTATCATTGGGCCTCCGGTTGCAGACAACCTCGAGCCCACAACCATCAGCAGTCCCCTTCCAACTCCAGTCCCAAGCGCTGATTTCCTAAGCCCCGTCACCCCTTCTCTTGGTCTCACCAACATGGTCACCGGGGTCACAGATGCGCTCACACCAAGACTTAACAGACTCGGGTTGTCTTGGGGCGCTTTCTTCTCGCAGCCTGCTCATGTACCGAACGTTGTGGTGGATCCGAGGCAGGATCCGCGGTCGCCGATGAGTAGGAGCGCGAGTCTACCGGGGTATGGGGGGTTGAGGTGAGTTGACGTTCCTTCCGTGTATTCGTTCTAGTTCCTTTTTGTACTGTGTACTATAAGTAATACCCTTTCTATATGTTGCCATGTTGTGTACTCTACTCTGCGTTGCCTTGGATGTTCTGATAACCGTGTTTTTCTTATTGTTTTGATTAAGATCTCCTTCATTTGGTAGACCAAGCCCGGTACCTACCGCTCGTGGTGCTGATTCCGAAGTATTGAACAGTATGCCAGGTGGTTGGAGTGACGTTGTTGTGTGTCCTCCTTAGCCGTGAAAGGGCCTATTTATATTTCATGTACCATCTGCGTGATTTATTTCGCGGAAATTATGCATATTTAGTGATCACACAGTGTACCTATCGCGAGGTACGAATCCGTACGATAACTTGGACGTCGAGGCAGCTTTACAGGAAGTTCAAACATATTTATTATACAATGGAAAAGGTTCCATAAGGTGACTACAATTTGCGGCAACGGTCGTCTTCGAAGAAATCATACAATCGCGACGCTAAACGAAGACCGGGAGCGATACAGTGCAGAATCTACTTCTGACCCATGGCCTCCTTCGCCTTGTTGGCGAGCGAGTCCTATGCGGTGGGATGTTAGCGGGGGCATATTAAGGACCACAAATAAGCTTACCTGGTTCTCATTCGAGTTGCCGGAAAGGGCGTCTCCAGCCTTCTGGGAGGTAGACTTCTCGCTCTGCGGGTGGAGGTGGAATCAATATGCTAATCATGTGGATTGGGATATACGTTCGGAAAAGCGAACCTCAGGCTGGAAGGTAGAGGCGATGCTGTCGGAGACACCCTGAGGTAAAAAAAAATTGGCCGCGGTCAGCGGGCGTAGGGGCCACAAGACGCCGAAGACAGCGTACCTTGAAAGTGTCACCGAGTTGCTCGGTCATAGACTGTCGGATTCAAGACAAGGGTGAGCAATGAAGGTCGAGGAAGAGGGGAAAGGCATAATATGTACCTTCTGGGAGTCGGGCTAGAGTGATAATAACATGAGTATGGGAGGATGCTGTGAGCGGTGTAAGGGCAGACGACGAACCTTAGCAGCGGAGCTAGCCTTGTCGGTGAAAGATTGGCGGCCAGTGTCAGACATGATTGTTGTAATAAAGGGGTTTGTTTGGGTGGGTGGCGATGAGAAGAATGCAGGTGAGGTGGAAGAAGGTGTGATGGGGGAGTCGGAGGGAAACAAGGAGGGTTTTATACTCGACTGGTAGCGGAGGTCGAAAGCATGACAGGGGCTGGTCCGACTGGATCGTCAGCCCGAGTATGACGACACTTGAATGAGTGGGGCGCCGTCGCTGTGACTGTTCCGTAGAGTCAGTCGCCGACGTCAGTATCAGCGGAACGGAGGCTCTTGAGCGTGTCGCATCCGCGGAGAAACCCCTTAATAATCCACCTCATGGACTAAAGCGGGGTATCCGACCGCTGCGCGAACCTAGGATGCGATCATTTCAATGAACATAAGTTCCCGACATCTCCTGCCTATCTCCTGCCACTGAGCTCATGGTTGAAACGAGATGTATTTGATTTTAGACGCTGCCCAGCGAGGTCGTGCAGAAACAATGCAGAAACCTTGTGAAGAAAAACGCGACAAGTGAGTCATAAAAATATCTTTGTTCGCTGTCAAGTTGAGCGACAAACGTACCGATCAAGATATCTATTGCATTGCGCTGATCCCTCCGAAGCAGCCCCAACTTCCGGCAGCGAGGAAGTCAACAGGAAGTGCGCGGAGAGTACCGCATCGGTGGTGGTGACACAATTAACTCCTGTCGCTGTCGACTTTGTTCAAGATATCTCTGCATATATAAATGCACGGCCAACTCCTGCATTCAATTTATGTTCTGAAGGTTCATTCAGCGGACTCCAGTTGGCCACTGAACACGCGGGCATGGTCCCCCTAGTACAAAACGCATCACAAAATGTGAGAGCTGGTCTACCGTTCTCGCACCGGTCACTGTTGGCAGCGTTCTGGGTGGGTGATTGCTGCCCAAGTTTCCTAGGAATCTCTCGGAGGCAAAAGGTCCTTGGAGGATGACGATGTATCCTGCGCGTGCAGATGGTGAGAGAGTGGAAGATCGAAAACGGTCCGCCATGCAGGACGCGACGCACTAGGACGCACTGTACGTCATAGTAACGGATGTGACGCGACGCGTTCAGCGTCACGCACATCCTCGAGATCTCGTTTCCATCGACCGCCACCTTGTCGCCACCCTCTGCAGTCGACCACGACCGATTTACTTACAATGGACTCAATCGACCCTATGTACGCCCCAAGCGGCTCACGTCTTCTATCCGAATCTCCCCTCTCAGCAGCGTATCAGTCTTCATCGCACACCGGCCCCGGTGGAGACGACCTCTCACTCTCAGAACTCGATCTCACAGCGCGCGAACCCGAACGTCCTTTCAGTCTCTTTGCTCGACCAAAGACTCCCCAGAGGACTGTCCCAATACCCGAGCCACCTTCTGGAGACGACGATGGCGGTGATGCGCATGAGCAGGAAGAGTTAGGAGGCGGGGAGGAGGACGAGGAGAAGCGAGCACGGTCGCAAGCGAGGACGAGGGAGGAGAAGCTGCAGAACGACTTGTTCGTGCTGAGGAAGTTGAACGCGACGTTTGGTGTATATAATGACGCGTTGAGAGAGACGGAGTCTGCGACTGAGGTCCGTCCTCTCTTCCGTGATGTCGTGTATGTCTTGCTTTTGTTTGTTAATATATATCTTTTTATTGCATGTTCGGATGTGGGATACAGCGTGTGGCAGCTCAATTGGAACAGACGGACGCTCTTCTCAATAAGTATGTGAACGTGATGGCAAAGTCGGAGCGTATCGCACGTCTCATGTTCGATGAGCGATGGGAAGGAGCCGAAGCGGTAGGTGGTTCCTGCTTTTAGAGCACTCCGTGTGGATATATATTAACATTTTTGTCGTTCCATTTTCGCCTTGCAGGACGAGGATGTGATAGAACAAGAGGAACGCGAAAAGGAAGAACGGCGGCGGCGTGAGGAGGAAGAACGTATTCTCGCGGTCCAACGTGAACAGGAGCGTAGAGTGCGGGAAGAGGCTGAGCGGCAAGCACGGGAGGAAAGGGCGCGGATTGAACAGGAGAAGAAGGATAAACTTGCATCGAGAAGCACGAGTGGTGTACGAGGCATCAGAGGTACGAGAGCCCAGCAGATGCGGGGTGCTGCCACAACGCGCGGAATCTCGAGGACAGGTCAGTACTCCTTGTCCTTACTTCTGCAGCTTGCTCAATCATCTATACGGCTGGTTTTCAGGGACGCCACCGACAACGACAGCCAGGGGAGGTACTCGGACGACCACAGGCAGCGGTGGTACTAGTACACGGGGATCGATGATTGGTAGACCGGCTTCGATATCTCGAGGATCGAGTACATCGTCGAAACGAACCTGACTTGATGATACCGATATTTGACCAAATGGATGGATTCCAGACTACTTAACACACTCAGACTCTGATTACATTTGGGCCACAGCACGGCCATGAACCCACAGACAGGGGCTCTGTGGCGTCAGAAAACATCGACTGGACCACTCAGTACTCAGCAGCGCTAACCTGAAGACTCAAGACCCGCATATGGGCTGAAATGGCGGTCATTGGATGTACAGAGGTTCATACAGAACTAAAACAAACACTAACAACTACGAGGACGAGGACGAGGTTGGATAGCAGATACGATAAGATGAACGAACACGAGTGAAGAATGTCCAAGACAGAGACTAGAGACTATTTGGCAGATGTACTCGGGTTACGGCTGGGACGAGGGGCGTGCTGCGAGAGATCGATGGTGACGCCGTCGACGTCGTATTGGACAGTCTTCTCGACACCGATTTCGAGCTGAAGAACCAGAGAAAGTCGGTTAGTGTCGGGCTCTCTTACTGTAACAAGAGGGACAAACCTTGCTTGGCGTCCGTTCATCCTCGCATCGTGACTTTATGAAAAGTGTGTCAGTTTCGTGATCACGTTTTCAGGAAGAGGACGATTGTACTGACTCTGTTGAAGCCACTGTTCTCGTTACGACCGTGACGGCTGAGAGTCGAAGGGAAGAGGACAGGGAGTGGATGATCGCCCGCGCCTGGTTCTGAAGATTTATCAAAGCGTCCGCGCAGAGTCCTTCGGGTGTTCAACCTGTGATGTACGAACGGGCGATCAGCTTCAATATAAAAGGAGGGGGGTATAAATGTAGATGTACGTCGCAAGCAGTGAGTTGGCGTAGACTGTGAGGTAAAGTACCAGTCGTTGAGTTAGAATGTATACTTCGTGTACAAGTCAACAAGGCACTTACGTTTGCTTATAGCAAGATGGAATCCGAAGTAGATTAAGTTGTTGGGCATGACAATCCACTAAATGTTCGGCAATTTTGTCAGGAATCAACACGTAACATGGTGAGCTGAAGCTACTCACGCAGATCATGGACAGGACGGTAAAAGCACTGCAATTGCAGAGGAGAACCGGACCGTCAGCTTAGTGTGATATGGAGAAGAGAAGCAGGGCATATGCGCATTGGCACAGGACTGACCAAGTGAGTGCTCCGTTGTTTACAGAGAATATCATGATCGTGTCAATGACGTGGTCCAAACTTTTGGCCACGAACGTAGATGGAAGAATAGCGAGTCAGCCTATGACAACGATGAAAATGAAGCGCCGCAGATGAGAGAACACACCTCGTAAATCCAGTACGACTGCTCTGGAGATAGTAACAGAGTGCGGCGACGATGATCAAGTCGATTGCCGAAGACAACGCAAGACCTAACGTGAAGCACCACTGATACGAGGGGTTGTTGGTGCCGGTGGTGAAACATAGGAGAGATGACAGATACGTACCCCGAAGTCGTCACGGAATTCGTGAAAATGTCGGTATCGGAGCCTAGTTTTTTTTTTTTTTTTTTTTTTTTTTTTTTTTTTTTTTTTTTTTTTTTATTGAGGACAAACGATGGAAAGGAAGGAAGGGATGGGCCCGTACATTTCGGCTGTGGTTACTGACGAAAGAGCAAATCATCAAAAGGCCAAATCGCTACTCCATAGGTGATGAATGTATTTACTGGATGCAGCGACTAAACGTAGAAACATCAAATCGCCTTCAGAGGACGCTTATATCTGACAAGATGGTACTCACTGAGTCGAGCGAACGTCAACGCGATCTGCGGTGGCCAGTCGGGTGTTTGTCAGTCTTGCAATTGCTATCTATCCACTGTCCTCACTCACTAGGGGAGCACCGAGGTACCAGTTTCCTTGGCTGACTATGAGGTCGGTCAGCGTCACTGTCTTCGTGGAATGCTGGTGAGATTAGACTCACATCTGAGGACTCTGAAGCAGAAGTACCTGGCATGTTATGTTTCAGTGAAGAGGCAAGACGAATGAATATTAGGCGGAAAATCTTACAGATGGACCACCCATGTCAGAAACGCCTGTAACCGTTCATTATGTCAGAGAGAGTTTTCTCCTGTTCAGTGCTATGCGACCGACCGTGATGGCGATTGTGAGCTACCAGAAGAGCTATCAGACTTCTAGAAGTAAAGATGAGAGGGACAGGGCGGTCTTACCCCAATGGTACTAGGAACATGATTCACGCGAGGTCAGACGACAGCTTCTATGCAAGATTCATTGTGAAGATAAACAAACATAGGGATGTTGTCTGCAACACTCTCGTTCCCGAAATTGACAATCAAGTAATCCCAGGTCGACGCGCAAGCGAGGATGGTATGTGCAGCATCAAGGAACCTACAAGGTCTCAGTAAGCATGCCCAAGCTATAGGGGCGAAGTCTCAGGGGACTCACCAGATGCCAATGACCTAAAACAAATAACCCGAGATTGCAAATCAATGAGTACCGTATTATAATGTACCAGGGCCGTATAGAGTCACCATGGCTTTGAGCCTGAACGTGTCTTTTGTGTACACACGGAAGTAGTAGAAAGTCTGGACGCCTACTAAGCTTGAAAGACTGTTCAAGTCGAGATTAGCCAAGCCTCCATGTAATACGCTATGCAGACGAGCAAGCGAAGAACTCACACCGTGGAAAACAGGCAGCCCACCAAGATAGCGCCCAAAGTGTTGCTCACATTTTCGGTGGACGCCATGGAAGGTGGAGAGACAATGAAGAAGAGGAGGGGAAAAATAGAGGTTGGCAACTATTGACAGCATTGATATACCGGCGCTGTCCCGGCAGGAGAGACTTACGAAGCGGTTTAGAAGTTGCACAGGAGCCGCCGAGATGGCCTAGGCGATTCTTCTAAGTGCAACGCGGCGGCAGGGTAAGGAAGGACGTGACCACATTTAAATTGAAATCAGACCAATTGCATGGTGCGCATTCGGCAGGAAGGACACGACGTGATTCCAGGTGATCTCGCCTTCGACACCTCTCCGTGCACAGCCGCTGCGGACTCATGACGACAGAAGGAGACAGGCATGCTAAACCTTGATCTTCCTCAGTTTGGTTCTTCCGAACAATCATGCAGCAATGTTGTCGATATCGCTTTGAAGAACTGCGATCACAAATGAAGAGCCAGGAGAGAAAGACTGCTGAGGGGTGCCTCTTTCACGATAGTGTTACAACGCTCAGAGCATGGTCGAAAGGGATGCGTTCGAGCAAGCGAAGGCTGTCAGCAGACAGGTCTTGATTTCAGAAGCATGCCGACACCGGGAGTGCTGAAACATCGAGTAACCATTCAACAGTAACTGGACCGAGCGCTCCGTTCCACCCATGTCAAGAGATATTTTTACTACTCTGACCTTGCGTTGTTTTGTAGACGGAACATGTCCTGCATTCTTGGAAGTGGACACGGAGGTATGGCATAGAAGTAGTGGGATCTTCAAGTTTATGATGCGGTGGATCTGTCAAAAAAAAAACTTGCAGGTCGTATTGTTGTAACCAAGATGGTTCCGCGGTGCCTGACGTTGTTGCTCAAGACAACTCGGCGAAAAAGCCTCGCGATGTGGTCCTTGTGTGATTCGATTATCACCTGGATTTAAACGAGAACCAACTTGAAGGCATGTCGCTAACATACTTATATCGAGTGAAACCATGGTGGGACGAAAGCATATCAGTACGATGGGCCATGGACGGTTCTACTCACTGCCTTGGGCCGCCGATCGCGCAGGCTCCATACATATTTTAGCATACCGTGGTAACCGGGTATCATTGGCGGTAAGCACTGACCGTGATAGCTCGCAGAATCCTTAGCGTATTGCCGTGATGTGTGGCGTCTACAGAATTAGGTTAGCATGAGGCTCACAGCCTCCGCAAAACAGAGGGCATGTCATGTTCCTAGGCGAGCAAGAGCTTCCAAGCAGGGTTTTAATCAGAAACCTCGCAACGGGATACACGCAGAGCAGGCACTTGAGCGGGCGACCGTTATGGATCCTTGATGGCCCTAAACTATAACAGATCACGAACGGTCAGTCAGGGCTTCCTGTAGGAAAATCACGAAAGGCCGACCTGACTCACTCAGCCAAACATTGCTCTGAAAGCCGGATACGCCATATTCCTTACAATAACTCCGTGGGAGATAGCGACACCAAATTGTTGTTGACCGATATGGAGACTCATCATAACGGAACGCCAATCCCTGATAGCCAGGTCGTGAAGTCAATAAATTTGTTTATTTGCAGGCATTGCCGTCGCTGAGGTCTTTAGCGTCCGGGAGAGTCCCATAAAGGTGATGCTAGCCAGCTGAGAAGGCCGTCGGCCTGTTTAAATGAGATTAGCGACGAAGACATCAACATTATTTACAACCAGAAGCTATCACAGAGCTCAAGGCGCATCCGAATAGTCCCACTTCATCCCAGGCCCCTTGACCACCTTCGCATTCGGATACCCTTCCAAAAGATCGACGCCCACGCTGCGCAGAGCATTGACGCACCACTCTGGGTATCCGTTCTCGCCAAAGTAGTCAGAAAAGAATGTACGAAGGTATTGCGGGAAAGTGCCTTCGAGGATGGAATCTCGAGCTCTACCCATGACTTGAGCTTGGAAGCAAAGGTTGTGTTGAGTCACCGCTATCGTGCGATAGTCAGATTCATGGGTGTTGGACGGAAAACGAAGGCTACATACCGTGAGCAGCGGCCGTTTCACGGGTTACTAGATGGTTCAAGACCGAGCGAGATATGCCATCGCGGCAACTTGGGCAAGGACAGTTCTCGTCAATGGGTCCCATGTCTTTGGCATGTTTTCGTAATCCTGCGTTGAGGTCAGCAACATGCTCAGCGCTTCCTGTGTACGAAACTTACTTAGGTTCAAAGGACCCTTGAAAGTCAGAGCCACTCCAAATCTTGCTGTACGGGTCGGAAAGACACAGTCTGCCTGAACGATAGTGAGTACGCGTGCAGGAGAAAGCAGGGGAGTATATACCATATCCACGCCCAATGCGACGCAGACCAGCAAATCTAGCAGCAGCCCTTCAGCAGTGAGAAATTCAAGAAAACATTTCGTCTTACCTTCCGCAAAGCCGATGCCCATTGAATATCGCGGACCTGTATTATCTTAGTGGGCAGAACTCCGAATGCAGATATGAAAACTGAGCCTTACGATCGGCGGGTAATTTGGCCGCACACTGAGCGATGCTGATTGTGTGTTATGACAAGTTCACGAGCTTGAGAATACAACACACTCACATTCTCCAAAATACGTCTGCCAGAGTGAAATGTTATTTTGGACAAGATCTTATAGAACTCGCGAGGCTCACCCTTCTCCTCCCCACCGCTCAATCCGCCAATAGCATACCCTGCCACTCGGTCCTTTCTCTTGACCATCTCTTCCAGACAGGCATCTCGTAGAGCCGGATCCAGTCCTCCTTGAACAATTGCGAAAAGGTTTTGAACGCCTTGCTTCCCTGCTTGTTCATGACGCTCAATGCAACGATCTAACCACCGAACAGACCGCCACATGGCCTCCTCGACTCGGGGACCCACCGTCAAGCTAGAGACTATACATGGTGGAAATAGATCATAAACGTGGAGCTGTATGATCCCAATGAAAACAGGGACAAACCTACGTCATCTAGTTGCATGATGATATCGGCACCTATAGCGTGCTGTATCGAAATACTCTCTTCGGGCTGGAATGAGGCCAAATGAGCAGTGTCCGCTCATGAGCGAAAAGTGCTTACTGTAAGCATGGTTGGTTCCCCGGTGAAAGGGCTCGCAAACAGTGCCCCTTCCTCTGTAATTTTTGTGAATTTGCTCAGAGAGACCAATTGGAAGCCACCGGAGTCGGTCAGGAGATTGTGGCGCCAGCCTTGGAAATGGTGGGCGCCCCCGGCTGCTTCTAGGACTTTTATTCCAGGTCGAAGGTTGAGGTGATACGTGTTGTTCAGTATGAGAGTGACCCCTAAGGCCTCCATTTGTTGAGGCGTGAGCCCTTTGATTGCGGCTTGTGTGGCGACTGCAATGACTGTTGATAAACCAGTCGGTTGGAACGGATGACATGTGGCTTACCTGGCATGAATGTGGGCAAATTCGTCGTCGCATCTGAGGCGTAGACAGTATTAAAGAAGAGCGCGAGGTTTTTAAGCAGCGTGTGGACATACGGGCAAGGGTCATCCGCGAGACTCGAGCTCTTGTAGTGTGACATGTCGCGAGAACTTCGAATTGCATCCTGATACAAGATAGGGGAGACTGGTGGAAAGTTTTTTCGCTGCTTTGAACAGTGTTATTGGCCTATTTGGATTTATCGAGTGTTAACCGTTAAAGGACTCGGACGCCACTGTCAGAGCAGACTGACCTCTAGCACTTGAGTTGAATAGTTCTTCGTAGTGGTCACTGAGAAGTAAATCGCGCTCTTTGAGGTTCAAAGTAGATATCTGTCAAATCGGTATTATTGGGCAATCCCTACTAGGACACCGTGATAAAGGAGGCTGTAAGTAGTAGTCAGGGTTCGGTCAGGGTGTGATTGGCGCAAAGTTTCTGTTCTGTCGAAGCTATTGGCTTCGCGGCCCGAAACGGCCCGCTCACGCGAAACTCCTTCATTGCCACCGCGGCTTTCTTGCTCTCTCAAACTTGGTCATTATTTCATGTTGAGTATCTCTCGAGCTGCATTTCATGCGCGTCATACACGAATACCTGCGTCTGTGATACGCCGTGGACTGCAGTCACGAGTCGGTGTCTTGGAGGAGTTAGACGGTCGTGGTTTCATCTCCCAAGTTACAAGGTCAGTGTCCATGTTCCACAGTTGCTTGCATGCGTCGCTCATTGACTGCAGGTCCACAGAACTCCAGCTATCGCTTCAGAAGGACAAACAAGTGATTTACTCGGGCATTGATCCCACGGGATTGTCTCTGCATGTGGGCCACTTGGTACCCATGATGTGCCTGCTGCACTTTCACCTTCGCGGACATCGTATCATACCACTTGTAAGTTTCTTTAATGGAGAATATGTATTTCTTCTTATACGTGGTACAGATCGGAGGGGCGACCGCTTTGATAGGTGATCCTTCTGGACGCTCCACAGAACGGCCATTGCTCAGTCGACTCGACCTTCAGCGCAATATTGACAAGCTCAGAGCTAGCGTCGAGCGATTTTTCAGCAGGGCTGCGCTCTACGCTGAAACGAAGTCTACCGACCAACGGTCTCTATCAGAGATAAACGTCATGAATAATATAGAATGGTTTGAGGGGCTCGGTCTACTCCAGTTTCTTCGTACGGCCGGTATATATGCGAGGGTGAATAGCATGATCGCGAGGGACAGGTGAAATCTATTTCCTACCGAGTTTTTCTCCGCTGACCTCACCACCTAGTGTTCAGGCCAGGCTAAACTCTCAACAAGGGATCTCATTCGCAGAGTTCTCATATCAGTTACTCCAAGCCTATGACTTCCTCACTCTGAACCAGAAGATGGGGTGCACTATTCAAGTTGGCGGCTCGGACCAGTGGGGAAACATCATATCAGGCATCGAATTGATCAATCGTACCATGTCTGGCCTTGCAGAGAATGACACATCCGGTCCAGAGAAGGGGTTCGGCATAACCACGCCTCTTCTCACTACCTCGTCGGGCGAAAAGTTTGGAAAGAGCGCAGGTAATGCTGTTTGGCTAGACGAGTCCATGACCAGTGTTTTCGACTTCTATCAGGTACCTTTCCTTTTGTCGAAACTAATCCGATGCTAATTTCTCTTCAAGTTCTTTGTCAGAACGGCTGATGAAGATGTCCTTCGCTATCTGAAGTTGTTCACCCTACTTCCTCTGTCGGAGATCGAAGCGATCATGGAAAAGCACAACGTACAAGCTCCACCTTTCTCCGACCGCCGTTACTGACTCTCATATACGAATTAGAGGGCTCCAGAATTGAGGCACGCACAAAAGGTCCTGGCTGACGAAGTCACTGAGCTTGTACACACTGGTAAATATATTATCTGCCACAATACATTCCCAGTATTTGACCTCAATCTTGCACTGCAGGGGACGGTGTAACTCATGCGCAAGCTGCCACAAAAATATTCTTCAATACTGACCTGTCAGACGTGAATGCGAGCAACGTCATTTCAGCCCTCTCGAGTGATCCACGCCTTCGCCTAGTGCAAGCATCGGACATCTTCGCCATACCTTTGCACAAAGTGACGGCTTCTGTCGGTTTAGCCGCGTCCAATGGTGTGTATGAATGTTTACTGACCTAAATGAGCTACTAAAATGCCTCGTTTTTAGGTGCTGCCAAAAAACTGATATCAATGGGTGGGCTTTACATCAACGGCAAACCCGCCAATGCAGAGCAACAGTTAGCTCCCGCGGACCTAATCGATGGCCGACTTATCGTCCTCCGTGCAGGTAAAGCAAATCATGTAGTTCTTGCCATCAGTCCTGGACAATCATGATCAACACCGATGGCTACAACCTTCCTCTAAATCATTGCTTGAGCAAATTTTGTCACATATTCGCCTTCAATTCGTGTTCGGGGGCTGCCTGGGTCAGTCACTACAGTCCGGCCGGTGAGCCACTATTCACATTGAGTCTCATATGCTGTGCCGGGTGTTGGAGCGAACAACTGCCATAATGCCGGTTGTCGTGCGAGCACTTGACACGCCTAAGGTTTCTAAACTTATACCACTACATGCAACGCTCTTTTGTCTTCAGATGTGCTACACGACCAAGTCCCACACGTGCGGATCAACTCAATTGTTTTGTTTCCCGATGCGGTAAGCGTGATGGACTCGCCTGGACAGTGGTCTTTGAGTGGATGGCAGCACAATAGTCGCCAGCGCTCGGCGTTTTGAGATTCACGTCAGCGTGTGCTAAATCTGGGAGGCCTTGCGTTGTGCTTATAAGAGGGACTGCAGGCATGCCAGAAGTTGGTTAGTCTGCGCCTGCCGTCCTCGGCCCTTTGTTAACTCAAGGTTCACTGGCATCTGATCTACTTGCCGGGAATGTGGACAGCTTGTCGTTGGGCGCTCGTCATATGCATATTAGCCTGGGCGGTGACCGTCTCTTCCGGGAAGGTCTTCACGACGGAGAAACTCAAAGCTGCCCAAGCTCCTGCCGTGGAGAGATGGCAGGCCCATCCTACCACCGATGCACTGAAAATCGAGCGCCTTCACCACACGAGTAGGTTACTCGAACGAGGGAGCGGTGGCAACAATATAACGTTCCAGAATGCGAATGCGTCAGGTACGTTCATTCCACACAGATATGAACTCAGAGTGGTGCTTACGCGATTGTTTCATTAGCTTTCTATGTCGACGGTACGACGATCCCTGAGGTCACTTGGGACTTAGGTCCTAGCTGGAGTGGGCTTCTTCCCATTAGCGGCGATTCCAATGAGACACGCAAGGTTTGTCCCTTTCTTTAGCATTTCTCAATCCATCTATACCCTGAGTTTCATCTAACATCTGTTTCATTCCCATTCTAAATGCTGCAGCTTTTCTTCTGGTTTTTCCCACCTGGACCGGAGGGCAGTTCAGACGACATCATCGTATGGTACGTTCGAACTAAAGAGATTGCTACCTTACGTCTATTGATGGCTATTCAGGCTGAACGGGGGTCCTGGCGGTTCCTCACTGGAGGGTCTGCTACAAGAGAACGGCGTGAGTCGAACATGCGTGACAATACTCCCCTTCGCAGCTTACCCGCCTTTTCCTTTCAGCCATTCAGCTGGGCCTGGGGCCAAGCGAAACCCACCCAAAACGAATACAGCTGGACGAACCTATCTAGTGTTATCTGGATTGACCAACCAATAGGAACCGGATTCTCTCAAGGCGACAGCGAAGTTCACGTATGTAATGCTTCTCATTCTGACCCTAGGCACCCGGCTGGCTGACACTGAAGGCATCCTAGGACGAAGAAGATGTCGCAGAACAGCTTGTGGGCTTTCTACAGCAGTTCCTAGGCGTTTTCTCCGAGCTTCAAGGAAAGAACCTTTACCTGACAGGAGAAAGTGTAAGCCTCCTCCTTTCATTCAGGATCAGATCTCTTCTGATTGCTTTGAGAATAGTATGCGGGAATGTATATTCCTTGTAAGTGCAGCTCATGCTTTTTCTTGTGTGTTTATCCTTAGGCAGATAAATTCACAGACACCGCCAACTACATATACGACCATGTGGAGGCTCTCAGCCTAAATTTAACTGTCTGTGTGATAGTGGTCTATCTACCCCACAGTTCGCTTATTGACCAGGATGCATCACTCCCACAGGGAATCTGGCTAGGATCTCCCGCGATAACTAACGACGTGATCGCAAACGAAGTACCGGCAGTGAATTTTGTGCACAAATACGAGAATGTCTTCGGCTTCAAGTGCGTACTACCAGCTCGTCCTTTCTTCCTTCTACCACAGTTAATGATATGAACTAAACTGTCTCAACAGCCAATCCTTCTTATCTGAGCTCGACAGCCGAGCCAGCTCTTGCAACTATGCGGCCTACCTGGACAAATACTTGACCTACCCTCCCCCGGACGGTTCGTTCGCCCTTCCTGGAAGCTCTATCGAGTTCGACGAAGGGTGCGACCTATGGTCGGACATCGTGTCTGCCGCACTTGCCTTAAATCCCGCATTCAACGTTTACCGTATCTTTGACATGGTAGGTTTACCCATCGGTTCTGGCTTTCCATGTTCCAAATCTCATAGCCTGTTTTGAATTGAATCATAGTACCCCGTACTCTGGGACGTCCTGGGCTTCCCGTACGTTTCCCAGTCTTGTTCAGATTGACTTCATATTGAACCTTCGCGCTCCAGTGGGACCTACCCAGCAGAACAGACCAGTCCAGTATATTTCAACCGAGACGACGTCAAGCAGGCCATCCATGCCCCAGTCGAGGTCGATTGGTCCGAAGCCGCCGGGAACCCTTTCGTGGACTCGCTCGATAATAGCCAACCCTCGTCGTTCGGGGTTTTGGGAAGCGTCATAGAGAAGAGCCAGCGAACTGTTATAATGCATGGCTTGGCTGACTTCTGCCTTTTAGCTGAAGGGTGGGTGGTTTTCTTGGTTTTACCATCGAAACGGGTCTGATGAATACGTTGCTATTGTGTAGGACGATGATCGCTCTGCAGAAGTGAGCCTTCCTACATCACCTTGTCCTCCTTCGTGACTGACTCATCTCCTCGCGATCTCGCTGTCGATTATACGTATAGCATGACTTGTGAGTGCTTCAACCTTTTGAGCTTTAAGGGCTATATCTCACATCGGGCATCCAGGGAACGGCCTCCAAGGCTTCCAATCCGCACCGGAAAACGACTCCTTCATTCTCGACGGCGTCGGCGCCACGGGTACCGTCCAATCTGAGCGTGGACTCACCTTTTACACCGTCGCGCTGACGGGGCATATGTGCGTAACTGTCCTTGTTTGCTTTTCCATGTACGCAATTGTATCGAACTGACCTTGCGTCCACTTGTCTTTCATCTTCAGGGCACCGCAATTCAATCCAAAGGTAAGGATTCCCTTAACGCTCTTTGCTGCGAACAGTAACCAGCAACCGACATTTCAAACTCTCTACAGGCAGCATACCAATCTATGCAATACCTCATGGGATTCAGGAGCACGCCATGACAGCTACGACAAACTAATTCTATATTTCTTGGGAACATGGGCCTCACGTCTTCTACGTACTATCACGAAACTTTATTATAAAGGGATTTCTTGCATCATCAGTGCAGCGCACACAGACACTTTTCACGTAACTTATGGACCAGCATCTCGACATACTTACTGACGACAGCTCATCATCATGTTTTCTTTTTGTTTACGAAACCGCTGTATTTCTAAAGTCCATTCAACCGTTGACCCGGCGAGTTACCCTGTGATAGACAGACAGACAGACAGACGAGAGCAAGAAGGGTGTGTGTTGTTTTGAGAGTATTTCTCGCGAATCTTGCATAGCGCTACGTGCCAGGCATCAAACCTCATACTTAAATATTGTCCCTCCACAAGCCAACGTCCAAGGATCTAGACCCCACACCACAACGCCTCGAACACCCAACTCCGTCATTGTCCACTCAATCGATCCTGATAGATCCATACAGCCTTCTCACCGCCCAATACGTCGCCAAGAACCCAATAGTCCCTAACAAAAATCAAGGTAAAGTGAGACCACGCTCCTCATGAGACAGAAACAGGAGAGAAAAAAAGAAAGACGAACCTGTGACCAAAAAGTCGAGAATGGCGAGTAGGATGAGATATCCGAGGTACAGCACGACACCAGAGAACGAATCGAGCGAAAGTCTCGAAGCCCAGTAGAAGACGCCATAAGCGAGCAGCCAAATCGCACTCCCGCCACCAGTCATGAACGCGCGCCAGTGCCACCTTGAACACCAGCATCAGCATCAGCTTCGTAGTTTGATAAGGAAAAGTTGGAGTAGAGAAACGCACCTGTATTCTTCTGCGCAGAGGAGGAAGTACGTGAAGAGGATGGTGACGGTTGCGGTGGTCAGTGCTACCACTCCGGCTGTGAGGGCGAGGAAACCGAAGGCGTAGTATGCTCTGGAAGCGAAGAGACTGGACATGACGAAGTACATCTCCACAAACGCCGCTCTATAGGTGGTGTATCATGTTAGGAGCGGATTGGCGTTAAGAATAGGCACGACCACGCACCCGAAGGGGAGTACACCTGCAAGAAGCATAGCCGCCTATTCGAAGGGGGTCAGTTTCACCAGACGTGACGAGCATGACGTGTACCTACCCATGGCCTGAGGTATTTCGGAGCAGGAGGGATCTGCCTAGGGATCGGGTTGACGCGAACGGGATGTGAGACGCCCTATCATAACGAGCCTATCAGTCATTCTTCAACTCAACAGCGAAAGACCGAAAGTTGCTGACCCCGTGTTTTGATCCAAAGTATGCTCCGATTGCAGAGAGAGGTGCAGAGATACCGAACCACAGGAGGACAATGAGAAGCATGGTCCCGAATGGAACGGCGCCACTGGATCCTGCGGTGATCAGGAATAGGTTGAGCAAGAAGACGACCGCGAAAATGAAGCTACAAATAAAGTTATTAGTTTGTGGATTTTCTGTGTAATATGGTAGACGAAAGGTGAACTCACCTCGGAAGGAGCGTCGCGGTCAAGAAAGAGTTTTTGCGACGGTTGGTACCGCCCATAGCAGCATAAACCCGACTGGAGATATAACCGCCGATTCTGGATACATTCCGAAGACAAAAGGAGCGATCAACTGTCGTTCTTGAGAATGCAAGACGGGTAGGCTCACCCGCCAAAGAAGGTCCAGCACACCATCATGACGGTGGCGAGGGACCCGCGATTTGATGGGGAGAGGAATCCGAGAAGAGCAAAGACTATAACGATTGGATCAATACAAACCCGCGCGGATATAGTGAGCGAAAGACGAACGCAAAGTGACGCCAACCATGGCAAATAGCTGGGCACCGTTGCCGACGAGGATTGAGAGGATCATGGGATTTTGTGGCGTGCGGAAGACTTCGCCGTGGACGAGTTTCCAGCCCCAGTCTTCTTGTACATCTTCCTATTGAGAAGCACAAAGTCAACAGGGGAATTGGGACTGGTGTAGAGAAATTCGTACGCACGCTTAGGTCAATGGCGTTGTACCGCGAGATCTACACATTCTCAATTCAATTACTTGAGGGAAGAGGGAGGGCCAAAAATGCGTACATCTCTCGTTACGCTGCGCAGGAGAATCATGGAAACCATCACGCAGAGGAAGACCACGATGACCAGCGAGTTGATGAGACTGAACCAATGTATCCGGGGGTCGAAGATATGGAGGTAGTTATCCCATCTTGTGGCCTGCGAATACGACGCCACAGTAAGCATTGTTCACTTAGTCCAAGGGATACAGAACGACCTACCCAGGGAGTAGATGATTCCTGTTCCGTAGTAATGGCATGTGTTAGAATGCAGTATCCGGGTTCGAAATGGAGAGTATGCGGACGTACGTTCCACATCACACGATACGTATACCGAACGGTATTGGCCTCTCCTTCACGAATAGCGAGTGGCGCTACTTCAGAATCACAGTCCAAAGCACCGGTCTGGTCGCCTCCTCGACTATGAAAACAGTCATTGATCATCAGTCCCCGAAACACCTCCAAAGGAGAAACTGAAAGCACCTTGAGGGCCACACCAAAACACCGACCACGCGATTGTTGCCAGGACTCGGGGTATGATATCTTCAACACCACCATTCCACCCATCAGCATCCTGTCCCGCTTGGCGACTCTGCTATTAAGTAAGGTAGAAACGCACCTCAAGACAATGTCATAATGATTGTTCAAAAGAGGCGTTTCATGATTCGGTGGATCGTCGTTGCCGAGATTGAACCCCATATCGAAGAACAGATCTCCCGTCTTGAGGTCGACCTTCATCTCCGCAGCAGGGAGTCCATCGACGAGCCAGTTGAGGGCATAGTCTTCTCGTATACGGTCGTTGACGAAGGTGGTATCTTCTGCCGGGATCTCAGACGTGCAGAGCGTCCGACACGTCCCGTTATTCTCCAGCATGCGGACCTGGGGAGCATATATCCATATCCACAAACACAAACACAATAAGAATAAGAATGAAAGGAATGCTGGGATAGAGAGGACGAACGCACGTCATATGGGGAATTGAATATGCGGTCGCCAAAGAGTATGGAGCCTAGCGACTCTGGCTGTTTCTTCGGTCCTCCCTCTGGCTCACAGAAGTGAAATCCCGGATTATAATAGTCGTCTGAGCACCTCTATCAACACCTCATTCGCCTTATTGAATCCCGCAGACAACTATTCACGCACAATTTATCAAGCTTTTCTGAAGACGAGCGGGACGTTCGGGCGGTCAGTCGGTCGGTATTCACTCAACGACAGCGGATGTAGAGGACGCACCAGTCTCGCATTGTCTGTCCCCGCTAGCATAGGTGTCAACGTATTGACATAGAGGTTCACTGGCTCTCCGTCATGGTAGTCGTGTGGTGCGGCGCCGGGGAGGTAGAACGCTTGAGCTTGTCCGGCGCAGAGCGCAGTGATGACGCCTGCCGAGAGCAAGCGTGTCGGCGAGAACATGGGGTGGTCGGGATTGTGGTGGACGTTAATATCAGTCCAGAAAACTAGGACGACCGCTGGGGGCGACGGCGGGGTAGTGGTGGTAAGATAACAAGGAGAAGTTGACGGTGGTAGCTGGCAGCTCAACCCGCGTTTACGGCGGCGGATCGTTCGGAATTTGATGCGTTCTCAGAATGTGGCGTCAACGCGCCACACGACCTTTCGCTCTGATTTTTGTTGTGTTGCAACATTTCGGACGGTTCGTTTGCTTCAGAGCTCATATGCGACGGGTATTCCCACCAAGTAAAAGAGCTTTTGCTATCACACGATGTCGGAGTTAAGGTATGCCTTTGATAGAGTCAAGCAATGTTGGCAAGGAAATTGCAAAACGGCAATGCGTAGAGTAGAGATAGACAATGCAGAGATGAATAAGAGAACCATTAACGCTTGACCCATCCGTACTAGAAGGATCCAGAACTGTCAATGCTCCTGCAAAGCAATATACAGAAAGAAAGATACATACAGCCTTGCGAGCCTTCGCCCGACCAGTCTTTTTCCGCTCCACCATACGAGGGTCGCGCTTGAGCAGTTTCGCTGTCATAGATATTAGCACGGACTTAACAACACGAAAACAACAAACAGACAAACGTACCTTTCCTCAACGTCTGCTCCATCTCCGGCACATGCGCCACGACACCCCTCGCAATAGCATGACCCACCGCCCCAGCCTGCCCACTCGTCCCACCACCCCTACAAAGCGCAAATATATTATACGCGCCCAGCACACCCGCCAACTTCAACGCTCGCACGACCTGCTCCCTCTCGTGTGGTTTGCGGAAGTACTCGTTCAGAGGAATGTTATTGACGAGGATAGTCGACACCGTGACGTCCACCTTCTCTCTCGACGCCTCATCCGGTGCCAGAGGGTCCTGAATACTCGACTCCGTCGCATATGCGGCCTCGTACGGTGCCGCCTCCTCCTCCACATCCGCCTCCGCCGCCGCCTTCGATGACGATTCTTCAGGAGAAACGGAAGACTGAATGGGAATCATCCAAGCCTTTGCCGAGCTCGTCTTGCGCGCACCAACGGTCAACGTCCTCCCATACCTATCGAACTTAACCGCCTTCCTCTTCCCCTGCGTCTGCTCCAAGAACTGCCTCTTATTCTTCCTCTCAAACAACGAAATAATATCGAAGATCCCCGTCGCCAACGCGCCATGTCCCGCCGTCTGCGCAATCCGATGATACTCGTCAAGCTGGTTCAACAGTTTCGTGACGCGCCGATACCGCCCCGTCGTAAGCTTCGTGCTGAAGATTTCCGCCATATCGAGCCGGGTGCGCCATGCTGGCCGAGCAGGGGGGAGTGAAGCCCGTGCGAACGCGGGCAATGGGAGGAGTTCTAAGGAGGAGAGCGAGCGACGGGAGAATTGGATGGCCGTTTCGAGTGTCTGGAGCTGGTCGTAGTACTCTGAACGAGCGGTGTAGAACGTAGGCGAGGACGGTGGCTCTTTCCGGAACCTGTCCTGGCGGTCCTCGACGTCGTTCTTGGCGGCGGGAGGGACGTAGCGTGGGGAGGCGGACGCGTACCGTGCTCGGGGGAATTTTGTGGGCGCTGTTCTGAGCGACGTGGAGAGCGGCCGTCGTAGTGTGTTCAGCATCCTGAACGCAAGTTGCTGGCCTCCTTCGCGAGAACGCGGCTTGAAACCGTCGTTCCTAAATTTAGGGTCACGTGGGAGTATTCTTACAGACGCCACACTTCTTTGGGGGCCACACTTCACTAGGTCGTTCACACCCACGCGATACAGTTCATAATGTCCAGAGTAATAATACAGCATAATATAAGGATAAACGTGCAATGAAAAGGGGGGAAAGGAGCCACTGGTGACCGTACTTCGCTGAGTTCGCCATGAGCGGCCGACCGAAACACCCTATGATGTCCACAAGCTCACCCAGGTTCCCCTATAGCGCAGAGCTATTACTGCCCCAAGGGAAAGCAGCCCGCACCTTCACCTCCGGCGGCGAAGTCGTATCCTTGCCAGTGACCTAAACAAACCGAAAAACAGCCCAAAAAACCAACACGTTCAAAGTTAATACCCACGTCACCCAAGCGGCATCATACAGATAAGAAGGAACAGGAAAACCGGATTCATCAAAGGGATTAACGCTGCGCCGTACTTGTTGACACAACCGCTCGAGCTCCGCACCGCTCTCTGGTCTCTCCAGCTTGGGCTTCAGAGTGGGCTTGGGCACCATGCCGCTGGAGGTGCAGTAGGTGGCGTAGGTGGATTCGAGGGCATAAGCGAGGCGAATGTCGAGGGCGGTGAGGCCTGAGGTTTTCCAGTTCGAGGTGGCGTCGGGTTTGATGGCGTCGTGGGTGGAGGTTGAGATCCGTAGCCAGATGTGAGACCAGATGACTTCTGGGTGATGCTGTTTTGTTTTTTTAACAGTAACATGACCATAAGCAATAATAGATATGTGCAGTATGGTGGGCACCGGCCAAGTTGGTAGCATGTAGGACCTAGGTATGTAGAGGAGCAGACTGTTTCGAAGACGTACATCAGCCTCCGCACACCGTCCCCCGAACTCACGCAAAACGTCCAACGCATCCCTATCTTTCCTGAACTTCAAACTCTTCTTCAACACGAACTTCTCCTCAAATCCCACGAACCACCCGCGATTATACAGCGGGACGAGATATTCCTTCATCTCTGCGTCGGTGAGGATGTTGTTCGACGCCTCCGGAGCGGGGGGAAGAGGAAACTTGGAATCCGCTGGTTCTGCCTTGGAAGCGGAGGCGGAGGCGGAAGGCTCAGTGGTGGAGGTGTTGATCCATGGCGTGGGGTTGAGGGCACCGCTGGCGGGGGCTGGACGGGGTGCAGTGGTGTTCTCGTTCAGTTTTGAGGAGGCGGAGTACGGCCGGGTGGTGACTAAGAAAGAAACTCGCGAGACGAGAGGTGGTACGGAGCGTTGGCTGGATAGCAAGCTTCGAGAACACCGAGAGACAGATAGGACACTTTTGAACATGGTGTGTTGTTTGAGAAAGGGGCGAGGTTGGACGCGAAACGCGCCAGCGAGGTGACGCGACGCGTTTTGCGCTCCGCTCAATCTGATCTAATCTCCCACGGATGCCAAGGACGAAGGACAAGCTCAAGGAAGCACGAAGACATGCATTTGCAGTAGGAGGAATGCTCCGCACAGAATGGTAATCCGAAAGCCCATGTATAAGTTACGATACAACCAATTACTCTAGATCTTCGCACAGCATACCATACATTCATTTTCCTGCCCTCTAAGCCAAGTACGTCGGGATGCCCTCCGCACCCAGCAGAGTCTCCTCTTCGCCCAACTTCCTCGGCCCATCACCAACGCGAGTGTGAATGAGTCCCTTAACAGCCCCGACCTCGAACTTCTTCGCGACTTGCGTGTTGAATCCGTCAACGACCTTCGACTTCACACCGGCGCTACCGAAAAGACCGAACGGATCCTTGAAGGTCTCGGATTGGGGGAAGTAGTCGTGGATGAGCTCGATGATCTCCTTCAAGTTCTCCTGGGGCGCGTAAATGACGGCGTTCGGACCAGCATCGTACGTATACGCCGCCTTGATCTTCCCCCCATTCTCGACCGAGACACGGTTGTACTCGGTAATGAGGGCGATGATCGACCTGCTGACATCGTTCATGTAAAAGATGGGGGGATCGGTATCGAGCGCGACGGCGTGGAACTGGTTCGAGTCCTGCATCGTAAGCGTAGCGAACGTATCAAAGTCCTTCTCGAGGATGGCTTTAGAGATGCCGGCCATGCGAGCGGGGACGACGTGTTTGATGCGGTGTTGGAGGAGGGGCGAGGTCGCGACGGTGCGCTGCATGCCCGAGGTGGAGGACGTGCCCTTCTTGACGTCTGAGACGACGCAGATGAGGGCGTGCATCTCGGGCCAGTGCTCGCGGGGAGCGATCTCGACGGCGCGAGAGTCGGAGCCGTCGGCGGCTTGGCCCATCTCCCATGCGACGTAGCCACCGAAGAGGGAACGGCATGCGGAGCCGGAGCCCTGGCGGGCGATGATGGAGAGATCGGAGGGGGAGGATGGGAGTTGGTAGAGTGCGGCGAGGGAGGCTACGAGAGCGGCGAAGCCGGCAGCGGAGGAAGCGAGGCCTGCGGCGGTGGGGAAGTTGTTGCGGGAGGCGATGTGGACGGAAAATGTAGAAAGCTGATGTGACACACAAAGCGGACAGGGGCAGAATAAGTGAATAACTGATTGAATGATAGCAAACAAGGATGAAACATACCTTGGGCTCCTTAGGGTCTTTCTCCTCGACCTGTCGACGGAGGGCTTTCATCTCAGTGATGCAGGTGGCGAGACGGCCTCCGGCCTCGATCTCCTCCTCCTTGCCGTTGAGCCATAGCCTGTCTTTTTCGAAGGATGGGTCCGCACGGGAAGTGGTGGTGGCGCGGAGATGGTCCTGGTCCAAGGTTACGGAAAGAGAAGAGTTGGTGGGGAGGATGAGCTTGGTGTCGCGCTTGCCCCAGTATCTATCGATCTAAGTCAGAAGATATGGAGAGGAAAAGAAAAGAGAGAACGTACTTGATGCAGGCGATGTTGACGGGGGCAGAGACGGTGGCCTGGTAGACAGTCATGATGGTGGCGGGGAAGGGGAATGGGTTGCGGATGCGAGGAATCCGGGCGTTTGCAGCAGGGAGCTTATATAGATGCTTTCAGAGTGTGTTACGGAGATGAGAGCGCGGGGTGACTGTAGCGGTGGGCCAATCGAATTGTCGTACGTTCTTGTTCGACCTGCGTATCGTAGCGGGTATCTCAATCCAGCGCTAACACCGGGCTCTGCCTCAGCACCTCACCGCCCGGGGACAAGACCTGACACAGACAATTATTCCACATCACCGTTCACAGCGTCTGCGCGTAAGTATGCATGATCAGGCGACATATCAAAGCGCGCACGTCCAGCTGCGAACATTGCGGTGCTAACAAAGAATGTCTGCGAATATCTTTCCAGCGTCGGAGGAGCGCGACCGCCTTCCTCTTATGGCAATTCCGCATCGCATCCGTCCGAGCACCGATCTCGTCGTCGCCCGCCACCGGCGCTCGCCAGCCCTTGCTGATCGCTCTCTTCATCGACGACCACGACGACGACCGACCCTTGTTCGCTGCCGACCACGTTCCTCGCGTCGCACCGCTTGTGATTAGCCTTCTTCTCGCTCTCTTTCTCTCGCTCTCTCCTCTCGTTTGTAGCCTTTCTCACACTCCACAACACCCTCCGTGGCGGCGGGTACACGTACCTCCCTCAGAGCAGCCCCTTTTGCTCCCCGCATGCCATGTACTTCCCTCAACAGTCCCCTGGCATCGCACACAAGCTTGCCAACCACCATGACCAGAACAATCCTTGGGCACGCTCCACACACCCCCATCCCTATGGCCCTCCACCGTCCTCGCCAGGCTTTCCCTTGTCCTTCAATGGCGCTCCCATGCAACACCACATGCCCACCCTCCAGCATCATCACCAGAACTCCATGTCCCATTACTCTTCACCTCCCGCGAACGGAAGTGTCAACGCAATGCATGGTCACCCTATGAGCATCGCTCAGGCCTCGCCAGGGAGCACGTCGAGTCAGATCATCACGCCCCACTGGCAGCAGCAGTTGTTGAAGTGTGATGTATGTATCCTCTCTTATGCGCTACTCGTAGATCTCTGTCAACCTACTCGACAAAACCATCGTTCTTACTGAGCTCAGGGACAATGGCTTATTGTCTGTTCCACCCCTAGATGATTCGGGCATCGCGGTCACCCCACCACCGCGCTCGTGCAAGTGCAATGGCATCGCGGACCGTCACTAAATCAGCCATCACCATCACCAATCCCAACAAACCTCCACCATCAGAGCACAATACGAAGGACAGCGATGACTCGGCTACGCTAGTCAACGGTTCTTCTGCCGCACCCTCTCCAAAGGGCACTCCCGCGAATGCCAACCATCCCTCGTCCATGGTCGGTCCCATCGCAGAAGCGCCGCGACCAACCGCTGTGAAGCCACCAGAGAACACATGGAGCTCGCTCGACATGGGCGGCGTTCAGATCAAGAATATCCCCTCCACGTCGGGCCTCTTCTCGTTCACCTTCCTCATCAACCTCTACCTCAACCATAACGCTCTTACCAACATTCCTCCCGAAATCTCCAAGCTCCGACATCTAGAGCTACTCGATCTTTCCGGGAACAACCTCATGACCATTCCCCCGGAGCTCGGAATGTTGACGCAGCTGAAGGAGCTTTACCTGTTCGATAACCATCTCACAACCATCCCGTACGGGCTCGGTACCCTTCACCAACTTCAAACATTGGGTATCGAAGGCAATCCGATGGATGCGAACTACAAGGCGATCGTTCAGAAGGAAGGCACTCCGGCGCTCATCTCGTTCCTTCGAGACTCTGGGCCTGTAACACAGGGGCCTCCCCCGCGAGAATGGCGCAACCTCGTCAGTCAAGCAGAACGTGAACTATTCCAGTCGGATCCTACATGCGAGCAGTTCAGCGTGCTATGTTACAACATACTCTGCGAGAAGTACGCGACGGAACGGTTGTACGGTTACACGCCGTCGTGGGCGCTTGCGTGGGACTACCGGAAGGAGTTGATTCTGACGGAGATTGTCAATTACGACGCCGACTTCATCTGCCTCCAGGAAGTGGACACGGCGCAGTTCGAGGACTATTTCACCAAGAAATTAGCCGATTCGGATTATGAGGGTATATTCTGGCCGAAGTCAAGATACAAGACAATGAGCGACGCTGATCGGCGACTGGTGGATGGGTGTGCTACTTTCTACAAGAAGTCCAAGTACGTCTTTGTTCTACCCGTCGCTTGTTGTAACTCATCGTCGTTCGGACGGTTTCCAGATACCAGCTTGTCGAAAAGCACCTTATCGAGTTCAACCAAGTCGCCATGCAGCGTTCAGATTTCAAGAAGACCGACGATATGTTCAACCGTGTCCTTATTCGGGATCACATCGCTGTCATCTGCTCGTTTGAGAACCGAGAAACAGGCACACGATTCGTCGTGGCAAACGCCCATCTGGAATGGAATCCTCAGTTCCGCGACGTGAAGCTCGTACAGGTCGCATTGATGATGGATGAAGTCGAGAAGATCGCGAATCACTTTGCAAAGTACCCTCCTCGGATGCCCGTAACATCACCTACCAAGTCGACTTTGTCGAGCCCACCGTCGCCGTACGAGGCTGAGCCGACACCTCGACCGGCCCCGTTGTATTCAGATGGCACCAAGATCCCTCTCATTGTCTGCGGTGATTACAACTCCGTGCCCGACAGTGGTTTGTACGAATTCCTGTCGAACGGTACCCTTCCGCCAGACCATCCCGACTTCTTGTCACACTCGTACGGGAAGTATACCTCGGAGGGCCTGCGTCATCGTTTCGGGCTCAAGAGCGCGTTCGCTGGAATCGGAGAGTTGTCCATGACGAACTTTACGCCAACCTTCAAGGGCGCGATCGATTACATCTGGTATTCGACCCCGAATCTCGCTGTGAACGCTGTGCTTGGCGACGTGGACAAGTCATATCTGGAGAAGGCTGTTGGGTTCCCTAATGCGCACTTCCCATCCGAGTATGTTTTGTTTTGTTGCATTGCTACCACCATTTCTAATCGCTGGTGTCTTTCACATAGCCACGTCGCCATCCTTGGAGAGTTCCGTGTCAAGCCACCGCGGGAAGCCCCAGCTCGTCCACCCCTTCCCGTTTTCCCGAGTTCGCACTAAGAAGGTTTTTGTCCTTCCACATTCATCCTCATCTTTTGATTCTTTCTTTTTATTCTTCACACATCACATCATTTGTTCCTGTAAATATTTTTCAGTCCATCTTTCCGCTTCCCCAAACGCACACAACATCCGACCTTTTTCTATATATTCTATGTTTCGTTCTGCTCCTTTCCGCCCTTCTGCATGAATGTTCTCCTCTTACTCGCCTCCTATTGTTTATTACATAGCATCCTTCACTCCGTCTTTACTCCGTTCCCTGGCTCTTTCTTTTGGTACTTCTTACGTTTCGCCGTCATGTCTGAACTCTTTTGTCGATTAGCGGTTCCCGTTGTTAGTTATCCCGCGTACCTGATATTGTCGCCTCTTTCCATTGATTGCTGTTTTCGTCGCGTATTCCTCTCTCTCTCTCTCCATCCCCATCGGTCCTGTAGCATGTCCGTGTATGGCTCCACCCCTCTGTTTGAATCAAAAATTTCCTGAACTCAACTCGAAACCGATAGAGAACATGAACGTTTGAACCAGTGACGTCATAAATCAGTATGTAATTGGCCCGATCCAGGTCGTGTGGCGCGTGATTGTACGCGCGGTCCGCCACACACTTGTGCCCGCCAACGTCCTCCTCGTTCGCGTCTCCTCCTCTCTTGTGCATACCCAGCTAGAGCTTGTTCACGACTTTCTGGTGGTCTTAACTAACGACACTCATGACCTCTGTCTCTGGCTTGAGCATGAATATGAATGTATCTGAATCGTCGGCGGCGGTGGCGGCGGCGTCCTCTACTAGGCTGTCATACAGCATCGCAGGCTGCTCGGACCACAGCCATCGCTATGTCGCGGAGAACATACTTGTGGACTCGCCGACTGATCAGTCGAGTAGGTGGAGTGGGGTGCATGAGGGGCCGAATATGAAGCAGTGGTTGTTGTTGAGGTTGGATGAGTTGAGTGTTGTCGGTGAGTTTGTTCGTGTGTGTGGTGTTGGACGAGGACGAGTACTGATCATGGTGGGACTGTGGTATTAGAGAGTATTACTTTCGGAAAGGTGAGCTGGTTTCATTGTATTGTGATGGTGGTTAGTTTGTGCGCATGCTCATGTTCATTTCAATATTCCCAGTTCCACAAACGTGAGTTATTTCTGCATAATGCATCATTGCATGTGGTACGGGCGCTGGTGCCGCTGTGCTCACTGCTCACGCGGCCGCAACCCACACACACAACAGAGCACCCCTGCAACGTCAAAGAATTCAAGATCTACATTGGCCTAACCGAGGACCATCTGACGGAAGTGCTGCACTCTGGGCTCAAGAACGATGGCGTGTCGGAGACGTTCGCGTTAAGACATGTGAATAGCGCTGGTGTGCGCATTCCGACGCGTTTTTTGAAGATCGTCCCGCTCTCGTATGTGGATCATCCTTTTTTCTCTCTATGAACGTTGTTGTGAGTGATGTGCTGAGGCTGGTGGTTGTGCGTGCAGCGCCCATGGGCATTCCTTCCATATTTCTATTTGGTTCGTCTCGCTGGCGGGCATCGACGATGAGGCCTTCATGAGCCAAGTGAGATCCAAATTCGACGAAGTACCGTGTCCATTTACTGTTTCATCTCAATCCCATCCTGCTCATTGTATTCTGCATTATTTCGACTACATAGTACCGCGAGAAAGCCGCCCTGCGCCACATCCTAAAGCACCTCCGCAAACGCCGCTTCATGTCGCCCTTCAAATCCATCCTCTCCGCCGTCGACCTCGAGATCGAACATCCGCTCATCACCCAGCTGTACGAGGCGCTCGTCTCCGACGCGAATTGGTCAGAGGCGGAGAACGTCATCCGGCGAGCTTCGTCCGCCGGACTGTTCGATTCGTACCTTCATTCGACTCAACCTCGCGCGGTCTGGAAACAGATATACGGGCTCGACGCGAATGGGGATGTGCCTAGTAAAAGGGGAGGACACGCGATGTGTATCGATGGAGTTAATGGGAAGATTTATTTGTTTGGGGGATGGGATGGACATGCGAGTCTCGGTGATTTCTGGGTGTATTCTATTAAGGAGGATAGGTGGCAGGCTTTGAGTAGGGGGGATGGGGAGGATGGGAGGAATACGCCGGGACCGAGGTCGTGTCATAAGATGGTGTTTGATTCGAAGACGGAGTCGGTGTATATGTTGGGGAGGTTGGCGGAGAGTGATGAGATGGTTGGGGCTACGCCGGGTCAGGATATGAGTTCGCCTGCACGACGAGCGGAGTTCTATAGGTATCGGACGACTGGGCCACAGGCAGGGACCTGGGAGGAGTTGATGGATACCTCTTCGGTGTGTGCGATGTTCTTATTCTGGTATGATATAGCTATGTGCTAACATGAAGTCGGTAGCCATATCACGGGCCGCCATTGCTGTTTGACCACCAGATGGCTATCGATCCGGATGCTCAAGTTATCTATATCTGTGGCGGTCGTCTGAGTGAGAATAGCATAGTGCCCGCCAAGTACGCTGGAATGTACGCGTACAATATCGCTTCCGGAATATGGCAGCACCTTATGTGAGTTTCACTCACCGCTGGTCTGTAAATATTGGCTGATTCGTCTGTAGACCGGAGGACAAGACAAAACCACTCGCACGTTATTCCCTCACTCGCAGACATGGGCATTCGATGGTCCTTGACCCTGTCAAACGCAAACTCTACGTCTTCGCCGGACTGGAAGACGACAGCTACCTCTCTGACATGCACGTCTATGATATCGCTACGAACGAGTCGGTGGAAATCTTCTCTAGCGTCACTGCTGCAGGGGGTCCCGAGGCCTTGTTCACCCACCGCGCCGTCATGGACCCATCGTTAAACGAGATCTATGTGTAAGTGCTCATTTTTGGTACCATCTCTTCTTGACATCAGTTTGACCTAGGCATCTGTAGTTTCTGTGGCTTGAACAGAGCCGCACATTCATTTGTCCCTAGGCTTGAAGGAGGTGGCGCCTGCTGGATGTACCGATACAATAACCAACCAGGGACATGGACGAAGATCACGCAGCAGGTGGAAGGCGAGAGCGAGGCGCAGAACGAGCGTCCTCGCCCTCGGTACGCTCATCAGATCGTGTACGACACGACTACTAAGACGGCATATCTGCACGGTGGGAACTCTGGTCGAATGCTGCTGGAAAACGGAGACGCGGAAGAGACTGTGGGGACCTCGGAGGATGCGATGGCAGAACAGCGCTTGGACGACTTCTGGAGTATGCAGCTTCGCCGGTACGTCCTTTATGATACCATGGGGCGATGCTCGACTTACTCCGGATTGTAAAGACCTCAACCTGAGGAAGTGGTCCGTCGTGCGATATTACAGATTCGATGTCAGCAGTAAGTGTCAACTGTTTGGGTATTGCTCCGTTACTCGCTGTCTGACGAATGCTTTGCGGCCATAGCTTCCGTGAGATGTGCCATGAGGTGTCGCCCGTGCAAGCTCTCCGATTCCTACAGACCGATGTGAATGGTGTTGTTGACCACGACGATCCCGTCGAGACGGGGATGTTCCGAGACCTGCTCTCTCATCTTCTTCTCACGCAAACCAATGGCCAATCACATCGAACTCCGAGTTCCAATACGTCTGCCGATAGTACGCGTAACGTCGTCGGGACACCCACCTCGGGATTGGCGAGGTTGCTGCGTAGAACCAATGAAGACGGAGCCGCGACGGAGCGAATCCATCAACGCACGGAGATATTTGAGACGTTGTTGAAGTTCTTCCCGCCGAACGAGAAAGAACCGGGTTCGGACTTGATCGATATAATCGACTGGTGCGAGGAGAGTACGCATGGCTAGGTTTGGATCATTGTAGCCTTATTTTCTTTCAAATGTTGTATCGTCTACACATCGCTTTCTAGCTATCGAGGATGTACTATATGTGTGTACAACACCGAAAACACAGTCACGCACCTAATACCTACTGTCTTTATACCCCGTACCTACGTCGTCGTCGTCGTCGTCCAGTATAGCTGTTCTCACACAAATAAATATCGCAGCGATACCTTCTCATACACAGATTAACAGTGAAGGAACGTGGCTCGTTTCAGTCGTGTCAGTCGTGTCGATCGGACAAGGCCTAAACTAGAGTGGTGGTTAGCATCCAGACTGAGAAGGCAATGTTGGCTGAAACAGTATAGAAATAAGAGAGCCTTCAGTGGGTGGTGTGTGTTAGTGTCAAAGGCTCGTCGCTTTGCTCGCAGCTAACGATTCTCGTCTCAAGGCTGAAGAGGGGACACGGCGCAACAACGAAATTACACTCGCCTGTGCTCAGTACTAGCCTGAGGGTGCCAGTGCGATGACTGATGTCTTCGAAACGGTGCTCTGTACAAGTGCTCTCTCTGTACAAAGCGTGGTCACAACAGAAATGGAAGACGATTGAGACGACAGTGAAAGGCTTCCACGGGGTATGATGGATGAGTTATGAGAAGATAATTTTCTTGGGAAAGTGCCTCGATTAACGAACTCGGGATCAAGGTTGGCGATGTCCGGAAGCTCCCGGAGCCATTGAGTGGCAGCGTCGGAGGAGGTGTGGCATCCACTCACCTCGATGCCATGTGGGCCAATTGTAGAAAATATTTGAAATACCGCAACGTTGCAGACGTTCTGAAGGTGAACGACGGAACGACGACGGAGGCGAGTGGCTGGCATGCGGTAGTTTCACGTAAGTCTCTTATAGAGGTCGGAACACCCGTGGAGCTAAGGTTATTAACGTCATTGCTTGTGATCTAAGCCATGCATAAGCACAGTGAATCGGGTTCGCTATGCCAAGGCTAGAGGAGTAACTTGAAGTTGGGAGTGCTGCGGTCGAATGCTGCTTCATTCCACAGGCGCTCGAGACGTGATTACGCTTCGGAGTTCTACGAGGTCATGTTCGTTGCATCATGCTGAAACTCGGTTAACCAGCAAAGGGAAGGTATATATACGCATTGGCATGATCACAAGGCTTGCTCTGTTCCTTGTCTCCTCTTCGTCTGGTCTTTGTGTCGCATACGCTCTGTGGGACTGCTATTTACTCGACAAAGTCGAAGTCCTAGTCAGTGTTCGTGATAGGACATCAAACTGTCCTTGCTCTGATCTTCCTTCGACTCTCACAAAACGTCATGTCGACGACTGGCACAGTACGAAACGACCGAGATGGCTTACCGTGGTTCAGCGAGTCTTTCTTCTCCAGGCATCCTGCGATGAAGAAGACAAGGGCGATCTACTTCAAGATTCTCCTCATGGCCAGCATGCTCATCATTCTCATCATATTGGGTCTGCCGTTGATATACTATGCGCACAAAGTAGCCTTTCACTAATTGATTTTTCAGGCTTCTTGTCAATATACTGGGGAGCACTGTGGAAGACATTCGCCGCTGTGCATAAACTTGAGGGTTGGATCATAGTGCGTCTTTCTCCTTATCGTTGATGGTACGGGAAGTGATACAGCTTGGAGCAGGACTTCGACGGTGGAGAAGTTGGCCAATATGTATCACAGGCGCTGGCGGCCACGAGTGGTCCTCCTGATACCATGACATGGACTGTCAAGTCAGCAAGCGACTTCTCAAACGACACAGAAAGTCTTATCGATCTGGTAGTGAATGAGCATACTTGGGCGCTTGTCTCCAGTGCGTCTCGGTGCTAAAGAGGCTTCAGACGGTTTTTGATTTATTGACGCCTGTCTAGTCAATGCTGGAGCTTCGGATAAACTAGATGCTGCAGTAGCAGCTGCAGACTCTTCTTACAACGGGTCTCTGGCCGTCACGATATATGTGGAGGAAGCAAGGAACGAGAACTCCTAGTAAGTGGAAGAGCGAGCGAGGATCTATACTGTCACTGATATACATTGTAGCGCAGAAATGTTGCACCCTATAGTATGTACTGTCTCCTTTCATTCGCACTCTTCACCGTGTTAACTGTATATACCAGGTTACTGGCCTCATGGATTCGATCGTTCAGCAGCACACAGCGCAATTCACACAACAATTGGGAGGCAGTAGCAACAATCTAAGCAACTTGCTCTCCACAGCGCCAAACGTGGTGTCAAATCCTGCATCTTATACAATCTACAACACTCGACCTTTCGATGTTGCAGTGTAAGCCTTGGAGCATCCTACTTATGTGACTGTTGGTCTCATGTTGTTGACTTATTGCCTCTAGAGCTACGGCTGTCGACTTTGTTGGATTGATCTACCTTCTCATCATATCTGTATGTCTGTTCTTGCCTGACTTCCAGTCGGGAGTACGTTCTGATGAACACACTGCACGATTAGTTCGTCATCTCGGTACGTCACCATTCGGTTTGCATTATCTGGTTGCTGTATCTGACCGGCCATGAATAGTTGCAAAACTTCGGCGCTCGTGAGGCGACCGGCATCTCACACCGACTCAACATGACGTCGCTCATATTGTTACGCTTACTGGTTCCCATTATCATGTACTTCTACCTCTCGGTCAGCCTATATCTCATCCCTATGCTATGTGGCAGCTGCTGAATGACCGCTCTTTTTACTAGGCATTCTTCGCGTTGCTGAGTTTGGCTTTCCAAGTTCCCTTTAGCCGAGTGTGAGCTTCGTACTGGCTGGAGGATGGTGAAGTCTCTTACAGTATCTGTCATATAGGTTCGGAGCTTCTGGTTTCGTCATCTATTGGATGCTTGCATGGCGTGAGTACCTAGCCTGGTCTCATGCTTACTCTCTACTGACCACATATGCTTTCTACAGTTGGCATGTGTGCGCTGTGAGTCCTTCTATACCTTCTGATATGACGGGGTCGGAGTACTGACGCACAATGCATGAACAGTGGGCTAGCCGTTGAAGCCTTCATCACGCTACTCACCGCCCGCTTCATCGCGGTGTTCCTCATTCTATGGATTATCTGTGCGTCCTTTCAATCCACCTTTTGCTGACCGTGGACTTACCTGAACGCTCAGCGAATGTCTCTGTATCGTTCTTCCCGCTGGACCTTCTACCAGGGGTTTTCAAGTACGGCTACGCTACGCCTTTCTACAACGTTTCTTGCGGTGTCCGCACTATCATATTCAACACAAAGAACAGACGTACGTCCTGATTTATTTATGCCCAACGAAGCACAAAAACTGCCTTGCTGATGATGTCGGTTCCACCGTGGCATAGTGGGGCTCAACTTCGGCGTCCTAATCGCATGGGTCGCAGTATCCTGCATCACGATCACCCTCTTCACATATATAATCCAACGACGAAATATACGACAGCGGGAGGAGATATGGCGGAAGGAGGATGCGCAGAGGGAGAAGGAGGTCGTGGATGAAGAGGTGTACCCAACTGCAATGTAGCTCACTTACTGACTTCACTTCTTTTTCTTCCTTCATCGGATCAGTTCGTACAGGACTTTGCCTATCTCTGGATATGAATGGAATGAACACATAATAATGCCACTACTCTTCAGAACGAGTGTGTTGAAGGACTGGTCCTTAGGATCGTTCGCTTTCCTGTACTCCAAACCGGTCTGTCAGGCCTGGGGACGTCTGGCGCCAATTCCACGGACCAGCCTTTGTGGCGCAAGAGCAGGAAACAACACCACTTCTTACAAACTGCCACTGGGAGTCGACGCCAAACAGAACTACCACGGTACCCATCACTGTGCCAGTCCAACTCGTCACCCGTCTAGATAAAACGCATGCACGCATGTTATCGAACAGAATGACTGATGCTGACCGTTGATTGACAAGCAGGCTCAATAAGCACCGTGATCGTCATTATTAGAGCGATCTGAAAGTAGGAACGAGTCAGAAGATGACAGACAATGACTCTGCCAGCGTCTCGTACAATGTTCGGAATGAAGTCGGTTTCTATTTTCAGGTCCGCCAGTCCCGACTCTCGGGAAGTTTTGACGAGAGCGCTGTGAACACCCTGAAAGTATGTCAATGTGTGTAAGTGACTCGGAAGCGATGTGTTTGTTCACTGGCATTATCATGTAAACTGTCGACTGTGATGCTGGTATGGGTCCAAGAAAGATGGCAGGAAGAAAGGTAGAAAGAAAGGAAAGGGCTCCAATGATAGTTAAATAAAGTACATGCGAATAAGATAGCAGTCCTTCCAGAACCTTGAAAGCGTGCGGTATCGAGACAGCTATACAGTGAGCCTACAACTTCTAAAATCATCAATCAACAATGTTATCTATTCAGCGCACCGATAGCCTGTTTAACCCACCACCACCAATTATCGCATCCTCAGCTGTGGCCCGCCGTTCTCTCCATGACCATTCGGCTCCCCCTCCCTCTTCATATTCATATCCGCCTCCGAAGCCGAAACGCTCCTCGCGATTCGCGGCGGTAACTGCATCGCAGGCGAAGGCTCCATCTGCACCGTCCTCACCACCGTCGGACTCCCAAGCGGTATAAGCTCCTCCTCCTCTGGCCCCGCCCTGTCTTTCTTGCTCCGCCGTCGGGAAGCGTCGCTCTTTGGTCGAAGACGATTATGATTGTGATTCGGGGAGGTGGAGATTAGAGTGTGTGAGGAAGGTGTAGGAGATGTGGGGCCTGAGAAAGTTTGACGTGACGACTGTGTGTGCCCGACGGGCGAAAGCTCGACCTCTTGTTCGTCGCTTACGGATGTCGTGTTGGATGAACTGTCGAAAGATAAGCGGGAGATGATCTCGTCCCTCGTTGACGCCGAGAACGGGAGAGCGGAGAAGAGAGGGGCGAGGCGAGGGGCGAGGGTGGATGTGGCGGAGAGGAGGCGGTTACGAGTCGACTCGAGAACGGGTGGTGGCGAGAAATAGTCCGTAGTGAGGATGGAGGGCGGTGTCGAGGGTGAACCATCCCGTGATGAACGCATGGTAGTATGTGACGAGTGTGATGGTGGAAAGAATGAGAGACGGGAGTTGGGAACACGGCGGAGGGTGTAGAGCCCAGAGGACGGAGGCGGTCGTGGAGGTGAAGGCGAAGATGCAGATGCGGGAGACGGATTTACCGCTACCGAGGAGGATGATAGTTCTTCTTCCGGATGAAGAAGGTCGGCCTGCTCTGAGGCAGCTGCGTCAAGAAAGGCTAGTTTCGCGTGGCGTGCCTGATCAATCGGAATATACAGGACATTTCGAAGGTGAATGGGATCTGACGGCCACAGCTGGTTCGCACGACGCAGCTCGGCGAGTGGAATACCATATTTCAGAGCCACACCTGCTAGTGAATCCTTCGGCATAACCTGAGTGTGGTACGAAGCGTCTTCAGTGCTAAACTGGTGATTCGAAGGTGGTGCCACACACGTACTTGATGGACGAGCACTAGTCTCTGCGACTCATCAGGTCTGGATATCGGCGAGACGGTGACACCATTCCCATTCTCGTTCGACTCGTTTGTTGTCTGTCTGGTTTCCGAGGCCCAGGAAGACACAGCACGAGCGAGACGAGGCCTGGTGCTCGGACCGGCGTCGTGGCGCACTGAGGATGTAGAGGGCCGCGAGCTGAGAGGATGATGGTCTCGAGAGCCGCTGGCATGGTCGCTGAAGGTGCGCGACCTGGAGTGAATGGAGGGTGGCATGCAATTGGGGTTGTATGAGGATGCACCCTCCGAGTCTCCTCGTCTTCGAGTGACGGTCTGAGTGTGCTGCGCGTGCGAGTGGGAGGACGCACGGCCGGAAGTAAATGGTTTGTTGTCAGTGCCGTCGTCGAACGGATTGAAGTGCAGCTCGTCGAAACCGCCATTGACTTCGTGCTCGACACCATTGTGGTGACCGTGGCCGTCTGTGAACGGCATTACTTAAAGGAGTGTCAGCGAGGAAAGACGTGGACCATGGCAAGAGAGCTGTAGTATTTCGGGATCAAGGCACTCGGATGCGGTGTGTTGGCGACGAGACGCCTGATAAGGCAGTCGGCCGTTTTCATTTGGATGCTCGCCGCAGTAGGACAGGACTGCAGTGCATAACTTCATACCTCTACATGTACATATATACGCATGGGGAGGGGGGCATGTAAAAATATAGGTTTGACTTGATACTACTACAGCCACTTCTCAAGCATGCTTTACCAGATATATCGGAAGAAAACACCTCAAAGGTGGCAAGACGTAAGTCATGAGAAGAAAAATGGCGCGGCGTGAACACGGCGGGAGCAGCGAAGTAAAATGGATAAAATAACGGACAAATATCCCGATGGGCTGAAGAATTAGAAATCGAAGGGAGAACCTGAAAGAACAATGGGCACTGTTCGAACCAGGTTATGCATCATCGCCTTCTCTTGCCCTTTTACCAGCTCCCGTAGACTGCTGCTGCTGATTCGACCCCGCTCCAGTAACGCCGACGACGAGACCCTTGAGCCAGCCATTCTCCCTCCTGAGACCCTCACACTCGCGCTCGAGCTCGGAGACCCTGCTCTCGAGTTCCTTCGCCTTCTTCTCCAAAGCCGCCTCCCTTTCCTTCTTCTTCAACCGGAACCGGGCCGAAGCGGCCGTGTTCCGCCGGCGCTTGTCTTCTGAGGGCGTCAGAGATGAGTCAGGCGTGACCGGGGATGCGGCTGCGCTCAGACTGTCGTCGCCTACAGTGGAAATGGACGCCTTGCGAGTGCGCGCGCGCTTAGCTGGTGGTGCAGCCTGTACGTCAGGCTTGGTTTCGAGCGCAGAGGCAGGGGTAGATGACGCGAGAGGCTGGGAAGGAAAGTTGTGTGCGGGGTAGAGAGAGAGAATTTGTTGGAGGGATGGAGCAGCGGCAAGCTGGTTCTGAGGCTGCTGGAAGGGTGGTAGAGCGAAGGGGTCGACTCCAAGACCGGCGAGGATAGCGTTCAGGTCGAAAGGCGGCTGCTGAGAGCCGGTGACCGAAGACGGGATTTGATTGCCGAGGACGACATTGTCATGGCTGTCTAGGTGGGCAGGACCAGAGGGCGCACTACCGTCGTCTTCGTCTTCTTCACGGTCAAAGTCATCGTCGGCAGCAGAAGTGCCGTCGGGGCGATGCTGATGCTCTTTAGAGAGGAGGGGTTCGTCGGATTGGAATGCGAGATTAGTCCAGAGGTCGAGCTGAGCATTGAGCTCTGGAAAATGTGGGTTGGAGAGCAAGTCCTGTGAGTCGGAGAGATAGGACTGCTGAACGGGGTGAACGAGGTTAAGTCCCTGAAGAGCGGAGGGGGCCATGGCTTGCGGCACTTGTGATTCTGGTGAGATGAAAAGCGGGCAGCTTGTGAGGAAGAGTGGGATGGAGTTATATAGAGATACGCACCGGTCCAGCTGATGCGCTCGGTCGATAAGATGGGAGTCCACAACAGAGTCCAAACCGGTATAGGCTGACAAAAATTCCCTCACGTGCCTGGCGCACCCGTCCCACTCCGCCCCCCCTTCAACTCCGCCACCGGCCATCCCAACCCCGTCCCCATTCTCGTCTATTATGATTCTCTGCAACACGTTTGAAGCTTCGAGCCTGTCTCGCTGACATTTTCCTCCCGCATTTCATGATTTTTTCCTTAACCGGCGCCTTTCTTGCGATTATTTCTGACTCCGACAAACTCGGGGGATCCTTTGTCATCCCCGTACTTGTCCCGTGCTGTACATGACCACTCCGAGACTGGGGAAACTAGAGCTTCTTCTGCCGTCACTCTACTCTAACGCTCTCTTCAACGTTACCGACCACGATCTCTGACCCATCAGACAACCTGGCCCTCTTGCACCTCGCCACCAACCGCGCCACCCACCCCTGTCCTCCCTCGACGCTGTCCAGCTGCTCTTCCGAGTCTCTCGAGACTCAATTCCATCATACCACCATGCTGCTCGTCTGGGATCTAGTCAGCAGTATTCCGAATTATGAGCGGCAACAATCAACACATACCTCATCATTTGAAGACATTTTACAACACGAACCAGCGTCAATCTCATATCCTGGTTCGCAAGGTCGAGAAAGACTTCCGCAGCGTCGCCGCTTGATGGTACTTTGTGATAGTTCGACCTCGCCACCGTCCCCGTCACTTGCTTGCTGTTGTCCCTGGTCTTGAAATAGCTTCGAGGATACGAAGAGCATACAATAGTCTGCTAGGATTTCTCACCGTGTCCCCATATTGCTTATACGGCACAGCTTGTGGGTATGCTGTAGAGATCCATCAGCATACTACGAACCAGAAGAAGGAATCGACGTACCTCCATGCCCCACAGCTCGACCTCATGAATCCTAGCCATCGATGCCAATAGACCGAGAACTCCAGTCAGCCTCGCCACCGTCCCGCCACCATCCTTGTCGCCATCTCAACCTTGGCGAATTCAAGCTACTTCCCACAATTGTTGATGCTCTAGGCAGTGATACTCCGTACCTCAGGGCGATCTGTATACACTCCGAACATGCAGTGTGCGGGTGAGTGGTGACATTGACTGGCCGTGTGCGTTGCGCTCATCGAACGGCGATTCTCCTTTCATACTTGGTCTCAGAACACAGAGTAGAGCCGTAACTGGCACTGCACGGCGAGTCAATTGGCCTCGCGACAAGTTTCAAGGAACACGTACACCATGGAGGAGGAGGAATACAGTCATGCTGGGAGCAGGTCAGTGATGTCCATCCTCGCTACGCGTAGTTCTGAAATATTACCCTAGAACATGATGACTATACTACGGCGAGCCACTGCATCCTGGTACGCCGCGGCTTCGTGACGGGAAATATAACTCACTTGTTTACGGTAGAATGACACATCTTGGACCACAATAGCTACCTTTCACATTCGAATGCCGATATTTCGACGCATGAAAGAAAAGGCAATGTGCAATATCAATAAAGACACGTAAATCTGTAGGAGAAGAAGGTGGTCTAGAAGAGCTCGCGCTGGATTTATATGCGAGTGCTGGCATTCGACAATTAGTGGAGGATGGCTTCATCTTGCGTCACTGGCAGAGAAGGTTTAACCTTGTAAGCGAAAGCGTATATTTCGTCGCGTCATCCGCTCAGGAAGGTCGCGCAATCTGAGGGGCGCCACACAGCGGCAAACTCTTCCACGTGCGATGGATAACTTACACCGGGAAATGCCGAGGTTCAAGTTCGAAGTCCGAAGGCTGGCTTTGTCAGCGTTTAGGAAAGTCTGCGTCATTTCAACGTTCGACCCAAGTCAAACCTGCTCACTGTTACCACCATCGCGTTTTCCACTTTGATCGACCCCACTGTCGCGTCAAAGTTGCCATGGCATCTACTGAATCAGTAAACGTCCCATTTATCAAGAAGCGGAAGACAAGACCCACGACTACACGTCAACGTTCCGCCTCACCACCCATCTCATCTACCAACCCTACCGACCCCACTCCCTCCTCCTCAAAATCCCAAGTCATCCTCCCCTCTCGAAAATCCACATCCAATCTTCTCACCGCCGGCACCAAACGCACCTCATCACAGCGCCAAGCCGACGATTCCGACGTCTGGGGCGACCTGGACGTTACTCGACGCGAAGGTCCAGGAGTCAACTGGACCTCGGCAGGTAGCCATGTTAATGCGGCGCTGCAGATTCTAGAGGGCGATGAGGCGGAGGAGATGTTGGCGAAGAAGATGAAGAGGGATGCGGGGGATGGAGAGGATGAAGAAGGGCCGGACGATGGGATGTATAGAGGGCAGAAGGCGTATAAGACGCATATCAAGAAGAGCCAAGAGGTACCGAAGGCGATGAGGACGGGTCCTCAGAGAAATAATAATAGCACCATTAGGACGGTGACGATAACAGATTATCAGCCGGATGTGTGCAAGGACTATAAAGGTGCGTCAAGCGATTCTTCTACGTCTACCCCAGCATACTGATGAGCGGGCTTTGGGTTTGTGTAGAAACTGGATTTTGCGGCTTCGGTGATACTTGTAAATTCTTGCATGACCGCGGGACATGTGCGTTCCTTTGATCTTCATTCTGAGGGACCGTAGATGCTGATGGCGTTCCATAGACCTCGCCGGCTGGCAGCTGGACAAGATTGCGGCGAATCCAAAGAAGCAAGTCGGTGATTCGGACTCAGACTCGGATGGTTCTGACGACGAGGATGTGCCATTCGCATGCCTCATCTGTCGAAAGCCATACACGGAACCCGTCGTCACTCGATGCGGTCACTATTTCTGCTCGGCCTGTGCTATCAAGCGATTCGGCAAAACGCCGAAGTGTGCGGCTTGCGGTGCACCGACAGGCGGCATCTTTAACAGGGCGGAGAAGATCATGGAGAAGCTGAACAAGAAGAAGAAGAAAAAGGAAGATAAAGATGGCGAGGACTCGGGCGAAGAGGGGGCGTCGCATGTGAGGATCGAGGGATTGGGTGAAGGGAGCGGAGGAGAAGATGGTGGATCTGGGAGTGAAGAGGAGGACGAGTAAAGTTCGTCACAGCCGCGTTGTTCCCTGTATGACCAGGTCTTTGGTGTATTTATCGGTTCGTCTATGTCATAGAAGTCATTAACGGTCTCTGCTCCGTGCAATGACATGACTCACTGTTTTCACGCGCATTAGGTGTCAGATCCTGCTAGCAGCGATTAGTCTATATCGCGACGGAAACGGGTCATGTGCTGCCTTGGAACCAAAGCTACCACTTTTAGTGTCGGCCCATACAGAACTCCTCTTCATCATAAGGATCCTCACCTCGAGCACTGCACTCGTTCGACCAAACTGTCAATTACAACAATGGTCACGGGCTGCACGGGCTTATTGCATGATCATCGTTCCTTGACCTCGTGGCGAGTGCTTTGACTGACGAACGTTGTCGACACCAGCCTTCTCGTGTAGCAAGAACGCTGTTCATGGAAGCAGCGTCACTGAACTGTTCTACCACCTACTGACCAGAAATTTTGTCGGAATGTCTAGATATCGAATATGTCATTGGAGGATCATGAGCGAATCCAGACAAAACTCCAGGACCCTGCAGCAGTTTCAGGAAATGTCATAGGGCTGACGTATCTGTGGACTGTCTTTAATGATCTGCAGAGGACCGTGCATGTACTGGCTGAGGAAAAGACCCGGTGTTCATCACAAAACTATGGCGCGGCTTTCTATCGTCTCGAGCGAGAAGGCCGGCTGCATGGTCGGCTATCTCGGGCAGTAATAATGACCAGAGGTTAAGCGAGCGAAAGCAAGATTGTCGAATCTAGGATTCAATTCCTATCTCAAAACACGAGGCTCAAGCAACCTACCGAACCGATAATATGTTTTTATGTTCAATCGCATCGCGTCCAGCCTGCCGCGGTAAAGGCATTGCCGTCGCAGAAAGTCTGTGGTTGGAGTATGTAAATCACCTCGCGAACGAGGAATGCCGCCGCCTTTCCCGGGAACACTTGGTCGAGCCCTCGGGACAGCTTCTATTAGATCACGTCCACGATCCTTGCGGTGGTCCGTCTTCCATCCTGGTGTCCAAAGTGTGTGTTCCATCGCATTTACGGCAAAGTGGATCATCAATACACTCTGACATTGACCTTGTGCTCCTTGACTCTGTGAATCCCGGAAGGAAGGAAGAATTGCAGCAGTTTCGTAGTGGGATGCGAACGGGCGAGGATTCATTATAATCAGCGGGTTCACGCGTACTGCGAGCTGCCATTCATCCGCGTTCGCTCGACAGTCAAAGGACTTCGGCACTCTCCACAACACCAAGGCAAGCCCGAGGGTCCGTGGCATTATAGACTACATGCAACTGCATCGCTCAGTATCTTCGCCTTCCAGTGAGCACGTACGACGCGGGGGTGCGGGCATGCTTCCAGGGCTGAATTATATTACTTTTGCCGGAACGACCGATATGGCGAGTACCTAATACGACTGGAACGACGCAAGGGAACAATGGAAACGCGTCAGAGTATCGAGAAGCAACTGCGTGAAGAAAAGGCAAGGAAGTCGCAGATTCAGCAGCTAAGAGTTGCGGCGGATCTCGATGATTTAGAGGTAATAGGAAGCACCGGTTGAATGAGAAGCTAAACGGGCTAAGCCGGTGAACAAATGCAACGCGGATCGAAGCTCGCATAGGCAGCTTCGAGCTAAAACGACAGCTTTTCTGGACGCACTTTGAATCGGACGTCGGCGACATAGCCACTGTGACCACTTGTGCCGGATCCCTATAGACCTGCTGGATACTTGTCCTCGGTTTCCCGTTGAACATGGCTTAGGCAGTGCCATCTTACTCGCTACACGGTAGTAGGCGACAGGACACAAAGTACACTTGGTGACAGACTGTCCGATCAGGCTGATAGTATGGAAGTGGCGGAAGTCTGGGTCTGGAAGGTGGTGAGGTAGTACACCGTGACCGTGGTATGTGCAATAGTCCCGGCGGTAGTACGTGCGCTGTTCCACAGGCAGAGAAGCGGTGTACGTTGAGTCCTGCAGTATTCGAAATTTTGACAATCTGTGAGAACTGTTTGGTGAAGAGACGCTGATGTGTGCCTCAGTGGGAGTAAGTGAGTAAGTTTATCGGCGAGTTTGTATCGGAAAGACTCGGAGATTAAGATATTGAGTCCGGAGCGTACCTATAAAGTTGGCATTTGGCCCACGCTACGCCACAACGGGCGCCACCAACGGAGCGCTAAAGTAAGCACTCAAATTAGCAGATTTAAGGTAAGCAAGGTAGTAGTATACAATCGGCAGCGCACCAACACGAGGGTAAGTACGCAGAAACGCACAACTTGTTTCCGTACCGATACAACGTCCGTGTCCATATTTATCAGCGGTTGAACAAACGAGTTCACCAGCACCAGCGATCAGACAGAGCAATGGAGTCAGAGCGGGAGGGCGGGGAGGGTGTAGGAGGAGAGAGTAAGTGGGCATATCTTAACACAGGAAGAGGAGAGGAGATTTAAGCGAGTTGTCGAGAAGCAAACGAAATCGAGCAGCGGAGATAAAACAACGGTGACTCAAGAAAACACGGGCAAAGCATATCAAGAAAGTAGCGAGGCGACACGAATACCAAGAAATCACCGAAAACTATACCAACGAGCGCAGAACTAGACAGTAAGGTATCAGCGTATCAAGAAAGCAGTAAGTATACAGACCAGGGACAGCCGGACTATGACATGTATAGTACAGAGGACTGGCAGAAAAGCACAAGACGAAAGCGGAGGCAGAAGAGAACAGTATACCATGGCGTGTTTCATCCATACTTCTTCGTCGACCCCCCGTGACCGCAGCATCTCCCTCTCAAGTCATCCTTCAAGCATGAGAGTCGTTCATGTGTCTGGTGAGGGAGTCGGTGCGTGTATACGTCTTCTGGCAGATGGTGCACTTGTGAAGCCTCTCGCTGTGGACCGAATCGCGGTGGCGTTTGAGATCACCACCCCTGGTGAACGTCTGGTCGCAGATGTCGCACCTGTGGGTAGGCTGAGCGGGCTGCGATGAAGAAGACGACGGCGCCTGATGTCCCACGGGATGGAGGGTGTACTGGGACGAAGGCTGGGCATGATAGTATGAATGGCCATGATGAGTCGCAACGCTATGGCCACCCGGGAAGGAGTTGATGGGCTGGCCGTGAGGGATGCTGCCGTGGGGGATATGGCCGTGGTGAGCGACAGGGATGGGTAAGCCGGAAGGCGCATAACCCGAGACTGGAGACTGAGCGATTCCTTGTCCGCTATAGTCTCCCGCATAACCAGCTTGGCCTTGAGGATTAAAGCCCGCATGGGTTAGTTCCGGAGCTACAGGATGATTAGACGACATTGGGACCAGTGAAGGCGAATGAAGACAGACGAGGGTTAGGCACACCATGGGAATGCGAGGATTGACGTCCGCCAGGATTAACACCCCCGACCTGCTGGGGCTGCTGATATAGCGGGTGTGAGGGATGATAGCCACTGCCATGAGCATGAGGATTGGCAGGGGGTGAGTAAGTGTGGTTGTTGCTGGTGTTGTTGTTGATGTTGTTGTATGGGTAAGACATGATAGAAAGATGGGTTGGCAGGTCTGAGGAGGAGGGTACGCGAAGGGAAGATGTTTTATAGCTTGTCCGTGGAAGCCGCTCGACGGGAGCATTCTTGCAGGCCGGAGAATTTGCGAGAACTTGCCCTCGATAGATGGACTATGCGAGCTGAAGGCATCGACATGAGTCACCAGCGGGCGGGGATCTGGCGAGGAGCAGGTTCTGAGATTGGGCGTACGATTTCGCCCGCAATGCGGGTCATTTGAGTGCTGACGGTGGAAGCGAAGAAGAAAATAATACATATTAAACTCCTTTCGGGATACAAGGGAGGCGTCGCGCCCTTGACGATGTTCACTCCGCGAGGATGTCTTCGCCTGGAAGTTAGCCTTCGATTATCGGTGCCCGGGGGGTCGAATGAACCGGTGTTTAGAGCGCCCTACCGTGGCCAACCTCGATTGGGAAGACAGAATTTGGAACGTCCTGTATTGTCAACGGGGGATCTCCATGTGTATCCGAAGAAGGAAATTTGCCAATCCACTTGCCTTTCACAGTCGTACAATCCCTCGGAACTCATAGATAGTACTCTCCGACATCTATGGTCGGGCAAGTGCCTTTTTAGGATATCTCAGATGGTGCCTCACAAGCGGCCATTAGCAACAGTCGATGACCGCTGTCTACCATCCGATGGTGTCTGACATCGAAAACGGCGGTATCTCGCTGCGAAACTTCGAATTCGATGTCCGAAGAATTCAGACAGACTCCCTCTCGTTCGCTCGCTCATAATTGATGCGTAGGATTGTGACGTGCTGTCACCGTCCTCTGATCGTTTTCGTGTAATCTCACCCGGTGAACGTGGCGCCGAAGCCACTTGTGAAGCATGTGAAAGGAGAGTGTTCAACGATCAAGTGTTGAGATACCTCACAGCATCTAGTAACACTCCCTTATTGCTTTTGGTCAGCGTTGCGGTCCTTGCAGACACTCCCTTAATGAGGACAGGCGAAAATGGACGATGAGACGACCACGAGCCCCTGAGCATCGAAAGCACATCGCATTGAATCGAGTACTCCCACGTTGACGGAGACGTTAATCTCCTGTGGTAAACACGAGTGTGAACCTACGAAGGCACGGCTTGGGGTACAGTAGTTGGCCACTTCCGAACACAAGCACGATCCCAGGACAACAGGGCAGAAAATCGCCCATTGAACATTTGTATATCTCGCCACAAAGATATCTGCAAGGGACAGGGCTATTCGACATCAGTCGATCGTAGGCACCGTCAAGACTGTGCATCGAGGTAGGCTATAACGTGGCGCAGCGCTCATCAGTGATGCATGGTCGACCGTTTATCAAGCAGGGAAGGCAGAAGCAGACGTGAAAAACCACGCAATCTAATGCGTCCGACGTCGCACGACCAAAGTCGCTTCATGCTGCCAGTTCCATGAGGCAGCGCACCATCTGATCCGCTTTTTGTATGTAACAATCTCGCAAAACAGACAGTTATAGGTGACCGGCCTGGCTAACGCTCTACGCCGCGAGACAGCGAAAGAAGAAACTCTGTGGTTGTTCAAGGATTCAATTTAATCTGATATTTCGGAGATGGAACGGGCGACTGAGGGCTCCGGAGAGCAGCAGATGTTTGAGCAAGACTGCTTGTGCCTGTGCAGCACAGCATTTTCAGCGCGTTATGGCAAGCCAGGATAGACAGGTATGGCAGATAAAGCTCAATAAAATCGGCACACCATTCGATGCAATGGGCTGCATAGCACTGTCTGGCAGCGCCATGATTAAGTATAGCGCACGGAAAATCTAGCAAGAGGTGGAGGCAACATATGTGGGCAGGCTGAGTTCGTTACGCTCGATCGAGAGACTCCATCGACGTGAAAGTGAAACACTAGGATACGACGACTGACCGAGCCAAATCCAGTGAGAGAGATTTCATGCTTTCAGGCGCGGTTGGGCGGAAATAGACGGAAACAACATTGTTTGACGAGCTTGAACCTGGTGGTAGCGAAAATCGGAGGTCCGCTCCGGGCAATGCATCGAACTAGTTGTAGTAGAGCGCACATAATGCGAAAGAAGCGGGACCGTTGGCGTGATTACGGCGCGTTGAGAAGAAGGAAAGAGCAGGTACAATCGTACATCAGAGCTGGGCGTTCTGTTGAGAGGTGGAGCCCGGGTAACGGCGAGTGCTATACGGCGGCTATTGCCATTTTGCCACCGCCACCGCCACTTCCACGTGGACGTGGGGCGGAGCCACAGTCAGCTTGAGACTGGTCTGGTTCTCTACTTGTTTCCGTCCATGGCTCCCTTCGATCTAGACGCGTGCATACAGCAACTCCTCCGCAAACAACTCCTACACGAGGCCCTTCTACGAGAGATATGCGAGAAAACAAAAGAGGTCCTCATGCGCGAGTCCAACGTCGTTCACGTCAGTGCGCCAGTAACAGTCGTTGGTGATATTCATGGGTAAGCAGCCGTCCGCGTATTCCATAGATACATGTTACTGATCAGGTCTCAAGCCAGTTCTACGATCTCGTCGAGATATTCCGGATAGGTGGTTATGCACCACATACCAATTACCTTTTCCTTGGTGCGTCGGGAGTATCGTTGAGCGTCTAAGTACGAGAACTGACTCACACAACTTGCTAGGCGACTATGTTGACCGCGGACTCTTCAGCGTCGAAACTATATCCCTATTAACGTGTCTTAAGCTACGATACCCGGATCGTGTTCAGTTGATAAGAGGAAATCATGAATCGAGAGCTGTTACTCAGGTTCGTTTTTATTCTCCCGCTCTCCCATTCTACGCCACAACAGTTTGTTTCGCGACAGACATACGGTTTCTATACCGAGTGTGTCCGGAAGTATGGAACATCGAGGGTGTGGACCTACTTCACCGATATGTTCGACTTCCTGACCCTGTCAGTAGTCATCGACGACAAGATTTTCTGTGTACACGGCGGTGAGCACTTCCACCCCTGTCATCTCAAAGCATTCCCTCACGTCTACGTAGGCCTATCCCCGTCAATACACTCAATTGATCAAATAAAGGTCGTTGACCGATTCCGAGGTGTGTCACCCTACGATTGTTGTTTCTATCCAGTATCTCAAGTTCCCGTTGCAGAAATCCCACACGAAGGACCAATGGCAGACTTGGTATGGTCCGATCCTGATCCTGAGAAAGAGGACTTTGCAATATCTCCACGGTCAGTGTTTTCTCAGCTTGGTTCTGTCTGTTACTGAATGATCACTGCAGGGGTGCTGGCTACACGTTTGGCTCTGGCGTTGTCCACAAGTTTCTGGAAACGAATAACATGTCTCACATACTTCGAGCCCACCAACTGTGCATGGAAGGATACGCGTCTTTATTCGACAAACACCTGTCGACCGTATGGTCCGCGCCAAACTACTGTTATCGGTGTGGGAACCAAGCGAGCATCCTGGAAGTCGGGCCCGGTGGCTCCATGTACTTCAATGTATTCGAGGCAGCCCCGGAGAACGAAAGAGACGGACCACTACATCAGGCCGCCCAAAATGCTGGTGGGAAGGCACGTAGATTAGTCTTTAGGTTGCGTTCTCTCTTCCTTTTAACTCATGTATCATTTCGTCCTGCAGTTGCCAGAGTACTTCCTGTAAGGATTGGAAGCCATGTGATTTTAGCACGACCTTATGCACCTTGTATTGGAATCTTCCACGTTACGGTTTGTAATATTTCGCAGATGTTTATTCGTGGCGTCGTCCACTCGCAGATACCTTCGCTCTCGTATCGGAGTAATTATACGTGCACACCCACATTGGGCAATACTGAGACCACTTTTATCTGGTCGAGGTGCGGCAAATACAGTAAAACCATCTCAAGTCTAAAGTATCGGTATAGCAGCAAGTCCGAGGACATAGGTGCAAGGTGAAGATGAGAACCACGGCATGCCAACGTTACTTGAACATCCGCGAAAGCCGCCACTTCCTGGTTGTCAGACGAACTGCGAAAGCTGCCACGCAAACAATCAAGCCAACGGTCAGGTGGGTTTTCCACCGGTGCCACAGAAGAACGGTCAACGTGCGGACGAGATCCCTCTTGCGTTGTCGTCCGTGTCGGAGATTTGGGACGGAAGACGATGACGGTGCTGGCGAGGATCTGACGGGATACCCAAAGAATGGATTGGAAGTCGATCTTGATGATATTTCATGCCGTTGACGGTCAAGGGTTGGTGCAATGACTTTAGGGGGTAAAGAGGGCGTCGTGAAAGATGCATAGTCGACGTCATGATCCTGAGTAGAAGGTGTGTCTTGTGAGGGGTTCCCCATTCGGTTCAACCAGTGATGTTCGCTGGGAAGATCGTCTAGCGAAGGCAAAGAGCCACCGTAATCTACACTAGGCTTATTCAGTCCTAGACATGAGCGCCGAAAGTGAGTTTAAATGCGTGCCTTGGGGGAGCGAAGAACGTGGTATAGCGATATGAAGTTCTTCCACGGAAGGAAAGAAGACTTTGGACAAAGCAGGCTCCGGGAGGACGCGTCTAAAGATGCGGATGTCAATGCGGTGACAGGCTGAACGCGTGAGCGACGGGACTCACTTTGCAATACTCCATAAGCCAGCTTGGGTCCAAGAGAAGTTCATCATAAACACTAGAATAGCACATTGGCCTGTTAGCGATCACAGCAGACATACAACAGACACAACGGCTACCTGTTGCGATCATGCCCGGGAACAATGGGACGAGTACCCTCGAATACCAAGTCAATAGCTCAATGTTCTATGTTCAAATACGGTTGAGTGGGTTTCTGCTATGATATCAGTACCAACGCACAAAGTTCCTCGTGGCAACATTCTTCATGTCGATGAGGAGACTGTATTGGAGGACAGGGTCCTCGGATCGAGCTTGTTGAGAGTTGATTACGGCGAGAGCAGCCCGTAGTGCTTCGGTCATACATGAAAAATATTCTTTGAGCGTATCTAGGGGACCATCCAAATATTCCAGGCGAAGAATGAGTATCGGTCTGCCAACAGTGTCTCTTGACGACATGGGTAGGCCGCAAAGTAGGTGCGGAATGGAAGGCGCTTCGCCGGAGGGCCTTGTGAGACACCACAACAGAGAGGACCTTAGTGCCGTCAAAGCGAAAGGGGTAACGAATCTGTGCCTCTGGTTCGGAAAGAACCGAAAAAGTATTAGCTGCTCTGAGCCTGATACAGATCGCTTTAGAAAGCGATACCTTCAGCATGCGGAAAATCGTAGCTAAAACGACAACGTCAGCACATCGACGGTAGGATGATGAAATTAACTATCTTACGGAGGTCCGAGAGCCACACCCTCGCTCCATCTTCTTGAGGTGTATCGAGTGACAATTCATTGACTACATCTGGCAAGACCTCTTCTATCATCGTCGATTGCAGGGTCGTGGTAGCCCCTAGATGCTCCCGGTATAATTGCTTCAAGCTGTGATCATAAGAGCGAATAGAGGACTCTATATCCATGTCCGTCTACGCTCTCTCAAGGATCCAAAACGGAGGAGATAAAAAACCAAAGAATGTTGGGGGTACTTCGGATTCCTACTTGGGAGTTCCTTGGTGGAAGTTGGTTGAACGTACAACGTCCGAAGTATGGCGAAGTGGCCACCGGCCCGATCGCGAGTCCACGTGTCCGGGCATGTCCGAGCTGATCAGTGCAAGATCAGTGTCAATAATTTCCTATTTGCTCAGGTCATGGCTACAGGCCGTTCAATCTCAGGCTGCTTTGGGGCTCAGGTTGTTTCTTCGGGTAAAAAATGATCTATTACTCCTCGCCAGGTAGGATGGTCGTTAATCTCATAATATCTTCCCAACGCTCATCCGCCGCCCACCCGATGCTCATATTCTCTTTCAATGCTAAGACTGTTTTGACCCCGCCGCAATCACCAAGATTGTATTCAGATCCTTGGCTCATCATCTTCCTGACCTCTCCGTCAATCGCACTTAACCACGCCCTCGCCACATCGACTTGGGGCGCCGTAAGCACTGGCAGACGGAAAGCCCACAGAGAACGGTCGGAACCATGGGTGACATAGCCTATATACAGTAGAAAGCGTGCGAAGGTGAGCCTCAAAGAACGGGTGACGTAGCAGAGCAACCTTACCCTTCGGTCGGAGCTGCTCTGGCGTCCATCGAATTTCATACCTACAGACTGGGAATCCAGCCTGCTTCAGATCCCTCGCCAATAATCTGACGGGAAGATGCACTTGTCCCTCGCTCAGCATCTCTCCGAACAGCTTCATTAACTCTTCCTCGCTTTCATCCTCCTTGGGAACCCTATATATCTTTGACATCTTAGTCACGATGTCCTCTGGGTAGTATCTGAGAAGGTTGTCCTTGATGTCGGACGGCTTGCGGATAGGATGAGCAATGGAGTAGAGGTACCATTCCTCGGCAAGGTCTCCAACTATCACACAGCGGACACCATGCGCTAGAAGTCCTTTTGCCAACAAACCTGAGCGCTGCCAGTGCATCGGGTCTGTGGGATCACCGTTCGAGTCGGAGAAGGGTAAGAAGACTCCATCGAGAGTACCGCGAAAAGTGCCATGTGGGCCAAGCACCTCGTCATCGATGGCTTTGGTGATAGACTCAGCGGGCGTTTGTGATGGATCCTTGAGTGTCACGATGGATGACGGGGAGGAAGGCTCAAGCTTCAGAGCATGGCAGAGTGCGTCGTACTGAGGTCGTAGTTGAGACTGTGCTTTAGGGGTGTTGCTATAAAGCATCTCAGTGAAGCTAGTGAGGATGGTGTATGTTGAGAAAAACTTACACGATGCTATTCGACTGGATGATGGCGCTCTGGAAAGGTGCTTGGATACCTGCCGGAAGTCGGGATGCATGATGTAGTAACTGATGTACGGAGTGTGCGCCTGCACGAATGAGGTTTTAGGTCACCAATTTTTCTTCATCATATGAACTTGTTCGGCGTGTGTGAAGTTCTTACCGGCGGATAATCCTGAGACCTGAATGTCATTCGCGTCGCCTGAGGAGAAGTAAGCATGATCAGAGATAGAAGTGCCGCGCCACATAGAGTGCCACTCACCACCGAAGTTCGCGATATTGGCTTTCACCCATTCCAATGCCATCCACTGATCTTTGAAGCCGAAGTTACCCGTGATCGAAGGATTGTCACATGCGGAGAATCCGAACACAGAGAGTCTATAGCCAATGTTCACCCAGACCTCTGAACGTTCCGCGGAGATGTATTGGGCCTGACTGCCCAGTCCGTGCGGCGAGCCGAATTGAAGGAAACTGGTGGAAACAATTTGCACAGGACCGCATGACGTACATCAGTAGTAGTTATTGGGCAAACATGGAAAATTAGCGTACCCTCCGTGAATATACACCTTGACAGGAAAGTCCTTCTTCGCCGGGAAGGACGGAGGAGAAACAATGTTCAAGAACAGGCTATCGACAGCAGTGTTCGTAAGTGGTCTCAAGACGATATGCTGAGCATTTAAATCTCACGGGTTCTCAGTAGGTTTCCCAAGGCCTACTTTGTCCTGGAAAGGAGTGTCTGTGTAGGGAGCCTCCTCAACTCACGGACTGTGAGGGACGTGATGATCGATACATACTGGCTGCTTGTCCGTCATTATGAGGTTGGGCAGCATCTGGATACGGTAGAACATTTGACGATTCAGAATTTGAGAGCTCCAAGGTCGGGAAGGACCCCGCTTACAATGCGACTCGTATACGTATTCGCAGTTTTCATATCGAAAGTCGGCTGGAAGTGCTTCTGGATCCTCGAACCGTTTCGCAGGTAAAGCATAGGGGATTTCTGTCAGAAGAACGATTAGAAACGGATCACAACCAAAGGGATCGCACGAAGACTTCTGCACCTAGCCAAACTGCCGCATCGTTAGCAGCTCTCGCCCCTATCACGGATCCATATCGTGTCTCGACGGTGATTCTCTCAGTCGAGTTGGGCAACGCAGCACCGAGATGAACGTTGCTTGTCATCTTGCGTTCAGCCAGAGCCAGAGACGGATGTGGGAGGGAACAAACTTGGTGTTCGAAGCATCGTGGGCGAGCAACATGTGAGCATGATAAGTAGCAAGCCTCCTTCGGAAGGATTACTCGCCACGGCCATGGGCGGTTCTGGTCCGGCTCTGGTTTCGAACTCAGCGACGCTCACCTTGAACGGAACGGCAATCCGTCTCCATTTTATGTTTGGGTGCTTGCAATTGGCAGTCTCGCTCGCTCTTTGATGTTGGTGCGAACTTATCGGCTCGCCCAAGACTATACTAGTACAGATACTCAGTCGCGACCTACTCGACATAACCATCACATCATTCGAAATTCAGTTCATTCTTCTCTGCAAGTCCATCACACCGGCATTCAGCGTTGCTCCAGAAACTACGGAGAGGTAAAGATGAGGCTATGGTACCGATACAACATGGAAGGGTAAATACCTGGGTGACCAATTTGCTGATGCCTTTGATCTTCATGCATTCGTCTTGAACATTATACCCGCATGTCGAATTCAAGACTCCCTCCTCAAGGAATCGCATGATATACCTGTACCATAAGATTGAGCACTACGCGGGAAAGGAGCATGAAGACCTGGCACGATACCTCAAACAAGTCTCCTCCCTGAAGTCACTGTAAATCTTGCGATTGTACTTGCGCTACAATCAAAAACGTCAGTAAGCGCCAGTGAACGACGATGAACAGATTGAAACACCTCGCTGCGCCTTGCCTCCTCCTCGTATGGGTGGCTCTGGTGAATAAGGAAGTGATCTCCCAGAACGTAGAAGGACACTCCCGAGAGATACATCTCGAATAAGCAGGCTGCCTTGTTTGCACCATAGCCATTGAACCGTTCGTCACACCTACACCTATTTAATGGATCGAGTCATTATATTATGAAGTAACAAGCTTACCAGCCACCGGCGTCCTTTCGAACTATAACATAGGGTTCGTATGCGGATTGGTACCGGGCGACCCTGTATATTTCCCCCAGTTGAGTTCTGTAGAATCGATCGTAGTCGGTGCTGTTGTGACCCTGCGCCCAGGAAGCATGAAAAGGCAGAATCTTGTGCGAATGGACTTGTTCGAGAAGAGCCTGGCCGCACGGAGACGATACTGGTATGTTAAAAGGATTGCCAGAATTGTGATGGTGTACCAACTGACCTGCTTGTCGCTAGGAAACAACATTTGGTCCTTCCCGTCACGCGCCCTTGCATACTCAAAAGCGGGCAGGACTAGTGCGGCTCTACCTTCTCGCATTCTCTTGGCCATCTCACCGCCAGACTGCAGCATCGCCCTGACAGGATCGCGCCAAGCTGTACACATAGCGAAATCAACGTCCAGGAGCAGGATGTAGGAAGTTCGAGCTAAGAAGCGTGCGATGTTACGCCAAGTATTGAAAGCACGAGGGAAAGGCGACACCACAAGATGGATGTCGGCACGAGCGGCTAGAGCTGGGGATGATCGAATGAGAGAGTGCAGGGATAGAATGCTCGAGTTGAGGGACGAGAGGGAGCCATTTGGATGGAGGTATAAATGCAAAGTCACGGACAGCGGGCCTATCATGTGTCGTTGAGTTCAGGGGTCGAGATACAGAGGAGGGAAGGTGTGACATGCACCTTGGTAGCGGGCAGCAAGTTTTTCAAGGACCTGGAGGCGATTGGTGGTCACCAAAGTAGTGACGGTCACGTCGTCATCGTCGAAGGTCTGGTACCCTTTATAGAAGAATGGGATAATCTTCATAGGATGCATAGAGCTCGAGAATGCCTTCGACAGGAAAAGTGATTCGGAGAGTGCGACGGAGGTTGCGTCCAGAGAGAAGGCTTTTCGATTAAGATCACGGAGATATCCATTCGAGGAAGACGGTACCCCAGAGACAGGCCAGTGCAGCATCGAGTTTGAGGGCAGCATATTCTCGAAGGAAGGTACATGCAGTATCTCGTCAAAAGCATCTGGATATGGGTCGCTCGTGGCATGAGGTCGACCGTGTCCAACAGTGCGTCTATGGTCAAGGATTGACCACGAGAGGTCGCGAGTTCGGTCGAGGAGATCGGACAGCCTTAAAGCAGCGAGACCTGTCTGAGAGCAGTAGAACAAAGTGACCGAGGTATAGACGACAGAGACGACGACATACAAAACCACACTAGCGTGAAGGAGGCGAGTGAAGTGCACCATGGTATGTGTTTGCTTTAGGATTGGTGCTACAATTTACAGTGCGGTTTCTTGAAGTTTAGGGCAGGCTTAGGGCCATGACGTGGCTGACTTGTCCGTTCTTCCCGCTACCCCGCATCATTGCCCTAACACTGAACCTTTACACATCCTTGATACCATCGCCATGTCTGACCAGAAGCCTCAATCTATACCTGGTACCAAAGAGAAACTCGAGTCATCGCCAGAAGGGAAGGAGGAGGAGCCGCTGGAGGAGGAGGAGGAAGACACCGAGCCCAACCTACAAGCCGAGTTCGCAGCAGCCGAAGAGAAACGTCTCGCTGACCCTCGCTTCAACCCTCCCACTCCTTCTCGCTGGAAACGCGCTGGTCTTCTTGTTCTCGTCTTTGTTCTTTTCTGGGTTGCGATCTCTATGCGCAAGAGCATGAGGAATGCACCGCCAAAGGTGCTTTACGCCAACCGGTCAGTACGACCCGCTGCGTTCCATCATTTGGTTGTTTGTGCAGAGTACTGATATTGTGAATGTCTATGTAGCTATTCGAAGGACTACAAGTTTCGTCCCGCCGCTAGTCCTATTATCACCGAGCGTCTGAAAGACGGCCGGACCCGTGTCCATGGGGCTGCCCCTACGGCGAAGATGTAGGGACCAGTAGGTTATGCCGATCTTCTCTCCTTTCTGTACCCCTTGCTGAGATCCCCGCTGTTTCTCACTATTCTAGTCTGTCAGTACTTGATATCCTTGTTCATTCATTTATCGTATCTCCGTCGCACCATACTTCCACACTCATTCCTGACCTACGTTCTCTCACTCTGCACCTTGATGCCTTGGACTTAAATCCATCTTGTTGGGCTCTGTTGTCATATTGAATTTATTCAAATTTCACATCTAATACCCACTGTATGCCAGCGTTGTTCTCGGCCGGAAATAGTATGATTTCATATATTTCCTCGCTCATAGCGTTTCTTGTGAGTGCAATTTGGTTTCTGTGTCGAGCACACTGTCCCCTACTGTCCCATCACAAGGTATGATACTGTGCCGACCGCACTAGATCCTATTCAACATACATTGGCTCAAAAATACACAAGTATATACATCTACTGTTCCTTTAGTTTGCGCCACAGCGGTGTCAAGGCCTGCGCCACAGTGTTTGCCGCCACTTCCAGACTACTCCTCTCTGTCTCATCTGCAACGGTATGCAACAAACGCCTAGAGCTCCACCTATCCGGATGGAATCTCCTGTGGCTCTTCTCCACAAGCACTTTGTACTCGTTGCAAGCCATGTGCGACCTGACCGATTCGAAGAATTTCTCCACGGTCCCCCATTCCACATCCTCTACCGTCAGCGTCACAGGCGAGATCAACGTCGGCCATGGAACAGTATCGAAGGTAAGTGGCTCGGACGAAGAGAACTTCGTGGTATCGAAAGTGTCACAGACTGCCTTGTATCGCTCGAGAGCGCGCTGCGGTGTCCATGGGCCTCGAGCCCATCTCTCGTTTCGCTTCCGTGTTCTCTCCTCCTGCTCGCGTCTCTGAGTCTGTGCGTATTCTCGTTTCTCTCTCTCCAGGCGCCGCCGAATTTCTTCTTGTTCACGCTCGACAGCAGCCCTTCGCTCTGCATCTTCCCGACGCCGTTTCCGTTGACGTGCTTCCTCCTCTTCTTGTTCTCGTAATTGCCGATCTCGAGTGGCGCGCTCCCAGATGTCACGATCTTTCTCTAGCTCCGCGAGTTTTCGACGAGATTCCTCGATGGCTGCTGGGCGTACTGCAGCGTCCTCGTCCGTATCAGAGTCTTTCGCTTTGCTATCTTTTGAGTCATCCTCACTCGGTGGTTCTGGAGGCTTTCCTTGCTCGTGAGAGGTACCTGAGAGATGATAGTGCCTCAGTTAGCAACAACGACAAAGAGCGTATACGGACAAGAAAGATACACACCATCAGACGCAGGAACGTACTCTGGTATGCCATCTAGTATTTCGTCCATAAACTGGCGATTCCGGTGCTCTTTACGGGCATTGAACCGTTTGGCCATCTCGTCGGCCCGAGTTCGCTCCCGCCTCTTCATCTTTTCTGAAGCACCGCGCCTGTCTGGAGAGAGAGTCCGTTGGCGCTTGAAGCGTGGATAATCTTCTGGCTCCGGTGAACGCGAAGTCCCATGTGGCGGTGAAGAAGGCGCGCCTTTGTACGGTTTAACAGAAATTAAGTATGCTCATCAGTAGACCAAATGAAACAGACTTACCCTTTCGTTTTGTTGGACTGGCCTGAGAGGTTGATGTTGCCGGCTGAGGTTGGAACGGTGGAGGATTAACATACTCAGAAGCCCGAGCAAACCCATTTGACTGGGGCTCAGGTGCGGCCGATTGGGCGCGAAGCTTGGACATTTTCTGCTGCAATGCCCGACGCCTTTCATCGGCTGCAGCGCCGCTCTTCTGCCTCGCCGACATACTAGGCTTTGACGATGAAGGTATAGTCTTCACCTTCGAACGCGGGCGCTGAGAACTGTCCACCATCATCGCTTCGACTTCGTCCTCTTCCTCTTCCTCTGACTCACTATCACTTTCGCTTTCGCTTTCTTCTGACGTAGCCACGTCTTGTCGACGTCTTTTGGCTTCTCGGGGAGCACTCGTGGAGGGCCCAGCAACTGGTGGCGGGGAGGGGGATGCAGACAATCGACGCTTGGAGTGTAATGGGTTGGTGGTCGATGAGGCATTGGATGGGATGGTAGTAGTCTGCGAAGATTCCGACTGAACGGGCGGCTTCTGTGGCGGCTTCTTTGAGATGACGGTGAGGTGTGGAGGGGTGCGAACGAGACACTCGTATTGCGGATCAAGTTTATAGATATCCCACTGATCACGAGAGCATTCTACCAGGTCCCTAGGCGTACAAATGTTTGTTGAACATTATCTCTAGAGTATAAACGAAGGTGAAACCGATAGACGCACCCGCAGATGTCGATAATTCTAGGCCAATCTCCTTCATCCTCTACATCGGGCTCCCATTTCGCACGTGGGACAAATCGCCAGAAACTCCTGCCATCGGGTAGTGATTCAATCACGACGCGTTTGGGACGATAAAGTTCTTCGTTGAGGGATATTGAAGGGAAGCCGAGGCCTGAATCTGTGGTTGCGGCGCGTGGATCGAATGCAGCAAACGAGAGGGTAGCTGTCGGGATACGAAGCAAACGAGATGTTTGTGTTGGGTCAAGCACGCCTGGGATATTGCCAGAGATTTGCAGCACCCGGTCCTGCTGAACGGACATGTCCTGTTCTACGCCTTCGTTCATGTCCACTCGCAAGAGCAGAACGCGCCTTGGATGCGTGGGCGTGTCGCGTTTCCGTTTTGGGAGAAAGATGAACCGAGGACCGCGAGGGGAAATTATTTCCCAGCACGTGGCGGGTGTCACCGTGCACGAGTCAAGTGCCACTGCGCCACTCATTGCATGCTGTATTGTATCCCCTAACTTGCTAACCCCATACGCCAATCAGAAACCCAACGCTCTGCTAGGAATTTGTATCTGTGAGTATGCTGCACCGCCTACTCAACCTGACTCGACTTGTTCAAGACTAGAAAGCAGTCTCCTGACTCGATGAACCTCCTTGCAGTCAACTATCCCATCTTCGTCTCCTTCAACCTCGACTCGACGCGCTGGCAGTCGCCGTTTGGCACTCAAACTCTTTTGTCTCATCATGACAACATTACGAAGCTTCCAGGAAGAGATTGACAAAGTTCGCTCTGTGGAGATACAGAAGCTGAGGGCGAAGGTGGCCCAAGAGCGGGAGGAGACTGAGAAGTCTAAGGTCGTGTTCAAATCGAAGGAAGCCGAGCACAAGACGTCGAATAAGGGCGGGGAGGATGTTAATGTCTCGAACAAGGGAAAGCTGAAGTCTGATGCTAAGCTAACAGCCCCTCAGGCGAAGGAGATGGAGAAGCCTGTTGAGAGTGACACGAAGGAGGAGGCCACATCCCCTGTCGAGGACCGTAGATCAGTTGTCCTTGATACATCAGAGACGGAGGAGAAGATTCAGGTCTGTCTAATTCTCAGTCATTGGTCCCGGAATCTCATCGAGATATCTATAGAGGCTTCTCCTTTCTACGACTCCAGGCGACTATGACTCAGCCCGAGATCTTGTCGCGGGTCTATTAACATTCCGAAAAGGCGAAGCCCTGTTACGAATAGGCCCTCAACCTTCGCATGAACATCTATTTGCAGGACACGACATAGAGGCTGAAGATGGATGGTCTGGAATTTCGCGGACGACAGAAGAGGTCCACACTCTAGTCACTCAATTAACACGGGCAGTGGAGGAAGTCGGTGGCAAAGTGGGTCCTACTTGATTAAATTTTGTCTAGATGTTAAGTAGCTCCTTTATAGCTTTGCATCATGTACGATGGTCGAGAGAGCCAACATCCACGAGCATCTGTCCTTCTTCGACTACCCCCACCGAATGTCTCATTAACCCCCGAAGTACGGTGCGCCGTGGTCGGAAATGTGGACAGTGGCAAGTCTACTATGCTCGGTGTCTTGACAAGAGGTAGGCCACCCTTATGGCTGGAACTGCACCAGAGGCTGAACTCGTGCAAACAGGTGGATTAGACGATGGGAGAGGTTTGGCTAGGGTTGCTTTGTTTCGTCACAAACGTCTGGACTTACACACTCGTTGTATAAAAGTATGCGTATGCTGACCTTGAACGCGTTCTTCATAGACGAAGTCGAGACTGGTCGCACTTCTAGCGTGGGGATGGAGGTGAGCCTTCCCACATTCTGAGTGTCTACCCTTTTCTCATGCAATGTGTTGAAATGACCACGCAGATTCTCGGGTTCGATACTGCCGGAGCCCCTATTCTACCCAAGAAGATTACCGGAACCTCAGATCTGGACGTCGTTCGTAGAGAGAAACTTGGATGGGAGCAAATATCACTTCAATCAGCAAAAATAGTGACCTTCATAGATCTTGCTGGCCATGAACGGTAATAAATCTCAGGACCATGTTACCGCAAACGATGTACTGAAAAGACCCTTCCATTATTGCTCTCAGATACTTGAAGACGACCCTATATGGATTAACGTCCGGTTCTCCATCGTGTGTTGTCTTGATGGTGGGAGGCAATGCGGGGCTCATTGGCATGTCCAAAGAGCATCTAGCAATTGCGCTAGCATTGGGCGTGCCCGTAATCATCTGTATAACTAAGGTCCGTCCTTGCGCACATGTGTTCGGGTGTTCGAGATTGATCTCAGGTTATACTAGATTGATATGACCCCAGCGAATAAGCTCGCCGAAACGGTCAAGCAAGTCACCAAAATCGTAAAGAGTCCAGGATGCAAGTACGTACACTACACTTTGACGGTTGGTCTTCTTGCATTCGAACTTATGCATCGGGAAGGAAAACCCCCGTGTTCATTGATTCATTGGAGGCCGCTGTGGAGACCTCCCAAGTGTTCGCAAAGGAGCGGTCAGTACATATTCATTGTCACCATCCATGGCACGACTCATTACGCTACCATCATTGTATGTAGCCTATGTCCAATATTCCGGATATCTAATGTGACAGGGGACGGCCTCGATTTGGTGAGTCTTTCTGGACTCTGAGCGTAGGTCCACGGACTACTGAACGGTTTCTCTCGCCATTGTTTAGGTCCGAACTTTCCTCAATCTGCTACCAGCTAGCGAGGACGAGGAAAAGTTTGATGCCTCCCAGCCACTGGAGGTATGCCGTTGATATCTCCGGATCGTGTTTCACGCTGTGGCTGATCATGTTTGCGTACGCTAGTACTCTGTCACTGAAGTATGGTCCGTTCCGTACGTCGGTACGGTTGTCAATGGTATCTTGAACAGTGGTGTCATCAAGAAGGGAGACACAGTACTAGTGGGACCCGACTCGAACGGAAATTTCTTGACAACAAGCATAAGGGATATGCAAAGGAAGCGGTATGTGAGGTTGCACATATCTCAAATCTCTCGCTCTTACCCAGAACATGCTCCGGATCTGTCTTCGTTGACGCATGAAGAGCGGAGGTGTCCTCAGCTGAAGCAGGTCAAACTGTTTCCCTTGCTCTGAAGCGTGTAAAAAGAGCGGATGTGAGGAAGGGGATGGTCATTGCGCATAAATCTGAGACACCACCACGAGGTGAGACTCTTAACCCCTAGTATCTTGGCGTCGCCGACGGCGATTCTGCAGCTTTACCGCCGGAAAATGTTTGTTAACCTCTGTGTCATAAAATAGCCCACCGGCAGTTTGAAGGCACGATCTTGGTTCTGTATCACAATTCAACGTTACAGCCTAATTATCAGGTCAGCATTTATGACAGTGTTAGAGGATTTTGCTAAATTGACGACTGTTCCAGGCCATGCTTCACTGTGGCGTAAGTCGTCCTTGCTCCATGCCGTAGGTCGATGTGCACTGTTAACGCGTGTTTGATGCCTACAGGCTGTTCGACAAACCGTGCGCATAGTCTCGATAGACCATCCACAAAACCTCCTTCGAACCGGTGACCGCGCCACAGTGCATTTTGAGTTCATTTCGCGCCCTGAATTCATCAAGGTAGGCATGAAGCTTCTGTTCAGAGAAGGAAAGACAAAGGTAAAAATCTCTGCTTCGTCATCTTCAGTATACCCTTGATCTGATCTCATCTGTAGGGTCTCGGTGTCATTACCCGGTTATTGTGAGGCCCAGTAAACCTGAGGCCCGACTTTTTGTTTTGTCATTCCCACCAGCTTTGCAATCAGCAGTTCTTGCCGAGCATGGCACTCTCGACCTGTTGGCATGAAGCCACTGTTTACAGCACTATTCGTTGCCGCTGCGACCCCACCGGTAGGCGGCGTCCAACATGCTTCAGGGATTTCATTTTCCATGAGTGGTGTCACACACGGATGCTCTTGGTGACTGTTCTATTGTTGAACTTATCTGTATGTCGCCGCTTGTTGTTCTCGTTATTCATTGTATTGTATTGTTTAGAATCTGCGTAATCGCACCACCTACATTCGCACCCCCTTTCTCGGGCCGCTCTACTGAACACGTCTAATTCGTTACAGTGCGTTCCATTGGGTGAGCCGATGATGATTGACGCCTTTGTTGAGGTTCTTTTGTCGAGACTTCAATGTGAGACATCTGTTCGGATGCAAACTTTATAGGTCTACCGGCAAGGAGAGAAGGCCGTTCAGAATTGGCGATCTTTAATTGATCCACGCTTCGAGCTGCAGTGCCCTTGTTCGCCGAGAATGAGTGATTTACCTCTTCCCGGGCGGAGATAGGGGAGCCCGGAGGCAAATCAAGTTAAAAGAAGATGCATCCAATTGGTTCCGCAGGCCTGTTGGCGTCAGCGATGCGAATGCAACGGAACGCCTCCGCTGGACAATATTTGGAGTCCCTGCGAACTTTTCGAGAACGATGGACAAAGCCTTCCCAGCCTCGACGAACACGGAGCGATCTGCTCATCATGATTTAGAGTCGTCAGCCCCGGCGAAGCTACTCATGCCCTCGCTCCAACATTCTATGCTAAGGCTATGGAGTTTCGAAGGCGATACGTGGACCTAGTACAATCAACAGACAGCAACATTCCTCGAGACCCCCATTGTTCCACAACCGGCAGGCGCGACATTCGTATCCGGCTCTGCAGTCACGGTGGCTAGCTGACGCGTGCTCGATAGCGCTCCGTGATGTGCAAAATTTATGGCATTTTTTTTTCAGGCGGCGTTGCCTCTCAGGCCCCGCCACCGTGACCCTTATGATATGCTAGCACATTGTAAGTATAGTCAGCACGTAAGTACCTCGCGGTGAGGGTCTGCCCCCAGCGGCGTTTTGTGAAATCCCGGCGGGTCTTCTGTCCCTCAATGAATGGGAGCATTTGACATTGAGATAACAGCACTGCGATCATCTCCTGACCACCTAGTTAATTCATTAGATCGTGCTCGACGGTGTTACTGAGCCGGTAGATTGCCTCGCAACAACTTCACCGGAGTTCATAAACGTCGAACTGGGATTGGCCTGCGCCGAGTCGCTGAGTGCAAATTGTTAGCCGATGATCGCACGATTGGCGGTGTCATGGTTAAACAGTCAGCGGACGACATACGACGAAAGCGGAGTGTGAACGGCGGCGACTGGCTGTTCAGGCTGCCTTACTAGGATGATCGTTCATCACACCAGGAGAGGAGGTGGAGACCGTTTTTCTTCCTATACAAGATAAGGAACACATAGCTCCCGATTGGCATGTGCACTTTGTATAGCGGCTCTTCGTCCCGTCGTACTTAAAGTATCTGATGTCGGACGCGGCCGGGTTTGACAGCTGAATGGAAGCACTAGGACATGTTTGGGCTTGAGACGTTTTACGCCACGCCTGAGGGACCAAGAGACAGGATTAGCATAACGTATGATATCATTCATTAAGATGCCGTACTACGTTCCCTTCCACTGTGAGCCACACTCGCCCAACATGGAGTTATACGGCTCGGTAAAAGCTGTAAAGACAACCATATGATCAAGCATCCAATCCATGAAAACTCCTTCCCAGAACAATCCGAATAGGGGTCTATAAGCGGCCAGAGGAAATACGACAAAAATACGTGGGATAGCATTGACTTCAGACTAACAAAACAGACACAATAGCGAAACTGTACAGTGGGAAAGCAATAGCAAGGAATATTGATGGATGGCGGTGCGAGACAAAGACGTTCGATGGTCCGTAGTCCAATTATGTAACAAGAAAGGTAGCAATACAACGAGGATTCAGTGCTGTGCATTGGAGACGGAAGGCATGCAGGGGAAAGTAAATGAAAGAAATCATCTAGAGTTCATCGTGAGGAATTGAAAGATCGCAGAAGGACCTCATCAGATGGATCACGTCTCTGGTGTCTGCCGTTCTGCAATTGTTCCAAGGGAGCGAGAGAAACGCTGCGATGAGCAGGAGCGGGGGGAAGCGGGGGGAAGCGAAAATCGGTTTGCGTTTGAGGATATCCCCAGTACACAGGTGGCGAGGCGTTGCGAGAATGATGAGCGGAAGCAGAACTGTCGATGTATGGAGAGGAATATGCTGCGTAGGCGGTTATGGTTGCAGAAGGATATGGATGATGAACGAAAGTGGCTTCTTCGGGGGAGTTGCGCCTGTTCATCCGAGAAGAGTTTTCCCGAAGCCTGCTGGCTCGAGCACAGATGTACCACCCATCGGGAACCTTGATAGTGCGCAATAGAGGGATGTCGTCGACGGTATACAACCCATCAAGGGTCTCGGGAGTGTAGTAGGCGTCTGCCGCAGAGCAAGATCAGAGAGAACGAGACACCGTTCTCGAAGGTAAGTACTAACTCAGATGAAGCTTCCCCCTGCAGTGGAAGGCAGGCACAGGGCTATTGACGTACACCGAGTACGTTTGCTTGATCATGCGTTCCCCAGGACGGCGTGGAATAATTGGTGGCACGCTCATCGGGTCTTCTTGGTACCTTTTCGAAAACATCTGCATGAGCAAGTGGCAGGAAGTGTAATGAATGAAGACCGAACCTGATCGCTTTGGTTCGTTCGACCATAATCGATTTTGGGGCGTCGTCCTTCTCATGGTAATACAGGAAGTCCTAAAAGGGAGAAAGAGACAGGTAAGCGCCACTGGACAAGAGCGCTCTCGTCAGTAGAAAGTCGACTTGCATCTTTGGCACGACTGGCCGCCCAGGAGCGGCCTTCGGTGAAGCGCTCGATGGCATGGTCCGTGGACTCGGATATGCTGCCCGTACGCTCCTGCCAGACGTAGACGTCTCCGGGAGCGAGAGCCATCCTCTCCTCACTGTCGAGCCGCCTGGTGATCATAGGCAACATGCCAGAGAGGACGGCGTGGAACAAGATGTCTGCATCACGAGCGTTGCGAATGCGAATGTGGCGGTGTGTGGGTTGCTGCATGGCAGGGGCGAGAAGGGTGGAGCGGGGATGTGACAGGATGGCGAGACAAGAGGGGGGCGGGGAGAGGAGACTGGGGTTATAAAGAGTCTGGACAGATTAGACGAGGCGTTCTGTGATGGGCGTCACGGACTGGCAAATGAAAACGAAGGATCCGATAGCCGAGCGCTGTCTGCGTCCAGAGTCTGACGAGGACAAGGGGTGGCCGGCCGGGCGGAAGGTTCGGGGGATGGAATCAAAAGGTAGTTTCTCTAACTGCACGCCATCGTTAACCTTATCTCACCCTTTCCATTTTATTGTTTCCCTTTCCTGGCCTTTACCCCGACGACAACCCCCTTGGCGGCTCACCTCGTCCCTTGCCTTTCCTCGCGCATATCGTCCGCATTCGGTTTCTCCCATACTCGCGCCTGACATCACACCCCCGTAGGTAATAGACTCTGCAAACGCACGGGCCCTCAGCTTCTCTCTATTTTAGGCCCTTCCGCTTTGAGCTTCTGAACCGGTCTAGACCTCGTTTGGTAAGCACGCTTTCAGCACCAGATTCAAAGCCGTGCCGCCGTTTCCCTCCAGTGGCGCAGACTCTTCCAAGAGATCAGGAATCAAGAGATGCTGGGAGTCGAGGAAGGACAGGGTCCACCTGAACAAACGCAGCCGGCGGGCCTCAGGCCGCCACATCGGCGGACCGCCAAATGCCGCTCTTCACGGAGCAAGCGGAAGCTGAATTCTCGTCCGCGAAACCCCGACGTTCCAGTTACCACGCTTGACGCTGTTCCTTGCAGTGACACGAATTCCTCTGTCGTCCTCTTAGGCCGTGTTTTTCCTGTGTCCTCCAAAGTCTGCTCCCGTCTTCGACATTAAACTCTCTCGATCGCACATTCCATGTCAATCGCCATCGACCCGTCGTATCATCGCTCACTTTTCCATCAGAATCCCACTGCTAGCCCCAGATCCCTACTACGACCTATGCAAGCCCATCCAGCCGTACTGCCGGTGTTCGAAGATCCCGCCGTGCTTTGATTGGTTTACAGAAGGGTATCCCTATACTCCTACCCTAGGGAGCGCTGTGCTGGATGTTCCCGTATTACTACCATGAAACCCAAGGCGCCACCCCATACTGGCCGGGGCCTATTCGTCTATAAGCTATTGGCGTAATGATGAGAATCAAGATGCATGTGAACACAGGAAATTCGCTCTTCTCAGAGCTCTCCGTCTTAATGAATACGGGGACTGGTCGCCCTACACACAATCCCCTGGACAAGACTCTCACACCGCTTCCATACAACCTGTTTGCATCCGTTCTCCCAGGTTTACGGAACCATCCTTGCCGTGGATCCAAAGGTGGGTTCCAAGATCGCTGTTACGCGCTATACGTTAGCTATTATCCGGCAGCTAACATTTAAGTTAACCGCGCGCCACGTCTAAATAAGCGACAGGTATTCTTCATCGCCGAGATTGCCTTCTCAAACGAAGTGAGCCCTAGCCGTCTTTCGACGGCTTTCTATATCAGTGCGCTCTTCTCGTACCGCTATGACCCGGCTGATGACGGAAATCTATTGTCTTGGTAGGCCTGTGTTGCCCCTCTCATTATGGATTGTCCGAATCCGAATTCGTGAGGGATCTTATGTGTGTGTTGGCGCATACACTGCGCATACTCACCTCGACCTTTACATAGCATCTGGGCATGAAATCCAAGGGACCGCATGCGCTCATACTTCTGATGTTCCGTCTTCTTCAGGCAACCAGTCATACCCACACTCCCATGGTCCCACACAAATAGCCCTTCTCGTACGACAACAGCACATTGGCCCATCTCACAGATGCCAGCACGTCTCGCCGAGGAGAAATTCCCGGTGAGCTCGAATCCCAGGTCATCGGCTATCCCAGCATCCATCGTTTCACCGTTAACCTTCACGAACATCTTACATGGAGCTCATTTCAATCACGTTTGGGATCGCTACGCTCTCCACTATCTCTACCGTTGATGGGTCTCGGCCACAGATTACGCGGATTGTTAAGCCCCGCAGTAGATGCTGGAATGTCAAGAACTAAAATTCCTAAGTTTATCATACTTTGTTCCGACTCAAACACATCCCCTCAATCAGTGTTTTGATTATATCTGCGTCTTTGATCATCTCTACTTCCTGCTGTGATCCACGTTGCCGAAAACATCGCCCGCTAGATTTACCGACTCGAGGGCTGAATCATCTTCTATCTGTCCGCGGGAGTCAACTATTAAAGTGTCGACCATCTGTAGATGGCGCAGCACACGTTTACACAGGTCAGCATCGCCTCTCGGAGCAGCCGTGCCACAACATCGTGCGGAGCAGAGACAGAAAACCGAGGACGGCCGACTTTGTTATTCGGTTTGGTAATAAGAGTTGTCCGCATTGGGCTTGAGAGTTGATGATCTTGTGCGAGGGTACCCACAGCCACGGAGACTTATTACCGTGTGTCGAGCTTCCCTCCGCGGACTGCACACCAGTTCTTTCGATCCGAATACAGAAATGATATTCAACGCATATGAATGCTACGCGTTTGGAATTTGGGGAACGTGCTTTTGGGTATTGTCCGCGGGGAAGAATGAATGATCGTCAAAATGTCGGACATCCTAGAAGCCCTTGCCGTATCCGCCCTTCTCGTAGAACGCCTCCATGCGCTTCACGATGTTAGAAAGAGCATCCAGCCACCTGTTCAGCTCGATGTCGGTCTTGGCCTCAGAAGCCTCCGGGCCGCCGGCGGGGTCCGCCCTCAACTTAGTGAAGAAGTCGGCACGGTATGGGCATGCCTTGAGCGCGACCTGCAACGTAAAGATGTATGTGAGACCCTGGACCCCTGCGAAGCCAGGCGAGGGCGGGTGGCACGTTTGGGCATACATGGAAGAAAACGTACCGCAAAGATACCCTTGACGACAAAGTTATGGAACTTCTTCAAGGTCACGTCGTAAGACTTGCCAAACGCGGTCGTCAGCTCCTCCGACTTGTTCGCCTGGATATTCTGGAGTGCGATGCAAGTAAAGGACAGGCCGCGCAAGAGCCACATCAGACCCTCGGTCGCCGTACGCTTCTTCTCCCCTTTCTCGTTCTCTACAAGCTTCTCGAGCGTGTTCGAGACTGTAGGCGTGGCATTATAACGTGCGCGGACTTTCTACAGAGTGCGGCCGCGATGAGATTGATTGGTGGGACAGAAGACCCACAAATAAGTTGCTCTCACCGCGATGTTGCCTTTCAGGTCCGTCTGGACGACGGAGAAGGCCGTAGAACCGAGCAAGTCTAGACTGAAAGTGTCAGAGGGACAGTAAGCTCAAGCTAAGGAAGTGACGCACCAAACAACCCAACAAGGCCCTCCGAGGCCTCCAAGAATGCGACAGTGTCTACACCGTCGTCAGTGATGGGCACTTCAGCGAAGTTCTGCAAGTATATGAGCTATAGGGGCTCTACTATGGTTTTAGAACATAGCTACCTTGACGGATTCGAGATAGGGTGCCATAGCGAGGTGTCTATGATAAATGTCCAAATGTCGTTAGTCAAAGTCGTAGTGCTGGTAGATGAAGCTTTGAAGAGAGTCGTTACACGAGGCGAGGTCGTTCACTTCCGGTCGGTTCTCTTTATAGAATCGATCTCATCTTATCTATGCCGATTCATCTTAGATCGCAATCGGGCTCAAGAGTTACTGTAGAATTGCTGTAGAACGTAGCCCTCCACACTCGTCCACCAGAAGCTTGTACGCTCACCAAGACAAGTTTCCTTCGAAGTTCTCGTGAGTGGGGTTTTTTTTGGTTCAGTGGTGAACGGACTGCTAGAAATTCTCCACAGAGCCTCAATTTCCGACCCTAAGCACCACGGTGACGATGCCTCACGCCGATTCCGCGTCTCTACCTTCATATATCCGAACAAGGACTGAATTCTGGATATATGTGTACGATCAACTAGCTTCTCTTCTTGAGGGCCAAAGGGCATGGGTAGGCCTGTGTCAACAGATCTTATGACACGCATTATTCATGACACGCGCGCCCAGGTGACGAACCTCGCCAACGCCTCATCTTTGATCTACAACGCCTTGCTTGCCTTTCCTGAATTTGGCGACGGTCCTTCAGCCGTAAACTGGTGTGGTGAGAGGAACAGCCATTCATTGCTCTCTTCACACGTTCCTTCCCCCCTTCTCTACCACCACGACTGACTCTCCTATCACGCCAGGATTTTATTTGCACTCGTCGTTGTTTCCCCCTTCGATCCACTCCATACGTCCGAATCCCGGGCGAATCTCTCCAGACCGACTCCTTCTTGGACCATTCTGCGGGAAACCCGCATGTCAGTTCATCAACGTCGCTCCAGGAAAGGCTCGTGGCGTCTGCGCAGACGCCTATACTTCTCAGTCGACCAAGCTGGTTCCCGACGTTCATGCCTACCCGGGCCATATAGCATGCGACGGCGATACGAACAGCGAAATTGTGTGCTCCCTCTTGTTGAAGATGGACGACAAGGAGGTGGCGCTTGGTGTTTTGGATCTAGACTGCTTGGCGAAGAATGGGTTCACTGAAGAGGACAAGGCAGGGTTGGAGAAAATCGTGGAACTAGTTGTGCGCTCCTGTGACTGGTGATACTACCAATATACAATCCCTTTATTCCTGTCCTCCACGACGTGACTAACTTTGCCTGGAAGGCGCTCAAAACTGATCTCTGGGAGAAGGACTGGACGAAAGGTCTGTGGCGAAGTGCCCCGGTGGCATCGGGACGGTTCAGTAAAATTTACATGTAGCAACTCTGTCGCGGTCATTGCTCCTTAGCCTTCCATGCCAAATAGTCCTCATGTGCCTGCTGTTGCTTCTTCCAATCCTTCTGTAACGTCTTCCCTCTGCTCTTGCTAAGCTCCTTACCCTCCCCATCCGTAAGTGGTACCCCAGCGTCATTCCAGCTCCCGTACGTTCCTTCAGGGACATTAGGGGGCTTGAACATCTCACTCGGAGGAACACGGCCTTTCTCCAACTTCTGTATACGTTTCTGGCGCTCCGCCTCTTGGTCGGCAGCCTTCTTTGCTGCCTTTGCCTCGAGCAGAGCACGCTTCTCATCTCGAGCCTTGATGAGCTCTGCCGGAGATACGAGCTTGACAAGGGCCTTCCCATCTACAACGAAGAAGTCAGCATGACGTTGTGGTCTGGTGGCAGTTCGCTTCGTCAGACTCACCTTCTTGGTCGTCGAGGGCCACACCAAGCGGAATCAAGTCAGCGTCGCGAAGCTTGTCGCATAACGCTAGGATGTCTTTTGCACCTCCGTCTCCCTTTGCGATGGCCAACTGACGGACCCCGTCGCGGAATGCGGACAAGGTTCGCAAGTACGGCATGAGGACTTCCTCTCGCTGTGACGGTATAGTTAGTTCACCCTACAGCCCCCGAGTTCCAAAGATGAAAGTGGCGGCGTCTCACATTCACACCTTCCTGCCCTTCCTGTACTTCCTGGCCCCACCCAATTTCAGATGTCTCTCCCTCGCCCAAGCCGAACATACGAAGCATGCTTCCTATCCACCGTGCTATCCGCTCGATTACGCCGATGTTCATGTCCTTCCCGCGAGTGCTGATGTAGACGTTCGTTCGGGAGACAAGGTCCCGAAGAACATCCAGAGCAGCAGGCGTGCTGTACGAATCACTCAACGCGGATCTGAAAGCGTCTTGAGCCTTGTGGAGACTGAATCGAAAAGATTAACGGTGTCGATCAGGATAATACTAAAGGAGCTACGCACGCTTGAGTCAGATCTTGTTCGGCGTCATTAAATCGATGTTTGCCGTCTAGAGCAGGTCCATCCGCGTGCGCTTGACTGATGAGGGCCTTTACGGTCGTGAAGAAGTTCTGTGGGATGCCGTCAGTGGTTTGAAAAGGCCAAATGGTTTCCTCCGTGGGCTGATGTCCTGTCAGATGAGGACACGGGACACTCACATTCAATGTTAGCTCAATATTACGGACTTCCCCTGTCATGAGAGACTCTGAGAAATCTATCTTCGCATTCCAAAGCTGGGTCAGGAAGGAGAGTCGCAACTGTCGCGCCGTGTAACGTTGCAAGATCTCCTGATGTATTGAAGCCCGGGCATTTCATTAGCGGTGCCACTCGTGTTGAAGAAACGAAGTTGTGCTCACGTCAATGGTGATAAAGTTCTTGAGAGACTTGCTCATCTTCAAACCTTCGATATGCAGATGCCCGGTGTGGAGGAAATAGTTCACCCAGGCTTCGCATTCGTGGTAGGCCTAGACATGAACAAAAACTGGTCAATCCTCGGCGTCGGCGGTGGCGTGAGTGTGGCGTACCTCCGATTGGGCCATTTCGTTATCGTGGTGAGGGAACGCAAGGTCGATGCCACCAGAGTGGATGTCCATCTTGTCGCCAAAGATGGCGGAAGCCATCACAGAACATTCGATGTGCCAACCTGGTCGTCCTTTGCCCCACGGCGAGTCCCAAGACGGCTCTCCTGGCTTTGACGCTTTCCACAGTGCGAAGTCGGCTGCTGATCGACGGCCTCCGGTCGACGACAATGAGCCTACGAGGGCAGACGTCATGTAAATATGACGCCCATGACCACGAGTGGATGGACATACCTTCGCCCTCTTCCAGAAGTTCTCGATTTCCCTTACTCCACGGCTCCAGCTTTGCGTAAAAGTGTTTCTTGCCTTGATCGAATTTGTGTGTGTCAAAGTACACGCTCCCATCGACGGCATAGCCATAACCATTTCTGACTATCTGCTCAACATATGTCACAATTTCTGGGACATACTCGGTTACGCGAGTCAGAGTGTCGGGTTGTCTAACCCGCAGTCGAGCCATGTCGTCGAAGAATTTTTGTTCCCAGAAGGCCGCGAGGGATCGCGATATGGAGGGGTCCGTGACCGTTGCGCCGTACTGTTTGGCCTTTAGGATCAGTGGCAGAATACAAATATAGCCACACTAACCTGACTGTCCAGGGAGAGCGCAAGGACATCTGCGGCCTCATCAATTAGCTGATGGGCAATATCCGGGGTGTCAAAGCCGTTGTCTAGCATGCCCCTTGCGACTTCGAGAGCGGAGCGCGCACGCGTCTATGGTCCTAAATGAGTTCATGTATATCTTATAGAGTTGAACACTTACGGCAGCAGTGAAATGCATGTCAAATTTTTCGTCTCTTTTCAGGCAATCGGCCTTCCATGTGGCGTCTTGCATTTTGGAGGCCAACGATGCCCAAGAGTCCCATTCTTGTCCCTCCCCCGGAATATCTGCCGGGGTGAGTCCTTTGGAGACTTTTGAGCGGACATAGGATTGCCACGATGATAAAATCGTCGCAAGCAGCTCTGGTGAAACTGTTTGAGTCTCCGTTCGAAAGCGCTGGACCAAGAAGTTCTGCCGTGCTCTAAGAATAATCTAGATGTTTATCCAGTGAGCAAAAAGCGCTCAGATCGGGTTCAGTACGGAATCACCTTGTCATCGATGTCGGTGATATTCATGACGAAGTGAACATCGTAACCGAAGTAATCGGTCATGATCCTACGCAGAATATCCTGGGTGACATAGTTCCTATCAAAAAGTCAGGATCAACTACATGATCGTGATGGGCCCAGCACCTAGCTCACCTCGCGTGGCCCATGTGTGACGCATCATAGACGGTAGGGCCACAGTTGTACCACTTGACGCGGTTACCTTCGCTGGGAACAAACTCATTCTATCGAAAAGAGCCTTACTGAGATTGGATCGCCATGTCGTGAACGTGAACAAGCACCTTTGTCTTTGTCAACGAGTTGTAAACGGTCAGTACGGGAATCTCCGCTCCACTAGTGGGAGGGTTCCAGGAAGGCTGAGAAGCCATTGTTCTCGACAAGAGCTGTCTAGGCACTCGAATAGGGTGGTATGTAAGTGTTCTAGAAAGACAAAGGTTCGAGGTGCGAGCAAAGACAAGATGAATACGGCCACAGAGCATAGGCCAGCGAATGCACTTGATGGCAAGAATTCAAAATCTGTGAACATGACTTGGACGGCTGAGACACGTGGTCAACGTGATGGAACCGAGGCTCTGGCCGCCAAGAGGACAACAATAGATTACAAATTGGACAACGCAAGGACAACGTATCGCCTATTATCACTCGCTCCTTTCTGACTTCCATGACACTTGCTGCAAACCATACCGTACACACAACACTCAAAGGCACACATGCGAAACGCGTGCTCATCAGCTCATCGATCTCAATCTTGCGACAGCGTTCTCGGGAGATATAGTGCGACGACTTACGGACTCGAGGCTCTTCACCACTCACACAGAGATCCAGATGAAAGCATTTCCATGCAATCTGAGATGTGTCTCGTAACGTTCTCTGTGCGGTCTGGGACAATTGAAACGCTTGCACCGTATACACACGCGCTCGTCATCCCATCAGAATAGTGACATTGGAAGCTGGTATTTACGGTATATAACCTCACACTCAGGCTCCACGGTGTGCCGTTTTCTTCCTGCTGAACTGTAAGCATTGGTGTAGGTCTTTTTATAATGAATGCTTCGTCTCGTTCCACGCAATTATACTGATGTGATACGATTGCTCAGTGAACACTCCAGTCCACACCCCAATCCGTTGCCCCTACTCATCCCTATGACAAGTTAGTCTGGACCGTTCCTGCCCTCCTTGATCATCCGCGGCGTTCCATCTTCAAGAACAGAAGGCAAAAGACAGTGCTCGTGACAATTTCGTCAATCTATCAAGACTACCCTCTCGCAGCCCTTACGAGACTTCGTGCGGTGCCGAACTTGCCATACCCGCAGACATTGTAACCGACTCGCGTTCTCCGTGGCGCACTTCTATTCTCATGATACCTATGAGATAATGTATGCTCCTCTGTATATTAGTTCCTTTCTGACCTACCAATCCGCGGCGTAGTCTCACTTGAAGTCGGCAGAGGTTCTACCGTCGCGCACACTCTCGGGCATCCCTCAACTTCGCTCTCGGTCACGGTTTTTCTAATTGTCTACACCGATCCCCTGCAGCCTATGGGTCCCCGTCTCATGCATCCAATCTCGTGAGATACGACCCTTTCTCAAGCATTTAGGCGATATCATTCTTCTGGAGTCCGTCCGCAATGTGACGCAGCAAGGTGTCTCACCGCCTCAAGGACATGGATGCCAAATCATCTTCTCTTCTTCAATGAAACCCCATAGCTTCGTACGCGGTGCATTTACCATCTTTAGTGTATAGATCGTACTGCGGAGACTTCGTTTAACATCACTTCTGCGCACGGCCTCTTTACGCCCGTCATAGCTTCCAATATCGACACCAAAAGGTGCACGCTTGACACCCCCTAATACTCAAAATTAGTATGTCGTTCCTCCGGGCCTGTAGATCTTTATCCTATCACAGCATGCCGTTAGTGCCGACATCCTTTTGCTCCAGATTCTCTGCCTTCTCCAGCGATGTTAGCCAAAAACTATAGGCCCCTGTTCTTCCCGGCTGATGAGCGGCGAGCTTCATGCGATGCTTGTGAGGACGTAGATGATGAACCTAGGATAGAAGCACATGCAACTCGCCGGTTCTAAAGCCGCTTATGGTCTCCGTCCAGTCCAGAGAGCATCTGAACTGCTGACCGAAAAAAAGTAATCGAGAGCTTCTCAGAACGTTTTATAAGGTCACCGTCGCCTCGTGCACATACTTCAATAGCTTCTTACTATGGGTCGCGGGGCTCGATCTCCTTTTTTCTATTCCCATAGCCGGTCTGAGTTAAGGCAAACCGAATGTGTGGTGCAAGTTGAACCGTGTATTCTCCTTCACTCGAAAGAAACCAAAACGGGCCTCGTGCGGATGCCGTCGCAAGGCCCGTCGCTAAATTTACGTTTTCTCGCCACCGCCCGTCTGGCCCGATTTAGTTATTAGACGTATAAGGTTTAATTCTCGGACCCATTACTCTTTGCGACCGCTTCTCGCTTATTTACAGTACGGATTCGTGTCTGCTTCGAGGTGGCTGTCAAAGCACATTGTTCCTCGGGGCTACCGAAAATGTACCCAGAACGGCAGTTAGCAGTCCATCATCAGAGATGATCCCGCAAGAGGCGCCCTTCCCTGCTTATCTCTGACGTCCACGACGGCTCGAGCGAACTATATAAACCCGTTCTTCCCAGTGTCGCCTGGTTCTGCATCACCGCCCTTGACTCTCTTCTCTTCCTATGCAGCGACCTACGTGCACCGAAGTGAGGATCAAGACTGTCGCTGACGCACACGTGATTTTCTACGCCGTCAGTCTGGGGATTTTGCCCATGGTCAATCGGAGGTTGGACAGCGAGGAGCGTAGGAATTTGAAGGCTGGGGATGTCTATTGTTGGGAGGAACGAGGACCTGATGCGGAAGCTACCGGGGTACGTTCTTTTTGGTGCTTTTCTTCTACCCTCCATTGTCTAATCCCCACTTCTGGACCGGCACACCCGCGACTGCAGCTTGGGATTGAACGTTGGACAGATGGTATCCCATTCACGCTCCTCGTTACCCCACACTCACGTAACTGACTGACCAGCTCTTGAACAGGTATACGATGGGGTCCGAGCCGAGTGCGCGATGCAAGCAATGTTCTCGATTTCTTGCATCTGGTTCTTCCTGACCGAGGTGCTTTATGTCTTGCAGGAGTTTCTGTTCTATCACGAGAAAGACAATTCTGACATGGATTTGAACCTCATTGGGCCGTAGGTCTTGATTATCGAGCTCCACAGTGCATCGTCATTTATACGTTTCCAGGTTCAACCTCCAACTGCCGCCAGGAGCGTACTACGGGAGACGAGAGAAGCTCATAAAGCAGACTTATTCTGTTTTTATCGACGCGGGTGAGAGGCGCAGGAAATGGCACATGAGTGAGTCCTTCCCCCCATCGATCTCTTAACGTCTGCTGGACCTTGGTCTGGATGGACTGTAGTCGGCTACTTCACACAAGAGACCGCCAATACGCTGTACTCCGTGAGAGACTTCACCCACCTCGCCCACCTCGAAGTTCCACCAGGAAGCTTCCGAAGCGCGCGCTCAGCAAAAGGCCGTCCTCGCACCATCGACCACATGCTCCACACCGTTGATTCAGGAAGACACACGCCATCGCCAAAACGCGGCTCCCCCTCCTCCTCACCATACGCCTTCACACACCGACGTTCTCCAATCCCCATACGACCGTCGACCGGCTCACCATCTTCACACAACGATTCGCGATATCGTAGCAACGCCGTCGACCATAATTCAGGCCTACATCTAGACCCTCTCGAAATAGTTGCGCCGCAACCGTCTCAGCCACTATCCTACGAATCACCGTATGCGGAGGCGGACCTCGGCTGGCTGCAGTGCGTCCCTCCAGCGAGCAATGCGAGCATGGCTGAGGTCGACCTCGCACCTCTCGCCTTCCTGGAAAACTCACACATCCCAAAACGTCACCCAGTTGATGACCGCGCTCTAAGGGCTTTCTCGCTTTCTCCTTGATAATGCCGGCATCGCTGTGGCCCAATGACTGAGACGCGTGACCGTCGTCAGTTATTGCTTTTGTCCCTTTATTTTTATATGCATACGTACGTGCTGCATGAATATTCCCCATTCCCGCCCCTTTTGTCAGTGTTTCGCACGTACGGTGGCCGATTATATCCCCTTGTTGTACGAAGTGTTGCGTGGGTTTGGAAGACATCGCCGCTGTGAACATTGTTGTATCTTTGGGAGCGACTGATAAAAGACGATGCAGTTCTAATCGAACTTTACCGACTGGGCTGTACATGTTTGCAACCTTAAAAGTCTCGTGCTTGCTAGATGTACCATCATTTGTAGCCTGCTACCTGTCTTCAACGCCGGCGGTGCCATCTGAGGACGCGAAAGGGAGCCGAGAAACGAATGCACTGGAAGCGAGCGCCCAATGACGTAGTCCGGGGGGGATGTGAACGGGAGACGGATACAAATCTGATTCCGGTCACAGGTGCATGAATTACAATATTAATGCCGTCGGGACCCTCAACGTTGACCTCGTGTTTGGCGGGCGGGATGGTGCTGTTTGAGGAGCGTCGAGGAAGCGAGGAAAATATAGTTCGGGCTCCATACGAACCTTAGTCAGAGTTGCTTTAGGGTGTATTACTTGACGACTCATCGGAAAGTGATCTGAGATGCGATTTATAGTGCGCACTCCAGACTCTGAGAGACCGGGGGGAAAGGAGATGAAGGACGTAAAGGAGAGTGCGATGAACGGTGTTAACGGTAGTTCAAAGCGAAAGAAGGGTTCCGATCTGTGCGTCATTATTGTAAAGATAGGGAAGATAGGCAGAGTTATTTATTTAAGTGAGAAAATTCGGCGAGGAGAGAGGGGAGAGGAGAGCGGCGGCGAAGAGGGCGATGGGCGCGAAAAGCGAGATTAGGTTGGGCGAAGGCCGGGAAAGGCCCAAGGGGCTGGGTGATAGAGTTGATGGGCGGAAGATCGCGAAGGAATCACAGCCACGAATCTTGGTTAGGACGAGACGCCGACTGGCCGGGTCGTGAGCAAGGGCAGATGACACGAATTGTCCGGCTTTAGGCGAATAATTATGTACATCGGCTTTCCATACTCGTTCTCTCCATCCATGGTCGCCTCCCCGGCTTCCTTCTCGACCACCACCTCCGCCTGCTCGCATGCAGCACCAACAGCAGCAGCAGCAGCCGACCCTCACAAACGTACGCATCCGCTCAGTAGACGACGTACACCGCATCTTCTTCGCCGTTCATAGCGGTATCTTGGACATCATCACCCGCAGACTCGATGTAAGGGAGCGTCAAGCGCTGGACAGTGGCCACCTCTATGTCTTCGAGGACCGTGGCCAGCACGCAGTTACAGGCATCGGAATCGAGCGCTTCACAGAAGGGAGACATTGGTCTGCCTCCCGCGTCAGAGATGCAAGTATCATCCGGAACAGTGCTCTTCATTTCGCGCCTTCTCACGTACGCATCAACAGGAGTTTTTGTTCTATTACGAGAAGTGGAAACCTCCTCGAAATCAATCCTCAGGCGCTCGAGCCGGGAAGTGCGTTGTTCCTACTCAGCCTTCGTCCTTGCCGTAACTGAGCGCTCCTTCACGTGCTTGTTTGTATCTATCCCAGCCAAGCTGAAGATATGCCGCCTCCTCGCGGATGGGAGCAGATGGTGAAGCAGACGTATACTGCTTGGATGACTTTAGGGTCAGTACGACGCAGATTCCATATGATCTACTATTGGCGCCAGTCGGACGTAGACAGGATGCGGAACGTAGAGGAAATCGACGCCCTCAGGATGCTGAGTATACCACCGGGGATATTTCGCACTTCACGCACGTCCAATCGAGGTCGGGGGCGCAGGGCCACCAACGCAAGCCCTGACGCGCAGCCTCAAGAACATCAACCACCAAGACAGTCCACCTCGACCGAACTACAGGCCTCCACATCCACTACTGCTTCCACGAACCCGCAGTATTCTGACCTTCACATCCCGAACCCTACTCCCCCTGCCACCCAACACGTCCATCACTCCGCGCCACAGAACGACTCGTACTCCATGTCTCACTATACCCCAGAATACAACTATGCGTCTTCTGCTCCACCAATAGCCTACCCACCCACATCGCAGCCATCGCGCCATCTTCAACCGCCTGGGTACGAACAGCAGAGTGGGATTGCGGATGAATCTATCTATGTCTTCTCTACTCCACAGGCCCAGACCTCGGAACAACACCTCTCGCCCCCTCCGCCCGCGCCGAATATAACTTACAATTGGTCCCATGCTTCTCCTCATGACCATATCCCACGCCCCGCCTATTCCCAAAACGAGTCCCTCTACGTCTCGCCCGACAACGACTCTCCGCTGCCAATCCCTATGTCCTACGTCACCGCCCATATGTCTCCACCATCTTCCGGTTCATCACTTTCTTCGCCACATTCACATCCTGCCAGCGAATACTCTGGCCCGTCCTCTTCACCATACGTCACCTCGCTCTCCGGAGCACAGATCCCTCCAAATCACTATTCCAACTCGATGTATACTTCTCATAGCGATATCCACATGTCACAGCAGAACGGATCCGCACTACCTCGCTCGCCGTTCGCGATACCGGACTCGACCCAGTACGAACCGTTCTTCTCCAGTCCGACCGAACAACAACCCGACGTTCAATTTCCCATGGGGAACACCGCGGAGAACGGTCCAGAGAACCCCAACGGCGTTGGCCTCGCTCCTATGTCTGCCTTGCGCAGGTTCCATCCGTATCGTCGTGATCCAACCGACGACCAACTGCTATCTGTTCTCGGCAATCGTCGAATCTGACCCTGACCCGCCCTCTTTCTCCCCGGCGGGCTTGCTTCTTGGATGTTTGCACCTTCCGTTATCCTTGGCCCCTTTCTCGTCCTCGTCCATCACTTTGCTTATTTGCGTATTTCCCGCGTACCCCTCCTTCGTTCTTCATCTCATCTTTCGCACTGCTTCACTTCTTCTCATCTGGCTTCCCCCTCGCTCCGTGCTTTGCCCTCACTTTGCTCGATACCACCGCCCACATCGCCCTTGTTCTCGCTGTCCTATAATTTCTGTTCTGCTCTGCTTTCTGGTCTTCCCTTCGTAACTTCTTCCCTTCCTCTGGCATCTCACTATATTCCTCTTCCTTTCTTCACTTACCTTTACGGAAGGTTGTACGAGCTCACATGTGTTACATTACCACCGCGGCAGCATCGGACAGTCTGGCGTTATTGTTCTTCAGTTACTTTTTCTTTCCACTTCCTCTCCAACCTTCGTTTTCTTGGGAGAACACTTCCGTGTTCGAAAATGAACGCAGATCTGGATTGACTTTCTTGGAGTTGAAGCTCGCAGTTTGGAAAGAGCCTGTCCTTGTTTGACGCGGCCCATATCAAGCTTTTTGAGTTTCTGGTTTTGACTTAGGCGTAGTGATAGATGGTGTTGTTTACGTTTGTTAGAAAGGCTCTAAGGCCAAACAGATCATGATTGGTTTGATTGACGTGTAACTGTACAGAATAGGTGGCATGCAATGACAGCGAGATAGACGAGGAGGGAGAAGCAACAGGGGATGGAGGTGCGCTCAGCGCTCAAACAATGGGCGAGGCCATACTAGTGTACTGGAAGATGCATATGGAGGGGAGGAGATATTGTGGGAGAGCGGAGGTGAAGAACATGGTAATAAGTCGGATAATAGAAGAGTCCAGAGCGTTTCCCAATGCGACGGCGTTTATCACCATTCGAATTCGCTATATATATCAATGAACGGTGAGCGTGGAGGGCGGGCAATAATCAAAGGAAGAGGGCTTACCCGCTGCATTTGCCAAAGAGATAATCCTTGCCATTGACGTGGATCATGCCCTCCTTGAGGACACACTTCCACTTGTTCTTGACGCGTGCGACCTGTAAGATCGGAACCGACGGTCATCATCAATGCCAGGACAGGAAAGGGTCATCATTGATGTCATCCTTACCTTATCATACGTGCAAAAGACGATATCCGTCTCGCCCAACCCACCCTCCTCCGGATCTTCGGACCCCTCGGAGTCCGAGTCATCCAGGTCACTGTTGATGGCCTCATCATCCGCTTGCGCAGCTGGCTGTTGCTCTGGCTGAGGCAGATGCGAACGACTGGGCGCATACTGCTGGGGAGGTGAGGATCCCGAATCCGAGCCACTGGAAGACGGCCCGTCAACCTGGGGAATCCTAGCGGTAGTAGCTTGCTGAGCCGTCGCGGCGGGGGGCTGCTGGTACGAATTCGGCGTGACACTGTATGGACGCGGTGCCGATGTCCCTGGTCGTCCTGCCTGGGAGCCGTAAGGTTGTTGTTGAATGGGCTGCTGAGCGGTGGGTGGAGGCCTCAAGGGAGGGCCAGGGAGAGTAGGTACGGTATAGTGGGGCATGGGCTGGTGATAGTTCAAGATATGCCTGCTGTCAACAGGTTCCGACTTGACCATGGTCGCCTGGGGTGGAGGTGGAGGAGGCGGTGGCGCATATGGGTTATGCATGGAATAGACAGGGTGTTGTTGTTGTGAATGGATCGGGTGCGGTGGGTACGATGCTGGCGGAGGTGGAGGGGCGGGTACTTCGAATTCAGCGACATGGGATGCGATGACTTTATTCTCCCATTTCTGCACAATTCCACGAATTTATTATGCGTCAAAGGTAAGTGTCTTGCTGAGTCATGGCACACAGGTAATTCAGAATAAAAGGGAAAATGGGCACTTACTTGCTGGAGATCGGCCAGGACTTCCTCGCTAACGCCGTATTCGTCAAAATCCGACTTTATAGAGGATATAACGTCGTCGATGACGGCGCGGTAAATGGCAGGCTCAATTTGCGCGGGGACACATATCACACGTCACTGCGATGGAACTACTAGGGACAGACTGGCACGGGCGAGCAGCTCACCACAATTTTATTGGACATGATTGCGAATCTATGCGACTACGACTGCGCTCGAGTGGTCGGACGCTTGGGACGACGAGCACGACGGCGGAGACGACGAGGAGACGGTCAAGAGGAACCCACGACGCTTATATACATTGTTCCGATTCCTTGGAGACCTTCGCTTTCCCACGCACAGACCTCTCGCCGGACAGCGCTGACGTTCCCACGCTCGGTAAGGTACGTTCTGTGGCGTCACTGTGGCCTCTCTGCGACTTTGACCTCAAAGTTGCTTGCTGTCCCTAATCTACCTGCATGAGCGCATATCACGAAATATACTACGGAAGCCTTCGAAGCAAGTCAAAAGTACACACGGAATTATGGATATATGCACATGAACCACAACCGTCGTTACTGTATGGACGAGGGGTGACGATGAGAATGTGTAAGAGCTACATGCAGCCGTATGATGAAATACTTAATGTACGATAAATATGACCCTTTCAGTGTGGTAGGGCTGGTAAAATGTAAGGAATCTGGTTGTCATAGGTTGAGTGAACATAGTTGTAGCCCTCCACAAGATCATCTCTTCTCATTGACAACTCGAGAGTCGGCAGACCAAGTCTCCTCTGCACTATGCTTCGGTGTCCTTGTCCTCTTTCAACCACTTCGCCTCGTGCTCACCAATCGTTTTCCGGTGAACAAAGTGTTGGAAGACCGCAATCGTGCAGCATGAAAGAGCCGCCCATGCGATGAGTATGCCAAAGTTGAGTCCCACTGCAGTGAAAGCAGAATAAGCAGTCAAAACCACACAACAGACGTAACTGAGCGCGGGGCTTACGTTGATTCCTCGTGCCAAAAACGATGGCGCGGACGGCTCTTGAAACGTTCCAGAAGGGGAAAGCGTAACCGTATCTGAAAACGCCGGGAAGAAGTTGAAGTGGGAAGAAGGCTACCGAGACGTTGGCTAAAGAAAAGTAGCGTCAGTGAGTTACATGGCTCAGCTCAGGACGTCGGAGCATGAGACGTACAGATGATCCAGAGAATCAAAAAGAACGGAATGAACCGGATGGTGAGGATGGTCAACATGGCTTCCACGGCGAGCCCCAGGGCGCACATTCCCACCCATGAAAGCATCCAGTAAATCACGAAACCAGAGTGACCGAATCTAATCCAATAGTCAGTATCATGTTTTATACCTTCAAGCCACCGTCAGATACTCACACTCTGTCGAATGGCACTTGGAATGCCAAACTCAACATGGAGAAGAATGCCTACGAAGGTGATGTTAGCACGAGCGACACCCGAGAAACAAAAACCTGTCGCACGCACAGAGAGATAGAAGTACATGGTGATAGGGACCGCAATACGAGTTAGGACGAGGGAGCGCGTTGTGAGACGATATTCAAGCCCCGTCGCTTGTCGAGCGCCATAGTGTTGTAACTAAGCATACTGAGTCAGTCGTAGTCTCGAGATTGAACTGTCAGTTGTACTTACAGAGATGACAAACTGTGAACAGAGATCAGTCAGGAGACACAGCGGAGCAAGGAGCAAGAAGACTACTGACAGAGACGATGAGCAGATAGATAAGGCCGACGAAGTCGACTGCTGTGGCCACAGGGATGTCAAATGGTCTAGTATTGTAGATAGTGTATCCAGCGGGATTGGTGATGACTCCAGGGGAATTTGCTAGTAGCCTGGTGGCGTTGATGCTGCTAGATGATGCAAGTCGCTGTCCATACTGCGTGGCAAAGTTGGCCGCGAATGAATCCATTAAACCCGATACCTAAGGATCACGGTCAATCACAGTTCAAATATGAAGGCATTAAGTGAGGAAATCGACGTACTATTGGCGAAATGACTGAGCGGCTGAGTGGGTTTAGAGATGAGCGTCAGTGCAATGTTCAAGACAGCCACGAAGTGAGACGTACTATGCGTTCTCATTTCGAGCCTCCTCAGTGAATACGGTAATAGCAAGTGAACCATTATATGATGAATCCGCGGAAGAAGCGGCGGCGTTCAGCTTGTCTGTGGCACCAGCATTGACTACATACAGCGTGAGCGGAAGGTACGCTAAACGAAGTCTGAAAGAAACGTACTGGACACGATGACAAATGCGTGCTCCTGGACTACCAGGTCAATCAAATTTTCTGTGTCGTTGGAGATGTCTGATGCCGACTGCACGATCCATGTCATGGTATCTACTGGCCCATTTGTGGAGTTCAATGCTTGTGTAAAATATTGACCAATTTCACCCCCATCATAATCCTGCGTACCCATCGCGATATCATAGATTAAGCAAATGTGATGAAGGAAATCGAAGAAGGGCTTCACGCACAATGATCCATCCCTTCACATTATGCACATATTTAGTGGTATTCCACAGGGCTCCCCAATATATCGACATCAACGCTATAAAAGTCACGAACACATCAGTAACTCGGACATCGTCCAGCCCCCACTCCGGTCGAGTGCAGGAGAGGGAAGAAGGGAGAGAAAGTTACCAAGAATAACAAAAATGATGAGGAAACTGGTCATGGCAAGGATGATAAAGTAGAGTCTGCGCGCTTTCCCCATAACCGCATGATTCGAGAAGAACGACTCTGAAAACCAAGGTACCCCATCCCTCTCCGGATACCGCGACTTCTCCGTCTCGATCTTCTGCTCAGACATTGCACCAGGGGCCTCCGAGACTGTGTAATCTGACGCAGAGCTTCGTTGTCCCGATTGATAAACCATTAGAGCGCGCAGGCGGGTTCCTCGAATAGTATGTGTCGTAGGCTCGTTTCCAAAGATGATACAAGCGAAAGCTCGGTGACGGGTGACAAGGAGTGGTAGAATGTAGGGAACAGGAAACCAAGGGGGAACAGAGAGCGAGAAGCCTGAACGGATGCACGACCCTTATAAACCGAACTCCGGCCATCGAAATACTAATATGAAATTGCCTGACTGGCATCGAAATATATTTGAATAGAGGGATCAGGCTTTGTAATGAATAACTTGAACAAGCCAGAGCACGGAAGAACGAAGATGCATAAGCCGCAGGTCCACGCAAGACATTCGAGCAACGAACATGGCGCACCGCTAGCAACCGTTCGACGTGGGTCACTCGCAGGGCCATTACTAGGAACGAGGTGGGCTCAACATATTGCAAAAGATGGCTCCGTCGAGATAGCTGACATTCAAAGAGCCATGATGTCGCAGAGCACAAGTTCGCGAACATGTGAGCGTAGAAAGATAATCGAGCGAAAGTAGTCTCGTCTGTTGCGGCGGACACGGAGAAGGTCATCAAGATGATTATTTTGGACTCCGGGGGTTTCCCCGGTTGGAACCGTTATGACGCGGGGCGGGTGGCCGGTGTTCAAAAGGTCGACGGAACATTTACGCCAAGAGAACTATTCCGCGTGCCTTGATAAACAGACGAGCCGTAAGCGCGTAAGCACATTTCTTTTGTATGACCTATTCCGGAGTTGGATGTATTGGCGTCGACGCGAACAGGTGCTTCAAAATTTCACTGTGGTCATTCATCGCGAATGACTATAGTCAAAGACGCCAAAAGCCGGCTCGATAGTGATGGAGACAACCGACACTACTGGTCAGTACTTATCTTGGCAGTTCGCTAGTAAGTGATGACAGAGAAACACTCAGTAGTAAGGCATGCACTCTCGCCGGGGAGACGTGAAGCCAGTCTGTGGCATATACACTGAGATTACACGTGCGAAAGCGAGTTGTTGAGATACAAGAAGGATACAGAATTTACAACGACGAAGAAGGCACCCTGGCAATACACCTCACCGATCTGGTCCATCCTGAGGGGTTCACTGAGCGCAACGCGAGCATCATGATGTTTCGTAGCACATAAAAGGGAAGAGAAGACGGGGACCGCGATTGAAAAATAGCATATGTCAGGAAATCAGAATGGAGCAGAGCGCAGGCTGTTCATTTGAACAGAAATCATGGCCGTCTAGGAGGATTCTGCGCGTCGCGTCGTCGCATACGTTTGCTCACTGTCTTCCTATTTTGAGCAGCGTCGATGGCTGCCTCGATTTCCTCCTTCTCGACGGGGCGTTGGCAGACAGGACACCGTCCAGAGACATCGGACAGCCATGGGTCAAGACAGGTTTTCTGACCAAGCAGCCAGATTTGTCAGAGCCGCTGGGCAAGCACTCGAGATGGAACTTAGAGATCACTCACATGGAACACATGCCCGCAGACCAGTAGCCTCAGGGGCTGAGGACCATCACCTGCATCTTCCAGCCTCAATTCCGCTTGTATTCCATCGTTCCCGTCGTCTTCCAGATACATATCACCTTCGATGTCAATGGTCGTCGTCTCATTATCTGGCCCGCTCGCACCAGCCGGCGTATCCTGTGTGCCTGTTGACTCCCTTATTGGAGTCGCAGGCTGTTCGACCGCAATCTCTTGAGTACCCTTGCCATTACCTCCGTCAGCATCCATTTTGGAGTCCCTCACGCCCTCAGCACCAGGCGCCCTCTTTGGTTCATCGAAGTCCATGAGGCAAATGGCGCAAGACGCCCTGTTGCCCTCAAGTCTCACAAACGGATGGTCCCCCTTCTCCCAGTTATCCTCCCAGACCGTCGGCTTCACGACCTCGCCAGCCCCATCCCTAGATCTCTTACTTTTCTCGTCTCCAGCCTCCTTCCCTCCATTAGCGCCCGTGTCCTTGGATGAGCGCTTCTTAATCGGAAAGAATTTGAAGCGTCGTTTGGGCGTTTTTAGAAGCTGCGAGGGCTTGGGTGGATAGGAAAATGCTTCGGGCGGGAAGGCGATGGGTTTTGAAGGCTCGTCTGGAGGTGGCGGAATGTAGTACACAAGAGGGATCATATCGACCACGCTTTTTGGGAGTTTTCCGATTTCCGGTTTGATGCTCTGGGCCGGATGACGTCCCAGACACAAAAGCACGATGCTTCCAAGTAGCTGATGATGAGCAAAAGGAAGTATCGTGAGAACTCCTGTTCATGCAATAAACAATAAAAAGAATTGGGCTTACATAGAGTAATGGCCAGACCACGAAGACGAGGAGGGCGAGAAGAAGGAACTCGATGATGATGATGTATACGATGCAGAGAAGGCCGAACGTAAGCCACCAGATATGTGGAGCGCCAAGTCTACATTTGTTGGTGTCTCTGTACTCAAAGACGTGTGCCAGAATGAACCAGACTATTGTGTAAAGATACCCGACCGCCGACCACCTGCCAACATAACAAAATATTGTATTAAAGGTTGGATTGATGATCACACAACACAATACAAATAAACGTACCCCGCGTAGCCCTTCTCCTCTGCGTCGTTAGGTTCGGTCCTCTCTGTTGTAGTTGCAGTTCTGCGAGGCGGAGCAGGCATAGGCAGTGTATTAGGGTTTGCTACGCCTGTTATGCCAGCCTGTGCTCGTTCAAGGTCGGCTGTCCGGCTAGCAGACAAAAACGGAGCAAATCCCAAGAAAAGATGACATCCATCAGACCCACAGCCGCCACGCACATCCTTGAATGGAAAGAGACGCACCTAACGGTCCTCGCATTCTTTCTCCGCTGCATCTTCCACTTCCAAGTCGCCATGAAGACGTCCAGAACAAGACGGGGAACCCAGAGTATGTCCCAAATCGCCAGGGGTTTGCCGCATACGTCCCATTCAGTCTGATCTGTCGATGTAGGGCTAGTACGGTGCTGGGCGTAGGCGAGCAACGTGATAATGGCGATGATCTATAAATCAAGCCCAACGGGAAGGTCAACGGTGTCTTTTAGACGGGTTTGGAACATGAGGCGCACTTCAGAGAAATCGATGGTCAAGGCGAGCACGAAGCTAACGAGTTGCCTCCTGGTCTTGTTATCCCTCCCAAAACCAAAGAAGAGAAGGACGCGGCGTAGAGGACTGACAGAGGTCGGTCTTCTTGGTGGGGGAATATACGGTCGTGGTTGAGACACCGGGCGTGTATTCTGTTCTACATCATCGGCAGATGGAGTGGCTGCATCGCTGTTCTCACTGGGTGGTTGCACTTCGTTAGAAGTTAAGTGCGGTGAATGCGCTTCTAGCGCCTCTGGAGGCATCGTCTCCGAGACATGGAGTGGTTCTGGTAATGCCACAGGAGATGCGGGTTCGCCAGTGTGTGGGATCCTGACGATATTGCTGCCCGGAGAGGATGTCACAAAGGCGGGTAGCTCATGTTGCGACGACCGAGGTATCGATGCCATGAAGATGAAGGTAGGGTGCCAACGCGGTCACCGTGTACAAGACGCGAGGGCAATTGTATATGGGACGTTGTTATATATGGCTTGGAAGCTGAAGCTGTGCAGCGCTAGTGGCCACCAGCTGAACTCGAAGTGACTAGGAGAACGATAGATCCAAGTGAGGTGTACGATATGTATGAAACCGAGCGTAAGAGTCCAAGACCTCTGAATCACCGACTTTCCTTACAACCTGGACGTGAGACGGGTGAGGGGATGGAGGAACAGAGCAAGGTTGAAGGGAGAGTGGCGCTCGAGAACGACAAATCCGTCGTGTCACGGAGGCAGACGCCCAGAGCTGCACCGCCGGGCCAGGAACGAACCGGGGCCAGGGCTCGAGCCAGCGCTAAATCAGTGGCCACACCAGGTGCCACTCGAGGGTTTGTTGGACCCTTTGCCTCGTCTCACGCGCAATGGGCCAAACAGCTCATTTTTTCGGGTCGCGAAAAAATCACATTGCTCAGGAATCATAGGATGTAGTATATGTAATACAAATTTTCCATCTATCGTCAATGGTCAAGATGTGAATATAATGCGGTTCTCTGATTCTGGTTTCACCACAGGCAGTCCTTCCCGAAAACCTACAACTATAGCCACCCGTGCTCGCTTCAATTTGTCCTCAGTATCATCCTCCATTCTTTCCGCCTCCGGGTCATTTTCCCCTCGCAGGACGGACATGATCAGCGCTGTATCGGTCATTGCACCCTCCGCATCCACCAACGTCTCAGCAACCGCGAGACCCACGTACCCATCAAACCCCTGTCCAAGAAAGTCCACCATAGCCACGGTATGATATGCCTTCGGGCCATTCATGCTACCTTCAATCAACTCTTGTCCCGAGTCGAGTGTAGCGCGAAGAACTCTATTGCCATTGGGCTGGCGCAAGTCGACAAGCAGTGACATTCCGGACAGTTGCAGGAATCGACCATCTGTGCGAGCATCTGAGACAGAATTTTCCAATGCGGTGATGAGCGCCGCGTTCGGCAGGCGCTTCACGACGAAGGCGTTGTCGAAGGGAACGATATCTAGGTAATGTCGATCCACACAGCTTCAGCATGTGGGACCACCAGAAACATAAGTCCAGGAATTGTAGTACTTGCCTATGACATCTCTAACGGTACAAACCCCTTCTGGGATGACCCTGTTGCACCGTATACTTCCAGAGTTGACGAACGCGATATCGGTGTCGTAGTATGCTCTCACTGCGTCGGCGAGCATGCTATCTAGGTTGGTCTGAAGCTACGATTATGCGCTGAGCGTCCATCCAAAGGTGTTGCGGTGTAGAATAGTCGAGCATCGGATATGGAGGCTATTCTTTCCTGGACGGTGCAAAGGATGTCATTGATGCCCTCGTCCTCGGAATGGTCTCTTGCGCGCAAAGGATCCCGCTCGTGATGCACTGCCATTTGTGAGAATATGAGAAGGCTGGTCGCATAAGGCATTGTATTTGATAGAAGGACGCACCCCTAACTTTTCGGACTCTACATCTATCCGATCCACGGTCGATTTCTAGACGCACAATGCTGTACGTTCGAAAATCTGTCCCAGACTTGACGATGCGAATGTCGCCTTCAGCGTCATCGTTCACGACCATTATGTTGGCACCATGAACGACGATATCATGGTCATGACCTCCCAGGATAAGATCCACACTGGAACGACAAGCTTCAGAGACCTTGATGTCTTCTTCGAGACGCATGTGAGTGATTGCAACGACTAGGTCGGCGCCTTCGCGTTCTCGCAGTATGTGGGCCACCTCCTGAGCGGTCTGCACAGGGTCCACAATGGCTGTTCCGCGCGGTAAGTGTTGACAGTTTGACGGCCAGTCACTGAACATGTAATCGCAATCAGTATTACAAGGACAAAATACTCGAGTAAAGTACGATAGAAGACCATCGAACCTTCCTGCCAGTCGAAAGAAGCCGATTCGTACCCTTTGTGCTCCCTGACGAGATATTTGTTCGCTGACGCTAAAAGGCCTCCAGACGGAGAGTACGCGTTCGACAATACCCACGGGAAGTTGCACTCTTCCGACAGCTCCTTCAAACGTGCTTCACCAAAGTCGAAGTCTGTAATATCGCATAGGTTATTCCGACGCGTAGCGGAGTTCACCAGCTACAGGCATCGGTTACAACGCGCACCATGGTTCCCGTAACACGCAATGTCAATCCCCAGATGATTGAGAACTGGAATCATATGTTCGCCTTTGAGTACGCTGCCTTCCAACGAAGGCCCCAATGCGTCGCCGCTGAAGACCGCTAAACCATAGGTAGCCTCGGAGCTGTGCATGGCACGGGAAAACCTGGAGAGGACCTTGGGTTGATTGATGTGGTACTATGACCATAAACTCGTTATCTACTGAGCATTGATGCAGTGAGGGGCGAAGGACCTACGACATCATTGAAGTGGTAGAATACAATCTCCTGGTCGACTTCAAAATCATCGCTGGAGGATCATGTATTTTCCATCTAGTTCAAGGGTGTACCGGTTGAGGGTAAATAGTCAGAGAAAGTTTTGGTCCACAGACGCCGATGGTTACGAAGGAGTGTTTTTGACGAAAAACGTCGCGGAGCCGCCAGTTTCATGACTCGCCATCCTCCTTACTTATGGTGGCTAGTCCAGAGCAAGAGGTCTGATATTCACAAAGCAGCCATCAGATATCTCTTCAAGCTAGTATTCGGAATGTTTGCGAAAATGTCGAAAGATCAGTGCGCGTAGGGTTGACTTGGAGGATGGTGTTCAGTAGAGACTCATCCAATTTCGCCATACAACCATCCGGCGGCTTTACCGGACCGCTCAAAGTTTAGTTGAGCGCCTGCTTTTCCTCGCCACATCTTCTTGACGCATGCTAGGCGACGGTCTCAAAAAAACTCTATAGCAGCTACAACCATGGAATCTTTGGTGGAATGGTTCACCGCTCATGGCGGAACATACGACGATGCCGCGATGCAACTAACTGACTTGGAGGGACACGGTCGAGCTGCTGTCGCGTTGCGTGACATACCCGTATGCTTTCAGCCTTCAGTCAATCCTAGGATATGGGTGCGCTTGATTACTGACCATCTATTTTATTTTATAATCCTGTAGGAGGGGCATACACTGTTCACGCTTCCGAGGAATTTGACGCTTTCAACGAGAACCTCTGCCCTCCCAGGCTTGCTTGGTCTCGACGAATGGAAGCAGCATGAACTACATATTGGCTGGGCGGGTCTCATACTCTGTATGATGTGGGAAGAGGCACAAGGCGCGTCCTCGAGGTGGTCTACGTATCTTGGTACGCCAATGATCCATCTTAATTTTGAAGAGGGCGCAAATTTTGATGACGGTACCCGCAGCCTCGTTACCCAGCTCGTTCGACACCCCCATGTTCTGGAGCCCAGATGACCTCGAGGAGCTGAAAGGAACATCTGTGGTAGGTCTGTCATTACCTTACTTTCTTGCTGTTTAGGGTATTGACATCATGCAGACAAAATAGGCAGAGACGGTGCGGAGGAGGATTACCGTTCCAAAGTCGTACCTACTCTCCAGGTACAAAGCGAGGTCATTCTGCGCCCTCATACTTTACTGAGGATATTCCCTTTATGTTTTCCAGAGCAGACCGGACCTATTCGCCCCTGAAGCCCTATCTCGTCATTATTCGCTCGAAAACTATCATCTTATGGGAAGCCGGATACTTTCTCGTTCTTTCTCCGTTGAAAGATGGGAGGGCCATGCAGCAGACAAGCAAGAAGATTCCGCTTCTAGCCCCGTCGCCGACACTGGTAGAGACGAAGCCATGGACGTAGATACTGAAGCTGTTACCGCTACAGCACCCGAAGCCGAAGATGGCGTGGATGAACCCTCATTTGTTGTTGACGATGAGAACGACAGCGACGATGAGGATGAGGAGGACCCGGCCAATGTTGCGATGGTGCCCATGGCCGACATGCTGAACGCACGTTACAGGAGCGAGAACGTACGACATGTCTCCCATCTCAACGTTCAGCACTTTTATCTGACTCTCTTTTGGTTACTTTCAGGCAAAACTGTTTTATGAGACTGAAGACCTCCGAATGATCACCACAAAACCTATCCTCAAGGGAGAACAGATTGTAAACAAACCTACATCTAGGGTTTAAACCAGTAGCTGATGCGATCTCATCTAGTTCAACACGTACGGTGACCCTCCAAACTCTGATCTTCTACGCCGGTATGGACATGTCGATCTCGTCCCACTACCGAATGGCGACATAGGAAATCCAGCCGACATTGTGGAACTTCGGGGCGACCTTGCGTTCTTCAGCATTTCCGAACGTCACAAGCAGCCCGTCGAGTCCAGTGCTGAACGTGTTGACTGGTGGCTAGAGGAAGGTGGTGAAGAGTGCGTATTCCTTTTTCGTGCTCTGCACGCTCAACTTTCCTCAAACTAATGCTCCCCATCTGCTCTCAGTGTCTTCATCTTGGAGACAAATCACGAGCTTCCTGATGAATTAGTGCCCTTCTGCAGGCTACTTCTGCAGTCTCAGTCAGAATGGGAGAAAACAAAGTCGAAAAGCAAGCTACCTAAAGCGAAGGTTGACGAGTCCATTCTGTCTACCATAGCTAATGCTCTCGAGAGACGGTTGGCTGAGTACCCTACCTCTGTTGAGGTAACGGAATTTTTGATCGTATCGTCCGCCTCCACCTCACTGACATCTTTTGTTGTGGTTGCAGGAGGATCAAAAACTCCTGACCGAGCCATTATCTCTGAACAGAAAACACGCTGTCATTGTGCGACTGGGAGAGAAGCGGATATTGCATGGGACACTATCGACCGTCAAGGAGAAACTGAAGGAGATGTCTGGCGGACAAGGCAAGAAGAAGAGGAAGGCGGAGGACGATCATGAAAAGGGCAGAAGCAAGCGGAGAGGTGCCGGATCGCGGTGAACAGACGTTTGCCCCGTACATATTTGACCAAGTACAGCCTACTGGCGTTCTGAAACATTGTTCGATATGTGTTCAAATCCAGTCCACTACGTACAGCATTCCGCAAAACTCGAGATATTTCTCCTTTGCTTCTTGGCACTGATACTGTGCTTGCTCCCAATTGCTCCTTGCTGCGATTTGCGAAAGTAAGAATTGGCATGACCGGGCGAGTGTACGTGGTGGAGCCGAGGAGTGCCGTGCGAGGGCGTTACGCAGCAACCAAGGCCTGATGCAGTGCAAAGCTTGCTGCTCTTAGTCGTTCGAATCTGATCAAAAGCCCAATTCTTGATTCAGTTTCCCCTTATAAACCAGCATATCAGAAGCGACGCAAGCTCGTTCCGCACACTCCATCTTCTCTACACTTCTCACCAAACATGACATCCCCGAGCCCCCCAGGATACGATGTCGGCGATGAGCACAATACTTCGAGCAGCGTTACCCCTGTTGGTGTACCGTCCAACCCAGCAGGTATTCCACTGCCGATGTCTCCACCCCCGCAGGAACCCCAGCATGCCTCTCTAGATCCATTCGATAACCCGACTCACGCTACAACGACATCTCCCCAATCTTCGACAGCGGAAGCGACATACGCGCCTCCTTCAGGCCCACCTCCCACCGCTCAGAATAGTGGGCCTACGCAACAAGGGCAGGGCACCCCTCAGCTGCCTCAGCGACCACAGGAGAATCATGATGATGAGTTTGCGGATCCCAGAATCGCTACGCTTCATGCTATGTTCCCAGACTTTGATGCTGAGTTTTTGTATGTTTCCTATACCTTGCCTGCCCCCTTGCTCGATCACACACAAGGAGTAGTTACTGACATGACGTCCTTGCCTTCGCTTTGAATGATGATAGACAGAATGTGTTGGACTCGGTCGGGGGAGATCAGGATCGGGCGGTGGATGCTTTGCTGGGTATGACGGACCCAGACTACGTCCCTACCGAAAGACCACAAGAACCTGAAACTGCAAGACCTGTGAGTGCTTTCCCTCACTCTGCGCCACAGCATCGAGCTAAGCGCTACCATTCCATGATACCTCCATTCTTAGCGTTCTCAAACAGAGCTGGATGAGGACTTCGCTCGTCAACTGATGCTCGAGGAGGAGGATATGCATCGGCGGGAACAGATGCGGCAGCAGAGCCGTGCACAACATGGTCAGACAGACCAGTACGGATGGGCTCCTCAAACAGGATCGAGGCAACAGCAGCAGTCTCCTAATCAGGGTGCGCCGGGGATGCAGAGGGATACAATGACGGATGTGCAGGAGCAGTTTAACAAGATTGCGGAATGTGTGTTTTCGTCTTGATCCACGGGCCTCCACAATTACGTTGCTGACAATATATATATTCTATAGCCGGGAAGCGCACATTCACCTCCATTGTCTCCAAGGTGAAGGCGAAGGTACAGGAGTTCGACCAGTCGAGGTCCGTCCCTCTTTTCTCAAGTTCTCGTTAGTTGCTCATGCTAGTGCTATAGAAACAACGGACAAGGGTCCTCTCAGACTGGTACTCAGCCCTCATGGGGCGCACCTTCCGGCGGATCCCCATCAGGTCTCGACCGCCACTCGCAACAGGCGTACTACGCCTCCAACAACGCGCCCTACGAGAGCAGGCGTTCTACGTCTAATGACGTGAATACTTACTCCAACATTCCGCCCAGTACCCACAGTAAGTGGATTCATTCTTAAAGCCACTGATCAGATGAAACCAATCGTTGACACTGTCGTGCGGTTTGCAAGGCTCATCAATGCCCACACCCACATCACCCCCTGCGAATGCTCAACCTGCCCCTGCGCATAACGTCACAGGATATGATCTCGTCGACACGGGTAGCACTCCACCACCTCCGACCACCAACTCTGGCAATATCGACACAGGTGCGTTTTCTGCCGATCATATTCTACGGTAATTCGACTGCTAATGTTGCGGATCCCGTTCGTGTTCACAGGGAGAATAGGTCTCTTGCCCAAACGTCCCGTTTCCCTCGTGGGTCGCGATGCACCTCCGGCCGTTGAACGAAGCGCTTCGCGCGACGACGAGTCAGAGGAATTGGAGTACATGGAGAATCCTTTCGAAGAGAGCTCCAATGTTCGCCGTTAACTCGACATCATCCTCCATTTCACCGTTATGAAGTGTTCTGTTCTCGCTGTAAAGACTTATGAACGATTTATGAGGATGTTTCACGTTGTAGGTAGGAAGTGAAATTATGCCCTTTTCTGCGGACTATATTACCGGACTGTTGTACTATGATCCTTACTATGTTTATGTTCTCGCGTATACGGTTGTTTGTTCGGACGTGTAGAAGGAATTTACTGCTTGCTGTTGTATTAAATACACGACCATTATTGGGATGCGAAGTGCTGTTATGCAGAACATCAGGTATGGTACGCCATCCAAAGGTAAGCAGAGTGGATCACTCATGGCGAGCGGTCGAGTTCAAATGAGCCCTGATAGGCGCAGAAGGTCAAGCGTGCCCGGAATGCGAATCAGAAAAGAGGTGCAGTGAGTGTACTGTTGACCGCTGTGAGATTGGCGCCCTGGAACTCGCTTGCTCTTCCGACCATAAGCAACCCAACTGTGTTTTCGAGAAGTTAGATCTTCGAACCGTACCTTCTCAACAATACTGGGGATCTGGGAGTGAGAACTCACCGATGAGACCGAACAACCCGAGGATACTACCGAAGACTTCGACGATGAGAATCTTGACGAAAAGAGCAGGGTCGGCGGCGTCGGCGAGAGCAGCGGTCGAACCAGTGATTCCTACAGAGACACCGCAGAGGAGGTTACAGATGCCGACTGTCAGACCGCCCCAGAAAAGAGCGTAGCCTATATCACGGTGAAGACAATGTTTGCGTTAGCTTAGCGACGGAGATGGGAGGGCTGTGTAGGATGCGGACCAGTGAAGTAGTTCTCGCGAGTGTAGAGGAGCTCTTCGGAAATGGCTTCAAGTTTTGCGGAGTACACGATGCCCATGATCTAATCCAAACTTGCAATTAGGTGTGACTGATAATAATGAGGCCATTGCACGCACCACTCCATAGATGGCCACGACTTCGCAGAAAATGACACTGCATAGGAGGAGGCATCTCATCAACGACGGTCCCTCTAGGATGTGACCATCCACTGCACAACGCACCTAATCAAATTCTTCGTACGTATCCGAGGTGCCCTCACACCTCCACCAAGAATTGAAGCTCCCGTCACGAAGATACCCCTGCAAGTCCGTCCCCGACCGTCCTTTTAGCCCCAGAACACATGTCATACAGATGAGAGGACGTACCATCCGGCACCAAGCACACTGAACCCAATACACAACCCGATACCAGTGCTCGCCCACGCATAAGGACTTGACTCCTCCAAGAACCTTCCGACATTGAATGCTTCTCCAGAGTCTGACGTAGCGCGTCGGAGCCAACCTTGAGTCCTACACCGAAGCGTGGACGAGTGATATGAGACGTACCAGTGAAGAGAAGGTATAGTGCGATCACGAGGACGACGAATGAAGGGAGCCCGAAGGCGTAGTAGTTGAAGAGGCCCATGTTGTGGCCGTAAGCATACGAATAGGAACGGGCGAGGAGGCGCAGGCGCGGACGGCGATGTTTGTGGCATTGTTTGGCCGAGTGGCGCGTCGTCAGTCGCGTCGGAGGCGCGAGCTCGAGTTGGACGAACAACGCTAAATGTACCACCTTCTGAAAGGCCTTCACGAGTATCTGACCAGGTAAGTCGTCTGCATGTGTTGTAATATTTCTTGCTTAGAACGATGGTAGGAAAGAAGAGTTCTCGGTCATCATCATTGGCTTGGACGGTGCTGGCAAAACGGTTCGTTCCCCTCGTCCATCCCTCTCGAATACTTGGTAAACTCGACTCCACTCAGACTTTGCTGGAGAAGATCAAGACCATCTACAACGATGTTCCAGGTCTTGACCCGGACAAGATAGCACCCACTGTTGGCCAGAACAGTAAGACCTACCCCACCACCTAGCTGCATGATCTGACTGTGGCACCCAGTGGGGAAGATCTCGCTTCCTTCAACCATCTTACAATTCTGGGATCTTGGAGGCCAACGAGGCATTCGGTCTATATGGTCAAAATACTACGATGATTGCCATGCTGTGGTGTATGTCATTGACGCAGAGGACCGAGAGAGGCTCGGTGAAGGCTGGGAAGTATTCGGTATGTATTCTCGCTCTGACTTCACGCTCCAATCACGCTACGTATCCCCTGCATTCGCTTACGCTTACGCTTCCTTATTCCATGCTGACATTGTGCAAGGACTCTAAGATAACGTGCTCTCAGCGCCCCAAATCCTCGGCGTCCCCCTCCTGTTACTCGCCAACAAGCAAGACAGTCCACAAAGCCTCTCCGTAGAAGAAATCCGACACGACTACGAGGACTGGCACCAGCGCAAGATGGAGAGTGCGCGTAGGACGTATGGTGAGGAGAACGACATGGAGCAGAGAAGGGAGAGGATTGCTAGTCTGGACGTCATGGGGGTCTCAGCACTGGAGGGGTATGCACTATTGCTTCTTGGAGCACTGTTCCTTTCTGTGCTGAACGCTCTCATTTCTTAGGACGGGAGTGAGGGCTGCAGTCGATTGGCTGTTCTTGAGAGTGCAGAATAGTAGACGGAGGTGCGTCCGCTCTCAAATCACGCCGGTCTTGGTTTACTGACTGTCTGTGCAGAGACGAATCATAGGAGATTTCTCGTACAACTTTGCCCTATTTTTTATATTGATGCAACAATATTCATTCTCTTTCTGACTGTATCTAATGACCAGATCTATCACTTCACACCAACAGCCTCACCATCGAGTCCCGACCCGTCATGCACTCACGTCAACCGATCCTCGACCCTCCATGACCACTAACCTCGCCATTCACCTTTATTCTGGACATAATATCGGACTCTCCCGCCATACAAATCGCACTAGACATTACCGACATGCTTGAAAGGGGAGCGCTGGGCTACATTATCGTCTCTATTGAGGCTTGCTCTGCGAGGATGGGCGGTTTCCGGATCGACGATGTTGTGGTTTCTTTTGTCCGACGATTGCATCGTCTTGCTATGTTCTCGGGTTCTCAGCAGATCATATCATGATTTTGTTCGGTGCCTCTTTGTAGAGAAGTCGAAGAGTTGCTTGCTTTATTCGAGAGCCATGATGTCGGCAGCTTTCATTGCTCTGAGTTACTTAGTGGTGAGTACTGGTACCGCACGGATCAGAAGAGGTCAAGATCACATCTCGGATCGGGTCCCTTGCTATTGAAGGCTATATAAGTACATTGTCGTATGTTGGGGACTTCAAAGCAGAGAGAGCATTACTGCTGCTCGAGTTCGTCACGGCCCCGAGCCGACGAGGCTCGAGGTCCGAGTCCGCGGCGACAACAGTGGTCAGTGAATGGTCCAATACGGTAAAAATAAGAGTCCATAAAGCCTTAGGGGAGGTCACATATGGGTCGTAGTACATGTAGATACCTCAAAATATGATATCTGACCCGCGTCAGAATGGCTGGAGCCTTCACCACCTTGGGGGTAGAACATGACGCCGCCTTACCGGGCAGCTCCCCCGGGATAGAGGTCTTCCTGAGTTGTCCTCGTGAAGGCCTGCATTTAAGACCGGAAGGTCTACCGGAATGCATGTACAGAACATCTGATAACAATTTGAGGGTGTGTGAGCGACATGGAGGTTATGAAAGGCATCAGAGCGAGTAGGGCAAAGAGACAAAGACGAGGAGGGGGTGCTGATGGTGCTCACCTGCCGGATGAGGAAGGTGAACTTGAGCGTGGGACAGTGCCTACTCTCTAAGAGCACAGAGCACATCTCACTGCGTGCTTCTCCGCCTCGAGGCTGCCTTCATACGCGCCTGTCCTCTGCTTTCCGCCCCTCTTCACTGCGATAGACCAGTATACCCTCAGCCAGACGAGTATAAAGCCAGCTTTTGTTTCGCTATGGATTCTCCAACCACCCACCAAATCACCTTTGCACTTCCTCCCCGCTCCCCGCTTTCTCCCAATGTCTTCCAACGCACACTCTGGTTTGGATAACATCTCCACGGATCTCCTTACAGGACTCAACAGTCCCTTCCATGACTTCACCAATCCCGAGGACTGGCTCTCTGCTGATCTATTCGGCCCCTGCGTCTCGTCGCCTATCACTCGCGATGGTTTCACCTCTGACTCCGATCTCGAGTTCCAACTCCGTCCACTCGAAGATTATCACCTTCCGGATGAAGTCTGGGGTTCCTTTGCACCGTGAGTCTCTTATGCCTTTAGATATATCAATATGAGCACCGACTGATGAAGCTTATCTTCAGTAAACACGATATCTCGCAGCCTACCATCCCCGACTACCATCCTACCATCCCTGACTACCATGACATGGGACCTGCAAGGGTCATGCTCCCTATCATCGACATTTCCTCAGAGTTTTTCTCCACCAACTTCTCTTCCGCCGTCTCTACCTCTACCGCCATCGCGACCTCATCTATCATCCCCTCCCTTCCTACCACCGTCGCCCTTCCCACCATATCACCCAGTAACGCCCCTTCATCCACGCTCGAGGACAGCGATGGTGCAGGTCCATCGCGGCCTCAATCTCCGTCCAAGACCGATCCTCCCTCTGACTCGGAGGATGATACCTCCGTCTACGGCGAGAGCGATGACGACGACAGCGACGACGAGTACGTTCCTGCCGGAGGCGCCAGCCCCAAACGCAAGCGATCCCCCCGCTCCGACAAGCTCCTCTTGCGCAACTCGTCTGCAAGCTCTCCCCCTGCTCTCGGTGAAACCGAGGACGACTTACCCTCCCCTACCAAATTCCCTCGCGCCGCCCCTCCTCGCAGTAAACAAGTCTTGACTACTCTCGGACAGACAGATGTTTCCTCCCCTTCCACCCTCAAGGGCGCCAACAGGTGGGCTTGTCCGCACTGCGACTTCGTACAGAAGAACCATCGCATGCCGGACCTCAAGCGCCATATCCGCAAGCACTACCCCACCAACAAGTACGTCTGCTGTGGCGTGCCCGTCGAGGAGAAGGAGAAGTATGGAGCGAAGGAGACGGCGGCGCCGATGGAGTATAATGGGCGGATGATGGTTGGGGGCTGTATGCAGAGCATGAGCAGAAGGGACGCGTTGAAGAGGCATATCGACAACAAGAACGTGACGTGTGTGGGTGATCTGGAGGGGGATTGGCATCAATTCCAGGGATGAGCGGTGTTTGTGATTTCATTCGTTCTACCTTTTCTGGATTGTCTCTTCGTCTGCTTCTTCCTTTTCTCTGTTTCGGTCTCTATCTCTATCTTGCCGGCGCGAGCGCCTCGATCTTACGAATCATCTATCTATCATTCTCTTTCTCCACTTCGTCCTTCAACAACGTACATACATACATACAGTGATATCTTTCCTGCCTCATACCATCCTATCCTCGACAAAGAATCCTTCGGCTTGTATTTCTAACCTTTCTTCTTTCTCTTGCTTTATGTTCCGTCTTCGAACCAAAATAAAAGGCATTGTACGAATACCTACGTCTCTTCTCTTCTTCGTTTCTTCTCCCCTCTCTTCGGCTCCCCGGATTCAATACGATCGCAACTTTCGTTTCTTCTCTCATACTTACATTCTACTGCCCAGTTGCTTTGACCTGGTGAACGTGACTACGCATCGAAATGCACTGCGTTTGATACTTCCTTTGTGAATCCTCGAAGTGCATTGCGAGCGTATCCTGTCCGAGGAGGGCCCGCAAAGTCCTTTTTTGACAACCCCTGTGGCCCTCCTTTCACCTGACCGGTTTACTTGTGAGCAACCGTCTGTGAATCAGTGTGTGAATATGGAGCGTGCGCCGGCCGTATAAACCTCAGCGCGAAGATAGATCAGCGTAATGACGATAAAATTAACCTCAGCCAGCCCAACATACTACTAGGCAACCAACCGTTCTGCGGCCATTACTCGGGAGTCGGTGCCACATCACCAAGGGCAATCATGCAAAATGAGATCGGGCAACGGGCGTCCTTGCCACGTGTCCGAGGCACCCCGAAAATCAAAGCAATCTGCCGATCCGGCAAGTAAATTGTATGAGGCCGATGAATTTGAAATACTGCATCACGGGCGCGTATCGCGCGACGCGACGCGTCCCAAATTGGCTCGCACGGAAGCAGAAAAAATGTTCAACACGTACATACGCGTGATCACGCGTCATTTCGATTGCAAATTCGCTTTTTTTTTTTTGCATTGTGCACTGAAACCAAGAAAAACACGGAATACAATTCGGCGAGAGAGATGCACACAGAGCGGGAGACGGACGACAAAGATAGGATGGAATAAAGGAAGGAGAGAGAGAGGGATGATAAGAGCTAGGGTGGTACAGAGAAGAGAGGTGACGAGATGAACGAGCAACGAGGCAATCAATCAATCAGATCGGAATAAATCAAGAAAAGGAGACAGAAGCCGGCGCGGGAGTGTAAGCAGAGAGAATCCTATGTATACGTGTGTGGATACGGCGCGACTGCGATAGAGATAGAGCTAGAGCTAGGGATGAGACTGGACACAAAAGAGAATAGACGAGGATTCCATGATGCGATAAATAATACCCAAGACGAACGAGAGAGGAAGATCGAGACTGGGATGTGGGAACGACGAGTGGATGCGACGATGGACAGATGGAGGTGGTACATACAGAGCGAGGGGACATGCAAGGAAACGAACATTACACTGCTGCTGCACGTCAATTACTTCGAGGGTATCTCACCCTCTTCACTCAACTCGCCTTCCTCCTTGCTCGAACTACCGGCCTTCTGAGCAGCGCTTCCCGCACCGTGCTCGTCCTGTTTGGTTCCATTCAAGGACGCAGTTGCAGTTTCCTCCACCAGTGCATCGACGGAAGCATCCTCTTCAATAGCAACCACTTCTTCGTTGACAGATTCCTTCCCCTTCCCTCGTCCACTTCCCCTCGACTTCCTCTGAGGACGCCCAACCGCCATCGAGATGGAGGCGGAGGTCTGAGTGCCTTCGCTAGCACTGGAGTTCATCCTCTGAGCAGCAGGCTTGCTCGCAGCTGCTCTCGAACGCGTCGAACGTCGCTCGGGGAGCTTCTCCTCGGCAGGTTCAACGACTTCAGCACCTTCAAGAGCAGCGGACACTGAACCTTCAGAGGCAGCGGCAGCAGCCGCTGCTGCTGCTTGAACGCCCCCACGCGTGGTCCGTGTGCGCTTTGACGGGTATGTGCTATCGTTCTCCTCCGCCTCCTTTCGCTTGCGTTTCGCGGCCGCGCTCTGTCCACCGCCCCGCTTCTTGCGACTGGAAGGCTTGTCGGTTGCGGGTTCGGCTGGGATGGCGATGGGGGAGCTCTCCGCGTCCGGGTCGCGAAGTTTCGCGGCTGGACGGCGGGTACGAGAGGAGGAGCGGCGTTTAGAGTCGTCGGTGGGGACTGGTTGAGCGACTTCCTTCTCTTCCTCCTCCGCGTCGGGGTTGATCTTTGGGAGAGAGCGAGCGAGGGTGCCCAAGGGGTGGTAGAGAGGAAGAGGGGGCTTCATGGGGTATAAACGCCTGGGTGGGACGATGGGAGAAAAGTCGATACGGGGTATCTGGGATTTGGGGCTGGTAGAGTTGGAATCGGAGAGGTTCGAGCTAGTCGAAGATGATATGGAGGATGGCTTGATTACGGCAGAGCGCTCGATGGAGAGCCCTGCCGGGTGTTGAGACGAGGGGGATCTGTAGGTCATGGATGGTTTGCGGCGGATGGTAGAACTGAGCTCGGGCACTTTGAAGCGCGGGGGAGACGTTGTGCATGATTTGGTGGGAGATACCTTGACGGTCTTGACGGAGGTGATGACGCCCTTGACCTCTACGGTGGTGGGTCGACGAGAGCCGGGGACGACGGCGGAGAGTGTGTCCATGGGAGTTGTGTGAGATGAAACAGTGCGATGAGCGTGTGTTGAGTGTTGCGTTCCCGAGGGAGGGTGGTGGTAGATGGGGGTGTGTAGCAAAGCGAGAAGAGGGGACGGTTCGAATGCTGGTCACCGAGCAAGACGGGCCGGGGAGCGTGTGCGTCGGAGGACGTGTGGCGAGCAGAGGGTGTGCCACAGGAGATAGAGAGCGTCGAGGGTGTTGTCGCTGGGGGAGATGGGGAGAGCGTCGTGGACGACGGAGGATGATGTGGGAAAGAAAGCGGGGAGGGCTCGGTGCGGTGAAACGCGCAGGGCGTTTTGTGCAGGAGGCTGGAGAGTCTGCAGCTGTACAGTTCCTCCATTCAATTGTCCCCACGTGACCTCATTTCTCTTCATCCTCGATCCCTTCCGCTCGCTCGGCTCTCCGCCGTCGGCCCCTTCACCGTCCCCCGCCCGTCGCCCACGTCGTCTGCCCCAGCAACGGCCGCAACATGGACAATGTCGACCCCCTCGTCCATCATTCTGCCCAAACCAACAATGCGTCGCCAGGCATGCCCGCCTTCCTCCCGACTTTGCTCGATCACATAGCCGCCACATCACCCAATCTGCCCATCGACCCCGTCATCGTCCAAAGCGTCCTGCTCTCAGTTATGGCAGGCTCAAAGCATCTTCTGCTCAGGACCCGCGAAGAGGATGTCCGAATAGTGCAGAACTTGACTGCAATTGTGAGTTTGTGCCCTTTCGCTTCGCTTCTGAGCCAGCTCAGCTCGCTCGCGCGTCATACGTTTCGCACATGGAAGAGACGCTCATGTCCCTTCTGCCACATACAGACTGTATCGCTTTCTTGTACATACACTCAACAAAATATATTTGATATCTGCTCGACTCGACATAAGCTCCCGTCATGCGTCCATTGCGCTCACACAGTTCTATGTAGCTGCTTAACGACGTGCTCGCATACCCCACCTTCAAACACAAGCTGCGTTCAAACGTGAAACAAAGCCCATCATCATTTCTCTCCTCTATATTCTTTTCCCGAACATCAAACCCCTACACACGAGATCCTTCCAAGCCATTCGCCCGTGGCCGCAATAGACGCTCTCGCACTTATCCTCTTGCAGAAGTCCCACCCTCTCCCGAACCTGTCGAAGAAGCGCAGAACGCTGATGCCGACGTCAATCCTTCGCTTCTAATGAGCGCGCAAGCACCGGTCGAGCCAGAGCACCCTGTTCGACCACCACTGCGCCCACACCCACTGGGGATCTATACCGACCCAGGTCTGATCACTACTCAGCAGTCTAATACCGTTCACCTTGGCCCTGTTTCCGATGCTTTGCTTCCTCGTGCAGTCGTGCTTTCTGGCTTGGAAAATGCGACGATGCCTTGTCAGCGTGCTCTATCCCTTGTGCTATTCCAGAGAAAGATCGTGCTTGAGGATGACGAGGAGCTGGGTGCCATGAACAGTCCGGAGTGGACGCTACCGGATGATTTCATGTTTGTGCTGGTATGCCCCTGGGATCCCCGCGAGAGGCCTGGTGTTTATAAGGGAATAGTAAGCGACATCCAATCTCCTTACGACCCCATCACTGACTACGATAATGGATAGCTCGACCATTTCTCTCTTAGCGCCACAATAGGTCTTGCAAGAGAGACGCGACAACACTACTCTTCCTACATGTCATCACTCCTTCCAGCCACTACCCCTCCCACAACCACGACTTCACCCAAACCCACGCTAGCTCTCCAGCCCTCAGCACCGACCCCCCTCCCCTCCCAACTCCTCCACCGCCTACGCGAACTCAGCACCCCCGAACACGTCCACATCGACGGTGGCCTCCGACTGTACCTAACAGACCTCATGTCCGCCATCCGGCACCACCACGAGCTAGACGGAATGCTCATCGGTGCCCGCGCAATGCGCGACGCCGAAGCGCTCATACGCGCCCATCGCGTACTCTGCGGCACGGACGGAGGAACGGGCCTCATCGAGAATATGGTCGCGCTGGAGGTTCAATCCGCCGAACATACCAAAACGCGGGGCGGTGGTTTGGCGAGTATGATGGCCACTATGACTACGACGACGAGCGAGGACGAGGGCGTGCCGGTCGAGAGCAGTGAGGTCCCTGGGTTCACGTCGACGAGCGACGATGCGGCGTTTCCGGGCGTGAGGAGGAGGAAGGGCCCGGGGTTCGGCGAGGAGGATATCGACGATAGTGGGTACGTGCTCGTCAGCTTGAAGTGGGATAATACGAATGTCGTGGGATCGGCACGGGGGGGAAACACCAACGGGCTCCTGCATGCTACGACTACGAACGCAGCCGCTCACGGGTCGTCGTTCTCACTCAATAATTCTAGCACTTCGTCGCTCGCGCCGGGGTTTCAGCATAGTCCGGGCGCGGGCGCGGGACGGCAGCGAAGAGGGAGGGGAGCGAGGGAGTGGTGGGATGTGGAGGATGAGAAGGCGAGGTGGGATGTGAGCGAGGTGGATGTGGCGAAGGTCGTGCCGAGGGTGGTGTCGCATCGGTTGAGGGTGAGGAGTGGACCGGAGGACGAGGTATTGAGTAGTGTGGTTTTTACGGCTGTTCCGCCGATTGGGAGGGAGGGAGAACACAATAAGGGGACGTGGAAGAGGAGGACGGTGAAGGATATTTTGGTGAAGCTACTCGGAGAGGTGTAATTGCGTTTGGACATTTGACCTCTTCAGTCTTCATCATAACATTCACCGAACTACAAGGTTCAAAAGACCTGATTGAGTTGAGCGAACAGGCATTCCGTCCTTCATGTGGAGTAGCAAAACAAGGTTGGCGCGCCACAACAGAAAGTTTTCAGGCTGAGGGTGACATCGAAAGAATCTTGCAATGGGTTCACACAAACAGAGATAGAGCAGGACATAAAATTGCATTCATTCCAGCATATCCATGTACAAAACACACCCCAACCCTCCTCAAAACTGCCCAAAATCCTACAAGCCCGCACCACCGATCCACACCTCCATCCCCCGATAAATCAGGAAGATAAGAAGAAGGTGATCCATCAGACAAATGCTCTCCTCGCTGACAAGCGCACCACCGACTCCGAAGAGTGCGACAGCGAGCGAGCCAAACGTCATCGAGTCCTCGCTCAACAAAGAGCGAAAGACATGTTCTCGGTGTGACGAGGGAGCATGGGTGTCATCGACTGGATTTGAAGGATGCGGCAAGTGTAAACTTGCAAGACTCGGTTAGTTTCTATAGAATAGATCCTAGCTGTATACGAGAAACAAAACGAATTGGTTAGACGGGAGGACTGGGACGAGGGATAGGGAGGGATACGCGCCTGAGTATGTTCTAAGGAAAAAACGAAGGGTGCGGGGAGGGCTGGATTATATAGATGCAGTGTTTAGGGCAGGCTGTAGCGTAGGCGCCGAAAAAAAAATTCGGGCGGACTGCAGCGCGGTGGCCGGGTGGCGTGGGCATGTTTGACGATTCGCCACCGTGTCCGTAGCATTGGCGATGCTAGGTCGCCGTCGAACAAGGGGATTCGAGAACTTCAAGGGACACGAGCGGTGGACGTAATAAGCATTTCATACAAGGAAATCAAGATAAGAAACTAACGAAAGCAATATGATTTGACGAAGGCCAGTGGCAATGCAATCTGGGGCGAGGTAGTACTTACAAGACAAAAAGGTACCGGTAGCGTAGAGGAAGGCATGGCGAGTATTAATAGGGTCAGGGAGAGAAGGCGAAGAAACTGAGAGATGAGTACAAGTAGTGGTCAGATGGAAGATGGGGGTCTGCGTGTATAAGTGCGTCACGACGGCCAGCTTGAAGACGAGGTCAAGTAGAAAGAAACATAGAAGGAATTGCGAGATGTTGAGATAATGGATACAGAGGAGGTTGAAATCGTCCATATTGGATACAGTAAGTAATTTATGGACAGGGGCCTTTACTCGTCCGGATTGCAGAAAAAGAAGACACCTCCTTAGAGTATACTCGTCACTGATTGAATAAATGCCAATCCCCATCCAAGTCGCCTATACAACCTTTTCTGCTGCCATTGATGTGCCTCTTTAGCACATCCTTCCGACAAGAGACACTTATCCAACAACCTCCTACCATCCACCGACCATTGAAAAATATCGGGGGCGATAGCGAAGGGCTCACGGTATACCGGCCAACCCGGACGTCATCTAGAGGAACGCCACAGCAGACAGCTTCAAATCCATGGATAAGTATGTGCCGCTTGAGATCTGCAGCCTTTCGATCTGTGGGGCAGGAACCCTTTGGGATATGGAGACAAATCGGACATTGATTGATTGATGCAGCGAGCTTGAGAACTGCGTTGAGAAATGAAGGGGAGATCTGCCATATGTTGCGAGGGGGTGCAGCGCGAGGAAAGAGTCTAACCGGGGACAAGGGTGAATCGGGCTCGGACGAAGAAGTGAAGACGGAGAAATCGTCTTGAGGGAGGGGACGGGAAGGACCGGGATAGGCAAATGAGTGGTGATGGATGGATGCTGGAAAAGGTTGATCGGGGGATGCAAACAGTGTAGATGACCCTTCAAAGGTGTTTGAGGCGAGAATCGATTGATGGGTGGGCACAGAGGGAAACCTGGAGAACTCATAATCCGAAAAGGAACGTAAAGCGAAGGGATGTGTAGACGTTTGGGAGGGAGCAGAGTCTCGGACAAGGAGATGGGAAGAGGGATTTTGTACGGATGGTACGTAAGAGCCTGAGGCGATGTCCTGCTGGTGGTTCCAGTACGGATGAAAAGGGACGTGGCTGGCGAACGGCTGGGTAGAAACGGCGGCTGGGTTTTGGTATGGGTTTTGTGGGGGATGACCCTCCAATGGATAGAGGGCAGGGGACCACTGAAAGTCTTGGCTCGGGTATGACTCTAGTGGAAGACCGTGCAGGTCCGTGAGCTCTATTGGGTCGCTGAGGGTAAATGTACGTCAGAAAACAGTTAAAGGGGTATGGGAATAATTCTCACAGAGAAGGAGGGGTGTAGATGTTGGTGGTGGGTTGGTATTGATCTTGGGGAGTCGTAGGCGTGGCTAGCTGCTCCGGGTAGGAGTAGTTTGCGCGGTGTCCACTGTATGCAGCGTCAGCGTGGGAGGATAAAGCCTGCGAGCCCTGGAATGTGTGGTCGGGGTGGTTAGACATGAAAAGAAAGCAGGAAGTGATAAGAGGCACGAGAGCAGTGGTTGAACCATGATAGGATCCTGGGCTTTTATACTCGTAGAACGGGAGAGGAACAAAGCACGCAGCACAGCCGGGGGTACGTATATCGGCGTCCTCGACGGCCAGATATTTGATTCTTCAAACCATCACACATGGAAAGGAAGGTCAAAAGCTTGGGCCATCGTTCCAAGTCGAAGCAAGCTACGCCAACATCATGGTGTTGACAGTTAACATGTTTTTTTCTCACCGGATCGGGCGGTGATATCGATTTATACCGATCCCCAGGAAGTTCTCTTGTCTAGAATTCCCTTTCCCGAGTCGTAGTATACAACCACGCGGTGGCCGCATGTAGGTGCACCATCCTGAGGTGCCGCTATCTGGGTTGGGTGGCGCCGAAGGCGGTCAACTTGCCGACCATGTGCCGTAGTCAAATTTCCTATCCATCCTATTAAGCCTAGTACTTACATCACCGTAGCAAAAACCGAGCTGTCGGAAGAGCAGAAGTTAAATCCACGCAGACGATGGCACAGATGGGACGCGAGCGTATAACGGCATGTGAACAAGTAGCCAAAGTTCGCCGTCGCCTCTTCCTGTTTGGACAACCAAGTGAGAGCATGCCAACACCACACTACTCCCCGTCGAAATCTTCATAGCTAGAAGAAGAATGAAGCGTGCGATGACCAAACAAAGAAAAGAACACCATTGGACATCATTCTAGCCTCTCCTCTCCACGGAAAATGACATGTCCTGCATCGCGCTCGAACAACGGCTGCGCTCGGGGCCGTATATTAGCACGTTTCCTTGCCGTGAGGTTTGGTGCACCATCGGGCACCGATTCTGACGCAGACGGAGTAGCGTGTTGTCCAAGAACAATCCCCTCGCTTTTTTGATTCGCTACTAACGCATCCTGGTGAATGGGTGGCGCGGGGATCCGGCGACGCGTCTTGCAACGATAACACATGGTGATAACAGTATGCCCGTGGTACTTGGAGTCTACATCCGATATAAGCATATCATTGCCTTGATGCAGAGGACAATGGAAAGGACCAACGGTTCACGCGGCAACTCGCGGTCAAACCAATTATCAACACGGAATCGCACCCCTTGCACAACGATCGTTTGATAGTCGGATCCCTTTGTGTATGTGAGCTGTGCATGCGGTGCAGGTGAAATAAAGATATGAAGCCACCCTTACATTTTGACCGTTGTCTTTTCGCCAATTTGCTTCATCGAGCGAACGTAGCCCCGAGCGATCTCCGTAACCTGCATATTTCTTCCTCTCGCTTCCTTCTTCAAGCGCTTCTTGATTTTCTTAGAACTCTCGGTGGTAGGGATCTTTGCGGGGGTTGATGGGCCTGCAAGATTAGAACTAGCACCAGGGGCTGGAGGTTGCGCAGGATGCGTCAACGAAGGGGGCGAGATGGAGTCTAGGTAGGCAGATGCTTGGTAGAGAAAGTTGAGTCGATGGAGAATATCGCGATTAGCGACGCTGTTCACGTTCGGTACATCGTCTTTGTTCTTCTTGGCCATATGAATACCTGCTAATAACCAGTCCTGGGAGAGCTTGTACCGTAGCAGTACCGTAGCGGATGACGGGTGTGTGGTGGCAGGGTGTGGCCCCTCCAATCGGCGCCGATAAAGTCAATCGAAGAGCACCGGGCCGCTAACCGCCAGAACTTGCCACTCCTTGGCCCGCGGGCCGCGATCCATATTTCTCCGATCCCTTTCAGCTTCAACTCTCGCGAGACGTTTGTGAAGCACTAACACAGTGTTACCACAATGTCACTATCAACTCTGCGCTTTTCCCTGTCTCGTTCTCTCTCTCCGTTGCACCGGTTGCGTGCACTACCGTCCGTCGTTCCTCTGTTGCATTCACCTTCATCACAAGCTCGCACATACGCGAAAAAGAGCAAACAGAAACAGGATGAACCCGAGGCACCCTCTACTTCCAAGAAGACCAAGGTATCAGCAAACGATATTATCCCTGGCTCTCAGCAAGCAATCTCGGACCCAACACAGGCCGCGGAGTATGAGAAATGCTCGTCCAAAATGTCCACAGCCGTGCAATGGTTCCGCCGTGAGGTCGCTCAGATGGAAACCAGGGCGAGTGGACGCGTAACTCCTCAACTGCTGGCCCCAGTTCGCGTTAAATATGGGGACGAGAGCGCCGATGGCGTCAGGTTAGAAGAGGTCGCGACCGTCGGCGTGAGGGATGGTAGTACGTTGATCGTCACCGTGTTTGAGACTGATGTCAGTGTTTTGTTTGTTCTGGATATTTCGAGCACTGATCATCTCTTCTTTACTTTCACTAGTAGACTCTGAAAGATGTGGAAACTGCGTTGTATGATGCTAAAATCCCTGGTGTTGTACCACAACGCGTGGACGAACGTACAATTCGCATCCCGATACCTAAGTGCGTCACAAATTCTCCTCTTCATATATGCTGAAGCCCTAAAGTACATACGAAACAACTGCTGCTGCCAGACCGACTGTGGATGCACGACTCGCTCTGTACACCAGCGCTTCGAAGCAGTCCGAGGACATTCGACAACAAATCCGTGCACATCACTCTGCAAGCCTCAAGAAGGCGAAACCAGCGAAACATAGTGTTGCTATAGACGAGGTATGTCTGTCTGTTCTTCGTTCTTCTCTGATGGCCTAGTCCATCACGTTGCGACCCCACTAAACTCTCGTCATGGTATAAACAGTTCCAGAAACTGGAGAAAAAGCACCTTTCTGAGATCGACGACATCCTGGCGCAGCTCAAAAAGGTCACCGGGACGAGCGGAAAGCGATGATACCCATACTGCCTTAGCCGTCCCATCCCATTCGCCCTAATACTCCCCCTTGGTGAACGTGTATATTTAGGCCTCGGAAAATTATTCGTCGGCTATCGTCGTGTGGAGAACTACGAGGATCTGTGGATACTACTCTTGATAAATATGCGTAGCTATCATCCTCTCCCCGGTTATGCGTCCATATTTCCTCTCCCTTGGCTATAACTCTGTTCGTACACATTCATTGGCTATACTCGTGGTGCCACACCGCCACAATTTAAGCCCTAACCCTCGTCTAAGGTTGCACGAATCGGGCTGCTTCTCGCCTTGCTCTTGACAAGGACCAGTAATGTTTGCTTCGGTCTTTCAACTGTTATGAGGCTCATTCAGCTCATTCTCCGACGTCCGTGAACGCTACTGTTCTCATCTGACTGACTTTTACCTGAGGCTTTCCTGGAATACTCTGGAACATCATGTCACCACAGAATGAACCGCCTACCCCCGCGCAGGTCGCACACATGTACCGCGATCAACCTACTTTCTCTTGCTCAAACTGTGCAGCCGTGATAGTAAGCCTTATGTGTCCCTGATGTTTCTGAGTATCGTTGGTATATGAGATGAATTAGGCTCTTCAAGACGAACTCATCAGCAAAGCCTTCTCCGGGCGTGATGGGCGTGGCTAGTGTGTCTTTACCCCTATTCTGTTCCTACCATTGAAGTTGACCGTGGTCTCCGTGATCTTTCCTAGCCTTATGCATTCCGCGGTCAATGTTAAGCTAGGAAAGAGAGAAGACAGGCCATTACTGTTTGCCTATCCTCTTCGCTCTTCACTTCGAGTGGATATTAACGTCGAGAATCCGGAAGGACGGGCGTTCATACTGTGGCGGACGTCTTCTGTGTTGGATGCAGCGATCGAGTGGGATGGTATTATCACAAAGCATCAGACCATTCGCAGAAGTATAAAGAAGGTCAGCATACTTCCCTAACAGAAATGTTACATGACGATTGCCTACACTGAGCTGTGATTCTCGTAGGAAAGTATTTGCTGGAACGAGAGAAGTTGATCAAGGATAACGCGTGGAAGATTGATGAGTAGCCACTCGATGGTAACATAGACGGTATCTTGTACGATAGCGAGCAGAATACAAGGACGAGGATGAGTGGAATGGACGCATACGAGGGCTTGACCGATAGGATGCGGTCAAAAGTTAACGACCTTCTTAGGCTTTGCTGAAGGTATAGTCCCGTACGCCTTGACTATCCCCGTATGCACACCGGCCTTCACTTTCGCCATCTTCCGCACCTTCTCCTCAGTCATCACATCCCGATCCACCTCCGCGTTCTTTCGCCGGAAAGAATGGAAATCGTCTTCGTCGGCCCCTGCATCATGACCGACGCCCAGCATGACACCGACAGCGGTCGTTTCTAGGAAGAGAAGAGGTGTGAAGTGAGAAGGGCTGCCTGTCCAAAAGGAAAGATGATAGCGCACCAGGTTTCCTAAGCCCACAGTTCTTCGCGAGATGGTCTGTTTGACCACAGAGCTTGCAGCAACCACCGTTTGGGTAGACGCCCTTGATCTTGTTTTCGGGACATGAGGATGCGAGGTGACCTTTTCCTGAGCATACAAAGCAGGAAGCAAAGGGCATAGGTTTCGCTGGATTTTCTGTTTTTCGACATCGTGAAAGTGTATGCTTCTTGGAGCCACATCTAATTGCACAAAACATCGACTCAGAACTCGTGAAAATTCTTGAGCGCAAGAGCATGAACGCACCTGTAGCATATCCCTACTATGTCCTGTCCCTTCTTCGCACCTACTGCTGCTTCCTCTGAATCGGTTTTCGCTTTGTTCGGACACATAACAGCGGCATGTCCGTTCTCTCGACAGACAAAACATATCGTGTTCGCATGTCGCTCTGCTATGCGCTTCAACCGACGCTTTTCGGATGCAGCTGCTCGGTCCGCCGCATCTGCAGTGCAAATTTAGTATAGTCCATGCAGACAGAAGAAGAATATGGACAGAAACGCACCTTTGACCCGCTTTGCCTTCTTCTTGTCCTTCAACTTCGAGTTGGCCTTCTTTACTTTCTCACTTTTCAATGATTCCTTCACAACCTTCTCTTCGCCACTGCCACTCTGACCCGCCTCACCATCTGCTGGAGTCTCCTTCTTCTGCTCCGTTCCGCCGTCCTTACGTTTCTTGCTTCGTTTGCGTTTTCGTTTCTCGGATGGTACTCCAGAGGCAGCAGAAAAATCTACAGAGTCTTGTGGAGGCTGTGATGGATGTTCCGCTTCGACATGAGATTCAGGTGCAGTGGACGTAGATGCGCCCGGGGTCTGAGTAGGTGTAGCGTCTTCGTCTCGAGGATCAAACCCAGCCTCTACGTAGGTCCTTTTCCGGCCGATATTTGTATACCGAGTCATCCAAGGGTAGCAGTAAGTCGAAGATACAGTAGCGTAAGAGGATGAGACTTATGCATAGAACAGAGGGTTTTGGGAATGGCGAAGTGAGGCTCAAAAATCGTCTACACATTTCGTGTTACGTAACGTTGTGGCGCGCCACAATGGAACGTGCAAGTGGTTGAGATGGAAGTCAATGATGAGATATGTATGCCAGCATAGTAAGCACAGTCAAAAAGGTATAAGTAGTACACGAGTCGCCGTGGTAGCGAAAATACTATTTGGACGGAACTAATACACGAAAGCGAGTCAATGCGTAAGACATCAATCACAGCACAAGAAAACAAGATCGACAGCGGGGCCCGACAAGGATATTTAAGTAGTAGACAAATTTCGTGAACTTCTGAGGCATCATCCCTATTTAAAAGACAATGAAATTCCGAAGCCTTTAGTAGTGAGCATAAGCACGAACGAGAGTGCTTTGGGTCCTATCAGCCGGGATGCGACCGTGGACGACGGTAGTGCCATCCTGCTCCTTGTAGTACTCCACAAATAACCCATCATCTAACTGCGCGGATCCACGCACGACGGGAGGAATGCGGAAACTTATGGAAAGCCATCCCCCCTGCTCAGTTTGAGCATCAGGGGCACGTTGAACCTCCTGCCCGGAGGCGTCACTACCCGTCGAAGTCCCCGGTGGTATTACATAGGAGGAGCTATGGTTCAAGCGTGAGGATGACATCTCGGTAGCACGAGGTGGTGCCGGAGGTATGGAGGTGTGCCCGTAGTAGCTGGGAGGTTGCTAGTAGCCCGACAGGCATATTCATGAGATATGACCTGAAAAGAGCAGCTCAAAATTCGACGTACAACTCCCGAATTGCCGGATGGCTCGTAGTATTGGTTCTGGGCGATATTGTAGTGGTCATACGCTCCATAGGTAGTGTTATGGTTCATATGCGTTGTGTGTGAATCTGCGTGAGGGAGGGGATCTGAGGTCAAGGGAGTGATCGCAGCGTTGCCTGTGGTACTGGTCTGCAAAGCAGGCATGTCAGTTTGAATGTGGTAATTCAGCAGGAGATGTTGAATAGGATGACTACGGATTGAGATGATTCGCATACCACAGCTCGATTCCTCCCTATGACATCGGTATAGCTAGTAGGGGTCCATATGTGCTGATCATTTGCGATACCTGTGAAGGCATGGTCTGCAGCGGGCTATTCGCCGAATCGAGAAACAGCGAAGCCTCAGCATTCGATACTGAGTACTAGACAGGATGAAGACGTAGCGTACCCCTTGAAGCGAGTCATTCGGTGTAGTGTCTGTACCTGAGGCCAAAGGACCTGAGACGGCACCCGGGGCATGTTGCTGCTGGTAGTGAAGTGCAGCGTCGGGCCTAGGATGTTGGGAGTAGGCGTCAAAGGCGGGATACAAGTGTTGAGAAGGATCGTGACGGTAACTGGACATTAGATACCAAGATGATATGGTGTCGACAATGGAGGAGTGCGCGAGAGTGAGTCCAGAGTTGAAGAGACGGTTTGGAAGTGGTGGTGATGGTGGACAAGTCCTGCATGTAGGCCAACTTTAAACTATTTTATAGTCATATTGAGAAAGCGGCGGGGATCTTGTGCGCATCTTATTTTTCTCGCACGGTGGAAGTACCGGATAAGCGGGGCGCCCTCAGGGAGGGAGTAGGGGACCGGAGGACGACGACAATTGAGGCGTTTGGTCACAAAGCGGGAGGCAGAAAGGAAGGACGCCTGTGCCCGAGGCTTGGGCCCTGGGCGCTATCTGTCCACGCTTAACCGCCAGATCCGATATCTTTGAACCGACGCCCATCTGAGAGGACAGGATCAATGGGTCTTATTCAATAGACGCTGAGCGAGAAAGGAGAGGGAAGAGCCTGTGAGAAAGGGCCCATGTCTCCGTCCGCGGCGACTCGACGATGCTACGTATGTGTGGCGCTGAACGCATATTGGAGTCCTGTCGTGCGCATGGAGGCTAACGAAAAGTCGGTCAATATGTGTTCGGCGTAGGAGGCTACGCTTTACTCCAGTCCGAGTAGGTGCAACTGGCACTATTTTCAATGTCTGCATGCACAACAGAACGAGTAGCGCAGGGACGAATGACCGCTCGTCCTGTAAATTAGTTGAAGTCCGGAGACTTACACAGACATACACACAAATAAAAACATTGGCCGTCTGAGTCAATGCACATAGCCTAGTGTCGGTGGGGTATCAGACTACTCTGCAGACGAAAAATGCTGCCTGGCTGAGACACTGATCTGGGGGGTGACTTGTGGACATGCTTCCCATGTCTAGTTTTCTGTGTGGCCCAAGTGTGGCCTGCACGAAAAGCTTGAGATGGCAAGACCTGAAAGTCGGAGAACTTCATGTTTCAAGCTGCTGTTGCCGACTCCATGGCACCCTCACCTTTGCAATATGTTGCAAAGCCGAGCACAATTGGACTGTCTTTCTCAAAGTCTCCGAGCCAGAGAAATAATTCTCGCTGGAGATCAAGACGTCGACTGTCCCATTTAGCGACGCTCCCAGGTCTGGATAGAACAGGCAACTTACTGCCGCGTTCGTGCAAGAACCACGACGCGTGTGACGCGATCTGTCAACTGGGCGTCTGGAATAAGACGACTCTGCCTTGGCGCCGGTTCACCGTGAACGCGTATGTATTAGATGTTACAAGACCTACCGGAGCTACGCCCCGTTTGTCGATAAATATATCGGGCAGTTGGCCTATAGAAGCGAGATGAACAGAAGGAAGTCAGATTGGTGAGGCTGAAGGGCGTAGCCCAACCAAAGCAGGGAAATCTTTACAGCCAAAATGGTTGACCGTCGTCGTCGCTTGATAGCACTAACCATTAATTGCAGGATAAATGACAATACCTTCAAAGCGCGTTAGCGCACTAGCCAGAATGGCATACCTGACTATTTTAGTTCGAACCTGAAGAAAGCACCTCAAAAAGAAATGAAGAGGGCAAACACGACCAAACGAAATGGAGACATCTGCGTTATAAGAGGGTTAATCTGCAGCCTGAAAACCGGGAGGTTCTGTAAGCTTCAGATCGGCTACTTTGCAGGTCGCAAACTTCAATTTCCAAGTAATATTTCGCTTCCAACCCTCGGTAAGTGCCAGACGCAGGCCAAAGGAGGGTGATCAGCCAATCACAGCCGGCCTACATATTCCCCTTCAAAATGAAAATTCACTTGAAATTCTCGCTTTTACATTTCGTTTGCATCACCTTGCAACCCAAAAGTCCACTTTTCAGGCTGCAGATAACATCTATTAGGGAGATTTGGCAACCGGCGCTTACAGGGTGTCAGAAGGTCGCGGTGGCGCAAAATGGCGGGGAAGTGGAGCCAAATCGGGCGCCTCAAGCGTCTTGGGGCGGGTTGCCAAATCTCCATATTAAAATCTCCCTATTGAGGCGCCTCCACACGCGTTATGAGGAAGGCGATCCAATTGGAAAAGCGCGGCGTCTCTCGCGGGGTTATAATCTCTTTGCTTAGATTTAAGATCTCCCAAAAGTTAACCCTCTGGCGCCTCTGCGGCCTGTGCAAAGGAGCAACAAAGGAGACTCGAAACGCGCCGCAGAGCCGGTGTGCAACTTTGTTCACGCTCACTTACCCCCTCCAGAGCGGGGTGCACCAGGCACGTGAGGTAATTTTTGTCAGCCTAATATACTCTACATACCGGTTTGGACTCTGTTGTGGACTCCCATCTTATCGACCGACCGCATCAGCTGGACCGGTGCGTATCTCTATATAGCTCCATCCCACTCCTCAGGGCGCGGCTCTCAATAGGTAAATGACTATCAAACAGCACTATAGCAAGGTTGGGGGAAGCGGAAATCGCAAATAGGCCAATTTGACAGTTACTCTTGCTTATAATTCCTTATGTTCAAACGGCACGTTTACCGGGTTGGGGCGATCGTGCTTTCAATGTATAGGATTCGGGGTGTCGGAGGCTCTTGAATTCAACATTTGCCTTGCAAATTTGTGGCACTTGAGTAGTAGGTGGAGTGATATATGAATACTTGGACGATTCGCTATCGGTTCTCTGAGAAACAAGGGTCAAACAAACCTCACATGGGGCTGCGGAAGCTTTGGGTCGAAAGAATGATATATCAAGATCCACCTTGGATCATCGAAGAAGTAAAGTATTGAACCAGACCTGCGTAGAAGAGGCTTGAGGGGATTATCGCACGGAGGTATAGAATGGAATCAGCGATGTCCTGTCGAGCGTCCCCTCTGCCTTGATTTTAGAATCAGTCTAAATGATACGAGTGTCACCGGAGATAGGAGCACCCGACCATATTAGACACAACAAAATCGAGTTTGGATTAACACGCATGGTAGGAGCGCAAGAACCAAAAAATATGAGTTGGGTCAAGCCGCACACCAACATAGCGACTTAGCCACCTGGCTTTCTGCCCTGCACTTCCTCCGCCCTCTGTTTCTTCCTCAACCTACGTTCCACCATCTCGACGTACTGTTTCATGCCGTTCTCCAACAGCTTGATGGTGCCTATGCCCACGTAGTACGTTTGACCTCGATTGCCAGCATGATTGCCGTCGTCGTCATCATCCGAGGATGCATCCGAGATATCGTCCGGGTCTTCTTCGTCTTCTCCGAAAGCTCCCGCGGAGGCCAAGGAGCATCCCTCGACGACTACACGGCTAAACCACCTGTAGTTAAGAGAGTAGATCAAAAATAAGCCGACGATGAGGATATGACCAGAGATATTACTGACCGGTCGTGAGTCACGAGGATAATTCCGCCCGTAAACTTTTGGAGAGCTACAGCGATAGCTTGTATAGTTGGAGCATCGACATGTGTTGTCACTTCATCCAAAAGCCTGGCAAGAGACCGTATATTAATCTGCTGTACCAGCCATAAGGTAACGACTTCGAAATACACACAGCAAAGAAGGCGGTCGATGCACGATGAGCGCAAACGCCAGTCGAACCTATATTTAGGAGAAATCAGAACCCTCCAAATACTTCCAATCCGAACACACACAAACACACCTTTTGTCCACCAGAAAGCGCACCAAGCGGCGTGTCGCTCGCAATCTTGCCTCCCAAACCAAGCGTCCCGAGACATGACCTGGCTTCCATTTCAGTGACTTTGTCGCCTTTCTTCTCAAAGTGGTCGAGAAAATATCCGAGCGCGGTCTGCTTGAGGTCGCGTGAGAGCTCCTCAACGGAGTGTTGCGAGAAGTAGCCAATCTTCAGCGTCGGATGCCGGACGATTGATCCCTTCGTCGGTGAGAGCTCGCCCAGGATAAGTTTTGCAAGTGTCGATTTGCCTTGGCCATTCTATGACACATGTACGTCAGGCTCCCGCTGATGAAACCAGCGCTTAGAGAAGAAAGTGGTTGCTTACAGCACCGACGAAAGCACATCTTCCGCCTTGATCTACGGTGAACGTTACACCCTCGAGAGTAGCCTTCGCCGCCTTAGGATACCGGAACGACACGTTCTCGCAGTGGACCAAGCTCCCTGCAGTACGCAGCTTCTCGGGACTATGAATGGCGATCTTAACCTTGGCTTCGCCCTCCTCTATGGCAATCTCGCCTCGATTAGTGAGGTGATAACCTGCAAGGTCTCTGTTGAGTTTGAAGCGAGTGCCTTTAGCGCTCGTTTCGGCACCCCAACGTTCGTCCAGCCTGGATAACCAAGGGAATCAGTATAATAACGTCTTTTAAAGTCTATAACGAACTTCTTCTGTCTAGATTTGACCATGCGAAGCCTATGAAGGGGATCATTAATAGCGTATTTTGCCTGTAAAATCGAACAAACTGACCTATTCTCATCGCCTGTTTGCTTAGCGGACGCCTTTCCTTTCCGAATGGAGGTCTCTATCTAGATGATAGCCAGAGGCGTCAACGAATGACACAAGCATGGAGTATCATACATACATGTTCCTTCTTTTTGTCCAAAGCATCCTGTGCCTTCACGGCAGCTTTCCGCTTCTTGCGCTCGTCGATGTCAAAAGCACGCGGAGTGCCCTCAAAATACAGGAGTGTCTTGTCGCGGAGGATGATAGTTCCATCGACGACGTTATTCAAAAACACTTGGTCGTGGGACGTCAGGACGAGCGTGCGATCTTGGGAGATGAGGTATTGCTCTAGCCAGAGCGTAGCTTCAAGGTCCTGTACTCGTGGAATCAGCCAAATAGTCACCTTTGAAGATTATTTAGTACTCACGAGGAAGTTCGAAGGTTCGTCTAGCATTAGTATGTCAGACTGAACGAGTAGGGAAGTGGCCAGAGCGCAGCGTGACCGCCAGCCGCCAGAGAGTGAGGAGAATGGGCTGTCAATCATCGATTTAGTGAAGCCTAACCCATTGAGGATAGTGGCCGCTCGTGCTTCAGTGGTGGAAGCATCCAGCTGTAGGATATAGTGTCATCCACCTGTTTGACAAGGCAGTGCTATAACAGGAAGCATGCTCACCAGCTCTAAAGTCGTCGAAACGTCGTTCAGCATTTCGGCTGCCCGTGCTGCAATATCAAGTTCCACCGTAGGTTCTGCAAGCCTGAACGGATGGTTCTTGAGCACAGACTGAAGAGAACAGCGAGGGATACAAACTTTGTTTCAGCGTCTTGAACGCGTTCCTCCGCTTTGATCTCCTCCTCTCGAGCCTTCTTGCCCCTTGTTCCCGACGTCCTTGAAGCAATCTTCCGAGCCTCTTGCAGCTCCCTACGTAACCGCTCCAGCCGGATTTCAGAGACAATTCGCTGCGTCTCGGAGACAGAAGCTGCTTCTACTGCTTTTGTGAGCGCTGTCAATAGCAGTCAGATTATTTGTCGAGTGGAGGTTGATGAATATTTACCTTCAAACTCTTTCATAGCTTCGGTGCGTTCTTTATCGCCTCGCACGACATGGATTAATACAGAGGCATCTCGGTTGATATCCTCGAGTGCATCACTGGTGTCCTCGACCTGGGACACGAGTAAAATTCGAACGGCGGTGCTGATTCCGGGGATGAGCTTCTGCGATACGGCCTGGAGAAGGGCTGAAAGGGGCGAATACATATCGTGAGCGCCATTTCATACATGAAATATATGATAAGCGGTGAATGGACTCACTGGACTTCCCCGTTCCATTCCTGTAGATTCGACTCAGCTCAGCTCGGCACTGCTCGAAGTTATAGGACATGCTAAGCTTACCTGCCCACCAATGCGTATCGCACCCCTTCCTTGAGCTTCAGTCGGCTGTCTGCAATGAGCTCACATTGACCGATGGTGATAGAAACACCCTTGAGGTCAATCTCAGCAACTGAGGTATTGAGCGTCTCCGTGTGGAAGCGAGATTGTTCAGATGTTGCGTTGATGGAAGCAGAGGAGGTCTGCGCGACTTTCTTCGAAGACATGGTTAAGGAGGGAGATAGGAAGATTCAGATTGTCCGGCGTAGCTCGCGTATAGTAAGTAGTAGGTCAATGCTAGACGCTAAAGCCACCAGCCGTTCTGACTCAAAGTGTCAAGCTTCGGGACCGAGAGTTTAATGTAGCAGCCCTCCTGTCTAGAGAAAGTGCGACGCGCCGCCAGCAGCCAAGCTCGAGGAAAATTAAGAGGCTCGATGATGATACATAGATAATTACAATTTTCACCATGTTACTTACTCACTGGCTATTGAAGCTGAATCCGCCAGGGCTCGGAGAGGCGGTGGTGAGTCAAACTTCAAAGGACCTGGCAGCCCAATAAAACCGAGGGATGACTGCAAAAATTCGAGTAATATACGTGCATTTTTACTGACGGAGTATTCTACATAGTAGACAGCAAAGACGTCGACAAGTACAGTCGCATGAGCAAAGTTCGCTGAGACGAGGCGCCTCACACTATGGTTGGTCACAGGTTCGGGGATAGCCGTACTGGAGGTGCCGGCGGTTCCAACATGGTTCCGATTTTGTAATTCGGCACCGGTATGCGGTAATGCGGGGAAATATCAGACGCGAGTGACGCTATATAGCTCAGGCCCTTCGTGTTGTTCTCATAGACCACGACGACGCTTGACTTTGTCTGAAAAACGCGAAGGAAAATGCTGAGAGCACAGAGCCGACTTGTTTTGCGTCAGCGCCTCCTGACACCGCAGGCTGCTCAGAAGGCCCCTATCTCATCTTCATCGCTCAAGCCAGCGATATCGGCGCGTTTGAACCCGGCATCTCGTCCTTCCGCTCGTGGTAGAGACCTGACATCCGTTCTTCCTTCATCTTCATCGATATCCTCTAGGAATATGTCTACACACTACGGGGAATCTGCGGCTCGTCCTGATCCCGACAAGGTCGTGCAAGATATCGCTGACTATGTTCATGGGTACAATATCGAGTCGGATCTGGCCTACGAGACGGCGAGACTCTGTTTGATTGATACTATCGGGTGTGGCTTGGAAGGACTGAGGTTCGAGGAGTGCAGGAGGCTGCTGGGTCCGGTAGTTGAAGGCACTGTGGTTCCTAACGGTGCGCAGATCTCTTGGTTTTATGGCTTACCCCGCACTAACTAGCTTCCCCGCATTCCAGGGACCAAGGTGCCCGGGACCAATTACCAACTCGATCCTATCCGTGGCGCCTTCAACATTGGCACAATCATTCGCTGGCTCGACTTCAACGACTGCTTTTTGGCCGCCGAATGTGAATATTTGAACGCCTTTTTCGACGACCTCATACATTGAGCTAATTGACTTCATGATGACGTCTGATAGGGGGCCATCCTTCCGACAACTTGGGAGCCATCCTCGCAGTCGCAGACCATCTTTCTCGCAAGGGCGAAACTGTGACGGTCAAGCAGATCCTGGAGGGAATGATCAAGGCGCATGAGATTCAGGGTTGCCTGGCGCTCTTGAACTCCTTCAACCGTGTTGGGCTCGACCATGTCGTTCTCGTCAAAGTCGCCAGCACTGCCGTCGTCTCGAAGATGCTGTAAGTTACACACTCTTTCCTTCTCGGTACGCCATTCCGTGATTCACAAATGGTTTGGTCTTGTAGTGGTCTCAATCGCGACCAGACTATCGATGCCATTTCGCAGGCATGGGTCGACGGCCAATCTCTTCGCACCTACCGACATGCTCCCAACACGGGCTCACGCAAGTCTTGGGCTGCTGGTGATGCTTGTTCGCGTGCCGTCAACTTGGCTTACCTCGTCAAGAAGGGTGAGAAGGGCATGCCCTCCATCCTCACGGCTAAGACCTGGGGTTTCTACGATGTTCTCTTCAAGGTTCGTATTCCTGTTTCCTCACTCGTAATCTTGTTAATTCTAAGGACTAATTGTCCTCCTCCGAAACATCAGGGCAAGCCGTTCGAGTTCCAACGCCCATACGGTTCATACGTCATGGAAAACGTCCTCTTCAAGATCTCATACCCCGCCGAATTCCACGCCCAGACGGCGGTCGAGTGCGCGCACATTGTTCACGACAAGTTGAAAGCTCTAGGCAAGACCTCTGACGACATCAAGAGCGTTCGCATCCGTACGCAGGAAGCTGCGATCCGTATCATCGACAAGCATGGTCCTCTGGACAACTTTGCTGATCGGGAGTGAGAACTTTATTCTACACATATTGGCCTGCTCACAAACTGACGTTCGACTGTTTCAGCCACGCAATCAGCTACATGGTCGCCTACCCTCTCATCCACGGCAACTTGACCTCGGAAAGCTAGTCAGTCCACCCTTAATTCTCAAGCGTACGAATAACAACACTGACACATCTACCTCAGTACCGACAAAGCCGCCGCTGATCCTCGTATCGACGCCCTCCGCGCAAAGACGCACTGCGTCGAAGACAAACGCTTCAGCGTAGACTACCACGACCCTGAGAAACGCTCCATCGGCAACGCTCTTCTCGTCGAGCTTAACGACGGAACCGTCCTTGACGAGGTGGAGGTCGAATACCCTGTTGGCCACAAGCGTCGCCGTGAGGAGGGCACGCCTCTCCTGCTCTCGAAGTTCAAGCGTCATATTGGACACCACTTCGACGAGGCTCATCAGAAGAAGTGCGTCTTTGAATCCTAGATATTTTATTTCTGACTACGCTAATGCGGTTCATTTTTTCTGCAGGATCTTTGATACCGTTTCGGATGCGAAGTCTTTGTGGGCGCTGCCTGCGGACAAATTCACGGACATCTTCGTGAAGGCTTGAACAGTTGTAAAATATCCTGCGTTGGCATTCTAGACGAGAAAACTTCGAGACGATAGTATGCCGCAGTACGCAGTGAAAACAACCTATGCATTGCTTCATAACAATCTACCAAAGACCACGTGTACGATATTGGAAGGTTACGGGGGCTATTGACTACGTTATCCGGACGACGACCGAGAGCCATACAAAACAGACGACCTGAATACATGCGAGAGCTACAGAACATGGATATACGATTGCAGGATACTTCACGAAAGACGCTGATGGAGTTCGAACAGCTACATGACAAGAACAGGATGTTTAGAATAACTGCGAATACAACAAGACAATAGGGAGGCCCGCGAGCCAGGATCGCTACTAATAGACGAGGCGGACGGAACCGACGTAGACACGACGACAAATGCAAAGACCAGTAAAAATGGGAATCTATCAAGGGTTGTATATGCTTGAGCTGCAAGTATTATAAGTAGTGTTCACGTTCTAACGACGGGAGTAATGGGACCCTGCTGCGTCTTGCGGGATTTACCCCTCACCTTCTTCCTAGCCGCACCACTAGCTCGCTCATTGGCCGTCCCTTCAGGCCGATCTTCCCTCCCGCGATCCTCCTTCTCTCTCCCACCGCCGCCGCCGCTTATCTTGTTACGACTCGCGGGGGCGACATCGGGACGATTTCTCGTCTGCAACGGAGCGGAGGGCAGCCTAACTTTGGCTGACCCGGGTTGGATGGCAGGCCCAAGGTGCAAGCCGAGAGCTGGTGCCACCGTGCCACTCTGGATGGCGAGACCGGCGTGCATAGGACTGGGTGTCCTACGTCCTGCGGTCGAGTTGGGGTGCGTATACTGTAAAGGGACGTGGCCTTTTCCGGGGCTATCGACCGAGTTGTGTCTAGTCCTGATCGTGGTCTCGTCGTGAGAAGGCAAGAAACCAGGCAGAGCGGAGACAGACTCTTCTTCAGGGACGGCAGAAAGACGACGTTGAATCAGTCGGGCGAGAGGAATAGAGCGAGGTTGCTGTGCAGAGAGGCTGCGACTGCGTGCCTCCGGAGAGGCGGGCGACGAAGGAGGACGAGCAAAGTACGGCTGCCCTGGACGAGTGGCCTGGCCTCTGGCACTGATGGAACCGCGAGGCGTATTGGGAGGAGGCCGGGGTCGGGGAGGAGAAGCGGTAACGGAAGCGAGAAGGGCATCACGCCTAGCCAAGAGGTCCCTGAGTGTTTCAGCTGGAGAGGTGTTCGACGACGCCTCGGAAGATTTGTGAGTCTGAGCTCTAGAGTGAGAACCGATCTGAATCGAGGGAGCGAGGGCGTCGGATGAGTTCGTGCCATGAAGCTGTTCGTAGACCTGACGACGAAGTTCCTGATTCGCATCAGTAACGCCCATAGTCCGATTACGTATGCCTTCAAGAGCCTGCTCGGTGAACTGAGGGCTAGTCCAGTTGGTAGGAGAAGACATAGATTCCTGGTAGGGGGAGAATGCAGAAGACCAGAGTGGAGAAGAAGAGCTAGGCGGTGTAGGTAACATGTTGCTCTGTTTCTGTAACTGCTGGCGATGATACTGTTGTGCGATTTCCATGGCAGATAGACGTTGACGAGGAGCGGAGGAGCGAGGCTCGATAAATATCTGAGGAAGAGGGGATCCAGCAGCGGGTCGAGAAGAAAGCTTCATCGAAGAGCCAGGACCTTTCGCTAGCATGGGACCTAGATTGTTAGGCGAGGTGAACCCGAAGCCGTGAAGGATTGAAGGGTGGGTGTCGACGGGGGGCGTGGGGAGGAGACTCTGTAGGTACAAGGGCGCTTGCGCGCCAGTACCCGGAAGATCTTTGTAATCGGATCCTGCCTCCCAAGATTTGCCGTGATAGTCTTGTAAAAGATTCTCGAGAATGATCGCATCATCGCCACAAGGGTAAGGAAGATTCGAGACTTGTTCCGGAGGAAAGAGACCGCGAATGTGGGCGTTGGTCTCATTGCGAGGGAGTAAAGGTGAACGATGCACGGGTTCCGTAGGCTGAGATCGTCTCTGGTTGTCGGCAGGCTTGTGATATGCCGACTGGACGGGTTTAGAAGTCAAGCTTTGCTGAGCGGTATGCGAAGTTTTTCGTTGCGAATGCGTGGGTTGCATACTCTTCGAGCGGTCGATCGGGGGGTTACCGTCATGGCCGAGGCCCCATATCATACGGGGAAGACTATCCGGTTCCTCGATGATAGTACCTTCAGCACCGCTGAACAGAAAGATGTCAGATGTTAGTCTCATATCGGGCTACATAAAGACATACGAGGGGCAGCGAGCGTAAGGCAAAGAAAGTGGGCCATGAAGAGCGGGGATAGGACGGGGCGGGGAACTTGCCCAGGAGATCCATCCTATGTATGGGGTGAGTAAGCGTAGTGCTGGTAATAGGTGCCAAAAAACCCGAATACTGACCGTCCTCATCAGCTTTGAGCACAGGGGTGGAATCCGGCTTGGGTAACTCTTTGATGGGTTGTGGGCGCAAGAAGGCATCGGATAATCCCCCGTCATGCTCTATGATAATGATAGAATCTATGAATGACAGCGGGATAGTACATGAGCTAAGGATGCTTCCACAGAGACAGCAGGAGTCTTACCTGACCTATCTCCATCTAAAGAGAGATAAGATTCTACGCTACAGAGGGATGCGTCCTGAGAATCTGTGGAAGTGCTGGTGTCCATGAGGTGGCGCTGTTCAGGCATAGACACGATACGCAGGGTGTTGGCTCGGAGCTCAGCTTTGGCGGCACAGATGGCGTCCGTTTCTGGCAAAGAGACATTACGAGATTTTTCGATGGATCCCTGAGAGGGTAGATTACGACCCAGCGGGGGCGGCTTCATGGTGCGTTGAACCTGTAACAAGGCCGACGGAGAAGAACTAGCTAGCGCCGAGATGTCGTGTGAAGTCGAGAAACCCAGAGAAGACAGTGACGACAGTGAGGATTCGTTGACCGAGAATACTGGGCTCTGAAGATCAGAGGCTTGAGATTGGCTGGCCGTAGGTGACGGCGACGCTGTCGACGTTTGCACGGAGCGTTCGCTGCACGCTTCAACTGAGATGCCCGCCATGAGAGTAGATAGAAGATCTCTAGAACAACCAAGAGAAAATGATAAAAGAAAAGAGAGCGTGTACGAGCGATGGGCGTAGTTGCTGGCCCGCGGTCGAGGTGGGGAGAGGCAACGTTGAGTGTTCAATTCGGCGGGCAATTTGGAACTTATACAGTCGCCCGCGTGGCCCGTCCGTACTTTCAGACTCCGCTCGGGTTCGAACACATCGCTTCGGACTTCCGACGCTTGCCACGTACCTCTCCGACGCTCGGTACCGTTTTCACCTCATGAATACCACTGTAGCGAGTCTCGCATACGACTCTCATTTTGGTCCACCCTCTGAGCCTTTGAATATCGAAGACTTCATAACAGACGGCCGCAAACCACTATCTTCATCCGAGGAGAATCTCTTTACGTCGAAGCCCTGTCACATACAGAATAGAGACGCTCTTGAAACTCTCACCGAGGACCAACGAAAGGAAATTCAAGATGAATGTTGGTATGCCGTTGACCCACCTCTAGATATGGGCCGAACCTGATTAAAACTTCCAGCTTGGATGAATTGAATGCCAACGTGAAGGACACGCTCAAAGATCCTCGTCTATACGCTCATGCTCGTCGAACCCACGAGGCGGCAATTATATCCGTGTATGAGACAACAGAAACGAATGTCTCCAACCGAAGAAAACGGAAAAGAGAGGACCTTGCCCCATCAGCTCAAGATCCTCCTGAACTTGTTGCCTTTCGCGAACAGCTGACAAATATAACCTTGCAAAGCTGGCCGTCCGTATGTTTTCCCAGGTTACATTCGACGATACTGACTCCGCCATTTAGTCTGCCTCATACGGCCTCCTTTTTTATCCGCGGTCCCAAAAACTCTGATCTGAATCCGCTAACAGAAGTGGTCCGTTAACTTTATCTCACAAAAGCATCGAGAACTAAATTTTCAACATCGTAGAAACATTCAATGGATGACGTCCCAGCTGTTTCTCAAGCCATTCTCACCATATCAGTACACCAGCGCATTGCCTGGTCTCATAACTTTATCGCTCGTCTATCTCAGCACGCTATGGTATCGTCACAAACCCTCGGAGACCTCTTCGAAATGATACCTTGTCAATCCAACGAGCTCCCTTCGGAAACATTGGACGATGATGGGAAGTATACGTACGCAGATAGCTCAAGCAATGTTCCTCCGCCATCGAGTGGATTCGTACTCTGTATAGAGGGAATCGCATACGGAGACGGTATGAGCGAAGATGATTATGCTGAGTATGTCTCTAGTCGACTATACCGCTCCCACCACTGGAGTTGACGTTTGGCACAAGTAAGCTAGTCAAACATCTTGCAAATACAGAGGCACCCCTTCAGAATGGACCTAAGGCACACGACACACCTCTATCTTCACTCTCGGTCAGGCTTCATCAGCCATACTGGCTCCTCCACCAAGGCGATTGCGAGCACTACATCGTGTTTGAAGAGATTCGGTACGTTTCCAGGATCGTTTTCCAGTTCATTGCACTGACTTCGTCGCATAGCTTAATACATCCCAGTGATCCCAAGAGTGGCTATCCGCTTACCCTCCAAATAACGCCACCCTCGCTCAGTCTATGCCGTGCATGTACGCGCGTGCCGGCTGTCTATTCCATCGTCGGGGACATTCGCCTTGGAGAAAGCCCATGTGTTCTTTGCGCCGCCTGCTGGAGGACTATGGGAATTCCCCCAGGTGATCAGGCTGACTTTATCACAGTTGTTCCCCTCCCTCGTCACGAACTTGGTTGGCAGACATAGCCCTTCCATTCGCGACATGCAATAATTTCCTTGTGCTATCTGCAGGAGCTCTCTTTCTCTACTGTAGTTTTTCGACCATAAGTTCGTGGGAAGATTATGTCAGACGTGACACTCGCCAGGCCACGGTTCGTTTGGCTGGGCCACGCGTGACGAACCAATGAAATTGTTCGCAGTACGACCCAAAATTTGATTTTCGGGCAATTTCGGTGCAAATTGGTCACGATTTACTGTTCGTGGACCCACGTATCTGCGTGACTATTGGGTCAAATATGTTCGCCGGCGCACCCTGCGTGATGCGTGACGAACATATGGTCGAAAAACTACAGTAGTTAAGGAGCAATCATTTTGTCCGGAGCCGGTGTAAATTGTAGAGAACAGTAGATACTTAACGGCAACGTTCGCTTGCGCATGTTAAGGTGGCTCGCATTCGTCAAGCCTGGTCTCAATTTTGGCGGCGTTGCTTGCACATCAGGAGAGGCGCCACCGACTGGTCACACCGCCGCAGAACGCCGCGTAATACGCGGTTGTTGACGCGTTATTTGGCTGCATCCTCCACCTCTCCTCACCGTCACCGTCTAGTCTCGTTCTTTTTACGCTCGATCCTCTGAAGAATCCATGCTCGTTCTCATAATGTCTTCATTACTTTTGTACTCAAGTTGGATACGGGACTGATGGCCAGACCGAAATCTTAGGATGCCTTTCCCAGTCGTTCACCCGCCCGTCTCAGCTCTACGTACCTTCTGTCTCAGGCCAACAGTCCCCATTCAAGCATCAAGAAACTTACCGAGGACCAGCAGTCTCGTATGATGAAGCGTCCTTCGAATGCCTATAAAACCATGGCTCGAAAACTAGTTATCCTCATCCATAGGTCTACAGTCGCACTCCACATCTTCGCTTGCACTACTGCACATCCAGCTCAACTGCAACTTTACTTGTATTTTCACTCGTTCGACTATAACCATGTTCTTCTTGGAGACTTCTATTCTCGTCTTCGCCTTCATGGTCGACCTGCTCTTCACTATGGTCTCTGTGGCGCTTGACTTGTTCTTCGGTGCTACTCTCTTCATCTTGTGCGCCGACTGCCAAGTACAAGACATCATTGTGGCCACCACATCTATCGACAAAATCGACTCACTGTCCCATGCACCAGCAAGTGCTAGCCTCTCCGAGTCCGCCATCCAGCACTCCGACCGAGGCATTCACGAGCTCAGCGACAAGCAACGCATCGCTCAGTTCGAGATTGACGTCGAGACTCTGACCGAACGCCTTGCGCTCCGAGAGAACGAGGTAGTTGCTTTTGAGCACTTGGTGAGTCACTCGCTGCTGATATCTACTGTACGAGTATTGTACTGACAATGTTACGCAGACCGCCTACCTCGGCACCGTCATCGAAGACAAAAATGTCCAAATCTCCACTTCGAGGCAAGAGAACGAACAAGAGAAAATAAGACTCGAACAAGAGAAAACAACACTCCAACAAGAGAGAGCAACACTCCAACAGGAGAAAGCAACATTCCAACACGAGAAAACAACATTCCAACACGAGAAAACAACATTCCAACACGAGAAAACAACATTCCAACATGAGAAAACAAGACTTCAACAGCAGGTAAATTGGCCACCCATATCATAAATATTGTGAATGTCATACTAAGCATAGTATCTACCGCTACAGATCCAAACCCACGGCCTGTTTATCGCAGACCTCACCCAAGCTCTCGCTCAAACTCGCACCGACTCTATGCACGAGAAGATACTGGCTCAGCAAGAGCTCGACAGGGCCCACGTGGAGATCCTCGAGAACAAAGCCGATGCTGTTCGTCACTCTCGCAAGGTCAAGCGTCTCAGCAGCGTAGTCAAACAACGTGGCGAGCTCGCCCTCAAACTCGCCCGCCGCCCTATCTTTTTCGACCCCAAGAGTCTTCCCGGCGGACCTATCGCTGCCATGCTTCCTACTCCCCCTGCTTCGCCTGCACTCGTCAATGCCTCGTTCGACAACGAGTCTGCACCGCTCTCCACTTCCATCTCTTCCACCGACAGCGCCGCCTCCCCTCTCGCATGAGAGTCGCATGTTGGTTACATGTCCCTTGCGTTACACATCATCACACACATTCGCCAGTCCCCTTGCACATATTCCCCAATCCCATTGCATATATTCCCCATTCCCATATCGTATTGCGTACCCAATCTCTCCAGTTTGTTTGTTTGCTTGTCTGCTGGCCTATGTTCTGTCTTGTATTATTTAGTCATTCCTGCCTCATGTACTCGTCCACGCCCCGTCGGGCTCCATCTCCTGTTCCCATTCCTACTACTATATCGTGTTACATTCTCAATCTCTCCGGGATGTTTGTGTTGTGTATTGGGTGTCCTAATGATATCCTCCGTTTTGTTGATTCGTCGTGATGTGATTCTGCGTATCATCTATTGCAACCATCTGAAGCGTGAAGACTTCAACAACAACAGGCCGGGTCCATGCTGCTACCAACAAGTAGACCAGAAACGAGAGAAATGCCAATATTTTACATGAGTGTACAGCGTATCGGTACTAAGGGTGCAAGTGAGGAGCAGATGGGGTACCGCAATGGGGCAAGCATGAACGTAGATACTCAGCGGCGGTGTGCGCTTATGCATCTTGGGGTGGCTCGCATCCGTCGAGCCTGGACTCAATTTTGGCAGCGTTGTTTACAAACTAGGAGACGCGCCACACACTCGCATAAGACGCGTTGTTGACGCGTTATTTGGCTGCATCCTCCACCCCTCCTTCCTCACCGTCACCATCTAGTCTCGTTCTTTTTACGCTCAATGCTCTGAAGAATCCGTGCACGTTCCCCGACTATCTACATTGCCTCTGTTACTTGTATACCAGTTGGGCACGCGACCGATGGTCGGGGGGAAATCCCGGGATGCATTTCACAGTCGTCCACGCCCGTCTCAGCTCTACGTACCTTCTGTCTCAGGCTAGCAGTCCTCCTCCATGCATCCAGAAACTCTCCGAGGACCAGAAGTCTCGTATCGTGAGGCTTCCTTCGAATGCCTATAAAAACATGGCTTGAAAACTAGTTATCCTCATTCTCATCCACAGGTCTACAGTCGTACTCCACAGCGTCGCTTGCATCACTTGCACATCTAGCTTAACTGCAACTCTACCTGTATCCTCACTCGTTCGACCATGCTCGTCTTCGTCTTCATGGTCAACCTGCTCGTCACCATGGTCTCTGTGACCCTTGACTTGTTCTTCCGTGCTGCTCTCTTCATCTTGCGGGCCGCCTGCCAAATACCAGACATCATCGAAGCCGCTGCATCTATCAGCAGCGTCGGCGCAGTGTCCCATACGCCGACAAGTGCTAGTCTTCCCGAGGCCGCCATCCAGCACTCCGAAGGAAACATTCACCGCGACCTCAGCGATGAGCAACGTGCCGCTCAGCTCGAGACCAGAGTCGAGGCTCTCAAACAGCGTCTTGCACTCCGTGAGAACGCGAACGCTGCTCTGCAGCGCAAAGTATGTCCTGTTCCTGCTCTCTTATCTACGAGCTTTACACTGATATACCCGTTCTTGTAGTACCTTGCGCTCCGTGAGGACGCACACGCTGCTCTGCAGCGCACAGTATGTCCTATCCCTGCTCTCTTATCCACGAGCTTCACACTGATATACCCGTTCTTGTAGACCACCTATCTCAACACCGTCATGGAGGACGTCAGGCAAGATAAAGAATGGCTTGAGCAGCAGGTGAGGAGTAGTGGTCATTACCGAAATTTCTATTGCCATCCTAATCCTAACGCGTATTATCCCAGGTCCAAAACCTCGACCTGTTTGCCGCAGACCCCAAACTGGCTGGGCAGGAGCTCGAGAGGGTCGACATGGAGACGCTCGTGAACAGAGCCGATGCTCTTCGTCGCAAGGTCAAGCACCTCGACAACGTAGTCAAACATCGTGACGACTTTGTCCTCAGACTCGCCCGCGACCCTTTCTTTGCGAACTTCAAGGTTCTTCTCGGCGCACCCATCGCTGCCTTGCTTCCTACGCCCCCTCCTTCGCCTGCACTCGCCAATGCCTCGTTCGACAACGAGCCCGCAGCGCTCTCCCCTTTCGCATGAGAGCATTTCCATGTTACACATTCCCCGCTCTTGTATTGTGTCACATTCTCAATCTCTCCGGGATGTTTGTGTTGTGTATTGGGTCTCAATGATATCCTCCGTTTTGTTGGTTCATCGTGGTGTGATTCTGCGTATCATTTATGCGGACCACCCGAAGCATGAAGTCTTCAATAACAGGCCGGGCCCATGCTGCTACCATCAAGTAGACCGGAATGAGAGATATGCCAATATTTTCCATACAGCAGCGTATCAGTACTAAGAGTGTAAGTGAGGAGCAAATGAGGTACCACAATGGGGCAAGCATGGAATAACAAACTCTAAGCAGTCCGGGGTGATACAGATGGGCGTGATGACAGCGAATGGAGCGGTAGAACATTGGGGATGAGGGGTCGTGTTCGTCGTAGCAAGGTGTAAAAGGTCGTGAAGTGCGTCAATGATGGGTGAGGGCTGATAGATGAAGGTTGTGCGGCGGCTAGGAGCGATTTCTGCTGGAGCTCGGGTACCTTCTTGCGCCACGCCGTCAACAGTCGGGGGTAGATTTCAGAATAATATATACAAGAACGAACCACAGACGACCATGAGGTTTAGAACGAGTGAACTCACTCGTGCACCTCCACGCGAACGCCGGGCCTGCTTAGTATAGATTTCGGCTGGTGATGATGAGTGGTGTGGCCCGAGCCATGACCGTTGGCTTGCGAGCGTTCTGTTGCGCCACTCGCACGCCTCATCGATGGTGGGGGTACAGGAAGAGGACGTTCTTCAGGCTCTGGAGGGTTCGATCTTCGACGAGCACGGCCCTTGCCCTTGTCGCGTGTGGTGGGCGGCTCTTGTGGGATCGTTATGAGAGGTGCTGGTGGTTGCGCGGATGTGGAAACGGGTACCGCGACGACGACAGGTTGAGAGGGGAAGACCTGAGCAGGAGTTTGAGGTGTCATTCCTACAACTGAGGCCATCTCTTGCCTGTGACGCTGATTCGTAGCTGCGATTATGATCACACGACAGTCAACATTCCTTGCCACATATCATGTCATAAAAACAGGTTAAAGGGGATACATACATTCCAACAGCCTCAGATCGGCCTCCCTGTGGAAGCTCTGCATGAGAGCAGAATAACGCTTCACCTGCCACCCCATCTGGGTCGCCCTTGCCTTATTCCCCTGTGCCATCGCCCACTTCTGTTCCTCCTTGAACCTCCTCCGCTCACTGTCCGCCAACGATGCCTTCTTCCTCAACGCGGCCACTTCGCGCTCCAAAGGGTTCATGGTGTGATTCGGATCGATCCAATCGGACATGGAGTCCCAAGACTGCGTGGTGGCGGTAGTCACCGACGGAGCAGGGGTATCGAGGAACTCTCGCCTCCGACGCTCGTAAAGCCTGTCGACATCCCGGCTGGTATTCGACTGCGTCGGGGAGCGAAACTGGACGAGGCGACGTCGAGAGATGGCGGACGAGACGATCGAGCCATCGTAACTGGCCGTTCCCGTGAGGTCGGACGCACCGGTGTCTTCCACCACCTGGGAGATGACGTCCGTGAAGAGTACACCGCTTGCGACTCCGAGGAGCAGGCAGGCGCATTCAAGTGTGTCGTGCGTGACGATGAATTTTATGAAGATTCTAGCGCCGATTACGAGGCCCACGCCCCAGGCGTAGTAAGGAAACTCCATGAGACAGTAGTAAAGGGCAACACCCTGGGCGAGGCCGGAGAGGACATGGTCCTCGATGGTGATGGTCTCGCGAACGTTTACAAACTTGTTGAAGGCGATTCGCGTGCCGAGGCCAAGAAGAAGAGAAAGAGACGTGGTGTAGGGGTAGGGCATGGACTATGACTGTGCGCAGTAACCAGAATAGACATGGGTGGAGGTGCACAAGACGCCGACCGCGTCTTATATCAACAACGAACACGAGGCTATTTTTCTGAACATTATATCTCACGTGACCGAGACGTAGGAACATTCATGATTCCAAAGCAAATAACGGCAGCATAAATACAAGAATACAGTACACAAGCAATGGAGAAAAGGAAAGATAGACCTAGAGGTCCTCGTCGACGTAGTTCGCCATTGGGTCTTCTCCCATGGAGCGTGTCCTCCGGTAGGCCTCTGCAGAAAAAGGATCCGAATCAGTCTCCATCTTTGCATAGGGAAGAAGTCAAAAAGAAACATACCAAGCTCCTCTTCGGTCACGTCGAACTTCTTGGTGTCAGATTCTCCACCCTTTGACTTCTTGCTGAACCTCTCATCCCCTTCATCCGTCCTTGACTTCCTCTTCCGTTCCTCGCTCATCGCCTCCGCCAACTTGTCTTGGTTAAGCTCGGGATCTTCACCAAGGGCCTTTTTGTTCGAAGCCTTGCTCTTGCCCTTGTCCTTCCGCTCGTTATGCTCTTCTGCAAGTGACTTCTGTTCTGGTGGCGGTGAATGGCGGGAGGAGGATGCAGCGAGTAAGTTTTGAGCGGATGAAGCTTGGGAGGCTAGTTTGCCTGCTTCGCCCGTGCAATACGAGAGGTGGACGGAAGAGTGGCAGCACGCATAGCCCCAAGTGCCAGCTGTCGCGTCATACCATGAACCCCAGACGGCGGTATGGTTGTTGACATAGACTAAGAGCGAATCAAGTCAGCCAACAGCATGGTAACGCGAATGCGAGCACGGCGAACTCACCATCCTCGGGATACTTCGAGCGAGCCTTTGCTCTCTCCTTCCCATGGATGACCTGACCCGTCCGAGAATACTCGACGTACTCCTCCGTCTGTCCTTGGAGAAGCTCCTTCGGGACCTTCTGAAGGTACTCCTCGCCACCATACTTCGCCAGCACGCTGACTTTCGACGTATCCTTGAGCTCTTCCTTCTTTTCTTTGAACTCCTTGTGCAAGAGCTGGCCTTGCGTCGGGTTGGCGTTGAGGTGCACGTCGTTTCCGCGAGCAGCGGCCTGCCATGCGAACAACTGGAGCTCTTGTACCTGAGGAGCATCGCCGGAATGACGCAGGAAATTGTCGCCAGCAAACGGAGCCTATATAATGACCACGGTAAGAGACGGGCAGTGAAGAAAAAAAGTTCAGTAAAAGGACAACGCACCTCTTCTGGAGGCAGGTTCTTCAAAGGGTTATCACGCATCGAACGCGTCTTAGGGTCGTAGTATGCACTCGACGGGTCCAAATTGATGAGATACTTCGCCGTATCCTCACGAATACGCAGATTCCGAACCGTAATCCTCGTCTTCGTGTCCATCTTCTGCCCCACCGCGTCCGCCGAATCCGCATACTTATCCTCGTCCGCGTCCTCCTCGTCGCTCGACCCGAAATCCGCATCTCCCTCCTTGCCCTCCGCCTTGCCCGCCTTCGCCACCCTCCTCACCGCCGCCAAATCAGTCGTCGTCTGATTATCAATCTCCTCCTCCCTCAACCTCTGCCGCTCCGCCTCTATCGCCTCGTACTCCTCGTAGATCTTCTTATGCTCCGACGGGTCGTACCCGTTCCACCTGTCGCGCTTCGCATCGTACCCCGCCGCCACCTCCTGGATGATCTCGTCCGGAGCGATGTCTCGATTCGTGTACTTCGCGCCCTTCTTCCGCGGACGCTCGAGGCAGTCCTGCTTTTTGTGCGTGATGGCGCCGCAGTTCTCGCACGCGCCCTTGCGGTACTTGGTCGCCGCGGGTCCGGCTTTGACGTTCCGGTCGTACCAGGTATCAAGCTTGGTAGAGGAGCGGTCGTCTTGCGGTCGCCGTTGATGGCTGAGAGAGGGCGCGCCAGTGTCGAGGTACCATGGAGCCTGTGAGATGTACTCTGTGACATGACAGTGTTAGTGCTCGTGTGTTTCAGAACATGGATGTGTGGAACGTACGAGGAATATGAGGGTTGATAGCCTTGCCCTCCTCGTCAAGAGCGGCAGGTGCGGTACCCGCTTTACGAGCGGCATCGAGGTCCTTTTGTCGGCGGAACTCCTCCCTGGACAGTTTTCCAACAGCTATATACAGCCAAGTCAGTCATTTGAGTGATATGGTAGTCTCGGCTCTTCACGCACCACTAGAGGAGGCCATGATTTGTTTGTATCGAAGACGAAGATGTGAGAGAGCAAGTCACGAACAAGTCCAGCAGGAGCAGGAAGCGACATGCGTGGCGCTGCTTACAAAGCGTCGGAGCTCACCTGTGGCGCAGCCTCGTGTGGCGACAATCCCCTCACTTTGACATTTCTGCTGCACCCAAGGAAAAGCACATCTGCAGGGTTACAAACCATATAGAAATTCCGTATTATAATCCTTTGATACGAGTGTACAGAGTGATAAACACAAGAAAAGAGAGAGAAAAAAACGCTTAGAAGTACACTTTAAACATTTATGCGGCAAGTAAAAGACAAGAGACAGGCCCAAACGCAAGGAAAGAAAGAAAGAGGAACACATAAGTCAAAAGGACTACGAGGCGGAACCAACGACTTGAGCGAGTATGTATGTAGTCTGACGGCCCAACAAAGAAGAAGGAAGGGTATGAAAGCAGAAAACGGATAGGGTAGGCGGTAGGCTAGAATAGAATAAGACACGAAAGGGGCACAAAGCAACGAGGAAAGAATGTTCGACGGACTGAGCTGAGCTGAGCATTATACGGGAGCTGGTGCGAGGGCGGAGCGGATGTGTACAGTATGGAAAACACGGAGGACAGGGACAGCAACCAAGGGCGGAGAGAGCGAGCGAAGATGACGGTGTATAAGCAAGGCAATAAGAGTGGGGGAGCGGAGATGGTGAGGTTCTGGTGCAAGGCAAGGGTTCATCATCGGTACGACTTTCCGTTCACCTTGACAGACGAGGATTGACCGGACGCGGGGATGGCGCTGCTGCCATTGGGCTTCGGGTTCGGCATGCTCGAACGTGGCTTTTTCGACGCACCCGGTTCTGCGGATGCCTCCTTCATCACCATCTTCGCGTGGATCTCCTCCAACTTGCCCGCCTTCACCTTCTTTGGCCAGAACAGGGTGACGAAGCTGTGTGAAAGATCAGACATGCCGAAAGAAAAAGAACGAGAGCGACGAATACTCACGTCCAAAGATGTCGTCTCCACCGATCTCGGTTCTCGCCCGCCGCCTGCTTGTTCTCAAGCACAACCTCTATCCGCCGTCCGATAGCAGCCAAAGACTCCTTCAGCAACGCGACCTTGTCCTCCCTCGGCATATCGCCCCCAGACAGCTTCAGTTGTTTCTAAAGTCATGGAATGCTCAGCGACGTCATGGAAGAGAGTAAAAAAACAAGACAGGACGCACGAGTTGCTTCTTCACCGGCCGCAACTCCTCCTTTGTCGCCGCCTCATCCATCGACGGACTGTCAAACGAAACTCGCATAAGCCAAGCACACAAACACAAGCAGCAGAAAGAAAACAGACGCACCACTCATCCGAAGACTCCGAATCCGTAAACGTCGGCGTCGGCCTCCTCTTCCTCTTCTTATTACTCGTATCCTCCACCGACGCCACCGCCTCGCTCTCCGCCCTCCTCTTCAAACTGCCCCCAGTATGGCTATTATGACTGCTCGACGCCACCGGCTGCGGCGACGACGAGATCTTGAGCACGCCCTTGCTTTTGAGCGAAGTCTCGTACGACCGCAGCTTCTCGTCATGCTCCCTCAATATCCCGAGCAAGAAATCGCCCCGCCGGACGAGATGGATCGCGTTCGGAATGGGCTTCGACGCCGTGTCTTCGCCCTTCTTGCCTTCCTCCAGGAAAAACTTCCCCTCGAGCCCGAGCTTCGGATCCTTCTGCATCGCCTCCCAATTCCCGAACCCGTACGTGAACGCACCAACCAAAAGCATCGCGTCGTCCTGCGGGCCCCATCGACCCGACCAATTGAGCGTGGGCCGAATGTTCTCGATCGGGATCGCCCAGTGGTACCGCTCTTCTTCGGTCAGAGGGCTGAGGTGGTCGTAGAGGATCTTGAGGTCGCGCGTCCGGGAGACGACGGTCTCGGCGTTGATGTTCCCGACGTTGCGATACGTGACGAGGACGGCCTTGCTCTTTTGGGCGGTGGTGAGGGTCTCCCCTGCGGCGAGCCGAGCCCGCTTCTGGTTATTGTTCTCCTCGACGGCCTGGGAGCAGATATCGACGATGTCGTCCGCGACGTCGATGATCATCCCTTTGTTCTTTTCCCCCAGTTTCGCCTCGGTGACCTAACGCCACCCAACCATCTTCAACAAACCGACATCCCAACTACCGAAAAGAGAGAAAAAAAACTCACTATAACATCATACCGCTGCCTGATATCCCCCCACTTCTGCATACTCCTAATCAACACCCTCACATCCCTCTCCTTAAGCTCCATCGCCTTCTGACTCGCCGTCTTCCTCTGCGGCTGCGGCTTCGGCTTCTTCGCCGCCGGCTGTGGCGCAGGCTGGTCGATATCCATCCCCTCGTACGACACCGGCGCATGCGACCTCTTCCTATCCCTCGAATCCGCAACGGCCAACTCCTCCGCCTTCTTCGCGTCCTCCTCGCGCTCGATCTTTTGTCGTTCTTCGAGCGGGATGATGTCCTCCCAGGAGAGATCGTTCTTCACGTCCGTGATGTCCGCGAATTGGGCCATGAAGGCCTCGCCGCCGAGGGAGGCCCCGCCGTCGGCGCCTTCAGCCATCGTTTCGTGATCCTCGGCGCGGTTCAGGATATCGTCGAGGTCCATCTCGTCCAGCTTCTTGCTTTGCTGCGTGTCGTCCTTGTCGAACCTATATAGCATCCAGGGCGAAAGAGGCGTATATGTCAGCGTTGATCGTAGGGGGCGGAGCGGTGCAGGGGGCGGCGGCACAGGTGGAGGACAGGATGAAGGAGGGAAAGGAGGGGACAAAGGCGCGGGGGAAGTAAAAGGAAGGGAGGTTGATGGAGGCGCGGCCGACGACAAAGAAAGCCGGCATTCAGGGGGAAGGGTGACGGCGAGGGGAAATTACGCACATCTTCTGTGCGCCGTACTTGAGCACGGCGGTAAGCTCATCCTTGCTCAAATTGTCAGGCTTGGCCAGGTCCTTCACGTTGCCGCCCTTGCCAGAGAGGTGCGCCTGGGAAGTGTCCATCTGGTTGATGACTAAAACGGCGACCGTGAGCAGGGGAACCGGAGCGAGCCGGGCGAGGCGAGGGCGAAGACGAATGGAAAGGGCGCGAAGCGGCTAGGCACCGCGGAAGGCGTCGTGGAAGACGGGGACTCACTGGCATATTCCAACACCATCTTCTTCTTCGCGCGCTCGAGGACGTCCTCCTCCACAGTGTCCTTGCTGACGAACCTGTAGACGCTTACATGGGACTTTTGCCCAATGCGATGAGCGCGGGCCATCGCCTGCAAGTCATTTTGAGGGTTCCAATCGCTCTGTGTGCGTGACGGACGGAAGACGAATCAGTACTGCCGCTCGCTTAACCGATAACGTCCTCGTCGGCGTCGGCAGAGAAAGAAAGCAGGAACGGGGCTCACATCGAAGATGATAACGGTGTCCGCCGTCTCCAAGTTGATGCCCAGACCGCCCGCGCGAGTGGAGAGCAAAAAGACAAAATCGGGTGAGCCGGGCGCGTTGAAGTGAGCGATCGACTTCTTCCGTGCTTCCGACGCGACCATCCCGTCCAGCCGCTGATGCTGGTACCCACGCAGCGTAAGATAGTCGGTCAGGATGTCCAGCATGCGCACCATCTGACTGAAAATGAGGACGCGGTGCCCATCGGAGCGCAGCCGCGCGAGAAGCTTGTCCAGGAGGACCATTTTACCACTGTTCATGACGAGGCCCTTAAGGACCTCCTCGTTCGCATCGGCCTTGACCTCGGCGCCGTCGAACAGATAAGGGTGGTTCGCAGCCTTTTTCAATTCCATCGCTGCATACGGCGACGGCCAAATCAGCTTGCTGACCAGGTCACGCGATGCAGGGGTAAAGACGCACCAATATTGAGCAAGCTGATGTTGTTGTTCCCGTTCGCGCTCTTGACGAGAGCCGAGAAGTTCTGTCATAGATGTCAGAGAACGACCGAGAACTACGAAGAGGCACGAAAACAAACCTTCGTCAGGATGTTCTTGTAGAAATGGGTCTGCAGACCACTCATCTCGACACGCAGGATGCGCTCGCTCTTCGTAGGCAAGGACGTGAGCACGTCGCGCTTGAGCCGTCTCAACATCAGCGACTCCAGTTGCTTGTGCAGCTCCTGGATCTTTGTCTCGTGATCGGCATCGTTGAGGTCGAATTCGTTCGTAAGGGCGACTGAAGAGGAATTTTGTGAGGACTAGCGGGATAAGTATAAAACGCGTATACTCACATTTCTCGGGCATCAGGAAATGCATCAAGGAAAGCAACTCTGTAAAGCAAGGGTCAGCGGTGTGACACAGACCGCCCAAACGTCTACTCACCCTTCACGTTGTTTTGAAGAGGGGTGCCCGTGATGAGCAACTTCGATGCCGCCGAGAAAGATCTCAACGCCTCATAAAGTTGACTCTCCGAGTTCTTCAACCTGTGGGCTTCATCGACCGCGAGGACTTGCCACTTGATCTCACCGAGCTCTTTAGAGTCGCGCAAGGTCAACTCATACGTGGTCAGGAGCACGTTCATCTTGAGTTTCTTATTCGACGGCCCAAACTCGTACGTCCGGATGATTTCCCGTGCGGTAGCGGTGCCGATATAGGTAATGACATTGAGTTCCGGAGCCCAGGTGGCGAACTGGGACTGCCAGGCGGTGATGGTCGAGAGGGGAACGATGACGAGGAACGGTCCGTACTGGTTCATCTGGTGGAAGAGATAGGACAGGAACGCGACCGTCTGCACGGTCTTTCCGAGGCCCATCTCGTCCGCAAGAATTCCTGGAAAGTCATTAGAAGCGGTGCTACCGAGTGGCACAAAAAAAAAGTACATACCGTTCTCGCCATGGCACCACAGATACGCGAGCCAGTTGAGGCCCGTGAGCTGAAAGTCCTTCAGCTTTCCGCCCGTCTTTGTGATGTACGGCGGGTCCTCCATGATTTTGACGAACTTCGGACGCTGGTTCCTCGAGTACAACGCGCTCTTGAACGGGAACTTTGCCTCTGCCTCGCGCTCGCGGAAGGCTTCGACGAGGTCCTGCGCGAGCGTCTTGATCTGACCCATGGACTCCCACGTACAGTGCTCGTAGTTGAGGCCTTGCCACTTGACGAAGTACTCGGGTTCGGTGCCGCGGACGCGGTGCGAGATGACGCGCTCGACCTTGCAATACGTCTCGAGCTCCTCCTTGTCGCGCTCCTTCTCGAGCAGAAGCGACTCGCGGTCCTCGGAGGTGACGGCTTCGGCGAGGCGGGCTTGCCAGATCTTATAGTTCTTGATGTAGTTGTCGACGCGTTTGAGGCCTTTGAACCGTTTGAGGAACTCGTAGACCTCGTCTGTATTGTGTAGATGCGAGAATCCCTTCCATTTGATGGTGAAGCGCTGCAAACAAACCCCTGTAAGCGAACGAATATCAACTACGAAACGGATAATAGCACGCACAATATTCTCCGTCCAAATGTCCTCTGGATCGTCGTCGTGGCCTTCATCCCGAACATGACCAAGAACCGCCTCAATCTCGTCGCCCTCCTTGACTGTGGCGGAGGTATCGACGTAATAACCAGGGTCTGGCTCGTCGAAGGCGGCAAAGTCCTCAATGTCGTCTGCGTAGTTGGGCACCTTGACGCCACGGTTCGACGTGCGGACTTCCTCTACGCGGGGTTTCTTCTTCTTCTTCGAACGCGCGCCGTACTCAGAGTCCGAGTCTGAAGAGATTGGACGCGACGGAACTAAACGAGAGAGGTCAGGGGGAGGGGAAAGAGGTGGCGAGGGGGAATGGGACGTACCTCTCGCTTTCGGCGGGGCTTTCTTTCTCGGCTTCTTGGGTGCAGACTTCTTCTTGGTGGAGCCATACTCCTCGTCCGCATACGACGCGTCGTCCTCGTCGTCCTCTTCGTCGTCGGCGACCGAATCCTGAACACACAAAATGGGTGGCGCACACCGAACATGAGCCTAGCGCGCACAGGAAAAGGGGGAAGGATACGCACTGGGTCCTCCTCATAGTCGATGTCCATAGGGGGCGAGGGCTGCTGGGCGTGGTAGACGGGTTGGACGGGCTGTGGGTCGTCGAGGTAGTCGACGTCGGCGTCAGCGTCAGCGTCGTCCTTTGCATCGGAGTCCGAGTCTAGGTGCATGTTGTCGTCCGTGGTGAGGTCATCGACGTTGTTGGAGTAGGGGTGCTCCGGGGGGGAGAGGTTGTCTAGCTCGCTCATGGGGTACATGAAGGAGTCGTCGGTGAGGACGACGGGTCGGGGGGAGAGATGGGGAGGGGAGATGAGAGAGGGACGGAAACGTAGGGACGACGTGGAGGGGACTGATTCACACGGTGACGAGCTCGCCCCGTGGCGCCGGGGATGGCCGCGAGCTGGAGCCATCGCTACCGCGCATAGCGGCCAAGCGTGTTCCAGCGCGACATCTCGTATCTCCCCTTTTCCGGCCCTTTTTTGTGTTCTCTGCTCCTTCCAGACTTCTCTCTGTCTATTCCAGACCGCTGGACATACGCCGTGCTCGAACCGGCCACAACGACATTCCCCAGCGCCCACGGCCACAACAGCGGCGGCAAGCCCGTCTTCGCCACAGCCACACCCGGCCCTCCCGGCCAGCCGTCCAGCGTCCGCGGTCGCCGACTGCCCAGGCCCTCACCCTCTCATCGTTATCGGCCTTCGCTCTCCCCTTCCCGTCGTTCCCGGCCAGTGCGACGGCATACACCCACATCTCCTCCCGTCCGTACCCTCTCATCTCCTCCCTCGCATGCCCACTGCCCCTCGCCAATCACCCAGCCCCCCGTGAATTCATCACCCATCACCGCTCGCACGCCGTCCGTGACGATGACCAAGTCCATTACGTAAGCAGCACCCTCGACGCACTCTGCCCGCCAAGCTCTAGATCTGCCCTCGCACACGAATCACCGTCATGGACAAGGCCTCCCACCTCTCGCTCATCATAGACCTCTCTCCCTCCCAGTGGCTCCTCTCCGCCGACCCCTCCAACGCACACCCTCTCCCCCTACACGTCTTCCTCTCCCATGTCCTCACCTTCATCAACTCCCACATCGCCTCCAAGCATGAGAACTCACTCGCCGTCTTTGGCGCGCTTCCTGGGAAGAGGTGCGTTCGCTGCTGAGAACGCCGAGTATTGACACTGAGGGCCAGTCAGTGTGATGCTCTATTCCTCCTCCGACTCTATACCGGACCAGGACCAGACGGCAGACGAATCCAGTGCGAACTCATACAGACCCTTTCGTCTCGTCGATTCAGCCATCGTCCGTCGAATAACGGAAGAACTCGAACTGCTCGAGGCGCAGAACAAGCCCGAGGAAGGTGCGACACCCTCTTCTCATTTCGCCACCCACCCACTCGCTCACCCACCTCACACAGAACCCGTCGCTCTCGTCGGTGCTCTCACAAAGGCACTATGCTGTGCGTGTCTTTTCCGTCATTCAACCGTTCGCGTTTAGCTTAGCGTGTAATAGACATCAACCGAATCACACACGTCCCCACCGCCAACGCCCCAGAAGACCCAGCCGCCCACGTCGACCCCCGCATCCTCATCCTCTCCGTCTCCCCCGACCTCTCCACGGCCTACATCCCCGTCATGAACTCCATCTTCTCCGCCCAAAAGCTGGTGCGTGTCTCCCTACCATCTCGCCGTTTTGTGAGATGCTGATGCAAATATGGGTGGGCGGGATGCAGAAAGTGACGATAGACGTGTGTAAAGTCTACGGACCCGACACCGTCTTTCTCCAACAGACGGCACATCTCACCGCTGGATCGTACATCTACCTCGAGCGGCGAGACGCACTGCTGCAGTACCTCATCGTACGTCCCGTTCCCCCATTCCCATTCTCATTCCCCCATCCCAATCACCCTTCCACTTTCACCTTCACCTTGACATGGTTGCTAACATGCCATTGACATTGACGCAACGAACGAAAACGAACCAGATGTCCTTCCTCCCCCCACCCGCCCTCCGCCAGATCCTCGCCGTTCCGAAACAGGACAAGATCGATTTCAGGGCGGCTTGTTTCTGTCATAAAAATATTGTGGATATTGGGTTTGTGTGTTCTGTTTGTTTGTCTAGTCAGTCTCTTCTCTCCTCCTTTCCTTTTTCCCTTCTTCCGTCCTTCCGTTCTTCCGTCTTTCCTCTGCGCTCTTCGCTCTTCTTTCCTCCTAATGCCACTCGTAACGTCAAACAGTCTTCTGTGCCCCCGTACCAGTCTGCTCGACCTGCAGGTACGTCACCCTCACCCTCACCCGTTTCCTTCCCACTCAACTCATCCGTATATCCGTCTCCTCGCACAAATACTGATACGCACGACGCAACAGGACGAAATTCCCGATTAAAACTCTACAGAGACTTAACGCCTCGAGACCTATACTCCCCGGGACCGGGACTCCATCCAGTCGGAATGGGGCTGTCAACGGTAATTTGGGTGGGAATGCGAATGGGGGTGGAATGGGGAACACGAATGGAGGTGGAATGGGGAACGCGAATGGAGGTGGAATGGGCAATGGGAATGGGAATGGGAACGGGACACCGCGTGCGAGACCTACGCCGACGCCGACGCCGGTGGGGACGCCAACGCCTACTGCGACGCAGACACAGACACAGACGGGAATGGGAATGGGGATGGGGACGGGGGCGGGGGCGGGGTCGTTGAGTTCGAGTTTGAGGTGATTGGTGGTGGGGTTGGGTGGGGTGGGGGTGGGGTATAGAGGGTAACGTGAGAGAGCGAGAAGGGTGGAGGGTTGTGCATCTGTTGAGCTGAGGTGTGGTGACGGATATCGATTCGAGTCCTTCGGGCTTGCTTTCTTTTTCTTGACCTGACCGATCCACGAAGTTCGAAGTCTGCAGAACGATGCCATCTCCTGTAAGTTGAGTTAAGTTAAGTTAAACCCCGGTGAGAGTCTTACAGTATCGCCCCAAAGACCTACCAACGACCTCCAGCGTTCGATGGATCCAAAGACCTAAAGTTCAACTCCAACCTCCAATTCGAGCGCGCCCTCGGTGTTCAGGACCAGTGTTCGGTGTTTGGTGTTTTAGCACGGTGGCAGGTTCAGTGTTCGGTATTCAGCACAGTGGCAGATTCGTGACGAACCACGGCGCACGTCCGTCCGGAGCGTTGTGTGAATGATAAGGGTTGCGCAGGATCTTGGCCTGTTCGCGTTAGTGGTTCGTCGATCGAGATAGTAAATACAGTGCGACGAAATGGAATGGGATGTCAGAGATAGAGCCGATGAGTGGATGCATGGGTAGAGTGGAGGAAGTGAATCTGAACTTGCTTTTGGTTTAGGATCCAAAGACGAGGCATAGGCTATGGCCATGCTTGGGGTGGTGAATGCGCACCAGAGCCTTGCTATACGCCCCAAAACGAAAGTGACAGAGAGAATCAGAGTCAGGATGGGCCCTTCCCTGTCATGATAGTTGAGAAATCCTTACGAGTAGGAACGTCCGAGTCCGAGTCCGAGTCCGAGTCCGAGTTTGAGGGTTTTTCTTTCGTGACGAGCACGACTCCGACGTTCGGTTCCTCTTCGCCCCGTTCCTTCCATACATCTGTAGCTCATATCCACTCCTAATCAGCCACTCCATGGACCCATCACACCTAGTTAATCAAAGGACAACGTACAGTAGAACTCATCCACCAAGACAGACCGCAGAATATCATGCGTGTCCTGTTCGGGGGAGGCAGCGAAAAGCGCGTCGGCGAGCGATCGAGCGATGAGGGATTGGAGGATGAGTTCGCCTGTGCCGGAGACGCTGAGCGCGAGGCTTTCTAGTGTGCGGTTGTGCGTGCGAGAAGAAGAAGGGGTTGTGGAGGAGGAGGAGGAGGAGGAGGAGGAGGAAGGGGAGGATTGTTCGGCCCAGCAGCCGGCGCCGAATATGGCTGCCTGTGGTTATTGTCTTGTGGATGAGAACGAACAGAAGGGAGGGTTAAGATTGGAATTAGGATTACCTCTCCGACTCTGCCTGGGTGCTTGAGTAGTAGCCCACCGCTATAAGTACAGTCGGTCAGCTTCGACTGAGGTACTTAGTCGAAGACTTGGATGGATTGATTGAGTGAATACATACCTCGATACACCAGCGGCGACGTTACCAGCAGCGTCCAACGCGATCGCACCGACTGTATCTTGCCTGTCGTTCAGCCCTACCAGTACCTCACCATCCTGCACATCTGAGCCCTCCTTTCGTCTTTCTGCCTCTTCCAACCTCTTCCTCCAACCCTCCCACTCTCTCCTCGCCCTCGGCGAAATCATACCCCCCTCATCATCGTTGAGCACCTCCATCCCACTCTCCCTCGCGAACCCCTCCGCGCCCCTCCCAACCAACATCACCGGCCTTACTCTCCCCAACGACAACCCTCCCCTCCCTCTCCCTCCACTCCTCACGCCCCTCGACCTCATCTGATCCAGACATAGTCTTCCCGCGACTTGTATCGGATGTTTCACTCCGCCCCCGAGGGCCCCTACGGCCCCGAAGGAGGAGGTAAGGCCGTCCATGATGGAGGCGTCGCATTCGACGTGGCCGGGGAGGGTGAGGTTGGAGCCGTAGCCTGCGTTGAGGGGTTCGGAGTCTTCGAGGGAGGAGAGGGCGGTGAGGGTGGCTTGGAGGGCTTGGGTGGGTGTGGGGATGGCGGCGGGGATTGGAGTGGTGGAAGGTGGTGTGGAGGTGAGGGTAGGAGTGGAGAGAATGGGGAGAGCAGAACGGATGGAGGTGCGGAGGCAATGTTTGATTGTGGAGTCGGATGAGCGAGAATGGGAACCTGCGCCACCGTGGACTGCGATGAGGTAGAAGGGCGGTGGGGCGGATGCGGGGGGTTCGCTGTTGTTCGCGACTGTTGGAGAATGGGTTTCAGCCGGTGGGATGGCACAAGCGGGATGTGTACGAGGGGGATGGAGGCCGATAGAGTCGGGAATGGGTATTGTCGTATTATCTTGGGATACTTCAGAGCTCATCGACTCGTGCGCCAGCTTTCTTCGTTTCCGGTCGGTCGAGGCTATAGAACGATCAAAGTTGGCATCTGAGGGAGTCTCGGTAGACCGAACGTGATAAAAGAACTGGTTTATATGGGATGGCTCAGATCCATCGAGAGTGAGTTCGGTATCATTTATCGACATGGGCAGGGAGGACATCAAGTTCAGGACAGAGGAAGAAACCGCGACAACCTCAATCGATCCTCAGAGTCACAGTAGCACCAGGGCCTAGTTGTCTCATGGAGCTGTGGGCCTATAGCGCGAGTCTAAAAGATTTTGTATGAACCAAGATACCTAAGCAGGTCGAAAAGTCAGAATTCGAGAGCACCAATCGATTCCGGCTGCGAGTAAACAACGGGTTCAGGCCAAGTTCAAGCTGTGGCACCGTGTCGGGTCTTCCCGATCGCGTGTTGTTGACCGGCGCCAACCGGTTGGCTACTAAGTTTGTGGCGCAAGTAGGAAACCCTATTTACGAAGGGCTCCAAGACGTCTTCGGTTTTGGAAGACATTATCATGTGTCTAAGAATCTAGCCATGGACGGGGTATATGACATGAAAAGGCTTGCGCACTGCCGTTACACAAGTGAGATAAGGGGACAACAGTAAAACGAGTCCATAAGAGTGACAACCGAATGGGGGACCATAAATGAGTGGAGATAAAAAAGCACAAAAACAATAACTAGCACAAAAAAAATCCACCCAGAAAATCTGCCCTACAAGTACAAAGCATAACCAAACATCGCCGCCCCCGCCCACGGTCTCTTTTGGAAATGAATACCGCAAGAGTTGAATGTTATACAGGTCTAAAAGCCACGACTTCTTTCAGAAGGTTGCCTGTCCGATCCAAGACCAAAGTCTATGCGAAGCAGCTATTTTGTCTCCTGATAGTTGGCCTCGGCGTCCTCTTGTGTCGTCCGGGCCGACGTCTGGTGGCTCTCGGTGAAACGGGACTTGGAGACCTCGCGGTCGTCGAAGGTGTATTCCACCGTTTGCACGACGGGGACTTGGACTCGGACGGAGTTGTGGCCAGAGCTGAGGTCGGAAAGGATGTGATCGCGATGGGCGACGGCGCGGAGATTTTCGCGGCTGTTCAGGCTGTGGGATAAGGGTGGTGATTGAGTAAGGGTGGACGTGGACAGGTGGACCAAACCTACGAGGCCATCATACAGTTGAAGAAGACTGAAGTGGGGCAGGGGGATATAGTGAGCACCGTAATCGTTGTAGAGTGAACTTTGGCTTAGATCACTTACGGATCCCGTAAACGTCGTAGAGGCCGATATATACCAGATTATCTGGCCTGCATACGAACTGAACGGAGCCGTCAAAATTGGGTATAGGACAATACGAGGCGGAAACCGACCATGATAACAACAAGTGTAGCCATTGAACTGTAATCAACATCATTTCTGTTAGTCAGGGCGCATTATCGCTCAAAAAACCGCAAACTTTACCTAGCGAGGACTCCTGTGGTGATTGTGTATTGGAACAAAATCCGCAAAACTCCCTTGCTGTTATTGTTGTTAGGTTGGATAGCCTGAGGCGGACAGGGATGTACGCACAGGTGGCTCATGGACACTTTGCCCTTCTGATACAATAACCAGGACAGGACGAGCGAGATCAAGATGTCCGTTCCGGCGCGGATCGAGGAATAGCATATCACAATCCACTGTTGCAAATAATTCCATTAGAACGAATTCGGAACGCGGCAAGGTCGAGGTCGACTCGCCTTCTGTTTTGGTGCATCGGAAAACTCTGGGAATTGGAATCTAGAAATGAGGCGGGTAAAAGGTGAGTACATGCGTGAAGTGCGACGGTGCTCAAGAGGGACTCACGCTCTGACAATATAAGCTATAAAAAGGGGTCAACCATGCACTTAGTTTGATGGCTACCTGGAAATAATTACTCACCCATGGCGAATGCTGCGTGCCGTAGCGGTTGTTCTGTCAGAGTCAAGCTCTTTGTGGCCGTGAAGGACGCTCACCTAGGCTAGCCACGATAGGCACCAGCTGAAGGCCTCGGATGAGCGACCCGAGCATTTATAATACATGGAAGATGCAGAACATACCAGAATCCAAGATACGGCCCTTCGTTCGGAAACTATCGCGAAATTATTAGCATCCGGTGGCGAGGGGGCGGGAACGTGGGGCGGGAAAGTTGAGACATACATAGCCAGATCCTCATCACGAAGAAACTGGATTTTATAATAGATTGTTAATCGACCATAGAATGATACCGACAGAATGGGTCCCGTACCATTGAACGAGTGTGATAGCAATTTCCTGGCGAAATACTTCAGTACACTCCTGGATACGGTTGTGAGACGGGGACTTACGGAAGGAAACAGTCTGGCCTTGACGAAGAATACGAGAGGAAGTGAGAAGGTCAACGGAGAGAGAAGCGTGCGTAGTCGTTATATGTCTTACCAGGATGCTCCTACGATGTGGCGCCGCATGAGCGGCAGTACGTGGAAACTCGAGAGAGAACGCACCAATTCGCAGACAGGAGGTTCAAAATGTTGCCATCTCCTCTTGAGACCAAATAGAACCACAACATGTTGACGTCGAAAAATCGATGCACTGTGTTAAGCTGACGGCCATACCCTGGTGAGTGTCTGCGTGTCGGGGAATTATGCGGCCAACACTCACGGCCCAAATGAGTCCAACCTACACCAAAGCTGTCAGCACCGCTTGTCGAGGTACGGATGGATGGGGAGGACGACGCACAAGAACTTTCATGTATGACCCATCGCTCCTATACCTCACGAAATATTCCCATGTCTGCGCACACGCAAACCCATACAGGCTAGGCATTCCAAACCTCGTCAATAATTCGATATGATAGGAGAAGTGAGAGGGGGCGCACAGGAATGCTACCAAACCACCATCCAACAGCGCTCCAAATGTCGTCCCAGCGGAACTTTCGATAGCAGCGGAGATAGCAGCCTCGGTAGCGGCGGCAGCAGCAGCAGCAGAGGCGGAAGAGGCCGCCGCGAGGGCAACAGAGAGGGAAGCAGCAGCGTCGACGGTGCTCGTCATGTCGTCGAATCGAAGGACTCAGACCCGTGAGTATCGTCTACAGGCGGAGACTAAGATAGGACGCGGTGGGAGTAGATAGGAAACAAGAAAGAGAGCAGGCCCTTGGTTGCCTTAGAAGTAGAGAAAGTATATGATACAATCCAACGGGATGGACTCAGTAGGGGATAGAGTGGCGAGGAGCACTCATAAAGGGGATCAGCTGGGCCGGGGCTCGAAGGAAAGTCACTCTGGGCCTTTATTATGGGTTGCACGGGCGGGTGCCATGGGTTCCTGTCAATCGCACACTCGCGCAAATGCGCATGGGGGGCGGGAAAGTAAGGTTGCAGAGATCCCCGTGCCTTTCCGACTCTTTCTCTCGCGAACTTCTAAAACCTTAAGAAATCAAAGCTGATGGACGGATGGGGCGATCGCTTATTATGGATCTGTCGAGGGCTTGGGATCCCGCCGGCAGGTATGGCAGCTCCGACATACCCGATGTAAGACAGCGGGGAAATATGTCCCACGAATGACGGAGGCAAAAAGAAACAGCCCTGAGCATGAGTGACCTATGGAAGCTCTTCCAGGGCTGCGCTCAGCGCTGGACTACGAGGTATTTGCATACGATTCCACCACATACCGAACAGCACTTTCCTCGCCCTTTGAAGAGCACATACACAGCTGAGGGAGCAGCTGAATATGACTCACTAGGAAAGCTACTGTCGGCTAAGTTGGGGCTCAAGCAAAAAAAGCCAGAAGCAAGAGAAGAAGATGGTGACTGGATGGACTCCAGGAAGACTCCGTGTCTGTATTTGTCTTCCAAGAACGCGATAACCGGACGCCGTGAGACCGGAACCGGGAAGGACGCGGCGCAAGCGTACATCGTGAAGAAGTCTGATTATCGATCCTAACTTCAGTCCTCGAAACGACAAGTAACTGCGAGAACACAGGAAACCCGTTAGCGCTGCTCTGAAAGTCGTCAGGTGTTCCCATGTCTGCATACACCAGGTGATGGAGCGCAGAGGAGACCGTTGCCAGTGACCAGTCTGTCGACGCCACAGGGCAGATGGAGGACAAAATATATTTTAAATAAATGACATATGACGGATCTCGACGAAATCAGTGCCTACGCCTACCCGTGACATCGCGTTGTGAGCACGAAAGCGACAAATAACGACACCGCGGGGTGGCGATGTTGAGCACAACATCCATCATTCATCGGCTTGAGTACCTCAACGATGAGGCCAACGGAAGCATCATGGAGGGTACTTAGATTTGTCCGTCTTCTGGCGCAAAAGCCAAGCGGAAAGGTGTCAAAGCGTGCGGTTCCGTCCCGAAGGAGTCTAAGTCATACAGGCGAAGAGCATCAACGACGACGAACGTTGTCCTCTCGAGATCGAGAGCCTGTGGAGAGACATGGAAAGGCGCAAAAAAAACCCTCGTACCTTGCACATAACGCGAGCAATTATATGGCGATCATTGTGTCCAGTGGCGATCTGCGTGCCTTTCGGTGCACTCCTCGGAACCGCGAGCAGATCCGTCAAAGTGCGGGACCGGCATCGGGGTACAGGGGCGACAAAATTATCCCGGAAAAACATGAAAAAAAGGGTTGACAGGTTCCGACGAGAGAGTTAAGATGCGCGCACGTGGATGCCATTGTAGACAACTTCTCCAGCTGTCGATCGAGCATCTACACATCAACGCATCAACGCATCATCTTCAAAGCTCAGCTAGCCTCGTTCGGATCCCAAAACCCGACCAGAACCTCAGGCGATTCAAAGAAACGCCGACTAGTCCTCGCAGGCCCAAAAACACATGCCGGTCGCAAAGAAATTCGAAGCGTCCAAAGTCGCGCATAGAATGATCTTTCTCGAAGACTATTATAGTTTGTACACTGGCAGACGAGCACGTCTCTTCTCTGTCGTCGAGGGCTGCTTCTCAGAGGCTAAAACAATAGCAAGAAACAAAAAAACTCACTAGCGCGATGTTACTACACCCCAATATACTTCACACAGATCAATCCTCTCTGTCGGTCACCGTACGGCCTCGGGCCTCACGCAATGCTAAAACAATATCAAGAAACGACTAACTCACTAGCGCGATGACCCCCCTCCCCCCAAAATACGTCGTACATACAAATCAATCCCCTCTATCGGTCACCGGTACAACAGGCCTCAAACAACGCCACTCAAATCGAAAAGCCCATCCTTCCCCTTCACAGCGACGCCCTTCTCCGTCACGATCGCACTGATCAATTCCGCCGGCGTAACGTCGAAACTCGGGTTATAGATCCCAAGCGGGTCGGCGTCGAGACCCTCGGGGGTGATCATGACTGCTACTTGTTCTTTCTTGCCGTCAGTCGTGGAGGAAGAGGGAGAGGGAGCGGAGGGGTTGTAGACGGCGCCGCGGACGATGCAGGCTTCGAGTGGGGGGCGGTGTTCGATTGGGATCCTGAGGAGGACAGATGGGCGAACGGGGATGGTGAGGTGAGGTGAGTGGAAGTTTAAGACGCGGGGGGATCGAAGTGAGGAAGAAATTTGAAGAGGGAAGGGTACGTACTTGGATCCGTCTGCGACGTCGAGATCTACGGTGCTAACGGGTGCCACGACGATGAACGGGATTTTGTGGCGCGCTGCGAGGACGGCAGCGTTGTATGTTCCGATCTGGTCATTGTATGGTCACTTCATGCACGGCAAAGAGAGACGGTGATGCAAGGGTATGCATACCTTGTTTGCAGTGTCTCCGTTACGGGCGACTCGATCTGCACCGACAGCTGTAGACCGAATGAAAAGTGATCAGGAACGGATGACGAGAATGAATGCGATGCTGGTATACGGACCTACGGCATGGATAGTGTGGTGTTGGAAGAGAGAACCGACCATGGTATCGACGATCATGGTGTTAGGAATGCCGAGCGTTTTGAGTTCGAGGGCAGTCAAGCGTGAACCTTGGTGGTACGGTGCCGTTTGTGTGAAATACGCTCTGCCCAGCTGGTTCGTCTCGTACAGATACGTGATGAGTCCCAGCGCAGTCCCATATCCCTATTCACCCGACTCGCCCCATCAACCCGGCGACTAAAATAGAATAACAGAAAATAAAAACTCACGGAAGTAGCCAGAGACCCAGTATTACAGACCGTCATGACATTCAGATCTTTACCCTCCCCACCCGCTTTCTTCACCTCCCCAACGAGCCACTCCCCACCCCACTTCGCCATCGCCCTATTCCTCCCCACGTCTTCCCCCGCCACGGCCTCTCCCTCCTCCACGAGCTCCTTTGCGACCGTCCGTGCGTCTTTGCCTTCGTCGATCGAGGACTGCAGTTTTCGGGCGAGACGACGGGTGGCGGCGCCGAGATTGACGGCGGTGGGACGCGCGGTGAAGAGGTAGTCGAGGATGGGGGTTATGTGGGATTGGAGGGCGGAGGGGGAGGAGAGGAAGGCTGGGGGTGGAGAGGCGGAGAGAGATCGGGTGAGGTATTGGGCGAAGGTGAGGGCGGCTAGGGAGGCGATTGCTGGTGCGCCTCGGATCTGGAAAGTATGAGAGAATTGAGATGTGATGAGTGTTGTGCTGTGAGGTGGGAGTGGAAAGTGGGAGACGGACTTTCATGGATTTTATGGCTTCATGGGCTTCTTCGACGGAATTGATCTCGAGCCATTCGGTGGTGTGGGGGAGTAGGAGCTGGTTGACGATTTCGATCTTGCCATCGGAAGCTCGGATGGATGTCATGGGAGTAGTGTCGGCCATGGTTCAGCGATCAGTGGTCGATGATGAGGAGAGGAGGTAGAGAGGAAGTGATAATATGGTGTTGAAGAAACTTTCGAGACTTGAGATGGCGTGGGATCCGGATGACGATACATCGCATCATCTTCTTGTCCGAAAGAGCCGCAGATAAAAGAAAATTATCGATAGAAAGGGGCTCGGTTTATCTTGGTAGAGAAATGCGGCCGGGAGTAGGTCTCATTCGGATGCAATGAACGGAAGTGCGCCGGTAATGACATCCGGAAGCCATTTGAGCCATGTTCGCCGTAGAGGCTGCAAGTTTCATTGACAGATCTAACGAATGTCAAGCTCACTGCGCGGAGTTGAGACTGACTGCAATAACATCCTGTGAGACGAAGGATCTGCTAACCACGACGCTACAGCAGACCCCAGGCACCGGTATCACTTGGAACCTATGAGAACAAGCCATTTACAGAGGCGGTCTGCGGAGGTGGTTTCCTTCCTCCTCTTGAGACGCATCACGCATCGAGGGTAGCATGATACTACATTCAAAATCATGGACGGGATTCAGCTCAGATCCCAACCACATGAAGAAGTCGATTCGGGAAGGAAGATAGTAGTGAGCTTGACAAGATGATCTGTTTTGTTGTTGTGTCCACGCCAACAACACAAAAGCTTTCGTGATATACGGTAGACTGAAGGAAGGTGTGATCTCATCGTCCGGCTGGCAGTCTCATCCCGTACAAGGAATATGTGCTGCTTGAATCCGGAAGAGAGCAAAAAGTGAGATTAACAAGGCCGACCGGGAAGCACGGTGATGAACACGAGCGAGGTACAAAGATAGAGGAACAGCGCACTTAGCAGGAGCGTCCTGAGAAGAGAATCGCGGTGAAAAGGAAACGAAGGAGATATAGGACTTCCGGAGCTATTTGCGACGTGCAACGTTGATGAGGTGACAAGTTGGGAGGGACCAGCATCAGTTTAGCCACACGCCGTTTCATCCGTGCGGGGTCCTGGAGCGGTGCGGTCGATCAGAGCGGAGAACGTCTTTGAAGCCAAACCGGGAAAGATGAGAGTGCAAGGTCTTCACGCGGATTCGATTCGAGGTCGCGCGCAAGACACGACTGAACGTGCGAGACGTGAGAGGTCGAGCGAGTGAATACTACACGGAGTTCCATGCGGACGTAGAGGACGAGAAACGGAGAGGGATGACTCGAAGGAGTCGAGTTGAGCCCGGGCGTCATTGGGGGGCGTGGGAAGCTGGAAGGAGCATCTTGTGGCATCGATCCAGAAATTTGCCGGTCAGAGCTCTCTCTCGTCCCCATCCTCAACGGCTTCCTCCCACTCCAGCCCGCTCTGTGCACACCCGACAACCTATGAGCTTCTGCCCATCCATTCTGTTGGTTGTTTCCTTTCGTCATCCACCCGTCTGCGCTGACCGTGTATCTGCCAGCAGCTCACACAAGATCAACAACATTCCCTCCGCTCCGCTTGTAGCTCTCCTCATCGACACAGACCGTCCTCCCTAGCACCCCTTGCTCCCAACACAAACATTTCTTCCACTCTTCTCTCTTCTCTCATGGGATAATTGGCCTGCCCTTTCTCTTACCATCTCGTTCCGCCCGCAATCGAAAAGAAAAAGAAAAATACAATTTCAGGACAACGCACAGACGCATAGAGCCCTAGAACAAAGCAGCGAGAGCTGCTTTCCCTATCCATCTCGCCCGTCGTACTCTTCATTAGATACCCTACCCCCTCCCCCTACCCGCTGACATGATGCACGCACTTCGTCCCTCTTCACTCTTCCGCCCTTCAAGCCGCCCCACCTCTCCCGCCCCTGCATCCACTCCCGCCTCTCCTCGCCTGGACCCTACCGTGCCAGCGGACAGGACCCCTCGCGCCATGCACAAGCTGTCCCTTACTACGTTCAGCAGGAGGCCCTCCCCCGCTCCTGCTCAGTCGCAGCCTGCCGCTTCCATCGTACAGGACGGTCACTACCTCGAGACCCTTCAGCTCAAGCTCAGCGAGGCGGTCTCCAAGGCCCTCGCTCAGCCGACAGGGCCGGCTGCTCCTCATGAACTCGTTAACGGCCGTCGTGCCATTCCTTCCGGGCGTGGACATACCCTGGGAGCGCTGATTGCGACGTGAGTCCTTCCCCATCTAATCTCACAATACATACACTCAAAACGATCTAGTGAGCTCAACGCCACGCGGGAGAATCCTCATCTTCGCAAGGCTATCATTCGCTCTCTTCACCGCCCTCTCTCCATCCTTCTCACCAACCTCAACGCACACCTCGTGCCCCTCTTGAACTCCCCCGCCTTCTCAACCCCCCTTGTGCCCACTCCTCAAACTCTAAACCCGAACCCAACTCAACTTCATGCTCTTGCCTATGCCACATTTGCGGGTGAGCTTCTGGAGAGCCTCGATGAGATGTCTCTCGGTCAGGACGTACCGGACGCTCGGGGCGATGGTCTGAAGCCTACCAGGGAGGCCCTAAATTCTGTTATCAGCAGGGTCGTCCACCCGCTCGTAGGTGGAATCAAGGACGAACTTGTGAAACTGATTGACGGCCTGGAGTATTCACCGACTGTTCCCACGGGCACTGGTCCCAAAGTCGGCTCTTTACCGAAGACAGGTCCGATTCAGCATCCATCCATCGTCTCCCTGCAGACCATCATTCCGATTTACGCGCGGGCGCTTTCCCGATACTACACCACTGCACCATCGCAGTCGCACCTCGCCACAGTCCTCATCTCTTTGGTCTGGCATGGCCTTGTAGCTCTTTCTCATCGCGCACCTGCCGCCAACTCGCCGCCCACTTCGCCCGTACCCCTCCCTACGGCTATCAAGAAAGGGCGCTCGACGACCCCTCCTTCGACACCGCCCCCCACGCGCTTTACACTCAAGCTTCCGCCTTCACGGCCTCCCTCGCCCCCTCAAGAGCGACACGTCTCGTCCGTTGCCTCGGACGCGCGCAACCTCTATGATCTCCTGAGCACGCTTCCGCGCCCCTCCGCGGACCGCGTCTCCACATGTCTCGCACGAGAGGCCGTAGACGACGCATTCGACGGTCTCAAGGGCCTCGTCGCTCTCTTCGACTTCGTGCACGCGAACCCTGCGCCCGTACCTGGAGCAACATCTCAGGCTCAGCCGCACAAGATCCCCGATGCCAAGGAATTAGAAGTCCTGACGGCGGATATGCCCACGCTCGTCGCATTGCCGGTTCTGCTGCAGGCTTATGTTTATCCTTATCCTTATCCAGGCCAGCAGGGACAGGGACAGGGACAGGGACAGGGACAGCAAGGGAGGAACGCGAACGCGAAGACGGTCGCGGGGATGTTGGGGCTCAGTCAGGGACAGTATCGCGCGGGGTGTTTGACGGGGTTTGGGAGGGCGGAGGAGTGTACGCCCGCGGTGGGCGAGCGGGTGCTTGATGTGTTGAAGGAGGGGATGGGAGGGGTGGAGCCGAGCCTGGGTGTGGAGGCGGTGATGCAGTGGTTGAAGGCGGAGGTGGAGGCGGAGGAGAGTGGGTGACTCGGTTTCTCGCAGCCTTCTGAAGATATATACTCTTCAACGCGTTCATGGAGGCCCTCTACCTTCTGCACCTCTCCCCGTCCATTCACGTCGAATGCGACGTGTCGTTTGGCCGGTTTGCAAGTCTTCTTTATACTTAACCATTGTGCATCCTCGATTTCAGATTCACTGTAGCATTTTTACCTTACTTAACAGTACATTACTGGCCGGTCTGTTCACATAGTTTAGTTTCCCTTTGCACTTGCACTTTCCCGCGTATTTTCCCTGGGATTTTTCATCACCTCTCTCTGTTCTGTTCCTGTAGTATTTTGAATGTCATTGGTCGACGTCACAGTCATGAGATCCTTACATTATTTGGTCGGTGGATAAATTATGCCTGTCTGTCTGTCTGGCTGGCTGTCTGGTCGCACTGGCTCTCGTTTATGGTGTTGGTTGTGCGTGACGGTGGATGTGGATTATATACTCGCACGGACTGCAGTTGATGATATAGATGTCGAGCTTCGGATACGATGATGAACATTTACATAGTGGATAGTGGATAGTACATACATACATATGTTTGTTCTGTTCTGTCGGTGTGGTGTTGGTGTGGTGCGTGGTGGTCTCTGAGCTCGAGGACGGACTGTATCGTATGTAGTCACTCTGTGGGGTGGTACGGTTTGTGCTAGACATACGTACCTGCCTTACCTACATTAATGCCATCGATAATGGCAAGTACACGATTGTCCTGAGGTGTTGGAGAGGTCCATATAAGTACGTCTGCAGATGTGCTGTCAGTGTTCTTGCCGACCACCTTCCGAGCGAGGACAACGTGTGGCGAAGGCGAAGGCGTGGAGGAGATCGACTTCCGGGGTCGCACGGATGCATGCGATTAATGTAATTTTCTGCGAGAAGTCATTATAAGTAGAGCGTGCTCTGGAATTGGACGGATGTAGCGGATGTCTTTGTCGTTCTTCGATCAGAACTCACCGCGCTTTGTCGTGGTCTTTCAGGCTTTCAGCAAACTGACAGACCGTCGTACATGTGCCACATCGTCCATAGCTGGGCGGAACCGACGCGGTATGTATGTACGGGGACAAAGATATCTCTGAAGCTAGAATCATGATGAGTTTGATGCGCATTCTTCTAACATTCATCGCATGTGAATTCAGAGATGTACAGACTCGGAGTATGAAGCTGGGGACTGGCATGCATACCATCCGGTGCCTCGAGCTTCATCCCAAACCATAATTTTGAGCCTCCTAGTGCAAGGAAACAAATGGCCGCCATCGGGAGGACTCTATCGTCGGCCCACCCACCGACATCTCCTCTTCAGAGCTTCATCACCAATCCGGAACATCATTCGCATCCAAGAGCCAGAAAGACCCGACAAGGTCAAGCTCTGGCACATATTATTATGTTTTCTTTTAGCGCGCACACAGACAGTTGACTTCACTCTCGTGTGGCCCGAGGTCAGATGGGGCGTGTGGAGAGAGGACTTTTAAGGACAGAAACGCCTTGCAATGAGAGTATTGGGTTCGTGAGACATGGTCCCGGGATGAATGGCGCAAATGGAGCTCGGGACCAGCTTGTCATACTGATCTCAGTTATCTTAGGATGACCGCGTCACGACGTCGTCCACGCTCATGTCAAGCATCAAACTCAAAGGTGAAGCTTGCGAAGACTGGCACCCAACTGAGGCGGACGCGGGCAAATATCGAAGAAACGTGACGTACCGGGTGTTTTGGTGGGCGGCGTCGGAGGGATGAAGGTAATCTTTTGAGGTCTTCTGAGAGATATTCCTAGCCCCCATTGCAGGCTGAACGTTAAAGAACAAGCATCTCGACAGCGTGACCGGGATGCGTGAGCTGTGGAAGGTAGACGTGCTCAACTGTTGGGTTAAGTTCTGCGAATTGCTTCCGCCAAACGAGTGTCAGTTTGACGTCGGTCCGTTGGCGCCACCGCATCGGTAGCGCACGCGCGTCTGTAGATCACTCGGACGCGTTCCGACGCGACGAGGAACAACGTTCACGTTCAGTACGACACGCTTCTTCAACATTTCGTCCCACCTCGAGTGCGAACCAACGAGAGCGCGCCGCCAATGCTGCTAGGCACTCCTCTTCGATTTCTCGTGACCATACCTCTTGTGGTGACTCTGGACAAGTCAGCACAGACTCGGAGTTGGGTGGCATGTACAGAACTTTCACCCTCAGCCCACGAAGGACAGAGGTAACTTACTCACGAACACATAACACATGCTGCCTTTTCCCGAACTCTCGTCTCACTCTCCTGGATAGACATGCTGGCCATCTGCCCGCGTCGCAAAGTCAGGAGACTCCTGCTGACCTCCGAAGCACCAGCATCCTAACTGACGAAGAGGTCTTCGTCCAAAAACGCGCTGATATCCCCGCGGTACTGCCTCTTCCTGGACTCGACAGCCACGATGCTGCTGCTCGGGCTCCTGCTGGCATAGCATCACCTGAATCTATATCGACCACGGTGAGTGGGAGTATAAAGAGGAACTTCATCGCATCCGAGCAAAGAACTTAAGGCCCTCCTCCATCCCGCTAACGGCCCCTCTCCCATCAGGCCTTACTAAGCTCGGAACCTGCCACCATGTTTTCAAGCTTCTGGGGCGCCGCAGCCACGCTCGCGTTCTCCTTGTTCTCATCCACCATGCCTGCGTCCGGTTTGGGCTCTACTTGTACCGCGCCGTTAGGGTCTGGTACGGCTGCTCCCGGCGCTCCGTATTGGCAACAGAGCATCGCACATCAAGGCTCTTCGCCATATGGACCGTCAGGCTACCAGGTCTTCAGGAATGTCAAGGACTTTGGCGCGAAAGGTCCGTCTTCGTTTTCTTGCATGCTCCTTCACCGCCTCAAGATGTATCTAAAATAGGTGACGGTGTTACCGATGATACTGCGGCCATCAAGTGCGTTCTTTTCTTTGAATCGGTCGTGGGAGTGTGGCGCTTATCAGACTTCTTTACTACAGTTCGGCGATCTCTAGCGGTGGTCGCTGTGGACTGGGCTGCACCTCGTTCAGCACGACCCCGTAAGCTGTTCTCGTGCTTCAGATGCGGACTACTAAATTGACGCGAACGACAGTGCTACGGTTTTCTTCCCTTCGGGGTGAGATATAAAGTGCTTTCCTGTGATGCATGACGTCAATTGACGATTCTATGGATAGCACATACCTCGTTTCTGCGCCTCTGATAGACTACTATTACACGGAGATCGTCGGTGATGCCAGAGTCCTCCCAACCCTAAAGGCTGCTGCGTCGTTCGTCGGAATGGCTGTCATCGATGCTGACCCTTACATTCCCGGCGGGGGAGGTATGCACCCTCTCGAATGCCTCTATTCTCGAATAATATTCTCAAGGCGTGTATTATAGGCGCACAGTGGTATGTCAATCAGGTGGGTTTTTGCATGAAGGAGCATGTTTAAAAAGGACAATGATATTGATCAGAGCACAAAACACGTAGAACAACTTTTACAGATCTGTTCGCAACATCCGTATCGACCTGACGGCGATGCCGGCGTCCGCGTCCGCCACGGGTCTGCATTGGCAAGTCTCCCAAGCGACGTCGTTGTACAATGTCGTCGTGGATATGTCCACCGCGGCCGGAAATAATCATCAAGGAATATTTATGGAGAATGGGTCGGGTGGATTCATGGGAGGTGAGCAGCGCTTTATTCGAGAATGATGTTGATGTTGAAGTTTGACGCATGTGTCAGATTTGGTGTTCAATGGTGGCAAGTACGGAATATGGGTCGGGTGAGCAGTCAGAAATCATTCGTTAGCATCGGATCTTGTTGATCTTTCTTCATCCAAAGCAACCAGCAGTTCACGGTTCGCAACATCACCGTGAACAATGCGGCCACCGGTCAGTCTTTGAAGTGATCCCTTGTTGTTATTCAACGCCCTGATGATTTTCTTTCCAGCCATCTTCGGAATATGGAACTGGGGATGGACTTGGCAAGGCGTCACCATCAACAACTGTCAAGTACGTACACCCCCCTCTCCCTCTCCCTCTCTGCAACATTCTGACCGTCGCACGCCATTAATTTGTAGGTCGGATTCGATATCACCACAGGAACCACAAGCGGATCCTCACAGGGCGTCGCCTCCGAAGCGATCATCGACGCCACGGTCACCAACACGCCCGTCTTCTTCCGTAGTTCCGCCGCGAGCAACGGCGCGCTCGATGGGTCCATCGTCCTCAACAACATCGTGCTCAACAACGTGCCTACCGCTGTTGGCCTCACGAACGGCGCGGTCGTGCTGAAAGGTGGAACTACGACGATTAATACTTGGGTTCAAGGGTACGTGCCCTCGACTCTTTTTATAGGATCGGTTGTTGACTGAATTTTGTACGCGTGCAGGAACGTCTACTCTGGCACGAACCCCGCGGGATCGTTCCATCAGAGCACGGTCACCGCGATCAACAAGCCCTCGGTGCTCCTGACCAGCAGCGGCAAGATATTCGGAAAGGGAAGACCGACCTACGCGAATTTCGCGCCGTCCCAGTTCGTGTCCGTCAAGTCGCAGGGCGCCAAGGTAAGTAGTTACTAGTAGTTCTCGAGCGGGTGCCACTTCAGGTGACGATGAAGTGACGACTTTTTGTGTGTGTGGTGGTATTTTCAGGGCGATGGAAAGACGGACGATACGGCGGCGTTGCAGGCTGTGTTTAACCAGTTTGCGGGGTGTAAGATTATTTATATCGATCAGGGTGTATACATCGTCTCCTCCACGCTCCACATACCCGTACGCAATCTCTCTCTCCCTCCTTTCCCCCCCTCCTTTGCACCTCTCACCTCGCCACCCACACAACACAGGCCGGCGTCCAAATCGTAGGCGAAGCCTGGCCCACAATCATGGGCTCCGGCTCCGCCTTCTCGAACCCATCCAGCCCACAAGTCGTCGTCCAGGTCGGCACGACAGGATCGACGGGCGTCGCGGAGATCTCGGGCGTGTTGTTTTCGACGAGGGCGAGCGCGGGGGGCGCGATTGTGGTGGAGTGGAATGTGCATGATCCGAGTGGGCAGCAGGGGGCGGCGGGGATGTGGGATACGTTGATTAGGTGTGTGTGCTTTTTTTCTGCCTGGTTTTTGAGGTTGGGATGGGATGGGAGTTGATGGGTTGTGGGTTTTTGTTTTTGTTAGGCTTGGTGGAGGTGTGTTGGGCATTTGCTTGAATGTTCGTGGAGGTCATGTTTTTGATTTTCCGTCGATACAGCTACTGGGACGAATATCCAAGAAGCACAATGCGCCAACACGACCGCGAACACGGGGACTAACTGCTTCGCTGCCTTCCTAGGCCTGCACCTCACCGCTGGTTCTAGCGCCTACCTCGAGGTAAATGCATCGCACATCCTGTTCGTTCCGTTCGTTCATTCCTCAATGGGTCGTTTGTTTGTTTGTAGGGGACTTGGGTCTGGCTTGCGGACCACGATATCGATTCTTCGGCGCAGCCTATGATCACGGGTTCGTAGCCGCATTCTCTCTCTCTCTCTTTTGAAGAGGACGGCGCTGAATTTGAATTGGTGAACAGCGTACAGCGGTCGCGGGATATATTCGCAGTCGGCTGGGCCTGTGTGGATGGTAAGTACTCCTTTGGAGCGATGCCCCGTACTTAAGTTCAGATGTTGAACTTTGTTGACAGATCGGGACGGCGTCGGAACATCATGTGTTTTATCAGTATTCGCTCGTGGGCGCGTCTAACCATTACATAGGCCTAGCCCAAACGGAATCCGTGCGTTCTCCTGTTCTCTAAAGCCCCCACACATCTCACACATCTCACACATGTAACACAGCCCTACTTCCAACCCACCCCCGCCCCACCCTCCCCCTTCACCCCCATCTCCTCCTACAACGACCCCTCCTTCCCCTCCGGACTCACCCAAGCCTGGGCCATGTCCATCTCCAACTCCCATAACATCCTCATCTTCGGCGCCGGTTTCTACTCCTTCTTCCAATCGTATAATCAGGCATGCGACGCTACGCCTGCGGGGGTGTGTCAGTCCCAGGTCTTGGATGTGGATGGGAGTAGTACGGGGATAGGGGTGTATGGACTGAATACGGTTTATGTGGGGGGGCAGGTGAGTGTGGGGGGGAAGGCGGTGGTGTTGGCGAGTGGGAATAGGAATGGGTTGTCGAGTACGGTTTCGGTTTGGACTATGTGAGTAAAGAGTGCAGAGTGCAGAGAGAGAGGAAGAGGGGGATGGGAGATGGATGAGGATTGATGGGTTTTTGTTTTGTTTTTGTTTTTGTTAGGGCCGGGGCTGGTGATGCTGCTCCTGCTCCCAGCACGTCTCAGAGCCCACGAGCGCGGGGCCGATGCACTCTGCAACGTCAAGATTGAATCAAGCAAGATTACGAGCAACCAACCGAGAAGACTATTAGTGGAGGGGAATGTGATTATGATTTTTCTTATGTTCGCCTATTTTTGTTGGCATTCTTTTCGAGATATACACGTTGATCCTCGCTCTCTGTTCGCATTCGCAGTAGCATAACTGTATTTATTATTGTCTGTAGCTATACCATGACCAAGACCTTGCAATTCGCCTGTTGTTGCAATACGAATTATTCACGATCATTGACACGTCCGTTCGCTTCCTCGGAGTTCAGTCAATGCAGTGCGGTGAACCGAGTTGCGTCGCCCTACAGAATTGACAGATGGAATAGAACCTAGATGCAGTCCGGGACGTCACAAGTCAAGTCAAAGCGATCTGTCGGGAGAAGAAGGATGGATGAGTGGCGAGGTCCGGTCACACAAGAGTGTCAGAGTCTAAGTGAATGGAGTAAAGCAGAGTAAAGCCAAGGTCCGAGGCTCGAGGTGCGTCGAGTGTTCGATTATGTATACGTTGTTTAATCGAGCAAGACGGACGGACGGACGGATCGATGGGTTGATTGAACATAAACACAAGGCAAGGTGAGGCGGTAAGGAAAGTAATTAGAGTCGGGGCGTTTCGGGGTGAGGCGGGGGTCGGTTCAAGGCATGATGTGATCGCGTTTCGTTAGATAGGGGGAATGCGTCAAAATGAATCCAGACGGAGCGAGAATCAGATTTGAATAAGTCACTGGGCGTGCGTGATTGGAAGGAAGGTCCAGGTAGGGCGATTTTCTTGCGAGGTGATAAAAGCGGGGCGGGCGTGCACGCCTGGCGCTCATGCACAATACAGACCACAATCTTCTCATCCACCACCACCGTTTACCATCATCATCACCACCACCACCACCATCATCACCTTTATGCCTTCATCATCGACATCACATCTGCACTCCACAGAGGAGAAGCCCACACGGCCGCGGCTGGGGAGTGTAGCGAAGAGAGTAAAGTCGGGGCTAGAGAAGATGAAGACGAGTTTCAGACGGAAGAGCAGCCATAACAGTAGTCATTCGGAGCAGCAGCAGGAAAGCGAGGAGGGCGCAGAGTCTGAGGGCGAGGGCTCGTCGTCGTCGCCGCGGTTCAGCGGGCCGAGGCGGAGAGTGATATCGCTCGGGCATTTCCAGTACCGGCCACGAGAGATCGCGTCTGCTGTTCCTCCGTCGCCGCCTCGTTCGGTTCGCAGACGGACGACGTCGCACTCGTCCTCGTCCTCGCTCGACACTCCCCGTCCGTATCCGTCCATCACTCTCACGCTCGCGACCGACAAGGAGGACAGCAGCGTGTCCGACTCAACCTCCGTCCGCTCCGCCCCCTTCCCCAAGCTCTTCCAGCCCCTCTCAGAGCCCACGCTCGAGCCCGTCATGTCTCTCCCCGACATCCCAGCAGCCACCGACGCCCAGCCACAGGACTCGTCAGACGAGCTCATGGCGCCCGCCTCGCCCCCGGTCGTCGAACAAGACGTCCTAGACCCGTTCCTCGTCGATGACCCCGACGATCCCGTCACGCCCTCCGAGCCCCCCACCGCCCGCCCGCTCTCTGTCGGTCTCTCCCTCGACGACGTCCAGATCCCACCCGCCGCCGCCGATGTCATCTCCCTCGTCACCGACCCCCTTCCGGTCCCTTCACCCTCCTTAGACGTCCACAAGCCCATCCCGCCACCGCCCGCCTCGGATTCAGACGAGTCCGAGGCTGAGGCCCCCGTGGTCTACGTGCCCGAGCTCGTCCTCCCGACGATGTTCCTCCCCATCCCCCTTTCTGTACGTGTCCGCCCTTGCTCCCTCTTGACCTGGTGGTACACGAAGCGTGCAACAGCTCTGTATTCATATTGATTAAATCGCACTCTCACTCTCCTTATTCCTCCCCTTTTTTTTATTCATTTATTCGTTCCTTTTCTCTCTATTTCGTTTCCGTGTCACTCTATATTCTTTATTCGGCCCCTTCTTGTATCATCTCGCTCTGTACCTCTAGACGGACCCCCTGTCCACCCTCTTGACGAAATATATCGCGAACCCTGAGAAACGTCCGAAACGTGACCTCTCCGGCGAATGGACCAAGACTGACTTCCACACGCTCGTCGTGAGTGCAACCTATCAACCAGTGAGATCTCTTGGATGGTTTTGGTGATGTGTTGTGCTGCAGATGACGAATAGCTGGCGGGCTTTGGCTCGTATGGCGAGGGATCGTATCGTACAGACCGACCCAGAGGACTTGTCCCTCGTACTGAGTGTGAGCTCGCAATCCGCCCGTGTCTCATCATTGCGTTAACAATACAATACAATAAATACCCAGCTCTGGTACCTCCGCGTCTCCTCCCTCGCCCGCCTCCGTCTCTTCAACCAAACCTCCGCAGAAACAACAAACCTCTTCACAGCCCTTCACTCCATCCAACCCCCCTCCACACGCACCCACGTCTTCGAGCACCTCCTCCCCTTCGAGCTCGAAGTCATCTACGCGCGTCTGAAATACTGGGCGGGCGATCCGCTCGGATATGTGGATGCGTTGGCGGGGTTGATGCGGAAGTGTAGGAGGAAGGCGAGGGGGGCGAGGGGGGAGAGGGGAAAGGCGGATAGGGGGATGTGGATGGAGAGGGGGGCGAGGGTGGCGTTGATTGCTGCGTCGCAGTTTATTGAGATGAAGGTGCGGTCTCTCTCTCTCTCTCGTTTCTGTTCAATTATTGCGTGTTGAGATTTGGATGGGTGTAGGACTTCACGGCGGCGACGAACCTCCTCGAGCCGCTCCTGAAGCAGCCCGGCAGTAACAGCGACCTCCGCTCCGCCCTAGCCCGCATCCACCTCCAAGCCGGCGACCTGTCGCAAGCCGAAAAACAGTTCGCGATCGTGGCGGAGGACCCGGAGGTCGCTCAGGCGAGCAAGGATATGAATAAGGCGTTGTTGGCGGCGGCGAGGGGGGAGTGGGAGGTCGGGAGGGGGTTGTTGGAGGGGCTTGTTGGAGGGGATAGGGAGAATTTTGCGGTGAGTTTTCGATGTGGCGCCGTGAGCTTTGACGTTGACAGTGCTGAAGACGTTTGTGGTTGATAGGCCGTGAATAATCTCGCTGTGGCGTTGCTCGGTCAGGGCAAGCTGAAAGAAGTGAGCATGGTCGACTTCTTGCCTTTACTTACCCACTACTCAATGACAACTCGGATACGAAATAGGGCATCGAGGTGCTCGAAGCGGCACTGCAAGCTTCACCCGCGACGTTAACCATGGCCGAACCGTTCCTCTTCAACCTCTGTGCGTTCCCTTCCCTTTCTTCACGTCCATACTTACATGACGCTCAAATCCGATATATACTGAAATCACGCCCTTGAACTCGGGTCTGCCCTTTGATTCGACAGCGACGTTATACGAGCTGCGTTCGGCGGTCGCGGCGGATAAGAAACGCAATTTGTTGATTGAGGTGGCGAAGTGGAGTGGGGATGGGCTGCGGACGACGTGTTTGAAGATGCCTGCGAATTGAGGTTGAGGTGGAGGGGTGGAGAGGTTCGGACGTGCGATAGATGGATTGGATGGATGATAACACTTTGTTGGATTGTGTGGACACTGGTCAGAATGGATAGTGATGTGATCCGTATGGGGACGGAGTAGATGTACATGTATGCGTGTATTCGTCTATGGATGTCTGTCTGATTCCTTCTACAGTTGCGATCTCGAACTTCCCAGTACACGAACAGGAAACAAAAACTTACAACGTCTTCTAACTCACCCTCATATCTCATCCATCTCCGTACTCCCCCTCACCTGCTCCTCATGTATACTCTCACACCCCACACTCCTCAACACCCTCCCTATCCCCTCCCCCCTCACCGCCTCCAACTCCCCCTCATCCTTAACCAACAACATCCCCGCATACCCCAACGCATTCACGCTCAACCTCTCTCCCGATTTTTCGAGCACGTGAAACTCGTGCCGTCGCGGGAAGGCGTAGATGTGTTGGAGAGTGAGGAGGATGTTGTAGGAGGGCGTGCCGGGGGGGTAGGTGGGGTCGTGGCGGACTGTGGAGATTATGAGGTCGAGGAGGGAGAGGTAGGATTGGGCGAGGGTTGGAGCGAGGAGGGAGGGGGAGGGGGTTAGGGGGAGGGTGAGGCGGTGGATGTGGTTGGCGAAGGGGAGGGTGGGGAGGGAGAAGGGTTTGTCTGGAGATGGATGTTAGTGAGGCGTGGATGAGGGGGAGGAAGGAAGGAAAGACGTACCGGGGGTCTCGAGACGTGCGGAGCGGGCGAGTTGTTCGATTGGAGGACCGTCTTCGTCGTCGATGGGGATGAACTGGAGGTGTTTGTGGGGCTGGCTCGCCCCACTCACGTCGCCACCTTCAACGTTTCAACACCCATCGCTCAGCATTAGACCTACCTACCTACCTCTGACTAATAAGAAGAGAAGAAAGTGGACTCACAGTTGTAGAATGCGAAGAGTGGTTTTCCGAGTTTGCGCGCGGCGACGAGGGTTGAGTAGGCGTTGACGAGGTCGGGAGGCATGAGGGGTGATGTTTGACTTTGGAAATCTTATAATTACGATAAGTGTGCGTCGGTCTATCGCTAATAAGAACCAAACATACCTTTCGTGACCATGAGGAAATGATACGGCACCACAGAATACTTATTCAACTACCAGCAACGACATGAGCGTCTCCCCTACCCATACCCATACCCATACCATGGCCACAATCATCGCAACCGAACTCACCAAGAAAACGTACTCGTCGCCCTCTTCCTCGTCTTTCAGCTCTCCGATGTACAGGTTCGGGACGTAGGGAGGCATGAACGGATCGGGTTTGCCCTTCCCCGTGTGCGCATCTGATTCGGAGGCGGGGTCGAAATGGGGGGTTGGGAGTGGGGGTTTGTGGAGGAGGGCTGGACATAGTCGGATTTGGAACTGTCGATAATGAAGATGAATGGGGTGGAATGGGATGGGATGGGTATCAGCTCATGCGTTCTAAGTATTCCAGTCGTTCGTTCGTTCACATGTGGGAGGGGTGTAGAGATGAACGCACCTCCACACCGGAGTCTTGGTGCGTAGAGACCTCGGAAGGGAAGAAGAGCAGATCGCCCTCTGCTTTTGCCTTTTCGAACTTCTCGTACGCAGAAGACACGATCGCTTTATGTTTTGCGTAGTTTGCCATGGTGCGCCTCAGCTCGAAACAGGTCGATGGTACTAAGAAATTACACGGAGTGCGATGAGTGCGATGAGGCAAGAAGTGGGCGGCGATGCGTCGCCTGGTAATAATGGATGGTCTGAGGATGTCCAGGGTCTATGGTGATATCCTGAGTCAATGGAGAGCGCTGAGAGGTGGAAGAGAGTCGGCGTGAACCAAGCTGGTGAGAGGATAATGCCAGGAGTTGAACAGCAACGTTGCGGGACTTGTTGCACGCATCCTGCTCGATCACAATGTGGCCCAAACGCGTCGGCACCGTGCATGCATTGTCAACGTTCGTTCAGACGAATGGCTTTACTGTGTGAAGTGTGAGCGGGTACAGTCGGCCACACCCACGCTCGGGGGAGCGAGACCAAGAGTGGCACAGTAAAGTACGTAGAAATACAAGGCGGTTGAAACGGCTCCACAGATCAAAGCAGGACAAACAGCGACGGTCTATGTAACCCAAAAGTCACGAAAAGTTCAAAGCAGAAAGAAAGTCGGGACCCAGCCGGACGAGGGATGGAAGTCAAAATGATACTGTGATAAAAAGAAAAGAAAAAGAGTGCGAAAGAGGGTATTGCAGCAGCAGTGAAAAACCACGATCGCCCTCGGAATGAAAGTTCCTCGCTTTCGCTCCGCAAGGCCTGTGTGAACGCGAGAGGCCGTGTCAAGCTTTTCCTGGTCTGCCTCTGTTGGCCTTCGCTTCCTTCACTGTTTCCCCTAAGTATATGGCGCGCCCATAACATCCGGCTGCTATTAAAGACCATAGCGCGCCGTTTGTGCCCTGTGCATGCAGAAGCGTGGTCGTCGTCAGTCAAAGGTGAGGACATGGAGGACGGTGTCGAGCGCACCTGATAGAAGAACACCGCGTTCAGTGCCTGGTTTACGAGCATTAGGGCCTTCATGACGAAACTCCGTTGGAATCTATTTTCTTTGAGGAGCGGTAGCGGAAACTCTAAGGCGATAATGAACAGCCCCGTCAATATCGCGAAGATTTGGATGACCGGAGCCTTGACGATGATCGAGACGAAGATGGCGTCCTGTTTCGCAGGTCTATGAAGCGAAAACGACCGTCAGAACATGACGGATTTGAACGAGAGGAAAGTCCGTACTGGAGTCCTCCAGGGTTGCGAAGAGTGCCGTTGACGAAGTCCCAGAAGAATTTGCGGTAGATTAAGCCCCAGAAGCCAGCCCATACGGTGTCTGAAACGACACGACTGATGAGGTCGTGATGCGCCAAAGGAGGTGGATCCAACTCACAAATGCTAGCTGAGATCGAGACCAGACGTGCATACTCGTGCCAAACAAGGTTTCCCATTGTGTTATGCTAGAGAGTGATGTTCGTTTCGGAGGATTTGTATGTTTTGAGAGAGGACAGAGCGCGGCTCTCTTTGGGTTGTGATGAAGGGGTTACCGGGAATGAAGGAGCGCAAGCGCGAAGGAAGGACTGAAGCTGGAGGAAACTGAGTGGACAAGAACGAAAGCGAGGACGAATAAGAAGAAAGAAAAGAAAGAAAATGAGCACAGCTCAAGGACGATGAAGAAACAAGGTGGTGGAAGGAAGGAAGAGGGAAGAAATGCAGGCGAGCTCTGCTCTTGATGGTGCTGAGAAGGGATCAACCAGGCGACTGTTCCGAGCCAAAGGTGCGAGTGGCGTTTCGGCTTCCACGGTCAATTCGCCGGTTGTCAGGGTCACTACCCCGGCGCTGTGGCCCAACGACACCGATGCAGGTCAAAAATAGGACATTCTTAGCATGATACAATTAACCAGAATCAACATCGTGCTCGTAGTATAGGTAGTACGGTACAGGTAGGGGCAGAGCTCGACAAAAAAAAGACCGGATACTGCACTGCAAGTCTCCAACACAACACTACCTCTCGAAAGTCATCGGTCCGAGGTACAAAGATGGCGGTCGGGCAGGCCGTGAGGGATAGTTCGGCTGATATGATCACAAACCCGTCAGCCCAGAGAGCAACAACGGCCAGAACGGGCGAGAGGCTTTACCATTCTGCTTGGCAGATCCCCACCGCCAGCGCCATCCCGTCTCATCGCTGTATTCGGCTGGACAACCGCTTGAGGAAACAAAGGCTGTGAACGCATATCGAGCGCTATGTCGGGACGTCGCATCATATCGGTAGTCGGCAGGCCGGAATCAAAGGGCGATTTCTCCGAGGGATCCATGAAAGGATTTTCCCTGTCCACAGGGGAAGGTTGCATGTTGTGGAAAGGCAGTGAGGGCGTCGAGGGCGTTTGCAAGGGCATCTTGCTGTCCCTGATACGGTTGCGCCGTCGTCTCCAGAGTAAAGCCGCTACGACAAACAAAGTCACGATGACCACAATGCCAGCAATGATTCCCGCCAGAGCAGCGATGGGTAGTCCAGACTTTCCGATACTCGAAGTATCAGGAGCGTCAGAGGAAGGAGATCCACTGGTGCAAGACACCACGTCAGTCTCGGCGAGTGAATTGAAGCCGCAAAAACGTACGTAGAATTGCTTGGTGCGCCATTTTGAGAATTGCTCGTCGTAGAGTAGATCTTGATGGCGTCGATATCCATGAACCTACCGGTGTTGTTCTGGCCATTCTGATCAGGATCGGCCGTCAGGACCAGGTTGTGTTGACCCGGCCCAAGACCATTTCCAAAATACTAGTGCGCCAGGCGTCAATTCTTGGTACGCTTGCGAGGAAAAATCAGTGATGAGGGAACTGACCAGCAGTGTCTGAACAAAAAGATTGTCAGGACATCTAGATGATAACTTTCGAGGGCTCTGATGCTCACCTTGAGATGCAGAGTGCTAGCGATACCATTTGAACCACCATCAAATGCATGAGCAGCGTTGCCGTCCACGGCAATCGTATAATTTGCATGGTCTGACGAAACGGTGCCATACACTGCGACTGCATCCCCACTGAACTCGATTTGGGCCTGAGCGCCACCCGTCTGCGTGAAACTTGATCACAAGATTTAGCGACATATCGGTCGGGCAGGCCGAAATATGCTCACTGCAGCGTGTTATTCATCGTGTCAGGAAGGGGATTGAAGATCCAAGATGATGGTGGCAGGTAAGATATGCGCGAATCCGTGTCGTCGATGGTGGAATTCGAGACAGATCGACTAGCTTCGGAATTAGTGCTAAAGACGATGCAGCAGAGTTCAGATTGAACGTACTCGTCTGGGCCGATCTGTGTCTCAAAAATGAGTGAATCGAGGTCTACCGGTGCAGCACTAGTAGTCTGCAAGACCGCCGTATGACTACCCATTGGCAAACTTGAGGCTCCACCCAGAAGCTGCTGGAACACCGCACTCGAAGCATTGGCATTATGTGCTGTAGCTTGGCCGTCAACGGCGAACGTATATGAACCATAGTCAGGCCTGTTCGCTCCGTAAAACCAGATGCCGGTTCCTGTGGCGAGGTTCATGAAAAGTTACCGGCGAAGACAAGCAAAGACATACCATTGAAGGAGATCGTGACTGTCGCGCCTTGCACTGATGTAGTGTGCCATGATTGTGCAGAATACGACTACCCAGCAAAGTTCGGTGTCAGGCAGGAGATGCATGAGTGTGGCCCCCGTCGTATACTCACTTGGGACAGAGTGTCATTCTCCGGCGAGTCATTCCACGCACCAGGTGGTCCCCAAACAAGCAATGGCGAACTGTCCTCCGCTGAAATGATACAAGCACTCGTAAACAGGTCTTGAGGTACGCGGGTCGATCATTTTACGCACCTGAGACGTTGAAAAGAACCATCAAGGTGTCGTGAAAAAACGAAGGAAATAATTTAAGGTCAAAAGAGCAAAAAAAAAAATGAATGGGAGGCAAAATGGCTGCCCAGCAGACCTCGTCAATCAGGGACTCGAGAACGACGTGCTCAGGAGTATATATGAGCGAGGCTCTGACATGGGACCAGACAGCAGTGCATGCCAGGGGCCGTTGTCCGGCTTTTGCACTGATGGGCCCATCAAGGAGTTGTTCGAGTAAACAACCGGCTGGGAACGTTTCAGTGATGAATGGGCGGCTGTAGAAAAGCTAGCGGAGCCGTGTTTCCGGGGCTCTGCATTGACTTGAACGTTGTTGTACTTATTCGATGAACAAAGACAAGGTGAAGGGTACTTACGGAAACGAAGGGCCACAGCGCGTGGCGGGAAAACCGAAACCTCCCTAAAAGGGAAGGGCGTACATTACTTAAAAGGTGAAGACCGCCCTTGACTCGCGATCACGTCCTTCTCTCTTCGCATCGCATGACACCCCCACCAAAGGACTCGAAACAACCCAAGGACGCGCCGGCGTCGACATCTCGCGACCTGGTTCGCGTCGGCCCCCGACATGTCTCAGCAAAGCATGTTGTCGGTCGTAGGAACGAGGATGGCCAAAAACCGACGACGGCTCGTGCTCTTGTGCTTCGCAATGGGAAACAGGGGGCGATGGGCACGGGCGAGATGGTTTTGTCCAATAAAATCAGCGGCAGAGAGAAATTGGACCTCCTGGTTGGTGAGTTGATTCTCTAGAGACCACAGCAAACGATCATGGGCATTCATCTACGGGACGTGCGCTATGGTCTTCGAAAGAGGACATGATGGATAAAGCGAAGAAAGAGAGCCTGATGGACAAAGCGAAGATGGCCGTCAGGACCCCTTTCAGGCTTGAGGAGTGTCACAAGATTTCTGAGTCTCAGTTCAATGGTGTGTCTCGTATTTTTCTTTCGTGTGCGATGCGCGCTGATCTACACATGGGCACCGACACCTGTTAGTCTATCTTGACGATATCTGCAACCTGCAGGAGTCAGATACGTTCTTCAGCACCATCCAAGCAGAGCTGAAGGCTCGCTTTCTCCCCAACAACAACAAGAAGTCAGATCCCCTGAGAGATCAGGCACTCGTGTTGAAAGCTTTCGGTAGCAGGTCAGTCTTCGCCCTGGCATGCCTTCATCGCCCCTATTCACCAACATGGCCACCACCGGTGATATAGGATACATAACTCTTTCATGCTTGCGTCTGCTTGGAGGATCATCCGAGAATACTTCCTCGTCTTTGACGAAGAATTTAAGCTAGGCAATGCAGTCGGAGACTCCGGTGTCCGTAAACATCTGCGCGACAACGACGAACTTAGGACGGAGTATCTGGTCTTGTACGATATCGTGAAGGTTCTCGTCGATGCTGCTCAGGCCAAGTTTGCTCTTCTGGCCACGACGACTCGTATGTTCCCTACTCGTTCATCTCTTCAACGTTGATACGGCTTATACTCGATTTTTCAGCTCACTATTCGCAATACTTCACAAGTGTAAACCAGACCACAGAGGTTGGCTTCGATTTTGCAAACCTCAAGAATGTGTATAAGTCTTTTGTAGACTCCATAGTCATCGAACTGTGTCTGCCCGAATCAGCCATGCCAAAATTCATCTTGACGACTATCTTGCAAGAAGCTCTTGAAGAGTCGCCTAGCGAAGCTCGACGTTTCCCTCAAGCCCTGTGGGATGCACTGGGAGATCTTTCCGTACGTCATGTTCGAATACACCTTTCTCTTTGCACTGTATCTAAGGGCTGCATATCTCAGGTTGCGATCAAGCTCCAAGAAATTCTGGAAGTACCCCTTCAGGGTCTCGAAGGAGAGCAATGGTTGAAGCAGGAACGCGAGAAGCCACAGGAATTCGATCAGTGGATCTATGCCCAAGACGTGTCGGCCTGGGTCTGTGATAACTTTGGCGACAGTCTCTCTATGATGTTCCCGCTCGAGAAGACCAGATATCAAACCGTTGTGACTGACATCTGGACAGCTATCAACGGAGTAAGTGGTGTATCCTCTCGTCTGACATCCGTACATTTCCTGATCGCTTAGTGATCCCGCTGCAGGCTTTCCAAGACGTTTCCGGGGCCACTCCCGAAGAGCTTTGGCTTCTTGAAGGTCAGATCACCCGCCAATCGCGCTGGCATGCGCTTCCTCCTCCCCGTAGTGAAAAGGAGAAGAGCATCATTCGTCCCGCGAAAGGCGCACGGTCCGCGAAGAAGAAGCCTCTTGCAATCACCGACGGCAATGACTCTGACGGGTCCATGCCCTCTCTTGAAACCGTCTCCGACTCTTCCGAGGGAGATGAGGAATCAGACTCAGAAGAGGAAGACTGGGACGATGAAGAAGAGCAGTGGGACGAAGATGAAGAAGATGACGATGAGAGTGGGTATGATACCGATGAGGAAGAGGAGCTTAAGAATATGCTGAGGGAGGTCATGCGCGATGCCGCTGCGGCCAATCCAGACTTTTTAGATCCTACGAAGGAATTCGATACCTCCGAGTTGGAGAAGGATAAGAAGGGCAACCCGTTCATCAAGCTCTTGGGGTCTCTGCGAGGTGCGTAGCATGATATTGCGTCTATTATCCAATTAACGAATCACGTTTCAAAGGCAGGATATTCTCTTCCAAGCCGAATTTACAGACGAACCCTGCCACCGCCCCACGAACGAAGCAGTTTACACCTCCTGCTAAGCCTCCCGGAGCTGCCAAACCCAAGACGTCGGCTACTAAGCCATCTCAAACCTCTAAACCACCCCCCACGAAGAGTATGTTGATAATCAGTCCTTACGTTACCGACTCGTTTCCTTATTCTTTTGACTACTGCAGCATCAGAGGCCCAGAAGAATCGCAACGTCACTGTTGAAGAGGTTGAAGATGAAGAGGAAGAGACGACGACATCCAAGAAGAAGAAAAAGAAGAAGCCTAAGAAGAAGAAGAAGGCAACTTCTGCGGCGGCGGAAGAGTCAGTGGATGCGCCCGCGCCAGAGACTCCGCCAGCATCGCCCTCTCCAGTGGCAAGCCCCAAGCCAACCCCTACAAGCCCTCCGCAAAAGAAACCTACGCCAGCAGCTAAGTCCCCGCCTGCTGCGAAGCCGACTAACGCGTCGACGGCATCGCTACCTTCACTCGCCGACCTCAGCCGGCAACAATCTGCTCAGTCTTCTCATTCGTACTTACAGTCTGAGAAGCCCGCGGAGCCCAAGTCCAAGGTTAAGTCGAGGCCTGAGTTCGGTAACCTTCTGGCGATTACCGAGAACTCGGAGAAGAAAAGCATCTTCAACTGGAGGGGTCGCAACAAGGAGGAGCCAACGGAGGAGAAGGACAACAAGCAGGCTCTGCACAAGTGGTTCTCGAGGATGAAGAAGGGCACCAAAGAGTACATGCATCAACTCTTGGGGACTCCCGAGGACGAGAAGAAGGGTCAGGCTGGCATGAAGTGGGAGAACTTCTTGAAGGTATGGGCACCGTGCACCTTTGACAGGTCCCTGAGGCTCACTCAGTATCATTCGGCAGGTCATGCGTGAGATGGGCTTCGACTACGATCCCAGTACTGCAGGATCCAGCGTAAGGTTTGATCCTCCGAACAAGAAAGACAAGGTACGTTGGACTATTTTGTCATGCCCAAGATTATTCTAGTACTCAAGTTGCCCTTCGATGTTTCAGCCGATTACATTCCATAAGCGTGAGTCTTATATCATTGATTATGCGGTATATATGTTTATACAATTCTCTCCTTAGCTCATCCCGACTCGACCATACCTCCTATCATGCTTAAGGAGTTCGGCAAGAGGCTAACCAGGCAGTACGGCTGGTCCGAGCTGTACTTCGCCAAGGCTAGCTAGTCTTAGAATCGACGATGGTGATATTGCTGTAGCAATGATTGTACATGCTCAGCTTTCGTGCAATCTCTGGGAAGTCTCGCTGAATATGTTCATGTAATTTCTTGTCTCGCGTACTGCTGTATGTATATTGTTGTGTGTCAGTCAATCTCAATTGTTTTCCACGAGAACATCGCGAAATATACAGCCCTCCCAGCCGCTTGAGCGCCCGAGACGGTATAGTAGAGTTATTGTTCGCACCGCTCGCGCTCGCAGTGGGCTTGATCCCGACGAAGATCTGGATCGATGTCGAGGAAGGTACGAGAGCCGCGGTAGCAGTGCCGAGGTCGGTCTCAGATGAGGTTTGGAGGTTGACGGAGGAGTGGAACGAAGAGTTAGAGACAGAGGACATGCGGTTTTATTTATGTGTTGAAGGCACGCATTATTCGACTGACCGTGTGGCACAACCATACGGTTTACTTGGGGCGAACGCTAATGCACGGCAAGACATGACCCATAAAAGAGGGCAATCAACATACAATTATCCGGCAAGTCCGCGAGATTAAACAAAACTCCCTTCGCACAACAAACACAGAACGGAGGACGAAAAACAGCATGGAATAGGAAGCTCTAGGGGAGCCGTGCCACTACAACGACGAAAACACGGAAAGAATAGAGAAGAATAGGAACTCATAGCTGCTGGATCCTCTGTTGCATCTTCTCCTTCAGTGTCGAATAAGCGTTCATGAGAGTTTGTTCGTTGATGACGATCTCCGTTGTATCCGCTCTCGGCCTGCTCACTCTTGACGCGATGGTCGTTGAGTCGGTTTCCACGATAATGCTGCACGCCACATTGAAATTGTCAGATGGTCAAAAACGATTCGCATAGGTCAGCAAATGCCGCACTCCCTTGACCAACAGAAAACAAAGGGCGAATAGGGCGGGAGTCAAAGACGGAGGAGCGAACAGACATACCCGTCATCAATTGTCTCGTCCAGACACAAGACAAGCAAATCCAGATTCTCTAACACCGCTCGCTTCTCGACCTGGTTCCGAAGAAGCATGTGTGCTGCCTCTGAAAAGGCGACAAGGGCAGAGTGCAACATGAGCTCGTTTTCTGAGGAACCGCCGATCATGTAGAAGATAAGGTCGAGCGAATGTTTGTAGACTGCTAGATGACCTTCGTAGAGAATGATCTCGCCTGCACATCAAATGACGCAAGAGAAACATATGCGGATACATAAGTCGGCCTCTCGAGCAATGTGGCATGGGGGATATACACGCACCACCAGCCTTCTTCGTCTTTTGGAACAACCCTTTCTCGAACGCCCGCTGCTCCTTCAGTGAATGGAGCCCCTTGTTGAAATCATTAGGTCCACCGAGATATGATTGTCCTTTTGGGTTGTAGTACTTCGCGAGCACTCGATGGCCATCCGTGTCGAGGATGATGAAGGCGTTAACAGCGTAAAGAGAAAGATTCGTCATTTTATCGGAAATGGTTGAGCAATCTAAGTAGAAATTAGTGTAAATAAGTTAGCAACTAAGATCATCAACATACAAGTGTGACGGTATTGGTATTTGGTAGGAAGAGATTCGTTGGGACAAGTTTGGGGTCTAGAGACGTGTCGAGCGCGAAGGAGGGCGTCGTGATTACCGGATTAGGCTGCGACGTGGCGTTGAGGCGTTGTGGCCCATCATCTATTTTCTCACGATACTGCCATATACTTATAGGAGCTTCCAAAAGGCTTCTCATGTAGTTTGTCTCGAGGCTGACCTCCATTGTGGCAGAGATATTTGTTTTCTTATCTGCGCTACATGCTACGGAGAGCGTAAGCTAGAAGGTGCCGGTGAATGGCGAGGAGCAATACAAAGTGGCACCTCACTCTAGAATCAACAGGTGTAAACAACGCGTCAACAACGCGTCAATAAGATGTCCGTATTTGGTGCTACCCACTTCTCTGTCTTGCCATCTCCTGCGAAGCGAGTCTTAGTGGGTTTATCACTATGCTGCACTCCACGACATCGACGAGTTCTTTTATCGTCAATAAATACTCGAGGTCTCATCCTTCTCCCTCGGCTAATTCTTCCGGCTCAAAAGAAGACGGAGTGACGTCCTCCCAAAATGCCGAAGTCGAATGGCAGCACTTCACTAATCCTACGATACGACTCGTCTTAGACATCAAGAAAGCGTCAACTGACGAGCTTGAGTCGGTTAGGCTGCGCATTTTGTGGTATATGGATTCAGGAGGTGCAGCGGATTTTGGTAAGACGGAGCCTGTCGTGTTTGTGCGTTTCTGCTTGATATATGCGCTTCTCGTTATTAGTGCTAAAGTGAATCTAGGAGGACGTCGACTTATTCTCGTTCTCTTCGTTGGACAATAATCACACAAATACTGGTCAAGGGCTTCCTCTCAAAGCTGTCTACAGAGATTGTGTCGTGGGAATTCGGTATCTACACCCGCAAACTGTACCTCTTTTCACCCTTCCCGTAAGCATTTTGCCCGCATATATCCATCTTTTGACTTGACAAAAGGTTTGACTCATCAGATATACCGTCGATTTCAAGTCACCTTTGACTCTGCTCCATCCGCGAATCAATTCATCAACGCCATTCGTCCCGTTTGTCCCTGCAAAACAAACAGCGCCGCAGCCCCTGTTCCTGCTCGAGCCGGAACCATGGCCGGGGGTCCCATCCCTCCTGGCCCTTTGTCATCTGTCCCCGCCAATCGACAGATGAGCATGATACCATCGGGCCTTGTTTCCTCTCAAACTGGCTCAACCTCGCTCACAAACCCACCACGTCTTCCTGTGCTTCGTCCTGCTGTCTTCACGCCTGCCGCTTCGAGCGTCGCGCCCTCTTCTAGTCCATCTGGAACAAACTTCCCAACCAGTGACTCTACTACTTCTTTCTTCTCTCTGCCTGTCAACACCAGCTCTTCTCAGCCTTCTTCCGCTCCCAACGCTCAGGCTCAGAGACTCAAGGGCTATAGCAGCGGAATGCCTACGCCACCCTCCTTAAGCCAGACAAGCTCCTCTTCCCTTCCGGCTTCTTCACCTCCTCGACCATCTTCTGCACTTCGTGATGAGGCTCTCATGCCGCCACCGCCTTTGCCCACACAGCCACGACCTTCTGGGGGCACTAGAAACGATACCAATCCTCCGCAGGACAACCCCTCAGTTGTCCAGACACAGCTTCCTGACAGAGAGGCATTCTTGGACTCTTTGCGAGATACGCCGGCGTTGTATGATCTTTCGCGCTCAGAACTGGAGAAACTGGTCTGTGAGGTTATAAGGGAGCCTGGATTTCTGAAGCTGGTTAGTGCATGCTTTTCATGTATTCCGGGCGTGCGTCCTGACGAAGTTGATTGTTTGCAGCTGGAGAAGCTGGACACTCTGTGGGCGGTGAAGGGTGCATTGGACATCTGAGCGTGTTGCATCCTCACTTTGACAGCTGGCTTGGCCGTGTATGCGTACACGTGTTATTGGACCTTGAGAGCGCGCCTGATGTAAATTTCTTGACGCTCGAATAATGTGCTATATATTTTGGGACGACAATGGGGAGACTCCACAAAGAAGCCAAAGGGATTGTGCTGAACCAATAGTTATCCACAGCCGAATATTTTACAAATAAGATGAAGCAGTAAAATAGTGCAAACCCCTACATGCCGAAGTTCTGAGGTGCCCGAGTCGCCCAGTAGCCTCCGCAGATGCATCGAGCCGACCACTTGTTCTCCCAAAGCAGCCAGCCCGAAGGGGCATGCTCCCTTGCAGACAGATCCGACTTGCCTCCACACCTCTGGCAGACGCGCTTCTGGTCTCGTCGAAGTAACAAACCCTTCGAGACGATGTCCCGATTATTGTCCTTCCCGTTGTCGGAGACGTTGAGTTTACCGACGCCGATGACGAGGTCGGTGGCTTTGATGAAAAGACGGGGTTTGTCGATCGCTCCGGAGGAGATGAGCTTTGTTACGATGGTGTCTACCAGCGAGAAGGATGCCTGTGATGGCCGACACAGGGAGAGACTGTTCTGCAGCTCCTTTGCTGTGTAAAAGATAGAAGAATAAGCAGCCAGTCGGTTGCGCCGTACTCGTTCCGGGCGTAGAAATAAAGTAGAGCGTACCGTCGAACTGTTTGATTTCATCAGGGATCTGAGCAAGCACCGAGTCTAATTCATTCAAATTGATGCCCGAGGATGAGACGACATCCAAAAAAGTGCTTTTGGCAATCTGAACATTCTCTGCGCCGGGATTGAGCTTGACGAGTTGATCGTAAAAGCCCTTGACATCGCCGAGTGCGGCGCGGAGATTTCTGAGGGTGAATGGGTGGATAAGATGTAAGAATGTAGCGGGTAGGGGTATCGTCGTGGACGAGAAAGCGGCCGGAGCTATGTGATGGTTTGACTATGAGTGGGGTCCCCGAGTGGTATGAATAGAATACAGACGTACACGCTGCACCGAATAGGTCGTCGATAGATGGAGACTGTGCAGGTGGTGGAACTGAGGGCGCGGAGCTTCTGTCGCTCCAGAACACACAATCCTTCATCACATCCTCCAGAAAGTTGATGAACCAGGTAGACAATCCGACCAACGGCCATACTACCTCTATGAACGCCAATAAACGTTAGATTAGTTCGCAAGGGGACAGGCTGGAAAAAACTTACTCAGATTGAGCAAGTCACCATCCTTGTATTCCTCGAAAGCGTTGTGGCAAGCAATGACGGAGCAGATATCTTGTGCCGTTCGCCAGCGGACAGAAAGTTCCTCTTGCTCTGGGCTGCTAGTATTGCGGGCACGAGTACTTGTTGGCGGTGTACGCTGTCTATCAGTGTCACTTCCCTTACAGAAATTAAGGCACTCACCGGTATGCCTCGAGGAAGAATCCGACAACATCTTTGAGCGCGCTGCGACTGGAGTTTGTGTCATCTTGCTTGATGAGCAAAGCGAGTTCACGAAGCAAGTCCTGTAATTCACTGAGAGGGTGTGAGGGCAACGATAGGCGATGGATAACATCGGCTAATGAGCCGCTCGAGCGCATCGCGGTGAGAATACGGCTGGCCTCTTGTTTAAGGTATGATGGTGATTGGTCACCTAGGATTGTTACGGACAATTAGGATGGGATTATATGGGCAAACTCGACAAAGGCTTACCGGGACTGGCACCAAATAGTCCGTCAGAGGTCTGTCTTGATAAGGGACGAATGGATATTCGAAGGGGCGAGAGTTGTGGTGACGAAACCGTGCATATGAGATCGCCGTTAGGCGATATAGCAGCATTGAATGGGACTGGGTAGAGTTCCATCAGTAGACTAGACTTAGTTGAAGTGAATATAAGGTACATACTATCGGGAAGTACATTGTCTGCACTGGTGAGATAGACGGGGAGAGTCTTCCATTTATCGTCCACTTCTAACGATGGTCTATCCAAGCACGAACACAAACAGTCAGAAGACAGAGAGAAAGTGTAATGTAGAATGAAATACATTTGAATTGCGGATATACGGCCAATAGAGTGCTCTCGGGGCCTCAATCTTCGCCTGGGTATATGTATGGAGGCGTCGACAGTCCCCATTAGGATGGTATCGGAAGGAGAGCCTAACCAACGGCTAGAAATAAAAGTTGGTATTGCGGAGGTGGATTCTCGACTTGACACTTTCGAAGTGAGCTAGACAATGGCCTTTAGTATGGCACTGGAGACGCATTTAGAGGGGAACTTACCCATGCCGGTTGGCTGTTGTTTTGAGCATGCTCGTTCTTCGTCAGGGAGTATACAAGCAAGTCCGACGTTGGGGTGCATAAGTCTGAGATGGTGTCAGAAACTATGCCAACAGTGTGGGCGAAATCCTGACCGTTATCAAAGTCGAGGTAAGAAACCAGTAGATGCATTGCACATGTGTTCTTTGTGCTCGCATCATTAGGCCGGTTCCGAGGAACGAACGCGAGTTTTGAGAGATGCCCCGATTGGCAGCGTAGAGGGGGAAGTGGATGGGTTGATAGAGCTGTGAAAGGTCATTAATTGAAGCAGGTTGTACTTACATGAAGACGAGGAAGTATGCGTACTCATGTTAACACTGTCAAAATCTAGTCCCAACCTGATCTCACACAGTTCAATCGCGGGCTCGTCAGTCCAGTTTTCCCAATCGTCGCCTTGGTAAGAAGTGGGCATGGAGAGGGGAGGTTGCATGTCCATGGACATAGCCAGATCCATCTCATTGAAAGCAGGAATTGTGGGCGGTCTGGGGACAAGTCGAGAATGAGTAGCAATAATGATAGAAGACTCTAGAGTGCATAACACAATCAGCATCGTGGCTCTTCTCAAAGAATTATGTTCTGACCGTCATATCCAAGGCCTATGACCGCCTTAGAACAAGCCTTGACGCCATATTCACCCTCCGCGGCAGTCGCGTGAGCTTGCCCCCTCTCTTTGGCCTCGTCAGGGAAGGAGAGGGAGCAGGTCAGATGGCCGCTGGTAGCGTTAGTGCCGTGTCTAATAAAATGCACTGATGTTTCCATATTCTGCGTGACAAGTAGTAGTGTGGAGACAGCGACAGGGGTTGAAGGCCCTAGAGGAGGAAGTCGAATAGGACCTCCTGATGAATCGGTAGCCCACTGCAGGGTAATCCTTTAGCATAACAGACTTATGCCCGAAAGCTTAGAAAACCTACGCACCTCTCTTGGCTGACCCAGCCAGGTAGAAGCTACTATCCCAGCACCACGAGCGCATTCCCAAGATTCTGGAGCGTTCCAGGTATCGAGCTCCGCCCCCGCTTTCCATAGGCAACAAATACCAGCTTGATTTCTACTAGGAAAGTAGGCGAATAACAGCTGTATCTTGGATGAGATGTTGGGAGAGATGGATATGACGGTAGGAGGCTCATAGGCTAATGGGTTGCTTTGGATCAGGGAAGGCGGTTGAAGCCTGAACTGTTTTGTCGAAGGGAAGAGGCGACCAAGCACGTAGGGCTGTGTTGGGTGCGCGGTGAATATGACGCCGGTACGAGACCAGACGACAGGCCTGACTCGTTTGTCGCTTCTTAGACAAGAATCCTTGGGAAAGAGCAAATGTGACATACCTGTCTTCTGGTTCGAGCAACGGTTGCAATCCCCACCATCCGAGTTGCCAGCTCTCGTCCTCCTTCGCCTTTCCTTTCGAGGGTGAGCCTTTGGAGGGTGATCCCGAGGCGCTCGACATTGTCAGTGTCGCAGAATAGCAGTGACCGGTGATGGTGGAAAGGAACAAGGAGTCTCAAGCGCTACGCCACAACGAACTTCAACAACGTTAACGCCACTTTCCATAGGCGCCACAATGCTCGGGCAATCGGCTCTTGTGTCTGTCTCTCAACTATCTCTCGACCGTATTCTTCTATAAAGGATGGCTTCCCCTGGCCGTTCAGGGCGCTGCGTAGACCAGATCCATGTCCCAGACCAGCGGGTCGAGTCGACGCGACCTCAACCCCCCTTTCCAGACCAAAATCGTGTCCTAGGCCGAACTCACGCACATCTGCTGCATCTATAAGTAGTTCGCCTGATCCGAGCTCTGTACAACGCTGATGAGCCTTGCCCTCACCTTGCGCGACGGTTTTTATCCCAAATGCCACGGGAAGTGACCCAATCTGCCAGCCAACTCCATCAATTGTCAGTCTCTCCACGGTCAATCTTCTCAGGATATCCAAACTTCTCACCAGCTCTTCAATTGAAGGCTTGTTTGCCAGGCTCTCCTCAAGGCGGCTCTTTCTCTCCGCGTCGGCGATCCCATCATAGCGCTGTGTATGCTAGGCGCCTTGGAAGATCTCTTTCTGGTTTTTAGATGTTTCCTAGTCACAGTGAGCCTGCATCAAGGTGCCGATAACGTATGGACAGCCATCGTATTCCTGGATCTGCAGGGCCACGCGGAGCGCTGGCGCTTGAGCTCGATTTCCTGGTACAAAAAGTGCAGGCCTGCCCTATTTCTCTCATACAAACCACCATCTTGGGACTCAAGTTATCTGCCTCTTGTATATCTGGCCCTGCTTAGAGCTAGAGGATGTCTCCCCTCCTCTTCGCACTACGACTCGTCTCCCCCAGCATTGTAGTCCTCGCCACCGTAGCTCTCCTCCGCGTTACAAAACCAGTGGTAGCGATTCATTCAAATGGGTCATCAGATTCTACTCCTCAGAGCGCCACCCGTACAATCCCTCGTCGCTCTCTCATCACAGGTCTCCTCGCCTTGACATCCTTGACCTACCTCGCGCAAGGCCTGATCTTCGTCATTTTTGCTGTGGTCTACAAAATATGGCCCCAGAGGAGCGGTATCGAGATCGGCGCGTTCATCGGGATTTTCGCGTTCTGTAACCTCGCCATTGTCGGCGGGTGGAAAGCCGTCAATGGGGCTGACGTCTGGTCTTTAAAGCGAGTCAAGGCTGGAGTGGGACTATCGTTGCTGCTCGACGTCGTGCAAGTCATTTTGAACGGATCCGAGCTGTCCCGCAGTGGTACGTGAAACTGACTCGATTATATATTAATTAGAGCATCTGATCCTAGTATGCTCGTAGATGGCAACGACCCTGCCGTATTTTATGTTCCCGTTATGGCTCTTCGTCTGCTTTTTCTCGTCTTGCTGTTGGTCTCCATGAGCTTTCCGCGGACCGTTTCAGCCGACAAGCCTACGACGCCCACGACAGAGATATCGGATTCTGCTGCATTACTTGGCGCCACCCAGACCAATGGTGCCAGTTATGGGACTTTTCACGAAGGGACTCCCAGTAGCCCGGAGTCGGAAGACACTTCGGTTGCTGCGCCCTCCCAAGATGGGGATACCCAACCAAAGGTGATCATAGGATATTGTGTATGCTGCTCACCAATCATAGTGACATTTGCGCTGTTTTGCTGGTGCAGCCTGCGGATGAAGACTCGGATGAAACTAAGAACAAGACAGACGATGACGACCCTCTAGAGGGAGAACAAAGTTGGATGGAGAATTTCCGTCGATTCCGACGCCTGACACCCTACTTGTGGCCTTCGAAAAGTCGTACCCTGCAGGTTTTTGTTGTGAGTTCATAATATCATAGCTTTTCCCCTCTCATCTATGGCTGCTGACTCGGGTCGTGGCACAATAATTCGAAAAGGTCATCTGCATCCTCCTCGTCCTGATCTCTCGCTTCATAAACTTGGCCGTACCTTGGCTCCTTGCAGAGTTGGTGTCCATTTTTGAGCATAACCAACAGAATGAGCGGTCGTTCTGGCCGTACCTCTTGGCTTATGTCGGGGTACAGTTCCTTAGAGATGGAGGTATCAACCTCGTTCGTCAAGTAGGTGATTTTACCGGCACCGTGCCACAAGCGCTTCGACAGAGGAACTGGATGGCTGGCACTGATGCTATCTCTAGACGTTGTGGGACCGCGTAGAGCAGTATTCTGAGAGAGGTGAGTGTGGTGTCCTGGGTTCTGTAGTGTGGGCGGACTGGTGCAAGTTCTCATTGTTATCGGTGTAGAAATGGGCCTATTGACGTACAAACACCTGCTGAATCTGTCGTACGGATTTCATGCCAATCGCAAGACCGGGGAAGTGCTCTCTGCGATCGACAGAGGAAAAGAGGTCAACCGTACACTGGAGGTAAGTCTCACACCACCTCCTTCTCCACTCTCCCTTACATTGTTTCTGAACATGCGTCATTATGCGCAGACCGTCCTGTTCACGTTCATACCCAATATCATTGATCTCTTCGCTTCGATATTTGTCATTACTTACAGACTGGACTGGACGGTCGCCGTCATTCTGGTGGTTGAGATGAGTACTTACGGTTAGTACTAGCCACGGCCTCTTATATTGCCCTTCTTCTTGCTTAAGGTTGGGTCACAGCTATCGCTAGTTCGGTTCTGAACAAATGGCTCACCAAAAGGCGAAGGGACTATATCGCCCTCGCCGACGTGTGTTCATGTTCCTTCATTTCTTACTTTCGGAGAAGCTGACATCTAGATGCGTGATGCAGAAATCGCGCACGATGTATACGGACTGTTTGATCAACTACGAGACCGTGAAGTATTTCAATGGGGAGCAGCACGAGCTCGATCGGTGGAGAGAGACGTTCTTGGAGAGTCAGAACGCTTATATGCGTCTTGACGGTGCGTCTATGTCGATTCTAATCTGAAGAGACCGATCTGACCAACGTTTGGACTGATGCTGGCTGTCAGTCGGGTGGAATCTATTCAGCTTGGTGCAGACGTTGATTACGGTAAGATATGCTCAAACTCCTGCTCACTTTGTACTAATGACTGGTCGGTCTTGTTACTATAGAGTCTTGGCCTGCTCCTCAGCAGCATGATCATCTCGCACCGAGTCGCGCAGGGCGTCCTGTCCGCGAGCGACTTCGTGTTCTTCATCATGTACCTCGGTCAGCTCTACGGTCCGCTCAACATCATCGGCTGGATATATCAGATGACGAACAGCTCGTTGATCAACACCGAGAAACTACTGCGGATATTGAACGAGCCGACTGAGATCAATGATAAACCAGGGGCGCAGGATTTGGTGGTTACGGACGGGGAGATCGAGTTTGGTGAGCGTTTGCTTAACTGTGGAGGGCTTGGGCGGTTGCTGAACGCTAGGGTTCGTAGACAATGTCATCTTCTCGTACGAGAAGAGCGGAAAGACGGATGCGCTCAAGAGAGTGTCTTTCAAAGTGCCCAAAGGTAGTTCAGTGGCATTGGTCGGAGAGGTATGTGTAAGAGGCCGAACGACAGAGACTACCGTGTTGACGTGTGGTATTAGTCTGGTGCAGGAAAATCCACAGTCTTTAAGCTCATGTATAGGTTCTACGACCTCCCGCCAGGATCCGGGCGCATCACCATCGACGGTCAAGACATCAGGGACGTGACACAAGACTCGCTCCGCCGTGCCATTGGCGTTGTGCCGCAAGAGGCCGTTTTGTTCAATGGCACGGTGGGATACAACATCGGATATGGGAAGCTGGGCGCGACCCAGGCAGAAATCGAGGAGGCTGCGAAGGCAGCTCAGATGCACGAGAGGGTGGTCGGGTTCAAGAACGGTTATGAGACAAAGGTGGGCGAGCGTGGCATCCGGCTGAGTGGTGGCGAGAAGCAGCGTGTGGCCATTGCGCGGACCATCTTGAAAAGCCCCCCGGTGTTGCTGTTGGATGAGGCGACGAGGTGAGTCTGACTCGATGTCTAAAGGAGAGTGAGCTGATGGTGGCGAGAAGTGCGTTGGACACGTCGACCGAGAAAGTGATCCAGAAGGCGCTTCGAAGCCTGGTGAAAGGCAGGACGTCGATCTCTATCGCACATCGACTCTCTGTACGTTGACCTGCTCTTTCCTCCGGGACCATTACTAAATATCATTCTTGAGCAGACGATCGCAAGTGCAGACATGTGAGCGGGTTGGTCTGCAGTCTGTACGACATATTTCTCACGGTTGTGTTATTTTAGCATCCTGGTGTTCAAGAACGGGGAGATAGTGGAGAGGGGCAACCACAAAGAGCTGTTGAAACTGGACGGGGTGTTTGCGTCTATGTGGGCGGAGCAGATACACGCAGCGGAAGCAGAGGTCGAGGTAAAGGACGAGGAGAAAGCAGAGGCGGAGGGAAAGGATGAGGAGACAATAGAGTAGACACGGCGCTGTGCTGAAACACAATGTGACACGAGTGTGGCGGGGTGGGGCGCAGCTTACGTAATGAAGTCGAACGTGGGGGTTGACGGTGGCGGGAATCGAATTTGGCTTGTTGCTTGTCACTGTGATTGTGATGTCGACCTCTGAGGAGATCACCCCTCGCACTCGCGTCTATCGCAACCCTCCGCGGAGTGCGAGAGTCGATGATCATACCCCGACCGCGGGCCCGTCCCGTCTAGCCATGAACACGCCCCATCCGGCCTCTCCCTTCCTCGACGACGACGACGACGAGGCCACGCCCAGGGGAAACGCCCGCAACAACTTCACCCCCTCCTCTCCCACAGAGACCCCCCGTCTGCGCGACATTCTTGCTCGTTACCAGTCTCTTCACAACGACCCCCGCCAGGCATCTCAGCTCATCAACGAGCGCACGCCCTCACTGCCTTCCGAACTAGAGTCCGACGAGCCCCAACATCACTCTTTTGCGAGCGAGGCCCTCAGCCGCCTGTTTTCTCATGCCCTGCGCGAGCCAGGCAGCACCCCCACGAAGAAGAACACGCGAAGAAACAGCATCGACACGAGCGAGGTCGAGGTTGTGGAGGATAGCCCGAGGCTGGAGAGGATCGCACAGGAGCGCGCGCGTAACAAGGGCAAGCGGAAAAGCATGAGCGACGAGGAGGCAGAGAGGTCTTCAAGTACGTCTGCGATCGTTTCTCTACCATTCCCATCGCGAACTGACCGTTATTTTCAAGAATCGACGCGCGACTGGGAAAACGCGTCCTCGCGGTCGTCCCAGGCCGCCCATTTTGATGCCTTGAGAAGACAGCTCAAGGCGTCCCACCCCGACACGGACAGTGCGTGTCAGCTCTTTTCCACTTTTTCGACGCGTTTTCGAGCTCTTTTCTCTTGTAGACTCTGTTACAGACGACGATGGCGATACAAGCCGCGATACCGCCGAGCTTGTGCGCCAGTTTAGCTCCGAATCTTTCTCACTCCCTGCCGCCACCAGTACGCCCGCGCGTTCTCTCATGTACCCCTCTCAAATGCACATGCATTCAGGTCAGTACCCATCCTACGCCTATGCAACACGAGATTATTGATCGCAAGGCGACAGATCTTATGGAATCCGACTCTGAGATGCATAGAGCTATTGGTGGTTCTGATAGTCTCGACGGTTCAGCGTCTCTTCCACCAGTCCGGCCTTCAAAAAGCCCCAGAACGGGTCCTCGTCCACTAGGTCACACGAACTCCATGCCGAACGTGGGAGATGCTCCATCGGATTCGGCATACAATCAGCCTCGAGCAGAGAGTAAAAGAGCAGAGAATAAAATTGGCCGTAAGTAGATTCGACTTCATGTATTCCATTCATACCTGACAGCTGACACCGAATCAAAGTCGGACGCGCGAGCTCGCTACCTTCTGCCGATTGTGAGTTTATGACGTTTCACATTGTGTCCGTGCTTTCGATCGTTTACATGATGTGCTGGTACAGTCCAGAACCCCACGACCACAACTCCCCCACGAGACACACTTCGTCATCACCGCACCTCTCATTCGCAAAACGGGTCACCACTTGTTCTGCCACTCACTTCCAGGAGGAGCAGCGTCGCTTCAATAAAAAGTTTTGACAGCGACTTCTCCTCGCACGTTAGCTCGGTTGGCAGCAGCGCAGACTGTACGTTTCCGTTTTTCGAATTTTTATTTTTTGTCTTGTACACCTCTGAATATACGCCGAATACACAGATCGAGACCGCCAGAGAGAAATCGAGAAAGAGAAGAACGCCGAACGCGAGAGAATGTGGAACAAACCAAAGGCTTCACCTGGTAGTAGAAACCGGACCACATCCAATCTGAGCGTGCATAATCTCTCCGACCACCGAAGACGCACGTCCAGCAACGCTTCCCGGCCAACGTCCGCGATGTCCACGGTCTCGAGGGATGATTTCAGACCAGCATCACCCACCGGATCTGCCGTTTCTAGCAGCATTCGCTCGTCTGTTGGCGAGGAGGTGGTGGTAGTTTCGCAGGAACGGGAGAGGAACTGGAATTCTCCGCATCCAAAGTGGAATCATACCCCTAGACGGTCATTGTCGCCTTTGCCGCAGATTACCCCTTCCCCACCACATGCGCAGGCACGGACAAGGCCTTCCCCAGGGGCCCGACCACGTTCGCAAGTGATAATGCCGACGAAGGCGCAGATGCCTACCACTCCAAGGACGAGAACTCAGAGTCTTGAGGCATCAGCGATGATGACCCCACCTAAAGATGACTTGCACGCGACTCTGAGGACGAGTAAGAGTCCTACTGCTAATGTCAGTCCATCGCCGTCGCCTTCGCCTCTTGGTGCTCGCCGCACTTCTAGGGACATGACGAAGTCGCCTTCGCCTTCACCAGGGTCTTTGCGTGCGAGACCAAACTCCTCATACTCAACGCCTAACATTCATGGCGAGCTCGTCGATCGTACGAATCGTCTCTCGCCTCGCCCGAGGCCGTCTTCGTACCATGCTTCCTCGTCCTCGCTTGACCAACGGTCGCGCCATCAGCTAGGCCCTCGTCCCAATAGCCCAATCCCATCTACCACCCCAGAAAAACCGCCTCCGAACGGGTACGGAAGCGCTGACAGCACGCCGGAAGGGAAGGATAGCCCCAGTCGAGGTCTGAGCTCACATTTCGGGTTCAGGTTCCCCAAAAACAAGCCCTTACCTCCGCTCGACCTCGGTGATTCACCAGAACGGCGTATCGTCTCTGCTTCTGCTAGGTCGTCGAGTAGGGCGAGTCTTGGTGGTGGAAAGCCGAGCCATATACCGGTCAGGTCGCCGGGCGATAAATCGAGGTCGTCAAGTTCCGGGTCGGTGGTCTCGAACGATTTGAATGGGAGATCGCCTTCCGGATCCCCAACTTCATCTCCGACGTTTCAGAGGGGCCATAAGCGGACTACGACGGAGTTTAGCGAGGGCACCGGGTCGATGCCGCAAAGCACCACGCCACCGCCGATGACGCCGACAATATATGTCGGGTCTGAGCAGGAGCTGGATGCGGAGGTCGATATGGATCTTGAGTCAGAGCCTGAAGTCCAGGTTGAGGGGCGTGAGTGGGAAGATCATCACGATGATGATTCTGTTCGTGGTGAGTGGCGTATAACGTCTTTGTATCTCGATCGTCTTGAGGCTGATTTTTTGCCCAACTTGTGTTTTTCAGAGAGTGATGAAGAGATGTCAGTCGTTGCGACACCTCTTGCGAGAACTATCGACCTTGAGGATATGTCGAGTCCGGCACCTGTAGACTTGAGTCCATCACCTCCGTCGTCCCCACCGCCACAGCGATCTCACGGCCGCGATTTTCTCTCCATCGAGCGAACTAATAATCACGATCTCGCTCGTCTGCAACGCGCCCTTGGCACCTCGCCTGCTCCTTCATCTCCTCCACGAGAAAGGACACCGTCACCACCTTCTACCCCGCCACTACCGACTCAGCCGGAGTCGCCTTTCCTTTCACCTACCAAACAAGAATTACCTACCTTCGAGATCTCCACGCTTTCTACGCCTCCCCGCAAGTCGGCATCCAACTCCTTCGCTGCATCTAGAGCTGAGTACGCGACGCCATCACCGCCGAAGGGAGGATTGCCAGACTTGCCTGGACCGCCGTCCGACGACGAAAATGATGTAGAGAGGACACCTGTACGGTCGAAGTCCACACCGCGACAGGTCCAACAGCTCGAGTTCTCGACGTTGAAGACTCCAGCGGTACCAGGGGCCTGGTTGACGACGCCTGCTCCCGCCAAACAAGAACCTGCAAAAAACGCGAGACGGGGTTTGGACGATTCATACCTTGGTCAGAAACCAAAGAAGACCTCGAGGGGGAGGTCGAATTCGGATTCGCAGGTCGAGGACAATGACGGGAGGCCGGAGGAGAGGACTCCGCTGAATCCGCTGAATAGGACGAACTCTTTGCCGATGAGGACGCCTGCTCCGCCTGGGGCTTGGGTCACTACGCCAGCAACTGTCGCAAGACGGAGGAGTCTGTTGAAGGTACGGTTCGAGGAGGAGGCTCCACCGCCGAACTTCACTTCCGATAGTGCTCCTTCGGACACGGAGGGGATCTTGCCGGGGGTCAAGTTCGATGTCGACGGCTCGGAGAGTTCCCTGAATGGGTTGGAGTTCGTTCCGGGGCCGGCTGTGGTGTCTCAGGTGCCGGACATGGATATGGAGGGCGGGGAGGACCTTTCGTTCGAGGGTGTACATGAGAGTTCACCATCGCCTGTGAAGTCGGAGACGAGGCTGCCACCGACTTCGTCTTCGAACGGGCACGCGAACGGGGATCACCGATCGTCCGAGCCACCGACGACGCCTCTGAGAGCGCTTGCTTCTCCGTTTAGAGGGAAGAGGGAGACGCCGAATGGGAGCGTCCGGATGGTGGATGAGTTTGGTGAGGTGCGGGGTGGGGAGGAGAAGCCGGCTGGGAGCCCGTTGAGGAGGGATATCTCGGTGTCGATGAGGATGCCGGGGGGCACGTTGCAGACGCCGAGGAGTAAGAGTGTGGTGAGGATTTTAGACGCGATGGGGAGAGAGGTCGAGGAGGAGGGGAGGGCGAATGAGAGTGATTCAACTATACTCAGTGGGTATGAGTCGCCGGCGGACCGGGCGGCGGCGTTGGCGAGGGTGAAGAAGGTGACGGCCGATTTGAAGGTGGGGTTGGGGGATGCGCAGAGGTATGTTTTATCTTTTGTGTTATAAATTTGAACCATTGTTGACGTCTCTTCGATAGGTTGAGCGACTTCCCTGCGAATGGTACGCGGTTGCAAGAACTAGACAATGTGTCGGCGGCGGCGCGGGAAGCAAGAACAAGGATCTCTCTTGCGCTCAAGCAGGCAGAGAATGGGCAGACGCAAAGGGTCAGGAGCGCCTCCGGACCTCTGGCCACGCTCATCAGCAAGCAGAAGAGCGCTTTGGTAAGTTCTGCTCCATGTTTACATGACACATTAATTGACCATGATGAGGTTACACAGTCCAATCTCGTACCACGACCGACATCTATTTGGAACCCATGGTTCATCACGAGTTTTTTCCTTCTACAAATTATCATCATTATCTTTATGTATAGGTGTGTATTTTTACTTCGATTTCACTGTTCATTTTCTCACTTGCGCCGTAATTAGACTTTCAGTCAAATATGCGAAACACCAATTCCTCACGAGCTACTTCGATCCATTCTATGCCGACCTCCATCTCCACAGGGACAAATCTTATGCCAACTACGACCCGAAAGTCTTCGAAATCTACCACAAAGCATCCTCGGCTGACTCATCCCATCTCGCTCTGCGCCTCCTCCAGAAAGCCTCGTCAGCGATATGGAACGGCCTCACCGGGACTGTTGCAAGATGGCAGAGGTCTGCCTGGGATGCGTGGGGTGTTCCCAGCATTCCGGTGCAGACGAAGCGTGTGGCGTGGCCGCCTAGTTGAAGCGTTAGGCAACATCCTTGGGCTTGAAGACTATGCCACCTCTTTTTTTTTATATATACGAAATATCTGATGATAGCTTCGGTACGGACTCGATTTTTATCTTCCTTCTTCTATATCTTTCCCCTCTGCCTATCTTTTCACACTAGGCGCTACCCAATCTCTTGATTTCCTTATACCAATCTATCAATGTTACCTTCCCTCTTGATTCGAAGTTTCCCAGCGATTTGTTCTGTCCTGTCCTGTCTTGTTTTCATAAGTTGTTCCGTTGTAGTTTTCTTTTGAAGTACTGTTTTCCAATGTGTCTGTTGGATACCATCGTTCCCCTTCATCCTCCATCCTTTGGTTTTTCCTTACAAGGTTCGGCGCGCGCTCGTCACATCCCTCCTCTATGGGACCTTTTATTTTCTCTGTTGTACCGTTTACATGTTTAGGCTGGAACTGATACTCACTAACTGCAATGCGTTACGATATTTCATGGTGCTTTCCTGTTGTGCGATTGTGGCGTGCCGTACGAAAACCAGGTGGCGACCAATGTGAAAACATTGCGGTGCCAATGGTCTCCACTCGTTTGCGCAGTACCAGCAAGACCATTTTCCAAGACTCTTCCTCTCCCTCCTCCCGGTTTACCTCCTCTCTGACTCCCCTTCTCTTTCGTCAGGAATCGACTCCGAGTCGATTCATCCGAGTAGCTTGAAGGACCACAATCATCAGAACTTCAACGACCTTTACACCATGTTTGACCCGCTCCGTATAATTGCTTGGCAACTGGCCCACACTAGGTCACGCACGCACTAAGTACCACAGTCCTGGGAATGCTCACACATGTACAACAGCACTGATCTGCCCACAAGCACTTCTTTCCTGACTATCTCCTGGACGACCCAGACGTTTTTAATCATCTTCTGCCGCTTGTGGTTTGTTGCGGAATGCCGTTTTATTGCTGCAAAGTTGGCAAGGGCACCGACGATACCGCACTACTGCCGGCCTGGAGCTGTAAGTATTGATTGCTACAGGAGAGGATGACGAGATGAAGAGGCGCTCTCAAGCTTAGAGCCATGGTTGTTCGAACTATTTTGGAAGAGTTCAGACGACGATTTCTACGATCTCAGGGATCATCTCAGCACCCGCTCAAATTGCTGCTGTCCTCGTCTGTCCTCATGACAGTAACTTCGCTGACGTTCACAAGTTGCCTATACAGTATACGTCGAGTAGTCGGCCGAGCGGCTACCGGACGTATTGGTTGCCGTTGTACACTCTGATTGTACCTTGACATGCACTTGGGCGATTTCTTCCCTCATTTCACCGAGATGCCTGGAAATCTGGAATATGCTCGTTGTCAAGGCCGAGCGGACTCGAGGGCGTATATAACAAGCTCTCCCCAGGTCCCTTGCTCTCCATCTGTGCCGGGTGCCAGCTAGCTTCGACAACCTCTCCTTCCTTTTGCCTTACCTCTCCTTTTTTCATTCAACTTCATCGCAGCCAGTCTGCTCACTCTGCTCTTTTCGCCCCCTTCACTCTACACTTGTTAACCCTTACCCCAACCAAATCTTCCGATCTTTCAAATGGCTCGCTTTGCTCTCTTTGCTCTCGTCGTCTCTGCCGCTTGCGGTGTCCTCGCTGCGCCTACGGCCATGCGCCGCGCCTCCAACGGCACCTTCGCTCTGCAAGAGTGAGTTGCAACGAAGTCTCGATCTATCACATATACTAATGCCCGTGTGTGCATCTCTTTCGATAGTTACGCAGACTTCCAGATCTCCGACGGTGTTGCTGGAACTGCTGAGGCAGAGGCTAACGCTGTCTTCGTCGGTACGTCTACCTTCTTGATCCCTTGAGGGGACGTATAGGACTTCGTATCTAACTGGCGATTGTTTCTTCGTCCGTGTAGACCCCTTCGCCGGTGTCGACCTTGCCACCGTTGACTCTACATCTCTCGACAACCTCCAGACCATGCGTGAGGCAGCCGAGTCTGCTGAGACGGACGACTTTAACCCTCAGATCGATGCCGCTTCCGGCGATGCGGGTGCGTCTTAGTCTTTCTCTCTTCTGCTAGGGACATAAATTGATGTTTGCTCGTGTGATATTTTGCAGCTGATGCGCTCCAGGTCGGAAAGATTAAGAACAAGGTCCTCAAGTTGACGGGCGAAGTTCAGGGCCTGAACATCAAGATTGCGCAAGCTCAGGCCAACGGCGACGATACCAGTGACCTCGAGTCCGACCTTGCCGCTGAACAGTACGTCTCTTGTTACATCTTTTCCACCTGGTCTTTCCTGACCATGTCATCTTCATTGTGAACAGGAAAAAGTTGACCACCAACATCGCGACCGACACGAAGAGCGCGGGTGCTACCTCCCAGGCGGCGACACTCTCATGATCCGACTGATCTGAGTGCTGTTCGCTGTCTGAGATGTGCATTATACCCGTTGCTTTGCCCTTTACTTCTTGGTTGTCCGTGTAGTGTTCTCCTGGTCTCTCTTGCTTGTCCTGTACGTTCATCTTGTGTTCGGAGTTTTTCTTTGATATGAAAATGGAGAGTTAGGCACTTGGTTGTCTTTGCATCTATATCGCTCAGAGTGATCAGTCCAATTTCTGCGAGACACCTTAGAATGACGCTTTGGGCCTAGGCTCGTTTGACCTGGCGGGACCTACCCTTTACGAACGGAGGTTGCATCCTTGAAGGTTCTCTTCCTGTGGCAAGCAGATCTCACATAGGATCCTCGATCACTTGTGTCAGAATCGAGTCGATGGGACTGCCCTTACGCTTGTTTCAAACTGTTTCGATCTCCTGGGGCTTCTGAGCTCTGAATTCACCCTTGGTGATACAAAGAGATAAAAAGAAACTGTAAGAAACACCATCTCGACGACGCGTTATGGCGCACACGGTCCACAACTCAAGCACTCGAGAAAGACAGGAGAAAGACGTCGAAGCGGACGTCGGAAGATTCCTGGCCAATCCATATATATATTGTATCCGGCGGTGAGACAAGTGATGCAATTTTGGAGCGGAACGTCGGGCGAAGCAGGCGGCTCGCTTCTTTCGTCATAATTTTCCACGAATCCTGCCCAACAGTCCGTTTAATTTTGAGGCCTCCCGGACCCCTTTACGCGTCGGTATATATACCTTTGGGATGACGCCTCTAAATATCACCCCGCCGCTCTACCGCCAACACGACCCCATAACCTCAGTGAGCATCTGTCCTCCCAATCGACCCGTTCAAAACACTAACTTGATATTGACCTCTCCTAGACTCAGTAACGACTGCCATACCTTACGATGCCCGCCGGTGCCGCCATCCCTGGTCTGTTCTTCTGCTTCACGGCGATGGTTCTGCTAGTATTCGTGCGTCTCGAATACTTCTGGCTCTTCTCTCATTTTCCTGATCTTTCGGTGCATGCTCTGCAGGTCTCTGTGTCCGCCCCGACCTGGAACAAGATATATTTCCTGGACGCAAATAAGAGCAGTCAAGACATTCATTTCGGCGTGTTCGGGTACACGGGCACAGGGACCTCCTTCGGATATTATTTCGATGCAGACACGCTTGGGTACACGTACGTGGATCAATGGTACTACGCACATCCATGAAACTCACATCACACCTTCAGCGACTCGCGACTTAACGACGAAATTATTCACAACCTCACCAAGACTTTGATTCTCCACCCAATTGGTATGTATAGTCTGGCATGAGACAAAGACCACATTATTGAGGATTGTTGTATTTGCCCAGCTGCCGGCCTCTCTGGTCTTGCATTCCTTTTCGGACTCCTCGGGGCTTCATACCATCGCGCAGGAACTGTTCTCATGACCCTCACCGCCGCGCTCGCATTCCTCACCACCCTCGTCGCCTGGGTCCTCGATATGGTCCTCTTCGGCATCGCACGCAACCGCTTCCGCGACAATGGATTCAACTCGCAATATGGTAACGCCACCTGGATGACGCTCGGCGCTACGGTAAGCACGTTCCAGCAACCACTGACTACTTTGTGCTCATATGTACATACTCCTCAGGCCTCCTTGTTACTGGCCTTCTGCACTGCTGCTCTTGGTGTCTGTGGGCCCTACAGGCGCCGCAAGACTGAGGCCACTTACTGAACGATCATTAACGTCCCATCTCATGTCTTCGTCACTTCCTCCTTCTCGACATGTTTCAATAACACTTCCACGAGTCTGCAACTTGTTCTTCTGTCTGTACGCCCATTCTTCTGGAACTTACTGTAGCAAAACCCGTCCCTCTTCTCGTCCATATCCTTCTTATGTGGTGTCCACTTTGTGTCCCGATTCCTGTGTATCATCTTCGTACTTTTTGAAGGACTGTGTATACCTCAGTGGTTGACTTACTTTACGTCCTTTTAGTGAAACATAACACCGTTCACTCCTGCTTTCACGGTATTGTGGCCCCTTCGTGAGTGGCGAGGCTATCGGAGTCCGGCAGTCGGCCAAAAATAACTTGATCCTTGTTTCTATCTCCAACATGTCTTGAACCAACTCTGTCAATCCCTGGTGCGGGCATCACCGACGTGTTTTGGCTTGAGATTTCGAGGATTGTCCCTCATATCTCTTAACCGACTGGGGTATGAACAGTCAAATTGTCCTACTAATGCTCATATTTGTCTATGCAAAATCCGTTTCAAGAGTTCTTACGGCGCAAAGTCTCAGGCAAGACGCTGCTCATGATGATGATGATGACGAGACGGCGGCACTTCTGATTGGTACAGTTACCCTACCGAACTTCCTGTGAAGAAACCTTGCCGCGGATGGAAGTCGTGTACACAGATGGAACTTGCGCATTTGACGCGCTGGTCCTGCTGACTGGACTCATCCACGCCCTTCCGACAGAACTGTGTCGAATGAGCGTCGTATGCAGATAATAGGAGTATATAGCCTGCCGATGCTGCGAGACTGTTATCCAAAGCTTTTCTGCAGTCGTTCATCCATACCGATCTGGTACGTGTCATCTGCTTATAATATGTAGGCTATATTCCCTGAAGGTGCAGGATGCTCTCGATCCACAGAATACAGCCTGTCTTTGTCGGCACCATGGGACCGTTCAAGCAAGGCACACTTCTCTCATTCCTCTACAATCAACTCTTCGTCACACCTCCCCTCTCTCCTACACTCTCCTTCGCCGGACAAACCGTCATCGTCACCGGCTCTAACGTCGGCCTCGGTTTCTCGGCAGCACAACAAATCGCACAGCGTGGCGCGTCAAAAGTCATCCTCGCCGTGCGCACCGTAGCTAAAGGCGAAATTGCGGCTCAAAGGATCCGAGATAGTCTCCCTTCTTCGTCGAAGACACAGTTAGATGTCTGGCCCCTCGACCTCTCGTCGTACCAATCTGTGAAGGACTTTGCCGCAATGGCAAACACGGAGCTGGAGAGGTTGGACGTGTTGCTCGAGAATGCGGGAGTTGGTATGTTTGAGTTTACATTGCAGGAAGAGGACGAGGCGTCGATCAAGACGAACGTACTCAGCACCACCCTCCTGGCTCTGCTACTCCTTCCGAAGCTCAGAGAGTCGGCACAGAAGTTTGGCATAGTCCCTCGTGCGGTGATCGTGTCGAGCAATGTTGGGTTCTTGGCGAAGTTCAAGGAACGCCATGCAGAGAATATCTTCGAGGAATTGAATAATCCAAGGTCAGACATGAAAGACCGGTGAGTGAGATCGTTGAACGCACCTTGGGTTTCTCGGGAAGAGGTATGTTAATATTTGGACCGCACTTCTACAGGTACAACGTCTCCAAGCTCTTAGAAGCTTTCATCGTCAACGAAATCGCCGCTCGTATCTCATCCAGTTCAGAGCCTCCTGTCACCCTCAACATCCTCAGCCCAGGCCTCTGTGCAACTGAACTCGCGCGCAACGTTCATGGCCTCCAACGTCTCTTCATGACCCTACAATACAAACTCATCGCGCGAAGCATGGAGGTGGGTGCCCGGACGCTCGTCCACGCTGCGGGTGCCGGTCCAGAAACACACGGGAAATTCTTGAGCGAGTGTGAGGTACATATTATGCCTATGGAAGCGAATTTGTGGGGGGATGAGGAGGAGTTGCAGAAGAGGATATGGAACGAGGTGATGATGAAGTTGGAGAAAGTCGCTCCGGGGGTGTCGAAGATTGTTTGAGTTTATAAGCTCGGTGGTAAGAGGGACGGACATATCGCATTTACGAGCTCTTAGAACAACATCACATCGATATACAAAGTCTGTGCAACATATAAGTAGCTGAAGCTGGGCTATCGAGGTGAAGGACATTTCTTGCAATGGTCCGGTCTTCTTCGTGGGAAGGCGCAAAGCAATACCGGAGATGAATCTTTAATTGAGACGATGCCACTGCACAGATGCCGCATCTGTGCCTTCCTCACCTCCATATTCCCACCGCAAAACGACTTTGGTTCCTTGCATAATTACAGGCCTGACGAACTAACAGTAACTATGACGTGCCTGCCGCGGTTCGGAACAGTCCGCAAGCACTTTCGCTAAAACTCGACGTCTCAATCCCTCTGACCTCGACCTGCAACTGCTGGAAAACCCCCTATCGACTGTCTTGCGGGAGCAAATCTAAATATTGTCTGTGTTTTTGCCCACTCCAGGATGACCGAAAAGCCTGTCCTCGATTACTCGGTCTATCTCGTTACTGGACGAGATCTCCTCCCCCCGAACAAGGTATGTTGGTTTGGTGGACCTTGGATGTTAGGGTAAGTTAAAAAGGATACTATCTGGCTTTGGAGGAAAGAGCTATCTAGAATGTCTAGAAGAGGTATGTTGTACACACTGCTTGCGTTTGAGGATGCAGTGATCATACTTTTCCTATCGTAGGCGATTAAAGGTGGAGTAACAGTCGTGCAAGTGCGCGAGAAAGATGCAGAGACGGGAGAGGTATGTCTACAGAGGATCATACATTTTCATATGTTTCTCTCTAACTGCAAGCGTAATTTTCCTCCTATGAACGCAACTAGTTTCTAGCGATCGCCCTTCAAACAGTCTCTCTCTGCTCCAAGTACAACGTCCCAGTCCTGATCAATGACCGACTCGACATCGCTCTAGCCTCAAAGGCAGCCGGAGTCCACCTCGGACAAACTGACATGCCCATCTCGGTCGCGCGCTCCCTCCTGCCTGCTAACTCTATTATCGGCATCTCATGTAATACCCCCGAACACGCAAAGAAGGCGGTGGAAGAAGGTGCAGACTATGTCGGACTTGGGGCTGTTTATGGGACGAATACGAAGGATGTGACGGCACCAGGGAAGGTGAGAGGGATAGACGGCGTGAGGGAGGCGTTGACCGTGTTGGAAGGAACGGGCGTGAAGAGTGTGGCGATCGGTGAGTTATACTAGTCCAGATCACTCCCTTCCGTGGCCATGGTTTGTTAAGGTATTAATACTTCTCGGATGTGGTATGTGTGACAGGCGGCATCAAGTCGACCAACATCCTGCGCACGCTCCATGGATGCGTATCTTCATCAGGATATGGCCTGGACGGCGTAGCCGTCGTGTCAGACATCATGGCGTCCACTGATCCTCAGGCGGCAGCGAGGCGTCTTGCAGACATCTTTGCAGCCTGGAAAGCAGTCCCTCGCAGCCCCGTCAGTTTTACTCCCCACGTCTGCAGCAGCTCGCATACTCGAGACGCGGTCATTCGGGCAGCAGCAGAGCTCGTGTTGAGCGTGAGGCAAGTGAAGCCTCTTGTGCACCAGGTGCGTTTTAGTCCATTAACTTGATCTCAAGTCTCGGGCTTGAAGGAATGTTCTCTAAATACATCCACAGATCACCAATAATGTCGTGAAGACGCAATCCGCGAACGTTACACTGGCCATGGGCGGGTCGCCCATCATGGCCGCTGCGGCCCAAGAGCAGGAAGAACTCGCTCGTATACCGGGTGGCTTATTAGTGAACTTTGGAACCGTGGAGGATATGGATGGAATGCTAGCATCTGGCTTCCACGCTAACCTGAATCGCAAACCGGTCGTGTTTGACCCTGTCGGTGTTGGGGCGACGAAGTATCGCCAGAATTGTGCGGCCCGTGAGTAGGTTTCTCTTCTGTGATTCTGACCAGCCGATGTCTGAACTAGAACCCTCTGTCGATGAATTTTTAGAATTATTGAACTTGTGGCAGGCGACCGTGATAAAGGGCAATGCTGCTGAAATTGGAGCTCTCGCGAAGTCGGAAGAGGTTTGTACCATCTGCTACGTGGACTTCCGGGATTCGATCCGTTTGCTGAGCATCTCGTAGGTCAAAGCACAAGGGGTCGACACCCTCGGCCCCGGCTTCAAGGACCCTTCGTCGGTCGTCCGTCTCCTTGCACGTCAAGAACGTACGTGCCCTCCCAATGCAGCTTATCTTCCGTCTCGTGTCTTATCTGCAATCACACCACAACAGGGTGTGTCGTCGTCCTCAGTGGACCCACAGACTATGTCTCCAACGGATCAACCGTCCTCCGCCTTTCGAACGGTCACCCCCTTCTTGGCCAAATCACAGGCTCGGGTTGCATTGTGGGCACAGCGATCGCCACCTTCTGTGGCGCGGCGGCTATTCTCGCCGAGCGTGATGCGCCTGCGGGTGCGGCAGGCGAGCTGGTGAGAGGCGACATGTTGATCGCTGCCGCAGCTGGGTAAGTCGCTTTTATGGGTTGATTTTCATGATCGTTCGTGTCTGACAAGGTCTTTTTCTTTTTGGATGCATGTGATAGTGTGCTTGTGTTGACCATCGCCGCGGAGATCGCTGCCGAGAGGGAGGACGTGAAGGGCCCGGGAACATTCTTGCCGGCGCTCATTGATGAGCTCGCACGACTGACGCCAGAAGTGGTTGAACGACGGGCCAAAGTCGAAGTTGAGGCTGAGATATGAAGGTTCTGGCCAGGGTAATGAAAACGTTGATCTAAGTAAGTAAAAGTGTAAGTCTGGTTGTGTGTACGATAGAGTTCCGCTGGCAAAGAGACGCCCTTCGGTGAGACCTCATCCGACGGTGGTTCTACGAAGTTCCGATAAAATTCGACAACAGTAGTGTACTTACTTGTGTGTGTTCACCTACGAGTACCCGCTGTCATCATGATGCGCTGTCTTCACCAAACTCGAACTCAAAATGCCAACCCGGGGAAACTACCCAGAATCGAGGGCCGATAATAGCTAGGACTTCATCGCAAGAGTTGTAAGAAGGTGAACTTGTTCGCTTCGCGGAACTTGAAAGCAACGGGTCGGCGCGGCTTGCGGCTTTCATTGCCAAGAATGAACTGGCCGGATGCTTGCTTGGCTGGGCCACAACTGTGACTGCGAGGTCGAAGATTTCGGAATTTGAACATAATCTGTGTCATTTTCAGTGAGTGTTTGATACGGGCACCTACAAATTTAAATGCTATGAGGCCGAGCCCGGGTCGAGCTGGCAATGGGTGACATCAAAGCGCGCTACGAGCGCGCCGGGGCTCTGTACAGCCGCCAGTGCTTGCGGCCAACACCCCATTTCCACCTGCACACGGCCCTCTCTGTCCGCTCTTCCATCTTCTACCGAGCAGCCTCTCCTTTCACCCTTCCTTGTCTCCAACCCCCACCAGCGCATCCTGCGCACAGTCAATCCTTTCGACTTCACGACCCCCGCTTCCCTGCTTACCATACATCGCCTTTTGCTCGCCATGCTCTCTTCCCTTTTTGTTTCTGCTCTTCTTGCAGCACCCGCTTTTGCAGCCTCAGCCGAGGATTGGAGGAACCGCACCATCTATCAGGTCCGTTTGTCATCTCTTGCTTTCTTATTCGTTTCCCTGACCTTCCATGCCTTGCAACACCTCCAGCTTGTCACGGACCGCTTCGCCCTCACTAATGATTCCAGCGGTGCATGCGACACTTCAGACCGTGTTTACTGTGGAGGCTCATGGCAGGGTGTCATCAATCACCTCGATTACATCCAAAACATGGGCTTCGACGCCGTCTGGGTTTCTCCCGTCAGCACCAACTTCGAAGGTGATAGCGCTTATGGTCAGGCCTTCCACGGGTGCGTCTTACATTGACTTTATCTATGCATTCCTCGCTCATGCCTGTCTTTCTCTTGCAGTTACTGGCCCTCAGACCTTTCATCGGTCAACTCGCATTTCGGTTCCGACGATGACCTTAAGAGCCTTGCATCAGCCCTTCATGACCGCTCGATGTACCTCATGATTGATGTCGTCGTCAACCATCTCGTCTATCCCTCCAACCCTCCTACTTTCAGCGACTTCAATCCCTTCAACACCGAGTCTGACTTCCACTCCGAGTGCTTCATCTCCGACTACAACAACCAAACTGACGTCGAGCAGTGCTGGCTCGGTGATTCCAGCTTGCCTCTGGCAGACACCAACACTGAGGATGACACCAATGTCTCGAGTTTGAACAGCTGGATCAAGAACCTCGTCAGCACTTACAGTGCCGATGGTATCCGTATTGACACTGTCAAGCACATCCGTCAGGACTTCTGGCCCGACTTTGCGAGCTCCGCTGGAGTCTACACCATCGGAGAGGTTCGCCGTCTTCTCTGATATATTGCAAACAAAGCTGACTCATCGATTGGCAGGTTCTACACACCGACGTCGCCTATATCGCCAACTACACACAAGTCCTTGACGGTGTTCTCGATTACTCTACCTGGTATCCTCTCGTATCTGGCTTCCAGTCGACGTCCGGAAATCTCTCCGCTATCACGGCCAACTACACCGCACTCTCCAGCTCGTTCAAGAACGGCGGGTTCCAATCAGGGTACCCTACTATCTCTCTTGACTTTCTGTCAAACTGATTTGATCGTTCTCCTAGTTCATTCTTGGAAAATCATGATCAGCCCCGTTTCCAGAGCATGACCACGGATCAATCTGTATGTCCATATTCTCCCGCTCTAATTGCGGTCCCTGACGCGAACGGAACACTCCTAGCTCGTCAAGAACGCGATGACCTGGCCTTTCATCAACGATGGTATTCCCATCCTGTACTACGGACAGGAGCAAGGTTAGAGAAACGCTGTCGATCATCAGAAAATCCATCACTCATCCGCACTTCCCTTATCTCACAGGCTACTCTGGTGGCGCTGACCCCGCCAACCGTGAGGCTCTCTGGTCGTCCGGTTACGAGGAGGACAAGGATCTCGTTACCCACGTGAAGACGCTCGTCGCTGCCCGCAAGCTCGCTGCTGCCGCGAACAGCAACTTCCATAGCACCGCTGTACGTCCCTACTTTTTATAAGCGAACCCGGTGTCTCAGAAACTGACACTCCATGACATTTATCTCTGTCACCGAATGAATCTAGTCCTCGTTCCCCACAACTACCGACGAATCCACCATGGCCGTTCTTAAAACCCCGATGCTCGCTCTCCTTACTAACACCGGCTCCTCCGGCTCGGCATCCTTCTCGACAAAGGGCGCTGGCTATTCCGCTAACGAAGCGCTCGTTGATGTCCTCACTTGCACCACCGTCACTGCCGACTCTTCCGGTGAGGTCGGTCTCGCAGCCAAGTCCGGTCTGCCACAGGTGTTGTTGCCCGTCAGTGCGCTGACGTCGAGCGGTGGCGTGTGCACGAACTTGGTGAGCGCGGCACATGTCAGCGCGAGAGTGCCGAGTGCGATGGTGGCGACGACGGTGCTGTTTGCGCTCTTCCGATTCTTGGCGTGAGGGGGTCCACATACGTACCCTTACCCGGATTGACGCATCCCTTGCTTTCGGTCGTACACACACACACTATTCATTATTGCATTCGTGCTGGTCCCTCTCAAGTTCCTTTGGCAGTATCTCGCCTTTGGGGTCAGGGATTGGTATTTCTCTCTTGGCCTGGTCAGCTACACCTCTTTAACCCTAGCCTATCTTTTCGGACAGCAGTACCGTACACCCCATTTGGCCCTCCCTTCTTCCCACCACGCCTCAGTTCTTCTTGATTCCGATGCGTTGTTAGTTTTGTCGCGTTCGCGCTTTCTGGGCATACTTTTTTGCTCTGATCTTGCTGCCCACCGGACTTATCTTCTCTTTCTCTTTCGTCTTTGTTCTGCGCTTGTGGGGTACGAGACCGTTTAAGGACTTACATAGACTATTATCTAAAATCATCTTTACTTGCGAGGGCTCTTTCTTGTTTGGTGTGAGATGTGGGTGTTGACTTGAAGTTAAAGAGTCGTGTATGCAGTGTGCGTGCGTGTGCATATATATATACGTTCGTTACAGCTCATCGCACGGGTTATACGGGGACCATGAGACGTTCTTTATGAACTTCAAACCAGTGGTTACATGAGGTTAGGCGTCGCTAGGGCGGGAGCGCCGAACATGACACCAGTGTGGCGTACACGAAGGTCGTCTTGTCGGTGCCTGCCTGTGTTGGCGCTCGTTCGCATATGGTCCAAAGGCGGTGATTTGGGTGTTTGGTGGTATAACTCAGTATCGAGAATACTACTAGAACAAGTCATCTCCCAAGTTCGTCCTTGAGCTCGTAGAACGGTGTAGCCTTCATGTGGCGCCGTTCGGGATATGCCGGTCATTCGAACATACATGCGCCACTCGACACGAGCCCAAACGAGTTTGCTCGTGGCTCGTCAGATACACATTTCTATCCGCCTTCATAGGTTGCGATTTATGAAAGTCATGTTGATACTCATGGAACAGATTAGCAGAGAATACAGAGGCTATACTATAGTTACACCAGGTAGGTTTGATGAAAACACGACGGGCCACGCGGTGATACAAGGTTAAGGCTCTGCAGCGTGGTGTATTGAGCACGACAAACAACAGCTGGCTACTGATGTTCGTATGAGTTCATAAAGATTGCCAAGACATAATTGGCCTGCGAATGCTTATCGGGGCCGAGGAGAATGCTTCATGTTCGTGGGCGACGCAAGCACGAGTATTTTCTCATTGGCGAGAAACAGTTTCGGGTTTATCGTGAGGAGCAAGGGGACTGAACTTTAGAGAATTATGTGTGAATGGGCAATCAGTGCTATGATGTTTCGGAATCAGCAGGCAAATTCGCCATGTGTACGAGGAGGGCAATAACAGCCAGAATACCGTCGATCACAAGGCACGACGTCCTCGTAACTCGTCCGACCGATAAACACGCGTCGACCCCGGAACGCAGATATCGCTCTTCCGGAAAGCAATTCCTAGGCATTCAAACATGTGTACATGTCCTCATTACCGCATTATGTGCGGCATTAAGAGGATCGTGGGGAAGAAGGGCTTTGGGAGGTGGGGTGGGGGTTATAGAAGCCGAGGGAAGACGGTGTTTTATGGGCCTTCTACCCTTCCCTCTCGTATAAAACACGAGGAGGATGCGAGGAGGTTGGTAGTGCGTGGTAAGTGAGGGTGAGAAGCATTATTCGGGCGAGCTAAGACGGAATAAGGGCGATAGAGCGAGCGCGTTGTCCGGAGGGGAATCAACAAATGTAGGGTTCGGATCGGCTTCGTTGGTGAGTTCTCCGAGATGGAAAAAAGTGAGAAATCAATAATTAAGGAGTCGGTTTTAGTCCCAAAAGCGTGTATTCATACAACCTTAATGAAGCATAATGAAAAGAGTCCGAGATAGGAAGAGAAGTGGAGGGTAGTACAGACACAGGTGGAGGTAACGTGGCGAGCTTTCACATGGGAATTCTGTCCACTTCTGCGAGTGTCCAGTATTTCTTCATGTTCTCGCCCTTCAGGTCTGCAACCTGCACGTTGAGTGAGATGAATGAGTAAATGAGCGGTATTTTGGTTTGGGCTATGGCAAATTACCTCGTCGTCTAGATGCGTGAAGAGTACTTGTCGCCAGCTATCGAGGCAGGCCCTGAACTCCTCTGGCTTGTAAGAAGTTGGATCCTTCTTATATTTAGTGACCAGGTTGGTCAAGTCTTCCAAACCTGCCAGAATAAATGACGTCTTCGTTTGAGGCAAAACCAAAAGGTGCATTGAAGGTAGCGACCGCACCATGATGGATACCCTTGTGAGACTCGAGATGTACTCCATCGTTCTCCATAGCAAACATGGGCATACGTTTGGCTAGAACGGGGAATATGTGGCGTTCCTCGATGGTATGGTGGATCGTGAGATCTGCGGTTAAATGAATTGCCGCGGTTATGAGGATGTGGCAACGAATGAGACGGGATAGATTAGAGGATTTACAGTGGATGAGTTCATTGGCTTTGTTGAGAAACGCATTTAGAGACATCCCCCGCTTGGCGAATGTTCCATCCGCGAGCTTCGCAGAAACAAGAATTGCGTCCGCCTCAGAGGAGGAAAAATAGGATGAAAATGGACGAGTCGGTACCTCATACAGCGAATTGACTACAAAGTAAATCCGCAGACGATCAGTTCCCCGTCGATTGAAGTTGCGCAGTCGTGGAAACGGGACGTACATTCTGTTTTGAAATGATCATGAAAATGGCTCATATGTACGCTGAGCTGGCCGCGGTGGTTATGGGTAAATAGAGAAATTCAGAACGTGTGGTAGATATATTGAGCTGTGAAATGAGGACCAACTCTGTTCCATCTCCTCTCTTCCTGAGGTGTGAACTTCTGCTGCTGTGCGGGGGTGGTAGATTCCATTCGCAAGAAGTAAAATGGCCTGGTTGGACAGGTGCTAGTGGATGGACGGGTAGATGCAGTGACGGTTGCTGTGCTTCGAGCAATGGAGGCTGCAGCGAGCAGCAAAGAAAAGCGCATGCATATTATATGCAGCTGTGGCGCGTGCTTAGATAGAGACGTGAGAGGATGACAGCAAGGGGGAGAGTCAGCAGAAATGGATATATCGGGAGATTCCATAATGCGCGCGAGAAACTCCGACCCAAAGTTTGTTCCTGTTCCATCATACACGTTCGGCGGCTCCCACACTCTTTCTCTTCCGCTCCACCATCTCCGTCTCTCGTCTCTCGCCTCGCATCCTCCTCACCCTCCCCTCCTCCCTTTGCCGTCACCTTTCGGCTGGCTTATAAGCCCCCCACCGTTCATTCACATCGTCACGTTCATTCCACCCCTCCAATGTCTTTCTTTACTCGTGCCGCCAAGACCGCCACCTTTGTGGCCGCTTCGGCCCAGGTCGCGCAAGCGTACTGGCTCATGGCCGCTACCAACAACCTCGTACAACAACGAATGGATCCCATTGTTTGTACCTTACTCTGCTTAATTTATAAAATCTGCTGCTCACTATCTCCGACGCTACAGGTGAACCCTGGCGCAGTCAGCGGCCACAATCACAACTGTAAGTCTGTCATAATATTCAAAGTCCTGCTGGCTGACACGTATACCCAGTCGTTGGAGGATCAAACCTCGACTTCAATCTGTCCACTGCTAGTCTTCGTGAGTCGGAGTGCACGTCCATTCCCGTCGCCGAAGACAACTCTGTTTACTGGCACCCGGTTCGTACCTTGTCTTTAAAGTTCGGCCGTCTCTTCCTAACGCCAGCCATTTCTCTAGGAGCTCTACTTCCAATGGGCCAACGGCTCCTTTACTTCTGTTGATGGTAGTATCGTCATGTAAGCCTTTTATCATCTCGAGAGCTCAAACTCCGTTCTGACCAACTTCTATATATAGTTGTGCGTTTTTTGTCGTTACCATGCTGTCCGCAGTTCCGTTTTATAACCTCCCTTGTTATCCGTTGCACACATTCCATAGACTATCTTTTCGATGATGATGCCGCCACCGCGGGCGTGCAAGCCTTTCCCGACGACTTCCGCATGATCAGCGGCGAGACCACCCTCCGTTCGTACAACGCGTCGTCTTTCGCGCAGCAGGCCGTCACATTCCTCTGTATCGCCGAGGATGGTTCCACGACCAAGACCAGCCAGCTCCCGGCGAACGAGTGTGCCTTCAGTATGCGTGCTCAGATCGTAAGCCTTCTTGACATGTCCAGTAGAGTCCCCGCTCATCTATTTCGTCCTCTTAGAACTTCCCGAAGTGCTGGGATGGCGTTAATGTGGATTCGGATGACCACAAGTCTCACGTCGCTTTCCCCTCCGGTGGACCCGATAGTGGTACTTGCGATGACCCTAACTTCCCCGTGACTTTGCCGCGTATCTTCATGGAGGTGAGCACCATTAGAAATCCTGTCTTGTCTCGCCGTATCGACACCAAATCCGTCCTGTAGGTCTACTACTCCACCAGCGGCTTCGACTGGTCTCAGGGCAAGAACACTTCGCAGCCCTTCGTGTACGTACTTTACTCCTCGTATATTGTTAGTTGCTCATGTCTGTTGTCTACAGCTACTCTAACGGTGACCCTACTGGCTTTGGATATCACGCTGACTTCTTCAATGGCTGGAAATCGGGTGTTCTGCAGAATGCTGTCGATGGGTGCAACTGCAACGAGGTGAGTTCGATCACAAGTCTCAACTGTAGAGACCGGTCGCTGACCGATCTTGTTTGATCAGTACGGCGACCCTACCTGCTGTGTCGATGCCGGTATTTTCACCATGCAAGCGTCCGGCAGCACTTGCTCCATCAGCGCGGCCATCGAGGAGACCGGTCAGTGTCGTCTGTTGTTCCATATAAACCGATGCTCATATACTTCGTTTGCGCTTTCTAGTTCTCGGCGAATTGGCCTCGCTGCCCGGCAACAACCCTGTCGTGGGCTTCGGTGCTGCCGCTGAAATGTTGACCGATACAGTGGTCCCCGCCATCCTCAGCCCTGTGATCGTTACGAAGGACGGTACTGCGAGTTCAGGCACTGCTACCGTCGAGAAGGCTGCCTACACATTGGCATCTGCGGCCAGTTCCGTCGTTTCGGCTGCCACCTCTTCTGCTGCGTCTGAAGCCACTCACGCCGTTTCTGCTGCTGGTCTTGCAGTCGTCACCTCGTCAGAGGCCTCAGCAACATCGACCTCTGCTGCTGCCACCGCTACGTCTTCCAAGACCTGCAAAGTCTCCAAGAAGCGGGAAGAAGAGAAGAAGAGGTCCATCCACACGGACTCCTTTGCCAAGCGCCAGCACCGTCAGAGGCTCGGCAGGGCCCCACGGCCTCACGCTGCCGCATTCACCGACAAGTCGTTCTGATCTTCTTCATCACGCTCATGATGTCATGTACGCACGATGTTACTCCCTCTCATCGACCTCCTCCACTCCTCATTCCATTCGCTCTTAGTTCGGTCATTTCCTCGTTCTGGTGTATGGTGCTTTAAAGTTTTCCTCGGGCTGTCGTCGTCTGTTTTTATACCTTCAGTTTTCATGGCGTTGTTCGAGTAACAGCATCAGCTCTTCTGTTTCCATAGACCCATACACACAAACCCACACATACAGGCGTATGTCGGAGCGGTCCCGGTTACTGCTCTTGCCTGTATCGGTCCTAACACCCCGTTTATGTCTCAATTTACCCCTTAACTTTCCTCGTCGCCAGAGGCGATACCCAACTTAGTGTTTTATACCTCAATGCAATTGCTGTTTGTTCGTGGGTGCTTGCGCCCCGAAAGTTACCCACCCGTGTTTGTTGAGGGGATATCGATCAAGACAACGAAACATCTTGCAGCTGGGTATCTTGAGGTATTATAGTACAACGGTGACACGATCTACATAAGTGCAATAAATATATAGAGCCTGCTCACTCAGCCGATGACCCACCGGCTTCAGCACTGACGCTGATCCCCTCCAATTCTGTGCCCAGCTCGTGCACCTGCTCCAATAACCTTCTCTCCCTCTCCTCCAACGCCCTTCTGCCAATAGCCAATACCTTCTCGCGTTCCTTGACCTCTTTCTCCCTCTTCATCAGCACTTGCTCCTTCTCCAGCAGCATCTTCTCCAGATCCAGTATGTTTATCCAGTTGTACTTTTTGTGCCGGATGTAGGTTGCGTTAGGGAGGGAGACGCATTCGAGAGAAGAGCAGGTGGAGTGGATGGTTGAGGGTAGGTGGCGGGTGATGGTGTGATCGTGAAGGGCATCGTACCGGTTCTTGGAGAGAAGGACGAGGGATTTGAGGGAGGTGAAGGCGGAGAGGAGGGGAGGGAGGCCGGAGAGGAAGTCCTGTATATATCGAGTTCTTTAGAGCGAACAATTAGAAGGATATGGCTTAGACCTACGTTCGTAATCGAACCGCTCACGGCATGTAGTGCTAGGGCACTCAACGAGCCTAGACATTCAGGGATGGTACCCAATGCGCCAAGCACCGTTTCTGGTGTTTCTGTCAGATGCGAGATTATCTGTAACGATGACAATGGGCCCTTGGAATATGACAGTATCCGGATCGTGACGCTCAACACGTCCTCATTGAATAAGAACGGATGAATGAGGCATAACTCGACTTCCTTCACCGGTCTTCCAGGCACAACTGCAGCGAGGATGAGTGGCGAAGCGGATACGCGGGAGAGGTTCGGGAGGCAGAGTTTAGAAACGTAAGTTCCGCGGGTGAATTGGCCGCAGAAGAAGGCGGTCCGGATGGAGCGTTGGGTGGCTAGGAAACGGGCGAAAGTGTCGTCGAAGTCGCAGGCGGAGGAGAGTTTGGTCAGGGCAAAAGGGCAGTCGAGAAGGAGGTCGGATGTGGCACCGAAGAGGAAGAAGGAGAGGTCGGTGAGGTTGTGCATGTTGTGAAGGGCGAGGCGGAGGATGCGGTAGAAGGGTTTGAGAAGGGTGCGGGTGCGGTCGGCGTTGAGGGAGTCCATGTCGCCGAGTTCGTAGGTCCGGACGTGAGAGGCCAACGATTTAGCATGCTCAGTATCCTTAGAGAGAGTGCGGAGGCATATGATGGTGCGGGGAAGGGGGAGCGGCGGAATGTGGCGGTAGAGGTAGCGGACAGTGATGTCGTAGAATTGGTGTGAGCACCGTGCGAGTGCGGTCATCGTATGACGGTCGGCATGCACAAATATAAGATCAAGTAACTCCACAGGTATATCGCGTTCTGGGGAGAGTATTAGAGATGTGTGGATACCGACGTGACGATGCGAGTGGCACTCACCGGGTATCTGGGGACAAGTATCCCCATATTGTGCTTCTTGTAAGCAAGAGTCTGGCAGCGGCGTCCGGGAGACTGTTGTTGTGTCGCTCTTATGTTGAACAGCATCTACTTCGTCTGGCGAACTTGCGATTGATGTGGGGAGCGACATGGATATGGCGGGAAGATCGGTCACGATGCGTATGAACGGCGAAGTCAATCTAGAGAACATCGTCGTTGTGTATAGCCTGAGCAAGATATCAGTATATAGAACCGACCACACTTGGGGGACTAATTCACAGACGTACGAGGACGGGTGAGTGGCTACGTAGTCACAGGGAAACGACCGCCAGCAATATCGCGAGACGTTCGCTCAGTTGTTCATTGATTGTTCATTGATGCGGTACCTGCTATATCTTATCTTATCTTATCGGCATGTAACTCAACCTATCCGTGACATCATCAAGATCTTATCTTCTCTAACCTTCCGCATGTCGACTCATATCGAAAGCATCTCGTTCGCTCTCTCACTTCGTAATCAACTCTTCGTCGTCAATTGACACTGAGCGGCACAAACTGACTAGTCTTTGGCTGCTTACATTCACTCGTGCTGCTTGAAATGAATGAAAATAAACTTGAATATCTTACCCAAGAACAGGTGGACAAGGTCTGTACCAGATCTCCTACTCCCTCCGATGTGCCTCAGCTGCTGACGGTCCATCCTAATAGTTCTACAATGACGGGTATGTGGTTATTTGCACGACTTGTCTCACTCACGAAGAATATACCAAACTTTTCTGCTTCAGATACCTCTGCCTCCCCGGATTTCTCTCCAAGGCAGATACAGACGCTCTTCTCACTCGTGCTCAACAACTTCTCGACCAGTTCAGCCTAGAGGACCACCCACTGGTCGGTCGATCGACTCTGTGAATTGTAGATGACTGTTTAACGCCCACTGCTGTATAATTGCAGACCAAGTTCACCACCGGGGACGACAACCATGTCGGCGATGATTACTTCCTCAGCTCTGGCGATAAGATCCGATACTTCTTAGAGGAGGGCGCCGTGGAAGATGGGAAGTTGACGAGAGAGAAGAGTAAGGCTGTCAACAAGATCGGGCACGGTATGTCTCTCTTTCAGCTCCCACAGCTCCGAATGTCCAAATTCATAAATGTGCACCATAGCCCTTCACGAACTCGATCCCGTCTTCCGAGCAGTTACTCTTGAAAATCAACGGATGAAGGCAGTAGCGCGGGACTTACGGTTCCATCATGACCCTGTAGGTCAGTGCCTATAAAGTAAAACGCTACCGTAAAAGCATGTACTGAGCGTGCTCCATATTAGCTCTGCAATCTATGGTCATCTGCAAGCAACAGCAGATAGGAGGCGAAGGTATTCGTTGTTGTTCCTCGCTTTTTTCTTATCACTCATTCGGATATGTTCCACGCAGTCCCGGAACACAACGACTCGTGAGTTCATTTCACTTCACTGGTCAGTGACTCCATGTTTGTGCTCTAACGACATTGCCATTTATAGAACTTTCCTTGTCAGTATGCTAAACCTGTTCCGTTCAAGGTCCCAAAGGTCTGACGCATGATCGCAGTACACCTCGCCGCCTAGCGCCCTCGGCTTCTGGATAGCGCTGGAACAATGCACTCCAGAGAACGGGGCCCTCTCCTTCCTCCCAGGCTCGCATCGAACCGCTCCCATAACGAAACGCTTCGTTCGTCTACCCACTGGGGGGACTGGCTTCGAACAGCTCATAGAACCAGAGAAAGCTGCAGCAGAGACTCCAGAGGGGAAATACGTGCTCGAAGCTTGCATGCCCGGTACGTCTGTCTACTACTCACACTTCCCACTTCATTCTCCGTTGTCGACTCCAGCCGGGGACTGAGGGATACGGGCTCCGGACGCAGGCGATCTGGTCATCATCCATGGTAGCGTCCTGCACAAGTCTGAGCGCAATAGGAGCGAGAAGACCCGATTCGCGTATACCTTTCACATGATCGAGACACCGCCGTATGCGACCTATGACGAGAAGAACTGGTTACAGCCAACGAAGGAGATGCCGTTTTCGCGCATTCTCGATGTTCCGAACCCGGTGGTGTTGTCGGCGTGAAGCCGATAGAAGCAGTCGTTGAGGGGATGTATGATTTCAGTATGGGATTTTTTGTGTATTTTCGGGAATATAAATGGATCACGGCTAGTCGAATGCTGCTATATACTGATTTGTGTAACAATACCATGCTATGATGAAAGTTACAGCGATGCAAGCTCGACTCTTCCGAACACATGTAGCCACTGATGGAGCACGAACGTCTACCTAATCGACCCCAGATGTCAGCATAAGATATCAGTGACTCGTTTGAGCAGCCATGACACAAAAGCGAATGACTTACTGACCTAAGTCTCAGAAGATGTACCATCGAGAGGCTGCACCGTTTGTGGTGGTGCCTGCGCCTCATCTAATGCCTTCGCCTCAACCCGCACGAATTCTGCTGATTCCTCTTTGCGACCAAGGTTAGATAGACAACGCGCAACGCGCCCGATCGCATTCACGAAGTTCTGCCGAAAATCGGACGGCCTTTGCGAGAAAAGGGTGCGATAAACCGCGAGGCCCTCCTTTGCACGTTGTAACGAATCTTCCGCGCGACCGAGGCTGGACAAAATGACGGAGAGATTACAGAGACATTGACCCAGGTCATGATTGTATGTACCGGGAAGGGTCTCCGCAAGGTGTTGGTATAGTTCGACTGCTTCCTGGAGTGCCTTCGAGCCGTCCTCTGGGCGACCAAGACCTATGAGCCTGATGGTGAGGTTGGTGAGAGCATTGGCGAGGTCTGGGAGAGATGTCTCGGGGCGGTGTTTGACAAGTTTTCGGTATAGTTCTATCGCTTCCTCGATGGTTTTCAATGATTCTTCTTGGTGGCCGGCATCTGCCAGACCTATGGAAAGGTTGCGCAGAGAAGAGGCCAACCCGTCAGAATGGGCTGCATGAGGAAGGCCTTTGGCGGGGTGTCGGTAAAGCTCGACTACCTCTCGGAGTGCCCCCAACGCATTCTCTCGGCGACCATCATTCGTAAGCCTTATGGAGAGAGTATTCAGAGAATCGGCGAGGTCGGGATAGAATTCGTCAGGACGGTCCTTGACTAGTTCTCGATACAGCTGGACCGCTTCCTCGATGGTCTTGACGGCGTCATGTTGTTGACCAGCACCTGCAAGCCAGAAGGATAGGTTGTAGAGTGCTTTGGCTAAGTCCGGTTTGTATATTTCGGCGCGATCTCGGCAGAGTTGTCGGAAAATCTCGACTGCTTCTTGGGTCGCTTCCAGAGCGTCTTCCTGACGGCCAACGGCCGAAAGCAGGAGGGAGAGGTTGTTGAGGGAATTGGCTAGAATATGTTTGAATGAGGCGGGACGATCATCGACGAGATTGCGTTCGAGCAGAATCGCTTCTTCGATGGCTTTCAAGCCGTCTTCTTTACGACCGATGTCCGAGAGTCTTAGGGAGAGGTTGTGGAGAGATAGGGCGAGGTCGGCATTGAATGCAGTAGGTCGGTCTTGAGCGAGCCTTCGGCGGATGATGATAGCTTCCTCTATGGCCAACAAAGCGTCTTCGTGCCGATCCACGTCTACGAGCATAGCGCAATGGTTATTGAGAAACATAGCAAGGTCGCCATCGAAGGAATCAGGATGATTCTCAACGAGTCGTCTGCAGATGCGAATGGCTTCCTCGATTGCACCGACAGCATCCTCGTGACGGCCGAGGTCTCTGAGCCTGCAGGAGAGCATGCTTAGAGAGCGAGCCAGGTTAGCGTCGTACGTTCCGGGATGGTCTTTGAGGAGCTGTTGGCGTATGCGGACAGCCTCCTCAATTGCCTTGAGAGCATCCTCTCGCCGCCCCGCGTCGTGCAGATGGCCAGATATGTTGTGTAGGGAGAGAGAAAGCTCTGAAGAACCCATGCACTGGCCGAATACAGATGTTTGGCCAATAGGAATGTTCTATTCGCAGCCATGGATAACGGTTAGCTTTGAAAACCAGCCTGGGAAGTATTGACACGAACCTCGAGCCAATCTCGTATCTTCCCCAGTGCTGGGAATGGGCCGACTGCACTCGCAATCTCCAACCAAGTAATAACATGGGGGGAGAAATCCTCAAGACTCGCATAACACTCTTGGTCTGACGGCGCTTGCATGCGAACGATGTGGTCCATCCAGAATCTGCAGGCATATACAACGGAGGCGGTGACGGGGAATAACGGCATGGGCTTGTGTGCATATTCATCCCAGGATGATGAATAACCTTGTCCAGGAATGTCTGCCTTCAGTGTGCGAACCAAGATATTGAGGCACTGCAGCCCGAGGAAGCGAGAATGCTCGGTTTCATCAATGAAGTAACTCTTTGATCTGACTGCATTGGTGAGGAAGTCGTGTAGAGTGAGGTGGAGGATGTGAACGGGTGCGTCGTCCGTGTCGACGCCGGTGAAGAGAGGTGACACAATGTCTAGAACGTCGTCGGTGACATTCGAGCTATCTTGAAGAAGTGACCTTAGGGTCGATTTCGATAACGGCACCTTCGCAGCGATGATGACGCCGACAACAAGATGATACCCTTGCACGAAGTCCTCATCGCCCCAGTCACAAGCAGAGAGAACAGTGTCGTACAGCTCGTCCATTTTGTGCGCAATGGGACTTTTGCGTGTTCCGCGCCCCACAACAGCATCAAGTTTGTTGTCGCGTTGCATCAATTTGTCTTTTCCGATATAGGCCATAGCCAAAGATGCCCAGGCGAATAGTCCAGCGGCCTGGGTGACTACCGCTGAGGTTCTTTCCTCACCAGGCCACGAGTCTCCCAAGTTATGGTGCGAGGCAATGGTGCGTAGCTGGTGGCGGATGAAGTTTGAAATGTCGGACCGGTTCTCGGTCTCGTCGAGTTCGACCGTCAATTGGCGAACATGCGGGTGCGGCTTCAAGACGCGGAGGAGGGGATCTTCGGGACGCGAGGTGACGAAGACCCGGAACGAGGACGGAAGTTTAGGGACCTGCTCGCAGAGGATGGCTGTGAGATCTCCGCTGTAACCTGAGCATTCGTCCAAAGCATCTATAACGATGAGAATGCGCTGGGCTGTGGTCCTTGAAGCGTGGCCGACAAGCAGCTCGGTAAATTGGCGCAAAGGTTGTGCTGACGGAAGGTCTCGGTTGCGATCCAAAGATGCATGGACAGACGTTCTGAACTGCAGATCGTGTCCAGCTAGATCCCGAACCAAAGTGCTTACAAACTGCCGAGGATTATTTCTGTCAGAAGAAGTGCGGTCAAAAAAGAACGATAGTGTGACCGCGTCTTCTGGTGCATCGCGAGCGACAGTGTGAGCGATTGCGGTCTTTCCTGCTCCAGGAGGAGCGGTCAGCAATAAGATACGTGCTGTCTCGCTATCCGCGTGTATCCAGGAAGATATGTTTTCCAGAAGAGATAATCTGGTCCCTTCCATGCAAGCAAGATTTGGATTCCAGGTGGCGTCCTTTGCGGAGGAAAGACCAGCTAACACAATTTCAGTCCTGGTCGCTACCACTGCGCATAATAAGTTAGACGACAATAATATGCAATGAGCGAGAGTACATGCCCTCTCTTCTTATGTCAACCAGGACCGCAGTGTCGAATTCTTTTCGCAAGTCGTTTACTTGCTTCCTACAATCTTGAATACGATTCTGGATACCTGTGAATGGCCCCAAGGTCATGCGTACTTTTTGTGATGTCAGGCCGGAATGGACAATGGCAGAACCACCATCCGAGGACTCACCGGCGAACGAGTGTGCCAGACAAGCGTCAATAATGCATGCTCCCTCCTTGGTCAAACGCACCGCCTTGAGCACGATGCTCTCTCTCCCCTCAACAGGTATTAAATCTCGGCAGGCCGCAGCGTACGCCAACATGATCGAAAGTTCTTCAGCGAGCTGTCGGCTATCGTCATCCACAAGCTTCTGGGCCTTCACCGTCTAGACATGGAAAGTGCCATAAATCCGGGTGCTCGTTATAAATGGACCGTGATGCTCACCCTGTAAACACAAGTCACGATGGTCCAAGTGAGTTTGAACAGTGGATGTGCCTGCGTATAATAATGAGAACTGTTCATAAGGCTATGAAATGTCATGAACATACCATGGAAATTTCATCTCCGATCTTCACCAGCGTATCCAGCGCATTGATCATGGCCCCAAAGACCTGCTCGCCCTCTAGCTTCCTCGCATTATCAACAGTTGCTTGAGCGCTCGGTCCGGCAGATACTGCAGTATCAACGGCCTGAGTAAATGTCTCGTTGAAGTTTAAGCGCTGCTGACGAGCAAGAGTAAGATGTGCGTCTGCGAGGCTTCTCGCCGCATCGTCGAGGCCGAGATCTACGATAGACGAAGGCACCCGTGGTGCGATTACGACGCAAATACGAGTATATACAACATACGCCACAGTCATACTCGGCAGGGGCACCAGGCACACGACGAGATGCGCCACAGTGGGCAACATCGACACTTATCAGAGAATTTAACTGCTCATTTCTGTCACCGGTTTGGGAAGACAGAGATATTGTTTAACAATGTTTTTCGTTGTTGCGCCCGAAGAGTACCCACCGTTCGAGGATCCTCCCCTCCCTCGCTGCGCTCGGGGGGTCCCCCAAGCCGGATCCTCTCAGGTGGGCACACTAAAGACTCGTTCGGGCATTTTTTTATGTTCGGCCTCGCTAACGCTCGGGGGGAACCTAACCCTAACTGAACCTAACTGAACCTAACTAACCTAACCAGAACCTAACTGAACCTAACTAACCTAACCAGAACCTAACTGAACCTAACTAACCTAACCAGAACCTAGCTGAACCTAACTAACCTAACCAGAACCTAACCAACCGATCCACCGAGATTTAACGCGAGAATAAACGAAAAAAGAATGTTTCTTTTGGGCGGGATAAGTCCTCGACAAGTAGACGCAGATGTGCCCAAAACGGAAGGTGGCGTAAGTTGTCCGTGCCTGGCGAGTGTGGGTATGGCGTATTTTGTCGACCCTCCGCAAATACTCAGCTTGATGAGCGGAGTACTCGGATCATAGGGTTTCATGTCAAAGGCCACGCCTACATTGTCTGCTCACATCTCTTCAGTTACAAGTAGAGAGACATGAAGACTTCAAGAGTACCTTCAGCGACGAGACTAACGATGTTCCCTTCGAACTCTCCAACAAGACGAGAAGTGCTCTTGAAAGGGTTGCGACTTTGCTGGAACAGTTGAAGTTTTAATATTGACGATGGGCGTAGACCCGAGCTTGAGTCCTGGTGAGGTGCGTTTTATGGTGTACAACTGGTAGACTGAACTCACAATGTCATGTTTTCATCTCCCTCCAGCCATTTTGGATTAGCTGATCTCTTGATTACAATACTCTTCTGGGATGGCCCCTCGTCGATCGTAACTTGTATGTGCGTACTCGGTGGTTTCTTCTGAGTAAAGACCGCGACCTCGACGCCTAATAAGCGACATAGCTCATCGTCAGACAGTGCGCGATGGCGTAATTGCGACCAATGCTTACTGGAGATAATGGCTACAAGTCCTTCAGATTCCCTATCATCCTCGGACATTGACCTGGACGGCCATAGATAGATATGTTATGAGCAGGAACTCGCAGCCACAGTTGGTTCGATTCACTTTGTGGTAGGTACAGACTCGTTCTTAGGCATCGCTGGACGACTCCGGGGGGGATCGTGAAAGGCAAAGGTAGGAGGAAGAAGCGCCGCCGAGCGTGTATAGTCACAGGCATCGCCGATACATACTCAATTTAGGAGATGAATTTCATCGTACCGTGACATCTTTCAGGTACCGCTTATGCATCCATCATTCGAGTCTGTAGTGTTACCACCAACTAAGTAGATGACAGCGTGGGTAGTACGTCCTGCCATGGACGTACTGGTTGGTACGGAACGACCAAAGAACGGATCTCAGAGACCGAGTGGCCCAGGAGGTCTTGAGGAGGTCGATTGTGCCAGTGGTCGCCACTGGGGAAAAAAAAAGCAGAGCAGAGGCAATGCATACACTTGTATCAGGGTGAAGAAATCAGAGATGTGAGAACACACAACGTTTGTCTTGTGTGAGGTCCTCATGGTATGAAGAATCAAGATGCTCTGCAAGGACTCAGTTGAGGACTTCCTTTGCGGCCCGGGCCATCCGCTATATTTCCAGGTAGTAAGTCATCACTCTTTTCACTTCCTTACCACGTTTGAAAACAAAACTTGCAATCCTCTGAGCCTGTGTCGCCGTATACTCAACTTGGTTCTAGTCCTTATATCTATCGACTCGTGGTCTCAGCAAGGCTGGGGTAGAAAAGTCTGCGGCCCCGTTGGGTCGGTGACATGCAATATGCATATGGTGACTGGGACTGGTAAGTTTTGACAGCGGTTTGCAGAATCGTAGTCGCACCCAGATTTCTCGCGGAGAAGCCTGTGCTCCACTCGGAGCTGTCTCCGGCCATTCCGACGGGCCACTCTACACGGGGCCATAGTGCTCGTTTTTGAGCCAGCCTCGATGCTGCCACTTGAATATTGGGTTTTAGGACTGTGAGTGTGTCAACAACACACTAGAATCACTTGTACAATTTTTGAGATGGAGATATCTCGAAACATTGCTTTACAGTGGAGGGTGGCCCGCCGCCAGAGGACGGTGGTCGTGGCGCTCACAACCTGTTATGGGAGTCGGTTGCGTCAGAAGAAGCCGCAAGCCCATCGCAGAAAAAAGCGACTGCGACTACGATTCTGCAAATTGCTGGAACACCGTTCAGATCTCGGGCCTGTGGTACTTACTAGCTGAGCAATCGTCATGGATCCATAGGGTCAGGCTCTGATTTATTTCTCTGGTGCAATCGCTTATAGGTTCATTTCTCCTTAAGTATAATGGACGACGTGACGTCAGCATCGACGCACATATATTACGATGATGATCTCAAGATGATTTCATGGTCAATCGAGCTCCTCATGTAAAGAGTGAGCTCAAGTTGGCCGAAAGCGATCGCACCTGGTACATCCTCTGCACCTCTCTGACCGAACGTTCGACATTCATCTACGTGGCAATCATCCACCGCTAGTTTGTCGAGACTCGCTATGCAAGAAGACATATTTTACAAGAAGGTAAGCGCTCATACAACCGCTTGCTTCCAGACCATGCACCGATTACCAGCCTGTTTTGAAAGCTCGGCATGGTTGGTGCCGGAAGGTAAATTGTCTGCTCTGTGTACTGTCTCTGTCTTCTCAAGATCATTCTCGTCAGTATGGGTTCTAACATGGCCCAACTCTTCGCCGAAGCCGGAATTGAGGTATCTCTTTGGGATGTCAATGTATGCCCCATCCACCCCTTTTCTTCCCTCTCCGTATTACAACCATAAAAGTGGAATTCTTTCTTAGGGAAAGAACGTAGACGATGCCCTGTCCATAATCTGCCAAAATGCAACAATCAAAAACAAAATTCACGGCTTCAAGGACCCCAAGTCCTTCGTGAAGTCTCTCGGCGACGAAGGAGGCAGACTCTTCATATTTAGTATCATGCATGGATCTCCCGCAGACAGTGTGCTCGACCAGATCGGGAATCAGATGATGAAGGGGGATATTGTTGTAGATGGGGGGAATGAACATTATCAGAATAGTGAGAGGAGGAACAAGGAGTTGATGGAGAGGTTTGGGGTAGCGTACATTGGGATGGGAGTCTCTGGGGGTTATCAGAGCGCTAGGTGTGTGGTGGCCATAGTCATCCGGTTTCGGATATTCTGAATTTCTTATGATTTGTTTACACTGATCACCGATGACAGACGAGGACCTTCGATGTCTCCGGGTGGAGACCTAGCGGCCCTGGACAGGGTCATGCCACTACTTCGCAAAGTGGCGGCCAAAGGCCGGAACGGAGAACCCTGCGTTCGAAAAATGGGGCCCGGAGGAGCGGGGCACTACGTCAAGATGGTGCACAATGGGATCGAGCAAGGTATGATGAGCGCGTTATGCGAGGCTTGGGGGATTCTTCGGTATAATTTGAAGATGCCGTTGGATGATATTGGTGCTATCTTCAAGAAATGGAATAGTGAAGGCGAGCTGGTGAGTGTTGAGTTGCGTTTATTATCAAGTATGTTGCGATGACTGACAAGCAAGCATAGCGGGACAATTTTCTCATTGATATCGGTGTCGATATCAATACTCGCCGTCATCCTAAGGACAACTCGAAATTCGTCCTTGACGAGGTAATGGACAAAGTCGTTCAAGACGCTGACGACTCAGAAGGAACAGGCCCTTGGTACATACAACAGCTTCCATCCCCCTTTTTTTATATAAGCATATAGTCTATGACTGACTCTTTCGCCTATTGCTATTCGCTGCTCAGGACCGTCATAGAATCCTCCAAGAATCACGTATCAATACCGACGATTAGTTCTGCTCAATTCTTCCGTGTGGCCTCTGGCCCTCGTGGCGAACGTCTCACCATCGCCCAAAAACTCCTCTTACCACAACCTACACCAGATCCTTCCTTCTCAGATACAAGCGACAAGGATGCCTTCCTCGAGGACCTCCGCAAAGCGCTCTACGCTTCATTCCTCGCTTCCTTCGTCCAAGGCCTCAACCTCATTGCGAGTCAATCCCGTGCAGCGAACTGGGGGGTCCAGTTGTCAGACTGTATAGCCATCTGGAGGGCAGGGTGTATCATTGCTTCTGAAAGCATTGCCGACTTGTTGCAGCCTGTGGTGGAAGCGAAGGATAAGGAACCAAGGTCCGACGCTATCAATCTTCTCGACAACGACACAATCGCAGGCGAGTTCACTCGCACTTATGGGAGTTTGAAGCGAATCATGATGAAGTCGACGGAGTGGGATGCTTATGTACCTGCGATGAGTGCTACGTTGGAATGGATCAAATATTGTGGCGGGGATGTGTTGCCTACGCAATTCATGCAAGTACGTCGGGATCTTCGCATATGCATTGATTTTTGAGGCTCACGCCCACTGTACTAATTTCGTCTAGGCTGAGTTGGATTATTTCGGCGCCCATTTGTATGACAGGTGGGGGGAAGATGCGCCGACTGCATCGTCCGGGAAACATCACTTTGAGTGGAAGATGGCATAAGGTGAAGAACTTCTGATGACGGTGTCTTTGACATTTGGACTACAATAGTAGTTTCCACAGGCTACATTATAGTGTACTCGGACCATAGCTGCTTCTCGTACGAGTCTTGCATCTTGATTCATGCAGTACTTGGTAAAAGTATGCGGACACAGGATCCGAATCAGACCACCGTGTTTCACAGGTATAAGATTATGACTACCTACAGGTTGATGAGGGGCATATGTATATACAAAAGGCAAACGTGATGTGGAAGTATTAATAAGACCGATATTTTAGTGAACGGACGAGTTTGCAACAGAATATAGTACAATGTGATGAGTTCCCAAGAGCCAAAAACATATGCAAGAGAAGAACCAGAATCTAGAGGAAGCGGGTGTTATGGAAAGAGAACAAGGTGGAATATCATAGACATATTGTAGCATCCATGGACATGACTGTTTCAAGTGGTTCAAGACACCGTTAGAAAGGACGGTCCGTAAATTATGGCGACTTGTGTGCTTACCTTCTCCGAAGTAGACAGGGTGCGCGACATTGATGCCAGAAGAAACTGTCACAACCGAGCCACGTTTACATTGTATCGTTGAGTTAAAGTATATGTGATGAGACGCGGGACTCACCGATAGAGGCGCTACAGGTCGGATCTTCCTGACCTTCACACTTGCGAACAGTTTCCGGGTTCGCTGTAAAAGGGGTTACATCCTTTGTCAAGATGATGCCAAATCATAGAATCGGAGAAGACTTACGAGGTTCCTCAAACTGCCAGTACTCGGTCGTGTGATGACGGTAACCTAGAGCTTCTGGAATCATGGTCGCCACACCATCTGAATTGCAACCTGCTTTAGTACGCCACTATAGCTGAACAAGTAAGCTTACGAACCAAAGGTGTGAACGGCTGCGAAAAGAAGAATTTGGTTGTCAGCTAAATGACTTCACCAAGAGAAATATATACATGCCTCGATATAGATTAGCAGAACCCACAACCTCTTGCACTAAATCGGCATAATCACCGTTACCTGTTCTCGGTTGACCTAGGACCACGATTGCGGACAGTGAAAATCACGAACTATTATGACACATGCTTGATAACCTTACCGAAGGTGAACAATCGCACCTCCACGCCAGGGAAGGTAGACTTGATAGAGAGGCTGGCGATGGAAGCTATCGCGCCCCCGAGGGAGTGTCCTGAGCTCTATCCCGTAAGTGATGTCAGGAAGAGAAGATGTGAAAGAATAGCCATACCGGTTGAGATCACGGTGTAATCCCAGTACGCTGAGACCTGTGTTTCAAGGGTTTCCAAGACTATAGGTGCCACGGCATTATAAGCCATGAGAAATCCTCCGTGCGTTGCAACATTGTTCGAGGAGTTCACAGTGACACCCTGCGACTCGAAGGGCACGAGGAGAATGTTGCCATCTAGAGCAAGTTAGTATTCACTCCAAGTGAGAATGTGGATTTAATTCGGCGGACCAGTGAGGTAGTCTTCAAGCTCTTGGGAACCTCGAAATGCGACAATGATCTGCTTCTTGTCATCGTCGCGGGCGACATAACCCTTCGTGTTCGTCAATAGGTTGAGAAACTACACAAAGAAGAAGAAGAAAACCAAGACCGCACCCATCGGTCTGACTGAGTGTGCTGTTCAGAGCAGTACAAAATCGAGGGGACTAACCGACTGGACAAGCACAGCGCCGAGCGGCGTGGGACAAATCATCTGGTACGCCGCAGACGAGAAGGCCGCGAAACGGACAAACTCAGCATATAATTCTTTCGAGACTGTGTCCAGAGACTGAGAGTTGGGTGATAGCATGACATGCTGGATTGGAAGGTCATGGCAGATGGTGAGGGCAACGAGAGCAGAAACAAGCCACATAAGTGTCATGGGCAGATGCATGGTCGAGTCGGAACCGGACAAGTCGCTGTGTCACTGCAACCGTGGTTGGACGCTACAGGTTACAGTGATGAGCAGCTGTCTATAGGTTGGCGGTGGGACAGGGAGCAAATGTCAACACAGACAGCTCGAGGCCAGGGTCATGGCAGGCGCCCTTTTGGCGTGTTCTGATTGAGTGGTCACGGTGGCGGATCGGTGCGAACCAACTTGGGCCACAAGCCCGGGGCCGTGGCACGGTGGCAGGTGGCAGGATGTGGCGGTGCAGGCGGGGATGAGTGCGTGGGAAAATCAACGGTGACCGTTCACGTTAGCGCCTTGACCGCGTCCGGCTCAGTGACCGCTTTGGGTTGCCTTTGTATCTCGACGTGTTCGACGCGTCTCCCGTCTTCCTCCTTCACCCTTTCACCCTTTCAGCGAACGGTAGCGCGTAAAAACGTGCTTTCTTCTATCTAAGAGATCTCCTCGGCTTCCCAGCCTCGACGAAAAGGACAGCCTTTGCACAGGAAGCAATATCCCGGATATAACGCCTGCTAGAACCTGTATCGATCAAACTTCCCGCTTTCCCACCTCTTTCCACAATCATCCTCGCCTTCATTTCTGATATCATCTTCACAATGGACAACTCGGCCCCACAAAACAATGCTCAACAAGAACTGGACGATTTGCAATACACCCAGGAGACGCAGCAAGCCACTCAGGAAGCTTCTCAAGAGGATCAAAGCTGGACTAACGACTCTGTCTATTGGGGTTGTCTTCAGCCCTGCAAATCAGAGTCAGGGATTGAACCTGTCATGTTCTCTAGAGCCAAGGAACAGTACAGTCTCGGTCGAGGAGACTTGAATGATGTACAACTTCGTGGGCTCAAAATCAGTGTGTCTTTCCCTCCCGTTTTACCTTTACACACTTCTAATTCAGTTCGAATCCAAGGCCAGCGACACTGCAAGATTGTTTGGGATGGTGAAGATGCCGGCATATCCAATGGAAAGGCATCATTGACAGGCGTCACAATCCATGATTCTTCCACGAACGGAACCTTTGTACGTGCTCACCGGTTCCTTTGTTCTCGTTCTCGTGTGATTTTGTATCAATCGCGAATACTACAGATCAACGGTCAGAGGATCAAGAAGCACGGTTATGCCGTTCTTCGAGACGGGAACGAACTTGCTCTTGGCTCTCCGTCCGTGCAGGATGACCCACACGAAGATTATCGTACGTACTGTTGTCACTCACTAACATACTCTGTAACTCATGGTACCCTTTCAAGGTTTCATCTATCGCCATCTTGCACGCAAGGAAGATTTGGAAGGCATACACGCCGTCTACGAGATGGGCAACGAGCTCGGCAAAGGTACCTTCGCTACCGTGATGAAAGCCATGCATAAACAAACCGGCCACTGGTATGCTGTCAAGATCATCCACAATGCCAAGATTCGTGGTCCACAAACACAAAGCAACATGGCTGCTTTCGAGAGAGAGGTTCGGATTCTTGGGGAGCTCGAACATCCAAATGTTTGCAAATTCAAAGAGGTCTTCTGGGGTAACGGCGACGATGATACGTGTGAGCGCTGTCTTCTACACGTTCGCATAGTCTACCATTTTCTGATGCATATAATACAACGGTCATAGATCTCGTTTTAGAACTCATTAAAGGAGGCGACCTGTTAGACTATATCCTCAAAAATGGCGGTCTTGGTGAGTCAATGTCAGCATCTGTACGCTCCAGTCAGGGCTTACTTCAGTTCTCAGATGAACGGGAGTCGCGACGCATTGCCTATCAGATGTGCACAGCTATGGCCGTACGTCGCTGCTATGTCTTCCAGTATCGGCTGCTTACGGCTTTTATGATTTATAGTACATACACGGAAAGGGCATTGCTCATCGTGATCTGAAGCCAGAGGTTCGTCTATCCTACAGCCGCCTTAAATAGGACATTCGGCTAACATGTTTTAATTTCAGAACGTTCTCCTCACCTCGGATGACCCGCCTGTAGTTAAAGTCGCGGACTTCGGTCTCGCGAAAATCGTCGACGCCGCCACAATGCTGAAAACAATGTGTGGAACGCCGTCCTATCTCGCCCCAGAAGTTGTTACACAAGCAGCCACCGGCCAGGGATATGACAATCTTGTCGATAGTTGGAGTGTCGGGGTCATAATTTTCTCGATGTAAGATGAATTTTTTGGTTTCTTCCTCACCGGTAGTTCTCCCGTTGACTGAAGCTTCATGGTCATAGGTTGACCAACGCCGGCCCCTTCATCGACCCTGACGATACAGACGACATTCGTACCAAGATTGTAGGGCGGCAAATTGACTGGGGAACGTTAAGAGAGGCTGGAGTGAGCTCAGACGGTGAATCTCCTACTCAATGGGTCTTCCCTCTATTTTCGAATGAGGAGAGCTGACTATTTTGCCCCAAGCGTCTGACTTTATTAAAAGGTTACTTGAACAGGACCCCCGCTCTCGCATGACGCTTACCGACGCTTTGAACCACCCGTGGCTCATCTCCTACACTAATGGGACCGAAAATGCAGATGCCCATCCGATTTCTACCACTCGCCCAGGCACTCCCGAAATCTACGCAGCCAACCCGGACTCCTCCCTCTCTGCACTCGGCTCTGTGCCTGATTTCTATGCTCCTCTTCGCCAATCACCCTCCCGGCCTGATAACGGCGCGCATGATGACCCGTCCTTGGAAGGAAATGGCAACCTGGGTCTGAATGGGCTCAAGCTATCACCTCAAAAGCGTAATCTTCAAGAGGCTCAACCTTCCAGTTCGGACATGCCTGGCGCATACCCTAAAGCATCGAGCAGTCGAGCGTTGGAGCGTCGCTCGTCGGTGCTTGCGCGCCAGGAGATGGAGCAAGCACAGCGGGAGAACGGTGCCAACCAGGGAACTTCGACGACGCCCGAGGAGTCTTGGCAATACGTCGAGCATCCTGTGGCGAGCCCGAGGGTCGGGCAGAAGCGACGAGCCCGCCCTGAGGACCATGGAATCGATAATGGGTCAGACTCGGCACAGGGAGGTTCCACCCGGGAGCCTGTGGCGAAGAGGGGGAAGCGGAACACTAGTGCTGGAAAACCACAGTCCAATGCTGCTCCCCTCCCCCCTGACGGCGCCGCCCCTAGGAGGTCAACTAGGAATAAGAGGGGTTGAGTACGCGGTTTCTGTTATGAACTTTTCTCAAGTTGCTTGCTTTCTGTCGAATATTCACTGCTATCGTCTTGTTTCTTCCGGGTCGGAACTGTATACCTTGCCCGTTTACGCTTTCAGTCTTCCTCTGCTGCTTCTCTCTTCCTTCTATGGTTAAAATCATTCTCAATTCCATTCCCCTCGTGCAAGACTTATGACTGCTTCATTACTGCAATTTACTATCCCATCCCGATTCCATGATTCCCAATCTGCGACTAGGAGTTTCTATACCGCTTGTCGACTTGCTTACGATCCCGATTTTCTTGATTTTCTCCACAGCAATATCCTACGTGTTCATATCTCGCTGCCTTGGATGTGTATATCATTAATCGAATCATTCCTCAAACTTTCCAAAATGCTATGTATATTTTACGGTTCCAAGTTCGGGGCCCGGGTGATGCGCCACGTTACGCCACGCAGTCCAACGCGGTCATGTGATAGCAACGGTTCGAGTTGTGGCGTGTCGCCAATGGAAGGTGATCGGTTTCCTTCTCACTCTCACCATCGACTATCATGCTCAGCTCCAGACCGCTATCTATCCATATTGACAATCCTTCAGAGTATGGTCAAACAAAGACTCCAGGACGGGCTCATCACACTGGCCGCAAGGAGAATGCCGTTCGATACGGAGGCGGGAAGAGTAACAATGGCAAGCACTACAAGGCTTCCTTGCAAACGCCCGCTCGGGACGATTCCATAAGTGCGTGAAAGATTCCTTCAGCGTTATCCCTCTATGATCTTACTACGATCTCACTTTCTCATAACATTGCAGAGCCACAAACGCTCCTCAAAGAAGGACAAAGCAAACTAACCACTACAATCTCCCGACCTCTTGGCGACAAAACCCCATTCCACCGCAACGATACCAAACCTAGACTTGACTTCGCTCCTCTTGGGCCTGAAAAACTTGACGCAGTCAACTTTGGTGACATAGTCCCTGGAGAAGCCCTTCTCCGTCCCAGCTCGACACGCAAGAGCATCCGTGGGCGCCGGAGCTCTGCGGGCGGCACGACCCTGGACTTCACCAATCTCAAGACACCTTTCACCAAGGGGAATCATTGGGATGTGAGCGATCTTGACATTCCAGCTGATGTGGCCGAAGCAGAGGGGGAGGTGGAAGCCGTCGAGCAGGAAGATTATGACGAGGTAGAGTATATGCCTCCTACTGCTGTCGGTACGTTTTCTCTTTGTATAACATCCTCTGTCGATTACTCATACAATATGTACTGCTTGATGTCGGTCAGAATCTCCTTACGAGCCTACATTCCCGATGCCAGACTATAAGATTACTGGTGCCGCCCTCTGGTCGGCGATGCATTCCTACCAGGAGGATGATGCGGCAGACGTCTTTCACCTTGAACAGAGCAAGTTTCACGAAGCATCTCTCGACGTAACTGTGCCTGCCTCACAATTCGAAATGCTCCCTCTTCGTGAGCTGGGTAAGTGTAACATTCTACATTATGGATAAAGTCTAATACATTATAAACAGTAGATGACGATGATCCCTTTGCATTGCCTCGATCCACGAAATCATCCTCTACGAGCATCACTAGTCATGCATCGAAAGCAAGTCTAAGACAGACTATAGCTTCAAAGTCGATGACTAGACCTACAACTACTAGACCGACCATACCAACACAAACACGATCGGTCACAACCGCCACCTCCCGGTCTACTCCCGCTATTTCCAAGCCTCGAACCATCCCTACTGGTTCAGCCTTTACCAGCGGCCATGCGCGTTCGTCCTCTAGGCCAACGGCCACCACCATTCCTCGCCCAGGCACATCTATAGGCACCACTAGATCTACAGCTAAAACAACAGCACCAGTTCGAGCTGCGAGTGTTGCGGCCATCAAACGTACCGCTACGTCCACTGCTGCACGTACCGCTCCACCTGTCCGTTCCGCTACAACGACGAATATTGGCATACGGAAACCGCTGGCAAAGGAGCGCCCAGGTGCCGCTATAGCGTCCGGGCCAAGCACATCTAGAGCATCCACTTTAATAAAGCGCGTCCCAACGGAGGAGCTTGTCCTCGACTTTGACGACGCCATGGTGGGGATAGATGGGCATGGAGATGATTTTCAGTTCGACGTATGAGGCGCATTGAAGTTCGTGGAGTGACAGGATGTATTAGGTCACAGCTTACTACACTGCATGTTGCATTTGTACATTTCTATATTTTCATATCTAATCTGCGCGTACACTCATTGCTATCCCTTGTTTATATCTTGTATAATGGACTGATCCATATCAAACATCTTGGTTAATGCCTGGGTATTACACGGTCCAGACCCTGCGACGGTATCTTCCAATGCTATGCGAAGCCGGTACACTAAGTCTCTCGGTCCCTGCCTCACTATACTGTTGTCCGACCACCAATCCCGCTTCGATACCATTTCCCGTCCTACAACAAAGATATCGAACGAGAGCGTGTACGTGCGACGGTAGGTAGAGGAAGGCTGAGACGGGACTCGCAGCTGAGGTTGCAAGAGCGGGACGAAGTAGGTACAGGATTTGTGGAAGGACTGGCGTGCGGGTTGGTCGGCATGAATGGCATTGGGACGCCCTTGTCTGTAATAGAGGCACGCTCTGGATCGATTTCCGAGCTGCGGCGAGACAGACGAATGTTACGACCGAAGAAAGCGTTGGGCGACCATATGTCGGGGCAGCGAGAGGGGCTGGAGGAGTGACAGTCGTTTTTGGTGATCTCTTCATTGTAGCTCGACTTGCGCCAAAATGAACTGGAGAAGGGCTTCATCATGAGCTTGACGTATGACTCGGTGTATCTTGGTCTCGTTATTGTTTGGATTGAGGATTCGAGCTCGTCATGCTTGTCGATGGGGATGAATGTCCTGGGTAACGGCTGGTTTGCACGGCGTTCCCTGGCAGCGTCGCGTCGGAGGTAAATAGAGACGCCGGCTCCGATGAGGAGGAAGACGACGGGGATAGAGATCCCGAGGACTATTCCTGCAGATCGCATGGTCAAGGAGAATGATGGGCTCGTGTTAGACCAGGGCGAGACGGACGCCATGTGCGTATGTGGGATAGAAGACATCTCTGGACGTGCAAGTGCGAGCGCGCAGAGGGGTGAACTTCGGGGCGGACTTGAGGAAGTCAATACCGTGGAAGAGAACACGGAACTTGGAAAGGCAGAGAGCACGGCGCTGTGAAAGAGACTGTCGGTCGGGTTTCAGTTTCATGACCAACTCGTAATTGATAGATTGTAAGTACTTTGTCTCGGAGAGTTGGAATGACGAGTGATGCTTCAAGATGAATGACATTAAATAGCGAAATTCAAGCCGAATTTATGATCCAGTCCTGAACCATTGTCTATATTTCTTCAACTACTCCGCGGCAAACAAAAGCTACAAGGGCCTTCACTAGACCTTGTATGGCGCGTAGTATGCCGGGGCCACCTCCCTCAGCGTCTTTACCTTCAGATCGGGATACAGCTCCCTCGCATCTAGAGCTCCACCGAACTCTTCCTTCTTGGCGTTCTCGACAGTATTCTCGCCGAGTACCCACATGTTTTTGTGATACTGCCAGAGAGTGATGGGGATATCGGTGTTCGAAAGAAGCTGTTCCAAGTCTTCCGCAGATTTCTGTCCAAGGCAAGCAGAATGTGTAAGGTGATACTGAGAGAAGATTAAGACAAGTGAACGGACCGGAATGAATTGAAAGTTTGGATCTCCTAATTCGCGTGCGCAGTCGAATAATTCCTTCTGCGTAAGCTCTTCACCCCATGCGAATACCTTTCGACAGGATGCGGCATTACACTTTATCAGTAAATACGTCCAAGAGACAGCCCAGTTGAGAGTGGCGTACATAATGGTTCAACGTCCTGGGATCGGCGATTATACGGGCGACAAAGCGACCGATGTCGCCCAAATCAATACACGCGGTCTTGGTGTTCCCATCACCATAGAAGTAGCGAGAGGGTTCGAATGCAAAAGGATAGGGAGTTTGTTTGGGGGATATCATAGGAAGGTTTACTTGATACCTGAGGAGCGGCCAGCGGGAATTGGTCAGCTTTACTCACTTTGAGATGCTTCGGAGAGGAACAGTATGAAGGAGGGCTGACCAAAAGCCAACATCGACGAAAGTGTAACCGATGCCCGACTCTTTCACGTAGTCCCTGATGCCCAATTTCTGAGGCATGTTGATTGTCAGAACATCTGTACAAGAACCGGCGGTGCGATACCCAAAAACAAACCTCATCGTAGAGCTCTCTCCAACCTCTCTTACCCGTAGTACCAAAGTCACATGGTATGAATCTCTTGATACCCGCTTCCTTTGCTGCGTCGACAAGCTTCCTCTGTAGTTGAAGCTGGGTATACACAAGGACAGAGATGACGGTGTCCGCTCCTTTCATGAGCTCCTTCAGTTGATCGTGGGTGGCCGAGGAAATTTCTATAGGGACTACGGAGGCGCCCTTGGCGCGAAATGCCTCGATGTTAGGTTTGGAGATTGAAGACGGTCTGGTCGGGACCACAACGTTCTACCATATCGAGATGAGGATATGATTGTCAACAGGAAGGTGTGAGCAGACATACGAAGGCCTTCGACTCGGATAGACCATTGACAATGGACTCGCCCGTCGGACCAGTACCACCAAAGACAATGACTGTAGGAAGAGTAGACATAGCGTATGCTTTCCAAATCAGCACAAGAGAAAGTGACTGTTTTCTCGGCTGTGAGGTAAGTATCACATCGAAGAGCTCACATATTTATCTGAACGGCGGATGAGACGCTGATGAAGCCTCAGAGCACGCTTACTGTGCGCGGGAAGTTCAATGTTGTGCATCGTAGTTGACTTCGGTCATGGTTTGCAAGAACGAACAAAATCCGACTCGGACCGGGCTCGGGCTTGACACAGGGATTCCGAGTCGGAGATCTTGCCTCTGAAATCGGATAAGATAAGATAAAGAGAGTGCGTCTTTGCTCGTCAAAATATTACTGTGATGTCCAAAAGTAATGCAGCACCTGTCTGTTTTGCATTCTCTCGTGAATAGCTCGGGTTTCTTACTTCCTTTTCCTGCTATGATGCTTTACTGTAATAGTGTCCTGTCTATGTTACAAACTTGCAAAAGAAGTAGTTTTGTATTGGCTCGAAATGCAGAAAGAAGGCACTCTTTCGGAGGGAGTGCCACTGTGGCCCAAACCAAGATCCCCATGGATGCAAAAGAAATTACGTTCACCAGCAAACCACAAGAGGAAAAAATTAGATAAAATATGTGATACATTCAGTACTTTGTATACCACCCCCTCACCTTAATCAAAGCCTGAACCCGTCGTGGTGCACTCTCATACAAATTCTCCAAATAATCCTTCCCCAACTTCCCCCATTCCTCCTGAAGCGCAGCCCATAACTGCTCCAAATTTGCCGGTTGCGGAACACGAGCACGTACACGATCATTAAGCTGGTCCCAGGGATGCTCGATAATATTCATGTCTGGTGATTTTGATGGCCAGGGCAGTAACTCGATCCCCTTCTCAGAGAACCATGCTCTTGCCCGCTTGGAGACGTGCTTGCGATCATTGTCTTGTTGGAAAATGATGTCGGAGGGAGAAAGGAAGTGGTCTTCAAGAGTGGGGAGAAGTCCTTCTTCAAGTACAGCCACGTACTTTCCCGCATTCATTTTTCCTTCAATCCATACCAGCCTCCCAAACCCACATCTTGTCATGCATCCCCACACCATAACATGTCCACCCCTGTGCTTCTCCTGCATAGCAACATGCCGTGGGTTAAACTCCTGCCCAGGCTCCCTCCAGCACCAACGATTCCCATCCGGACCATAGAGATTGAATTTGGACTCATCTGAGTAGACGATGTGCTTGAATTGTTCCACCGTCCAGTCCTTCCTCTCCTCAGCCCACTTCCTCCGTGCTACTGCATGCTCCTTCGTCAATGCAAACTTCTTCCTCTTCTTATATGCCTTCAATCCTTCCATCCTCAATGCACGACTGACCGTTTGGCACGAAATGTCCGGGAATAGCTGTCGTTTGACTTGTGAAGCGGTTGATGCCCGGCCCGAGCAGATCTCATAGGCAGCATGGCGGCAAGAACGTGGGGAGATCAGGGGATGTCGACCACATTTTGGGCTATTATGTTAAAGAGAGTGTCGTTTCTTGGTCACCTTATTGTAGATACGACCGATGGTGGTGGGGTGGATGGTCTTTCCGAGGCGAGCAAGACTGCGAGCAATCTCTCGAGTAGAGTACCCATGTTCAACCATCAAGACACAGCGAGCACGGGTTGTGGGGGTGGTATAAGGCATTGTAAGGGTCAAGCGAGAGTAGAAAGACGCGATATTGTGAAGCTTGCGCGTGATTAGGAGATAAACGCAGAAAGAAGGAGACGCGTCGAACGCGTCGACGCGTGCCATTACATAAGCATGTCCGTTACGCCGGGACCTCTCTCGCCAGATACTTACTGTCTAACCTCGTTCTTTTGTGCGGTGAGTACATTACATGTTGGGCAGCATACCAACATATTTTCGTTATTTTATAGCCCTCAAGTTTCTACATAGGGACTAATAATATGTCCATGAACGGGGTGCTGCATTACATTTGGACAGCACAGTATCATCATCGGCGAGCACAAACGCTCGACCAGCTTTCAGCTCGAGTGCATTGCAGTCCAAAATTTTAGGGACTTACAGACTTCTACAGGACAATCGTGGCCCGCAGTGACCAGGTGTTTCTCAGGCTGTATTTCGTCGCTGACAACTCTCACGAGTCCTTATAATACTCGCGGTACCCACTTCCGTTTTCCTTCCGTATACCTCTCCTCTTGAGAGCAACAGGCTTGTGTTATCTCTAGTCGCGATGGAGATTACGAAGGTCTTTCCTATGGAGGGCTCTTCTGGCTCTCCTCCAACCGCACCAGCAGTGTTGCAGACAAAGTCTCCCAGGACTCTTCGTTCTCCTATCTTCAGGCTAATCGTTCTCATCTCTCTTGCTCTTGCTCTCTGCACCTTTGGTCCTCTCCCGGGCGGCGTTCTTCGGGATGAACGGTCTCAGCTTCTCTCACATTCCGGTTCTCAGACTATCACGGTCGATCCGGCCGAAGAATGGAAAGACAACATCTGGCCTATGCGTCCACAGGCTCCTTGGGACATTTCTACCGACCTACCGCACCCACGCGTGTTGGAGTATGACGTTGATGAGGGCACATGGCTTAGGCTAGATGTCAATGGTTCGTTTGGTCCACAATAGTATTCAGAGTGCTTCGTATGTTGATGACATGCGTATCAAGCCAAGACGGGCGAAATCATCTTCGACATGCTTGGAGACATCTATTGTCTCGACGTGAATGCTTATACCGCGCCTCTCGACTCACCAGCGAAGGCACTTCCCGTCTTACTAGGGGTTCCACACGATTCCGACCCTCATTTCTCACCCGAGGGTGGTAGAATTGTTTGGAGGAGTGATGCAGAACTGGGCCTGGAGAATATATGGGTGAAAGAGTGGAGAGGATGTGCTCAAGAGAACGTCAGGCCCGCATTGCACGTGGATGAAGGCACAGAGGGAGATCTGCAACATGCGCTTGCCACCCAGGAAAGTGATGAGGCTTTGCTGGCTAGTGGAGTGAAGGAGACGGCCCAGAGGAAGATTAGGAGATTAATCCGTGAGGGCAGGTATGGAGGTGGGTGGAATATGTAGCAATCCCCTACAAACATCTGGGCTGATCAGTTCTCCTATCTCCTATAGCACAACGCGTGACCAACGAGACGTATCGTTGGGTATCGGACGCTCGCTTCCACCCATCCGGCACCAAAGTTGTTGCTACCAAGTGGTTCACTGGCGAGCGCAGTCTGGGTGCTGGGGAGCCTCATGAGTTCCCAGTCCCTACACTTAGCGAAGAGCAGCGACCGGCGAGTATCCCTGCTTGGAGTGGGATATTACTTGTTGGTCGTACTTTACCACCTGGATGGTCGGCGGAGCAGTACGGGGAGGTCCAGATTGGAGCGGAACAGAGCATCTGGAGGGGAAATGATTCTATCATCTATGCCAAGGATGTACGAGACACAGACGGTACATGGACCTACTCGAAAGGTGCGTCTGGCCGTTACATAAATGAGACCGTGCGAGAGTTATCTGACATTGCCATAGATGTACACAAAGGGATTTACTCGATCTTCTACAAGAACTTGACCACTGGGAGGACAGAAACCCTTGTGGATGCCTTCCCCGGAGGAGCCAACAGGCCCGAACTGTCTCGTGATGGGAGAACCTTGGCGTTTGTTCGCCGGGTCAGGGACAAAGAGGCGCTAGTATTGAAGTATGTTTACGTTCTACGTACACTGCGCTCACGGCTAATTGACCGCATTTCTACCCAGGGATCTCGAGACCGGGACGATTCGTAACATCTGGTATGGTCTCACGTACGACGCAAGTACTGTGAGCGCTCCAATGGGCACCTATCCATCTTTCGCATTCACCCCATCCGACTCCGGTATTGTCATCTGGGCAGGAGGGAAGATCTGGCACGTTCCTCTCACCACTACTTCAGAAAATGAAAAGGTGGCCGGCGGAACCCCTGCCATCATCCATTTTACTGCACGCATTGAAAAGAGGCTAGCGGAAACTCGCAAGTCCGAGACCGACATCTTAAAGCTAGAGACCAGGGAAACGCAGCAAGTACACGCTTTCCGAGGCCTCAAGGCGGGCCATACTGGGGAGAGAGTCCTCGTCGAAGCTCACGGGAAAACCTATATAGTCACCCTGAAGGACAGCAAGCCTGCCCTAGTCCCATCTCTGAGCATCGAATCACCTTATTACGCACCTACGTTCGTACATGGAGTGGACGACATTGTACTTCATGCTCGCTGGAGCGACATCGATTTCACGACTTTCGAGATTGCGAACCTGACGTCGGGAGAATCATACGAGATCACTCAGCTTCCCAAGGGCCGTTATCTTACTCCGACGCTATGCGAATGTTCTGGACTGGGGCGCAAGATCGCATTCGTGAAGAGCGGTGGAGACGGCATGACTGGATCCATCGTAGCCACCGCAAACCCAGGTATCTATGTCGGTGACTTGACCCTCCCTTCGCCTGGCTCTTCCAAGACCGTCCCTGTCAGCCACTTGACCTTCATCCCCTCCGGAATCGACGTCGACAGCGTTCTCTCCATCAAGTTCCTAGATGACAATGCAAGACTCCTCGTGCAACAGTCCAACAAAGCGTTCGTCATCGATCTCGCTGCCGGTCCAAATGCATTAGGTGACTACAAACAGCATACGCTCGCTGAAGGCAGGATGGCGGCGGAGTTGAGTATCACGACCAAGGCCTCGGAGGTGAAGGGTGGAAACTGGTCGGTCGAGGCAGCAGATGTGGCTTTCGTGGATCTTATGCAAGTCTATGTGGGCAAGGCGCCAAAGGCGGGGGAGAAGGTGTGGTCCAAGCCTGGGAATGCGACGAGTGGTATCGCGCGGGTAAGCTGGGATGGTGGACATCATATCGCCTGGAGTGGTGATGGGAAGAGACTCTTCTGGTTCCTTGGTGAGTGGTAATAATTTGTGGGGATTATAATGTTAACCATATGTCTGTAGGCCCCTACCTCCACTCTCTGGAGGTTTCTCGACTGAGAAAGTGCTCGTCCGAGATTGAGAAGGACGGTCAGACCTTCGGTATTGACTGCATGAAGAAACACCTCGAATTTCAACAAGTTGTCGTCATGTATCCCACCGCCATTCAACAGTTGAAGACAGAAGCTGCTCTGAGAAACCCCAATGTTAGACATTCAGATATGCTAATCATCACCAATGCCACGATCTTAACCATGGAGAGTGGGCTGTCTGCTGATGAAGCTCTTGTCGCGAATGGAGTGCTCGTTACCAGCGGTGGTGTAATTGAGGGTATCACAAGCATGCAAGAGCTTGTTGTACCAGATGGTGCAACGGTAATCAATGCTGAGGGCGGTAAGTAAATCATTTGGTTGTGCCCTCGTATCTGGTCGCTCAACGATGCCTGGCTGACAGGTTACGTCGTTCCGGGCTTTATTGACGCCCACGCTCACTGGAACGGTGGTGTATGTTTAACCCTAGAATTGCATCTGTGATATTATTTGACACTTCGATACTGCAGAGTACCACATTCCCGACGAAATCCTGGGAAATGCAAGCCTTCCTCGCGTATGGTGTAACCACGTTACACAAGTCAGTATTGTGTCATTATTCTTCTCGCTGCTGCGATGTCTGAGTGAAGTGTTTCTCAGCCCGAGCTCCGATACTGTGGGCACCTTCGACGAGAGGAATAGGCTCGAGAGCGGGCAGTTCATTGGGCCTAGGATATTTCAGACGGGACAGCCGATTTATGGCGCTGGAAGTGACGCTAGTCACCACGACATTGCGGATGATGCGGAGGCATATTCAGCCCTAGTCAGGATCAAGGTGGAAGGTGGACCCGCCAGCTTTTCTTACAAGAACTACAATCTGCCCTCTCGGTACGTACTTAGGGCATTGTATTCCGTTTTGCGCATTTTTGAAACTCATAGTGCTCTCCAGTGCATCTCGTCAAAGAGTGCTCCTGGCCGCGAAGAATTTGAGTATGATCAGCGTTGCTGAAGGTGTAAGTAACTTGCATGATCCTTGTATAGTACTTAAGCTCAATCATTTTCTTTCTTGTAGGGGATGAATCAAGACTGGGATCTTGCGTACATAGTCGACGGTATGTCACCCTCCCACCTGCTATCAGCTGCATTGACACAATGTCTATAACAGGAATCACGGTCGTGGAACACAATCTGCCTGTGACTGAGTTGTATGACGATGTATTGACTCTATTCGCCCTGAGTGGTTCTGGCTCCACGCCCACGCACATTGTCAACTACGGAGGTAAACTACGACAATCGGCTCTCGTCCTTCTAAGTATTAATTTCCCCATCTAAGGTCCATTTGGTGAGCAGTGGTTGTGGGCAACAGAGGACATCCCGAACGATGAAAAGTACGTTTGCCTCCGAGACGCTTTTGTCCCTTATTTAAGCTATGATCGGCCGTTCTAGGTTGCGTCGATTTGTGCCACACGCCAACCTGGAGGCCACTTCGGAAACTTTCAGCAGACCTCTCAATTGTAAGACAGAGGACACTATAGTTATGCATCCAATAATGACAGGTTCTTCTTCAGCCTTCGCTCTATTTAACTCCTCCGCCTCAATTGCGAAAATGGTGCAGAAGGGATTGCATGCGCATATCGGCGCTCATGGCGAAAATCCTCTCGGGGTTATGTACCACCAGGAGATGTGGTTCGCCCGCCAGGGTGGACTGTCAAACTATGAGGTTCATTACTTTTCCTCTCTGATGCATAACGCAGATACTGAAGATGTTCGACAGGTGTTACGAGCCGCCACATCCGACGCCGCAGAAACGCTCGGTCTCCTCTCGTCGCTCGGTACACTCAGCCCCGGGAAACTTGCAGACTTCGTTTTGTATCCTCCTGGAATAGACCTTCTCGGGGACGACATCCGGACGACGAGACAGATTCGGTATGTAGCGAGGGGCGGTAGGCTATGGGATGTATCGATCATGGAGGAAGTGTGGCCAGCGAAGGGAAAGAGGCAAGTTATGCCACCTTTAAACGCGGACTGAGCCTGTAGTATGGTGATCTGTGGCCATCCATCTGCTCTTCACGATGTACAATGAATTCTTTCAAACAGTCTCAATCTTTTGTCTCCATGTAGCAACTCGCTAACGAAAATATGGGAACCAAGCGAGAATGCACGGTGGCTAAATCAAGACACAACGAGGTTGCAACGATATATACAGAATAAATCAACTGTCTGAGTGTGAAAATAATCAATCCAGACCCTCATCTTCGTCGCTCGTATCTTCACCCTCTGAGCTGGACTCATCATCCCTCCACTGCTTACGCGGAATTACTACCTTCATGATCGCTCGACCAGGGGGTGGTCTGTCTGCGACGGCGAATCCACACACCAATCGGTGTTCTTCCCAATCCCTACACCGTAAACTATGTATCAGAGCGGAATGAGAATAATACAAGACGACGTACAATGTCTGACACTCAGTGCAACAGTACCTCGTACGACAGCCCTCCTTGGCACACACGCGCTGTGCCCTCTCCCTACATCCCCTCCTCCCACACCTATTTTTTACTCTGACTTGATTCTGCAGCTCCATCAGACGCTGCCACATTATTTGGGCATGGAACATCTCGAATTTTTCCTTGCCTAGGTCTTCGAACTTCATTTCAGAGATGACGTTCGGCGCCGGGACGTAAGCGCCGGGTGAATGGAGACGAGGAAGACCGGACGGAAGGAAGGCAATATCGAGAAGGTGGCGGAAAGATATTGGGCGAGGCAGTGTAGCGCGAAGGAGTTTTTTCATGGCAGGCCATTCATTGGCACTGAAGAACAAGACATTCAGCAGTGGGCTAGCGTAACCTAGGATCAACAACCATTCAGTAATGATGAGCGGGATCTAGAGTACGAGACATATTCACCGTGGACACCAGACCCGACCTCAGAGAGTTTCAACACTATATCCAAACTCCCGAAAAGATCTGCCTTGACCAATGTCTGCAAAATCTCATTGCTCGAATGCGTCGGTGGTCTTCCGATATTCAGGTAGACGCATTTCTCAATGACCTGCAACGTAAATGAGACCGTTCGGCAATTTTGGCAAGGTGGGTCTTTTTCTGCCCCTTTCTCTTCTAGCTCCTTCTCCGCCTCCTTATTTCTCCTCGCCTCCCTCACGAACAATTTCATCAACTCCGACCAGAGCAAGACCGACCGATCTACTGCATGGATAAACATCGAGGCATGAGTGACTTGATTGGCATCCAATTGCTCCGACGCAATCTTGTAGAGTATCTCGATAACCGCAAGCATTCTGTATGCTCTGCAACTGTCCAATTTCTCAAGTAATGCGGCTACACGAGCGCAGAACCTCGGAGCGGGGTCCTCGAGATCGGTGGCATTTGCGCAAGGTAACATTATCTTCTTAAAAAGGTGGCGAGAGTGTGGATGGTTGGCACGGTAGTAGGCGACATTATGTCCCGCGTTGGGTGCAAGAATGTCAGTTATGGCTGTGGCAACGAGGTTCCAACCTTCGACGCTGGTGGTGAAGAGGTAACGGAAAAGGAGAGCAAGCGTCAGGTCGGACTTGTCGTCAATAATACTGTTCACGTTCAGTGAGTAAGTGCTGAAGTTCAGTGTTAGAAAATAGACGAACCGCAGAAAGGTAGGGTCGGCAGGCAAGAGGTGTGTGATGAGGTGGCTGAAGCACATCCAGTTCCCCGCGTGGGTTGCACGCGGCTTAGCCTTCTCTTGCTCCTGCCATAGCTATATGTTATAATAAGATGTGAGTCTTGTGTGGGTCTTACCATTCACGATGGGGGATTTCTAGGGACTAACGTACTCGGTGAACTATCTGGGACCAGGACGACTTGTAAGCTTCGATCGTCAATAGATCGATTTTCGACGGGGGCCTCTTGAAGTCTTGCGTAACGATTGAGAGAATTTCGAGCGGTCTCCAGCATGGCTCCGGAATCTGCCCACATTATTTGAGCTTCGGGAGAAAGAGATAGTGATGCGGTCGTGTGCTCACTGCAGTAGCATAGTGCCTCTTCGTAATATCCGACGCGTTCTGCGGGCAAGGTTCGTATGGAGATATCGTACTCTCTATGACCGCGAAGCATAACGCGTCGGCGAGACCGGCACTGACGAGTCCACTCCATCTCTTCCCGCCTTCCTTTGCTACACTGCGAATAGCTGTCAACGCGGGGTAGTAGTCCTGGAAATCGGCTCATAAGCATCACATCTCACAAGTGACCCGTCTTCGAGTTGGTGTGCCGCCATGCACGGAAGCAAATTGTTTGGGCCACCGGAAGCAAAACACAAGAAGCTTCAAAAAAGCTTACCCGTTCGGTATCATCCCATATATTACTCGCACCCTGCTTGTAGAGTCTTAGCACGCTCACAACCCTGTTCGGATCCCCTTCAATTAGCCTAGCCCACTTCGCGACGTCCTCGCGCTTGATAGGTTTGAGGTGTAAATGATATAGTCTTCGATAGTACGCGTCGAGAGTGGATTCTCCAAGTCGTTTATTCCGGAGTATGGGATCAGAGTTAATTTCATCTTCAGGATCTTCAGAGTCAGAGTGTTCGTGGTTGTGGCAGTCGGCCATGATGATGAAGACGAAGTCGCGTGTGTCGAGATGGCGACACGATCGAGTCGCGTTCCAGCAACGCCACGCGTCCCGGAACTTCCCCACACTTCCCCGCACTGCCGTAAATCAAATAACCCACCAAGTTCAACTTCCACGACCGAGAAACCACTATTTAGAGCCCGCTAAAGTGGAATCCAAATCTTGGTCAAAATGTCATATATGGATGTCAATTTAGCGCTCTCTAGAGCGAAACTTTAGCGAGCTCTATAGTGAATTCCATTGATTATTCTCTGAATTGCCTTTAGAGGATGCTAAAGAGGTTCGGGGTTGCCACATAAGGCAAGCCCGAGGTGCTCAACAGCCTTTTGCGTCCTCCAAAGTCAATCTTTAGCGTTTGTACGGCATTTCTACAGAAAATGCATAGACCCGCCTTTAGATGACCCTAAAGTTTCTCTTTAGTACTTCCCAAAGGGGAGACCACATATAATATATATAAATTTCTTTAGACACACCTTTAGAGCACGCTAAATAGTGGTTCCCCGGCCGTGTTCAAGTCCGCGGTGCGCCGGGTACGGAAGCATCACTCCGGGTACTACTGAATATCCAAATGCAGACCTCATAATGCTACTCCGGAGTCCAGACTGAAAGAATGAAGGTACTACTTACTTTGACTCGGAGCCGCTTGTAGAACATGTCCGAGCCACACCATAGGACCTATCACAGACGCCTCAAAACTCCAGTCAGATCTTGTCGTAATATCGGGCGGCGAACTTGAAGCGTACACAAGGCTGCTGCCAGGACAGGCAGGGATAGGCCTGGCACTCGCACCTACATACTCGCAGACGACCGGCACAACGGCGATACATTCCTGTGCGAAGAATACAAGAAGCCCGACAACACCTTTGAAACCGTGGAGAATGCAGTCAAGATGAAGACCGAGTGGGAGGCGGGTGATAGCATTCGCCTGAGACTCCCCCAGGTACATTATTACTCAAACATTACTCGTCATAACCACTTGTGGTATACGCTACGTGAGCGCAAGCTGCGTACTAAGTATCAGAACATTAGAGCAAAGTGTAGCTTGGCGTGACTTAGCCATTCAAAGTTCTCGTCAAGAAAATCTAGTAGTACATCATCTGACATCATAGTATCGTTACATCACAAGAAACTGTGAAAAAGAGGTGTCGAGATGGCACCATCATCTCAAAGTACCCGCACAAATGGCCAAAGATTAAATCGCATAATATGTCTAGGCCCTCTCGTTGAACTCTTCGATCGCTTTCTCACTCCCATTGAGTGACTTCTTGTCGACCGGAGATCCTTGCCATTGCGCTTCAAGATTCGGTGGCAACGCTCCATCGACCATAAGTGCAGAGGGCGGGAAGGCAGAAGCGACAGCAATGCGTGTCTGGGCGGTTTCGTCGATACTGTACCAGTGGAAGCCTTGCTTGATAGACTGGTCGACAACAAGGCCTCTGTATCGTGTACAACCGCCAAGGTCAGAAACATCAAGGGTAGAGGTCAAATCGTGACGTACATGGCGTAAATGGACATGGCAGTGTATCCAGTGAAAGGAACAAGGTATGAGCGTCTGGTGCTCGCAGTCTCCGCGAGAGCCGCCTGAGCTGGAGGGTACCATGCTCCACCTCCTACACCCATAACAATCAAGCCGGACCCGCGCTTTGTATGCACACCAAGGTTCTTCGTTGCGAGCGTGAAAATGCACTGCAAGTATTGGACGGTTGGACAAGGCCGTTGCGTGCGACAAATATCAAAATGAAGGGACGTACTGGGTAGCAGATGCTCTCGAAGAAGAACAGCACGTAGAGACAGCCTACTCCTGCCCATCCGGACGAAAGTGCGACAGCGAGAGAGAACACCATACACGCAACTCCATATACTGACAGCATGAGGGCCGGGTCGACCCATTTGAGAATAATGACACCGACGAATCTGTCCCATACGAATCGAAATGGGATCACTCAGTGTGAGCGATATACTGTGGCTGATGTGAGATAGGTTGAAAGTCCGAGACGTACCGTCCGACGGTGAAGGTTAACTGGCAAAACGAAAACATGAGACTGGCCGTGGATTGGCTGAGGCCAAGGCCCTGTTCCGTGAGGAAATTCACGACCATGGAGGCCACTGCCACCTGAGCTCCGCTGGGATTGGCGGGCAGAACAATTATAAGTTGTCAGCAGATATAGAAGACAGCGACGTACACGTAGGCCATCTGTGCGACAAATCCAAAGACGCATCGGTACTGTCTCCAGAAGGAGCTGGCGACTGCGTTCGGATCAATACCAGCCTCTGCTACCTCTTTCTCCAGTGCCTCTTCCGTGATCTCGGGAAGAGGGCAGAAGCTAAGATAGATGAGCACCGAGATAAGTGCTGATATGATTTGAAGTACACTTACTAGAAAAGTATGTTCAAACAGAGTCCCAGTGCAGCGACCCCAAGATATACCCTGCGAATAAAATTCAAGCTGTCAATCGCTTGTTGAAAGTACACAGTAAGCCCAAGCATGACATGCCATTGGACAGAATCGAGAGAATTCGCGTTTTCCCCCTTGAAAAATCTGTCCCCATGATAAAAGACGAATGAGTCAGAAGGCAGGTCACAAAAATGCGCAGAATTAAGAGGAATAAACACGCACTCCCGGCTGGCAATCATAGGTCCTTTTGGGTAAACCCGGTTATATTCGCTGCTACCTCGCATGGATCAATCATAAGTACGGACCTGCGAAAGATGCGAGTCCCTGGAACCCTTGACTGAAGTTGAGTCGTGCAGCCGCGTACTGGGGGGTGCCGAGCACAGTGATGTACGAACTGGCTGGGAGGTGAGCTTCGGCGTGATCGGTCTGATGGTGAATATGTCCTTACTTGGCTGCTACTTCAAGGGTAGAAAGACCGCAACCTGCGGGAGAACGAAGGAGTGGGAAGCAGTGAGTCAAAAGCTCCAGATAGCCAGGGTGTAACGAAGACGCACCGATCACAAACGTGCAGGCCACGAACCCCCCGTACGCTTCAAACTTGGCACAGGGCCAAAAAAAGATGGCACCTTCGATATGGCGCGATGAGCTCCACAGTCTCCACGTTCTCAAGGATAAAAGACAGACCGAGGGAATACAACGTCAAGCCTACATGTATCCCTTTCTGAATGGATATCATCAATCTCGGCAACTCCAGAAAAGACAAGAGCGGCCATTACTGACTTTGTACCCAATCCGTCTCATCTAAAGCCTTATCAGTGTTAAATCAGTTCACATGCCGACAGAATTACTCACGAACACACCCTGTTAGGGTCGTTGGTGGTTGTCGAGGTCGAGAGTAGTCAGGCAAAGAGGTTCAGGTAGAAGTCATGTGCGCCACATACCGCGACTGGTGCCCAAAAGAAATAAGCTCCCTGTATAGATATGCATGAGTGTTTCGCCGTAAAGTAAGACGAGAAGAACACATACAAAATACGCAAATTGCAATAGGGTGCTTTGCACCTTCGTGATACCGAAAACCGTTTGGAAGTGCGAATTGAGTACATCGAGGAGCTATCAAGCGATATGAGTGATGAGAGCCAAGAAGGGCCAGGCTATTCTTACGCCGTAAGCAAAACCCCCTGAGAACTGTGGTGAGAACAAGCAAGCGACTGGAATTCCGGAGACAGGTAGAGACGTACAAGTGAAGAATAACGAAGTGACCAGGGAAAACGCAAAGAGCCAGTTTCGGGTTGAGAGTTCCTTGCCTGCGGTCAAGGTCAGCCGTCGCGATATTGGACCAGTAAACTTGAGAAACCTTACCAGTCGTTCCAGAAGTTACGGGCGCCATGATCGCACTGGAGGACGAAGGAACTCGGGAGGGGTTTGATGACGTCCTCCAGGCCTTTATAAAACTCAGTCTAAATATTCTAGTAGTCTGATTCGCGACCAAGGTTATCTACGGAAGTATCAACCATCTCCATTCACAGGTCAAGTGAGAATCTCGCAGCGCTGGAAAACGGCAGGTGGTCAAGTCCCATGAGTAACGGGCCGGCCCAATTATGGACTTTTGGCTACCCCGCAAACGGAGGGTCGTGTCAGTGTGGGGTAATTTTGTGGGGAACGCAAGCGTACCTGGAAGAACCGCACGATCCGGTGGCCTTGTGACCTCTATGCGACATCGCACCAATTTCCTTTTAGAAGACCAATCGGACGTAGGGGACAAAGACAACCAGCAGGAACGCGGGTTTGTTCGTTCTGGGTTGCATACTACATCGTCTCATCTTTGCTCCTGAGTGTAGGGGGGGCACAGGCGAGAACGAGTACATCAAAGTTCCTGAAGAAACACCTTTACACCCCTTTCCACGAATTAACGCGATCCATTGATATGCTGATCGGTCAAACAGGAGTTCTGGTGCAACTGATGCCGGAGCGCCTACCCACTGACGTGACAGCACGACTTTGCTCGCACATCAGTTTCTGTCGGAAGTAGAGAAGCCGAATCGATGGAGGAACACACTCGAGGTCAACGCCCGGCGCTTCCTGATATTCTTCTAACGAGAGCTTCTCTTTGGCCAGTCACTTACATACAAGAGAAAGTCGCATAGAGGTCAACAATGAGGAGTCCGAGCGACTGAATGGTGGTTTACTCCAAGTTGACTCGGACGGTGGCGTGAAAACTGTGGGAAAATATACCTTTGCTTACATAATTGTGTGTTCAACAATCGCACCGCGCAAACTTGCCCCGCGAACCCTTGCCAGTGGTCACCTTTACGGTACTCACGACAACTGTTGCAACAACGACGTTCGTTACATATGGCCAGCTGTGATAACCCGTCTTGCGCAGTGCTGGGGGACAAGAAATGTTCTGCTTGTCACACTGCCATTTAGTCCGTCGCTCCTTGTCACTTTGCTCGTCTGGCTGACTTCTGAACCTCGGAAATTAAGCTGTAGCCCGGAATGCGCGAAGGCCAATTGGAAGGCCCATAAACCCATTTGCAAAGACATTCAACTAGATCAGCGCGTTCGAAAACAACTCGAGGCCATGCCGTTACTCGGCAAGATGCAAACACCGCAGGAAATGAAGGAGGAAAAGTTGAAGTATGAAAAGGTGAACAACATCAAGCCAGCGATGCGAACAGATGGCAAGCCAGATCTCTGCTCGGGCTGCAATGGCAGGCTGGCCAGGACGATAGAGCAAGAAAACATGGACATGTATGCGATGAGTTTTGACAGAGGCTGCCCTGATTGCGGTCAGTCTATGTCTTTTATTGTAACTTGCAAAGTCCAGTAGCTACTCCATATCCTGATCGTACGCTATCTATATCTATCCAGACTATCAAGCTTGCGAGTCATGTTCTTGCCATGACAGTAAAGGTCTGGCGCCGTGTACATACTGCGGGTCGTATAGAATGACGTCTAACGCGGATTCGGGTTCTCATTACGATCAGGAAACTGTTTTTGCATCAATAGTAACTTTGGGACTCCATATTGTCAACTAAGTGCGTACCCCTCTAGAAAATCACATTGTATGGAATAGGGCATATATGTAGCGGTTTACATCGCCAAACCACGATGTGAACTAAACTCATGTTGAGTTCAATATTTCGGAACTTTGTCCCGTTGGAGCATCAGAGTTCAATTCACATTCATCGTGGACTTTATACGGGGGTGGCCTCACCTCCACATCTGCCCGTCCGCCCTCGTCGTTCAAAATGGCACACACACATCGGTAGTAGGCCGATGTACTAGCATCAAGAAGAGAGACGACGTCGCAGGTCGTCGCTGGGGAGGAACAGCGATGCGAGTGGAAGGAGATCCTTCTCGAGAATGCAGACTCAGTGTGAACTGGATATCATATCTCGCACCACATCCACCATGTGAAGTTCACATTTTTCGCATTTGACATGACGAACGAAACTGATGTAAACCGCTACATATATGCCCTAATCCGCAATTCCATATCACACTTCCTGGTTCACGCGCTCTTGTCTTTGATTTGGCACATCGTCCTCGTCGCTA